TTCCAATGCCAGTGTGGTATAGTGGTTAGAATGTTGGACTAGGACATGGGAGACCCAGGTTTGAATTATTATTATTAATATTATTGCTACTTTCTACACACAGTCCCATAGGCGGGGCCTGGACTACTGTAACACAGTGCCCCCAATACCAATCTCACAGAGCAAGTTCAGGAACATACCATGGCCAATGGTAACAAAAACCACAGAGTGACTGAGAAGAATGGCTGGAGTTCACCCATCAGGCCAACCAAAGCAGATACCCATTACTGAGTAGGAGGGTCCCAACATATAATATGGACCTGACACACACTTACAAAAACTGGCCAAAAAAGCTCTTACAACTGTAACAGGAATTTTCTGAATGCTCCATCAGACTGATTCCATCAGCTTTTCAAATCGTTTTGGGAAGTTCTGAAGAATCCAGGCGATGGGACAACAAAACAACTCAGGAGTTGAGCCTCAAAGAGAAACAGCCAAAAGAGTCAAAGCACCCTTTTGCACTTAGATGTTTCCCCCCTCTCTGCTGCTTCAATGAGCTTCACACTGTTTGCTTTGTTAATGCCCCACAGCAGTTCCCCAGAACTTTGAAAGCATGAACACACACTAATGCACACACAGAGCTGGATGAAGTTTGTGCAATTCTGCAAAACAGAGGGTTCAAAGCAGACAGTTGCACAACAGAGGCACAAAAACAACCTGATGCAAGGAAAGATGAAGGGCATTTCAGAATAGTTTGTTTTCTGCCGGGGTGGGGGATGCTCAGCTTGTTCCTGCTACTGTTCTAATGTGGTTTATGCTACATCCATTGTATTGAAGCACTTCTGTTTTTATCAGTTAGCTGATCTAGAAAATCCTTTACTTAAGCAGTGGTAGAAGTTCATTTTCAGGAACCTTCTAGGGACTACATGCCAGTGGTGGGCAGGACCAAAGCTCAAAGTATGCAAAGCAATGGATGCAACTCTTAATTTTGTGCAGTATACTGTACTGCATTCCAGCCATGCAAATACCAGAGGTTTCTACACCAAGAGAGACACTTCTCTCCAGCCAGGCAAAGACAAAGCATTATTACCACAATTCAAGGACACATTCCAACCAGGCAAAATCATCAGAAAAGGAGAGAGGCCTGGGGGAGTCCTGAAGACCAGAGAGAGGACTTGCAGGTTGCTGCTGCATTTGGTCTTAGAATCCAAGGTTTCCCACTCTGACATAAAGAGAAGGCTATTAATGCAGTCACGAGCAATTGTGGAAGAAAGCAGTTTAAGTGGCAAAACAAAACCACAACAAAATGACACCCATACAGCAGACACAAAAGCAGCACAACTGAAAGCTGCTTTGTAAGAACAAACATGGTAGGAAATACATAAAAGGGAAAGACTGTGGTCAGTGATAGTTTTAGAGGGTTTTGTAGCACTCACATAAATGTAATATTATTTCAGAACTATTGTGCAAATCAAAACAGAGGTGACACCTTTATTCTGATGAAGCTGGGATGCTTCTGACAGTTGCACAAGACAAAACACCAACAGCTGTGACATTTTAAAACCTCCCTAAACCTCCCAGCTGGAGGGAAGGCTGTATCGGTTGAATTTCTGCATGGCAGCTTTACCAGAAAAAGACAGTGACAGCTACCCTAAATCTCACTAGATCCCAGGAAGGATCAGTATTATCACTGAACCACAGAATTGAAGAATCGGAAGGAACCACGAGGACATTCTAGTCCAACCCCCTGCAGTGCAGGAATCTTTCACCCAATATGGGGCTAGAACCCATAACCCTGAGATTAAGAGTTTCATGCTCTACCAACTGAGCTATGATGTACTGCTCATTAAAAGTGAAAGAACCTCCTATTAAGATTATTATCGTCCCCATCTGTTCTGCAGTTGTTGATTAACTGTTCATGACTGGAAAGCACCCGCTCAATAATAGCAAGCCAAATGTATTGCTGCGTTTTCCTTTGGACCACATCAGTGAAGCCGAGAGGGGGGGATCTTGTCATCTGGGCCGCCCTGGACCTCCATACATTGCCTAGGTTTGTGCCCCGGAGAGGTCATTTCAGTGCTGCTAACAGAGCAGAAATAACGATGGGAGGCAGCCGTTATGAGTTATCGGTCTCTGCAGCCACAGTGGGTGCTGTGATTCTCTAGCGGCTTGACTTCACCCGCAAAGGCACACTCCATTCTCTCTCGAAACAGACAAATGCCAACATGTCTAGGGCGTGACCCTCTGGACGTGGCTCCTTACACTTCTTTGACCAACTGATATGCACTGTTGTGTTATGGTCCTGCTGTTTTTGTTAGTGTATCCTATTTTATGTCCCATGCAACAACATTAAAAACAAACAGTAAATTTAACTACAACAAGGCTAATCCAACAGCAGCGCCCAGATTATTGAATTCCCCCCCCCCTTCCCCTTGGACAGAGGTTCAAGTGGTCCCCATTCTCTCTCGTATTTTAGGAAAGCAACCAAGACTAACAAAAAACTCAAAAAACCCTAAAGCACTGAATTTTAAAATTTTAACATCTTGCTGTTCTTCTGAAATCGACCAAGCAGTTTCATGTTCCTCTCTTGAAGCTGCTTTAATAACGCAAATTGTACGTTATTTTTTTACTACTGTTGCGTTTCTGCATTTTTAATCTAGGAAGTGCTTTGGAGGCAGACAATTTTTAATGTACATTTAATATTCAACTTAGGGTTATATCTAATGTTAGTCCTCCTCAGGGTGAACGCACTGAAATTAATGGACATGACTAACTTCGGTCCAGTAACTTCATTGGGTCTAACAGGAATAAAACTGAGTTGGAAGCAATCATAAGTAACAACAAAAATACCCCTTAGGCACTTTAAGGTTGATCATTATAGCGTAAAAACTTCAGGTACCACAACCCCTCTGAGCATGGGCGTAGCCAGGATTTTGGTTGGGGGGGGCAGGCCCTTTGTTGGGGGATGGGCTGAACCTCAGTTAGGTATGTTTTTGTATTGATTTTTATTGATTTAGGGGGGGCAACAGCCCCTCTCTGCCCCCCCCCACCTACGCCCATGCCTATGAGGCACGAAGGGCAATCCTGAATTGGTGCTACAAAACACAAACACAGCTACCTTTCTGATAACAAGCTTTCTTGTAAAACCACCATGGGAATTACAGAACTAAAGGCCTCCATTAAAATACCTACAATAAAGCAAAGTATTAAAACAATTATTTACTAGAGAGGTAGCCATCAAAGCTGCTGTTGGACTACAACTCACACATTGTTTGACCACCACTGCTGGGGCTGATGGGAATCGGCTTCCCATAATTTAATTAGCCCCCAAGCACCACAAAATAATAGATTATAAATTTACTTATATCTTATAATTACCGTATTTTTTGCTCTATAAGATGCACCAGACCATAAGACACACCTAGTTTTTGGAGGAGGAAAACAAGAAAAAAAATATTCTGAATCTCAGAAGCCAGAACAACAAGAGGGATCGCTGTGCAGCGAAAGCAGCGATCCCTCTTGCTGTTCTGGCTTCTGGGATAGCTGCGCAGCCTGCATTCACTCCATAAGATGCACACACATTTCCCCTTACTTTTTAGGAGGGAAAAAGTGAGTCTTATAGAGCAAAAAATACGGTATATGCCAACTGTCCTGTGAGGAACTTAGTTGTGAATCCTATGTTTCTTTCTTCAGTCTCCCATCTCCATTTCAGCCACACAACAATCCTGTGAGGTAGTGAAGACAGGTGCTGGCCGAAGCTGACCACTGAAAGCTTCATGTGTATAAGTGGGGGAATTAAATACGTTTTAATATTAAATTGTTTTAACCCCCCATGGGACCTTAGAGTGAAGAGCAGGTAATGAGCTATAATAATAATAATCTGAATTTGCCTCTCCCAGCTCCCCAGTCAGATACTCACTAACAACTACACCCTGCTGACTCTCCCCTCACCCAATAATGAAAAATGCAGGTATAATATATGCTAGTAAATCAGCATTTATTCTATGATAGCATATGCCTTTTTTCTTTCCCCCCTATTTTATTATTATTACTTCATGCATCTTGGGTATTATATGGTAAGCTATCCTGTTGTCTCTTGAAGGACAGTACATAAAAAAGTAAAGGTAAAGGGACCGCTGACCATTAGGTCCAGTCGTGGCCAACTCTGGGGTTGTGGCGCTCATCTCGCTTTATTGGCCGAGGGAGCCGGCGTACAGCTTCCGGGTCATGTGGCCAGCATGACTATGCCGCTTCTGGCGAACCAGAGCAGCGCACGGAAACGCCATTTACCTTCCCGCCGGAGCAGTACCTATTTATCTACTTGCACTTTGACGAGCTTTCGATCTGCTAGGTTGGCAGGAGCAGGGACCGAGCAACGGGAGCTCACCCGATCGCGGGGATTCGAACCGCCAACCTTTTGATCGGCAAGTCCTAGGCTCTGTGGTTTAACCCACAGCGCCACCCGCGTCCCTCATAAAAAGTAATAATATAATAAATCCTTGGGGGGGGAGATATTTACTCTATAAAAAAAAAACCAATAGAATAAATATCTCCTCCCCCCCCCCAAAAAAGGATCAAATCGTCAAGCGTCAGGCCTGCTCAGAGTTGATCCACTGAGCTCAATGCACGTGAGCAACCAACCTGGGTCCATCAATATCAATGGGTAGGAGACATAACTCGAAATGGAAATGTCAGTTGCCGGACCTGTAAATTTCAACCCCATTTTATAGCAGCAACAATTGCAAGTCACTCTCCACGTGCCATGACTCCCGCTCAGCGCCAAAGAGGCGGGGACAGATGTTGGCCGGACCACGCCCACCACTGACCGAAGCCCCGCCCACGCCCCACGCCCCGCCTACCTCTCAATGACGGAGGCCAACAGCTGCGGCAACTCCCGCATCTCGAAGGCCGAGTAGGAGGCGGAGAGGAGCGGCCGCACCGCCACCTCCCAGCCGGGTTCCCGCTCCGCCGTTGCCGTCGGGGAAGAACCGGCGCTACCGCCTCCCCCCGACGCCGCCATCTTGACGACGACTCTCCTCAGCTCAGGTTCCAGAAGCGTTTGAGTTGCTGAGGCGAGGAAAGAAGAGGCCAGGAGACCGCTTCCGGGCCAGGACGGAAGTGACGACGGGGCGGTGGCGGCGACGACCAATCCCCGCTTAGAGACGCAGCTTCGCCTTAGAGATAGGCGTTGCGGAGTGTTTCGAATAAACTTCCGTTCTTTTCGAAGCTGAGTGGCTAGAAGGTCCCACTCGCATTGCAAAGCGGAAGTTCTCTGCTTTCTGACAGGCGAGGCAAAGTATGTGAGGGTTGTTTATAGAGATTGCCGAGCCTCTAGAGATGCTTCAAATCCCTGCTCCTATTTATGAGGAGCAAATCTAACACAGCATGGTTTCCAAGTTAACCGAACGAATACCGGTAGTGACTGGAGGCGCGGTCATTCACATGCTTTCTCTTAGCTCTTTGCTTTTCTAGCGCCTGGGAAGGACGCATGCGCAGAAACGTGAGTCAGCGAGTTTCGCTCTCGATGGCGTTGTGCGCATGCGCTAAGTACAAGCCCGCTTTACGTAGGGACTAGTGACTTGACAGCACGTTCCTATTTTTGTCCCCCAAGTAAAACCCCGCTGAGTGCAGTGCAGCTTATTCCTGGCAGATTATGCATAAGTTTGCAGCCTTTGAAGCCTAAGATGTGACTCTGAAAAGGCTCTCGACAAAGGCTCCCATGCTTACCATTTGAACTTAATGGAAATGATTTTTGAGGAGACATGGATAGCATTATAAACTAGAATCATGGAGTAAGGATCAGTATCTGATAGAACTGTATTGCTTACTTGCAAATACGGTTGTGCTTATTACATATTAATTTTAATAATTATTGAATACATATCCTTTATTTATTCAGCGTTGCATCAAGGTGTGATTCTATGAGCCAGAATTTTGGTCCATCTCCTTCAGTATTGCCTACACTAACTGGCTGGCCAGGATTTCGGGCAGGGATCTTGCCCAACCCTCGGCAGAGCAGCCAGGGATTGAACCTGGGACCTCCTGCAGGCAAGACAACATTCCAATATACTGATATATCACGATGTTTGAAATAAGGATGGAGCTGTGTAGAGGAATTGGCTGGCTTCATGGTTTTTTCCACATTGTGATTTTTGCATAGTACATAAACACACACACACACAATGATTCCTGCTATAATGCAAGGTCAAAAATTATGAAACCGGTATCACAAAATGGACTTCAGTTTTGGACGATATATAGATATATCACCCAGCCCTAGAGGTAACCCAGGAATTACACAGCAGAAGTCTTATCTGCACTATACATTGAATACCTCATTGTAATGGAGTTCCCTCAAATAATCCTGTGTACAGGATGATTAACCTTTGTTAAGGGTGATGAAAGTTATTGGCAGACCCTTTTCCCTCACAGAGCTACGGAGTGGTATGACCGTCAGCTCCTCTTCCTAAGTGTTGTCCTTACAGACCTCAGGATATGTCAGGAAATAGCCTTTGGCCCACAGAAGCTTCCACCCTAATAAAAACAGTCATTTAAAGTCCCACAGACTCCTGGTTGTTGTTTTTCATGGTGACGCTGCCCCCCACAACTATGATAAGATGATTATTGTCCCTGTAAAATATGTTCAAGATGGTATTTATATTAGTGTCATACATCCTCACAGCCTTACAGTCTTGTCGCTCCAAAAAAAGTAGGTGCTGTTTCAGGATGAAGGCACTTTGTGGGGGCAATAGCCCCTTTGAGGAAGGCTATAAATTTTCAAAACGCTCTCACACAAATTGGAACCCTTACTAAAACGGTGTTGCAACCAAGCCCATCAGGTGAGCCTGTCCATTTGCCTGGCAGTGTCTGCGGCCCGTGGAGCCCAGAGAAGTCCCCACCCCAGGAAATTGGAGCCCCACAGACCCCCTGAGGTTTACACCTTTGCTGAGGAAGCATGGCGCCTTAAGAGCTTCAAAACAAGGAACTCCTTACGAGCACCTCAGAAACTGACCTGTATTTCAGAACGTTCTTTTTATTGTACTGTGTAGTGCCTACAAGAGTCTTCATAGGAAGTGATTCATACATGAAATAGATAATAGGATTGTGCAATGGTGGTGGGGGATGAGTGTTCAGACCCCTGGGCCCTCTATTGTGGGGTGCTTCAGGGTTCCATGCTCCCCCCCCCCATGCTTTTTAACATCTACATGAAGCCACTGGGAGAGCATCAGGGGGTTTGGGCTAGGTGTTCATCAGTATGATACCCAACTCTACCTCTCTTTCAAATCAGAACCAGTGAAGGCGGTGAATGTCCTGTGGGAGTGCCTGGAGGCAGTTGGAGAATGGATGGCTAATGGATTGAGGTTGAATCCTGCCAAGACAGAAGTACTGTTCTTGGGGGACGGGGCAGGCTGGTGTGGAGGACTCACTGGTCCTCAATGGGGCAACTGCGCCCCGAAGGACCAGGTGCGCAGCCTGGGATTCATTTTGGACTCACAGCTGTCCATGGAGGTGCAGGTCAATTCTGTATCCAGGGCAGCTGTCTACCAGCTCCATCTGGTACGCAGGCTGAGACCCTACCTTCCCGCAGACTGTCTCGCCAGAGTGGTGCATGTTCTAGTTATCTCCTGCTTGGACTACTGCAATACGCTCTACATGGGGCTACCTTTGAAGGTGACCTGGAAACTACAATTAATCCAGAATGCGGCAGCTAGACTGGTGACTGGGGGCGGCCGCCGAGACCACATAAGACCGGTCTTGAAAGACCTACACTGGCTCCCAGTACGTTTCCGAGCACAATTCAAAGTGTTGGTGCTGACCTTTAAGGCCCTAAACGGCCTCGGCCCAGTATACCTGAAGGAGCGTCTCCACCCCCATTGTTCTGCCCAGACACTGAGGTCCAGCGCCGAGGGCCTGCTGGTGGTTCCCTCGCTGTGAGAAGCAAAGCTACAGGGAACCAGGCAGAGGGGCTTCTCGGTGGTGGTGGCTGCCCTGTGGAACGCCCTCCCACCAGATGTCAAAGAGATAAACAAGCTAACCTGACATTTAGAAGACATCTGAAGGCAGCCCTGTTCAGGGAAGTTTTTATTGTGTGACATTTTAATGTATTTTTAATCTTTGTTGGAAGCCGCCCAGAGTGGCTGGGGAAACTCAGCCAGATGGGTAGGGTACAAATAATAAATTAACAACAACAACAACAACAATAATTGTGCTTGTTTATCTCCATCCCTGCCAATAGAAAAAGGGGCTTCAGTCAGCACTTGCTCTGGGACTGCAGGGCTGAAGTAAAGCCTGCTCTCTCCTGCTGCATCAGCCAGGGATGAAGGACGGCTGGATCATTTGCTGCAGCTCTGTCCAAGTACAGCTATGGGCAAAGAAGGTCAGCTTGGCCCCAACAAGACATGACTTGCCTGCAGACATCTCAAGCCTTGGGCTTTGTTAAACGTGTTCTTCCTCTGTCCTCTTCTACATCCCTTCCTTTGTGTACCCCACAGATTCCCAACATCTCTTAGTCCAGTAGAAGTTTGAGTGCCCCATACTCAATAGGAAATTGGAGGAGGTACTCAACCACTTTCTCCAGGCGATGGTAAGGTGGAGAAAGGGCAGATGGCCACTTTTCTGCCCTCTACTGTAGGGCCCTCGGTGATCTTGTAGAAGGCCTCCAGCAGCATCTCAACCTGTCAGAGAAGGAGAGGGTTATGAAATAAAAAATTTAAGGTCATATATATACACACACACATATATAGTGTTCATAAATGTACCAAGCAAACACGTACATAAATATATAAACCACATGTCTGAAGCAACACAGGAAAACAGCCCTGAAACCATTTTGACTCCCAAACTGACCAAATGATTTCTCTGCAAGGTCAAGGAAAATGGAAAAGCCTCCCCATTGTCTTTTCATTCACAAATCCTGTCTTAAGGGTATGTCTGTGTATGAATAGGGTGAGCCTGTGACCTGGCTCAGGAACTAAGTACCGTATTTTTTGCACCATAACACTCACTTTTTTCCTCCTAGAAAGTAAGGGGAAATGTCTGTGCGTGTTATGGAGGGAATGCCTACGGGTGGCGGGGGGGATCTGCTGCAGTCGTGAGCAGAGGATCCATGGTTCCCCTTCCTTCCCTCCTCCGTGGCTCGCTTTGAAACAGCAAAGCGGGAGAAGAGCCGCTGAGTGGGGAGGAGAGAGGGACAGAGAGCCTGCTTCTTTAAAGGAGCAAAGCAGGAAAGGAGAGGAGCCGCTTATACCAGTGTAAGCGGCTCCTGTCCGGTTGGTTCCTTTAAAGCAAGCAGGCTCTCTGTCCCTCTCTCCTCCCCACTCAGCTCGCTAAATAGCAGCAAAGTTTTTCTGCTCACTAAGCCGGGGATGAGCGGGGAGGAGGGAGAAAAGCAGAGCCTGCTTGCTTTAAAGGAGCAAAGCGGGAGGGGAGAGGAGCCTTCTCCCCTTATACCCCTTCTTCTTCATTATTAGCAGCATCCTTCTCCGCCCACCCCACGCGTGCTCCTTCTCCCCTTAAACCCCTCTCCTGCATTATTAGCAGCATCCTTCTCCACACACCCCACGCGTGCTCCTTCTCCCCTTAAACCCCTCTCCTGCATTATTAGCAGCATCCTTCTCCACACACCCCACGCGTGCTCCTTCTCCCCTTAAACCCCTCTCCTGCATTATTAACAGCATCCTTCTCCACACACCCCACGCGTGCTCCTTGTCCCTTGAGTGCTTTTCCTTCCCTCCCCACTTAAAACGTGGTTACAAAGCACGGATCCACATGGATCCTCAGGATTTTGGCACTGGGTCACCCCAAATTCACCATCAGATCACATAGCATGTCCATGGCTACATCTTGCACCAAAAAAAATCACGCACCCACTGTTGCCTGGGGCCGCAGTGGTGCAAAAACGTGGTTACAAAGCATGGATCCACATGGATCCTCAGGATTTTTGCATTGGGCTACACCAAACTCACTGTCAGATCACATGTCTGTGGCCACAGCATGAACCACAAAAATCATACATCCACTGTTTCATTTAGAATATTTTTTTTTCTTGTTTTCCTCCTCTAAAAACTACGTGCGTGTTATGGTCGGGTGTGTGTTATAGAGTGAAAAATACGGTATTTATCATTACAAAAGACTGGCCAGGCTCCCTAGGATATCCAATCAAGTAAGCATTAAAAGGTAACCTGCCAGACAGGAGGTAAACAACGCACTCAGATTTCTGTTGTAGCCCGCCCTTTCTGTGATGTATGTATGATGTTTCTGGGTGTGGTCTTGGACTCCAGGGCGGGCAATTTAAAATGTCTATATAAGGGCGGGCACTCCTTGGTACGAGGTCCCCCGCCTCCTGCATGTGAAGGTGGCATCCTGTTGCAACAGTTCAATAAAGATCAGGCTTACTAGCTGCTCTGCTTCTCAATATTCTCTGGTTGGCCTCTGTTATTTTCTCCTACCAATGGAGAACCTGCAAAGGACTCTATAAGGGCTCTTGTGTCCCCCATAAGGGAATAAGGGCAGATTTTCGTTTATTACTGTTACTTAGACTGTACAAGGAAGCAGGACTGTCTGAAGGGGTTCTGCCATCCCAGGTTGAGTCTTCCTGCTTCTTTTCTCAATGGTTAATAAAAAAGTTATTAAACAAGTAACATTTCAAAATAAATATGGCGTGCATTGCCCAGAATTTTTGTGGATACACCTTATTTGCCCGGGGGGGGGGGGGGCAGAACAGGAAACAGCATTCACTTTCAGGCTTGCCAAAAGACATGTTGTCTTCATTCCAAGGAAACAGAACCCTGGGTAAGCACAGATACCCCTGGAGTCTCCTGCCACCCAGAGATGGGGATGCTCACAACAGCCCTTTTTCACTGTCCCACGCCACTTCCCCATGTGAATAGAAGATGCTCCGTCAGTTCTCTCAAAATACATCTTACCTGCAGGAACCAGGCTATTGGGACTGCTTAGCCAATGTAAATAATAAAGAGAAAGATCTTTGCCAACGTCTTCCATCCTGTTCACACTGGGAAGCAGGACTGAAAAGGGTCTTCTTGCCTGTGGGAGGTGGGGACAATAGAAAAACTCAGCTTCTTGTCCCTTCAGCACTTAACAGCCCCTGCTGAAAACACAGGGTTGTATTCAATGCTGCCTGCAGGGACTTCAGCAGGTGCTTTCTGTCTCCTCTGAGCTTGAGTCCACATCACAATGCAGCCAGTCATGCGCTAGGTGGGTGTTGCCAGGGGATGGCTGAGGTTTATATAAATCAGACCCTTTCCCTGTTTCCCCAGTCTGTTTCTGAGGCCTCAGTAAAGCCATTAAGCCTTGGGCCTTGCTTAAACCCAAATTGACTTCACTCTCAATCTTGTGGCTGTGTCTAAATGCAGGCAAGTTGGAAGGGATATTCTCAGTCTAGCATAGGGAACCATCAAGTACAAAATCCTGTGGAAGAAATACTGTGCAGCTGGTATGGGTCAGCTTTTCACAACTGGTGGTTTATGACATGTATATCCTGCCTTTCTCTCAAGGTAAGGTCCATATTTCTCCTCCCTGTCTTCTCCTCACAAGAATCTGGTGAGGCCAGTTAGGCTGAAAGTGAGTGACTACCCCAAGGTCATCCAGGGAGTCTCCTGGCTGAGTGGGGCTTTCCCCGGTCCAAGTCTACCATGACACACTGTCTCTCCTAGAATCTTGGCACGGTGGCCGTGCATTCCATGTCACCAAGGGTTGTTGCCCAGCAACAAAGTGTGTGGCCGTTTGAACGGAGGTTCTGGCATCCTCAGCGTGTAGAGCCTTGCAGAGGTTTGCTGTAGTGACCCTTGCTTCGTCGGTATAGAATATGGCATCTGGAAAACTCCTGGCAGTAAGTGAATGTTGGCATTTCCTGTGGACTTAGCTCTAGAACATAGCATACTGGTCCTGTTATGTACGTTCCTTAGTGTCTCCTGCTCTGAGCTTGAGTCCGCATCACAAGACAGGCCAGGAACCTCAAACCTGCATTGTGATTCACTGCCTGGTGCAAAGCAACCAGTCATGCATTAGGTTGTTACCAGATTTTTTTCAATGAGTCCAGGGACTCTTTTCCATTTCAATGGATTTTGTATGGGGACTGATCTATAAATCCGGGGACTGTCCCCAGAAACGTCTGGTAACCTTACATTAGGCGGGTGTCGCCAGGGACTGTCTAAAGAGTTTAGAAATTAGACCCTTTCCCCCAGTCTGTTCCTGGGGCCACAATAAAACCTTTGTTGGGGTTTTTTTTTTTTTTTTATTGGAAATTTCAGCACAATAATTTTAACAAAAATACATCATCCACATTATTTTTCCCCTCCCTCCTCTAAACAGAAAACCCAACCTCCCACCCCACCCCCGGACTTCCCTCAACTCCTTTCTCTGGTTTCTCAACACATCTTTCTATCTGCATGTTATAAAATTGTAGAGATCCTCAAATTATTTATCTGTATATTACAATAAAGAGTTTGTGAATGTTTATTCAAAACCGGGGCTGCAATAAAACCTTTAAGCTGAATCACTGCCTTGGGTCTTGCTAGAACCTGCATATACTTCAGGTACCAGCAGGTTTGGCAATGAGCTATCAAAGGTCAAAGAAAGTGTTGACCTTTGGGCAAGTTTTTAGAAGAGAAGAAGGAATGCCGTTTCCATTTAATGCAAACATACGTTATCTGCGCTTCCCAGATCAACACACAAACAGAAATTTGCTTTGAGATGCTTCCTTGTCCACATTTTGCAAAAAGGTTCTCCATCCCATGCGCCTCCCAGTGTAAATATTAGCATCTTTAGAAATTGTCAAAAATGTGACATCTCTGCCTGGGGGCCTGATCTATTCCTTACATTCTGATGTTCCTGTTTCTTTTCTCTCTCTTCTCATGGACAGGGAATTAATTTCAACGAAGACGAAATCTCTGAAATCAGCCTGGAAGAAGGGAGGATCTTACTCTAAGGTAATGCTGTGGCAATCTCCTTCCCCAGCATCAATTGCTTTCAGAAGCCCCCCAGTCCATTTCTATGGTGTTCCTTCTTAGGATAGGAGGCAATGGAAGTTGCTTGGGACTTCCAGGGAATTGAGGGACTACAACTGGGGGTTTGAGAAGGCAGCCATTTCCTTTCTGACACAAGCAGCCCTGTTTCAGTTCTACTATTCCAGGCATGTCCAACAGGTAGATCTCTCCCCCCCCCAAACAACTTTGCCTGTCAATAACAATCGGTAGAACACAGCCAGCATTTTTATAATGTGAATAGATCACAGTCTCTTGGGAGTTGGACTTGCCTGATATTCAGTGGGCCATGAATACTGTAAATAAGCAGTTATGTTATGAAATTCTTAAAATAATAAAAACAATTAGGCCTGGTGACACTTCAAACAGAAGCTGTTTCTTTTTTTATATAATTTTTTACTGGAAATTTTATTTACAATGTAACATACCCCCCCACAGAAATCCACCTTTATTAAACGTGAACATAACATACAATAAGCATAACATACAACAATACAAACAACCAAATAAAAGACTTCCTTTATCCTGTATCTGGCCTCCTTGTTTACTTCTAATAAGCTGTTTCCTTTATGAGTAATTATTAAGATTTTTCTAATTATAACTTAAATATCCACAAAGTCTCCTGCAGACATTAATTGAAACAAGTCCAGGGCACTGTTTTGTGAAGTATTCTCTGCATTTCCCCCATGCATTTTCCCCATGTGATCTCGAATTGCCTCTGTTAATCTAGCCAATTCAATATACTCTAACAGTTTGTCTTGCCATTCCTTTTTTTGCTGGCACAGTTTCTTTTTTCCAGTTTTTAGCAATTAGGATCCTTGCCGCTCCTGTGGCATAGAGGAATATTTTCAGATCTTCTCTTGCCATACCTGTGTCCATTATCCCTAGTAGAAAAGCTTCTGTATTTTTCATAAAGTTATACTTAAACATTTTTTTAAGCTCGTCATATACTATGTTCCAGAAGCTTTTGATTTTTCCAAAGGTCCACTAAACATGTATAAGTGTCCCCTCAAACAGAAGCTGTTTCTTATACAAAACCTTTTTACAAAAGTGCTCTTCCTCTCTCCTCTCAACATCCCAACCACACCTTCTATGGATGCGGCTGATGTTGCTCCCAAAGGCTTCAGCAAGGACCGGAATGAAGAGCTAGAAGAAGCTAGTCCAAAGAAAGGCACTACGAGATCTTTTCAACCTCCTACAGAATATTCAGGAATATGTGAGTTACTGAAGAGAAGCATTGCAGCCATGCAGGTATGTCAAAGCCTTCAGGCTGCCCCTTCTAGGCCTACCCTGCAAGGTGCCCAGGACACAATCAGGCGCCTGAGCCATTAGCAATCTAGAGAACAGAGTTGGACCATAGTACAGCTGATCCTAGTGGGCTTTGCCCTTGGCATGGATCAGCCGATTGGTGCAGATTGCAAGCCTTCTTTGGGCAGGAATTGGATGCATTCTGGGATTCCTCTAGCTCCAAGGAGGCTCTAGCTAGCGGTACCAAAAGCCAGCCTGTCTAGGACCACCTAGAGGAGAGTTGACCAGCTTCAGCTGGACTGCAGGATTCAGATCCTTATCGGGACAGAGGCGAGTGAGGAGCTGCTCTCAAGAGCAGAAATTGGCTGCACTCAGGAGTTTGCAATTGGGAAGAGGCCTGTTGTACCCGGGTCCTGCTTGCAGGCTACTCATAGGCATCTGGTTGGCCACTGTGAGAACAGAAGGATGGCCCAGATGAGCCTTTGGACTGAGTCCAGAGGGTTCTTTTAGGCTGCAGTCTACACAGCTCAGGCGCAAGCTATCTGAAAGACCGCATTCTCTCCTATGAACCTGCCTGGGTCCAAACCTTTTGGGGAAGGCCTTTCTCTTGATCCTGCCTCCCTCCCAGGCACACTTGGTGGGGCTGAATGAGAGGACCTTCTCAGTGGCTGACTTTGGAACTCCCTCGCTAGAGAAGTGAGATTGGCTCCTTCCACTGGCAGGAGAAGACTCTCTTATTCCAACCGACTTTGGGGAATTGACTGCTTTGAATGAAAGGGCTGGTCTCCTCCATTGTAATTATATGTAGGATAAAGTGAGATTATATAATAATAATAATAATAATAATAATAATAATAATAAATTATTTATACCCCGCCCATCTGGCTGGGTTTCCCCAGCCACTCTAGGTGGCTTCCAACTGAATATTAAAAACAATACAGCATCAGACATTAAAAACTTCCCTAAAGAGGGCTGCCTTCAGTTGTCTTTTAAAAGTAAAATAGTTGTTTATTGCCTTGACATCTGCTGGGAGGACATTCCACAAGGCAGGCGCCACTACCGAGAAGGCCCTCTGCCTGGTTCCCTGTAACCTTACTTCTCGCAATGAGGGAACCGCCAGAAGGCCCTCGGCGCTGGATCTCAGTGTCCGGGCTGAACGATGGGGGTGGAGACGCTCCTTCAGGTATACAGGACCGAGGCTGTTTAGAGCTTTAAAGGTCAGCACCAACACTTTTAATTGTGCTCGGAAACGTACTGGGAGTTATACTTTTAATTCTATCCATGTTTAATTGTTTTTTGATGATTGTTTTTTCTATTTTTTGTGCTTCTTTTTTATCTGTAAGTTGCCTGGAATCCAGTCAGGGGGGGAAAGAGGGATATACATATTATAATTATATTCTGAGAATGCCTGGCGGGCCAAAGCACTGCCATCAATAATGGGTTGCTTCTCTTGGCAGTAACTTCTCTGGGTCTCTTCTCAGACTTCTGTAGTGCTTCCTGCATCCCCCCTTGGTCAACTGGTGGCTGTTTCTTGCCTGTACATGTTGGATCCACACATGGAGTGCAGGCAGTGGGCAGCAGAGACCCTCTGCCATCTGCTGCCCATCCTGCAGCGCAAAGAAGGTAAGACTGGAAGGAATGTCTTGCCTGCAAGACTCCCTAAACCTCTTCCCACTAAAACATACCCATGGACTGCTACACACTCTAGGAATTGCAGCTCTTTGAGGGAGAGAGGGGTCTCCTAACAACTCCCAGAACCCTTAACAAAGGACATTTCCCATGGTCCGTGGGGGGGAAGCCAGGACTCTTTAAAGTGGTGTGAGACTGCTTTACATGCACAGTACCCAGGGGGCCTTGGTTGCATTCTGGGACTCCACATTCTGACGTTCCTGTTTCTTTTCTCTCTATTCTCATGGACAGGGAATTGATTTCAATGAAGATGAAATCTCTGAATTCAGCCTGGAAGGAGGGAGGATCTTACTCCAAGGTAATGCTGTGCTAATCCCCCCCCCCCAATTATCAATCACTTTCAGATGCCCCCCGGTTCATTTCTATGGTGCTGTTCCTTGGGTTCTTTGAAGGACGGGAGGCAATGGAAGCTGCTGGGGACTTCCAGGGAATTGAGGGACCACAAGTGGGGGACTGAGAAAGCAGCCATTTCCTTTCTGACACAAGCAGCCCTGTTTCAGTTCTATTCAATGGGCCATGAATACTGTAAATAAGCAGTACGCTATGAAATTCTTAAAATAATTAAAACACTTAGGGACAATAAGGCATCTGAGTGCATTAGCAATCTAGAGAACAGAGCTGTGCAAAAGTGCTGCTGAGGTCCTTCCTGCGGAGCAGCTCTTGGAGGCCACAAGCTTTCTGACCAGTGACCTTGCTGTTGAGAGCAGCTTCAACCCGTTGGACATTTCCCACTTGCTACAGGAATTTATCAAGCAGTTCAGCGGCAAAGCACTGGAGATAAGGAGGTATAACTGTAGGAGAGATTAAATTAGCCTTGCCTTGATGAACACTGATGTTAAAGAAACTATGGGTGTATAGCTGGCGAAAAGATGGCAAAGAGGAAGTACTGGATGCATTCTGGGATTCCTCTAGCTCCAAGGAGGCTCTAGCCAGTGGTACCAAAAGCCAGCCGGCTCAGGACCACCTAGGAGGGGGTTGACCAGCTTCAGCTGGACTGCAGGATTGAGTTCCTTGTTGGGACAGAGGCTAGTGAGGAGCTGCTCTCAAGGGCATCCCAGCGTTGGGTACTGTGAGTGAGACCCTAACTCACTCTTTGGCTTTCCTTTGCAGAGACACTGGAATGAACAATGTGGGGCCAAGCACTTCTCATAAGAGCTCTGTGTCCTCAGTTGCACTGGAGGACCAGTCCGGCATTATGCATCAATACCTACTACTCTCTTACCAGGGTAAGTTGGTCTAACACAAGGCACAGCCATCTCTCAACCGTGTGTACATGAGAGAGGAGGAGAGGGAGAGTGTGCCTAATAAGCTAATTTATGCTAATTGCATAGATGGATCTGCGTATTTATATCCCACAGGAGTTCCCCAAGTTCCTAAGTTCGGTCATTGGAACCCAAAAAGAAGCAGCAGGAAGGCTGAACACCCCACACGCTGCCTAGGATGGCAGCCCCGCTTCTTGTACCGTCTCAGTAACGCTCTCCTTCTCTGACAGGTTGAGGTGTTGCTGGAGGCCTTCTACAAGATCACCCAGGGCCCTACAATGGAGGGCAGAAAAGTAGACATCTGCACTTTCTCCATTTAGTTTGCCATCACCCAGAGAAAGTGGCAGAGTACCTCTTCCAGTTCCGTATTGGGTGTGGGGCACTCAAGCTTCTACCGGCCTAAGAGAGATGTTGGGAATCTGTAGGGCTTGCTCAGAAAGTAACTCTCTCCCTGAGTGTGGGGGCCAGGTAGCTGGAGAACCCCACTCCCCACAGTGTCAGGAACCATTCTCCAAATCTCTTCCTCCCCAGCTAATGTACTTCCTCATGGCAACGGACAGAGGTTTGGGGGAGGTTCTTGCAGTGGTACCATAGAACGAGCTGGAACGAGCGATGTGAGGCTGAGCACTCCTCTTAAGAGCTCCCTGTCTCCTCAATTCCACTGGAGGACCAGTTCCAGAATTGTCCCATCAATAATTGCTGCCCTCTTGCCAGTGTAAGTTGGTCTCGCACAAGGTACAGCCATCTCTCAACCCACGTGTGTGCATGAGAGAGGGGGAGAGGGAGTTCCCCAAGTTCCCAGGTCCTGTCATTGGAACCCCAAAAATAGAAGCAGGAAGGCTGAACACCCCACGGGGTAGGATGGCAGCCCTACTTCTTGTACTGTCTCAGTAACCCTCTCCTTCTCTGACAGGTTGAGGTGCTGCTGGAGGCCTTCTACAAGATCACCCAGGGGCCTACAGTGGAGGGCAGAAACATGGCCGTCTTCGCTTTCTCTATCTTGTCGCACCACCACCTGGCGAAAGTGGTTCAGTATCTCCTCCAGTTTCCCTTTGGGTATGGAGCCCTCCAGGTTCTACTGGGCTAAGGGAAAGGTTAGGAATCTGCAGGGCTTACTCAGAAAGCCCTTGCTGCCATTTCTTCTTTCTGTTGCATGGCAGCAAGCAGAAGACTTGAATCTGACCATTGCTCTTGTTTTTGCATTCACAGAGACTGCCAGAGAATATGGAAGGAGGTTTTGGCATCGGCTGACCAACAACAACTACTCCATCTGATGGCTGAGCAACTGCATCTGGGGCCCTTGGTGGAGTCTTCCACTGCTGTGGTAAGAACAAAGAACCTCGTAATATTTAGGGCTTTCTGTATTCTGCAGTTCAGTAGGAGCAGAGAAAAGAAAAGCCCCAAAAGATGATGTTGCCACAGAATTCCACACACACATATATGCAAAGTACATCTTGAAAAAGGCCAGCTTTCGTTTAGGAAAAAGCCAGAAACAAAACACACCTGAATCTACTACCCCATGATAAAGGGATGGAAGGAAGGAATAAAGAGATGTGTGAAGGAAGGGGCTTCTTCCAGATGTCTAAGCAACACCCAATCAAAGCTGCTCTGCTATTTACTTGAGGGAGAACTGCAACTCTGCTCCCAGACTTCTCCATGGCCATGGGGCCAGTCCCCCTTTCCCCAACCCCAAATGTTGGTGATGGGTTATTTACATCCAGAGTCGGGACCTTTTTGTGTGGGTGAGGGGAAGGGTTTAATATTTCTTCTACCCGATTATTGGGCCACAGGAAATTGCCTTATACTGAGTCAGACACTTGGTCCATCTCCTTCAGTATTGTCAGGACAAACTGGCAGTGACTCTCCAGGATTTCAGGCAGTGCTTTGCAGAGCCTGCCAGGGACTGAACCTGGGGCCTTCTGCAGTGTCGTAAGAGAGATGGTCAGAGAAGAGAATAAAGGAATAATTGTTTCTTTCAGCGGCATGGCAAGTGCTCTACCACTGAGTTATGGCTTCTTCCTAAAGGGGCTAGGATGCCCCCCCCTCCATGATGCAGTGGGGGGTTATAAGAACAGATATACAGTCCATGCTATTCTGTTCATGATGACATGCTGAGATGCCCCATAAAACATGAGGGAACAATCCAGTTCAGGGTAAAGTAATGCAGGGAAAGTGACTTGTACCTCTCTCTCTTCCAGCAAAATTTGACCAGCCTGTTGCACGCCATCCTCAGGATGGAGGAATACAAGGCAGCTGTGTGCCAGCACTTCCCACAGCTGTTGATCGCTCTCCGGAAGCTAGTCCGAAGAAAGACACTATGAGATCTTTCCGACCTCCTACAGAATATTCAGGAATATGTGAGCTACAGAAGGGAAGCATTGCAGCCATGCAGATATGTCAAAGCCTTCAGGCTGCCCCTTCTAGGCCCACCCTGCAAGGTGCCCTGGACACAATCAGGCGTCTGAGCGCATTAGCAATCTAGAGAACGGAGTTGAGCCATAGTACAGCTGATCCTAGCGGGCTTTGCCCTTGGCATGGATCAGCTGATAGGTGCAGATTGCAAGCCTTCTTTCGGCAGGAATTGGCTGCATTCTGGGATTCCTCTAGCTCCAAGGAGGATCTAGTTAGTGGTACCAAAAGCCAGCAGGCTCAGGACCACCTAGGAGGCGGTTGACCAGCTTCAGTTGGACTGCAGGATTCAGAGCCTTGTTGGGGCATGGGCTACTGAGGAGCTGCTCTCAAGGGCATCCCAGCGTTGGGTACTGTGAGTGAGACCCTAACTCACTCTTTGGCTTTCCTTTGCAGAGACACTGGAATGAACAATGTGGGGCCAAGCACTTCTCATAAGAGCTGTGTGTCCTCAGTTGCACTGGAGGACCAGTCCAGCATTGTGCATCAATACCTACTATTCTCTTACCAGGGTAAGTTGGTCTAACACAAGGCACAGCCATCTCTCAACTGTATGTACATGAGAGAGGAGGAGAGGGAGAGTGTGCCTAATCAAGCTAATTTATGCTAATTGCATAGATGGATCTGCATATTTCTATTCCACAGGAGTTCCCCAAGTTCCCAAGTTCGGTCATTGGAACCCAAAAAGAAGCAGCAGGAAGCCTGAACCCACACGCTGCCTAGGATGGCAGCCCCGCTTCTTGTACCGTCTCAGTAACCCTCTCCTTCTCTGACAGGTTGAGGTGCTGCTAGAGGCCTTCTACAAGATCACCCAGGGCCCTACAATGGAGGGCAGAAAAGTAGACACTTGCACTTTCTCCATTTAGTTTTCCATCGCCCAGAGAAAGTGGCAGAGTACCTCTTCCAGTTCCGTATCGGGTGTGGGGCACTCAAGCTTCTACCGGCCTAAGAGAGATGTTGGGAATCTGTAGGGCTTGCTCAGAAAGTAACTCTCTCCCCGAGTGTGGGGGCCAGGTAGCTGGAGAACCCCACTCCCCACAGTGTCAGGAGCCATTCTCCAAATCTCTTTTTCCCCAGCTGATTTGCTGCCTCATGGCAACAGACAGAGGTTTGGGGGAGGTTCTTGCAGTGGTACCATAGCCATTATTAAGTTTGTCAGTTGGGAGTGGAGGCTTGGGTGTTGGAGAAGAAAGAGGGTGGAATAGGCAGTGGGTTGGTCGAGTTGTATTGTGAGAGAGTGAGAGGAATTGTTAGGTTGAGGCAGATAGATAGTTGGATTAAACAGTTTGGAGTTGTTAGGAACTAAGATTAGGAAACTGACAAGAGAAAAATAAATTGTAACCATATGCTTGTTCCTGCATTTAAAAATAAACTTGATTATTTGTTAATGTTAACAACTGTCTGGACTCCGTGTGTCCCCGTGAGAAGCGGGGTGGTGGCAGCGAAGAAAGCAGTCGCAGTGGTGGCACAGGGTCAATAGACCGTGAAACATCCGGGGGCCCTGTGTGATCGCCACACGGTCTTTTTGCCATCTGCAGATATGCAGTAGCACAAAGGGCCTGATCCAGATCACACGGGGATCCTTCTGGAGTGCAGGAGACCAGGGAAGGCCAAGCCATTTTCTTTGTCTGTGGCATGCAGTTCCTTATGGAGCCTGACCACCTTTGGAGGAGTCAGGTTCGGAGGCAAACCACCCTGCTGCCCTCCCCCCAAACTGCCCAGAGAACCAAATGGTCCCCTCAGTGCAATAATTGGCCATCCCTGAGCCAATGGATCTGACCGTTGCTCTTGTTTTTCCATTCACAACAGCTGTGAGTTAATATGGAAGGAGGTTTTGGCATTGGCCAACCAAGAACAACTACATCTGATGGCCAAGCAACTTCATCAGAGCCGCTTGGTGGAGTCTGCCACTGCTGTGGCAAGGACAAAGAACTCCTATCAAATATATGGCTGTATGGAAGGGAGTGTGTCTGCAGGTTTTGGAGTGAATGGGGTTTTCACCATTCATCTGCCATTTTAAAATCAAACTTCAAATATGCTAAAGTCCAGCAAAAGTTATTTAAGCACATACAAATTCATAATTAGGATGGATGGGCTTTCGCCATTTTCCTGTACATAAGGGGGCAGAGAATTTAGTCTGCTCATGGCTGAAATGACTAGGAACATCTTTGGAATTTATGAACCCAGACTGGCTGTTTCACAGCTGTTTGTTCCACTAATGACCAGAGGGGGGACAAACAAAAAGGTAATAACCCACATTTTTGAAACATTTTTATAGAGACCTGTACCCCAATCTCCTGTAGATAAAGGAGGCATGTAGCTCTCAATTTTATTTGCCAGGGTTGCAGATATGTCTGTTTAATGCAGGAAACATGATCCGTTAGTGCTGAGGCTTTAGCAGAAATTTAATTTGACCAAACTTGTATTACTGACTTTGGTGAAAACTTGAATTTCTGTTTTTTATTTAAATCTAACCCTGTTTTTTAAATCTACCCTTTACCCTTCCCTTCCTTTCTTCAAATGGTAATTTAGCCAAGAGGTGCAACACTTTAAGTGGTATAATAGATTTGCTAAATCATGCACTCCATACATGCACAGAGGCTATACTAGTTTAAAAAAGAGAACCTGTCTAAACCTCCATAGGAAAAGTGCCTTGCGGGGGCAAGGAAAATATCCCATCTCATCACTAAAGAGTTTCTTTCTCTTCATGAGAGAGGGGGAGAGTGTCCGGAGCCATAGTACCTACGAGTGTACCCCCACCCACTAGGGATACACTTCATTTGCCAGTAGGTACATGGGGGGGGGGCAGGAAACAGCATTCACTTTCAGGCTTCCCAAAAGACATGAGTGAAAGGAAAATATATAAAAAACACACTTCAGTTAATAACCACCGTCAAATAAAGAGATGTTACTACAAGTATCTCTAAAATACTGGTTAGTAACAAAACACCTTTAAGTGCAGACAGGAACACTGTTCAAGAACTCTAGTGCTATTGATAGGAAAACAGGATAGAACAAGTGGAGCGCTGCAGCCCTCATGACCATCCTTACACAGTGCTAATAAATGTTGATGCTGCATTTGTTGTTTTGTTGCATTTGTTTGTTATTAAAAGCCTTATTTTTCTATTTATCCACCAACAGCAGTGCTAATTTAGTGGGCAACCAAAGTGTCTTACATTAATGTTCCCCACACTTGTTAGGAGAGGAGTGTTTACTCCATGGCAAGTGCTTAGTCCATGGCAAAAGTGCTCCTGTTTCCCAATATGCGTTTACACACCTAAATCTCTCTTCTTCAGCAGCAGTCCCGGAAGACAGACTGCACAAGATCTGGTAATCAGCCAGTGATACAACTGAGAGGGAGGAGACAAGAATAGAAAATAAGAGCCAGCTTCTTCTTCTTTTTTCCTAAAATAAAATTGTTCAGTAAAACCACAGATATACAATGCAATTATTTGCTCTACAGAGATGTATTTTATACACCTTGAAAGAACAATTCAAGAAAGAGAAGAGCAACTCCTATGGTTTCTGGTAAATGTTATTTGGAAGCATTGCTGCCTCCAACAGTGGAGGGCAGAGCATAGACATCACGACTACTTGCAAGTAGTAGCCCTCTCCTCCTCAGATTTGTCTGATCTTTTAAAGCCATCTAAGTTGATAGCTACTTCTGCCTCCTGTGGGAGTGAGTTCCATGGTTTAACAATGTGCTGCATAAAAAAAGGACTTTCTTTTATCTGTCCCGAATCTTCCAACAGTATCTATGCTTTTTTATTCTTCCCTGACTGCACTCAAGGCTTACTGTTAATAACTGCCTCAACTGACATAACTGCCTCTGGCAAAGGTGTATGACATCACGGAATTCAAACTTACAATGCTATATCTTTAATTGTATTTTTAATACAAATATTCCTATTGCTTTTCAAAATGTATTAAAATTTGAATTTCGTACGCAGCTTCTGGCACATGTGCTAAACAACAGGCAGAAGAAGAGAACCATTAAGTGGTCTTCCACAAGACCCTTAGTAATTTTCAAGCGGTCTGGGTTAAGGTGGGGTTGTTTGAGAACCATTTCCTCTGGGCAAACCCTTCGCACCCTTTGATGGACTCATGAGGTAAATCTGTTGTGAATTTAATTTCATACTGTGGCTCATTAGGAAAGCCAAATGTCCTTGGAAGAGCTTCCACAAAATGAATATAAGCAAGGCCTTCTCTCAGGAAAAAAACAACCCTCAAAATAAAAACTCCTTTGAATCCACATGACAAAACTCCTGAGGGAATTTGTATTTATTTGTTTGATGAAGACGCTGTCTGTTATCCCTGTTGGAAATGCATCTCTGATCCTTCAGACCTTGAGAGGCAGTTATCTAGAGAAAATAATTTGAACTTTGCATTCAAGCGCCTTCTGTGGGGAAAAGAGCAGGAAACTCCTCAGATGGAACACTCCCATGTCTCTGCCCTCCTGCCTGCTCAAACCCCGGCCTGCTCTCAGGAGAAAAGTGTGTTCTGAGGAGAAAAATCTTCGATATCTTCCCCACTGAAACAACACTGGTAAATTGCTAGAATTCCCCACCAGACATATCACCCCAAATGTTTTTGAGGGGAACTGACAGTTCACCTCAAGGTTGACTGAGGTTTTGAGGGAAACTCCTCATGTCTCCTCAATGGGGGGTGGGGGGGCATGTTGGACATCCAGACGACCACCAATTTGCCATGCTATATACATAACCCCACTTATTTTGATTTTTTTTCTTCTTCCTCCCTCCTTCCCTTCCCTGCCTTTTCCCTGACTGCACTCAAGGCTTACTGTTAATAACTGCCTCAACTGACATAACTGCCTCTGGCAAAGGTTTATGACATCACAGAATTCAAACTTACAATGCTATAGCCCTTGTGAGCATTAACCATTTCTTTTCTTTTCTTTCTTTTCTCTTCTCTTCTTTTCTTTTCTCACCTTCCCCTTCCCATTGTTCATCAAAAGATCTCAGGGCGGTTTACTTTGCATTTTGGGTGCTTTTGTCCCACAAGCCCCTTCTCAGACAAAATGCTATGTACAATCATTATTATCTTTAAACATTTTCAGTCCCATTTTGTTTTGAAGAGTTGAAACTTTTTTTTAGAGTGATGTTGGATTGAAATTACCAGTAAGTGGCTTCTAGCTGTACAGGCTTTAAAGTTATAAATATATCAAGATTGATTAGGATTAAAAAGGTTAAAAGAATGGAAAAATTGGTTCTTAATAGGTAAAAATTTAATGTTATATTATATTAAGATTAAGGATTGGGATTAAAAAGGAGGGAAAGGAATTGCTGGACTAACAAACTGAATTGGAATACAAAAGAGGGAGGTATGAGGAGGTCCGGGAAACAAGTAAATGTAAAAGTAGTGATGAAAAGAGGGAATTGTTTTTAACTGTTTTTTCTTTTTGTATTTTGCATTGTGTATTTTTCTTTTTATTCTTGAATTTTTCTTTTTTGTTGATGTGATTCTTTCTTTGTGAAACTTTAATAAATATCATTAAAAAAAAAAAGAAACTTTTTTTTGCCTAAGGTTTCGTTAAGAGTATCTGCTATCATTTCCTTTGCAGAACAATATGACAAGTTTACAAGTTCTTCCCATATAACCTCATGTATAAAACGATATTTCATTTTGGATATGCTTTGTTCTTGCACAAAATTTATCACTTTGATTCAGCTCTAGACAGCTCTGGTTGTCCTCCATTAGTTGAATTGGTTTCTGTCTCACTAGACCATAGTCTTTCATTAGTTACTTTACCGGTAATTCTCTTCCGGCTCCTGTAACTGCTGCATATTCAGACTCCATAGAAGGAAGAGTCATACAATTTTGCTTATAGCTCCCCCAAGAAATAGGTCAATTTGCAAACATACAAATGTAACCTCTGGTTGATTTTAAAAATTTAGTGTTGCCTGCACAGTCAGCCTCTGTGTAACCTTGCTTAATTTAAAAAACCCACTGACATTCAATTGCCTTCTTTCCTAGGTAACTGGGAATGTCCATATTTTATTTTGGTGTAGTGCACCAATTTCTCCATAAATGAGCCTCAGCATTTGGCATCTGCTCAATTTCCTCCCAGTTAGAGGGTTCGCAGAGAAAAGTCTTTGATATCTTCCCCACTGAAACAACACTGGAAATTGCTAGAATTCCCCACCAGACACATCACCCCAAATGTTTTTGAGAAGCTCCTCATGTCTCCTCAAACTGGGGGGGGGGTATGTTGGACATCCAGACAACCACCAATTTGCCATGCCATATACATAACCCCACTTATTTGATTTTTTTCTTCTTCCTTCCTCCCTCCCTCCTTCCCTTCCCTGCCTTTTCCCTGACTGCACTCAAGGCCTACTGTTAATAACTGCCTCAACTGACATAACTGCCTCTGACAAAGGTGTATGAGATCACAGAATTCAAACTTACAATGCTATAGCCCTTGTGAGCATTAACCATTTCATTTCATTTCTTTTTTATTTTCTCTTCTTTTCTTTTGTTTTCTCTTTTCTTCCCTTCCCCTTTCCCTTCCCATTGTTCATCAAAAGATCTCAGGGCGGTTTACTTTGCATTTTGGGTGCTTTTGTCCCACAAGCCCCCTCTCAGACAAAATGCTATGTACAATTGTTATTACCCTTAAACATTTTCAGTCCCATTTTGTTTTGAAGAGAGTTGAAACTTTCTTTTGCCTAAGGTTTCGTTAGACTATCTGCTATCATTTCCTTTGCAGAACAATATGACAAGTTTACAAGTTCTTCCCGTATAACTTCATGTATAAAACGATATTTCATTTTGGATATGCTTTGTTCTTGCACAAAATTTATCACTTTGATTCAGCTCTAGACAGCTCTGGTTGTCCTCCATTAGTTGAATTGGTTTCTCTCTCACTAGACTATAGTCTTTCATTAGTTGATCAAACCACTTTAATTCTCTTCTGGCTCCTGTAGCTGCTGCATATTCAGACTCCATAGAAGGAAGAGTCATACAATTTTGCTTATAGCTCCCCCAAGAAATTGGTCCATTTGCAAACATACAAATGTAGCCTGTGGTTGATTTAAATTTTTTAGTGTTTCCTGCACAGTCACCCTCTGTGTGACCTTAATTTTAAAAACCCACTGACACCCAATTGCCCTCTTTCCAGTAGGTAGCTGGGAAAGTGTCCATGCTTTATTTTGATGTAGTGCATCGATTTCTTCCTGTGCAGCCTTTCTCCGTAAATGAGCTTCCGCATTTGGCATCTGCTCAATTTCGTCCCAATTAGAGGGTTCACAGGGTTGCACTGTCCTTGCTGTGTAGGACAATCTTTACTGGTGGGATGCCTTTACTAGATAAGCATCTGATTTCCAGCTGTGAAACTGCATCAGTATTTTCATCACATTCAAAGTTTGGCATTTGCCTTTGGACATAATCTCCTGCAACGTTGCTTCTGCTAGGAGTTGGGATCTCTACTCCTTCCTTTTCATCTTCAGAGCTAGGTGGTGTAACATTGGAAAACAAATTTGGGTATTCACTTGTAAGTTTTGGAAAATATATGAGATCTTGCGATTTATTTTCTCATTATTTAGAGGAGTCAAATACCGATCCTTTCATACCCACTTTAACCGCTTCATCAAAATAAATCATGTCATCGTACAGCCATGAGGAGTTGTAGTCCAACATCTGTAGGGCATGAGGTTGGTGAAGCCTGGTCTCAATTATGAGCCTTCAACCAGTAATACTTTATTACTGATTTGAATGGGGGGGGCACATCTCTCCTGCACATAACAACACTATAAGGACACTGGGGAGACTGAGGAGCTGGCTTACTGTTGGGTTGGTTAAGGGGTTGCCTGGATCTTGGGCTTTCAGGGTCGAAAATGGTGCCATTTCCCACCCACCCCTCCCCATTTGTACATTGAGGAACATGAAGTCACTTCTGCACAGCAGGACCCAGGCTGATTTCAGTAATAAGAAAAGAAAGTGATTTGTCATGTTCGGCTGCTATGTATTTGCCAACAATTAACAATGGTCAGAATAAGTGGTCTGGGGTAAGCATGAGCCTGTCTGCATCTCAGTTCTTCAATGGTAAAAATTATTGTTGTGCCAGCATACAGAAAGAGAAGGTTGCACTTCTGGTGGCCACCCAGCTTTGGGGGCATGTTTGCAGGAAAGACATTACTTGGATCCATCCAAATCTGGCTTTAGGCTGTGTTAACAGAACTGCTGTGGTAGCATTTGTTGATGTCACTTGTCAGGAGAGATGCAGGGAGTGTGACCCGGCTTGTGAAGAGCGCCTTCTCTGTGGCAGCCCTTAAGTTGTGGCGGGAGTTGTAGTCTGGAGAGCACCAGGCTAGTGAAAGCAGGTTTAGATTCTTCTTATTAGACCAGCTCTGGGGAACCTCTGGCCCTCCCAATGTTGCCAAACTAAACTCACATCATCCTCAAACAAATGGCTTTAAGTTACAAGAAAGGAGATTCCGACTAAACATCAGTAAGAACTTTCTGACAGTTAACAGCTGTTTGACAGTGGAATGGACTCCCTTGGAAGATGGTGGATTCTCCTTAATTGGAGGCTTTTAAGCAGAGGTTGGATGGTCATTTGTCTTGGATGCTTTAGTTAAGATTCCTGCATTGCAGGTGGTTGGACTAGATGACTCTCGGGGTCCTTTCCAACTCTACAATTCTATGATTTTGTGATCCCTGGTCATTGACCATGCTTGCTGGGGTCGATGGGAGGTGTAGTTCAGCCACAAGTCAGCACCAGAAAATCAACATTCCTGCCCCACATAAGGAAAAACAAAACCCACATGGGGTTGTATCTAAATCCTGTTTGGAGTAGTCCCACTGAAATTACTGGACCCAAGTTGGCCATGACCATTATGGATCTACTCTGATTAGGACAATCTGATACATCCCATGGTAAAGAACATGCAGAGCAAAAAGGTTCACTTAGAACTTAAATGTTTTATTTTATATTATCAAGGGAGGAAACCTAGCTTCAAGTACTTCCATTCACCCCAATGCAGGATATGTTTTCAAGGCCTACCAGTCACATTTACCATTATACCAGTCAGTGTAATTTAAACGGCAAGCCCTAGAGCAAAGACATCAACATCACAGGAAACAGTCAAACAATTATGTGTGTTTGCAGCAGGAACACAAGATCAAATGGGGGGAAATATCAGTGCAACAACCAGAATATTAGACCATAATAGTCACATCTTCTCCAATGCCCCTTCCCTGAGCTATTAAATGTCAAGCTGATCTGATCTGTATTCAACTCCATTTTAATTAGCATACTTCCAAAATTCCCCTATGCCACCCTAACCTAACCTGATCTCCCCCACCCCTCCCTCAGATGTTATTCAAACTACAGCTCCCATTATCCCCGACCACTGGGCCATGCTGGCTGATGGAAGCTGGAGTCTAAAATATGGAAGGCAACAGGTTGAGGAAGGCTGGCTCCCACTGTCCTCTTCTCCCAACTGCAATTCCAGTCTTTTTCAACTGCTTTCTTGAGTTAAGGGTTTTCAGGGAGGGTAAGGGGTGGATCAGAAACTGTTGGGTCAAGAAATGCAGGGGACTCCCTCCCCTACTCCCAAGTAAAATGTATGTGATGATGCAGGCTGAAGACCCGGAAATTGACTTTTATGGCAAAGGTGCTTCAGAGATGGGATCAGTTGTGTTACATTACAAGGTAGTCAAGACAAAGCACCCGGACCACCTTGGACCAGTTCCCAAGGAAAAAATAAAAACTTTATAGTCTTTTGTTTCGTAGCATATTCTTGTTCCTGACGTTTCTCATTTCCTACGAGGAACTGGGCTTAGCTATTCCAGCAGACGAGATGCAGACAAAAAAAGGACCCCACAGATCTTGTTCCATCAGGGTAACAGCTATCAAATCAACAATGTGGCTGAGATCCTCCCTCTCCTTGTGGACCAGGGTCTTTGTTGTCCAGCCCCAGCAGGTTTGCTTCTGCAAATCTGGTTATCGCCAGGCCCGGTTGAGGAGCTTCACCTGAGCCAGCCTCTTGGTGATCATGGTGGCAAAGACCAGCCCAAAAAGGACACTGCTGATCAGGACGTAGTCGTAGTCATCCTTCAGGACGTCAAACTGCTTGGAGGGGTAGACTCGGGTCTGGTAGATGTCCAGGCCGTACGCCACGACCTGCGGATGAAATTAAGAAAATAGAAGTGACAAAAGGCCGAGGACAGCCGAGTCCTGCCTCAAGCAAATATTTGGATATAGTTGGTGCAGGGGGGTACTGAATCAGGCCAAGGAGTCCATTCCTGTCCTTGTACGGTGCCACTGGCAGGCCAGAGTTTCCCTGTCCCTGATCTAAGCCCCATGTGACCATCACCACCTTGTTGAAGAAAGTGCATCGTTCGAGTGAGGAGTTATGAGGGCTCACCAGACATGTAGACTCAAGGCCTGACGGGGCCGTGTAAATGCCTCTCATTCGGGAGATGGTCTGGTTGTAGTTGATGAACCTCTCTGCATGGATCTGCACGTCTGGGGAATACGGGATCAAGTTTTCTTCCCTGGAAAAAGGCAAGCAAGAGCAGGACATCCAAGCAACAGGCTCAGTCACCTCTCCACAAGATTCATTTGGACTGCTCCATGGGGCTCCCCCCCGCCCATATTGTGGTATTTTATATATTGTAACTTCGCCGTTATTTTCATTGAGTATAATTTATTGAAATTGTTGAGAGTGAATTTCTGTTCGATTATTATTTGCTGATATTTTGAGAGTTAATTTTATTACATATTACTATATTCTAACGGATTACTGAATATTACTTTATTTTAAGTCACATCTTCTATTGTGACCTACTGTATTTGTATTGGATCACATTGTTAAAAGATGCGAGATCTATGCTGTATATTTTGTTGTTTTTTCAGCTGCCTTGTGTACAGCAATATGGAAAGGCAGTATACTAAAAAAGAAAGAAGGAAACAAATGAAAAAAATGAAAGAAATGTAAAGAAACTGAAGGTACATTTTTTCACCTTTGGTGGACGTGCCCAAAGATTAAGGCTTTCTGGGAGATGATATATAATGAATTTAAAAAGGTATTTAAATATACCTTCTTGAAGAAACCAGAGGCCTTTCTCCTGGGCATAGTCGGCCAATTGGTGTTAAAAAAGGACAGAACTTTTTTTATGTATGCTACAACAGCAGCAAGAATACTTATCGCAAAGTATTGGAAGACACAAGAGCTACCCACACTGGAGGAATGGCAGATGAAAATGATGGACTACATGGAATTGGCGGAAATGACTGGCAGAATCCGTGACCAGGGAGAAGAGTTGGTGGAAGAAGATTGGAAGAAATGTAAAGATTATTTACAGAAATATTGCAAAATTAATGAATGTTAGAGTGATGTTGGATTGAAGCTAAGTGGCTTCTAGCTGTACAGGTTTTAAAGTTATAAATATATCAAGATTAAGGATTAGGATTAAAAAGGTTAAAAGAATGGAAAAATTGGTTTTTAATAGGTAAAAACTTAATGTTACAATATATTAGGATTAAGGATTGGGACTAAAAAGGAGGGAAAGAAATTGCTGGACTAACAAACTGAATTGGAATACAAAAGAGGGAGGTATGAGGAGGTCCGGGAAACAAGTAAATGTAAAAGAAGTTATGAAAAGACGGAATTGTTTTTAATTCTTTTTTCTTTTTTCTTTTTGTATTTTGTATTGTGTATTTTTTTAATTTTTTTATTATTAATGTGATTCTTTTTCTGTGAAACTTTAATAAATATTAATTTTTTAAAAAAAAGAAAAATGAAGGAAACTCCCCAAAGCCCCCCTCCCTTCTCATGTTGCATTCTACTGATGATTTTAATATTTCTTTGTAAGCTGCTTAAAGGTTTCCCCACAATAAAGTGGTATCTTAATTTTGTTAAATAAATTAAATAAATAAAAGGTCCGTTTAGAACTTCAGGGTTGTGGAACCAATAATGATGACTGGAGGTTGAGGCCTTCTAAATATTTCTGGACTACAACTCCCATCATCCCAGACCACTGTAATTGCTGGAGGGCCACAGGTTCCCCAATCCCCAATCCTGATAATGTGGGAAAGACCTTTCTTTTCTGCAGGAATTCATTGAGAGCGGAATCCAATCACAGTGGACCACACTGGACTATTGATGGCCAAGCTGTCTGGCTTGGGGCAAGGCAGCTTGCTCATATAAAAGTACTTCTGTACTGCCACAATGTAAAATAGCAGGGCAGTGTGCCACATTTAAGATACAGAAAAACATTAAGATGACTAGTTAAATAAAAAACAATTAAGAATTAAACACCATACAAAAGCCTGGCAGCATAAAAAGGACTTCAAGAGAAAGACCAAAAAGTGAATGTTGAGGGAAGGAAGAGTGCTTCACAGAACAGGACCTATCTGGTTTCTACCTGAGGCCAATCCTAGTTTCCTACAGTCCTTCTACTAGATGACTTGACTGTCTAAAACCTGCTGCACACACTCAAAGGCTTCTCTAAAGGCCTAGGAGTTACACCCACCCCAATTTCCTTACCTAGTTTGCTCTGTAGGGATTTCTGGCCGCCGCGGGTCCAACAGAGCCTTGGGGAGTGAAAGGATCGCCCCAGAAGGAAGTCCAACTGCAGAGTTACAAATGAAACAAACACCACGGCAAACGTTATTTCAACAATTGCCACAGAATTCACACTTCCTCCTGAGCAACAGAAGTGTTAGATTATACATTTTTTTAAGATTATACGGTAATCATGATCAGGAATGCATTGCAGTGCAGAACTCCATGTGTTGCCTTTCAGCTAGATTTACTATTTTCACGGGCAAATGATTTGGAGGTCTCCTGTATCTCCTTTCGGGGTGATCCAAGTTGTACTTTCTGTTGGTTTCTGTGTGTTGCCACTGTGCAGTGCTCTTGGAGTCACAAGACTCTGTTTTGCATTCCAGAGACATTCCAGGCTGTTGGAAGTCTCACGGAAGACAGGAGATGGATGTGATGTTACTGGTTTCCTGTTCCTTTGTTTTTCAGTTGCTCTCTGCTTTCACAGAGAGAGGATGTTTCTTTTCTGTCTGCGTAACTAGAAATAAAACTCTTAGCATGTAGGTCATATTTCTCGTCCTTCCCTGTGCTGGATACTCTGTGTAATGGGAACTTGCTTGGAGCCTTATCAGAGGCTCAGGTCGTTAATCATGTCGGAGGCGATTCCAGAGGAGTTGCTCTGTCGAACGCAAGTCTGACATTTTACTTGAAAACCCACTGTACATAACAGAACTTGTGCACCATTCTCTGGAAATAGAAGCAACTTAAGTTCTCCATGTTCCTAAATGCTTAGCTTTGGAGCATAGAGAACAACTCATTGGTGTTCTTCCCACACGCCTCCTAGAGTGATCCTAGGAGCCAACTTCAGTGGCTGACTTGCCTCATTCCACTCCAATCGGCATGAAAAGTAAGAAGACACTTTCTCGGTGGCTCAGAAGCCGATTTCATGCTGATTGGGTGGCTCTAGGACACTGGGGACAAGAGACCCTGCTGCAGAAATAGTAAAGGGTCTTCAAATTCCTCACCACCCCGGACCACTAGGCCTTTGGTAGAAGTTGATGGGAAAGCCTTTCACTGCATGTTCTGAAACGGAAAGGAAGGGGCTGCTCCCTCACCACTTCAAGGTGGCCACACTCTCAAATCCCAATTGATCAGAAAGCTCAAAACCCGGCCCACTCCTTAACTGAGCAAGTGGCGGCTGGTGATCCCCCGTTCTGTGATGGTGACCTCCATAGCACTGATGGCGGAGGGGAAAATGTAGGACTGCTGCAGGACCTGGGGCAGGAGAGGGCGGTCCAGGGAGCTGAAGGCCGTGGCGTTGTACTGCTCCGTCCCCTCGTACAGCTCCAGCACTGTGAATTCATTGCGGCGGGCCTTGGCGTTCCAGTACTGGTACTGTGGTGGGAGAGGAGAAAGCTGGCTCAGAAGTAATAATAAAAATACTAATAACGATCAATCTAAACTACTTTTAATACAATGGTACTTTGGTTCTCAAATGCCTTGGTACTCAAACACCTTGGTTCTCAAATGCCGAAAACCCGGAAGTAAGTGTTCCAGTTTTCGAACATTTTTTGGAAGCCGAACATCTGATGCAGCTGTCAGCTATTGTTTCCAGGGCACCTGCGCCAATCAGAAGCTGCGCCTTGGTTTTTGAACATTTCGGAAGTCAAACGGACTGCTGGAATGGATTAGGTTTGGCACTTTTGTTTTTGCTATTTATTTTGCATTTTTGGTTTTGAGGCTTTTTCGATTAATTTGTTTTTGTCACTGTGTGGAACCCAGTTCAGCTACTGACTGATTGACTGTATGACTGCAGAAATGGATAAAAGCCCCCCATCCAAACAATGACTATCATCAGTGCAGGTAAGAATTTATTTATTTTTAATCATCTACAATACGGTCTTATTTATTTTATAGTACAGTACATTGATTATTGGTTTCATTTTATGGATCAATGGTCTCATTAGATAGTAAAATTCATGTTAAATTGCTGTTTTAGGGGTATTTAGATAGTAAAATTCATGTTAAATTGCTGTTTGTTTTTAAAAGTCTGGAATGGATTAATCCATTTTGCATTACTTTCTATGGGAAAGTGTGCCTTGGATTTGGAATGATTAGGTTTTGAAACGGACTTCCAGAACGGATTAAGTTTGAGAACCAAGGTACCACTGTATGGTATTTTAACTGCTGCTGATCCTAACTAAAACCCCAAACTCACTAGGCAAGGCATTTCTCCTTCCACAACTCCTTCATGATGGTCTCACAAATTCCACCTGCGTGAAAGGGTAAGGCATGGGGACACTGCTTACCACCACCCAGTTCTCTGAGTGGACAATGTGGACCGGCCCCTTGGCCTTCTTCTGCACAGAGGAGTGGATGATCCGGCCAGTGACGCTGTCAATCAAGTGGATCCCGATGAATGTGCGCTCTGGGTGGGTGTCCGTGCTCTCCGTCACCACCGCCAGCAGGTTCGGGTTCAACGACTGCAACAAGACAAAGGCTGACACCTTGAAACAGGCCCAACTAGCCTGTGTGTTCCCTTCCCAGCATGAAACAATGCGACTCAGATGGGGAAGTTGTCAGAATCGGGGGACGAAAAGCCAGCTGGCTCGGCCCCAGCTGGAGCATCTCCCTCTCAGCCTTGCCGCTGCAGAGATCCATCGACCTCTGCTCCTCCGAAGTGCGTCTGTGACTCAAGATGAGCAGCCTTGAGCACACATTTCTCAGCAGTGTAAACCGCGCAACAGGTGAGGCTTGAGGCGTGGACACATACTAAACTACGCATTTATTATACATAAATCAGGACAAAGAAAAACATGTCTTCTCTCCTTGCCGTCTTCTCAGAGAGAAACTGAAAACAAAAGCAATACAGAGCGGAGGTTCCGCTCACGGACTCCAGCAATCGGTGCTGGAATGTAAACAGATATGTAACATGCAACAATCCACATATCTGCAGCTCGGGAGGAGTGTAATCCCAACAGAAGTGCCATGGCTCTGTGTTCAAGCACCTGCTTTGCATGCAGGTCTCAGGTTCAATTCTCCAGGTACAGCTCGGAAAATCTTCTGTCTGAAACTTTGGAGAACTGCTGCCAGTCAGTGTTACCAATACTGAGATGGTCAGTCTGATTTGGTATAAGAGAGTTCCCTATGTTTCAGTTTCAATCAGCTCCCTTTTTAAAGAACCACAAGGACAAGGCTCTTGTTTATTTTAAGGGGAATTACAATGGCTCAATATTAAAGCTGCTGCCAACCAGACAGTATTGAGCCAGGTGGACCCAGGGATCTGTCTAGATATAAGAAAATTCCCTATGCTTCTATTTACCGTATTTTTCGCTCTATAAGATGCACCAGACCACAAGACGCACCTAATTTTTGGAAGAGGAAAACAAGAAAAAAATATTCTGAATCTCAGAAGCCAGAACAGCAAGAGGGATCGCTACACAGTGAAAGCAGCAATCCCTCTTGCTGTTCTGGCTTCTGGGATAGCTGCGCAGCCTGCATTCACTCCATAAGACGCACACACATTTCCCCTTACTTTTTAGGAGGGAAAAAGTGAGTCTTATAGAGCAAAAAATACGATAAATCAGCTCTTTATTAAGAATCATGAGGACTAAGCTCTTAAGTTTATTTTACGAGGAAGTGCCAAGGTTCAGCATTAGAGCATTTGCTTTGCATACAGAAGGCCCTAGGTTCATTCCGTGGCAGCATCTCGAAGTAGAGTTGGGACAGAATCCTGCCTGAAACCCTGGAGAGCTGCTGCCAATCAGTGTAGGCTATATTGAGGTAGACAGAACCAGGCTCACCATAAGGCATCTTTCTATTCTTCCTATGAGAACTGCAAAGGCATGTGATGCTGTCTGACCCACTGGACGTTCACACACCCTCTCCTACCTTGTAAAGGACACTGCGATCTCCCATCACCCGGCCCTGGGAATGGACGTGTTCATTGGCCCTCTTCCCCTTGATGGTTACGATCCGCTGCACGTCAGGGGGGATGTTGATCTCCCAGCTCTCCTCCGTTGTCAGGTCCTGCAACACATGGCCAAGAACCCCAGGATATAAAAAATGTCAAGCCAATTCCTAGAAAGTCCCGTCCTCCCAATATAAGGCCCCCAGTCCGAGATGTACTGAAAGCACGATTCTTTGCTTGCATGCAACTTCCCTGCACAAGAAGCTTAATGCATACAGAGCCCCATCCCGCTGCAGCAGGTGTGTGGGATCTTTGGCCCTCTGGAAATTGATTAACTACAACTACCATCAATGTCCATGCTTACTGGGGCTCGTTCAAACTTCCACTTCCAGGGTAAGTGTAGGGATATCGCGGAGTGAGGAGTGAGGTCCTGAGGGAGCACACTCTCCACCAGCAGGCAGCCACAGTCTGCCTGCACGTGTGACCCTGGGGTGCAGGAAAAACTGCACCCCAGGGTCACACGTGCAGGCAGACTGTGGCTGCCTGCTGGTGGAGAGTGTGCTCCCTCCGGACCTCACTCCCCACTCCGCGATATCCCTACAGTAAGCCCGAGAGCGCCCACTGATGACATCACTTCTGAGTTGGTAAACCTTGACGGACACACCAGCGGTATGGGGGGGCACTAAACCACTCAGCTACAGGCCTACAACAACACACAGAGTATTTAACGCCATCTTAACAAGGGGAAAGGGACGCAAGTGGTGCTGTGGTCTAAACCACAGAGCCTAGGGCTTGCCGATCGGAAGGTCGCGGTTTGAATCCCTGCAACAGGGTGAGCTCCCGTTGCTCGGTCCCTGCTCCTGCCCACCTAGCGGTTTGAAAGCACGTCAAGGTGCAAGTAGATAAATAGGTACCGCTCTGGCGGGAAGGTAAACGGCGTTTCCGCGTGCTGCTCTGGTTCGCCAGAAGCGGCTTAGTCATGCTGGCCACATGACCCGGAAGCTGTATGCCGGCTCCCTCGGCCAATAAAGCGAAATGAGTTGGCCACAACTGGACCTAATGGTCAGGGGTCCCTTTACCTTCACAAGGGGGAAATGAGAGCTAAGTACCTTTTGCAGCCTCCGTCCCATCAACTTGCCCTGTTCAGTGTCTGCCAAGTAAAAAGAGACGGTCGGAGCAATTTCCTCAAGCTGCCGGAGGACGTTCCTTGTCGCTGGGAACACTGTCACCTGGAAGGAAGGAAGGAAGGAAGGAAGGAAGGACAGGTCAAAGACGTGTGAGGGTTTTTCAAGAGGCTTTCCGCATAACCGAAGGATGAGGCAGAGCGCACCTTGAACTCATCGTCGATCAGAAGCAGAACTTTGGCGTAATCTTGGTCCATGATGGGGAGCAGCAGGGACTGGAGGATGGGGCGGCTCAGCACCGGAGGGGCCACCTGGCTCCACCTGCCAAAGATGGGGTTGAAGACGTAGAGGGAGCTCTTGCCGGTCTCCTGGGAGAGGAAGAGGCACGGGGGCAGGAAGCTCATAAGAACGCAAGAAGAGCCTGCTGGACCAGGTCAATGGCCCATCTAGTCCAGCAACCTGTTCTCACAGTGGCCTCAAAGCAAGAAGCAGGATCTGAGCATAAGACCCCTCTCCCCTCCTGTGGCTTTCCAGCAACCAATATTCAGAAGCATGGTTGCCTCCTGGCTGCAGAGCATAGCCATTCTGGCTAGTAGCCACTGACAGCCCTCTCCTTCTTCTTGAATTTCTCTAATCCTCTTTTAAAGCCATCTAGGTTGCTGGCCATCACTGCCTCCTGTGGGAACAAGTTCCATAGTTTAACTCTGTGCTACGTGAAGAAAGACTTTCATTTCTCTCTCCCGAATCTTCCCACAATCAGCATCATTGGATGCCCTCAAGTTCCAGTGATATGAGGGATAAAAATGTCTCTATCCACTGTCTCCGTGCCACGCAAAATTGTTATAAACTTCTACCATGTTGCCTCTTCTTTGCCTTTTCTCTAAAGTAAGACATCCCAAACACTGCAGCCTTTCTTCATAAGGGAGTCGTTCCATCCCCTTCAACATTTTGGGTTGCCCTTTTCTGAACCTTTTCCAACTGTGCGATATCCTTTTTGCGGTGAGGCAACCAGAACTGTACACAGTATTCCAAATGCAGTTGCACTACAGCTTTGTATACTGGTATTATGATACTGGCAATTCTATTTTCAATTTAGTTTTCAAACTCAGGCCTTGCTAGCTACCCACAGACGAACTTCCCCCCTACAATATCTCCCAAGTCCAAACTGGCCATCACAGACATGGGTCCTGACCTTTTCCTTGACAAGGAGGGTGCACTGTGGAGGGTGGGGGAAGTGGGCAGTCGTCCTCTGGACCATCAGCTTGAAGGACGAGCCCGGCTGCACGTCCTGGAGGTACTGCTTCCACAGGATGGTCCCAGAGCTGCTTTCGATTCCAAAGAGCTGGACAGAGAACACAAAGACCACACAATGGTCAAGCCACAAGGGTTCATATGGCAAAGAGGCTTGATGGCACAACAGCAAGCAGGCACAACAGCATTTGGTGATCCACATTGTAAGGGGTTGGACTAGATTGGGGTCAGCAAACTTTTTCAGCAGGGGGCTAGTCCACTGTCCCTCAGACCTTGTGGGGGCCCGGACTATATTTTTTTGAGGGGGAATGAACAAATTCCTACGCCCCACAAATAACCCAGAAATGCATCTGTCAGGGGTTCAGGGAGAGAGGCACAGGGTAGGCAGGAGATGGAGAGCGATGGGGATGAATCCCAAGCCAGCGAGGAAGAGGATGACAATGACTCAAGAGATTCCATGAGTCTTTCCAGCGAATCAGAGGATTCCCAGAAGGGGCGCCGGTGGTCAAGGCCAGGGAGCCCCAGGGGGGACGTGTCAGGAGCAGGGGGCCAGCGGAGGATCCCAAAGTGGCAGCTGGGCGTCAGGACCAGCCTCCCCACCAGAGTGCAGCGAAGGGGGTGGAGTTTCCAGTGTATCAGGGGAGCAGCTCCGGCAGCAGAGAAGGGAGGGAGGTCAGAGCAAGCCACCCTCCCGGAAGGGGAGGGGAGCAGTGAAGGGAGTAGTGTAACTGTCAAAAGGAAAGTTAGAGGTTTGGCGCGCGCGCCAAGTTCAAATGTAGAGACGCGCGGAAGTACAGGGAGCCTGGAGGAAGGGCCAGGTCCCAAAGCCCACAGGAGGAGGCAAGAGCAGTCTGATTCCGCGTCAGAGGAATCCAGGAGGGGCGAAACCCCAGCGGGCAGAAGGACCCTGCGGAAAAGGAAAGAGAGAAAGAGGTGGAGCAGCGCAAGCCTCTTAAACTGGTGCAGGGGAGGGACGGATTCAGAGGGGACTTCAGCGGTCTAAGCGTAGGAGACGTAGGGCTGCGCGCCTCGGATGTGAAGCAAACAATGAACTGCAATAAACACTTTTGTATATAAGAAGAGATAGGCGTTGGTCTTTTGTGAGCTGAGACTTGAGGCAGCCCTGACAGCATCTTTAATAAAAGGGCACATTCTACTTATGTAACAACATGCTGATTCCCGGACTGTCCATGGGCCGGATTTAGAAGGTGATTGGGCCGGATCTGGCCCCCAGGCCTTAGTTTGCATACCCATGGACTAGATGAATCTTTGGGTCCCTTCCAACTCTACAATCCTATGATTTAAATATTGTGCATGATGGAAGAGGGTGGCTGCCTTTGAGCTGATCCAGTGAGACTCTTCCTAATGTTCTCATTAGCCACAAGAGTCAGGAGTGCAACCTCCATGTTCAGTGGCAGTCTACCACCTCTTAACGTGAGGCCATTGCCTTCATGCCTTACTTGTGAGTTTCCCACCATGGCATCTGGTTGACGATAGTGGGACACATAGGAATATGGGAAGCTGCCTTATACCAAAGTCAGACCCTTGAGTCCACCTAGGTCAGTTCTGTTGACACTGGCTGGCAGCGGTTCTCCAAAGTTTCCAGAGGCAGGGGACATTCCCAGTCCTACAAAACAGGCGCTCTGCCACTAAACTACAGATAAGACTTGACCCTTGATCTAGCAGAGCTCTCTTATATAACTTAAGTTTCTGGCTCACAAGCACACTCCTCACTTTTCCAGAAGCTGTGACCACCACAATCATCTTCTGCAGGTTAAACTCATCCCGGGCCAAGTTGTCAATGTTGACTTCGTTCTTGATCTGGCTGCGGGGCTTACGGGCGTCGTAAAACATCTTCCAAAGGTGAGCGGTCCAGGCCTGGAGGAGGATGAGCTGAGAGGACAGGCGCTTCAGGAACATGCCCAGGAGACCATCTGGAAAGGGATAGAGAGAACGTGTCACACCCAAAAATTAAGCAGAGGTTAATATAGAGGGAAGAGCCTGTAGCATGACCAGACGAGCCACTGCACCAATTCAGCATTGCTCTTGCTTTCTCATATTCTTAACTTGGCTGACATTTCTGAGCCTCTCTAATAAAGAAAGCTTGAAGCTGTGTGAAATCCCTCATCCTCTTCCAAGCTTGGGAGAAGGACAGGCAATCTTGGACAGGGGACAAAGTTCCTCACTGCTGGCGAGCAGGAGAGCATGTTTGTGGAGCCGTGTGGTCCAGACAGCAAGCACAACTCAACAGGACCAAGGAAGCTCATGGAAGACAGATAGAGCCCCATAGATTGACACAGATCTCTCTCTCTCTCTCTCTCTCTCTCTCTCACACACACACACACACACACACACACCTTTCCAAAGCAAGATTGTGAAGAAAAGCAAGTGAAAAAGACAACTGGAGAATTACCTTGAATTGCTGGTTCCATGACAGCAAAAAAGACAAAGCAGAAAATATTTGAAATGTACTCACTGGAGTAAGAACAAAAGCCACAGTATCAGAGCTGTAACAACTAAGTTGTGGAACCTTCCCTGCAGAGATGATTTTGGCCCCTTCATTACACAGCTTTTGGAGAATGCTGAAGATGCGCCTCTTTACACCACCCCCACCCCAGCTTTTGACACATGAGATGAATATTTTAGGACCCACCTTGTTTTTGTAATTTTATCTTCTTAAAAGTTGTTCTTAATGTTGTGCTTTAACTGTTGTTACCTTTAGGGTCAAGGGTGAATAATAAATTGCAATCCACCTGTGCAACACTACCAAGCAGCCTTGTTGACCAGGAGGGTCTTGTGAGTTTCGACAGGACTGGGAAAGGGAAAGAAACACCACCTGTGGCTTTACCTGCTTTCTTCCCAAATTCACCCTCCAGCTCTGCCTGCGCGCCTGTCAGGGGAAGATCCACCATCTGCAAGCTGACCACTTCAGCCAAAGACTCTTCTCTGCTCCACAAAACTTTCCCTGCGGAGAAAAAACAAGAGATGCATAGGTAAAGGTAAAGGGACCCCTAACCATTAGGTCCAGTCATGGCCGACTCTGGGGTTGCGGCGCTCATCTCGCTTTATTGGCCGAGGGAGCCGGCGTACAGCTTCCGGGTCATGTGGCCAGCATGACTAAGCCTCTTCTGGCGAACCAAAGCAGCGCACAGAAACGCCGTTTACCTTCCCGCCGGAGCAGTACCTAATTATCTACTTGCACTTTGATGTGCTTTCGAACTGCTAGGTTGGCAGGAGCAGGGACCGAGCAACGGGAGCTCACCCCGTCGCGGGGATTCGAACCGCCAACCTTCTGAATGGCAAGTCCTAGGCTCTGTGGTTTAACCCACAGCGCCACCCGCGTGCATAGGCGGTCGTAAAAGGAAATATGGAGGGGGGCTGTATCCTGTGTTAGCGGAATCCAGTGTATCCAGTGTTAGCGGAAATGAATGAATCTTACTTAGCTCCATTGGTTAGAACAGGTCTACTCTGAGGCAGATGCCTCTCTTAGACTGCAATCCTAGAAACACTTGCTTGGAAAGACAGCCAGGGCTTCTAATTCTCCTTCTTAGGCCATTGGCAAAGCCAGCTCTCTGTCGTCCAGTTACCAGAAAGGTAAAGCTTGGAGTGTGGGGTAGTGGTTAGAATGTCAGACTAGCAAACTAAGAGACTGGGCCATGAAGCTCACCCCTACCTCTCAGAATAACTTACCTCACAGGGATTAAATGAGAGAGGGAACTGCATATGCCCCCTTGAGCTCTGTGGGGAATAAATTCAATAAATGAACTGTGCAACACAGCAGAAAGGTCACCTGGTTGCTGAAGGAAGGAGAGCATGTGATCCGCCGTCTGCACCAGGGCTCGGTAGCCCACGGAGTCATCTTTCTTCAGAAACACCTGAATGTAAAGCTGAAAGAAAAAGGGGGAAGGGGTGGATGGAGCATCAGGGTATCATGGTGCTGACCTTTAAAGCCTTAAACGGCCTCGGTCCTGTATACCCGAAGGAGCGTCTCCACCCCCATCATTCAGCCCAGACACTGAGATCCAGTGCCGAGGGCCTTCTGGCGGTTCCCTCATTGCAAGAAATGAGGTTACAGGGAACCAGACAGAGGGCCTTCTCGGTAGTGGTGCCCGCCCTGTGGAACGCCCTCCCTTCAGATGTGAAGGAAATAGGCAGCTATCTTCTCTTTAAAAGACATCTGAAGGCAGCCCTGTTTAGGGAAGTTTTTAATATTTAATGCTGTATTGCTTTTAACACTTGATTGGAAGCTGCCCAGAGTGGCTGGGGAAACTCAGCCAGATGGGCAGGGTATAAATAATTTATTATTTTATTTTATTATTATTATTATTATTATTATTATTATTATTATTATCAGCTTGCAGGATTAGCAAGATGTCCAACCAATCAAGGAAGCAACTTAGAGCTTTCTGAGAAGACTGCTAAGATTCTTGGTGTTGGTGTGGGTAGTTATATGATTGAGGCCTGTTGTTCATATTAACTTTATTTTGGAGGGGAAACTTGGATTGAATCCAACCAAGTTTTACTTAAGTTTAGGGAAGCTTTTAATGTTTGATGCATTACTGTATTTTAATATTTTGTTGGAAGCCGCCCAGAGTGGCTGGGGAAGCCCAGCCAGATGGGCGGGGCATAAATAACAAATAAATAAATAAGTGCAGACCTTTCAAAATTAATGGGCTTAAGTAGGTCATAATTTCACCGAGTCTACTTTGAGGAGAATTGAGAACTTAGGTCCATCAATTTCAATGGGTCCGCTCTGAGCTGCCCCCCCAATACAATTTGTGATTAATATATATAGTCTCGCCCACTGTGTTGCCTGTGGACAGCACAGAAAATTCAGACACCCACCAAGGCCCCTCTGCTCCCGCTCTCTCCCCAAGACCACTCCCCATACCTGTTCTGGCCTCGTAGAAGTTTTCTCCAAGGTGAAGCTGATAATGGTATCCAGCAGCCTCTGCCCAGTTTCAGCCAAGTACAGGTTAATTACGTAGGACTGGTTGTGGCAGGATAAGGATTCCTTAAGTGTCATTCAGAAGAAATTAAAAGAAAGGGGGGGTAGGATTTAATATTAAGGCCACCGTCATGCACGCAGTGTCACCACGAGCAACAGAGTAGCTACCTGACCCAAGGAGTGAAGATTGCGGTGGGGTGGGGTGCACAAAATACATTTAAACCCTAGCACTTTAAACCACACACTTCAAATGCAGGGTAAACCTGGTTCAGACATAATGGAAAACCATGGTTTCCTGTCCCAAGAACGAGCCTACATGAATCAAAGGGTCATGCTCTCACCCTCCTTGCTCCTCCTTTGCATGCAAGGAAAGATTGAAAACATCTGCTTTTATAATTATTAATAGCTCCCCACTGTGCACAAACTCAGGAAACTGTGGTTTGTTCTAACTCAGTTGAGTTTTTTTTAAAAACAAAGGTATTGAAGCATGGCTTGATCCCAATTTGTTCTAACTCGCCACAGTTGGAACTAACCACAGGTCCTTGCATTGGTGTACAACGGCCTCGGTCCTGTATACCTGAAGGAGCGTCTCCACCCCCATCACTCAGCCCGGACACTGAGGTCCAGCGCCGAGGGTTTCTGGCGGTTCCCTCACTGTGAGAAATGAGGTTACAGGGAACCAGGCAGAGGGCCTTCTCGGTAGTGGCGCCTGCCCTGTGGAACATCCTCCCAACAGATGTCAAGGCAATAAGCAACTATCTTACTTTCAAAAGACATCTTAAGGCAGCCCTGTTTAGGGAGGTTTTTAATGTTTAATGCTGTATTGTGTTTTTAATATTCAGTTGGGAGCCTCCCAGAGTGGCTGGGTAAACCCAGCCAGATAGGCGGGGTATAAATAATAAATTATTACTACTACTACGGCGAACTGCCCTTGGCTCTAAAACCAAAGTAAAGGTAAAGGGACCCCTGACCATTAGGTCCAGTCGTGGCCGACTCTGGGGTTGCGGCGCTCATCTCGCTTTACTGGCTGAGGGAGCCGGCATACAGCTTCCAGGTCATGTGGCCAGCATGACTGAGCCACTTCTGGCAAACCAGAGCAGCGCACGGAAACAACATTTGCTTTCCCGCTGGAGCGGTACCTATTTATCTACTTGCACTTTGACATGCTTTTGAACTGCTAGGTTGGCAGGAGCAGTGACCAAGCATCGGGAGCTCACCCCGTCGTGGGGATTCGAACCACCGACCTTCTGATCAGCAGGTCCTAGGCTCTGTGGTTTAACCCACAGCGCCACCCACGTCCTTAAAACCTCTTCTTTCAGATGGGAAAGGAGAGGGGAAAGTGTGCAGACCCAAGGCTTGTGCTACCTCATGGTCATAAGGCCATAACATAAGGCCAAGGTTTCCTGTTACACTTGAAATCATAGTTTTTGCTTACTACAGATGTGAACCTAGACCATTATGCTGAGCTTCCAAACTTAGGACAGGAAGTGCCGCCTGCTTCCATTTTCCATCAGCTTCAGAAGTTCACTCCTGTCTCCATGGTCATTAAGGCAAAAGGACAGTTCTCACCGTAGCTTGTCAATGGATGGTGAACACAGACGTACCAACAAACCACAGTCAGGACAAATCATGCTGTGCTATGCTGATTTGGTGGCCTCTCTCAAACCATAGATTGTGAGCTGACATGAGGTCAGAGGTGAGTGGCGAGTTCATGGCAGGCCAGATTTGACCTGGGGACTTTGCGAGCCATAGCTCAGCCTCTCAGCCACTGCACAACCTTAGCTCTGGCGCCTGGGTGTTCACATCCTTCCAAGTGTCAGACGCATTATCATCTGCCATGTTGCAGTTGGTAAGGGGGATGATAATGCAGGCCTACTTTACACGGTTGTTGTGTGGATCACAAGATAATCCACATGCAGCACTCTGAGCATTTGAAACCACTATAAATAGCATCCATTTAAGCTACTACTTAATTTGTTGTTATTTAAAAAACAAAGCAATAATGCCCTCTTTGAACTCACCAGTATTTTGGCTCACAAGAAGACCTAATTTCAGAGTGTGGGCAATTGCCTTCTGCAATTTTATTCTTTAACACAAAATAAGTCTACCACAAGGTTTCCAAAGTCACACAGTGGGAGAATCTCAGGTAACAAGAATGAACAAACCAAGATATAAAACAAGACTAGCTGCCTCCTTTCACACAAACCAGCAAACCAACTACGAAGCTGTCAGCTATAGTTCAGCCCTCCCCAACTTGGTGCCCTCCAGATGTTTCAGACTACAGTACCCATCAGCCCAAGTAAGCATGCTTGTGCTGCCCAGGGCTGTGGTCCAGCTGCCTTTCCTGTTTCCTGCAATCTGAGAAATTATGGTTAACAGCTTCTGTAACAAGCCAGGACACTAAACCATGGTTTGCAGTTGACTTCATATCCTGGCTCATCCCAGAGCTATTAACTATAGTTACTGATTCAGAGAAAATGGGTAAGTTAAATTAAAGACATCCCCATTTGTTTGCTGGCTCACACTGAGAGAGAAGGGAAGTTGCCAAAATGTTTGTATCTCAGCTTATTAAAAGTAGAGAGACGATTGCCTGAATGCAGACAAGTAATCACACTGCAGCAACAAAAGCCAGCATGATCCTGAGGAAGTCGAGGGCATTTCAGGGACAAGCCAAGCTTCTGATTTCACCCAACATGTCACCCTCAAACTTACCACTTCGGCCTTGCAGGTGAGGACCGCGGCTACCGTTTTCTCGTTGGTGGTTGCGAAGGTCACGAGGACAGCCTGAGAAATGCAGCAGTGAGAGAATGAATAAGGAAAACGCTCCAGGAAGAAACACTGTGCTTGGTGGGGTGAGAGGTGCACTTAGATAAAAGTTCCCTTGGGTGACCCTGGCCTAGGAGCTTAGGCAATAAACCTGAGCTTGAACATCAGACTACAGGAGGACTGGCTGCCTACTGAAAAATCCCTGCACTGAGTCACATCACCAGCTCACCCTGCTCAGATCTTCCTCTTACAGAGACAGAGTTCCCAAGGTTTCGAGCAGAGAGGGATTTCGATAACATAAGGAAGCTGCCTTATACTGAATCAGACCCACTGGTCCATCTAGTTCAGTATTGTCTGCACTAGCTGGCAGTGGTCCTTCAGGGTTTTAGAAAGCGGGACATTCCCAGACCTACTTGGAGATGTCAGAGATAGAGCCTGGGACCTTCTGCATGCAAAGCAGATGGGCTGTAGTTACCGTATTTTTCACCCTATAGGGCGCACTTTTTCCCCTCCAAAAATGAAGGGGAAATGTATGTGCGTCCTATGGGGCGAATGCAGGCTTTCGCTGAAGCCTGGAGAGCGAGAGGGGTTGGTGCACACCGAACCCTCTCGCTCTCCAGGCTTCAAGAAGCTATCCCCAAGCCTTAGGAGCCCGCCGGAGTTCCTGCCGGGCTCCCATGGCTTTTGGAGAACTGCCTGCATCCCGAAGCCTGGGGTGCGCTGAGCTTAGCGCGCCCCAGGCTTCGCGCAGCTCTGCACAAGCCGTGGGAGCCCGGCGCTGCCTGCATCCCTGTGCCTGCATCCCCCGCCCCAGCCCCGTGCCTGGGGGAGAAATAATTTTTTTTCTTTATTCCCCCCCCAAAAAACTAGGTGCGCCCTATGGGCCGGTGCGCCCTATGGGGCGAAAAATATGGTATGTGGGAGAACTTCTCAAACCGACTGCCCCTGATCTTTTTAAAACAGGTGTCCTGGAGCCTTCTGCAGCAGAGATGCGGAAACCTGTCACCTTCCAGGCATTGCTGGGCTCCATCATCATCCCTGGCCACTGGCCATGCTGTCTGGGCCTGATGGGAGTTGTAGTCCAACATCCTCTAGGTCGCCACAGGTTCCCTACCCACTAACTAGACCATCACTTACGTTTACAGGTGGGTTACTGCCATCACAGCTCTGCCTTCTTTTAATGTAGGGATGTGAAGCTTGTGATCTTCCAGAATTTACTGGACTACAACTCCCACCATCCCACCTGCCAGCATGACCAATCATTGGAGCTGATGGGAGTTGGAGTCCAACAATCTCTGGAGGATGACAGGTTCCTCATTCCTGATCTATGGAGAGATCACGCACACTGCGCTACAGCCCTTTCTCAATGTACATCTGCGGAGAGTTGGTAACATTCCTCAAAGGGACTGGCTTTTAACAGGTAAACATCAAGGTGTTGGCACTGCAGCAACAGCTTCTCCTCTTCATTTTTCCTTTTTAAAAATAATAGTAGTAGGGCACCATTTCCTTTTACCTGCGGAAAATCCCGGAGGAGGCTCAGTACGCCGTTCCGATGCTGGAGCAGCGCAAAGTGGCTTGGAGACAGCTGCAGGAAGAACTGGGTGCGGGAAGCGCTGGCGGAATTGGGCTGAGAGGAAAGCAAACGGGGGCGGAAGCCGCTGGCAAACTCCAGACCAAGGGACTGTGGAGGGGGGAAGAGGTGGAGGCAAGTCAGGCAAACGTGAGATGTAAGAGGAGGTATACGGCCTCAGTCCTGTATACCTGAAGGAGTGTCTCCACCCCCATCGTTCAGCCCAGACACTGAGATCCAGCGCCGAGGGCCTTCTGGCAGTTCCCTCACTGCGATAAGCCAAGTTACAGGGAACCAGGCAGAGGGCCTTTTCGGTAGTGGCGCCCGCCCTGTGGAACGCCCTCCCATCAGATGTCAAGGAAATAAGCAGCTATCCTATCTTTAAAAGACATCTGAAGGCAGCCCTGTTCAGGGAAGTTTTTAATATTTAACACTGTACTGTTTTTAACACTTGATTGGGAGCCGCCCAGAGCGGCTGGGGAAACTCAGCCAGATGGGCGGGGTATAAAGAACAAATTATTATTATTATTATTATATAGAAGAGCCCTGTAGCATCCAGCGGCCAACCAAAGGATGCCTCTGGGAATCGGAAGCAGGACCAGAGAGCAACAACAGCTCTCCCCGTTTGCCTCCGGCAGTGGAGAGAGAATATAGCCACTGATGGCCCTATTCCCCATGGATTTGTGTAATCCAAATTGGTATCCATTGCTACGCAAGAACATTGGATCAGACCACTGGCCCATCTGGCCCAGCACCCTGTTCTCACAGTTACCCACCAGTTGCCTCAATGGGAAACCAGCAACTGGGATATGGGCACAACAGCACTCTGCCATGTGCAATTCCCAGCACCTGGGATTCAGAGGCAAATGGCCTCCAACAGGGGAATTTGCCTAATCCTAGCTGACAGCTATCACTACATCCTATAACGTAAAAGCATGGGCCCTGAAGCTAGATCTGGTCAAATACTCATCTAAGCCAGCATCTGGTTCTTGCAGTGGTCAACCAGAAGTCTTAAAAGGATGCCTGAATGGAAAGGCAGAACTTTCTCTGCTTGTGATTTCCAACAACTGGTTGGTACTCAAAGGCCTCGGACTACAGGGGTAGAGCACAGCTGTCGTGGTTTGCAGCCATTGATAGCCATTCTCCTCCTCCATGGAGGCTATCCATGTTATTGAACTTCCCACAGGGGTTCGCTGACACAGATGGTGCAGCGTCAAAAAGACGGGAAAATCAGCTGCGTTACAAAAGCCACTGGAAGAGCACAGCTGAATCTAGCCCAATAAGTCATCACAACGCAGAGCTCTGATCTCACCAAACTCTGTGCACAGAATCTGAGCACAGCAGCAATCGCCCGACTTGGGGATTCCCAGTAAATGCGCTTTCTGGAAAAAACTGGGGACATTTTTGTCCTGACAGGTTTTCCCAGATAACTAAATGGGTCTTTATCAAGAGTAGCCACTTGTTAGGTTTTTAGTCTTGTTTTGAATGCATCTTTAAACAAAAACCAAAACAAAATCTGTTTTTAACTACAGTGGAACCTTGGCTCCTGAACAGAATGCGTTCCGGGAGTCCATTCGACTCCCAAAATGGTTTGGGAACCAAGGCGCGGCTTCTGATTGGCTGCAGGAGCTTCCTGCAGCCAATCGGAAGCAGCGCTGGATGTTCGGCTTCCAAAGAATGTTCAAAAACTGAAACAATCACTTCCGGTTTTCAATCATTCAGGATCCGGAATGTTCAGCTCCCAAGGCGTTCACGAGCCGAGGTTCCACTGTATCATGTATGTCAATTGCCTTGAGAGTAATGTTTAGAAGGCAATTAATAAATCAAAGGTATTATGATTATTAACTGGCATTCAGAGGAGGCACACTACCTCCAACAGGGGAAGGAGATCATAGCTGCCATAGCTAGTAACCCTTCAGATACTCCAAGTTGAAAGCCAAACCCATCCAAAGTTACCAGCCTGCTTCCTAGACCCCCTCACCTGCAGTGGAATCTGCTTCACCTCTTCCCCCAAATCCAGGGACAAGGCATAGAGTGAGTGAGTGGCTGAGTCGGCGCACAAGAGGACTCCCTCTCCGACCACACCACAAGCTCCATTCAGAGTCCTTGCCCAAGGGGCTGCCACCCTGACCTGCAGAAGGAAAAAAGTGTTGAGAAACTGGATTCGCATCCCCAACAGCAGCTCCCTTCACCACCACACACAGCAGAGACATTTTCATTAAGAGTCTAAATATTGATATAATATGCTGCCCAATTTATCAAGGGCACCTGTTGCTGTTTTTCCTTTTTAGTCAATCAAAAGGTTTTGTGACGATTCAGCGGTGCCAACACGGTGCCCTTGAGATGATGCTGGACCACAGCTCCCATAATCCCTGACAGTTGGTCAAACTGTCTGGGGCTGAGTCCAACAGGCAGATAGATGGCCGCAAGTTCCTTGTCCTTGAACTCTTGCTTTTGCTGCCCCTCAGCTAGCTCCCTCCATCCCTTGCCTTTACTGTCCCCAGCTACCTCTGCCTTCTTTTAATATAGGGATGGAGAGCCTGTGGTTCCTCTGGATGTTGTTGGGACTACAACCCCTGTTATCCCTGACCACTAACTGTGCTGGCTGGGTTGATGGAAGCTGGGAGTCCAATCACCTCTGGAGTGCACAGTTACAGTTTACTAACCCATTTGATTAAACACTGCAGTGCTAAAGGTAAAGGTAAAAGGACCCCTGACCATTAGGTCCAGTCGTGACTGACTCTGGGGTTGCGGCGCTCATCTCGCTTTATTGGCCGAGGGAGCCATCATACAGCTTCCGGGTCATGTGGCCAGCATGACTAAGCTGCTTCTGGCGAACCAGAGCAGCACACGGAAACGCCGTTTACCTTCCCGCTGGAGCGGTACCTATTTATCTACTTGCACTTGGACGTGCTTTCGAACTGCTAGGTTGGCAGGAGCAGGGACCGAGCAACGGGAGCTCATCCCGTCGTGGAGATTCGAACCGCCGACCTTCTGATCGGCAAGTCCTAGGCTCTGTGGTTTAACCCACAGCGCCACTCGCGTCCCTGCTAAAGGTAAACGTAAAGTCGTGACCGACTCTGGGGTTGCGGCTCTCATCTCGCTTTATTGGATGGAAGCTGGCAGTCCAATCACCTCTGGAGTGCACAGTTACAGTTTACTAACCCAATTGATTAAACACTGCAGTGCTACTCAGGAATAATTCTCACAGGGGTCAGTCAAGTTCACCCTCAAGTAAGCACACACAGAATCACAGCCTTAAATCTGCAAATTTCCCAAATGCCATCCTCCCTCCTGGAGAAAAAAGTAAGCAAAAACCCAGCTTTTCGCGAGGAAACAGAAATCCCATTCTGAGCCCAGACCTTATCCTACCTGTCTTGTGATCTCTCCATCCTCAACGCTGAAGGTTACGATGCTGAAGTGGCTTTGAGGACTGACTCCAACTGCGTGCACCGACCCTGTCCCGTGGGAATACACCAGCTGATACTGGACAACCTCACTAGCAAGGAATATCAGAAGTTGATTAAGTCAGCCGGCTGTCACCACAAGTCTTTGGGGGACGGGGGAAGGTAGAGCTTGGAAGCTCCAGGCTTGCTCCAGGATCTACGTGGTCACCTTCCAGCCTACCAGCAAAGCAGCCCCGAGGAAGCATAACAAGAGCAGCTGCCCCTTGTTTACCCCCAGAACCTAGTAATCAGTGGTAGGCTGCCCCTGAACATGAAGGTGCAACCTTCAGTAATAAATGTCTTCAGATTTACATGGAATGACAACTCATATCCAATGATCAGGCTGCTGGAGATGTTACTTCCACAGGCAAAACAGCACCATATGCACATCACCAGACTGGGGGGCACCCAAAGGTTTGTAGAAGTACCAAAAAAAGAGGGGGGACTTAAGTTGAGGAGAAGGGAGCCCCAAGATCAGACCAATGAGGACTGTGAGCATGGAAAGTTGACCGATTAGCTGATCAGAAGGCAGATAAAACAGAAAACCGTGAGAGGAGGGTGGAGGAGGTGGAAGAGAATGGAGCAGCTGGAATATATAGGAAAGGGTCTTACAGCAAGTCAAAACCACTGGTCTGGCTAGCTAGCATTGCCTACACTGACCAGCAGCAGCTCTCCAGTGTTTCAGGTGGAGGACATTCCCAGGCCTACCAGGAGATGAATCTGGGACCTTCCGCATGCAAAGCAGGTGCTCTGTCAACAGCTACGGCCCTTCCCGTGTGTTTTCGTATCCCACTTGTTCTTGTTTAACTGATCCATCCCAATGTGCATAAGAAGAACCTAAAGGCCCTTGAGGAATCTAAATTCTGAATAAGCAGAATCAACACCCCATTTGCAGACCCCGTTTGCCTCCTATGAAGACAATGACCTAATGATTTTCTGCCTGTGTGGGAGCGTAATTTATTTGGGGGGGGGTATGGCAGAGCACTTAGCTACTTGGGTCTATTATTTCCCAACCCTTCCAGGAGATGGATTGAACCTAGGACATTCTGCATGCAGAGCAGGTGTTCTACCACTGAGCTACAGCCCCTCCCTGAACCAGAGACGAGCACGGCCCACGATCACCTCCTACCTTTCTGGCAAATGCTCTAACCACTTCTGATGGCCGTTGGAGAGGTAGTGAAGAGAGAGCACGTTCTTCTTCAAGATGGCTACGTGTTTCACCATGTCCTGAAGTCCCACCAAACTAGCCATCTGAAAACTTGAACAGTCAGACACACAAATGGTTTATTACAGCCACAGACCAAGAGAACTCACCGCAGAATTACAAACACAACTAGCTAAAACAATTATGACTAGAGGATGAGATTCATTTTGTTTCACAAAACTGATACGATGCCTGACCGCAGAAACAAACCTCAAAGTAGTTTATGAAAAGAACAAAAGAATGGAATTATAAGGGAAGGGCGGGGAAGCCAATTAAAAACAGCTATTGAAAACATTCCAAAATAATTAAAACCAACAATAAGTTAAAAGCCAGATTAAAACAGGCACCAGCGTTCTATATGCCTGGATAGGCCAGCCTAAACAAGTGTGCTTTTAGCAGGCCCCAAAAAGAGAAGAGTGAAGGTGTGTGCCTAATGTTAATCAGCAAGGAGTTCCGCAGTGTGGGTGCTGCCACACTAAAAGAGCAATTTCTAAAAAATGTGGAACAAGTATTATGTGGCTTCTGCAAAAGTGCCAGTTCCATAGATTGGAGCCAGTATGGTGTAGTGGTTAAGAGCGGTAGTCTCGTAATCTGGGGAACCGGGTTCGCGTCTCCGCTCCTCCACATGCAGCTGCTGGGTGACCTTGGGCCAGTCACACTTCTCTGAAGTCTCTCAGCCCCACTCACCTCACAGAGTGTTTGTTGTGGGGGAGGAAGGGAAAGGAGAATGTTAGCCGCTTTGAGACTCCTGAAGGGGAGTGAAAGGTGGGATATCAAATCCAAAACTCACTCTCTCTCTCTCTCTGGAGCGGTCAAGTGGGCTTGTATGGGGTAAGGTAAGGTGATCTCACAAGCAAACTGGTCCCAAGTCACTCAGGGCTTTATTTATTAAAAGTAACAACTTGAGCTTGGTCCGGTAGCAAATCGGCAACCAGTGCAGGTCTCTACAAATGTACTTCTTTTTTCCAAGGAACAGACAAAATACTACACCTTATTTATGCTGAAGTCAGAAAGCTTTCTGCAACCCTTTCAATAAAATGGGAAGAAGCATCCCTCAAGCAAAAGAACATAACGTCTACAGAAGATTTTCCAGGGAAAGAGTTCTTAATCGTGGGAGAATCAACCTCTGTATACACTCACAATGCAGAGGAAGAACATGATCAACGGGACCCTACATATGGTGTTTAAAAATCTGCCATTACCCCCCAAAAGGTTGTAAACGAGTTCCCCAACATTCCACCCACCCACCCAAAATTCTCACCTGCCAGCATCCATCGATATCTCCCAGTTCAAGCCCCCGATGTTGGTCTCCCAGGAGCGCAGGAGGCGACCACCATTGGAGACAGTGATGGCATCTATATGATGGGGTGGTGAAAACAGCCAGTATATTATAAGTACCCACAAACAGAGCTCAGAAGAAGCGTATCCCTCCTTCATAATAAAGAGGTGGTGAATCTACACCTGACTTTCCTCATTTTGTTTTGGAACAAGCAAGGCCTGCAGCCACTCCGTCTCATCCATTTGTGTTCAACTCTATAGAACGGGACGAAGAACACAGGACTCTCCCCAGGACATACCCTATCCTGGACCAGCTCAGCACCCTCCTTGAGGGATTTATATGACTGCAATTATGTCCTTGGACTCCTATAATGGTTCTTGCATGCCCAGACAAAGGATAAAGAGAGGCATATGCGTGTGTGTGTGTAGAAACCAGACTGTGCTAAGGTAAAATTCACACTTGTTGCTCTGCCCACTTTTGACTCAGTAGGGAATGCAGGCCTCAAGTGAAAAAACAAGGCTCCCTGCCCCTATTGTAAAACAGCCAAGGACTTGCTGGGCTCATAGTTTTGTCTCTCAACTCTCAGTCTTCCCTTTACCCCAGTATGGCTCCCCTTTATCACATACACAGCCCAACAAGACAATGACAATAATCCACCAACAGCATACAAATCAATATGGCTAACCTGATCCAAAACACCCACAGCCAATCACAAACAACCAACCACACCCTAGGCCAACCCCAACCTCTCTCACCACCAAAGGAACACAAGTGAACAGCACAAGCAACGCTGACACCAAACCCTACATACATTAAGCATAATAGAAACATCACCACCCTACCCCACCCCACCCCATCTTCCCTCCCTCCACCCCCCTTTTTTATTCTCCCCGTAACGTCTCAACAAATGAAACGGATTAGTAAAAATGTTACATGGAAAAAATACGAGAGACATTACACTTACTTCTGTAAAACAAGAAAATCTTTAATAATAATAAAAAAGAAAGAACTCTCAGTCTTCCTTTCTGTAAAATGAGAACACTCAAAGAACCAGAATTTGTGGGGAGGTGAGATCGTTAAGAAATATTATGGCCAGCACTACAGACCTAATAACTCAGCTAGAATACAAATGCTTCACTTACCTTGTCCATGGATCAGCATTGCATCTATCGCTCCTTCAGGAGTTCCTTTGTCCACGTGGCGCCACACTTAAAAAGAAACAGGAGTCCGATGAACAGAGGAAGCTACATTTCAAGGGTTGGGGCATTTTGTCTAATAGCACCCATTCCTCCCAGAATTGCAGGGTTTGATGGGACCCAAGGACCATGTAGTCCAACCCTTTGAAATGCAAGAATCGCAGCTCAAGAATCCCTGACAGATGGCCATCCAACCTCTGCTTAAAAACCTCCAAGGAAGGAGAGTCCACAACCTCCCAAGGGAACCCGTTCCCCTGTCAAACCACTCTTATAGGCAGAAAGTTATTCCTGATGTTTAGTCAGAATCCCCTTTCTTGTAACTTGAAGCCATTGGTTTGAGTCCTACCCTCCAGAGCAGGAGAAAACAAGCATGTTCCCTCTTCCATCCGACAGCCCTTTAGATACTTGAAGATGGCTATCGTATCCCCTCTCTGTTTCCTCTTTCCCAGACTAAACATTCCCAGCTCCTTCAACCGTTCCTCATAAGGCTTGGTTTCCAGACCCTTGATCAACTTGGTCGCTCTCCTCTGCACACGATCACACTTGTCAATATCCTTCCTAAATTGTGGTGCTCAGAACTAGACACTGTGTTCAGATGTGGTCTGGCCAAGGCAGAATAGAGTGGTACTGTTACCATTAGCCTAATGCACTCAGAGCAAATACCGTATTTTTTGCCCTATAGGACACACTTTTTCCCCTCCAAAAATGAAGGGGAAATGTGTGTGCATCCTATGGGGTGAATGTAGGCTTTCGCTGAAGCTTGGAGAGCGAGAGGGGTCGGTGCGCACCAACCCCTCTCGCTCTCCTGGCTTCAGGAAGCTATCCGCAAGCCTGGGGAGCCCGCGGGAGTTCCCGCTGGGCTCCCCAGGCTTGCGGATAGCAGCCTGCATCCCGAAGCCTGGGGCGCACTGAGCAGCGCGCCCCAGGCTTCGGGCAGATATCCACAAGACTGGGGAGCCCGGCGGGAGTTCCCACCGGGCTCCCAAGGCTTGCGGATAGCAGTCTGTTCTGGGGGCTGGGGTCGGGGGAAGCTCAGGCTTCGCCCGCCCCAGCCCCGCCTATGGGGGGGAAATTAATTTTTTTTATTCCCCCCCCAAAAAAAACTAGGTGCACCCTATGGGCCGGTGCGCCCTATAGGGCGAAAAATACGGGTACTCCACATGCGAAGTTGCCTTAGTCTGAGTTGCACATCCACTCAAGCCCCTGCTCCTCATGCAGAGGTTATCACCAATGTGTCTATCAGAGCAATAGGTATAAACAGGCCCTGTCCTGTCCACTGCCTAAGAGATACTCACAGATGTCTCCTGTCCTGGAGTTCAGAGCAGCCATCACATTCTTCTCGGTGGCCACAATGAGCTTCCTGGAGCCCTGCGAAGCTTCCAAGGAGGCAAACTTAAGCTTTCCCACATATTGCTGTCTCCTATTAGAAACACAAAGGGGTGTATTTTTGTTCTAAAAATAATGAAGAGCACACAGCAGAAAGCAGTGAAATAATGTGGTCAGTTCTGTCAGGCACCGAACATTTAATGCAAAACTTCACGCAACTTTCAAAATAATCCAGATTTGCTATGTAAACCACTTTGAGTCTCTGTTAGGGAAAAAGGTGGGATACATACATACATGCATAAATAAATATTAACATTAGGCAACATCAAAGAACGGAGGGTCTGCAATCAATCAATCAATTATGGGGGTTTGAACTAGGAGTGACTGATCAGGGGTTCTCTTTCCCTCCACCAGCTTATATTAGAAACCTCCCTCCCTCATATCAGCACTTCCTGTGGCGGGGAGTTCCGCAGGTGAGGTCAGTTCGGCCTGTCACCCACCAGTCAAACTTGCCCACTTGGTCCTCGTAAACGGCGTCCGCTGGGTGAGGCGAGAGCAGGAGAAACAGCTGGAGTGACAGCAAAGGCCACAGAAACCAGGACGCCGCCATGACAGGCCGGGGAGACTTGGGGGGGGGTCAAGAGAGGGAAGGAGGCCCTCGCTATCCCATCGGGCACCGCCGCACCATAGAGCTTCCGGGACCATAGAGAGCAGCTCCTAGGCCTTCTGCCTCCATAGAGATATGTAATGAGAAGAGTTAGAGTGACCCCTCAGTGATCTGGAGGCAACAGTTTCGAAGCCCCTTGAGACTTCCCCCCCTCCCTTCGCACGCAGAGGGCGGAGAATGTGATAAATATATAAACATTGTAATTATTATTCTTTTAACCACACCTGTATCTGCCACCCAGAAGCAAAAGCGAACTACAAAGGGTGTGGGAATAGTTCCTGCTCAATAAGAAATCAAGATAGCATTTTTTTTTTTACAAAAGAATGTACTTAAATGGTTTATTGAATATTTACAGGTAAATTATAAACAGATAAAAACATTGGCAGGGTTGTTGTAATAATCTGCAGTTCTGTAAGAGTATATATTTAAAGAAGATGAATAAATGAGTAAATTAAGTTAATTTGGATAGGCAGAAGATATTAAAAACAAATTTAAAGAACCGCAGAAAGAGGGGGAAGGAAGTTTTGAAATGTCAAAATGATGGTAAAATTAGTTAAATGTATAAAATAAGTGAAATGTATGAACTGGAAAAGTATAAATAAAGAAATGGAGAAAAAATAGTTCCTGCTGATTTAGGTCCGATGTGGGATAGAAATGTTTAAAAGCATTATTAATTAGCAGCAACATGGATTATTATCAGAGCGACCCGAAGGCTCAGCTGAGGATTTAACCTGGAACTTTCTGCGTGGAAAGCTGGTGGAGATGGTTGTCCAAAGTCAACCCAGAAGTTGAACCTCCAGGGCGCATCTTCCTTTCAAACTCTATGTGACAGAGACCGTCAGGCCCTGAACGGAAGCAGCCCCGGGGTCCTGCCTATGACGAGAAGCCACCCGAGACAGCGCGAGGACCCCTCTCGGGACTGTCTACTCAAATCGCCTGATTACAAAAAAACCTGATGCGCCTCGTTCAGCCCGTCTTATAGCTCAGTTTAATTAGCCGAGAAGGTCGTCTTCGACGGCGGTTGCGGAGACCTGAGAGGGAAGGGTTCCTACTGGCGAGTCGGGCGTCTTTTTGGTCGCCTACGTCCTTCCCATCAGCCCCCGCGCCGAGCAGCAGCAGGAAGAAGGCGCAGAACCCACGTGTTGGACAAGATGCCCAAGTCCAAGCGGGACAAGAAGGGTGAGTGATGCCGCAGGTCCTCAAGGAGGGTTTCCCTACGCACCTATGTATTTCCCACACACACACACCTATGTATGCCTAGTTTCCAGAGCTTTATGTTTGGAAGCTGTGGCTGGATGGTGTTGTAAACAAAAATTGCCCTTTTCCCTTATCGGGTATCCAAGAGCCCATATAGAGTCCTTACATAGGACTCTATTGGTAGGAGAAAATAACAGAGGCCAACCAGAGACTATTGAGAAGCAAAGCAGCTAGTAAGCTTGATCTTTATTGATCTGTTGCAACAGGGTGCTCCCCTCACGTGCAGGAAAGGAGGAGGACCCAGAAAAATAGTGTGCAAGGCCTTATAAAGACTTTTGAAATTCCCATCCTGTAGATCAAGACCACCCCCAGAAACATCAGACATGCATCACAGAAGGGGTGTAACCTAAGACCACCCCTCAGATACATCACACCTACATCACAGAAAAGGCGGTCTTAACAGGTATCTGGGGGGTGGTCTTAGGTTACACCCCTTCTGTGATGTATGTATGATGTTTCTGGGGGTGGTCTTGATCTACAGGGTGGCAATTTCAAAAGTCTTTATAAGGCCTTTTGCGCTATTGTTCTGGGTTTCCTCCTCTCTCCTGCGTGTGAGGGGAGCACCCTGTTGCAACAGATCAATAAAGATCAAGCTTACTAGCTGCTTTGCTTCTCAATATTCTCTGGTTGGCCTCTGTTATTCTCTCCTATCAATAGGGAACCTACGTAAGGACTCTGTAGGGGCTCTTGGATACCCCATAAGGGAAAAGGGCAATTTTTGTTTACAACAGAAGCTATACCTATACTGTATTGCCGTGATATTGTCCCTTATTGTTTTAATGAGGGGGCTGGTGCCATGTTGCTTTTGTTGTGACTTTATGGTTTTAATAGGCTAGGATTAGACTGAGGGGATAGCTCAGTCGGTAGAGCATGAGACAACTTAGTCTCAGGGTCGTGGGTTCGAGTCCCATGTTGGGCAAAAGATTCCTGCATTGCAAGGGGTTGGACTAGATGACCGTTGTGGTCCCTTCCAACTCTACAGTTCTATCTGTAGCAGTGGTTCCAAACCTTTTTTGGCCAGGCCCCACCTAAGCATCTCTGAAATCCTGATTACCCCCCCCCCATGACATGTAATTCTTATTACAGCGGTTCCTCGGGTTACAGACGCTTCAGGTTACAGACTCCGCTAACCCAGAAATAGTACCTCGGGTTAAGAACTTTGCTTCAGGATGAGAACAGAAATCGCGCGACGATGGCAGTGGGAGGCCCCATTAGCTAAAGTGGTGTCTCAGGTTAAGAACGTTTTCAGGTTAAGAATGGACCTCCGGAACGAATTAAGTTCTTAACGCTAGGTACATTTGTATTCAAAAAGTGAGCTCCTATTCAAGTGGTAAAGGTAAAGGGACCCCTAACCATTAGGTCCAGTTGTGACCGACACTGGGGTTGTGGCGCTCATCTCACTTTATTGGCCAAGGGAGCCGTGGAGGAAGCCTAAAAGGCCATTAACTGTTAGTAGCTCATTCTCGAATTGCCCCCCTGTGGGGCATGTGCCCCACTTTGGGAACCACGGATCTATAGTGTTGTTGTTTGGATCCATCTATCTTAGGAGATAGTGGAGGAGTGTGCTTTTGGGGGTGGAGCCACTGGAGAGTTACAGCGCCTGCTGTGGCTGTAGAGATTGATACAGGAGAATCGTATTTTGTTTCAGGTGGGGTAGATGAAGGCACCTGCTTGTGCTGCTGCAGATGCACCAGGCATTTCGTCTCTCTGCGCTCCTCCCAGCAGTCATTCCTCCCGTGGTCACTGCTATGGATGCACAGCCTGAGTGCCTGTCTTCAGGCACTGCGGGTCCTTTGCAAAGGATTCCCACACAGCGGAGTTGATGTTGCCAGCCTTGTGTCATGTTTGCAGACATCTTTGTGATGCAGAGTTGGTCTGCCAATGGGTCTGGTGCTGGAAGCTGGCTCCCCAAAGTACTGTATTTTTTGCTCTATAAGACTCACTTTTTCCCTCCTAAAAAGTAAGGGAAAATGCATGTGCGTCTTATGGAGCAAATGCAGGCTGCGCAGCTATCACAGAAGCCAGAATAGTAAAAGGGATTGCTGCTTTCACTGCGCAGCGATCCCTCTTGCTGTTCTGGCTTCTAAGATTCAGAATATTTTTTTTCTTGTTTTCCTCCTCCAAAAACTAGGTGCGTCTTGTGGTCTGGTGCGTCTTATAGAGCGAAAAATACGGTATCTTGCCATCTTCCATTCTGTGGACATGGCCAAGCAAGCGTGGATGTTGCTGAGACAGGAATGCAAACATGCTAGGGATGGGGGTTTGGGAGAGCACATCTTTGTTTGAAATTCTCTCCTGCCATTCAATACCCAAAAAGTGTGTGTTCGTATTATATATAGTTTTAATTCTGTTAATGCTTCATTGTCCTTTAATTATTGTTTCCCACCCCCCTATGTTTTTAGCTGATCTTATTTCTATCTGCAATCCGCCTTAAGTCCCTGTCAGGGAAGAATGCAATGTATAAATAAATATATAATGATGATGATAATAGCCTGATTTACCATGACTGCGACAATTGCTGCAGGGTAAAGCAATAAGTCAAATATAACACTGAGTGAAATGTCAAGTTTGCACAAACTCCAGGTTTGCTCCGAAACTGCCTTAACTAGGCTCTCCCTGTGGCTGCCCAGCTGGTGTGCCATATGGAACTGAATCTCTTTCTTCTTCCTTCCAGTCTCTTTGACAAAAACCACCAAAAAAGGATTAGAAGTTAAACAGAGCTTAATAGAAGAGGTAAGCAACATTGTAAACTATGACTCTGATCCCGTGTGAAAAATTGCTTTGGAGAAAGGGCTTGGGATTATGTCGCAATTTAGAGTCACGTAAATGCAGAGTCTTGAAGGAATTTTTATTTTTCTCCCTGTCTTAGAACAGAAACCACAAAAAGTAAAATGAGGCCATAATATAAAATGGCAGAAGCAATATAATGATAACATAACCACCTCACCCCAAAAACAGAAATGTTAAAGGTCACTTCCTTCATTCGGAATCTTGAAGGCTGTTTCTGTTTAGAGAATATATTCTTCTTACATTCTGACTTCTAAACTTCTTCATCTCCAGCTGCGGAAATGTGTGGACACCTACAAGTATCTCTTTATTTTTTCCATCGCCAACATGAGAAACAACAAACTGAAGGATATTCGGAATGCCTGGAAGCACAGCAGGTAAAAAGAAGAAGTCGGGTTCCCGTGACTCTTTCTCTGACCTGCTTGCAAAACTGTTTGGATTGACTTAGAAAGAAAGAAAAAACACCTTTCAGGGAAAACCTCCCCCTGAACAATGGAGGACTGTGCATGCTCAGCAGCCATAAGATAATTGCTTAAAAGAGTGGGGGAACTGTCATAGTGGAGGAATGGAGTATCCTGGAAAGGACATGATTCTGAGGTGGGGGGGGGATTGTTGTTGTTATTATTATCATTGTTATTGTTACCATAATCCATTTCTTAGTCACTTTCTACACAACCATCAACAATGTAGAATAAAAGCAGTTTAACCACAACACTATTGAGACATTTAAAGCAAAAGTACCGTATTTTTCGCTCTATAAGACACACCCGACCATAGGACGCTCCTTGTTTTAGAGGGGGAGAACAAGGAAAAAAATTCTCCCCCTCTCTGCTCAGCGCCCCTTCAGCGAAGTGGCAGGAGCCTCTTCCATTTCTCCTCCCGCTTCGCGGAAGGGGCGCTGCGCAGCTCTCCCTCTCTGCTGAAGCCAGGAGAGTCTTGCTCTCCTGGCTTCAGCTAAAGGAACCTGAAGCCTGCAGAGCGCAGCGCAAATTCCCGCTGTGCTCCGGAGGCTTCGGGTTCCTTTTGCTGAAGCCGGGAGAGCAAGACTCTCCTAGCTTCAGCGAAAGGAACCTGACCCCTCTCGCTCTCCCGGCTTCAGCAAAAGGAACCCGAAGCCTCTGAAGCGCAGCGGGACCCCGCGCTGCACTCCGGAGGCTTGAGGCAGCTATCCCTGAAGCCTGGAAAGCAAGAGGGGTCGGTGTGCACCGACCCCTCTCTCTCCAGGCTTCAGCGAAGGCAACGCGAAGCCTCTGGAGCGTGGAGGGAGCGCTCCCTCTGTGCTTCGGAGGCTTCGCGTTGCTATCGCTGAAGCCAAGGAGCCTGCATTCGCTCCATAGGACGCACACACATTTCCCCTTAATTTTTGGAGGGGAAAAAGTGCGTCCTATAGAGTGAAAAATATGGTAATGCAATACAGAATAGTCACCCATGGTAGAGACATCAAGTCATCAAGCTTGGAAAGCTTGTCACAACAAAAATGTATTCAATCATTTCTGGAAATTCCTGCTAGAGAGTGCCAACTATATCTTGACCAGGATGCTGTTTTGCAGAACAAGGGCAGCCACAGTAAAGGCCCCGAGTTACTCAGAGCAGGCTATTGAGATCATTGGCACTTGCAGAAGAGACTCCCACATCCCACAGTGATCTGCTCCTTAAATCTACTTAATCCATGGATTATTGTCTGCATTGCTGACTTAAATACCGTATTTTTCGCCCCATAGGGCGCACTGGCCCATAGGGTGCACCTAGTTTTTTTGGGGGGGGGAATAAAGAAAAAAAATCCCCCCCAGGCGCGGGGCTGGGGTGGGGGAGGCCCGAGCTTCCCCCGACCCCAGCCCCCAGAACAGGCTGCTATCCGCAAGCCTAGGGAGCCCAGCGGAAGTCGCGCCGGGCTCCCAAGGGTTGCGGAGAGCTTCCTGAAGCCTGGAGCGTGACCCCTCTCGCTCTCCAGGCTTCAGCGAAAGCCTGCATTCGCCCCATAGGACGCACACACATTTCCCCTTCATTTTTGGAGGGGGAAAAGTGCATCCTATAGGGCGAAAAATATGGTATACTCCCAAAATGAGTTAGCTAAGTGTTTGTTGAGTAAGAGCATGTTGGTGTGAAATGTTTGATATTGGGGTCTCCTCCTGCAGTAGATTTGACCGATTGATTTCCTTTTTGCAGGATATTCTTCGGGAAAAACAAAGTGATGATGGTGGCCTTAGGACGGAGCCCAGCCGACGAATACAAAGATAATTTACACCAGGTGGGGTGTCTGGCGTGTAAACAGTTTCACCAATGCCTTCTGCAACTTAGATTCTGCGTGTGACGAATTAGGGGCACGCAGTGAATATTTCCCTATTATCTCCATTCTCCTTTCGTTTTTCAGGTCAGTAAGCATCTGCGGGGAGAGGTTGGGCTTCTCTTCACCAATCGCACCAAAGAGGAAGTTGCAGAGTAAGCCTTTCCGAGTCGCTTCTGTCGCTATAACGTTAGGGGATAACATCTTGCTTGTGAACATTGGAAGACTCAGGATAGATAGATAAGATAGATAGATAGAATAATTTTTTATTTATACCCCACCCTTCCCGGTTCAAAAACCGGGCTCAGGGCGGCTAACAACAAATTTAAAACACTTAATTGTAAAAGCAGCATAAAATACAGTATAAAAACATGAATAACAATAAAATTCAAAGTTCAGAAATCAATTTAGGGGAAATCAATCTATAATCACCAGGGCTAGCTGGCTGAATTTGTCCTACTTGGGCCAGCGAGGAGGCCAGGGGAGAATTAGCTGTGGGGTCTCAGAGCGGGTAATCTTCATAAAAGGGGAGGGCGAGGGAAGAGAAGGGAAATAAAAGATGAGGCTGAATTCAAATTAAAGGCCAGGCGGAATAGCTCTGTCTTACAGGCCAGACGGAAGGAGGTAAATCCTGAAGGGCCCTAGTCTCATGGGACAGAGCATTCCACCAGGTCGGAGCCATCACTGAAAAGGCCCTGGCCCTGGTGGGGGATAGTCTGACTTCCTTAGGGCCCGGGACCTCTAAACTATGGTTATTCATGGACCTTAAGGTCCTCTGCTGGGCCAACAGGAAGCTGGAATATGTCATAATTCTTGATACTGTAATATGGAATACAGTGGACGCTCGGGTTGTGAACGTGATCCGTGCGGGATGCACTTTAGCAACCCCGTCTGCGCACGCGCGGGTTGCAATTCGGCGCTTCTGCGCATGTGCGAATGCCGAAACCCGCAAGTAACCCGTTCTGATACTTCCGGGTTTCAGCAGTCTGCAACCTGAAGCGGACGCAACATGAGGTATGACTGTATGTAATTGAAGAAGAGTTTGGATTTGATATCCCGCTTTATCAGTACCCGAAGGAGTCTCAAAGCGACTAACATTCTCCTTTCCCTTCCTCCCCCACAACAAACGCTCTGGGAGGTGAGTGGGGCTGAGAGACTTCAGAGAAGTGTGACTAGCCCAAGGTCACCCAGCAGCTGCATGTGGAGGAGCGGAGACGCGAACCCAGTTCCCCAGATTACAAATCTACCGCTCTTAACCACTACACCACACTGGCTCTTATGCTTTCCATTTTGGCTCTTATGTTTTCCATTTTGTTTGCCGGTTGTTGTTGTTTTTGTATTGTAAGCCACTTTGAGTGTTCTTTCCTTAGAAAAGCAGCGTATAAATATTAAATCCAGATTCCAAGGTTTTGCAAACAGCTAAGCTTAATAGATTTGTCGCTTCCTTCCCTTCCCCAGGTGGTTCTCTCAGTTTAAAGAGAACGACTTCGCCCGAGCCGGGAACAAAGCAACCTTCACCGTCAATCTGGATATGGGGCCCTTAGAACAGTTTCCCCACTCCATGGAGCCACAGCTGCGGCAGCTGGGACTCCCAACGGCGCTGAAAAAAGGTGGGCGATGTGTCCCGGAGTTAACCTGTGGAACTCCTTTCCACAGGAGGCAGTGATGGCCACCAACTTGGATGGCTTTAAAAGAGGATGAGACACATTCATGGAGGAACAGAGGGTGCACATGTGTTCGAATCCTGCTTGCTGGTTTCCCCTAATGGGCTCCTGGTTGGCCACTGTGAGAATCAGAGCCTAGACTGGATGGGGCGCTACTCTGATCCAGCAAGCTCTTTTTACATTCTTATGCGCACACTATTGGAAATAGCTTAGCCGTGCATTGACGTGGAGCCAAGAGAAAAACACTATGTATGTGAGTCTCCTTTCACGTTAGCATGATTTATTTGGCTGTCCTCACTTCCCTGCATCGTGACAGTGAAAAATTCCCACGTTCGTTTTCCATCAGCTCAGCACAGGGAAACGAGGATTTACACAACAACGTAAGAAAGTAAATTATAAGCAATTCCGAGCTCCCGTCTGGTTTTTTTTAATCTTTCTAGGCAATAAATTGAAGCTTCTTTAAAAAGGCCTGTTACCTGTTACTGCTTTTAACTGCCCACAGCCTTTTCCTTCTGTGTTGTTTCATTGACAAATAGAGAGTCCAATTTATTTCTTCCTTTGCAGTCCTAATAATAATAATTAAGATGAAAGGTGCGAACTTTAAAATCTATTTTAAGAGCAGTTATTCAGTGCCCGAGCCAATAATATTCTCTTGCTCTAGAACAGGGTTTCCCAAACTTGGGTCTCCAACTGTTTTGGGGCTACAATTCCCATCATCCCTGACCACTGGTCCTGGTTAGCTAGGGATGATGGGAGTTGTAGTCCAATAACAGTTTGGGACCCAAGTTTGGGAAACCCTGCTCTAGAAGCTTATCACCTCCCCAAAGAGATGTCTTTCCCCCAGTACAGTGATGAATGTCTTCTTCAGGACATCTGAGGCTGTGCCCTTTGACCCCCCCTGCCCACAAGGGAGTTAGGTGGTCAGATTTATCTTCTAACTTCCTCTCTTCACCGCAGAGTTATCTCTGCTAGCAGACGATATATTGGTTCGTCATAGATCCAACCGAAAATCCTGGTGTGTGGGGGTCTCCTGATCATATGCAGAGGGTCAATTCTGCCCCCTCTTCAGCAGACACTCATGCCTTCCTCCTGTCTTTCAAGCTGGGAGGAAAGTGGCCTCTTCCCAGATAGCTTGTGCTGATAGGAACTTTGTCAGTTGCATAGCTGTCAACTTTCAGATTTGAAAATAAGGGATCAGCAGCCGCGAAAATAAGGGATCAGCAGCCTCACCTGTCCCGGAGAGCCTCAAAAATAAGGGATCAGCAGCCTCATCTGTCCCGGGGACAGTCTACGGGATACCTAACAATCCGGGATAGCAGCGAGAAACGGCGCTGGAATAAGGGTATTTTCCACCAAAAAAGGGAAGGTTGACAGCTAGGCGGCTGCCGAAAGCTCTGAACACCTCTGCAAGGAAGCAAAAAAAAAAAATCCTTTCCCCCCACATCCTCTGCCAGCCTTCCACCCATTTCTGGAACCCTGATTTGTACCAGCAGTGCTTCCTGAGCTCTAGCCAGCATGGCCAGGTTATGGACCACCTGACTTCTATAAGCCAATTCACTCTGGCCACTTCCCCTCTTAATCGTCCTCTCTTGTTTGCAGGAGTGGTGACCTTAATCTCGGATTACGAGGTCTGCAAAGAGGGGAGCATCCTGACCCCTGAACAAGCACGTATCCTGGTGAGCAAGTGGCAAAGAATGCAGGGTGGATCCCTCAACCGAGGGATTTCCTAGGCCGGGATGGGGTGTGGGAGTCTGACTGTGCAAGGCGTCTTCCTTACAGGTCGACGCGTCGAAGCTTGAAGTCAATGAATCTCATCCCCGTGGACTTTGGTGCTTTACTGCAAGAGACAGCACGGTGTAGTGGTTAGAGCAGTGTTTCCTCAAACGTCTGCAGTTGGACTACAATTCCCATCATCCCTGACCACTTGCTAGTTGGGGATGATGGGAGTTGTAGTCCAACAACAGCCAGGGACCCAGGTTTGAGAAACACTGGGTTAGAGCGTTGGACTAGGAACTGGGAGACCAGGGTTCGACTCCCCCCTTGGCCATGAAGCATAATGGAGGTGACCTCAGGCCAATCGCTGTCTTCTCTCAGCCTAACCCTACCTCACAGGGTTGTTGTGGAGATTACATGAGGGCAGAGGGAGAACCATGTATGCCCCCCTGAGCCCCGTGGAGAAAAGGTTGGGCTGTAAATATAATAAATACTGCTACCTCTTCCGCTGTCTGGGACGTGGGTGGCGCTGGGGGTTAAACCACAGAGCCTAGGACTTGCTGATCAGAAGGTCGGCAGTTCGAATCCCCGCGACGGGGTGAGCTCCCGTTGCTCGGTCCCTGCTCCTGCCAACCTAGCAGGTCAAAAGCACGTCAAAGTGCAAGTAGATAAATAGGTACCGCTCCAGTGGGAAGGTAAATGGCGTTTCCGTGTGCTGCTCTGGTTCGCCAGAAGCGGCTTAGTCATGCTGGCCACATGACCCGGAAGCTGTGCACCGGCTCCCTCGGCCAATAAAGCGAGATGAGCGCTGCAACCCCAGAATCGGTCACGACTGGACCTAATGGTCAGGGGTCCCTTTGCCTTTACTTCCACTGCCTAGTCTCCTCCCACTTCTGTCCTTTTCTCATGGAGAGGAAGACTGGCTCACTTCAGAACCACGTCATACTTGTTTCAAGTTGCTAGACCTCATTGTTTGGGTAGAGTCCCAGAAGCGGAAACCTGGGAAACTGCCCAGAGAAGAAGCCCACCCTCAACTACAGGAAATGTAGCTCTTGTGCTAGGCGAATAAGATACAGATTTAGGTACAAAGAGAAGGCAGTTTTGTGTGTTGTTTCTTGGCATAAACAGCTGTGGCTGAGGACATCGGGCATGGCGATCACTTTTCTCTTTTGTTTCAGAAACTCTTTGGGTACACGATGGCAGAGTTCAAGGTGACGATCAGGAGCATGTGGAATGCCGAGACAGGAGACTTTGAGCAGCTGGCCGAAGAGGCAGAGGACGTCACAGAAGGGATGGAGGAAGAGGAGGAGGAGAAGGATAACTGTGATGAGGATGACAACTAGGCAGGAGCAAGACTGTTCTTATAGGACTAAACTGCTCATCTAAGGACTTTATTTATCGTATTTTTATATATAGATATAAACCTGTATGAAGAACTTTTGAAGTTTTGGTCTGTTTCCTTTTTGTTGTTGTTGTTTAGTCGTGTCTGACTCTTCGTGACCCCATGGACCAGAGCAGGCCAGGCACTCCTGTCTTCCACTGCCTCCCGCAGTTTGGTCAGACTCATGTTTGTAGCTTCGAAGACACTATCCAACCATCTCGTCCTCTGTCATCCCCTACTCCTTGTGCCCTCCATCTTTCCCAACATCAGGGTCTTTTCCAGGGAGCCTTCTCTTCTCATGAGGTGGCCAAAGTATTGGAGCCTCAGCTTCAGGATCTGTCCTTCCAGTGAGCACTCAGGGCTGATTTCCTTCAGAATGGATAGGTTTGATCTTCTTGCAGTCCATGGGACTCTCAAGAGTCTCCTCCAGCACCAGAATTCAAAAGCATCAATTCTTCAGCGATCAGCCTTCTTTATGGTCCAGCTCTCACTTCCATACATCACTACTGGGAAAACCATAGCTTTTACTATACGGACCTTTGTTGGCAAGGTGATGTCTCTACTTTTAAGATGCTGTCTAGGTTTGTCATTGCTTTTCTCCCAAGAAGCAGGCGTCTTTTAATTTCGTGGCTGCTGTCACCATCTGCAGTGATCATGGAGCCCAAGAAAGTAAAATCTCTCACTGCCTCCATTTCTTCCCCCAATTTGGATAAATCCAAGCTGTTTCCCCTAGCTTAGCAGAGCAACTGCTTGGCATGTAGAAGGCCCAGGTGTTCAGTCCCTGAAGGAATCACCAGGTAGGGCTGGGATAAGACTCCCAGCCAGAAAACCTTGAGAGCTGCTGCTGTTGTTGCTGCTACTACTCAGTGCCAACCGTACTGTGCTAGATGGACTCAATAGTCTTGACTGATATATGGCAGCTTTTTACGTAACATGCAGAAGCTTATTCACATCCATGAGGACTAGACTCATGCTTTTACTTGGGAGGGGAAGGACTTTAGCTCCATGGTAGAATACCATGGAAGCTTTTAATGTTTAATAGATTATTGTATTTTAATATTCTGTTGGAAGCCACCCAGAGTGGCTGGGGAAACCCAGCCAGATGTGCGGGGTATAAATAATAAATTATTATTGTTATTATTATTATTACTACCTGCTTTTACATGCAGCAGGTTCTGGGGTTCAATCTCTGCTGATTCCAGGGTTGGAAATATCTCCTGTCTGAAACTCTGGAGACCCACTGCAAAGGTGAACGGTAAAGGACCCCTGGACAGTTAAGTCCAGTCAAAGGCGACTATGGGGTTGTGGCGCTCATCTTGCTTCAGGCCAAGGGAGCCAGTTTTTCTGGGTCATTTGGCCAGCAGGACTAAACCGCTTCTGGCGCTACAGAAACACCATGACGGAAACCAGAGCGCACGGAAATGTCGTTTACCTTCCCGCCGCAGTGGCACCTATTTATCTGCTTGCACTGGTGTGCTTTCGAACTGCTAGGTTGGCAGGAGCTGGGACAGAGCAATGGGAGCTTAGCCCGTTGTGGGGATTCGAACCGCCAACCTGATCAGCAACCACAAGAGGCTCAGTGGCACCACCCACTCCTAGACCCACTGCAAGGGAGTGCAGGCAATCCTAAAATGAGGTCAGCAGCTTTGCCAGGATGAGTTGCACTTAAAAAACCCTACATCTTTCTCCAACCTCCACTGCTCTCCCCCTTCCCCACGTAGTTCCATGTGTTCCAAAATATTGTCGCTGTCTCTGCTCAGGCACAGAACTTCAAATGATAAAGAGAGCAGCTACTACCTCACCCCTGGGCAGCATTATATAGATTTGGCTGAAGGATCAGATAAAGCACTGGTGGGAGGGGCTTGGCCTACTGTGGGAATGCTACGCAGCCCACCAAACCTTTGCAAAACATTGCCGGTTAAGAAATTATTCTGACAGAACCACCACCAGTTTCTTTATAGGAAAGGGCCTCAGCTCAGGGGTAGAGCGTTTATTTTACAGTGGTACCTCGGGTTACAGACACTTCAGGTTACAGACTCCGCTAACCCAGAAATAGTACCTCGGGTTAAGAACTTTGCTTCAGGAAGAGAACAGAAATCGCGCAGCGGCAGCAGCTAGAGGCTCCATTAGCTAAAGTGGTACCTCAGGTTAAGAACGGACCTCCAGAACGAATTAAGTTCTTAACCTGATGTACCACTGTATTGATTTAATAAAATTTATATACCACTGGATTGTTAAAGCAAGACCCAAAGAAACTACTATTTTAACTTTTTGGATGTCTCTTAGTAAACACAGACTAAGGCTCACAGCATCTGTGTAGCCTTGTCTAAGCAAAAATGGTTTTAGCAGGCACCAAAAGGTATAGCGAAGATACCTGCCTGATATCAACAGGCAGGGAGTTCCAAAGTGTTAGAAGCATCTACTTGACATGCATTACAATGGTACCTCAGGTTACATACGCTTCAGGTTACATACTCCACTAACCCAGAAATAGTACCTCGGGTTAAGAACTTTGCTTCAGGTTGAGAACAGAAATTGTGCTCCGGCGGTGCGGCGGCAGCAGGAGGCCCCATTAGCAAAGTGGTGCTTCAGGTTAAGAACACTTTCAGGTTAAGTACGGACCTCCGGAATGAATTAAGTACTTAACCCGAGGTACCACTGTACTTCTGTGAGGTGGGGAGCAGAGAAGAGAGCTAGAAGGTGCAACCAATATTTTTATTTTGAAGGATGAAAGCCACTTTCAGGGACCCAGAAAGTGTTGCAGAAATCTTGCCAGGGAAAAGTGCTTTCTTGATCTAAGGCCACGGAGGTGTTGGCTTGGGTTTATTCCAAGGGAAAGGGAGGAACCTCTGAAGCAGAAGAGGGTGTTTGTGGCAAAACGAGAGTCCAAAGGGGTGGGGGTCTCTGATGGGTGCTCTCGTTTATCCTGGAAGCTGCAGAAGCCTTCAGCGGAAGTAGTTGGGGCAGTCGTGGGCTGTGAGATGCCAAGCTTTCTCAAAGGCCTCGACCACGCCGGGCAGGAGGGGACCTTGCTCGCTGCACTTGAGATTCTCCTGCAACTGATCCATGGTGGACATCCCAATGATCACAGCATCGCCAAGGTCAGCCTAGGGGGGAAAAGAGCAAGAAGAGGGAAAGGTGAACATTGGAAGACTCGGCTTACGAGGAAGGCCAAAGCTGGCAGCAAAATTAAAAGAACGTTTTGGATTTTTTATATGACAAAAGGACACCTCATTTGGGGTATATAGTGGCACCTCGGTTTTCGAGCGTCTCGGAAGCTGAACGTTTCGGTTTTCGAACCCCGAAAACCCAGAAGTAATTGATTCTGTTTTCGAACGCGCCTCAGAAGTCGAACAGCCCTGTTTAGGGAAGTTTTTAATGACTGATGTTTTAATGTATTTTTTATCTTTTGTTGGAAGCCGCTCAGAGTGACTGGGGAAACCCAGCCAGATGGATGGGGTATGAATATAATAATAATAATAATAATAATAATAATTAATAATAATAAACAAAAAACAGGTTTCCCCTTGATGCATCTTGCAGGGTGGTTGTGAGGATAAAAAATTGAGAGCAGGGGATGTAAGTAGCATATGTCACCTCCAGAATATTAGACCTACCAGAAGTCATTTATTGATTCTGTTTTGGGAATACAGTGGTACCTCGGGTTGAGAACTTAATTCGTTCTGGAGGTCCGTTCTTAACCAGAAACTGTTCTTAACCTGAGGTACCACTTTAGCTAATGGGGCCTCCTGCTGCTGCTGTTCCGCCACTGCACGATTTCTGTTCTCATCCTGAGGTAAAGTTCTTAACCCAAGGTACTATTTCTGGGTTAGCGGAGTCTGTAACCTGAAACGTCTGTAACCCGAGGTACCACTGTAGAACAGTTTAGACCTGGCCTCAGACACACACACAAACTTCTTCCCCATACCATATCGGGCTGGCGGAAAAGTTCACCATTACCTGCAGCTTTGAGTGATGATAGATCCAGCGCAGGGCGGCTGAAGTCAAGCTGGGTGTGTCTGAGCCATACGCCTCGTGGAGGGCTTTCTCGACCAAGTCCAGCCCCTGGAAATGATGCTTCTTCCAATACCTGCAGAGTAGTTGTTGTTTTAAAAAAATTAAGGTCATTTACATTCTGCATGTTTATATGTATGCCTATATATCTGAATGAATCTTACATAATAAACAAAGCAAAACGGCAGTAATAGATGGCAGTTACAATTGTATCGTGGGACACGGGTGGCGCTGTGGGTTAAACCACAGAGCCTAGGACTTGCCGATCAGAAGGTCGGCGGTTCGAATCCCTGTGACGGGGTGAGCTCCCGTTGCTCGGTCCCTGCTCCTGCCAACCTAGCAGTTCGAAAGCACGTCAAAGTGCAAGTAGATAAATAGGTACTGCTCCGGCGGGAAGGTAAACGGGGTTTCCGTGCGCTGCTCTGGTTCGCCAGAAGTGGCTTAGTCATGCTGACCACATGATCCAGAAGCTGTACACCGGCTCCCTCGGCCAATAAAGCAAGATGAGCGCCGCAACCCCAGAGTCGGTCACGACTGGACCTAATGGTCAGGGGTCCCTTTACCTTTACCTTTACCACTGTATCAGGCCATCTGGTGCACATGCAGGATGCGAATGCCAGCACCTGGTGTTCAGAGGTAGACTGCCACTGCGCCCAGAGGTTCCATTTAGTGCCATGGCTAACAAAATCACTCCCCTAACCCCGTATTAGGGACGCGGGTGGCGCTGTTGTCTAAACCACAGAGCCTAGGACTTGCCGATCGGAAGGTTGGCGGTTCAAATCCCCGCGATGGGGTGAGCTCCCGTTGCTCGGTCCCTGCTCCTGCCAACCTAGCAGTTCAAAAGCACAAAGTGCAAGTAGATAAACAGGTACCACTCCAGCGGGAAGGTAAACGGCGTGTCCGTGCTGCTCTGGTTCGCCAGAAGTGGCTTAGTCATGCTGCTACATGACCCGGAAGCTGTACGCCGGCTCCCTCGGCCAATAAAGCAAGATGAGCACTGCAACCCCAGAGTCGTCCGCGACTGGACCTAACGGTCAGGGGTCCCTTTACCTTTAACCCCGTATTTATTGCTCTGATCTCTTTCCTCCAAAAAACAAGAACTACTTCCCAGCATTAGCAGTTTAATTTCTTGCCCCTGTGTTCAAGAAGCTAGCCTCTTCCTACATCAACAGAATTGAGTCATCCCCTGCCTTCAAGATGCAAGCCCCTTTTGCCATCTTTAGACCCACCTGTCCCTGTAGATTTTGGCCCAGTCGTTGCCGAAAAACCTGCTAGCTGGCTGCTGGTTAGAGTCTTTGTCTTCGTACTTGTACCTCCCAGTCAGGAGCCCTCCTGCAAGAGGTGAAAGTTTACGCCCAAACGTTAGGGACTAGAACCTTATAAGTGAAGGTGCCTCACTTAGGTCAATCCACTCCCTTTTCACCCCACAGCTAAAACTCCAGCACCTCTTTGGATTTGTCTGTCATTCTGCCCATAAAACAGCAACAACAACACATTTAATAAATATGCATATTCTGTGTGAAGATCCCAAGGCAGTTCACAACAGAAAAAATACAAAATGAACACAAAACAAAAACTAGACCAATACCCGCAAAAAACCCCCACACATTTAAAAACCATAGGTTGTTAATCAGCCTGGTTGAAGAGAAACATTTTCGCCTTGTGCCTAAAGTTTTGCAGCCCTGCCACTGAAACCACCCCATTCCCTGGCATTCCTTGCCAGACCCGTACCAGCCAGTGGATTATATGCGTAGAATCGAATCCCAAAATGTCTAAGGCATGGCAGCAATTCGGTCTCCACTTGGCGCGTCGTAGCGTTGTACATGCCCTTTGGGGAAAAGACAGTAAAAAACAAAATCCATAAAGAAGCCTTGGAGCAGACCGTTGTTGCAAAATCCCTTCTGCCCACTGACCGAGGGAACTGCCACTACTACAGGTGCCATCGAACATCCGTTCTGCATTTGTAAGAAACTGGTCATTTATTGTGGCAGCACCTTTGGAACTCCCTGCTAATTGACATCAGGAGAAGGGAGGGGAGAGAGAGATTGTTCTCTTTCTAATTATGTTGTGGATTTTGGTGCTTTCATACGTACTGTAAACTGCCCTATGAGCCTCGGATGAAGGGCAGTGTAGAAATCTAATAAATCACCAATATCAGACACGTGTTTCCCCAATGGGACACCTGCAAGCGAGATTCAAGCCCAAGAGTCCTCTCCCCTCCTTCAGTTTCCAGCAATTGGTGTTCATCCAATAAAAACCATGCTTTTTTATTAAAAAAAACCATTGGAAAGTAGCTATTATGGAAATGTGTATTCTAAACTACCTGCGTAAGCCTTGCAGAACAAATACATTTTCAGCATGTATTTAAAGGCTGGCACAGAAGGCACTGGCTGGCAGAGAATTCCACAGGACTGGGCCAATCAAGGCTTGGTTTCTTGTCAAATAATAGAAACACAATGCACTATCAAACATTAAAAAGAAAAACCAGCAACACTCCTGCAGGTGGTCTCAGTGACTGAGCTGGGCTTTGTAGACTCATTGCAGGACTTTCCAAAGCTACAATCCTATGATTCTAATCCACAGACTTAAACCATTACCAGCTTGGTCAATGGTCAAGAGTGATGGAGGCTGAGAGTCCAGACATGTTTGGAGGGGCCACAGGTTGCCCAGCCCTGACCAAACACCTTGGGGAAAAGACCTCCATTCGTCCACCCAGCTCTCACCTGGTATACTGTTGGCAACACCCAGTTGTTGGTCTTGCAGATGCCACAGATTTCCGCCACCTGCCAAGAGGCATAGTTGGAGAGACCCAGTTCCTTAAACTTCCCCTGTCGGAAGAAAAAAAACAAATAAGCCCCTGTATTTTTAGCTCTATGTTCACAGACGGTCTTAAGACCAGAAGAGGAGGCTGGGTGCTGGATCAGACCAAAGGATCTGGTGGTTAAATGAGAACTAGGGACATGGGAGACCAGGGTTCAAATCCCCTCTCGGCCATGAATGGATGACTGTGGGAGACCAGTCACTGCCTCTTAGCCCAACATAAATTGGATTGGATTGGATTGGATTGGATTGGATTGGATTAAATTAAATTAATTAGGGGAGCAAGTAAGAACCATGTACAGTAGGCCCACAACCTGCATGGGGGTTGCATTCCAGGGATAGCACCTAAAGCCAAAATCATGTGAGGTCAAAACCCATTAATTTCAATACCATGCAGGATCACCAAACTTGGCCATGTGTATAAAACTCAATGCGTACAAGCTAAATGTGCATAAGCTGTGGCCGTAATGTACGCCACCCGGAGCTGCTTGGGATGAAAAAAGGTGGAATGTAAATGCAAATAAATAAATTAATAAAATCTTATTAGGGGTTCTTCCCCCCCCACACACTGTTTGGGCATTTCCTTGACGTCAGAGCAAATGTAAGTGACTTAAACAGCGATGCAACTTTAGGTCAGATAGCAGACAAGCGCGACACAGACAAGGTTTGTATTTGGCAGAAGGCGAACTGCAGCAGAAAGGAAGCACGGCGGATTGTGCTGAATGAACGCCGGTTGGAACGGAACTCGTGACCTTTGCACCCCCTCTATTCCGGACACCAGTGTGGAATATTGCAGGCCTTGCATGTGTGTTGTTTTAACTCGGGGATTGGAAGGCGCCTTGATTTGTTTAGAAGGAAAAGGTAAAGGTAAAGGGACCCCTGACCATTAGGTCCAGTCGTGGACGACTCTGGGGTTGCGGCGCTTGTCTCACTTTACTGGCCGAGGGAGCCGGCGTACAGTTTCCGGGTCATGTGTCCAGCATGACTAAGCCACTTCTGGTGAACCAGAGCAGTGCACGGAAACCCCGTTTACCTTCCCGCCGGAGCAGTACCTATTTATCTACTTGCACTTTGACGTGCTTTCGAACTGCTAGGTGGGCAGGAGCTGGGACTGATCAACGGGAGCTCACCCCGTCGCAGGGATTCAAACCGCCGACCTTCTGATTGGCAAGTCCTAGGCTCTGTGGTTTAACCCACAGCACCACCCGCGTCCCTTTCAGAAGGAAAGGGGGATACAAAAGCAGCACATCAAACACCGACTGGGAGGCCCAAATGAGCCACCCAGTCATGAGAATCAGTTTCCCGCCCCCTCCCAAAAACCCCACTTTTTGCACCTCTCTGTGTAGCTCATTGCAGGCCTTCAGCGTCTCTTCCAGGGGGGTCTTGTGGTCGGGCATATGGAGGTAGAAGAGGTCAACACTCTTCGCCTGCAGCCTCTGGAGGGACGTCTCCAGCTGGGAGCGAACGCCATCAGCCTTCAGAGTATTGCCCTCCAATGGATTTGCCTTGGTGGCTACCTTGACTGGTGGGGAAGAGAGGACTAGATCAGGGAAGTACAGTGGTACCTCGGGTTACAGACGCTTCAGGTTACAGACTCCACTAACCCAGAAATAGTACCTCGGGTTAAGAACAGTATGAGATCAGAATTCGCACCGTGGTGGCAGCGGGAGGCCCCATTAGCTAAAGTGGTGCTTCAGGTTAAGAACAGTTTGAGGTTAAGAACGGACCTCCAGAACGAATTAAGTTCTTAACCCAAGAACTGTAGAGCCTTACCGCGAATACTGTGCGTTGGTCAGCATGCACTGATCTACACACATAAAACAAATTCACACACAGGGTCTTCCAAAAACCCACCCCAAAACCAGCCCTTTTGTGAAACATGGACCACTTATAAACGCCAACTCCTCGAAAGATTCCATCAACGGTGTCTCCGAATATTTTTACACCTCACTTGGGAAGACAGGCAAACTAATGCCAGTGTCCTGGAAGAAGGAAAGATCACCAGTGTCGAAGCAATTGATTCTTCAACATAAACTTTGTTGGACTGGTCATGTTGTGCAGATGCCTGATGATCATCTTCCAAAGCAACTACTCTATTCTGAACTTAAAAATGGAAAGTGTAATGCCGGTGGTCAACAAAAGAGGCTTAAACACCCTCTCAAGGCAAATGTAAAAAAGTGTAGGATAAACATTGACAACTGGGAAACACTGGCCTGCGAGCGCTCCAGTTGGAGAACAGCCTTTACCAAAGGTGTCATGGGCTTTGAAGACACTCGCACTCAGGACGCAAGGGAGAAACGTGCTAAGAGGAAGGCACGCTTGGCAAACCCTCACCATGATCAACTCCCACCCGGAAACCTATGTGCCCACTGTGGAAGGACGTGTGGATCCAGAATGGGCCTCCACAGTCACTTACGGACTCACTTTTAAACTCGTGTTCATGGAAGACAATCTTACTAGGCTATGAGTGATTGCCAAAGATGATGATGATCAGGGAAGGAAAGGAACTCTGACTGCATTCTGTAAAGGTAAAGGGACCCCTGACCATTAGGTTAAGTCGTGACCGACTCTGGGGTTGCGGCGCTCATCTCGCCTTACTGGCCAAGGGAGCCGGCGTACAGCGTCCGGGTCATGTGGCCAGCATGACTAAGCCGCTTCTGGTGAACCAGAGCAGCGCACGGAAACGCCGTTTACCTTCCTGCCGGAGCGGTACCTATTTATCTACTTACTTACGTGCTTTCAAACTGCTAAGTTGGCAGGAGCAGGGATCGAGCAACGGGAGCTCACCCCGTCGCGGGGATTTGAACCGCCAACCTTCTGATCGGCAAGCCCTAGGCTCAGTAGTTTAACCCACAGCGCCACCCGTGTCATTCTGTAAAGAGGAGCCCCCAACACCAGGATAAGGAGCAAACAAATATTAACAAGGCAGGCAGAGCCAAATACAGCCCACCAAGTCTGTCCATCTGGGCCCCCCAGGGCTCTCCCCAAGCCACACCCCTCCCCACAGGCCACACCCCCAACGAACCTGCTCTCAGGCTTCGTGTGATGGAACATGACCTTGAATTCTGACTGCGCCTCTTCCTTGCCCAGATGGAGGACAGAGATTGTATGTGTAGGAAACTAGTCTAGTGCACAAAGCTAAAATTTGCATCCATTGCTCTGCCCACTTCCCCCTCTGGCCCTGCCCATCCCTTGCATCTGGCCCCCGGAAGGCTGCACAGAAGGAAAAGTGGCCCTTGGGTTGTCAAAGGCTTTTTCACCCCCTATGCCCTAATAATAAGTAGTACACTTAGGAGAATCTGAAATTAAGCCTTAGGAGTAAAGGCTGAGGGAGCTGGGAATGTTTAGCTTGCGAAAGAGGAGACTGAGCCATCTTCAAATACCTAAAGGACTGTCAAATGGAAGAGGGAACATGCTTGTTTTCTCCTGCTCTGGAGGGTAGGACTCGAACCAGTGGCTTTCTTGTAGGGAGATTCCAACTAAACATCAGGAAAAACCTTCTGACTGTTAAGAGCTGTTTGACAGTGGAACAGTCTCCCCTGGATGGTGGGGGGCTCTCCTTCCTTGGAGGTTTTTAAGAAGAGGTTGGATGGCCATCTGCCATGGATGCTTCAGTTGAGATGCCTGCATTGCAAGGGGGTTGGACTAGATGACCCTCAGGGTCCCTTCCAGCTTCTATGATTCTATGTTCAAATTCCTTTCCCTTCTCAAGCTGCTTAGCAACTCCAACTGGCCTTCAGATTAGGTGGGAAGGCTTTCAGTATAATCAGGGATCTTTGCAAACTCGCAGGAGACTTTTGACCACTGGAATAAAGGCAAGGGTATAAAGACAGCCCTTTTGATTGATTTCCAGCCCTTTGAGTTGCTGAATAACCAGATTATCAACCCTCTGAGGCAATAAATTTAAGAGCAGAGAGAGACCAAAAGATGCAGGGATCATGTTGCTAGTGGGCCTGGTTGGTGGAGCTACCTAATTAAGAATCTGGTGTGGGGTAGCAACTGGTCCGTTTTTGAGCTTCAGTGGGGAAGGCTGCACCCAGAGATGGGGAATCCATGTTTCAAGTCTGGGGTGGCCTTCCAGATGTTGCTGGAACAACCGATGAAAAATAAGAAAATGAAAGGCCAAACAATAAAAGACAAAGAATGAGTACAGATGAGCATGGGTTTAAAATGGGGGTGGGGGTGGAGTTGGATTAGTTTTGACTGCATGGAAAGGGTGGGGAGATAGAAGCGAGAAATGCACTCTGCACATGTTCAAATGCACCGTTGCTCTGTTGCTGTTGCTGTTTTGCAGGCTGGTCTATGCAAGAGACGACCCCCCCCCCCAGCCTCAGCGTGTCATAGGAAGCTGTCTTAAACAGAGCCAGACCACTGGTCCACTGAGCCCAGTTACGTCTACACTGACCGGCAGCAGCTCTCCAGGGGTTCAGGCACGGTGCATTCCCAGCCCAATCCTGAGATGCCCGTGGGAACTGAATTGCATGATGCAAGGCAGATGTTCTCCCCTTCCAGCCAGGACTCCCGTAGGCGCGCCTGCAAAACGGAACTCGATTCGAATCCTGATGAAGCTTCGCGGCGACGTGTCAATGCGTGCGAGGCACTCTGCATGCGCCCAGAGGAACCGTTGCCGGCCAGCTGGGCTCGACAACGTCTACAGCAGCCCCACCTACCTGCCGCCGCAGCTTTGGGTTCAGCCGCCAGCCAGGCGCCCAGGATCCGCTCCGACTCGCCCCCCGCGTACATATGCGCGGTATCCACCTCGCAGTGCCCGCGGGCCAGGAACGCGCGCAGCATCGCCCCGCTGGCCGCCGCGTCTGCCCTGCGCCCGAACTCCATGGTGCCCAGCACCGAGCGCACCCCGAGGCTCTGCCCGCGTAGCCCCGACATCCCGGCGGCTGCAGCAGCTCGATCTGCCTCTGGCAGAACTCGAACTCGCCACCAGGTCCTGGGCAAAGGCAATCGCATCACCACTGTCTGCGCATGCGTCAGCACCTCCTTTCCACTCCTGCTCCCTCCCAGGAGAAGGGACCGTCTCAAATTTCCTGATTCCAGAAGCGAAGGAAGAGCCTTGCCGGATAAATTCGGGTCCCTTATCCTGCCATGTCCTGTATATTGTCTCCCTGCTTATTTAACTTATAGGTAGAATTTAACATGCGGAAGGCTGGGCTGGATGAATCCCAAGCCAGAATTAAGATTGCCGGAAGAAATATCAACAACCTCAGATATGCAGATGACACAACCTTGATGGCAGAAAGTGAGGAGGAATTAAAGAACCTTTTAATGAGGGTGAAAGAGGAGAGCCCAAAATATGGTTTGAAGCTCAACATCAAAAAAACGAAGATCATGGCCACTGGGCCCATCACCTCCTGGCAAATAGAAGGGGAAGAAATGGAGGCAGTGAGAGATTTCACTTTCTTGGGTTCCATGATCACTGCAGATGGTGACAGCAGCCACGGAATTAAAAGATGCCTGCTTCTTGGGAGAAAAGCAATGACAAACCTAGACAGCATCTTAAAAAGCAGAGACATCACCTTGCCAACAAAGGTCCGTATAGTTAAAGCTATGGTTTTCCCAGTAGTGATGTATGGAAGTGAGAGCTGGACCATCAAGAAGGTTGATCGCAGAAGAATTGATGCTTTTGAATTCTGGTGCTGGAGGAGACTCTTGAGAGTCCCATGGACTGCAAGAAGATCAAACCTATCCATTCTTAAGGAAATCAGCCCCGAGTGCTCACTGGAAGGACAGATCCTGAAGCTGAGGCTCCGATACTTTGGCCACCTCATGAGAAGAGAAGACTCCCTGGAAAAGACCCTGATGTTGGGAAAGATGGAGGGCACAAGGAGAAGGGGATGACAGAGGACGAGATGGTTGGACAGTGTTCTCGAAGCTACCAGCATGAGTTTGACCAAACCGCAGGAGGCAGTGGAAGACAGAAGTGCCTGGCGTGCTCTGGTCCATGGGGTGACGAAGAGTCGGACACGACTAAACGACTAAACAACAACAACAACATCCTACCATGTCATTTTAACCTTTGTTTGTTTGTTTTATTTATTGCATTTCCATCCCATTTTCCTCCAAACTGCTCAATGTTTCTCTCTGGCATTCCTCATTTAATCCTAGCAACAGCCCTGCCAGGTAGGCTTGGCCAAGACTCAATATGGAACAAATAATTTGCTTAATATGTCATTGGTTGTCCCTGTTTTAAAACTGCTGGCTGATAAATTTATCAGTAGGCGGATAGATTCTGTGCCCGTTTCTTCTTGAGCTTTAGATTTGCATTGGCACTTTGTAGTAAACGTTTTGCATAGTTTGGATATGAACCATTTATAGAGAGGTTTCCGTCAGTCAAGTGGTATTTTAAAACTGGCAAATATATAGATAACAACCACAAAAATCACGGGCGAACAAGGGGCATCCAGGAAGTCCCCAAGCAGAAAAAAAGCAATAGCCTGCTGGATCAAGCCAACAGGGCAGCATCCTGTTCTCACAGTGGACATTATGGGATGCTCAAAAGCATGATTCCAATGCAAAAGCATTCTCCCTTCCTGTGGTTTCCAGCGACTGGTATTTAGGAACATTATTGCTTCCAACTGAATGGACCTAAGTTATCCTCGTCTAGTAACTTTGGTCAGTCTATTCCGAGTAGGACTAGCATTGGATACAAGCCCCCCCGCCCCCGAACTCCTCTGGAGGAAAATTGGACTAGGAATGACTTTTTTTTAAAAGGCCTAATGACGAGAAGGAGGAGGGAAGCCTTCAGAGAGGGTAAAACGCTCTGTGCACGCTCAGAGGCACTGTTTTTACAATCACCCTCAATTGCCACCTCTGTTCAGTGTAATACTGTAACAGAACGGTAAGTCTGCGCCCCAAAGAGCTTACTGAAAGCTGGGAATGTAAGAAAGCGAAAAGCTTCTGGGAAATGATACATAATGAGATGAAAAGGATGTTGAAATATACATTTATTAAAAAAACCCAGAAGCATTTCTATTTGGCATTGTAGGGGAGGATATTAATAGACAGGATAATAAACTGTTTTTATATGCAATAACGGTAGCAAGAGTACTATTGGCACAGAAATAGAAACAAGAAGACTTACCGACAAAAGAGGAATGGGAGGCGAAATTAATGGACTATGCAGAATTAGACAAGATGACAGGAAGGATTCGAAACCTGCGGGATCAGAGATCCTCAGAGGACTGGAGTAAATATGTGAACTATTTGAAAAGCAACTGTAATCAACAGATTACGCTAGTAGGATTGCAAGAAGTTTTGTAATATTGCAGAGTAAAGTATGAAGAGAATTATTAGTGAAGGACCATTAAAAGTAATAGTGGAATTAATGAAATGCAGATTAAGTGATAAAGATGGAAAAATCTTCAGATGTGGTTGATGAAACTCCAAAACACTGAATAAGACAAGAAAATATGTTGTATGTTTTTTGGAAATGTCATGTAAAAATTAATAAAAATTTTTTTTAAAAAAAAAACAGCTTACTAAAAGCAGGCCGTGGGTTCTACAGTGTCAGCAAGGTGATTCAGGAAGGTGACTTGGAGGCTACCTTGACTGGTGGAGAAAAGGACGCGATAAGGGAACAAAAGGAACCTGAGCTCTTGCCAAACACAGACAAGGAGGGTGTATGAAATTATCAGAAACTCCAGGACCTTGGACTACATGCAGCCCTCCTGATCTGCCTATCTTGCCCTTGGGACAGTTCGCAAGCCACATCTCTTAATGGCTCTGTGTTGGAAAGTGTCCTTGAAGTCTGGCAATACACCTCCCTTGCCTGGATTGCAGAAAAAGATTCCCGCCCCCCCTCACCCTGCCATATTGGATCACAGATTCACATAATTGTAAAGTTGGAAGGGATCCCAGGTATACTGCCACTGACTGTGGAAGTTCTATCTTGTAGCGCAAAGCTGCAGGTAGATCCAGCCCCAAATTGTAAGAAGCGTCATTTTTGTATGCCACAACTGCTGCTCGAATCTTACTAGCTAAAAAGTGGAAAATGCAAGAAGTACCAACTGTGGAAGAATGGCAGGTGAAGATGATGGATTTTTCGGAGCTAGCCGACCTGACCGGAAGAGTCCGCGACCAGAAGGAGGAAGAGTATCAGGAAGAATGGACGAAATTTAATGACTATTTAGTTAAATATGTTAAGTTAAATTAATTGGAAAAAGCTTGCAATTACCAGATAGGCTTAGGATTTAAATATGTAATGTGTTGAATTAATATGTTTAATGCTGAATTGGTAAGAAAGAAAGATGTTAAGTGATTAGGTTTATAAGAATTATGATTTGGAAAACCGTTAAAATGATTCGCACTGAAATTCAACTAGGGGGGTACGAGGAAGTCACTTAACAATGTTAATAAGACTAGTTTTAATAAGATTATGATTTATGTTTGTTTGTATGTTTGTGTGCTTACAATTTTGTGAAAATAAATAAAACAAATTGGGGGGGGGGAACAAATTGTAAGAACCGTCCTGGATCAGACCAATCCTGTCCATTAGCTCTTTTTAACCCATTCATAAATGACCTGGAGTTAGGTTTACCAAATTGTTCAGGGATGGCAAAGAGCCCCAAAAGGATCATACTGGGCAAATGAGCAGTAAAATAGCAATTAACAAATAAGTAAAAAAAAGTACATTTCCCCTCCATTTCCTAGACGAAGGCCATAATACAAGTGAGCATCAGATCAGCACGGCCCAGCTCTGAGCATGTACAGAGTGCTTTCCCTTCTCAGGCCCCTAAGCAAGCCTTTGCCGCACTAACAGGAGATTTTGTCAGCTGGACCAAAGGTAACAATGCAAATGGTCCTTTTGATTTGCAGGTTGTTGATTAACCGGATGACCAACCCTGGAAAGAAAGAACAGTAAGAGCAAAGGTTGAAAGCGAGGAATTCTCCTGCTAATGCACCTGCTTGCTGCAGAAATCTAACTGGAATTGGGGGGGGGAGCAACTGGTTCATATTTAAATTACTGCGCTCCCTGGCAAAGGGACACCCAGAGATGGGACTCTTCCATGGCCTTCCAGATGTCACTGAATTCACAATTTAACTCCTGCATTTGCAGCACCCCATGATCTCTCATTTGGGACGCGGGTGGCGCTGTGGGTTAAACCACAGAGCCTAGGACTTGCCGATCAGTTCGAATCCCCTCGACGGGGTGAGCTCCCGTTGCTCGGTCCCTGCTCCTGCCAACCTAGCAGTTCGAAAGCACGTCAAAGTGCAAGTAGATAAATAGGTAGCACTCTGGCGAGAAGGTAAACGGCATTTCCGTGTGCTGCTCTGGTTTGCCAGAAGCGGCTTAGTCATGCTGGCCACATGACCCGGAAGCTGTACCCCGGCTCCCTCGGCCAATAAAGCGAGATGAGCACCGCAACCCCAGAGTCGGCCACGACTGGACCTAATGGTCAGGGGTCCCTTTACCTTTACCTTTACCATGATCTCTCATTATTCCTGATCACCAGCCAGGCGGGTTGGGGATGAAGGGGGCTGGTGCCAGAGAACATTTGCAGAGCAGCTGGCCCGTATCTCCCCCATTTCTGGAATCTAGATTAACGGGAGCAGGGATTTATTTAGGGGAGGGATGAGGGTAGATCACTTTTGACTGCATTGAAAGGGTGGGGGGTAGGAGAAGGGAGAGATGCACTCCACACATGCTCAAACGCACCATTGCTTGGTTGGAGCAAGCACTGCAGGCTGGACTAGATAGAAGACAACAACAGATCCTAGGAAACTACCTTACTCGGCTCCCTTGGTCCATCAAACTCTGGATTGTCTACACTGACTGGCAGCAGCAACTGCTCTCCAGGGTTTCAGGCAAGGCACACACACCTGCAGCATGAATTGGGACCTTCTGCTTGCATGCAAGGCTGTCGCTGAGAGTCAGCCCTTCTGAGCGTGTGCACAGAACTCGATTCGAATCTAGATCAGACTCCGGTGATTGCTCGCGGCTCTGTGTGTGTGTGGCACTCTGCATGCGCTCAGAGGAACCGTTGCTGACCCACTGGACGTCTAGAGCAGCCTTCGTCTCCGGCCCCCCAATCCACCGACCCACCTGCCGCCGCAGCCTTGGGTTCAGCCGCCAGCCAGGCGCCCAGGATCCGCTCCGACTCGCCCCCCGCGTAAAAATGCGCGGTATCCAGCTCGCAGTGCCCGCGGGCCAGGAACGCGCGCAGCATCGCCCCGCTGGCCGCCGCGTCTGCCCTGCGCCCGAACTCCATGGTGCCCAGCACCGAGCGCACGCCGCGGCTCTGCCCGCGTAGCCCCGACATCGCGGCGGCTGCAGCAACAGCTCGATCTGCCTCCGGCTGGACTCGAACTCGCCACCAGCTGGGAAACAGCCTTTTAAAGCACGCGTGACGCCACGCCTTCCCTTCCCAAGTAAGGGGCCGTCTCAAAATTCCTGCAACCTCATTTTAGAGCGTGCCATTTTGCAGCATGTCGTTTTGCACGCCTGTTTTAAAAGGGCTGGTTTCAAGCAGCGCCTTCAGTCAGAGTGTCCTGCTAAGGTCTGGGAGACCTGGGTTCAAATCCCCCACCGGGCTATGAACTCGCTTGGGTGCAACCTTGGGTGCGACTGTCTTTCTCAACCTACCCTACCCCTCAGGGTTGTTGTGGGGATTAAATGAGGAGGGAGGGAGAACCGTGTGAGCCAATGCTTTGGAGCAACTTGGAGAAAAATGGTAGGATATAGAATTCGACTCCCTCAGGAGGTTGAGGGCTCTCCTTCCTTGGAGTTATTTTTTTAGCAGAGATTGGGTGGCCATCTGCCACAGATGCTTTAGTCGAGATTCCTGAATTGCAGTGGGTTGGACTAGATGACTCTAGGGGTCCCTTCCAACTCCACGATTCTATGCAATGCATAATGGATCTTATGGAGGGCTCTCCATCACTGGATTTTTTTAAAAAAAACTTTATTGCAAAACAATTTACATATAACAACACAGACAAATACAATATCTTAATGACAACTAAACATTAACCAACAACACATCGTCTAACACAGGGGTAGGCAAACTAAGGCCCAGGGGCCGGATGTGGCCCAATCGCCTTCTAAATCCGGCCCACGGACGGTATGGGAATCAGCGTGTTTTTACATGAGTAGAATGTGTCCTTTTATTTAAAATGCATCTCTGGGTTATTTGTGGGGCCTGCCTGGTGTTTTTACATGAGTAGAATGTGTGCTTTTATTTAAAATGCATCTCTGGGTTATTTTTTGTGGGGCATAAGAATTCGTTCATCCCCCCCCCAAAAAAATATAGTATGGCCCACCACATGGTCTGAGGGACGGTGGACCACCCCACGGCTGAAAAAGGTTGCTGACCCCTGGTCTAACATCACACACATTTTTTGCTTCCAATTCACTTCAGTGTGCTTTCGACAAATTCTTAACCTTTACGCAATTCCTGTTATATCTGTTACCTGTCCAGAAATTTTTCTACCTTTATAAAGGTAAAGGGACCCCTGACCATTGGGTCCAGTCGCGGATGACTCTGGGGTTGCGGCGCTCATCTCGCTTTACTGACCGAGGGAGCCGGTGCACAGCTTCCGGGTCATGTGGCCAGCAGGACTAAGCCGCTTCTGGCGAACCGGAGCAGCGCACGGAAGTGCCGTTTACCTTCCCGCCGGAGCGGTACCTATTTATCTACTTGCACTTCAGGCTTTCGAACTGCTAGGTTGGCAGAAGCAGGGACCGAGCAACGGGAGCTCACCCCGTTACGGGGATTCGAACTGCGACCTTCTGATTGGCAAACCCAAGAGACTCAGTGGTTTAGACCACAGCACCACCCACATCCCTAATACGGGGTTAGGGGAATGGTTTTGTTAGCCATGCCACTAAATGGAACCTCTACGTGTAGAGGCAGTTTACCTCTGAACACCATGCTCTATGATTTAATCCACAGCGCCACCCGTGTCCCTTCTACATGTATAGTTTCCCTTAATATTCAAGATTCAATCTAGAGCTGTCAGGAGATTTGCATTTTCACAATATTGTTTTAGATATTCTTTAAATGTTATCCATTCTTTACACACTTTCTGGTTTGAGTTTCCTCTTATTCTCCCAGTCATTTTCGCAATTTCCAAGTATTCTATCATCTTCACCTGCCAGTCAAGCTTTGTAGGAATTAAGTCACATTTCCAGTGTTTTGCTACTAAAATTCCAGTCACCGGAGTTGCATACATAAATATGGTTCTAAAGTTTTTTGGGATTTCACTGGAGGTTTTTAAGCAGAGGCTGGATGGCCATCTATCAGGGATGCTTTAGTTGAGATTCCTGCATTGTGGGGGGTTGGACTAGATGATCCTGAGGGATCCCCTTGACCAACTCTACAATTACAGTGATACCTCGGGTTAAGATCTTAGTTCATTCTGGAGGTCCGTTCTTAACCTGAATCTGTTCTTAACCTGAAGCACCACTTTAGCTAATGGAGCCTCCTGCTGCCGCTGCGCCGCTGGAGCACGATTTCTGTTCTCATCCTGAAGCAAAGTTCTTAACCCGAGGTATTATTTCTGTTACAGATAGGTAGCCGTGTTGGTCTGCCATAGTCAAAATAAAAAAAAAAAAAAAAAAAATAAAAAAAAAAAAATAAACCCAGATTTATAAAAAATAAACCCAGATGCCAACTTTGCTGCCACATACACCCGGACAACACCATTACTGGCCCCAACAACATCACACATACCATCTCGGGACTATTCAATTGCTCATCATCTAACATTGTGTATGGCATCAAATGCCAACAGTGTCCTTCAGCTCTCTATATTGGACAAACAGGCCAAACCTTACGCCAAAGAATAAATGGACATAAATCTGACATCAAGAATCACAAAACAGAGAAACCAGTAGGAGAACACTTCAATCTCCCAGGACATTCTATACAAGATCTCAAAGTAGCTGTTTTACTACAAAGGAATTTCAGAAATAGACTGGAAAGAGAAGCTGCTGAATTGCAACTCATTACCAAACTTAAAACCATGGAGAGACCTGGTTTGAACAAAGACATTGGATTCTTATCCCATTATACATGACTAAGCCATTTCTCACCTTCTCACCCCTTGCCTTTTCCTGTAAGACCTATTACAGTCGTTAAGAGTCGTCAGCAGGCTCATCTCAGCTATCTGCCAATCTCCCATTCCCACCACCCTTCTGAGTAATACCCTCCCCACCTTCTCACTATATAGAAGGATCTGGCAACTTCTGTTTCAGTGTATCTGAAGAAGTGTGCTTGCACACGAAAGCTCATACCAAGAACTAACTTAGTTGGTCTTAAAGGTGCTACTGGAAGGATTTTTTTTATATTATTTCTGTGTTAGCGGAGTCTGTAACCTGCAGCGTCTGTAACCCGAGGTACCACTGCATTCTAAGGCGCCGCCACAACCAAACCGCAGAGCTCCGCCCCGAGGCGCTTCCAAAACGCGGGCGGCTGGCTCTGCGCGTTCGGTGGGGCTGACTCTTTGTTCCCCCGGCCGGGAGGCGGAGCGAGGCCCCGATTCCTCCCCCTTCGGTGGGGCGGGCTCTGCCGTCAGCTGACGCCACCGCATCCGCCAACCCTCCCGCCGGCGCCGCAGGGGAGGAGCTGCGGCCGAGTCGGGCGGAGAACAAAACAAAGCCGCGCTCCGGGTCGGCGTCTGAACAGCCGCCAAGAGGAGCGAATCCGGTTTGGGCGCAATGGCACCCCGGGGCGCGCAGACGAGGGCCAGGAGCTAAAGCGCCTTCAGCATCTTTGGGCATCAGAGTGAGTTGAATGATTGCGGTTGGGGGTTGTCCCCAGGGGAAGCAGGGTTCCTAACCCGGGGGTAGGGCACGATGTTTCCCTCCCCCGAGGTCAAACCAGGGCAGTTATTGTTTTAAAACCCTCCTTTCCTTTCCCAGCTTAATTTCTTGATGCTAGCTCCATAGGTTTATCGTACTAGCCAAAGGCCAGGGTGATAAAAATTCGTGATGCTAAGTACAATATATTTATAAATTTTATATACCGCTTGATTTTTTTTAAAAAAAACCTTCTCAAAAGCCGTTTCCAAAAGGCAAAACGATAAAATTAGCACAAAAAACTACAACAATAATTTAAGGTAAAATAGCAATAGACTAAAAACAGATTAAAACTTGCATCATAATAATCTGGGGAGGCTGGCGTAAAAATGTTTTTAGCCGGCACCGAAAAAGAGGAGAGTGAAGGCTCCCGCCTGATTTCAAGTGGCAGGGAGTTCCAAAGTGCAGCCACACAAGAAGTTTGAGTTATTCCTATCTATCATTATTCCTTGATGATTGTCTTGCAAATGAAATGGAGACCACCTGGGGCTTAGGTTTATCAGGAGGCTGTTTATCAGCAAGCCCCCATCCCACCGAAGGCCTTGGGTGTGGTTCCTCCTTTCTTACAAAATAAAAAAAGCCACTCTGCCTGTGCTCAGAGGCCTTCCTGTGTCCCAGAACTTCCCCCAGGCTTGAAAAAAATAGGTAATGATTCAGCCTGGGGAAAACCTTATTATTAAGTGGAGTTTGGTAGGGAGGATTTTTTTTTGTTCATTCTCTTTGATGGTATATCAAATGTGTTTTGATGGGTGGGAGAAGATGAATCGTGGCCCACTGCAACTGCTCCTCTTTTTACAAGACCTAATTATGTACAAGTGGCTTCCTTCATTTCCAGACCTCTGCAAAGGTGGAAAGCAGTGATAAACAAGAGTAACTCTGGGCATGTGCCGAGTATATTCCTCCATCTTTGCTCAAAGCCAGTTTGGAATTCGCTTCTTTGTGTTCCACCTGCTAGATCTGTCCTGGGGAAGGTCATTGTGGTTGCGATTCTGGCTCTTTTTTTTCTTTCTTTTTTTTGCAACTCTCTTTATTTTTTTGAAACAGTCTCCCTGTTCTTGCAGTGATCAATAGAGGCTAACCCAAAAGTTCTGGCCCCTAGCTATAGCAGAGTAGATTTCCCCCATCAAATTTCCATCAGGCCAAACCCTCAATGTCCCTTTGGGGCAGTTCCTTCTTGGTTACTGTGAGAGAGCAGGATACTCTCTAAATCATGGGCAGGCAAACTAAGGCCCGGGGCCCGGATCCAGCCCAATTGCCTTCTAAATCCAGCCCGCGGACGGTCCGGGAATCAGCGTGTTTTTACATGAGTAGAATGTGTCCTTTTATTTAAAATGCATCTCTGGGTTATTTGTGGGGTCTGCCTGGTGTTTTTACATGAGTAGAATGTGCCCTTTTACAGTGGTACCTCAGGTTACAGACGCTTTAGGTTACAGACGCTTCAGGTTACAGACTCCGCTAACCCAGAAATAGTACCTCGGGTTAAGAACTTTGCTTCAGGATGAGAACAGAAATCGTGTGGCGGCGGCGGGAGGCCCCATTAGCTAAAGTGGTACCTCAGGTTAAGAACGGACCTCTGGAATGAATTAAGTTCTTAACCTGAGGTACCACTGTATTTAAAATGCATCTCTGGGTTATTTGTGGGGCATAGGAATTTGTTCACCCCCCCCCAAAATATAGTCCGGCCCTCACAAGGTCTGAGGGACAGTGGACCGGCCCCCTGCTGAAAAAATTTGCCGACCCCTGCTCTAAATTCTCCAAGTGATCTTTGTCCATGAGGGCTGGTGGTTTTGTGACCTCTTTTCCACCCGGATCTGTAGAATGAAAAACAGCCTTTTGTCCTCACCTAGAACAAACCAGGGATGTGGGGCTGGGGAGACGCCACTGGACTTCTTCTCAGACAAACATTCGGATAGCAAACCAGGTCACAGTGTGGTAAATACTGAAGTGGTTTGTCACCCTCTTGTTTACACACACCAAGGTGAAGCGCTCCAGAATCTGGTCTTGCCTTTGGACTCCAGTCAGAAAGTTTTGTGGTTTTTTTTAAAAAAAGCTTTTTACTTTCTTGTTTGGCTAGCAAAAAAGAAAAAAAGAAGGAAAAAGAATGCAGCTTTGGAAGACCAAACTCTCTCTCTCCCTTTCTCTCTCTCTCTCTGTGTCAGAATGAAAAATAAATTTTGTGCTGAAATGACGATTTCTCTGTGCCTGCAAAGCAAGAATATGTGCTGGGGTGGGCAATTCTTGCCGGCTAAAGTCCTCTCTCTTTTTCTTTGCTTGTGGGATTGTGAAAGGGTTCCCTGCTCACGAGTGTGATTCTTTCTTGAGCTTTTTTTTCAGTATGCAAATCAGCTGTCCAGATCCCAGAAAAAGTGCTTTGCAAGAGTAGCTGCTTGGGACAGTGCCCAGGGAGGGGAGGGGCGGGTTTGAAAGAGATGGGGGATTTCCCTAGACATTTGGGTCCAGGCTGGTAGTTGGAGATACACTACCCCTGAACTAGGAGGCTTCATTAAGCCCTAGTGGCAAATAGCTGTACTGGCTTGCATCCAATGTTAAGAGTAGACCAGGGGTAGGCAACCTAAGGCCCAGGGGCCCAATTGCCTTCTCAATCCGGCCCACGGACAGTCCGGGAATCAGCGTGTTTTTACATGAGTAGAATGCGTGATTTTATTTAAAATGCATCTCTGGGTTATTTGTGGGGCATAGGAATTCGTTTATTCCCCCTCCCCCCCAAAAAAAATATAGTCCGGCCCCCGCCACATGGTCTGAGGGACGGTGGACTGGCCCACGGCTGAAAAAGGTTGCTGACCCCTGGAGTAGACCAACCACACAGTTTGGCTAATTTAGGTTCATTCATTTCAGTGGGTCTGCTTAGTTGGATAAAGGTAAAGGTAAAGGGACCCCTGACCATTAGGTCCAGTCATGACTGACTCTGGGGTTGTGGCGCTCATTCCGCTTTATTGGCCGAGGGAGCCGGCGTACAGCTTCCGGGTCATGTGGCCAGCATGACTAAGCCGCTTCTGGCGAACCAGAGCAGCGCATGGAAACGCCGTTTAGCTTCCCGCTGGAGCGGTACCTATTTATCTACTTGCACTTTGAGGTGCTTTCGAACTGCTAGGTTGGCAGGAGCAGGGACCGAGCAACGGGAGCTCACCCCGTCACAGGGATTCGAACTGCCGACCTTCTGATCGACAAGTCCTAGGCTCTGTGGTTTAACCCCCAGCGCCATCCACTTGCTTAGTTGGATACAACCCTTTAAACTAGCCTTCCCCAAGCTGATTCCCTCTAGATGTTTGTTTAGCATTCTAGGTTAAAATTATAGATTGAAATTTGTGCCTGAGAAGGCTTTACCTAAAGGGAAAAGTTTTTCGCAGGTGTCAGGAAGAATACAATTTAGACATTTGACCAATGTCAATTAGCAGGGAGTTTCAGAGTGCAGCCACACTAAAAGACTGGTTCCTATGACACTTATTTCTTTCCTTTCTTCCTTGGCAGGTTCACAGTTCGGCTATGGACAAATAATCCTGCCTCTTATGTTTCGTGTGACTTCTGCGGCCTAGCCTCCCTTTCCCTAAATTCCCTAAATTGAGCCTTTGCTCAGATACGCACAATGCCGGTTCATCTGCAAATGATCGGTTCCCTGAGCATGAATTTTTCCGATTGCCCCAATGGCTCCCAGTGGGTTTGGGAGATATTCCACGAATGTGCCCAGGATGGCTGGGACATATCCAGTGTGGTGCTGGGCTTACTCTCCATCTTCTGCTTTGCTGCGGCGTCTTTCCCGTAAGTAACAAAAAGCAAAAACAACAACGGTTGCTTCCTCTTTGGTTGCCTTGCGTGATCATAACTCCTAATTGAAGAACTCAACAACCCACTGCTGGAATGACGGGCGAGTTTCTCATTGCTAACCAACCCTGACACAACATTTTTTTTTTTTGAGACATGAGTCACTTCCCGCTCGAGCAAGTCTCCTGCTGCCCTTAGGAAACTCCGAGCTTTCCTTTTCTCCACTTTCTTTGCAATGGCAGCGACAAAATCCCTCCAAATGAGACACGAAGCTCATGTGGCTGGCTGCAGTCTCGAGCAAGGTAGTGAGCCCTGCGCTGCAACATTTCGTTGCAGTTCTCACCTACGTTGTCTCTTAAAGTAAAGCCCAGGAAATATATCTACTTATTACTCACCAAATGGATCCAGGGCAGCTTGCAAAAACATCATTTAAAATGAAGTGCATAGGTGAAGCAGCGGTCGTTACTTGCTTCAGATGTCTTGAGAAAGATCGCTCTGTGGAAAAATGGTTGCCGGCTAGGTGGCCCATTTGCCCTGATATAGCAGCTCTTCTTACATTCTTAAATACATGTCCATCTTTTTGCCCAGGCTTTCCCTGACCCAAGATTGAAGACCCTGTCTTTATTTCTCTGAATTCCCTGAAATTTTATTTGGTTTTTTTTTTTCCTTTTCTGCTCACCAGAACTTAATTAACCAGGCCTTTGGTTGATTTGATTGACATCGTATGACCTTTTAAAATGTGGTGGGTTGTTTTTTTGGGGGTGGAGGTTATTGGGTTGTTGTTGTTGTTTTTTATTTTGTTTATGTATTTTGTGGTTTTATATTTTGATTTTATTCTCTGAACTGCCCTGAGACCTCCGGGTATAGGGCGGTAATATAAATTTGACAAATAAAATAAAAAATAAACAAATGTTTTGCTGTATACAGCTTGCATTTTTGTTTCAGCGATGTTACTTGCTTGTTCTTGCATCCTACACTTTTTAGAGATTAAAAAATATCATGCAGTTTATGCATACTTTTAAATAAATGAATGTAAAATAAAACCCATAAAACTAACTAATATCAAAGTAGCAAAACAGAAGCACAGAACTATCTCTATATATAAAAAGCAATATTGTAACCGTGTGTGTATATGTATCTGTGTGTGTCTACATGCAGACTTCTACAATATTCCTTTTTTTTGACTGGGGATCTGGTTACCTGGAGATATAATTTGCTTGCCCTAGGTGACCAAGCAAAGCTTGACCAGCAAGCCTACTCTAACTGCTTCTTCCTCAAATGTCTCCCCTCTGCAGCCAATACTACCTGGCCTGTAAAACTGGGATTATGGACCAGGCGTTATCTGTCTACTTCCTGTTGGGATGGTTAGGAGGAGACTCTTTAAACCTGATTGGGTCGTTCTTGGCTGACCAGCTACCACTACAGGTAAGAAGAGCCTTTCTGGAACAGAGTGAACTGAACTGAAATGGATGCTCTCATCCATGTTTTGTGTGGTTTAAAATAGGACCACACTGTTCTGTCCTGGTCAGACCTCACCTGGGAGTCCTGTGTCCAGTTCTGGGCATCCAGTCCAGATCTGCATTGGCTCCCAGTACGTTTCCGAGCACAATTCAAAGTGTTGGTGCTGACCTTTAAAGCCCTAAACGGCCTTGGTCCTGTATACCTGAAGGAGCGTCTTCACCCCCATCGTTCAGCCTGGACACTGAGGCCCAGCGCCGAGGGCCTTCTGGCGGTTCCCTCATTGCGAGAAGTGAGGTTACAGGGAACCAGACAGAGGGCCTTCTCGGTAGTGGCGCCCGCCCTGTGGAACGCTCTCCCTTCAGATGTGAAGGAAATAATAATAATAATAACAACTTTTTATTTATACCCCGCCCTCCCCAGCCAAGACCGGGCTCAGGGCGGCTAACAACCATTAATAAAAACAAGTTGATTAAAATACAATTTAAAAGATTAAGATACAATATTAAAACAATTAGGGAGCAATCTCATCATAGGAGGATAAAGGAAAAAGAAAAAGGGGGAGGGAATCAAACTGATTCTAAGCCAAAGGTCAGGTGGAACAACTCTGTCTTACAGGCCCTGCAGAAAGAGATCAGATCCTGCAGGGCCCTGGTCTCAAGAGACAGAGCATTCCACCAGGCCGGAGCCAGTGTTGAGAAGGCCCTGGCTCTGGTTGAGGCTAATCTAACTTCCTTAGGGCCCAGGACCTCTAAATAAGCAGCTATCTTATCTTTAAAAAACATCTGAAGGCAGCCCTGTTTAGGGAAGTTTTTAATATTTAACACTGTATTGTTTTTAACACTCGATTGTGAGCCGCCCTGAGTGGCTGGGGAAACTCAGCCAGATGGGTGGGGTATAAATATTATTATTATTATTATTATTTATCATCATTATCATCATCCCAGTTTAAGGATATTGACAAGCTGGAATGGGTGTTGAGGAGGGTGACCAAAGAGGATCAAGGGCAGGCATAGGCCAGGTTACCAAATGTCCGTGGTTCCCAGGGACAGTCCCTGGATTTGCAAATCTGTCCCCGAACAAATTCCGTCCCCGGAATGTCCCCAGATTTGCAAATCTGTCCCCGGGAAACATGGCAGTGGCATGCTCAGCAGCCCGGAATCAGCCTGGTAGCGCAGTTGGCTCTGGCTGGTTTCAGGAGCTGCTTGCTGCCGCCGCCACTGCCGGGGACTTCTGGTGGTACAGATCTCCTGCCCCCTTCCCCCTTTGTTTTGACAGATTGGGGGAGGCTCAGGAGTCGTGGGCGGGCGGCCGTTGCCCAGGAGGGGCGCAAGGTGTGCCGTTTCTCTTCCAGGCAAGGTGCAAAGCCCTTCTTTCGAACCCTGCAAAACATAAATGTGCAGAGTTTTTTAAAAACTGGGCAACAGCCGCCCACCCGCGACTCCTAAGCCTCCCCCGATCTGTCAAAACAAAGGGGGGCAAGAGATCAGGGAGGGCTTGGGAGTCAAGGGCAGGCAGCATGCCGTTGCCCAGTTTTTTTAAAAACTGCGCATTTATGTTTCACAGGGTGCAAAAGAAGGGCTTTGCACCTTTATACAATATGCATGTGTGCTTGGGCCCAGGGTCTTTTGCCTCACCATCCCCACTACTGACTCCCTGTTGCTACTCAGATTCAAAAAAAGAAAAGAAAAAGGGTCCCCGGATTCATTGAAAAAAATCTGGTAACCATAGCATAGGCAAACTCCAGCCCTCCAGATGTTTCAGACTACAATTCCCATCATCCCTAGCTAATAACAGGACCAATGGTCAGGGATGATGGGAATTGTAGTCCCAAACATTTGGAGGGCTGGAGTTTGCCTATGCCTGATCAAGGGTCTGGAAACCAAGCCATATGAGGAATGGTTGAGGGAGTTGGGGATGTTTAGCTTGGAAAAGAGGAGACATGATAGCCATCTGTCTCAAGGGCTGTCACATGGAAGATGCAACAAGCTTGTTTTCTCCTGCTCCGGAGGGTAGGACTTGAACCCATGACTTTAAGTTACAAGACAGGAGATTCCGACTAAACGTCAGGAATGACTTTCTGCCTATAAGAGCTGTTTGACAGGGGAACGGACTTCCTTTGGAAGGTGGCGGGATGCTCCTTCATGTGAGGTTTTAAAACACAGGTTGGGTAGTCATCTGTCAGAGATTCTTCAGCAGTGATTCTTGCACTGCACCTTGGGGTTGGGCTAGATGACCCTCGGGGTCCCTTCCAACTCGACAATTCCGAGATTCTGTGGAAATGAATTCAGTGAAAGAATGTGATTTGTGACTGCAGTTTAGGACAATCTTTTTTCCATACTTGATCACTTTGTGGAATCGGTATACCCTGGGTGCAGAATTTTAATTCTTTTAATTTCAGAGTTGCTACTGACAGCCCTCCCTCTTTCTCTCTCTCTCTCTCTCTCTCTCTCTCTCTCTCTCTCTTTCTTTCTTTCTTTCTTTCTTTCTTTCTTTCTTTCTCTGCCACAGGTATACACAGCCATCTATTACGTACTGGCAGACCTGCTTATGATGTCTCTCTACCTCTATTACAAAGTCAAGAACCAGAACAGAACCTGTAAGTTTCAACTCACTAACACGGGCCAAGAAAAGCAGGTTTTGCAGAACATTAAACAATTGTAACTTAAAAAAAAACCAACCCAAAACATTAGCCCTGTTTTCAGGAAATACTTTCAACACAAGTTGGGGCCCCATTTAAGGGTTTGGGGCATGCAACTTAATTCTATTTTTTATCTCTGGGCATGTGCAGAGTTCTCTGCCCTACTTTGCCTATGGTTAACGATGAACCAAAGCGCCAGGGCTGCGATTTTCCTGGAAGACCCTTTAAACCTTTCTACTCAATGCTCACCGACTTCCAGGGTGGAATGCAAGCTGGTATGGGTGTGCACTCTGTACATGCTCTAATGCTCACTTAATTGACTCCAGGGCTCAACATCTACCCTGCCACTGCATAACCACGTTCCTGTCCTATACATTTTAACTGTTGTCAATTTGTATAGTGCCATCAGTTTGTGTGATGCTTTATAATACAAAAGGGCAGATTGTTGTCTCAAAACACCTACAATCTAAAGTTTGGCAAGGATTCATAGATTAGAAGCCCTGGGTCAATCTTAAATCTCAATCCTTAAATCTTCCCTCACCCTTTAAAACAAAGGACTTGCCTCTCCATCTTGTTAATTTCATCAAACTTTTTTTTTTAACCAATCCTTCCTGTAGATCTGTTAACTCTGTGAACAACTTCCCGGCTGCTGATAATGAATTTATCTCTTCCTCTTTTTTTGAGATATTTTAACACTGTGAGGCTGAAGGTCAGTGGCCGGGTGTCATTTTGGAACAGTTCCCCTAAAGGAAAATCTGTTACTGATGCCATAATTCTGGGAAACCCTGTGTACCCCCAAAAAGCCACAGTAGGGCTAAACATTACTAATAATGGTTTATTATTGATTAATTGCACTTTTTTCCTCTATTGAGCTCATGTAATCCCCACAACAATCTTGGGAGGTAGATTAGGCTGAGAGGGCAGTTACTGGCCCCCAGTGAGCCTAATGACTGAGGGGGCAGATTTGAACCCTGTTCTCTCCCATGTTCTGGCAAAACAGTCTAACCAATATGCCACACTGCCTCTCATATCCCAACTTTCCTCCAAGTGGCATACGTGGTTCTCCCCGATCCATTTTGCCCTCACGAAAACAACCCTGCGGGCTAGAATAAGCCGAGAGGCAGTGACGGGCCCAAGCTCCCCCAGCGAGCTTTGCGGCTGAGTGGGGGATTCGAACTCTGCAGTCCCAGGTCCTAGGCTGATGCTCCAAACCACTATGCCACACTGCTGAAAAGTTGGGGAAATTGTCAGGCAGAAGCTTGCTGCTCCGAGGGCCTTCTGGTGGTTCCCTCACTGTGAGAAGTGAGGTTATGGGGAACCAGGCAGAGGGCCTTCTTGGTAGTGGCTCCCGCCTTGTGGAACGCCCTCCCATTAGATGTCAAGGAAATAAACAACCATCTGACTTTTAGAAGACATCTGAAGGCAGCCCTGTATAGGGAAGTTTTTCATGTTTGACGTTTTATTATGTTTTTATACAGAGGTCAGCAAACTTTTTCAGCAGGGGGCCAGTCCACTGTCCCTCAGATCTTGTGGGGGGGCTGGAGTATATTTTTTTGGACGGGGAAATGAATGAATTCCTATGCCCCACAAATAACCCAGAGATGCATTTTAAATAAAAGCACACATTCTAGTCATGTAAAAACACCAGGCAGGCCCCCAAAATAACCCAGAGATTCATTTTAAATAAAAGGACACATTCTACTCATGTAAAAACATTCTGATTCCCGGACCGTCCGTGGGCCGGATTTAAAGGCAATTGGGCCACATCCAGCCCCCGGGCCTTAGGTTGCCTACCCCTGTGTTAGACCATGTGTTGTTAGTTAATATTTAGTTGTCATTGAGATATTGTCTTTGTGTTGTTATATGAAAATTGTTTTGCAATAACAATTGCAAACCCGTGTTTTATATGTCCCAGAGTGGCTGGGGCAACCCAGCCAGATGGGCAGGATACAAATAATAAAATTATTATTATTACTTCAGGAAACTTTTTAAGGGGGTTTCCCATCCCCTTGTTCACATGCCCCCCCCCCCCCCGGTCAGTTTTCTGGCTTATCCTAAACTCTGGCCAGTTTTCTGCCTTATCCTAAACCAACTTCTCTCTTTCCCTCCTCAGTCTCCGCTTCAATCAATGCCGCTTTTGCGTTCCTCGTTGTGGGAACGGTGTCTGTGACCTCCTTCCTGGGCAGACCCTCCTCTCTTCCCGGAGATGACACTGTGTCCTTCAGAGGGAGGATGCTTCTCTCGTCCACAGAAGATCGTCCTGGGTGGGAGGTATGCTTGTTTATTTGTTTCACCTAAAGATTGGAAGCTGGAGGTCATGTGAAGCGCAGGGCGAGCCTGCTGCTCAGGTTTCTGCTGGAAGAAACCCCTCCCAATTTATGACATAGTTACGACAAATATATGATGTTTCACTAAGGGTGTTATGGGTAATTTGGAAAACCTATAAAAAGGGGGGGTGGCACTGTGGGTTAAACCACAGAGCCTAGGGCTTGCTGATCAGAAGGTTGGCGGTTCAAATCCCTGCGAACCACAGAGCCTAGGGCTTGCTGATCAGAAGGTTGGCGGTTCAAATCCCCGCGACGGGATGAGCTCCCGTTGCTCGGTCCCTGCTCCTGCCAACCTAGCAGTTCGAAAGCACATCAAAGTGCAAGTAGATGAATAGGCAGAAAAGTAAACGCCGTTTCCATGCGCTGCTCTGGTTCACCAGAAGCGGCTTAGTCATGCTGGCCACATGACCCGGAAGCTGTACGCCGGCTCCCTCGGCCAATAAAGCGGGATGAGCGCCGCAACCCCAGAGTCGGTCACGACTGGACCTAACGGTCAGGGGTCCCTTTACCTTTTATAAAAAGGGGAGCCATCCTTTGTTCGGGGCTTCTTTCAGCTTCTACATGGTAGTTTGATGTTGCAACAATAAAGATCAGGCCTACAGGCTGCTGTTTTGCTCCTATAAAAAGACAAAAAAAGACAGGAACAAACTGAAAGTAAACAGGGGACAAGAGGAGGAGGAGGACTTTGCAAGAGAGTGGCATCACTTAGTCACTTTTGTTAATTTGTCTCCTATTTTGCATCACCTGAGGGGTTGGGCCTCTTGGAAGTGAACTATTTTGGCAGATTTGATAGTGGGACTGTCTCCCTCGGATGGGCTCTTCTTCCTTGGAGGTTTTTAAGCAGAGGTTGGATGGCCACGTGTCATGGATGCTTTAGCTGAGATTCCTGCATTGCAGGGGGTTGGACTAGATAATAATAATAATAATAATAATAATAATAATAATAATAATTTATACCCCGCCCTCCCCAGCCAAGGCCAGGCTCAGGGCGGCTAACAAGCAATAATAAAAACAAGTTGAATGAATACAACTTAAAAACAAGATTAAAATACATTAAAATATTGAAACATTAAAATATTAAAATGCAGCCTCATCACAGGAGGAGAAAGGAAAAAGAAAAAAGAAAGAGGGGGAGGGAATCAAATTGGCTCCAAGCCAAAGGCCAGGCAGAACAACTCTGTCTTACAGGCCCTGCGGAAAGAAATCAGATCCTGCAGGACCCTGGTCTCATGAGGCAGAGCATTCCACCAGGCCGGAGCCAGTGTTGAAAAGGCCCTGGCTCTGGTTGAGGCTAATCTAACTTCCTTAGGGCCCGGGACCTCTAGGGTGTTGCTATATATGGACCTTGAGGCTCTCCGTGGGGCATACCGGGAGAGGCGGTCCTGTAGGTACGAGGGTCCTAGGCTGTGAAGGGCTTTAAAGGTCAAAACCAGCACCTTAAATCTGACCCTGTACTCCACCTGGAGCCAGTGCAGCTGGAAAAGCACTGGGTGAATATGCTCCCATGGCAGAGACCCCGTGAGGAGCCTCGCTGCTGCATTCAGCACCCGCTGGAGTTTCTGGGACAGCTTCAAGGGCAGCCCCACGTAGAGCAAATTACAGTAGTCTAGCCTGGAGGTGACCGTCGCATGGATCATGGATAGATGATCCTCAGGGTCCCTTCCAGCTGTATGATTTGCTTGTGAACAGTTCTTTCTTTGCCACGCTTACCTGCCGAGGAGTAACGGGAGATTCTTATGACACTTGGAACCAAAGGGCCTGTTGGTGAGGGGGCATGTAATTTCATAAAAGTTTTGTTTCAGTTAATTGGTTTGTTATAATGATTTTGTGTATGCTTGCTTGTTGAGGGGGGAAATATAATAGTGCATTGCAGTTGCTCCAGCTCACTTCATTCAACAACAGGTTACGTATAGGTAACTCATAACTTGCGTGCGTTTAACGGATGCACATTCAGCCAAATGGAAATATAATCTAGTCAGGCACTGAAAATAGAAAAACAACTAGAACTAAACCAGGCCAGGTGGAAAAACTACTTGCCCCCAAGAAATCTTCCTTAAAGGGAAAGTGTTCAGTGCACAAGAAGAAGCCTAAGAATGTTAAAATGGGACGCCGAAAGCGGTCCTCTCGGACTAGAAAATGAATTTCTCAAAGCTATTTAAGCTGTTGGAGAATTCAAACACAAAGAACTCCAGCGCAACAACCCAAAATAAGAGCAAAAGCCCAAGCATGTTAAAAAGCAGCTTTCTGAACTTGGCAAAAATAATTTTAAAAAATAAAAAAGGTGAGGTGGGCATCAGGGGGAAAAGGCTTTGGCGACCCAGTCTGTTTTGACTTTACACTATTTTGCCTTTACACGCTGTTCCCAGAAAATAACCCCACTGTAAACTGAGAGCTGCCTATATTTCCTTATTCTTGAAAAACTAATAAAAAATATTTTCAAAAAATAGAGGAGGGGAGCCAGAGGGCGGCGGGCTGGTTTGGGCAGAATTAATTTTAAACCTGTTCTCTCCTTGGACCATTTATTTGTTTATAACGGCCTCGTTTCCTTCCACAGCCTTTCACCCAGCAAGAAATCATTGGTTTCATTATCGGGTCTGTTTCGTCTGTTCTCTACCTGCTTTCCCGGGTCCCACAGATCTACACGAATGTAAGCTGCGCTCGGGGAAATGGGGCAGGGTCTGTTTCAGTACCAGCGGCTCTTTCAGGCTGGCTTGGGAGGGAGGCTAAAGTATGTCAGTGGCAGAGCAACTACTCTTCATGTCGAAATTCCTGGGTCAACTCCCAGTGGATTTCCGGATACGGCCAGGAGAGACAGGACGTCTGAAGCCCTGGGTAGCTGCTGCCAGTCAGAGAAGATCTGGAGCTAAATGGAGCAGTGGCATGTCTCAGTATAAGGGCAGCTGACTTTGCTTTTGTTTAAATGGGCCCTTTTCTTTGAACCATGAGGACTAGAATTTTACTTTTTTTAAAAAAAACTTTTATTGATAAATGCAATACTTACAAACACAAAACACTAAACAAACTTATTATACATAGATACATACACATCTCAACTTAGATTACAAAAAAAGAAAACAGACAAACAAACATAAATCTTGATTTTCCTCCACCTGTGTGTGGCTTCCTTTGTTCCTTTTCTTCTTTTCGCTGTATTATATTATTTTTGACTATCTCATCTTATACCCATTTCTTCTTAATTTTTTACTCTATCAGTTTCATTCATTGCATAGCAATATATTAATACCAGAACAATGTTTTTTGCTGTATTTCTTCACGCAAGTCCACTCCTCTATCAGTTTTTGGTCTGGTTGGCTTCTTACCACTGCTGTAAGTCTTGCTGATTCTATATATTCACAAAATTTTATTTGCCATTCTCTTATTGAGGGAGTTCCCCCCCCCCACTTCCAATTTTTTTGCTATAATCATTCTGGCCGCAGCGGTTGCATATAAGAAAACTTTTCCCCTAGCGGCAGGAATATAGAATTTTACTTTCTTTTTAGCAGATGGCAGAGCATTCTGCTTTGCTTGCACATGGTCCGAGGTTCCATCCCCAATCAAAAAAGGTTGGGCTGCTGGTGAGGGGAAAGGCCCTTCCCTGGCCTGTGGCCCTGGAGAGCAGCTGCCAGTCAGAGTAGACTGTATGGGGCTAGATGGGTGAATAGTCTGACCTGATCCAAAGCAGGCTTTGCTCATTTTCTCCAGTGGCTGCGGCTGGGTGGGAAAGTGATCACAAGTGGCCATCAGGAGCTCAGCTCAGTTTGGCTGCTAGAAACAAACCTTTTGCACCTGGTAGATCTGAAGAACGCAAGTACAGCCTGGCTACTGGATCAGACCAATGGCTCATCTATTCCAGTTCTGACACCCAGATGCCCCAAAGGGAAGCTCACAAGCCGGACCTGAGCCCATCGCTCTTGTGATTCCCAGCATTCAATATCTAGAGTTTTACTGCCTCCAGGCAGAGCATAGCCATCACGGCTAGTAGCCGTTGATTTGGGATTCTAGTAAAAAAACAACCCAGTGTAGATCTGAGAAGCCTGAAGTCTGCTTCTGTCTGCACGATTCCAAACGCATCTGCGTTGTTTGCCTTAGATGTCCGCAATTGCACCCCATTCTTCCCGATTCTCTGATAGGTGTTCAGTCCCTGAAGGAATTGCCAGGTAAGGCTGGGAAAAGACTCCCTGCCAGAAAACCTTGAGAGCTGCTATTGTTGTTTTTGTTGCTGCTGCTAATAATAATAATAATAATTTATTATTTATACCGCACCCATCTGGCTGGGTTTCCCCAGCCACTCTGGGCGGCTTCCAACAGAACACTAAAATACAATAACCTATTAAACATTAAAAGCTTTCCTAAACAGGACTGCCTTGATAATTGCAATTCCTCTTAACTTACCCTGCAGTTCAAGAGAAAATCGACCGTCGGCATATCTTATTCTCTCTTCGCTCTGGTGATGCTGGGGAACACTTTGTACGGACTCAGCGTCCTGCTGAAAAACCCGGATCGGGGCCAAGCTGAAGGCAGCTACGTCATCCACCACCTCCCATGGTTGATTGGCAGTTTGGGAGTCCTGGCTCTTGACATCGTTGTATCCTTTCTCTCTCTGCCCCGACACGCCCACCCCCAGCCAGATATCAGATTTTTTTACGTTTCTGCAGAGGCAAAATCCTGTGCAGATATGAGAATTCTATAGACAATGCATTATAGTGCCATACCTTTTAATTATTTACCCAGGGAATCAACTCTCTGCTTACTCAACAAAGCTTGCTGAGTGATGTTGGGCCTAAGCTACCAAACAGGTAGCATGGGTAAAACTGGGATTGGGTCCACCTATGCTCAGCTCCTGGGAGGACAATGAGAGCAAGTGGGTCTACTCTGCTGCATCTTCTCTTCTGCTCCTCTGCCCTGTCTTCGTGCAAATCCAGAATTGTGATGAAGCATTCCAATGGGGCTGCGTGACGACAGCCTTACGTTTCTATCTATATAGGAAGATATATGCTGCTGACTTGATTTCTTTTCTCTCTCTTTTTGCAACACCACATTTAAGTAGCAAGGGTCTTTTTTAAAAATAAAAGGATTACACAGATTAATTTGAGGCGGACCAACGGTAAAATCAAGAGGCACCCAATTAAAAACTAAAATTGGCTCTTCCTGTTGCAGAAACTGTCCTTAACTTCACCAATTCAGATCTCGTTTCAGTTCCTTGCCTACCGTCGGAAGAGGCTACCGTCGCTTGAAGAGAGAGAGGCTCTCCTGGGTGCGCAAGAGGAACCTACCGAAAGCTGACAAGGCACAATTTTTAAGTGAATGAAGATGCTGTGAAGGCTTTCTCCATTCCTCTGGACTTTGGAGAGCGTGCAACACAGTTAATCCTTTACTGTTGAACAGATCCTTCTCCATTTCGGGGTTGGGGCTGACTACCTCTAAACGGACAATGTTTCTATTTAAAAGGGTAGGTTGGGGAATTAATCTCACAGGTTGTAAGCTGAGGAGTGAAAATGGTGCATTATTTTTTTTTAAAGTGTGTTTTGGAACTCAAGGTGCACATAGCTCCCTCTTCACAATCACAATCCAAAATAAGGAAAAACGTAATTTAATGAGGAGGTTTGGATGGGATCAAAGGGAAATCACTGCAAGTGGGGATTGGGTAAAGCTGTATCTCTGGGCTTCAAAGAGTTATTTGCCATCATAAACACAGTCACAGGTGAATTCTGCCAAGACCCATCGAGGGTGAAGGGCAGAGGTCTTGTTCAGTGGCACACACGTTGGGCATTCATTGTGAATAAGCGTTTTATTTGCACAGATGGATAAATATGAAAATAAACTTAACCCCGCTTTCTAATCATGTCTGGATGCATTGGGAGAAGACGAAACAGAACAGTGGACAGCCAAGGAAGCTCAATGTTGGAAGATTCGGGGCAGGTAAAATTTTTCACCCAGCACATAGTTAAAAGTGTGGAACTTGCCCCCATAGGTGGCAGTCACAGCCACCAACTTTGATGACTTGGTGTTGGAGTATTGGATAAATTCATAGAGAAGAGGGCTATCCATAATGGAGGCAGTAGTGTTTCTGGATAGCAGCTGCTAGAAATGGAGAGGGCTGGTTTTCCATTGGGGCATCTGGTTGGCCACTGTGAAAACAGGATGCTAGACTAGATGGGCCAGCAATAAGTAACCAAACAAACCCCCGTGTTGCAAAGAGCACGTCAGCAATGTCTAGGCAACACGATGACCATAGACATACGTAATAGACAGTCTTTATAGAATTCCTTCAAACGATAACAAGTACAAAATTTAGCAATTCTATATTCTCCCACCACGCTGACGAAGAATTCTACAAAACAGTAGTCAATATCCAGAACCACTGTTCAGTGTTGGACATCATATTTGTTGAATACACAAAGCTTCACAGCTTGTCTTTCATCATACACAGTTTGGTACCTCGCTTCATTTAAAGATTTTCAGAGACTTTGAGACTAAAGATTTCATTTAGTACTTTTTATGGTTTGAAGGAATTCTATAACATATGTCTATGGTCATCGTGTTGCCTAGACATGCTGACGGACTAGATGGGGCAGCAGATCATTCTCTTACGTTGTTAATCTTGGCCACAATCTCACTCCTCTCTTCAGTGTCGATATTTGAACAGGATAGGTTTCCTGGGGGTGTTTTAGTCAGCCTAAACTCTGGAAAGGTGAGGGTGTGTCCCCCACAAAAGGTAAAGGGATCCCTGACCATTAGGTCCAGTCACGAACGACTCTGATGTTGCGGCGCTCATCTCACCTTACTGGCCGAGGGATCCGACGTCATGTGGCCAGCAGGACTAAGCCACCTCTGGCGAACCAGAGCAGTGCACGGAAATGCCGTTTACCTTCCCGCCAGAGTGGTACCTATTTAACTACTTGCACTTTGACGTGCTTTCGAACTGCTAGGTTGGCAGGAGCAGGGACTGAACAACGGGAGCTCGCCCCGTCACGGGGATTCAAACTGCCAACCTTCTGATCGGCAAGTCCTAGGTGCTGTGGTTTAGACCACAGCGCCACCCATGTCCATAACATGTTGACTGCAAAAATGATACTAGAAAACTCTGGTTGTGAATACAGAAGTAGGTGACCTCTAGTACAACTCAAGCTAGCCCATCACTCTTCCCAGGAAATACTTCGCTGCTTTAAAATGTAGGTAGGTTGTTTAGTTTGAATTGTGGAGGAAAACACCTCAAACACCTCAAAACAGTAGGAGCTTTCTTCACTCTTTTAACAGAGACCTCTTTCCCTCCCAGCACTGCAATTCTCAGAGCTCCCTGTGGGGAGGGACGGGCTGCTAAACCACTTTGGGAACTGTAGTTCTGAGAGGGTAAAATTTTCCCCCTAACTACTTTCAACAACCTTAACAAAACTACAGCCATGACTGTTTAAAAGTGGTATTGTAGAACTCTAAATGCATGGTGTGAATGTGGCCAGTCTTTCAACATAGCCCAGTGTTTTTCGAATTTGGATCTCCACCTGTTGTTGGACTACAACTCCCATGATCCCTGACCACTGGTCCCGCTAGCTGGGGGCGATGGGAGTTGTAGTCCAGTAACCTTTGGGGAGAGTGCAGTTTCCCTGACCATGCTAGACAGGCTATCCCACTGACTGACTTGTTACAAGCACCACCACATGTCAAACAAACCCCCTGTAAGGAACGTGCAAAAACTGTGAACTTCCCAACGCAAGTTTTCACATTTTTTTGTGGTTTATTTTATTTTTTATTTTTAAGTATGGAGGCTCAAGTATAAGATGTAGATTCCGATTTAAGCATTACAAATAAAATAAAAATAACCGGGGAGGGGTGGGTTTAAAAAATTTTCTGCATTCCATAGAAATCAAAACAAGAGAAGGGATTTGGGGGCGGGGGAGAGAGAAAGCACCTCACTGTCCCCATTAAGAAAGAACATCTTGCAGCCATCACCAACTCAGCAAAATTCCTCACAGCTCAAAAAGTCGGGGGGTGGGTGGGAGAGAGTTTACTTCAGCCTTCTGCACCCCCCCTCCCGCACAGCCCCCCACCCCCAAACATACATGGAACAATTTCTTTTCCAGTTTTTCGTTTTCCTCTTTCACACACCACAGTATATAATAAAGTTTTTTTGTTGTTTGTTTTGTTTTACATTTTTTACACCAATGTAACAAAAGATGAAAAGAAAAAAGCAGAGGGAGGGGAGGGGGACGGAAGGAAGGAGGGAGGGAGGGTAAGACTAACAGAATGGCCTGGTGATTTTATGCATATAGATGGTGGGGTGGGGGCCAGGAAAAAAAAACAGGGCAACGAAATAAACACCCCTCCTCCCATGGATCTTTTTCTCTCTACAGAAATGCGCTCCGCAAAGTCTTGAGAATTAAAAAAAATATGGTGCAAATTAAGCCAAGAGAGAGAGAGAGACTGATGAAAGTTTATACAGCTTTATTCATCCGGGGTGGGGTTAGGGAGGGGGTGGGACTTGAGACAGCACTTTGTACGTGGGCATGATGTGATGGAGACGCAGACAGAAAAAATAGTGGCAGGCGGGTGGTGGGGGAGAGGAGAAAGGGAGAGGGGGAAAAGTTCTCTAAGAAAAAGGAATCTAATGAGAGCATGGCATGTCTCGTTAGCATCGTCAACGGAGCGGGTTTTCTTCGTTTTCGTTTTAGCTTTGCTGCTTCTTCTTCAAAGCCTCCACCAGGTCGATCTTCAGAGCTTCTTGCTTTGATTTGTCCGCAAAAGTCTGCACAGACCTGGAGGGAGAGAGCCAGAGGGTTAAAAACGAAGATTGCAGAGTGGCTGATTGGGAAGGGGCCTTGGATTTGCGTTTTTGGGGAGAGAAGAGGCAGAAACTTATACGTTATATAGTTATGAGCCTGCTAAGAGCTCTTTTCTGGAAGATGACTCTTCTGGCATTCCACAGGTTCCTTGCTAATTGTGACATCTCCCTGAAATCTGTTGAGGCCTCTTCCCAACTGCTGTATGCATTCTGGATTAATTTACATCACTGTGCAATGACTGCCAAGTGTCTTAAAAAGTAGTTGAAAGTCATAGTCCGAAGGATCAATTTTTTCCAAGCGATTCTCTTGTAAACCTTCCTTTTTGTAAACTGCTCTGAGGTGTTGTTTAGTAATTGAGCTGTATATAAATTTCGTGACAGACTGACTGAAGAGGCTAGTAGGTTGCATGAGCCCGTGCTGGCTGGGGGAGAAAGCAACAGCCCTCTCATCTACTGTCATGCCTCTGTTACTCAGATAGACTAACGCTGAATGTGGAGGTTCCATGGCACCATCACTGCTGGCAGACTGATCCCCTCCAAAAACTGGCCCCATATCCTAGCAGTGAAGGAGCAGTTGGCCATTATTTCACACCTCCTTAGGTTTCCACAACTCTACTGGAAAACTACTTTGTCCGTTCTATCTATCTATCTATCTATCTATCTATCACTTTAGTAGACAAAATCAAACCCACACACATTTTTCAGCAGTGTTCCTGAAAGAGAAGGGAAATTTTCTTCCCAGCTGCCATCAAAACAAGCAAGGCATCTCCCTTGACATGGCTCAAGGGTTTCTGTGGCATGTTAGGAGCTTAACTCGTGGAAGGTTAAGCCGGCCTGAGGTTAGTCACTGCCATGCAGCCTAAGCAGTTAGAATTCAGAAGAGCAATTCTTTTTTCCCTTTAAGACAGTGGGGATGAGACTGAACAGTATTTGATTTGGGCTGGGACTCTTTGGTGAATTGTATTGTTCCTGACAAGAGTCAGGGGAAGGAAGAAATGGCCATCAGTCAGACCTTGGCTTTTCTACTTTCCCTGTTTTCCCTGTTGAGCCTCAATCCCAAAGCTCTGTGGATTATTGCCACCGTCTGTGGTGCTGCAGAACAGCCAGCAGAATCCAGCTTCCGTTTTAAAAAGTGGGGAAAGAGTGAAAACAAGTGCCTAGACCTCAAGAAAAAGGGGGAATAGTTCAGCAGCAACCTGCAACTAAATCTGTATTCTGCAAAAGTCCAAAAGAATAAAAAACAATCCCCAAATGAATTTAAGTGGTGTATGCAGAATTCAGGACAGCGGGCTTCATTTTAACTTTTATAAAGCCATGTTTCTAGTCCACAGTGCTGGTAAGAGAAGCCCAAACGTTTGTGAGCAATGCCTGCTGAAATCTTGGAAGGGAGGCTTGAAGGAGGTGGAGTTTCAGCACCCCACACAGCTCCTTGCCCCCCCTCACCGAATCAACTGATAGGGTTTTCTGTGGAATTTCTAACAGTTACCAAATTCCACTTTTTAAGCGATGGTGGTGTTACATTTACAAAGAATTTGCTGGCGTTTCTGCATGGTGTACACACAGCCCTTATGGCGTGGTTTCTCTCCCCACCCATGCACAGACTGATAAACAAAATCACACACACACAATTTATTTTTAACATACCAGGTGCAAGAAACTCCAAAACAAGTGGGCAAGTAAGAACAAATCAAGCCTTTGGAAGAAAGGGACAGTGAGAGAGAGAGAGAGACAACGGGCCCCAGCATGTTCTAACTGGTTCAAGTTAGAGGTTAGGGGGTTAGTTTGTGTGAGGGCAGAGAGTGCCCCAACATGCGCTCATGGAAGGCAGGATTCGCCCGGCCAAAGTTAAGTGCTGTTTTAGTGCCAAGTGGTGCACTTTGCAGGCTGGAGGGAGGCCAAGGGGGAATACCTGGGCCGGCTTAGTTATCCGGCTGAATGTACATCTGGCGTTGGGTCAGGACTTGGGAGAGCTCCCTCTGCAACTGCTTATACTTTTGGTTGTCGGGAATAGCATCAATAGATCTAGAGAGGAGCAGGTGCGGAAATGGAAAAAGGGAAGAGAAGCAGAGGAAGTAAAAGAACAGGTCAGAAGAGTTGGAGAAACAGAAGCAGAATGGGGGGGGCACTGGAGTTGCGAGAGAGAGAACACGGCAGGTAGAAATAATTGAGTGGGAGAAAAGGGGAGACAGACGACGTTGCTTTCAGGTAGCAAAGGCAGAGAGGAAGGAGTTCACCGTCAACTGATGCTTCTTTTAGTTTGGAAATCGGATGACACACAGCTTGGGGGTGCCTGGGAAGCAGCTGCTTCTAAAGTAGCAAGCTGCCAAGTCACACAGAGTGCTTCTTCAAAGAGGAAGCTCTTTGTGCTACCTTGAAGCTTGCTGTCTGAAACCTTTGCCACATCAGTGTTGCAATTTAATTGGAGAAATGCAGCTGGGAGAGGGTGGGGATAACAAAAACCTAAGACTACCTCAGAAGAATTTAACAGAACAGGGCACTCTTAACGGTAGAATAGAGGTGAAATTCCAGTTGGTGCTTGTAGTGGGCTTGAAATGCAGGAAACCAGGACTACATAGCATTGCTAAAATGTGCTGCAGTTCAACACATTCCTCAAAGAGAAATGCCTTTTTTTAATGATGCAATTAATTCATGGGAGTCAAGAGGGTGGAGGAAGGAGGGAGGGGAGGGGAGAAGAACAAAAACAACCGCAAAGTTGCAGTCCATCCCTTACCTCAGTCCATTAACAATGTCCTTCGTTTTCCCAAAATAAATCTCATTCAGCGTACTTCTGATTTTATTCTCCATGTCCTAGAAATGGGGTGGAGGAGGCGGGGAGAGAGAGAATCCACAATCAGTTCAAAGTGCTAGTTTCCACCCTAGAGGAAGTGGCAGAAGCAAGGTAGAGGGCCTGGAAGATGACCCATCACAGGAACACACCTGTGAAAAACTTTCAGGTGAAAAGGAACCAGGTGATGTTTGCTGCGCCTTTCCCCTTAAAAACAGAACTGCTTTGCTCTGCGTTGCAGCATGACGCCCCCTCAGACATTGGTACACACTGAAGCCCACACTCCATCCAAGTACAGTGGTACCTTGGGTTACATTCAGGTTACAGACTCCGCTAACCCAGAAATAGTACCTCAGGTTAAGAACTTTGCTTCAGGATGAGAACAGAAATCGTGCAGCGGTGGCATAGCGGCAGCAGGAGGCCCCATTAGCTAAAGTGGTGCTTCAGGTTAAGAACAGTTTCAGGTTAAGAACAGACCTCCGGAACGAATTAAGTTCTTAACCCGAGGTACCACTGTATTTTAAAAATAAAACCCTCCTTTTTGCCTTGTAATGGCTGGCAGGATGGATGTACTGAAATCAAAAGCATTTAAACTGGCAAGGGGAAAAGGCCAATTTAAACCACAGAATCATTTTGAGGAGACGATGTTCTTAATGGGGCTTATTGCCTTCAGCAAGAAAAATAAACCCCAAAGTGGCATGTTTAAAATAAATGAGAGAGAAGCAAGGGAACTGAAAAACAAATGTGTAGGAATAAACATTAAGGTTTTAAAACAAGAGACAGAACGTTGTAATCCCTGCCACTAGAAGGCAGCAGGCACCCATGCAAGCAAACACCCGCTGCAATTCAAGTCAGGAATTGTGGGTCCATTTAAAGCAATATCGTACCACTTTCAACAGCGATGCTTTCCACAAAGAATCCTGGGAGCTGTAGTCTGTTAAGGGTGCTGAGAGGTGTCAGGAGATCCCCTATTCCCCTCCCAGAGCTACAATTCCCAGAGTGGTTTAACAATCAAGCCCTCTTCCCTGGGAACTGTAGCTCTGGGAGGGGAATATTGGGGAGGTCTCCTAACAACTCTCAGCACCTTTAAGAGGCTCCCAGAATTCCTTGGGGGACACCAGGGCAGTGGCATGAGACCGCTTTGAATGCATGGTGCAGTTGGGGCCTATACAACCTCAAAGATGAGGTTGGGTTTAAGTCTAGCTGGATCCCCAACAGTCAAGCAAACAGGTGGGGTGACTAAGGATCTTTTAACTACTGAAGGCTGTGATAGGCAGGAGAAAGAGAGGCAGACAGAGCAGCATAATGAGCAGTGTTGAATCTGAACCAAGGGAACCTGGATTGGAGTCTTCACTGAGCCATTTACGCCTCGGGCAAGCCTTTCTTTCTCTCCTTAACCAGCCTCCGAGGGGAATTGTGCAGGTAAAATGGGAAGGGGGGGTGTAACCTGCCCAAGTGTGGCACCCTGACTCCCCCCTGATCTTTTTAAACGCAAAAACGAACAAAAAAGTTGGGAGTCCCAAAAAGCAATGCTTCCCCAAAATGAACAAGATGCTCTCCCACTCTGTCTCATTTGCCCTTTCAAGTCTGCCCTAGCCTTGGCAATCAGGAGGAGGCCAAGGGACACACAGCCAACAGACATTCTTGTCAGGGTGTTAACAGGGTGCATTGACATTTTTGGAGAGAAAGGAGGCGCCTACTTGCCGGGCGGTGTGACCTTTAAAAGAACAGCAGCCAGTGGGAGCCATATATTTTGAGAGAAAAGAGGGAGGGAGGGCATGGCTGTTTTACAGGTATGATGAACTAGCATGCCAGGGAGAGAGTCCAAGAGGGTGCTAGTTCATCATACCTGTAAAACAGGATCTAAGCACAAGAGCACTTGCTCCCCTCCGGAGGTGATGAGAAGCACTTTTGCCTCCAACTCTGCATGTAGAGCAGGGGTTGACAACCTGCAGCCCATGAGCCACAAGTGGCCCAAGGGGGGTCGTTTAAACGGCCCCTGAGCTGCCCCAAAACTGAGCCACCCACTTGGTGAGTCCCCGCGCGCTGCAATAAACCAGCACAGCATGGAGCGGGGACTCGCTTTCGTGGTACCAAAAATCGCGTCTGCGCAGGTGCCGGAAATCGTGTCTGCGCAGGCGCGATCCAGCCCACGGAGCGATCTCCGCGGGAGTGAACTGGCCCAGGTGAGGTAAACCTTGCTGACCCCTGATGTAGAGCATAGCCTTCCTAGCTAGTAGCCATCAAGAGCTTCCCCCCACCCTGTTAATTTAATTTCAACAGGTCAACTCTGAGTTGAACTTAGCTGGATACAACCCAGAGTGTGGTATCTGGGTGCAAACCGGCATACTCTAAGGATCTCGTTTCTTGCTTTTTAGAAAATGGAAGTTACTAGTCCTCAAGACTAACTTAAGGTTCATTCATTTCAACAGGTCTACCCCAAGATGACCTTTGTTAGATACAACCCAAAGTGTGGGATCTAGCTGCAAACCACTGCAGCCTGAGAATCTCTCCCATTTCTTTTTTTAAAAAAATGGAAGTTACTAGTCCTCAAGACTAATGTTCATTTCATCAGACCTACCCTGAAGTATAATTTCATTGGCTACAACCTCGAAAATTTAAATAAAGGACACAAAATGGTAGAATTTAAGTTTCCACAAGATGCAAAAATAACCAGCAAGGGGGCTGGGCTCTAGCTGTAGATGCGTTAGCTGAAGCCAAAAAGTTCCATTTAGCCACCATATAGGAGAGCGGTAAGCAAATTGTTAAATTTGGGCTGATTTGGCCCATGGGCTGCTAGGTGCAAGACTAGTGTTGTAAGAAGGTGGATGAATTCCAGGGAGGAAATGGGGGCTTTCCACCCCACATGAAGACTCAACTCAACTGTCCCGGCCTCTTGGGAGATTGGGGGGGGGGTCGGCAACAGGGTAGAAGAGGGCACCCTGAATCTTGACTCCCTTCCCACCCACCTTGTCAGGACCTACCTCTACCAAGCGCCCAATGTTGGCTATGTGTGGAGAGGAGTCGCTCACAGTCTCGTCTTTTTCCATCTGGAACAGGGAAGGAAGAAAAATCTGGTTAAGAGGGAAGTCAACACCACAGAGGTTACACTGGTTAGAGCTCACCTGTTTGGGAGTCTGGAAGGAGGAAGAACACTGGGGATAGAGGAGAGAAAGGGAAGGCTGCTTGAGGCATCGCTCAGGACTGGCTTGAGGACCAGAGAACGGTGGCGCCTTCACTTGGCTGTATAACATGAGTGAAACTGCTGCCACTCCTGAGTCCCTCCACCACCAAAGCCCGGCACGCTGAGCAGTTCAACAAAGCCCCAATGCTCTTCCGGCTTCAATGTGAGCCTGAGAGGCATTGGGGCTCACTCATTGTGTAGGGCTGGGCTATGTATCTTGGCTGCTTCTTCCTCCCCTAAGGTGGGAAGCAGCAGCCAATATACAACAACAACAACAACAACGTTATTATTTATACCAACAACAAAACAACAACAACAACGTTATTATTTATACCAACACCAACAACAACGTTATTATTTATACCCTGCCCATCTGGCTGGGTTTCCCCAGCCACTCTGGGCGGCTCCCAACAGAATATTAAAAACACGATAAAACATCAAACATTAAAACCTTCCCTAAACAGGGCTGCCTTCAGATGTCTTCTAAAAGTCAGATAGTTGTTTATTTCCTTGATATCTGATGGAAGGGCATTCCACAGGGCAGGCGCCACTACCGAGAAGGCCGTCTGCCTGGTTCCCTGTAGCCTCACTTCTTGCAGCAAAGGCAACCACAAGAAGGCCCCTCGGAGCTGGACCTCAGTTGTCCGGGCTGAACAATGGAAGTGGAGACACTCCTTCAGATATAATGGACCGAGGCTGTTTAGGGCTTTAAAGGTCAGCACCAACCCTTTGAATTGTGCTCGGAAACGTACTGGGAGCCAATGTAGGCATTCCAGCATCGTGATATATCAGCATATCGTGGTATTTAGCAGCTGATATATCGCAATGTTGAAAGTCAGGTATTCCCCAGCCCTGTTAGTAGGCGGTTCCCTAGACCAGATGGATGGATGGAGAGCAGTACAGTGGTGCCTCGCAAGACGAAATTAATCCGTTCCGCGAGTCTCTTCGTCTTGCGGTTTTTTTGTCTTGCGAAGCACGGCTATTAGCGGCTTAGCGGCTTAGCGGCTATTAACGGCTTAGCGGCTTAGCAGCTATTAACGTCTTAGCGGCTTTAAGAAAAAGGAAACAAACTCGCAAGAACTAGCAAGACGTTTTGTCTTGCGAAGCAACCCCATAGGGAAATTCGTCTTGCGGAACGACTCAAAAAATGGAAAACTCTTTCGTCTAGCGAGTTTTTCGTCTTGCGGGGCACCACTATATACAAACTGAATTAACAACAATAATAACAACTACTTAAGGAAAGGGCTGTAGCTCAGTGGTAGAACTTCTCTTTTCCATGTAGAAGGTCCCAGGTTCAATCCCTGACATCTCCAGGTAGAGTTGGGAGAGACCCTGGTCTGAATACCAGGGCAGCCACCACCAGTCAATGGGTAGTACTGCCCCCTGGGGGCAGGTGGGATTACCTACAGAGGTGCTAAGAGGCAGGGGGCGCTGAAGCTATAAATGACCACCAGACTTTGGAAAGTTGGTATCCCTGGATCAACTTCATCCATTTTGTTGCATTCATTAAACTGAACAGTTTTAAACTGGATTTTGAATAAGTGTGCAATTCATAATTGTTCACCAGTCAGAAATTTATTGTTACAGTGGTACCTCGGGTTACATACGCTTCAGGTTACATACGCTTCAGGTTACAGACTCTGCTAACCCAGAAATAGTGCTTCAGGTTAAGAACTTTGCTTTAGGATGAGAACAGAAATCGTGCTCCAGGGGCGCAGCAGCAGGCCCCATTAGCTAAAGTGGTGCTTCAGGTTAAGAACAGTTTCAGGTTAAGTACGGACCTCCGGAATGAATTAAGTACTTAACCCGAGGTACCACTGTATTTTCTTCCTTCATGGGCTGTGCAAACCGCTTTTCCAAATAATGCTTTTTATGGAGGGTAGTGTAGGGGGAGGGACGCGGGTGGTGCTGTGGGTTAAACCACAGAGCCTAGGGCTTGCCGATCAGAAGGTCGGTGGTTCGAATCCCCGCCACAGGGTGAGCTCCTGTTGCTCGGTCCCTGCTCCTGCCAACCTAGCAGTTCGAAAGCACGTCAAAGTGCAAGTAGATAAATAGGTACCGCTCCGGCGGGAAGGTAAACGGCATTTCCGTGCGCTGCTCTGGTTCGCCAGAAGCGGCTTAGTCATGCTGGCCACATGACCCGGAAGCTGTATGCTGGCTCCCTCGGCCAATAAAGCGAGATGAGCGCCACAACCCCAGTCTCGGCCATGACTGGACCTAATGGTCAGGGGTCCTTTTACCTTAGTGTAGGGGAAAGTGGGGATCGGTTTGTGAAACTAGAGTTGGCCCCCAAAAAGCCTGGGGAACTACCAGTACCTGTCCTGAGCTAGATGCCCCCAAAGGGCTGACTCTGCATAAAGCTGTCATTTTGCATGACTCAGGAGGTGTGAGATCACTGCGTAATTTTGCCTCTTGGTTTATTACCAGCAGTTTTATCGGACTCATTTCCGGAGCCATCAAGGTGCGGCACACAAGCAAACGAAAACAAGATTAATGATAATTGCAACGTTGTCTGAAATGCATCGGCGCTAAGATAATATGATTTCAGACTCATAAACACACGCACGCACGCAACAGCAACAGCAGGAGTAGATTCAGACACAGCCTAAGATAAGCAACAGCGAATCTGGGGGTCACTTGCGTGTGAGAAGTGGGTATGCAGGCAGGTACCAGCCTGTTTTGTTTTCAGTAGATCAAATGCAATTAAGAGGCGACGTGAAAAAAGTTCGTTATAAAATCATGCACGGCATGGAGGAAGTGGATTGGGTTGTTGTCCCCCATGACACTACAGGGGTACCTCTGGTTACATACGCTTCAGGTTACAGATTCTGCTAACCCAGAAATAATACCTCGGGTTAAGAACTTTGCTTCAGGATGAGAACAGAAATTGTGCTCTGGGGCGGTGTGGCGGCAGCGGGATGCCCCATTAGCTAAAGTGGTGCTTCAGGTTAAGAACAGTTTCAGGTTAAGAACGGACCTCCGGAACGAATTAAGTACTTAACCTGAGGTACCACTGTAGAGCTTGGGGGTGTCCAATAAAGCTGTATGTTGGATTCAGGACACTTTTGTCATGCTGCGCAGAGACAAACTATGAAACTCATTCCTGCAGATGGCAGCAGTCGCCACCAATCTGGATGGGCTTTAAATGAGGATTGGGCAAACTCATGGAGGATTAGTACAGTCATACCTTGGTTTTCGAACAGCTTCGTTCTCGAACGTTTTGGCTCCCGAACGCCGCAAACCCCGAAGTGGCTTTTCCGGTTTCCGAACTATTTTTGGAAGCTGAACGGACTTCCAGAATGGATTCCATTCGACTTCCGAGGTATGAGTGTGTTATGAGTGTCTACTAGCCGTGGAGGCAGCAAATACTTCTGAATGCTGGTTGCTGGAAACCAGGGGAGCAGGAGAGGGTTCCTCTGCTCAGGTCCTGCTCGTGGGCTTTGCATTGGGGCATCTGGCTGGCCACTGTGAGAAGAGGATGCTGGACTAGGCGGGCTTGCTGGCCTGATCCAGTGGGCTCTTTTATGTTCTTATGCTGTGTTGGACAAAGCCCTTTGAGAAAAAAGAACTCTCGGGTCAAGACAACCAAGGGGTTTCAAAAGAGGCTTCTGATCGTCCCTGGAAGACTCTCGCCCAGCTGTTTGGAGCTCCCCCAGAACCACGGGACGGGAAGTTTGCAGGGGGGAGTGGAGGAGAGGGAGGAGAGAGGCACTTGCAGGTCTTTCTCCCTCTGCTTGCAAAACCAGCCCGGGGGCGGCGGGGGGGGGGGGGGGGAGACCAGCGCAAGCCAAGTGTGTCTGCTGGGCCCGACGGGGCGTGTAATTTAGTCAGAGCCTCCGAGGCAAGATGTGACCTGCACGGTGGCAAGGCGCCAGCTCCAATTAGCTGGCCCTAGTTCGTTTTTGACATACAAAAGGGAAATTGGGGAATGGCGGGGGGAGAGATTACGGCCTCCGTTTTGTTTAGGATTTTTGCACTGGAAGAGAATGCAGAATCTGCAAGGCGAGGTTGTGGGGCCCTGCTGTGAGCATGGGGGGGGGAGGGAGGGTGCCCACAGTCCCTTGGGAGTTTCCGCTCTCTACATGCAAAAACGCACACACTCTCACACAGAACCACTTCCCACACCTGGGCACACTGCTGGCAAGAGCCGCAGGAGCTGGAAAAAAATTCTCACGTATGGTGCAGATATTATGGCACTGCTCTGAAGGGCCCCCACTGAAAAGAATCTGCCCCCCCCCGTATTTCCTGAGCAGCCCAGGTGTTCCAAGGGGCCATGTGTATGTACACACAAACACAAGGGTGTGTGCCCCTGCTGGCTCAGTATGCCAACCTCCCTGCCACTCCTTAAACATCAACCCCTTAGAGCTTCCTCTTCCCATCTCAGGCAAAAGCTAAGCTACCTTTTTACCTTTCCAGACCCATTTCTGAAGCCACCTCTCTCTTCTGTTTGGCAGCCCTGCTTTGCATCCCCGTTTCCAACTCAATAATGGGCCTACTCTGAGTAGGACTGGCGTTCACTAGGATAGAACCCAGAGCATGGTAAATGGGTGCAAACAGCTACACCCTGAAAATCTCATTTTATGTTGTTGTTTTTAAAAAATGGAAGTTAACTAATCGTCAAGGATCATAAAGGTCCCTTAATTTCAACAGTCTATGCTAAGCAGGACTTAGCTGGAGACAACCCATAACCATCCCGTTTGTGTTTATCGTTTGTATTTATTTTTTAAAGTATACAACTAGCAAAAACCTGAGGGGGCAAAAGGAACAAGATTTCTCCCTCCCTCTTTCCCTCCCACAGCATGCCATGAACTTCCTCTTCCACTATCTCATAACTGGGTTGTTCCAACTGCCTCTCGCCCTCAGAAAGGGGAGGGAATGACTCACCCACCTTGTGACTGGGCTAGAGACCTGCCCCATTGGCTCATGCTGTGCCCCCTCCCCAATTCTCCCCTACTCCCCACTGTCTTATTATCCAGTCACCAGAGGAACGGAAAGGCCAAAATGTTCACATGGAGAAACAGGAGGAATTCCCTGGCTGGGGCAGCGGATCTCAACCTGACTTTAGCAATTCCTCTCTTGCTTGGCAAACAGGGGGAGAGTTTCTCCCCCTACCGCCCACTGGCACCAGGAAACTGGGCACCGAGAACCTGAGCACAGAGCGTGTGACGCACTGCAACTTCAGATCCCCCTGGTGGAAGGCGCAAACCCCCTTTTCCGCCTGCCACGACCCCACCGCACAAAGTCCACCATTGCTCTTCCACTTCACCAGAGGACGACACCCGGAGCTCTGCGGGATGGGCCTCGATTTGAAAGTGAAACCCTGGTGAAAATATACAATAGCCGAGAATAGGCAGAACAGCGCTCTCCCCGTTACAGTGAGGCCCGGAGTGATTTATGGCCTGGCCTTCCGTTGTGGAAGGAAGGATGCTCTCTCTGTGTGTGTGTGTGTGTGTAAGTGTGTGAATAAAGGCAGAACCCACACCCTGACATAAAATTCACCTCTGCTACCTAAGACTTCCATACAAAAGAAGCGTGGCTGCCATGATGTTGTTCTAACCCCTGTCGGCACAGGAAGGCGGCTGAATTTAATCAATTTCATAAAATTTATATGGAAAAGTTAGTGGGAAGTGGCTTTCCAGGGGGCACCCAGGAGTGGGCAACAGGAGGCTCAACCAGATAGATCCCTCTGGACTTTCCTTATGTACCTACGAGTAACAGCAAGGGAGGGAAAGTTATACCGAGTTAATCCATCTAGCTCTGTACAGTCTGCACTGGCTGGCAGTGGCTCTCCAGGGTTTCAAGGCAGGAGATATTCTCAGCCACACCTGGAGATGCCAGCGCAGGTTGCACCGGGGACCTTCTGCATGCAAAGCAGGTGCTCCACTGCTGAGCTATGCCTGTTCCTTCAAGACATAGGAAGCTGCCTTATACTGAGCCAGACCCTTGGAGGTGAAGCCAGGGATTGAAGTTTGGGACCTTCTGCATGCCAGGCAAATGCTCTACCACTGAGCTACAGCCCTGCACTTAAGACACAGTAGCACTGGAAGCTGCCTTATACAGGGCTCATCGGTCACGATTCTCCAGGGTTTCAGACCAGGAGCCTCTCCTAGCCACACCTGGAGATACTGGGGACTGAACCTAGGACTCTCGGCCAACAAAGCATGCACTTCATGACTCCTTGCAAGTTTCATAGTTAAGATCGCTTCTCCCCCCAAAAAATTAGGAGGGAAGGAAGGCAGGCTCTTGTACCTGTCTGGTGAGGCTGCCCCCAAGGTTCATAGTGCCAGAGCCGGTTTTGTTCGTCTGCAGCCAGAGCATCACTGTGGAGGTCAGCTTGTAATGGGCAGTGCGGCCACTGGATTTCTCCTGGAGGGAAGGGGGAAAAAGAGTTACCTCTCTTGAAAATGGACAGCTATTGAATAAAAGCCAGCCGCCTGTCTCTTCCCCCTCCCCACGTCAGGGTTGCTCTGGTGCTGGTGTGCCATCTATTTTCTTCCCTGCAGGCTGCAAGAGGTCAACAACCTCCCCCACCCCCAATGGGCTAGAGCATCTCTATCCTGCCCATCTCCTGAAAGCCCCCAGAATGCCTTTGGTTTTCAATTGGCTCTACTGAACCAAGAAAAGACGTGTTTTTCTTTTGCGCTCGGGAGTCATCAATCTGCTGACCCAGAAGGATGTTGCCTGTCGCTAGGACAACTACCTGTGGCTTTTAATAAGCAGCTGCTTTTAAAAGGTACATTTTAATATTTTTTTAATTTTTTTTTTGGATCTGGGAGCATCTTTTTCAGTTGTAGCCAGACAAATTCTGCTTGTCTCCCCAGAATACCCAGGGCCTGTTTTAAACCATCCAACTGGGAAAACAGACCTGGAGGCTGAAATCATAGAAAGACAGCTGCGGGGAGAAACAGCAGCAATTCACTGGCCTTTAAGAGAGCTTTTGGGTTTGCTGATCTGACTTTACCTTTCCCCCCAAACGGCTTCGGAGCGGTTTCCAATATTAATAGGAGGGTGTGTGTTTTTTTTGCAGAGGGGAGGCAGTGAGGGGGAGATCAAGAGCAGCGGTGGCAGGGGGAGTTTATGAGCCTGAAACAATATCGCATTGTTTGGCTGAGCACCTGCACTCATTAGCTGCCTGGAATTTAACAAGGACTTCTCTCCCCTCCTCAGGAACCGCCAGTTGCCCGAGAGAGAGAGAGACCGACCGACCGACCAGGCTGTACCTGAACTTCCACCACATGGATGGAATCCCAGCACCCCTTGATCTTCTTTGATCCATCGCCAGCTTTCTTAATTAGAATCACGCCAGCAAATCCGTGATCCAGATCCCAGAGGTAGACGGAGGAAACGCCGCCTTCAAAATACCTGCAGTCAAAACAGAGAGAGACCAGCTGATCAGCTTTGTAAGGAGCAGAGCAGGGCAGAACAGAACAGAGCAAAGCATAATCACTCCATCACCATTTATTATAAATATCTATGTATGTATATATTTGTATGTGCACTGTGCATGCATATGCATGTATGTATATAAAGATCAGCTCCAAAGCCGCACAGCTAAGCGTCTGGTGTAAATTGATAGGAGAAAGGAGAGAATACAGACCAGGTGAAGCAGCTTCCTGAAAAATCTCATTTTTCTTTTTTCTTTTCTTTTGTAAAGCAAGTTTCTAGCCCTCATGCAGCTGTACCTCCTGAAATCCCAATAATTCTTTTTTTTTTGGGGGGGGGGGGTTAGCAAGGAAGGATTCCAGTGGACAGGGGCTTCAGTGCTCAGCAAACCTCCTACCACCATAGTTTGACTCCGTAGGACGGCTTGGAGAACCTTTTTCTGCAAAGAGTTGTGCAGTGGAAGGCAACTCCCTCCATTCTGTCATTGTCAGGATCCCACTCAAACCTGCACAATGCCATCGACTCCAATTAATGGCAACAAGCTGTTAAAGAGCACAGCTGAAACTTAAAACCAGCATTTTTACAGCTCAGTTCTTCCCAAGCTCTCTTTTCTCTCGTCGCTGCTAAACAGTGTGGGCTGGGAGACTCTCTTCCTCCCCTCCGCCCACCTTTTTACAGTGAGGTTGCCTAATTAAGACTAAAGGGAACAAGAGGTACGTGGCAGCCTGGCTCTGCAGGCCCTCCGTTGTGTGTGGGGAGAGAGAGAGAGAGAGAGAGAGAGGCGATATTTTGATTTATTGCAGATTTGCAGCCAAGTCGAAAGCCTTTGCAGAACAGAGGTCCCACGACTGGGTTTAAATGTTCCTCCACCTGGCGTCCAGTGTGGAACGCAGAGAGCTGGTTCGAACTGTGAATGCCATTTCTCTTGTGCCTGCAAAAAGTTTGGGAGGGTTTTTTCCTGTTTTTGTTTTCTGCAAAAGCTGCTACACTTGAGCTGCTTTGTACGTGAGCCTCTCACACCTGCTCTTCTGCTGACCTAGTTGACACCTTTGCTGGTATCTCTTGCACACTGCCCTAAGCACAACAGGCAAAGTCTGGCTGACAGAATTCCTGGGCGCTCTGTCTGGCGCATGCTGAAGCCTTCACGGAAACACCCACACCTCCATTCAAAGCAACCTGAGTGCAAACAACGGAGGGTGTCGGGACTGAAGGGTTGTCTGAATCTGACCCTGCAGAACCAAAGCAGCACGAAATCTACCCACAAACGGGTGTTTGTTGAGTTGCTCCTGAGGACAGTAACAAATTGGGGTAGGAGAATGGAAAGATAGAGGTATACTAATTCATGTACGTTGTGGAAAAGTAACTTTTCCTTCCTCTCGTACATAAAACCCTGGAACCGGGGAGTTTGTCTGGGGATGGGTCGAGGTCAAACAAAACAAAGACCCCTTTTTTTACACAACGCAGTTTGTCGGATTTGCAGCAATGACTGTTAGATGGCTTTAAGAAGAGGGATTTAAAATGCTGTGGAAGTGGAGGGCAGATCTAGCAATGGCTCTATCATTTCTATCATCTAGAAATGATAGAGAAATCAAACCTCTATGTTCAGGGGCGGCATCCCTTGGGATGCCAGATGCTGGTGCAAAGCCTGGTCAAGTCTGAAGTGTCTGTGGAAGGTAGGAAGAGAGGGCTATGACACTCAAGTTCCGCCTATGGGCTTCCTAGAATCATCTGGTTAGGGTCAGTGTGGGACGCAGGATGCTGGATCCCAACTGGGTCCAAATCCAGCAGGGCTCTTTGAATGTTCTCAAGCATGAAACCTAAAGGGACACTCTGCATAATAATTTTATGATGTGGGGGGCCGTTGCCTTCATATTCCTGCTTCTGGCCTTCCCAGAAGCAACTGGAGGGCCACTGCAGGGAGCTAGACAGGATGAAACCATCTTGGTCTAATCCAGCAAAACTTTTAGGCATGGCTTGCAATGGTCAAAATAGATCCTGCAAGCCTGCCCACCACCACTGCAGATCAGTTAGCTTCAGCTGAATAATTGTTAAATAGCAAAAGGCTCCTTGTCAGTTCAAAGAATATCTGCACTGAGTCAGGCAGAGGCCATTCACAACATCCCTGTCATCCTGGGACCACCTGCATGCAAGGCAGATGCTCTACCACTTCCCCCTAAAAATAAAGCAGGATTCTAGCCCTCATGGTTCAGAATAAAGGGGCAATTTAAATAGAACATAGGGATTTGCCCTCTGGAGTGTCAGACAGCAAGTCTGTTGAGTCCAATACTGTCTATACTGACTGGCAGCGGCTCTCCAGGGTTTCAGGTGAGGTCATCCCCAGCCATACCTGGAGACTTCAGGTATCAAAATCAGGACCTTCTGCACACAAAGGATGGGCTCTATTGCTGAACTACAGCCCGACAGAGGAGCAGGCTTTCTTCCCCACCCCGCAACGTTCCCCACCCCACGTTCAACGAAAGAAAGAAGTCCGTCTCCCACTTCAAACCGAAAACAACACACACGACCAAAATCTATTCAGAAATTTAGGAAAGACTGGTGTACGGCCTCCCTCCCAAACCAGCCTTCTCCATTTGTTGCAATTACACATTTTACCAGGTTGTTCGGAGCACGAGATATTAATTAGGAGGCAAAAGGGTCCACTACAAGGAATACGCCATACCTTACAAATCTGTACTTTGATCCTAATGACATGAAATGGGGCCGGGGGGGGGGAGAGCAAGAGAGAGGCGCTCTAATTTTTACACGCTTCACATTTATGAGATTCTGCATAAAGGCTTTTGCGGGCATATTTTAAGAACGTGCTAAAACGTTGTCCGAGACCACATAAAGCCGTCGGAGGGAATGCTTCCAGCCAGAACTAACAAGCGCACACATGGAAACACTCAGGACGGCCTTTGTACCTTTAATGAATCAAATCTAGCATTAATATTGTTTTAAATACTAACATGCTATTTCAAGTTGGTTTGGAGCTGACTGGAGCTAGTGCCTCAGGTCCACCCCGCTGGGCAGGGGGGATGTGGACGGCAAGGCAAAAAAAACCCAGCCAAGTTGCTGTTCTGTGGCTTGGAACCACGCTGATCTCTGAGTGCCGGCACTGGCTCGGTGTGGTGGGGTTTTTTCCTGCCGTTGCAAATGTCAGAGGGCTCCAGTTTTCTTTCCCAGTGCTGAATTCATAGAGGAGAGGGGCTACCTACTAGCCACAATTGCCATCTTCTGCTGCCACAGTTGGGAGACAGCAATGCTTCTGAATAGGGACGCGGGTGGCGCTGTGGGTTAAACCACAGAGCCTAAGACTTGCCGATCAGAAGGTCAGCGGTTCGAATCCCCGCGACGGGGTGAGCTTCCATTGCCCGGCCCCTGCTCCTGCCAACCTAGCAGTTCGAAAGCACGTCAAAGTGCAAGTAGATAAATAGGTACTGCTCCGGCGGGAAGGTAAACGGCGTTTCCGTGCACTGCTCTGGTTCACCAGAAGCGGCTTAGTCATGCTGGCCACATGACCCGGAAGCTGTACGCCGGCTCCCTTGGCTAATAAAGCAAGATGAGCGCTGCAACCCCAGTAGGCCACAACTGGACCTAATGGTCAGGGGTCCCTTTACCTTTTTAATGCTTCTGAATAGCAGTTGCTGGAAACCACAGGAAAGCGAGGGGGTATTGTGCTTGAATTCTGCTTGGTTTCTCACAGCCATCTGGTTGGCCACTGTGAGAAGAGGATGCTGGGTCAGGTGGGCCACTGGCCTGATCCAGCAGAGAAACTCCTCATTTACGCGGGGGTTGCGTTCTGAGGCACCATGTGTGTCAGTGGGGTGTGTGCAAGCCCGTCCTGTCCCTTTCCAGTGCCGAAAATAGCACATGTGTGCTGACCGTGTGTAAATGGGTAGTTGTCAGTAGGCCAAGAGAGGGAGAAAAGTGCTGCCCCCCACCTTTCCCACACAGTGCTTACTTTTCTAAGTCTTGTTTTATCTCCTTCCCTAATTGCCTTTGTCATCTTCCAAGGCCAGGAGATCTACAGAACCAGTGTTGTGGAATTAGCATGTCAGACAAGGACCTGGGAAACCAGGGTTCAAATCCCCCCTCGTCCATAAAGCTCCCTGGGTGATACTGTGGCCAATCACTGCCTCTCAGCCTAACCTACCTCACAGGGTTGTTGAGGAGATTAAATGAGGAAGGGGGAAACCATGTACAGTGGTACCTCGGGTTAAGCACCGTATTTTTCGCTCTACAAGACGCACCAGACAACAAGGCGCACCTAGTTTTTGGAGGAGGAAAACAAGAAAAAAAAAATTCTGAATCTCAGAAGCCAGAACAGCAAGAGGGATCGCTGTGCAGTGAAAGCAGCAATCCCTCTTGCTATTCTGGCTTCTGGGATAGCTGCGCAGCCTGCATTCACTCCATAAGACGCACACACATTTCCCCTTACTTTTTAGGAGGGAAAAAGTGAGTCTTATAGAGCAAAAAATACGGTACTTAATTCGTTCCAGAGGTCCGTACTTAACCTGAAACTGTTCTTAACCTGAAGCACCACTTTAGCTAATGGGGCCGCCTGCTGTCGCCGCGCCGCCGAAGCAAGATTTCTGTTCTCATCCTGAAGCAAAGTTCTTAACCTGAAGCACTATTTCTGGGTTAGCGGAGTATGTAACCTGAAGCGTATGTAACCTGAAGCGTATGTAACCCGAGGTACCACTGTATGTCACCTTGTGCTCCCTGGAGAAAAAGGCGGGATATAAATGCTATACATAAGTAAAATCAATAAATGCTGTTACTGTAAGCTGCTTTGATCCCATTTACTTCATTTCATGATAGCATGAAACTTTTTATCTCAGGATCTTGAGATCAAGCCCCACATTGGGCAAAAGATTCCTCCACTGCAGGGGTTTGGACCAGATGATCCTCATGGTCCCTTCTATGATTACAGAAAACCAGGATGCAAATATTAAAGCCATGTACCACTGTCCTGATCTGAAGGTAAATGGCACAGACACTTTGCCAAGCAAAAGTTGGGTCTGGGCAGAGCCTAGATAGGAGTCCCCAAAACACCACCATATATTCTGTAACATTCAGTACACACACACACACACACACACACACACACACACACACCATGAGCTTTCCACAGATGGTAAAAGCAGGAAGGGGAGAGAAAAATAAGCCTCTTCGGTCCAGTTGTTCCTTCACCTCCCCCGCAACTTAAGCAAATCCGTCCCAAAACAGTGCCTGTGGGTCCCTGCGCAGGTATTCGGCAAATTCTTTCCAGCAGGCACACAGGTGCAAAAGCAGCCCTCGAGCAAACATACCAATCCGGTTAGGTATGTATGTCCTCCATGCCAGGTATGCTTAAAAGAGTGCACATCTGGCCGGCAGCTGGGCAGCTCTGACTGCACAGGGAGGCAGTCGGCCCTGGAAGAACAAAGGGCGGATTCAGACGCAACAGAGGGGTGCTTAGCATTGCGTCCAAAGTCGGCCAGTGCTTCCAAGGCGGGAAGCCACAAGGCGGGCATCTGACACTCACCTATTTTGGCAATGGAGCCTCTCCTACCACGAGTGGGGCATTTTGTGGTTTTTATTTGGCTAGCTACGTCTCTTCCCATTTCCTTCCACGTAATATCTATTTTTTAATTTTCATGCTCAGCCCCAATTCAGCTGAAGCAACAGCATATTACTTGTCAGATCACTGTTGCCTGGACTTCCCTGACCTCCCCCTGCAATGAATCTTAGATTCTAAGCTCCTCAGAACTTGGTCTAAGGCGGATTTTTACGTGGATTGCAACAGCAGAACTTCCACAGTATAAATGTACAGCGAAGAATAATTTAAAAACAGTTCCCCAAATGCGTGTTTGAGTTAGAAGCAGGGTCCCAGCTCGGGGAATGGGGAATGAAGACTACTGCTCTTAACAGAGGGTGCACACCAATACCAGTAAATAACACACGTGTGTGTGTGTGTGTGTGTGTGTGTGTGGTTTGTGTAAAATGATGCACCACAAGTGCTAAATGCAGTTACTGTTGGATGTGGGGAGCTTCTTTCATTGTATATGTGTTGCTGCTTAACTTTAAAAAGTCAGTCAAAGCTGAAGAGGAAAAATCTTGCAGGCAACACAAACCCAGCTCTGGACTCCCTTGTGCAAAGACCTGGCTAGAAAATATTGGGGGGGGGGGGAGAGGGAAAGGAGCCCAACTTTCTCTGGGGCTGTGGCATCTGGATTCAATCCGGCAGGGCCCCAGCTGCCAAAGCTGTGGCAAATTATTGTGCCCGAGCAGAGACAGGGGAGGTAGATCATCACAAGGGGTTTAGGAGCCATGAGCCAAGGGCAATAAACCCACTTCAAAAGGCTTTGCTGGTTGAGTCTCTCAGGTTTGGCCATGCTTGATTCACATCCAGAGACAGATGGCGGAGAGGTGGTGGGGAAAGCGCTCGCGGCGGGCGGAAAGGGAAGGGGGGGGAGTGTTCGGCGTTACACTGCAAGGAAGCAGAGACCGACTGCCCGCCCCAGCCTACAGCTACAGTTTCACAGAATTGTTGAGCTGGAAGGGATCCCCAAGGGTCATCCAGTCCACCCCCTACAACGCAGGAATCACAGCTAAGAATCCCTGGCAGATGGCCATTCAACCTCTTGATTCCAAAGAAGCTGAGCCCACAACCTTCCCAGGCAGTCAAACAGCTCTTACCATCAGAAAGCTCTTCCTAATGTTTAGTTGGAATCTCTTTTCTTGTAATTTGATTTCAGTGGTTTGGGTTGTCTAGTGAGCAGCAGGTCGGAGCAGCAGAAAACTAACTTGCTCTACCTTCCATGGGGAGGCACTATGGAACTCTGTATTCCCTTTTTTCCTGCAGGGATCGGCAGCCTGTGGCCTTCCATATGTTGATGCACTCTGCCTTCCATCATCCCCCTGACCATCACCCAGGCTGGCTGAGTCTGGGAAGGGGGTTGGGACCTGCCAACATCTAGAGGGCCGCCTAGGACCTCCACCTTAGTGGTAGCACGTTGAAATCTCCTCTGCATGAACAAAAGATTATGAACCACTAGGACAACGAGAACATATGGCGCTGTCTCATGTGAACTTTTTTTTTAAACGAAAAACCGAGGCACTGAAACAAAATAGGAGGCGACATGTGCCGTTTGTTGATGATGGAAACCAGTTTCTGCCATATTGCTCATCTGGCCAATAGCCGTCACGCCCCGTCAAGAGGCATTTGTTTTGGGACCGGCCAAGAGATCAATAGCTTTCCTGCCAGGGAGACGATCTCAGCTCATTTCTAAGGCCCCTGCTTTCAAAACAATCAGGGATGATTGCGTTCCACAATTGGATCCATCCTCCCGCTCAAGCCCCTTTCCCCGCCGCCCCACAGGAAGACGACGGCATGGAAAGTAAAGCGGATAAATGCATCCAGAGCCACAGCTGCTCCACACACTTTGTGTTCCTGTGGCAGAAGACAGGCTCATTAACTTAAAAGGGAAGAGAGCTGCAAGCATTACTAAGCGGAAAGAGCTGCAGTTCAGTGGGACCGCATCTGCTCTGCGTGCCGAAGGACCCGGGTTCAGTCCCCAGGTAGGCTGGGAGAGACCCTGCCGGAAACCCTGGAGAACAGCTGCCAGTCAGTGTTGTGGCAGTACTGAGCAGTACAACTCGGTATAAGGCAACTTCCTGTCTTTTTTAAAAAAAACACTGTCTATTAAAAAAAACACTTCCTGTCTATTTAAAACCAGGCCTTTATTCACAGTGGCTGACTTGGTGCTCGTGGGAAAGCTGCAAGGAGGACCGAAGTACAGTGGTACCTCAGGTTACAGACGCTTCAGGTTACAGACGCTTCAGGTTACAGACTCCGCTAACCCAGAAATAGTACCTCGAGTTAAGAACTTTGCTTCAGGGTGAGAACAGAAATCGTGCGGTGACAGGGCGGCAACAGAGGGAGGCCCCATTAGCTAAAGTGGTGCTTCAGGTTAAGAACAGTTTCAGGTTAAGAACGGACCTCCGGAACGAATTAAGTTCTTAACCCAAGGTACCACTGTACAAGAGCTCTTTCATCTTGTGAGGTTTCCAGAAACTGGTACAGTATTCAAAAACATTACGAAGGCAGAGCACAGCCATCGAGGTTGTAGTCACCATTAGTCCTTTCCTCCATGAATTTGTCCAATCCTAGAGGCATCTAGGTTGGAGACCATCCCTGCCTCCTGCATGAATGAGTTCCACAGTTTAACAAACCCTGAATGACAACAAAGAAGCATCTTCCGCAGAAGGCCTCAGCCAGTCAAATATTACAGCACTGCTGCCAACAAGTACCTCATTTGTTGCAAACAATACCCCGGACACTGGCCTCGCCATGGAACCTACAAGATTATCAAATTGAGGGGGGGGGGGGAGGCAGGAACCTGGCCATCTGGAATTTCTGTTTGAATCCTGCTCCCACTTCCGACCTTGAAAGCACACGTCTCGCTCTCACAATCCAAATTCTCCCATTTGTGGTCACTCTTTAGTAATAAGCCTGTTACTCCCTCCAGCTTAAACAGAGCGGCAGACAAAAACTTTCTCTCTCTGAGCTCTTTCCTATACTGCTTACAAACATGTTTTGGGTATTGCAGGTTGTTGGCGTGTGGCTATGAAAGAGGCAAGGCGTGAACACTTGCCCGTGAGGAGGAGAACAGTCCCGAGTAGCCATCCTGGTTAGCAGCTGCTGATAGCTTCCTCCTCCTCTATGAATTTGTTCAATTTCTTTTAAAACAACCCAAACTATGTGATGCAGTCAGTCATTGTCAGTTGCCCAGAGTGGCCCACATGGACACCAGAAAGCCAGACTCTGGTGTGTGTGTGTGTGTGTGATTTGTATATGAATACAAATAAATAATAAATTGTAGTTACACCCCCACCAGTCTTTGCCAGCCTATCATCTCAAAAATCAAAGCGGAATGCCCTTTTGTCAGAGGATGAGAGGTTGCCTTCGTGTTGAGAATGGGGTTTTGCATCTAACATGCCCCCATTTCTAAGCAAGCACCCTTTTCAAATCTAAGCTGCCACCTGGAAGATCCAATCTGATGGTGGGGGAAAAAATCTCTTTCCATCCTGGCTGCTGAAGACTACATGCTTGTTATTCCAACGCTTCCCAAACCTGTGGCAGCAGGTTGCTTCCTGTTAAACTCAGGGGCTGGTTTAGATTTTCATCTAAGCCCGTCTGCAACGTCACAAAGTGGAGAGAGAGCCAACAACAGTGCCTTAGGAGGGACTGAAGACAAACTCCCTCCGATGGAAAAATCCACATCCTTCTATCAAAGCAAGCTGCAAAAATAAAGGGGATAACAAGCAGGGAGGCAGGGAGGAGGTACGACTTGCTCCTAAAAATCTTATGCTCTAAACCAACATGGTGGCCTCCCAATATCACTATAGACTATGACTCCCATCAGTCCTGATCACTGGCAATGGTGGCTGGGGCAGAAAGGAGTTGAACAATATCTCCGGGGCTGCAAGTTCCCCCATCCCTGAACCAGACTGTCACTTGTCTTTACTGCCCATAGCTACCTGCATCATTATTCTACATCACTACAAGGATGGGGAGTCTGGTGCCACCCCGATACTGCTGGACTCCAACTACCACCATCCCTGATCACTGGGCCATGGTAACTGGGGCTGATGGGAGTTCAACAACATCTGGAAAAGCCATGTTGGCTACCACTGCTGTGGTAAGTCACCATCTTTTTTTCCTTTTTTTTTTTTTTAATTGAAAGGGACCACGAGAGTCATCTAGTCCAACCGCTTGCAATGCAGGAATCTTTTCGCCCAATGTGGGACTTGAACCACAACCCTGAGATTAAAGGTCCTGTGCTCTACTGACTGAGCTGTCCGCTAAGTCACCATCTTAAAGAAATCAAAAGGATTCATTCTTGCCCGGAGGATAATGGACACAAACACCCAGAGAGATGATAGCACAAGCCTACATACAAGTCTCTGTACTGGTCAAAGGCGTTGTTCGCTTCCACCTCCAGTTTGCGCAGGCGGGCAGATGGCATGGCACCGTCTTCCAGAGGAGGGTCATATTTGTTGCTCCACGGCGATCTGCAGCAGGAGAAAGACAGAGAGTAAACAAACTTGTTCAGCACACAAAGCATCAACAGAAGCCCCACCCCCACACCATTAAGCATGGATGTTGCTATTAATTACTCATTTTGCAACAGAGCCCCTGTCCCAAGAAGCTATGGGGTGTATCTCACAGCATTCCTACTCAAAGTAGACCAATTACCATTAATAGGCATGACAAACTTAGCTCTAGTGATTTCAATGGGTCTGCTCTGAATAGAATGTAGCTAAATAACACCCAGACAATGTCAGGGATAGTCTATACATGCGAGGAGAGTGGCAGAATGAACTGCACTATTTCAGATTCAGGGTGAGGTCTGTGTCACATTTTTGAAAGTCCCTCTACATTAAGAACTTGGGACCAGACTACCTGAAAGATCGTATCTCTCCCTATAAACCTGCCCGGGTTCTAAGAGCCTTGGGTGAGCAGCTTTCTCTTGGTCCCAACAACATCAGAGGCATGGCTGGTGGTGACAAGAGACGGCCTTTCCTGGGGCAGCTCCCATATTGTGGAAAATCCTCCCAAGAGAGCTCAGACTGGCTCCTTCTTTGTTATCCTTTCTCCAGCAGGCTAAGACCTTCCTGTTTAGACAGGCCTTTGGAAACTGAGGTGCAGATGATGTTGTCCACTGGGCTGCTGTCAAGGCACACTAGATTTTAACTGCTGGCTCTAAGAGTGCTTTAAGGTATTGTAACTATTGGTAACTAGTTTAGCTTTTATAATGAAGCTTTACCATGTTGGAAGCTGTCCTGAATCCCAATTAGGGAGAAAGGCAAAATATCAAAAGATTACATAAAGGAACAAATTCTTCCTAGCAATAGGAAATGAGGACAGCTGGCACAGAGGAATATGGCAGAACCTCTCCCCTTGATGAGATAAGTATCTTTTAAGCAAAAAATTTGACACGCAACACAACTGCAGTCCAAAGGAGTACACTGGAGCATTCCACCTCAGCATTCTTCCACCTAACCTCATTGCTTTGAATTTGCAGACCCTGCTTGATATTCGGAACAGGGAACGATGGGTGTGCCATCTCTAGCATGGGTCTCTGCAGAAGTTTTGAACTGCCCCTTCCAACAGATCCAGCAACCATGTGCCTGGTGCAGGGTGTCTAAAGCAAAGACTCTGCTAGCACAGTACAATGGCACCTAACGTGCATTTAAGTTGCACGATTTCAGCCATTTGTGGCTAACCCTAACCCTAACCCTAACCCTGCACAAGTTAAAATCCAAGCAAGGCAAAGAGCTTAAAAGCTCTTTTGGTGCCATATTTGCTTTGAGTTATTTTAGCTGTTTTTCATGATGCCTTCTGTGTTGCAAAACTGTTTTCTCATGCTTTGAGAGCCATCATGAGGCTATGACCAAAGGCAGACTGTAAATATTCATACCAAATATAAAAAAGGCAAAAAAAGTGTGGACTAGCAGCTTTGCTAGTGTGGACGTGGGTGGCGCTGTGGGTTAAACCACAGAACCCAGGGCTTGCAGATCAGAAGGTTGGTGGTTCGAATCCCTGCGACAGGGTGAGCTCCCGTTGCTCGGTCCCTGCTCCTGCCAACCTAGCAGTTCGAAAGCACATCAAAATGCAAGTAGATAAATAGGTACCGCTCTGGCGGGAAGGTAAACAGCGTTTCTGTGCGCTGCTCAGGTTCGCCAGAAGCGACTTAGTCATGCTGCCGGGAGCTGTACACCGGCTCCCTCGGCCAATAAAGCGAGATGAGCGCCGCAACCCCAGAGTCAGTCATGACTGGACCTAATGGTCAGGGGTCCATTTACCTTTTAGCAGCTTTGTAGCCTCATTTGCAGGTGGCAGTAAAAATACAGTGGTGCCTCGCAAGACGAAATTAATCCGTTCCGCGAGTCTCTTCGTCTTGCGGTTTTTTCGTCTTGTGAAGCACGGCTATTAGCGGCTTAGCGGCTATTAACGGCTTAGCGGCTTTAAGAAAAAGGAAACAAACTCGCAAGAACTCGCAAGACGTTTCGTCTTGCGAAGCAAGCCCATAGGGAAATTCGTCTTGCGGAACGACTCAAAAAACGCAAAACCCTTTCGTCTAGCGAGTTTTTCGTCTAGCGAGGCATTCGTCTTGCGGGGCACCACTGTACACAAGAAATAAGAGCTTTGAAATTTCCATCACCTCTTGGGAGTGATGGTGGTGGAGAACTAACTTCTTCCATTTAGGAACTCTTACCTATATCATTAGAACGTAAGAGGAGCCTGCTGGGTCAGGCCCACAGACATCTAGTCCAGCATCCTGTTCTCACAGTGGCTGAACAGTTGCCTGTGGGAAGCTAGCAAGGAAGACCTGAGCACAAGAGCCCTCCCTCCTCCTGTGGTTTCCAACAACTGGCATTCAGAAGCATTGCTGCCCCTGACTGGGGAGGCAGAGCACAGCCATCATGGTTAGCAGCCATTGACACCCGTACCCTCCATTTCTGCAGCAGGTAAATGCTGAGCCAGTGCTCAAGGTTTCTGCCTCCAACCCAAACAATCTCCTTTCTCCCCTACCCCTCCAAGCCACTTTTAAGCAAGGTGGGCTTGATTTAATTGCGGTTAGTAGATTTCTTCTGCAGAGCACGAGGAATGGAATTTCAGAGCGAGAGCACACAGCCACGACTTAGCACTTTCCTGGCCTGCAGACCATGCACATCCCAAACCACCTCTAAAAAGGGGTTTTTTGGTGGGGGGAGAGAGAGAGAAAGTAAGAAAGATTGCTGGCTGCAGCAGTAATTTCATCCACGAGAAATTCATAACATTACTCCCTCAAATGATGTTTTCACAGCAGACAAGCCCTCAAAACGCATTTACGGGCTTAGATGGGAGGCTGTTTTGAAAGAAGGCAGCTGAACAGAGCCCGCCTGGCTGAAAGCGATGGAGCTTCATGCAAGAGCAATGTTTCTGCTGCAGCCAACAGGTTCCAAGACGGTGCTGCTGGCATCAGCATCTTCCCCCCATAAGGATCCTATTTAAGGAGAGCAACCAAACACCAGGATAGGGATGTGCAGAGGAAAGCCAGAGGGGAGGGGGCTGGGAGTTTGGTCTTGTTTTGTTATTTTTTTAATAAAGGATAGCTTGTGTTTGCTGGGTGTCTCTGCCATTGGCGCCTCCCAGGTGCTACCCACCAACCGTAGCAGCAAAGTTGAACTGGGCTGGTTAATTATTATTATTTATTGCATTTATAAGGGACACGGGTGGCGCTGTGGGTTAAACCACAGAGCCTAGGACTTGCCGATCAGAAGGTCGGCGGTTCGAATCCCCACGACGGGGTGAGCTCCCGTTGCTCAGTCCCTGCTCCTGCCAACCTAGCAGTTCGAAAGCACGTCAAAGTGAAAGTAGGTACCACTCCAGCGGGAAGGTAAACGGCGTTTCCGTGCGCTGCTCTGGTTCGTCAGAAGCGGCTTAGTCATGCTGGCCACATGACCCGGAAGCTGTACGCCGGCTCCCTCGGCCAATAAAGCAAGATGAGCGCCGCAACCCCAGAGTCGGTCACGACTGGACCTAATGGTCAGGGGTCCCTTTAGCTTTACTGCATTTATATCTCACTTTTTCCCGTTTTTTCTCCAAGGAGCTGAAGGCTGAGGGACACTGACAAGCCCCAAGATGATACCCCATGAGCTTCATGGCTGAGTGGGGATTCGAACCTTGGTCTTTCCCAGGTACTAGTCTGACACTCCAACCACTGCACCACGCCAGTTATTCCCTGTCTGTTTGTGGGAGCTGCAACCAGGCCTTAGACATTACAAGGGACCCACCATACAGGATTCTCTAGCTCAAAGAGCCATGCAACAGCATGTCAGAAGCTGAACTCAGCTGCCTAGGAAAAGCAATATAATGGGCAGGATCTCTTGAGATGTGGGTAAGGCGCTCAAAGTACCCAAAGCTTCAAAAATAAATAGCACGTGCTACCGATTCCTCATCCAGGGGGTTGCAAACCCTTCTGGACCCATCTGCAAACCAGAGAAACTTTCCCAGTGTTACCTGGAGTTGCCAGGGGTTAAAACGGGGACATTTTACATGCAAAGCAGGAGCTCTGCTATTGAGGTATGGCCCTCTCCTTACAAATAAAGACCCTAGTCCTTATGATTCTGAATCAAGGGCTGATTTTAACAGAAAAACTGGAAGCTACTTTATAGCTCTGCCACCCAGGTCATCTGGCTCGTACTGTCCACAGTGACTAACAGTGGCTTTCCAGGGTTTTAGGCAGATGCTCTACCACTGAGCTGTGCCTCCTTCACAAAGCTCACACGTTTTATAGTCTACTGGATAGTTTAAAAGTTGTGAACATCTCTGGGTTATTATCTTCTTTAGTTGGGTCATTAGGAGAGAACTCCAGAAGGTTCCCCCAACTACACCAATTTGTAGCTCATTGGTAGAGGCAGGCAGAGGACTCCAGGTTCCATTCCCTAAAATCTCCAGGTAAAATCTCCCCAGTTCTTTTCCAGGCCTGGGAAAGAACCAGGCCTGAAATCCTGGAGAGCTGCTGCCAATTAGTGTAGACAATAATGAACTCGGTGGACTCAAGAGCCTGGCTCAGTTTAAGAGAGCTTCTAAGACTGCTATCTTTGTGAATCGAACTCTGTAAATCCACACTGTTAGTCTAGCAGTGAGCAAAATGTGTTTATTTTTGATGATCGCCACTTCCGAATAACCTGCCTGAGATCAAAAGGGGTAAAAAGAGGGGGAGTCAATTGATGGATAATGTAAAGGAGTGTTTCCCTGTCCAGAGGAGCAAAGCAGTCACCTATAGGAGTCTCCATCTCTGTTGTAGTCGCACAGTAAGTAGTCCTTCCCCACTACTTTATCACGAGCGATCTTCAAAGGCTGGTCAACAGAAGACAGGAGATCTTCACAGAGGCTGGGGACCTGTAAACAGAAGCAGGAAGTTGGGGGGGGGGGGGACACAAGATGCAAAAAGTGAGGCAGGGGTGCTTCAGCAAGCTCCTGTAAATGTATGTCTGAATTGCAGCTCCTTTATAAAGCAGCCTCTGTGACCAGGATGTCAGAAGGGACACCGTTTTCCATGCAAACTTGCTTGTTTAGACCCTTATCAAAGACCCAACCCTGCATCTCCATACCTGAGCCCCCCTGGATAGGCCATTTAACCAAGAAGAGCCTATTGCCCTGTCGCTGTCCACCTAACTTCCCACAGCAGGATCATGGGAATGTACCCACCTAGCTCAATACTGCCCACACTGACCGGCAGTGGCTCTCCAAAGTTCCAGACAGGGGATGTTGTCAGCCCTACCTGGAGATGCTACTTGGAACTGAGTCTGGGCAGTGCTTTTTTTCAGGGAGTAATCAAGGGTTCGCAGTACCGGCACCTCTTCTTTGTTGTTGTTGTTGTTAAAAAGTGTGGCACTTACTGTAACAACTTCATGGTGAGTACCGGCACCTATTTTTCTAGAAAAAAGCACTGAGTCTGGGGTTTTCTGCATGTAAGGCACTGAGTGACAGCTCTTCCCCACCCAGAAGGGTCCCCTGGAGAAGGACCTCATCACCTACTCTTAACTCCACTGGTTCATTGCATTTATATTCCACCTTTTCCTCCACGGAGCACCATGTAGCGTACATAATTCTCCCCCTCATTTAATCCCCACAACAACCCTGTGAGGTGGGATAGGCTGGGAGGCAATGACTGGCCTACGGTCGCTCAGTGAGAGCATCATGGTGGAATGGGGGCGGGATTTGAACCCTGGTCTCCCAGCAGGCTCTAGTCCTACACTCTAGCCCAGGGGTCAGCAACCTTTTTCAGCTGTGGGCCGGTCCACCGTCCCTCAGACCATGTGGTGGGCCGGACTATTTTTTTTGGGGGGGGGGGAATGAACTTCCTATGCCCCACAAATAACCCAGAGATGCATTTTAAATAAAGAACATTCTAATCATGTAAAAACATGCTGATTCCCAGACTGTCCACCGGCCGGATTTAGAAGGCGATTGGGACGCATCCAGCCCCTGGGCCTTAGGTTGCTTACCCCTGCTCTAGCCACGACACCACATTGGCTTTGATACATTTCTATAGCAACTTTCAATAATAAAAAGTTCTTCCAAAGGCAGCTCCCATTAAAAATAAAACAAAACAAAATAGGTAACGGATAAAAAACATCTGAAGAAATAAATTCCATGGTCTATTGTTATTTTAAGTCGTTGAAAGTCTTAAATTGTTGTAGATAATTTTGTTTTATCTTCTTTTTTTGTAAATCACTTTGAGGGTTTAGAACTATCTATCTATCTATATATATATATATGGTTTTCAAGTATAAGCAAACACATAAGCAGAGGAAGTTTTCTGTTGAATAATGCATGCTGATGAAATTCACCATAGCACTATAGTTATCTCACCCCATAGGCATACACAGAACCACGACAACAAAAAAACTGAACCACTATAAGAAATAAACTAACTAAATACCCCCCTGCCTGCCCCACTACCTACCAACCCTTTTGGTGGCTTTAAAAAACAAACAAAAAATCCAACATCCATCAAGTGGTGTGTAAGCTTTATGGAAGCAAATAAAATTAATAAATAGTACAGTCTCCAAGGCCAGGCCACACAATGAGATTTCCAGCTGCAATTTTGTAAACCAAGGTTTTTAAGACAGTTTTCAAGGCCCCTTTGAAATTATCCAGGGTTGGGGCCTGCCTAATATCACACTGGATGATAATTCCACTACTGCGGCGCACTGGTGTGCCCTTATACATGTGTGTGCACATGCACACACACACACACGCATGCACACACACACACACACCAGAGTTTTGTCTAAAGCAATTCAGGTTTCAGCACTGTGGCCACGGGTGTGGTCTCAAAGTTAAATGTATGTGCGCACATACACCTATTAGTCACAGTCTCTGCTTCTTGCCAAATCGAGGGCTGTAAAGCAACTGCTGAAGGGGGCAGCGGCGGTGGCGGGGGGAACAGACCTTGAAAAAGTGGTAAATATTTATAACTGAGTGGAAATCCAAGAGCAGCTAAGAGAATAAGCTGCCCCGTGAACGGCAGCTTAATTTTTTCCACTAACTCATGCTCTGGGTGGAGTTTAATATACTTTCCAGGCACACTGCCAAACATTACTATGTTGGATAACTTTTTCTGTTTTTTAAATACGTTTTCCTCTGACATGTGCTGCTTTTTCAAGGGAGGTGGCACTGCAGAAAACACCGTGGTACAAATTAAACATAAAACAGCGTGAGCTGCAAATAAGACCATACATTTTTGAAAAGTCTTTTTCAAATAAGTCCACAAAAGTGACACACGTGAGAATTGCGCTTAGCAAACTTGTTTATTTTTTTTTAAAATGTTGCCTACTATGAAAGTAAGGGACGCGGGTGGCACTGTGGGTAAAACCTCAGTGCCTAAGACTTGCTGATCGTAAGGTCGGCGGTTCGAATCCCCGCGGCGGGGTGAGCTCCCGTCGTTCGGTCCCAGCTCCTGCCCACCTAGCAGTTCGAAAGCACCTCTAAGTGCAAGTAGATAAATAGGTACCGCTTTATAGCGGGAAGGTAAACGGCGTTTCCGTGTGCGGCGCTGGTGCTGGCTCACCAGTGCAGCTTCGTCACGCTGGCCACGTGACCCGGAAGTGTCCTCGGACAGAGCTGGCCCCCGGCCTCTTGAGTGAGATGAGCGCACAACCCTAGAGTCGGTCACGACTGGCCCATACGGGCAGGGGTACCTTTACCTTTACTATGAAAGTACTCCTGATTTATCACATACCACTGGTTTTGTTTAAGTATAAGGATGCTTATGAGCTGTAGGTGGCAGGGTACCATCTTAAGAGAACAAATTCCTTTCTGTCTCTCACACACATACACTTCTCTCTCAAACACATTAGAAATGTGCTTTCCCAGATGCACAGAAAACATCACAACAGAGGGACTGAGCCTCAGTGGTGGAGCACCTGCTTGGCATGTAGAAGTTACTCCCCACAAGCATCAGCCTCCTAGCATCTCTAGTTGGAAAGGAGCAGCTAGAAGAGTTGGGAATGAGAATCTTAATATTAGTTACAGGTAGGTAGCCGAGTTGGTCTGCTGTAGTCGAAACAAAAAAAAATCCTTCCAGTAGCACCTTAGAGACCAACTAAGTTTGTTATTGTGTGCATAACAAACTTAGTTGGTCTCTAAGGTGCTACTGGAAGGAATCTTAATACTGTCAGGAGACCCTTGTGGCCATCTAGTTCAGTCTTGCCTACACTGGCTGGCAGTGGTTCTCCGGGGGAGCCACAGCCAGCCAGAGGAGACATTACTGGGCAAGGTGGACCAATGGTCTGATCAAGGGTAGGAAAGTTTCTTTTGTTCACGAATGCTCCCAGGAAGCTCACAAGCAGGGCAAGCCGGAGGCAGCCGCTCCTTGCTGATCTCTTCCTTGTTTTTATATATGAAAATGTTGCGCATTGAATCTTTTTTGTTTTCTTTAAACAAAAACACATACTTCAGTAACATGCAAGAATGAAGAAATAAATACAACTGAATGAAAACAAAAATTAAACATGCACACACATCACATGGTATATATTTGGGTTGTTTCATTCACATACCCTGGGGAAAAATATTATGGGTGCGGTGTTTTAGTAATTGTTTCAACTGGCGGTATTATTTTTAATACAAATTGTTTCATTGTTTTTAGAGTTTGCATGAAAGGTTTTCTGTCTGTCAAATTGGTTTTATTAATCTTAGAAGCATGTGTTTCTGTGGTTTTATTCCATTTTTACCACGTACACCAATCTGATGGATTTAAGCAGTGAAGCGGTCCATAAACTTGCTTAAAGTAATAAATTATTGTTGCTGTTATTTGCTTTGAGATGTTTCATAGGAAGCGATCCATAAATAGATTAAATTAAATAAAAGTTCGCTGAGGCTCTCCAGACCCTTAGCTGAACACGCAGGCGGGTCCTACAACCTGTTCATGTAGCGCACATCTGGACCCAGACCACCCTGAAATACCAGAGACATTTCTCTTAAAAGATCAGACTTTTTTTGTCCCTTCAAATGAATGAATGAATGAATGAGACAACTTGTGGGGAGGGGGGGGAGGAAGGAGGGAGTTACAAAACAGTGGTAACATCCTGAAGGGACAGAGAGATTAGCCGCAGACAAAGAGGGAAACAAATTGAAAAGGAGAGGAACGCTACATTTACAGTGGGCTTCAAACAAGGGATGGCATTGTCCTTCTGAAATGCTAATCTGGCTGGAACCAGTGAACCAGGTACTGGGACAAAGTTTTAATTAAAAATAAACTACCTTTCCAAGCAAAGAGACAAGTGGCCACCTGTGCACGGCCAGAAACCAAACACCTCCCTGAGCAGCTGGCCAAACTCTTGCTTCCTGCTCAGGAGTCAGAATGCTGACGGACTTACTGAAAGCTCAAAAAACTGGGCACATTGAGGCAAAGGTGTACGTGGGTGTCAGGTAGCATCAGAGAAGGTCTCTGGGATTAGAGCTGAAATGGGGAACGTACCAGATCAACTGCCAAACTTTATTTTCATACAAGTAGATTTGTGTGTGTGTAAACCAGGAATTTAGAGGCATCTGCCCCTGAATGCTACTTGCTGGGAATGACAAGTGAAGAGAGTTGTTCTCAGGTCCTGCTTTTGGGATTCCCATAACCAGCTTGTTGGCTGCTGTGAGAACAGGAGGCTAGACTAGAGGCACAGTTGACATGACCCATGATCCTATGTCAGATATTTCCCCCTTCTGAAATTAGTTTTGCTTTATTAGGAACATACCTAGAGGTGAGTGTGGGGAGAGGAAAGTCACATCAAAAATTACCGTGTCTGTTCCCCAGCAGGATTAACTACTCCTGATGCAACACACAGACACACACAAATTCATTCAGAAGATGGATGGATTAACAGCAAAGGCTTTGGGTGGCATTTTTCTAAGTTTCCAGCTGGCCACGGTTTAAAAACAGGATGCTGGATCAGACCCTCAATACGATCCAGCTCTTGTGCAGCTTTGATTCATAAAGTTTTACACTTCCAACTCGTGGCTGCCCTCGAGGCTTTGGACCATGTTGAAGTGGAAATAATGTGAAGTCCTTGTTGTGTAGAAGCCAGTCCCAACACCTTGCCATGCTCAAACATAATAATTATTTGTAAACCACCTAAAAGGGCCAGGTGCGATACTAAAATTAAAAGACACACTGCAGCCACACAGAGGGCCTAGCCGCAGGCTCAGGATCTCAAAGGTGGTGACAGATTAGGAAGGAAAGGAGAACAGAAAAAGCAAAAGTGAGAAAGGCAGACACTTCACCACATCCTGCTTGGGGTCAGGGCCACAGTCCTCTCTGTCCCCATCGCTAATTGATTATTGGGATGGGGTGGGAGGAGATGCCCAGATCACGACACCACCGATAATGAGTTCTTAAAAGGATTCTGCTATTCAGGAATTGGTTTGGGGGTTCCTGATGGAGAGGGGCTGTTCTCACTCTCAGTTTCAGCTGGGGTTCCCTGCTCTGGTTCGATGCGCTGCACATACATTGCCACAGGAAACCTAACTGCAGTCCTGCAAGGTAGGTAAAGGTAAAGGGACTCCTGACCATTAGGTCCAGTCACGGATGACTCTGGGGTTGCGGCGCTCATCTCGCTTTATTGGCCAAGGGAGCCGGTGTCCAGCTTCTGGGTCATGTGACCAGCATGACTAAGCCGCTTCTGGCGAACCAGAGCAGCACATGGAAACGCCATTTACCTTCCCGCTGGAGCGGTACCTATTTATCTACTTTCACTTTGACGTGCTTTCGAACTGCTAGGTTGGCAGGAGCAGGGACCGAGCAGAGCAACGGGAGCTCACCCCGTCGTGGGGTTTCGAACTGCCGACCTTCTGATCGGCAAGTCCTAGGCTCTGTGGTTTAACCCACCGCACTACCCGCATAGGCTAGTGTTATTCCCATCTTGCAGTGATTGTTGGGATGGTGGCAGAAGGAGGGGGAAGAGCTGAGGTTGGGAAGGGCTCCCCCCCCCCCAGTTTTGAAGCAGAGATAAAGAGTGAGTTCTCCCCCAATTTATCCCATAGTCTCTTACCCTCACAATGCCACATTTGAGCAAGTGCCAGACAGGAATCCATTATGGCTGTCAGCAGCAGAGGAACCTTTAATGATTGATTGCATTTATAGCCCACCTTTTTCTCCTAGGAACCCAAGGCAGGGTACACTGGTCTCCCCCTCTTCATTTAACACCCACAACAACCCTGTAAGGTAGGTTAGATGAGAGACAGTGACTGGCTGCTGCTCACCCAGCGGCTTCATGGCTGAGTGGGGATTACACCATATTGATTTGTGCCACATTATTCCAATAATGTTCCTTGGACACAGTTACTTTTCTTCAACATACCTGAGTAGTTGGCAGTCATTCCTAGCAAACGCCACAGTTCAAAACATATTGAACTGTAAAGCGCCACAGGGATTGTTTAAACCAACAACTATAGAATAGGCAATGTTTCTGAAGAGGTGGCAGGCAACGTCAAATCCAACCTTGCAGCCACCCATGGCCGAATGTACAAGAAAGATCCACAAGAGACTAATCTGCCTTTATACCCTATTTGTGGTGGCGGGGGCTTCCCCAGTGGCCTCGGTCTGGCCACTACTTGAAAGAGGATCCAGCAAGGTTCTCATAGCTTGGAGTCCATAACTTGTAGCCCCCAGAGAGACACTGGAAGTCTGGTCACCTGAGAGTGCTTTGTAGGAACACAGGAAGCTCATGAACTGTTTTAGGGGGATTCCCAACCCTCCTGGGTCCTCCCCCTCCTAAAGATTTTGTGCACTTCTGCAGAACCTGGGATTCTCCAGAGCCTGCTGGCACTGCCCTTTATGTGTGAGAGGTGTTTTTCTAGCTAAGAAAGTGATTGGCACTCTCAGCTTAAACATCAGAATTCGGGGGAATCCATGGGAATAGAGGACCCCAAAGGGATTGTGGGAAGCAAAAACATAACTGGGGCCATGGGGATGATGGGATAGTCCAAAGACATAAGCTGGGTTCTTGCTTGTTTGTTTATTGCATTTATATGCCACCTTTTTCTCTAAGGAGCTCAAAGTGGTGTACATTGTTCTCTCCCTCCCCATTTAATCCCTACAATAACCCTATGAGGTAGGTTAGGCTAAGAGGCAGTGACTGGCCCAAGGTTACCCAGTGAACTTCATAACAGAGTGTAGATGCCAACTCTTCTCTCCCAGGTCCTGGTTAGACACTCTAACCACTCCGCCACACTGGCACTAGAGTTAAGGCCCAAGAATGGAGCATCCTTATTTTGTACCACAATGGTGCCCACTGCGAAGCCACTTTCCTCCAAAGCAAAGATTTCCTTGGCAGGGAAGGAGTGTGATCACTTAAGTTTTATTATTTAATTGCATTTCAAGCCTTTACAGTTCTGGCTCTCATTTGAATTCTTACAGGACTGATGTCACCCGTATGGAAGTGAAGGGGGGGCACGGAAATCGGAGCTGGTCAACGTCAGGGCGAAAACCACTCAGATGTTTGGAGCCAACGGAAGGGAACCAACACTTCCATAATGACAAATTGAACTGGTGCCCTTCTCTCTCTCTCTCTCTCTCTCTCTCTCTCTCTCTCTCTCCCCCCCCCCCACTTGACAAGCCCAGACTGGATTCCAGCCATGCTAGGCCCACATCTAATAAAAATTTTTGTTATAATTCTATTGAGTCATCCAGCAGGCTTTTAAAAGCTTCCTCTTGAAGCAGAAAAACAGGTCCAGTCCAAGGACTGTCGTAGAAATAATGGGACCAGAGGGGTGGGGAGAGAGGATCTCATACATGATGGGATGCATCTAATGCTAGTCCTACTCAGAATAGATCCATAGAAGTTAATGAGCCTAAGTTAGTCATGTCCGTTGATTTCAGTGGGACTGCTGTAAGGAGGGTTAACATCAAATACAATCCAATGACTTTTGCTGATCCATCAAGGCATCAGAAGGATTCCTAAGATAGCAATGGGCTACTGTGGTTTCCAAAGTGGGAGGTTCCACTCCATGGGGGCCTGTGGGATTCCCTAGGGGAGCACCAAGAGGCAGGGGTCCCCTAGAGGTGTAAACGACTATCAGACTTTGAAAACCTGGTATCACTGGATCCAGTTCATCCATTTTGTGCAAATAAACCACACAGCTTAACTGCACTTTGAACAAATGTGCTGTTAACTGTTACTGTTTTATTGGGATACTATCGTCCTCAGTGTGTTGTGCAAGCCACTGTTCTGTATAATGCTTTTTATAGGGTAGGGTAATGGGCTCAAGATGAGTTTAGGGAAGCAAGGGAGTGGTAGCAGCCAAAGGTTTGAGCAACACTGGCCTGAAAGATCTGAAAAGGGAGAAGGAAAGGTCTATGTATCATCTGCATCCAAAACTGAGCTGGCAAAAACTTCTGGAGCATCTCTCTCACACATAAATTAGCTTAATCCTCCATAGAGCAGAACTCAGAGGTTAAACACATCTCAAGACCAGGGCAACACTTACACTATATCTTTAAAGCCCTATGATGCCACTTTGACAATCATGGCTTCCCCCAAAGAATCCTGGGAACTGTAGTTTGTTAAAGGTGCTGAGAGTAGCTAGGAGCTGAAATTCCCAGCGAACTCTGGAAAGAGGGATTGACTGTTAAACCACCATTATTTTTATGTTGTTTTAAACTGTTTTTAATGTTTTAACGTTGTAACCTGCCCTGGGACCTAAGAGCAAAGGGCGGGTAATTAAACATAACCATAATAATTTATGGGCCATTGGCTCTTCTTAGGTTCAGCATGCTAGCCTTCAGGTGGGTTTTAGACTACAACTCCCATTAGGACCCCAGTCAGGAGAAACACTGAGAGTTGTAGTCCAAAACATCTGGAAGGGCTGGTGAAGGCTGCTCTGTGTTAACCAGATTAAGGTGCTACATGAAAACCATTTCAGTGAAGTCACTGATCTGTGGATGCTTAAAGGTCATTTGAAGCCTGATTTAAACGGAGCCCTTCCTTGACTGCCTGTAGATGGGGTTTTTTAAAACAAAAGAGTGTCTTAAAACAAGTTCCGAATACCCCAATGGTAACAGCTTCTAAGCTGAAGGCATTTCTATTTACAGCTGCGCTCGCTGGGTGGAAAACTGGCTCGCAGAGCTAATTGTGCCAAGTCCCCTGATTTTTATGCCAATAATCCCCAGGTTGGATCCCCGACAGCTGCTTTCAACATTAGGAATGGCCGGCTGCACCATGCCCGACATGCTCAACATCCTTTGGAAAGAACGCCAAGTTCATAAAAGGCCGCCCTTTTGAACCCCCGGCTGCTGTCAGCAGGGCGTCTCTTCCCATCAAGGTGCTCAAGGAAAGCCAGACAGGACAAGAGGCAGTTTTTCCAAGCTTGCTAGGCTTCCTAGCAACGGTCTGGGTTCCTGCATTTGTTCCGCACACGCATGCACACAACCACCAACACACACCAGTTTGTCAGCTCTTGCTGTGGGAGATGGACAAAATGGCCAAGTTTTCACAGCCAAATTATTATCTTTCGAAGGCTGTATATAGCCGCTTTCAGCCTAATCACATACAAAATGGGTGAACAGCAACTGCTCACCTCCAGCTAGGAAGGAGGGCTTCATTTAGGCACATGCTGGGTACCTAGGGGAACAGAATGTGACTTAGGGTGCAGAACCAAGCTTGCTGCCTTACACGAAACTTTCAATGCCAAGGTTTTGCAGATGCCTCAAGGTACTAGTCCTCATGGCGGTGAACATATGATTGAAAGTTGGCATGGAGAATGCCTGCTGAAGTTCCAGAAGTCAGAAGGGGGGGGGGGGAGAGATGATTTCCAGAGGTCAGGGCTTCAAAGCACCCCGCCTGTCCTTTTGGGTGGAAAGGGGTCAAAGCTCAGTGGAAAAGTGTGCCTGCTCTGAATGCAGAAGGTCCCAGGTTTAAACCTTGGGAATAAAAATAAAAGGACAAAAAGGTGGGTGGGTGGGAAGGACCTAAGGAGGGGAGAGAGAAAGCCAGTGAGGGGTGTGGCCTGGGGAAGAGTCCTAAGGGCCAGGGAGAAAGAGAAATTGAGGTCCACATCTGACCCACAGGATGGAGGTTCCCTGCCTAACCCCTGCCTTAGGGTGCTTAACTCATTTGAGATGGGACAATGACATGGTTATTATCATGGTGTGACTTTTACGGGGAAGCGCTGCCTTAAAAAAACACAACATGAAACAGGCATGCCTCCAAGACAAAACTTTCTTGGGACAAAAACTGTGGCGAAATGACTCAGACATGATCAGTTTTCGAGCAGCTGGACAGCCCAGGGTTGCTTTGATGCTTACACTTCTGCTGGGGGTGGGGGGTGGCGGCGAGGAAAGAAGTGGATCCCTGGCAGTTTCTAGATCCCCACCTTGCTGCAGTTCCCATCTTATCAAAATAGTTCCTTTTACCAGACTGTGTGTTTAAAGGCAGGGTTTTTGTTTTTCAAAGAGAGAGAGAAAGCCCAAGAAAAACCTTATTTGCTTTTATCAGAGCCAACAAATGCTTAGAGAGAAATCTGTCACATCACGCCAAGTTTGTCCACTGGTCACCAGAGAGTGTGACACAGAATGGTGACCACTAAAGCTCTCTCATACATTATTAACATGCAAGGCACAACATGTTTCCTAAGCTCTGTACGGTTAACCATCCCTGCATGCGGGTTCATAATCTAAGAGACATGGCACAAAAGGAAAAAAAATTGGGGAGGGAAGAAAAAAAGCTACGCACTGGAGCAGCTGCAGCAATAGCTAAAGGATGGAGCCAGGTTGGTTTTCCCTCCTGGCTGTGATAATCCTTCAGGGAGTTGAGCCTTCAAGTGGTCTTTAGTCCCTTGGCTGGTGGCAGAGGACTCCTCTACAACCCATGAAGTGATACAGATATTCTCTATCTATACCCACATGTACCTTTCTCTCATTGGATAGGATAGTATACCTGAAGGAGCGTCTCCACCCCCATCGTCCTGCCCGGACGCTGAGGTCCAGCGCCGAGGGCCTTCTGGCGGTTCCCTCATTGCGAGAAGCAAAGTTACAGGGAACCAGGCAGAGGGCCTTCTCGGTAGTGGCGCCCGCCCTGTGGAACGCCCTCCCATCAGATGTCAAAGCAATAAATAACTACCTGACATTTAGAGGGCATCTTAAGGCAGCCCTGTTCAGGGAAGCTTTTAATCTGTGATATTTTACTGTATTTTTTGTTTCTATGGAAGCCGCCCAGAGTGGCTGGGGAAACCCAGCCAGATGGGCGGGGTACAAATAATAAATTATTATTATTAAATTATTATTATAAGGCTTTAAGTCAAGCCGTGCTGAGGCTTTATAGTTCCGCTTGCCTTTCTGCTTACTTATTAAGAACACAAGGAAAGCCCTGCAGGATCAGGCTAAGAGCTCACTTAGTCAAGCATAGTGTTCTCACAGTGGTCACTCAATGGAGACCAGGGCTTGAACCCCCAGTTGGCCGTGAAGCTTGAAGAACAACCATGGGCCAGTCACTGCCTCTCAGCCTAACCTACCTTGCAGGGTTGCTGTGAGGATTAAACAAGGAGGGGGAGAACCATGTACGCCATCGAGCTCCATGGAGAAAAATGTTGGATATCAATGCAATAAATAAATAAATTATAGTGTTCAACAATGTTGTTGTTGTTGTTTTTAAACCAACACCTTTCAAATCACTACTGACCAGATGTCTATATGAACCCAGGAAGTAGGATTCAAGCACAAGGACAACTGGCATTCAGAAGCATTGTTGCAGAGGCAGAGAATAGCTATCATGGCAAGTAGCCATTATTAGACTTATCCTCCAATTTGAATTTGTCCATTCCTCTTTTAAAGCCATCCACGTTGGTGCTCATCACACCCTCCTGCAGGAGTGAGTTCCATAGTTTAACTACGTACTGCATGAAGAATAACCGTTAAAATGAATACTTGTCGAAACAATCCTCATACTGCAACCCTAAAAAGCAGCCACCTCCTGCCCCTCTCCAACAAGCAACTTCTAAAAACCTTGCAAAGCACCCAAACGGCTGCTCCAAGCTGCCCATTTCCAAATAATTGGTAATTAAGATGCCAAGCCTGAGCGCTCCCTGCCAAGGCGGATTACTGGCACCCGCAGGCCCCGCTCCTTTCAGGCTGTGCTTTGGAGAGGCCCGTGACTGACAAGGGCTCTAATGAACTCTAATTACAGGCTCGGCAGCAGCGGCCCAAAGAAGCCACAACAGATGTGATGGGGGGGGGGAGAGGGGTCGGCCGTGCCGCTCTGCTAATGAACAAGGAAGCGTTTGGGAGCTGATGAGGGGCAGTGACCCAGAAAGGGCCTCCACGCTCTACCCACCTCCCGCCAGGCCGTGCCCTTTTGGTTTCACGTTCAAGTTGGATATTTCCCCTTCTGTCAGCACAATTGTGTACAGAGCAAGGCACCTCATGCAGCTTGACAAACGGGAGCTGCAAGGACCTTTGGGGGGGATTTATCACTAAGCAGCTTAAATGAGGCTTCCACCTTCGCATTCCACCAGTTCAGGCCCAGATATGAGGGTGGGTGGGTGCCTCAGGTAAGACGCCCTCAGTGGGCCCCCTTAACTTGTAAGAGGTGAGGTATGCAGACCTTCCTAAGCACCACAAGCAACAAGGAAGTTATAGAAACATGGGAAGCTGCCATAAGACCCTAAAGAAGAGCCTGTTTGGTCAGGTCAATGACTCATCTAGTCGAGCTTCCTGTTCTCACAGTGGCCAAGCAGTTGCCTGTGGAAAACCAGCAAGCAGGGTCAAAGTACAAGGACACTTTCTCCTGCAGTTTCCTGCAGCCAATATTCAGAAACATTGCTGCTGCCAACTGTGGAGGCCCAGCCCAGCCATTGTGGCTGGTAGCCACTGACAGTCTTATTCTCCTCCATGAATTGGTCCAATCCTTTTTTAAAGCCATCCAATGTTATGAGAGTGGGAGAAAAACTTTTCTCTATCCACTTTCTCCATGCCATGCATAATTTTATATAAACTTCTATTCTCCACTGAGCCATATCGTTGGTCCATCTAGCTCAGCATTGCCTACACTGACTGGCAGCAGCTCTCCAGGATCTCAGACAAGGTTCTTTTCACAGCTCTGCCTGGAGATGCTAAGGAGAAACATTACACATTACTTGTAATGCCTGCTCAGAGGTAAGTTAATTTCAAGGCTGTCCAAGACCACAATGCCTTTTTGTGCCACCAACGTGGATTAATTAATCTTCGGATAGACTCCGAAGACATATTTTAAGCTGCACTGGCTGGAACAGCTCTCCAAGACCTCAGGAAGGAAGAGAGATCTTCGGAACACAGGAAACTGCCTTATCAGAGTCAAGCCACACTGACTGGCTGTTGCTCTCCAGGGTTTCAGGCAGGGAGTCTCTCCCAGTCCTGCCTGGAGATGCCATTGGGGGTTGAACCAGGGACCTTCCGCATGCAAAATGGATGGTCTTCCACTGAGCTACAAAGTAGATAGGAATTTGGGACTCTCCTAATATAAGATGCTGCTTTATGCCAGGTCAGGGCCCTGGCACATGCTCTACCACAGAGCTATGGCGTTTCTCCAATTACAGAAGCAGGTACAGGAACAGAGGTGTACCCTCTGGATGAGGTCACAGTGTACCTCCTGAAAACAGCAGCAGTCTCACACAAAGAGGATTAATTCAGATGTCATATTAAGGGCACTGCAGTCTTTACACAAGTCCTCAACTACAATTCGCCCAATATCAGAGCTGTGAAATTTCAGCTACAAAATCAGCTAGCAATGCAGAACCACAAACTACTGTTTGAAAGGGGTTTGCAGACAGAGAGTTGCCACGATGTCTGAGGCGAGAAGCCAAAATTGCAGCCACTGCCTTGCTTCTAGTGTCCACTGCTCCCAAAAAGAAGTGCGTCAAGCAGATGGAAAGTGAGAGCAGACAAGCAGCTACGAACACTGATTTGCCTACTGCAATCTGGAGCAGGTGGAAAATGAAGACAATCAACTCTAAACCATGGTTTCGCTACTGAAACCTGCTACCCTCCAGACATTGTTGTACCAGGACTCCCACCAGCCAGCTGGTCAACAGTTAGCTGCAAGGATGGAAGCTGAAGCTCAAAACATCTGGAGAGCCCCAGGCAGGGGTAAGCTGGTCTACCATGTGCCTTTACCGGGATCTAAATTGGTTGGTGCAAACAATGGTTTGGCATGAACAGGGGACATGATAACTCTGCTCTAGTTTAAGATACCCCAATACTCACCAAATCAATCAGATCACTGAGGTTCTTCTCAATCTGCTGGGGAGGCAGACGCCTCATCAAATCCAAGGCACAATCCAGCTGCTGGTCACTCTGTGGGAGGAGGAACAGAAGGGGGGGGGAATGTTAAATCATTCACAGAGAACAGCATGAAGTTTCCTTATACCAAGCCAGAATGAGTGTTGACCCAACCAAGCCCCAGGACAGCCTACTTTGATGAACCGCAGAATCTTGGACAGATGTTATTCCCAGCCCAAGATCCTTTTTATCTATACTGTTTTGGGGAGTGAACATAATACATTCTGCATGCAGAGCAGGTGCTCTGTCACTTAGCTAAGCCTTGACCCCAGATCACTGCATTGCTGCTGAACATGGCAAACCATGTCAGTACGTTTTTCACAACTTGGGACATCTTGCACCATAAAGGAAATCATTCAATACACACTGGAAATGAGGCTCGCTTGGCACAGCTTCGTGGCAATGGAATTATTATCTGAGGGATCACCAAATTATTGCCCAAAGGCATCCCACTTTCTGGGCTCCTGGTAACTGGAGCAATCTTGCAATTCAGGATCAAACTGAAGGAGGGAAGAGATTGCCCCTCCCAAAAAACAACAACAACCAGTTGCTCCCTTTGCCATACTTGTGACCACCAGCCACTTGAGGTCGAGTGGCCCTGCCTTAAACAGGATAGTGCCATCCCACATCTATTCTTTCTTTTAGTCTACAGTGCTTAGCTCCCAGCCTAAGCAAAGGTGAACAAGTGAAATAGGATACAGTACAGTGGTACCATGGGTTAAGAACTTAATTCGTTCTGGAGGTCCATTCTTAACCTGAAACTGTTCTTAACATGAGGTACCACTTTAGCTAATGGGGCCTGCCGCACCACCACTGCGCAATTTCTGTTCTCATCCTGAAGCAAAGTTCTTAACCCGAGGTACTATTTCTGGGTTAGCGGAGTCTGTAAGCGTCTGTAACCCAAGGTACCACTGTACAAGAAACACACACACAACTGTTGCCATTAGGAGCAACAGGGAATACAAAGGCCCATCTAGTTCAGCATCTTGTTCTCACAGCAACCAAAACAGTGCCCACACGAAGCTTATACACAGGGCATGAAGACAATGGCCTTCCCTCTCATAAGAAGAGACTTGAAGCTGAATGAGGCCAAAAGAGGTCAATCTAGCCCAGCATTCAACAGCCCACCCAGATGCCCCAAACAGCGTTTGAAATTTCCCAGGCACATTTTGCACCTGACTATCGGACACTTGAGACCATGAAGATGCCCAGGCACCAGATGCCTCCACCATCTGGAGGTGCACACCAGGGGATCCTTGGATCTTGTCTGTTTTCACACACTAGCAACACATCCTGTATAATTCTATCCATTATATCTTACCTGCGCAATCAGAATGAATTTCAGGGACCCAAAAGTCATGTTGAAAATACAGTGGTACCTCTAGATGCGAATGGGATCCGTTCTGGAGCCCCGTTCGCATGTAGAAGCAAACGTAACCAGCGAGGGCACGTCTGCGCACGCACGCGTCGCTTTTCACCGCTTCTGCGCATGCGCAAGCGGCAAAACCCGGAAGTAATGCGCTCCGTTACTTCCGGCTTGCCGCGGAGCGCAACTTGAATGCGCTCATCCCAAAGCACATTCAACCCGAGATATGACTGTATGACTTTTGAGCCGCCTGGCCAAAAATGGCAACTAGGCATTCCGTTTTGGTGACTGTAACCCTGGTTTAAGCAACCATTTGGCGCCTAGCTTCTATCACCTGGTTTAAGCAACCATTTGGCGCCTAGCTTCTTCTGAGTTTCTATCACTGGACCCAAAGGGAAGCCCACAAGCAGGACCCAAGTGCAACGTGTGCACCTCTCTCTCTCTTGCAATTTGTCAAACCCTAGTAACTGGTTTTCAGAGGCACACAGCCTGTGACAGTGACAGAATAGTGTAACTTTATGCTGCAAGAGTACATCCAGAGGGAAGACAACTTCTGTTGATGTTGGCAGGGAGAGGGAGGCAGCACACACTTGCAGGGAGCAGCAAGGCTGGGAGCTGTGCACTTCTCTCCCCCCCCCCCCATTTCAACAGGAAAGAACACAGAGCCCCAAAGATGTGCCTGCAAACTGTCCTCAGTACAGTTTTGTGGCGCCAAGGGCTCCCAGCGCACCACCTGTCATTAGCAAGCGGTGTCAGTGCTTCCTCCTTTGCAGGAGTTGGAAATGCCAACCATGGATGGAGCCTGGGAACGGATTCTTAGGTATGAATTCTTCAGAGGTCACAGCACACACACACACACACCCGCGCACACACACCCCCAGACCATGCAGCACTTGCACACTCTCAAAACAGACAGGCCAAATAAACAAATGCTGACATGGCGGAAGGTGGGCCCTATGGGGGCGCCTGAAGTTGAGGGTGGGGGGATACTTTTGACCAACTGTACAGAACAGGTTGCAATTGTCTTGAAAACAAGTTACCAGTCCTCAGATTTTTAATCAGCAAGCACAGACACAAATCCTTTACATGTTTATATTCACTATGTTTTAATGAAAACCACCTTCAGCTGACTGGTGGAGAGGTGGAATAAAATATAAAAACAATTCCCCCTCTCCTCTTCCTCCCCCCGCCTCTTCACTCTTTTGTGTAGCAACTTGTTAGAAGGTACTTGCTTCAATGTCTTAAAATATATTTGGAGAAGCAGGGGGGAAAGAGTGCCGTTAGCTGGATTTTACTGCTGCAAAAGGCAGGCTTGTAGTAGTAATTCACCTATGAAGAGCAAGAATTGCCTGCAGGTGAGCAGGAACACAGCAGCAGTGGAAGCTGCCTTTATACTTAATCAGACACTGACTGGCAGAAGCTCCCGGAGTTTTCAGACAGGAAGAGTCTCCCAATCCTATCCAGAGATTAAACCTGAGACTTTCTGAAAGCAAAGTAGATGCACTACCACTAAGCTATGGAAAACTCTTGCAGAGTGATTCTCAAAGTGCCACAAAATGACAGAGGACCAGACGGGAAATCAGGCTAGCAATTTTGGGAGGGCAGTTTGAAATGCTAGAAACGAAATATGCCACAGAGGAGTCCTAGCCTTTCACAGCAATAAGCAGATATTTGACAATGGTCATTGTAGTTTCTTGTATACTGTCAGTATTAAAAATATAATAAAAAGTTATCTACAATTCAAAAAATAAGTAAATCCATCTGGTCATTAGAACCTAAGAACTTTACCCCGAGTTTATTTCCTCCTCCCTCCCAGTGCATTTTCCTTTTGTGCTGTAAGCCTTTTGGGATTGTAAGCCTAAAGACACGGACAGCCTGCTTTTTGTAGTGATGCATAAACTGCTCTGGGAGCCTTTTTTTGGCAAGATATTAAAAAATTTCTAAATAAATTAGTAAATATAAAGAACAATAAAAGGGGAAATACTGGAGGTTTGTCTCAACCCAGCTGTCATCAAACCACAAGCTTTTGTTTCTCCCCACCCACAACCCTGAGCGTCATTTTCAGTTTCCTATTTTACACAACCTGCAGCTGCTTACAATGTCTGAATCAGCAAACTCCAGGCCAGAACTCCGGGGAGCCAAGTGTGGTGTAGTGATTAGAGTGTTGGACTAAGACCTGGGACACCTGGTTCAAATCCCCACTTAGCCATGAAGTTCACTGGGAGACCTTGGGCCAGTCACTTCCTTTCAGCCTTTATCCTCATAACATGGTTCTGAGGATAAAGAGAACCACTTACTCTTTTCTTAAGCCCTTGAAGGAAAAGTGGGATAATACTTGTTAAAATAAGAATATAAAGAACATAAGAAAAGCCTTCCTGGATCAGGCTAATGGCTCATATAGTGAAGCATCCTGTAATCACAGCGGCCAGATACCTGTTGGAAACACACAAATCTGGATTCAAGCACAATAACACTCTTCCTTCCTGCAGCTTCCAGAAACTGGTATTCAGAAGCATTGCTGCCTCCAATTGTGGAGGCAGATGTAATGTAATGTAACGTAACGTAACGTAGCAGATCCATGGTTTACAGTTCTGGTTTGGAGGATAACAGCAAGCCACAGCTTCCCATTTCATACATCAGAATAAACTATGGCTTGCATGACAAAGAAAACAAACCACATCACCTGCCCTCTAGTGTTCAAGCCTCCAGGTCATGCCTTAGAAGACAATTTGAACCACTTGGTTCGGAGTCACTCTTCGTAACTAGATGAAAATCCAGGGCCTGTATGCAAGCAAGCTACCTGCAGAAGCAATTCCAAATTCAGGAGCCTGGACTTTTTACTTAGCACAGATGCAGAAAAGCATTTTGCTCTACCTCAGGGGTAGGCAACCTAAGGCCCGGGAGCCGGATGCAGCCCCATCGCCTTCTCAATCCAGCCCACGGACGGTCCGGAAATCAGTGTGTTTTTACATGAGTAGAATGTGTCCTTTTATTTAAAATGCATCTCTGGGTTATTTGTGGGGCACAGGAATTCGTTCATTATTTTTAAAAAAATATAGTCCGGCCCACCACATGGTCTGAGGGACGGTGGACCGGCCCACGGCTGAAAAAGGTTGCTGACCCCTGCTCTACCCTCTTTCCTTCTGTGATAGGAATTTTATGGTCTTAGATATATGGTAATGTTCATAAGTGTACCAACCAAGCACATACATAGATCAGCACAGGAAGGCCAACCTGGAACCATTTTGATTCCTAAACTGACCAAATCTTTTCTCTGCAAGGTCAAAATGGAAAAGCCTCTCCATTGTCTTTTCCTTCACAAATCCTGTCTTAAGGATATGTCTGTTTGAATAGGGTGTGAGCCTGTGACCTGGCCCAGGAACTAAGTATTTATCATTACAAAAGACTGGCCAGGCTACCCAGGAAATCCAATCAAGTAACCTGCCAGACAGGAGAAAAACAATATTAAAATTTATGTGATGTAGGTGTGATGTATCTGAGGGGTGGTCTTAGGTTACACCCCTTCTGTGATGTATGTATGATGTTTCTGGGGGTGGTCTTGATCTACAGGGTGGCAATTTCAAAAGTCTTTATAAGGCCTTGCACACTATTTTTCTGGGTCCTCCTCCTTTCCTGCACGTGAGGGGAGCACCCTGATGCAACAGATCAATAAAGATCAAGCTTACTAGCTGCTTTGCTTCTCAATATTCTCTGGTTGGCCTCTGTTATTTTCTCCTACCAATAGGGAACCTATGTAAGGACTCTATATGGGCTCTTGGATACCCTATAAGGGAAAAGGGCAATTTTTGTTTACAACACTGCTCATCCCCTCACAAAGGAAAAACAAACCCAAACCAAAACACTGTTTAGGTTGGCATAGGAAGATGCAACTAGCAGCTGACCCCAGAAAGAGGATCCTTCTGGCCACATACTGTCATTGCCCCCCACCGCTCCTTGCAACACAGCTTCAGAAAGCGAGCACACAGTTGCCAGGTCAGGGTCTCTGCTTCAGGATCGTGAGAACGCCAGAGGAAGCAGCTTGCCCCACCATTGCCAGCTGGAATTGCTTAAAAAAGGAGTGGAAGGGGAAAGGAGACACCAAACTTCACTGGCTGCTTCCTTAAGCACTTTCCTATGACTCAGAATTTCGGTTGGGAGAAAAAGTGTTACACATCGCTCATAAAGATTAATGATGTGGTGCTACAGGGCTGGATCACAGGTGAGTTCAACTTCAAGACTGCCCAAGGCTACAGTGCATTTTCATGCCACCTACACAGATCTCTGGACAGACTCTGGAACATAACTAGAGCTGCTGAATATTGTTCCTACCCTCGGCTGCCAGAAGCTCTCCCATATCTCAGGAAGACAGACATTTAAGGAACATAGGAAGTTGCTGGTCCATCAAGTTGAGAGCTGTAAACACTGACTGGCAGTAGCTCTCTTAAGATCTCTGGAAGAAAGATCTTAGGAACAGAGGAAACTGCCTTATACCAAGTCACATTCAGTGGTCCATCTAGCTCAGGACTGTCTAAACTAACTAGATAAAAAGAAACCCTGGACGGTTAACTCCAGTCAAAAGCGACTATGGGGTGTGACGCTCATCTCATTTTCATGCTGAGGGAGGCAGCGCTTGTCCACAGACAGCTTCCGGGTCATGTGGCAAGCATGACTAAACTGCTTCTGAACACCGTGACGGAAGCCAGAGTGCACAGAAACACTGTCGACCTTCCCGCCATAGCAGTACCTATTTATCTACTCACACTGGTATGCTTTCAAACTGCTAGGTTGGCAGAAGCTGGGACCTTCCAACTGGCAAGCCCAAGAGCATTTCAAGTTTCTAGCCTAGGGGTCAGGCACCTATGTGATTCTTGAACCCTATCACCCATCAGCCCCGGGGAGCATGGCCAGTGGTCAGAAAGGATGATGGTAGTTGGCGTCTAGCAAAATGTGTTCCCCCCCCTCCCAGTTCTAGCTCATCAAGCATCAACACAAGACAAGAACAAGGCAGTTCAGTGACAATGCTGAATGGCAAGGAAGAAAAGGCATGTAATGCACACAATCCAATGTGCACTCTTCTGTAAGTTTTCTTCCCCATTATTTCTTATTTCATTATTTGAAGCAAGAAGGGTGAGTTAAGAAGTTGGGCTTCAGGGACCTCTGTGCCATCGCCCATGACTACTGTGGGGACACGGCGGGGAGCTGTTCTGTAACTCAAGTAAAACTACTCAAATTTGCGTTATTTCAACAGAAATAATTTCTGTTGTTGGTGCAAAATTAGGATCTCCTCAGTCTTGCAAGTGAGTCTCCAAAGTTACTAATCTTCATGACCACACATATCTGGCCATTCATGGCACACTGAAGCCCTGAATGGAGAAAACCACAAATTGTCTTTCAATTACAAAACTGCCTTGACTATGGTTCACTCTTGGGTTGCCTTCCGATATATAATTTTGACCTTTCCCCTGCCCAGCACACACACAGAGTTTCTGAACACGCCCTCACCTGCCAACAGAAACTGAACTGGACTTAATGCTTGCATTACCCACTAACACCGTGGCCTGTCGGGGCATTTCCTCCTGCCCCAGAGTGCAGGGAATAAGAAAACACAACCCTTTGCTCCACAAAAAGGCAACTGCGGAGCTCTGCATACCAATCCCAGTGTGGGCTGCAAAGCAAGCCAAGATCTCCAAAGCTTTGGGATTTTCAGAGCATGTGGGCAATTTTCCATTGCTCGCATCTTCACCCCAGGAGCGAACTGCCGTGACAGGAGTGGGGAGTGCAGAGGGGAAGTTCTAAATGAACTTCTTATTTTACAATTCCAGTCACTCCAGGATGGAGAGATCTGAGAGCCTAGAGCTAACGGGAACCCTCAGCCAAGGTAAATCTCCTTTAATAAACCTCCTGCAAAGATGCTTTCACTCCTTGGGATCTTCACTCTGACATCTGCTTTGTTACCAGCTCCCCTTCTACTTAATATATTCTTGCTTTGCTTTCCGTGAATCCTACAAGACTGAAAAATTCAGGGCTATCTGTGTAAAGTTCTCTCTCTCTCTCTTTTTACAAAGGAGAGAAACAACTTCAAGGACATAACAGCAGTGAAAGCACTTGCTGTCTAAAGCTGTGGCTGTCACAGAGTCAAACACCATTTTTATCGCCAGATCGATGTCAACTTGCTACAAAAGCATGCAAATGTTTGAGTTTTGGAGAACACCCCAGGAGGCACAAAGGATGGGTAAACTGTATGCCCGAGGACACACACACGGGTGTACACAAGGTATAACAATATGCTACAACTTCCTAAATAACATTTGACAACAAATCCAACATTTACTTTCTGAAACCCTGAAGAGTTCTCCAAGCTGAATCGAATTGTTCGCTATTTTGTGACATTTTGGTTGGTTCTAAGAAAAGACAGTAGATTTTAGAACTTCCCTTTCAGATGAAATATGGCTTGTGCATTGTCTTGTAGAGGGAACGTAAGAACAATGTTACCTTTGACGTTCCAGCAGTGGCCAAAATCTGCTGACCAAAACAGAGAAATTCTCCCCAGAGCCAATATCTCCCCACAGCCCCAGACCAGAATTTTATGCTACATGCTCACTCTAGACAGGCTGAGGTTGGGAGAGAGGACGCCATTCTCTTTGACCCTGCATCTTCTGTGTTTCTGTTTATCTTCTGCATAACAGAAGGGATGTTGATTATTTGTACAACTTGTCATTAACCGTAACTGTGCAATTTGGCTGCTTTCATCCAGTGCCAAGGAGACCCACGGACTATAAACTTGACCAAAAAGAAGGATCCATTACCCAATAAGCGTGGCGTCAGGAGGAAGGAACAAGTGACATCAATAGCTTAAGCAGGGGGAGGAACTGCATCTCTCCCCTGCATTTTACTAAGATGTTTGGCTAGCAATTAATGCTTTCGCCAGGGGCATTTCCTGAACATGTCTCTGCCCTCATAGCTTGGGGGGGGGGTGTAACTTAGTCCAGCCAACAAATCATCAACTACTTACTGGCAAAACAGAATGAAAAAGGTTTCCTATGCCTCTGCAGCAGCAAGATAGCACCAAGGTTGCCTTGATTGTCATGCAGCAGGTTATGACTCAGTTGTATGGATTGCAGTATTTGTACTGTGAACACAATTTTGTGTGTTTATGAAGGCCTGCTATGTGATGACCTACCTGGCATACAGACTTGTCCAAACATCCCTAGTGCATGAGTGGGAAACCCTTTTTTAACCTGAGGGCCACATTCTATCATGGGGAACCCTCCAGGGGCCACATGCCAGTGATGGCTGTGGTCAGAAGCAAAAATAGCCAGAAGAATGGATGTGATTTCTTTTGGTAGAGCACACACTACACTCCAATCACATAAAAGCTGAAAGTTTCCACACATATTTCCAGCTTCCATCGAAGCAAGCAACTGGCATAACCACAGCTTTAAGGATACAGTCCAGCCAGGCAAAAGCACTCACAGAGGCCACAGATAGAGGGTCAGTGAGTGGCATGCCCTGGGGAGAACCCTGAGGACCAGGCAGAGAAGCCTTGGGAACCACATATGGCCCTTGGGCCTGACGCTCCCTAGTCCTGCCCACATCTGTTGGTTAGTTCTTGTGAGATGTCTTCGGAATTCCCTGCCTACTAATATTCAGCAAAGCTCCTTTCTTGTGCTATTTTAGATGCCTGCAATTCAGTTTATTTCAGCCAGCCTATAATTTAGTTACATATATTTGTTTGCTTTTTTAAAAAAAATCTACTGATTTTATCTGTATATCACTGGTGATTGTTTTCCTGTTTTATGCACATGGCTTATGGGCATTTCTTAAACAAGATATTGTAACTAAGGCTAAGTACATGTAATTGAAATAGTGTATATATACTTTCTTCCCCTCCTTACTCCTGCCTCCCTTACCTTCCATCCTCTGTTTCCCTCATGTCTATTTCTAGGCGGCAAAAACCTTGGAACACAGACACGCTCTCTTCTTGTTTGGAAAGCAACATGTCAGAGGGCACTAGTGAACAGGTTTGTGGTCATAATGCATTCCACCAGGATGCCTCAGAGGGAGGGATGGGAAGCAGGGCTTCTTTCATCAGCTTTGCTGAAAGGTCAGCGACTGCCCCCTGAATTGTTTCTATGCCAGCTAGCCATTATAAAAAAATTACTATTTAAAAACTGATGCCCCAGTTTGGTTTCTTCCTCTGCCTTCCCTGTCCCCTCTTCCCTTTTGTGTTGTGCTTTTCCGATCTTAAGCCTGCAAGTCTCTCTTGTTTTAATTGGCCAAAGGGCAGGATACCAAAGCTCTAAATAAAATAATAAAGTAAGATAAATACTTTATTTTGGTGCTGCTTTTATCCATGGTCCAGATAAATATCTGACAGAGTAGAATTCCAAGCAAGGAACATGACCAAAGAAGGTCACTGCCCAGTTCAGAACGGCATCAGTAGACAAGCATGAACTCAACGAATTGGCTTATTAAGCAGGAAGCTTGAAAATTATGTTTTATGCTCCCTCTTGCATAAGCCACAAGCCACCCCCCAAAATACAGTGCCAGAAACTTTCACAGCAAAATATCAGCATTTTATTAAAGCAGCTACGCTTTGTTCCTGGAATATATGTGTATAGAGAAGCTGATATTTGATGGGGGGGGATGGGGAAAGAGACAAATAATCTAAGAACTTGAAAGACAAGAAGCAGAGGGGAAAACGGTTGCTTGATCCACTGGCTGCAGTAAAAGCATTCAATCAAGGCAAAGCAAGTTAAAATACTGTGTTTCAAATGAATGCTACAAAAAAAAGAAACCCCACTGCATGCAATTTGCATTCATAGCAACTGCATTTTGCAGAAGCCAGGATATTTTAGCAGCCACTAAAGAGAGGAAGGAAATGGCATCGACATGCAGACTGGGATGCTGCATAGAAATAAGCCCCAACAAGACACATGGTGTGTGCACATGCCACATTTCTGCAGAAGCCGTAAATCCACCGTCTTAAGAATCTCAGCTTTCAAACCAAGTTTCTGTCCCTTACTGTGACAGTTAACAGGCAGCCAACATAACATTTAAAAAAAGCATACAGTCTGGTCTGGCTGTAACAAGCATGTAAGAGACACTACCTGGATGTGTAAGATATATATACCAGTGGTTCCCAAAGTGGGCAGTACTACAACTGGGGGGGGGGGTGCAGTGGGATTACCCAGATGGGCACTAAGAGGCAAGGGGAGTGAAATGCTGATGACCTTGAAAAACTGGTATTACTAGATCAGGTTCACCCATTTTATTGAATTGGACTTTGAATAAACATGCAATTAACAGATACACTTCTGAATTTTATTGTGTCAATTATGTTCCTTAGCGGACTGTGCAAACCAATATACTGGGAATGAGTTTATGGAACCCAAGCAGTGTTAGAAATTCCCAAGGTGCCAGGCGCTTTTTTGCAATTGGCACTGATCCAATTACTACCATGTGGCGATCTCTGGATGCTGGGTTGGCGACTGACATCTTCATCTGGCTACCCCCTCCAGCTTTCTTAAGCAGGTAAGTAGAACAGCTTACTTATTGCATTTATATCCCACCCTTTCCTACAAGAAGTACATAACTCACCCCCTCCTCAGTTAAACCCCACAATGACCCTATGAGGTAGGTTAGGCTGAGACTGGCCCAAGGTCACCCAGTGAGCTTCATGACTGAGTGGAGGTTTGAGCACTGATCTTCACGGTCCTAGCTTGACACACTAACCACTATACTAGACCACTTCTTCTACAAGGCAGCTGTATAAATCAAGTAGGTAAATAAATATGGGGAAAGCCAAATGTCACTTACAGAAGGATCTGAAATATTTTCCCTGAAGCTTGAATTTGCTTTATTCTGGACTGCTTTATTTGATGTTTTAATATGTTATAAAACAAGTTTTTTAATATATATATATATATAAAGCGGTATAGAAATGAAAAATCATCATCATCATGGGGGGGGGGGGGATGGTGCCTAAACACTGTGCTGGTGACCGTAACCTAAGCTTAAGGTGCCATTTGGCGATTAGCTTACATATCTGACACTGAACCCAAGGGGGCAGTGGCCTGAGAAAGTTTGGGAACCACTATTCTAAAGTTTGGCTTCACACCATGGCAAGCCTGAAAACTGACAACACCTACACACACACACACACACACACACACACACACACACAAGAATGTTGTTTCTGGGTAGGCATCAGCTGAGGTACAAGACCTGGGGCTCAAGGCAATCAATTTCGTTTTGCAGCAAAATCCTGCAATATAGAGATTTGTGCATTTACTCCCCACGCAAAGGAGAGCTGAACGAGAGACTGTTTTGATTTGCAGCTAAAATGAAAATATGGATGCCTCCCCACCATTTCCGCTAAGTCTCAGGACAGAGGAAGTTTGTATCCCCTCTGGTTGGTTGGCTTGGCTTTCTTACAAAGCCTGGGACAGATTTACGATACTACCCGTAAGCGTAGCAGTGGCGGCTGCCCAGAGACTTCAGCAGACATTAGCCAGTTCAGCCCTGCTGTGGCAGAGACAGCCTCGGCTCCCCTTCCCACTCACAGCTTTTAACCACCATGGCTGTCGAGGGTGGAAGCTCTGTTGTCAGAGCTTCCACCTGCCAGAGCGGATGTGTTTACAAGAACAGGATTAACTTTACGAAGTCTCCCTATAAATTTGTTTTCCAAACACTGAGTCTTTTTTCAAAAGAAAAAGAAAAAGTTGGGGATTATACTTGGACGAGGAATGCTAAAAGGAATACTAGCTCACTTTGGGAGTTCACACACAGAGAGAGGATCAGGTTTTCACCAGTCAATTCAATACCACTGGCCACAAGCAGGGAAAGAGTGCTGTTGTTGCATTCAGGACCTGCTTGCTGGCTTCTTTTTGGGCCACTGTGAGAACAGGATGCGAGGCGAGCAAACTCTTGCACTCATTCCCTGGAACTAATAACAACTGTGTAAGTTTATCTACAAGGCTGGTAAGACCGGATTCTGTGCCACTGTGACAACAGCAGCTGACATTGCACTAATCCTTTCCTCCTCACACCTCTACACATCTAAAACCACAAACAGGGGCTGTCAGGCACCTCCTGTGCATTCTGTGCTGCTACATCAGAAGTGGCACACGCACACACACTATTGCATGTTGTCATCAGGTCCCTGTTCATGGCAACAGAGGAACTTCTCCAACTGTGTGACAGGCCAGCTCCATCAGGCCTCCTCTTCCTCAACTGTCATCTAAGGGCAGCCATTCCATCAGAAGGCCTCAATCAGACAGAATGGAAGAAGGGCTCGTTCCATCAGCTTTGCCAAAAGCCCAGCTCCATCAGGCATCTCCTGCCCCCAAACTGTGCCAGCTCGTCATTATAAGAACAGCAGCTTAAGAACTGGTGGTCTGAGTTTGATTTCCCCCCTCTTACCTCCCTGTCCCTTTTCCCTTGTGTGTCATGTTCCTTTTAGACTGTCAGCATGGAGGGACTGTCCTGTTTTAATTGAATGCACCTAAGCCACTCTGAAAGCCCTTTTGGCTGAAGAGGAGGATAGTAATGCTCTAAATAAAAATAATAGATTTATAAACTTCCATCTGCTCACAAAAAAAGAAGAGCACAGTGTAAACTGGATCGCCTGTGCTGAAAGGAAGTTGGAAGCTATTCTGGTTGAGGAAAAAGTCCATGCTAGTACAGAGAAAGCCCATTATTCTAAATCCAGCTCTAGGAGAATGGGTCCAGCGTGCTCTGTTCTCAACACAGGGTAGCAACAGACCCCTCTGGGCTCCTCATTTGGCACCTATCCCACATACAGTCCTCAAGCTACATTGACCCCCTCCCTCTTCTTTTTTAAAAAGGACTTTAGAAGCAGCTGCTGTGCCTCTTCCCTCATCCACCTGGTATTTTACAGATCTACATCTGGGGTGTTGATATGATCTTCTGTTGGCAGGCAAGCAAAACAAAACTCAGAGGGGGGCAAGGGAAGAGTAGAACTAAAGGCAATGTTAGCTTGAAACAAAGCTTGTTCTGGGAAGTTGCCAAGAAGTTTATCACAAACTCCTAACTGGCCCAACCCTCCAAAAGCAAACAGACAGAGAGGCCCAAGACTTACAACAGCCTTGAACCCAAGGAGCCAATACTGAACCTGAGATCTTGTTTCTGCCCTGTGAAGTAAGGCCTGGTGTTACAGTAGAAGAGTCTGGATGCTGGATCAGGCTACTGGCCTTTCTAGTCAAACATCCTGATCTTACAGTGGCCAACCAGATGCCCCAATGGGAAGCCCCAAAGCAAGACCTGAGCACAACAGCAACCCTGCCCTGCTGCAGTTTCCATCAAATCTTATTCAGAAGCAATGCTGCCTCCAAGTTGTGGAGGCAGGGAATAGCCATCATGTAGCCACCTATAGCCTTGTTCTCCCATGAATTTTAGTGCTGTGACAAAGTCCTTCCTTTTGTTTGCCCTGAATCCTCCAACATTCAACTACAGTCATACCTCGGGTTAAAGTAGCTTCAGGTTGAGCGTTTTCGGGTTGCGCTCCATGGTGACCCGGAAGTAACAGAACGCATTGCTTCCGGGGTTTGCCGCTCACGCAGATGCTCAAAATGACGTCACGTGCATGCACAGCGAATTGTGACCCGCACAGACGCGGGTTGTGTTCGCTTCAGGATGCGAACGGGGCTCCAGGACGGATCCCGTTCACATCCAGAGGTACCATGTAAAGTATTGCACTTGGGCAAAAAAAATGAGAGGCACAAATACAAGATGGGTGACACCTGGCTTGAGAGCAGTACATGTGAAAAGGATCTAGGAGTCTTGGTTGACCACAAACTTGACATGAGCCAACAGTGTGACGCGGCAGCTAAAAAGCCAATGCAATTCTGGGCTGCATCAATAGGAGTATAGCATCTAGATCAAGGGAAGTAATAGTGCCACTGTATTCTGCTCTGGTCAGACCTCACCTGGAGTACTGTGTCCAGTTCTGGGCACCACAGTTCAAGGAGGACACTGACAAACTGGAACGTGTCCAGAGGAGGGCAACCAAAATGGTCAAAGGCCTGGAAACGATGCCTTATGAGGAACGGCTAAGGGAGCTGGGCATGTTTAGCCTGGAGAAGAGGAGGTTAAGGGGTGATATGATAGCCATGTTCAAATATATAAAAGGATGTCACATAGAGGAGGGAGAAAGGTTGTTTTCTGCTGCTCCAGAGAAGCGGACACAGAGCAATGGATCCAAACTACAAGAAAGAAGATTCCACCTAAACATTAGGAAGAACTTCCTGACAGTAAGAGCTGTTCGACAGTGGAATTTGCTGCCAAGGAGTGTGGTGGAGTCTCCTTCTTTGGAGGTCTTTAAGCAGAGGCTTGACAACCATATGTCAGGAGTGCTCTGATGGTGTTTCCTGCTTGGCAGGGGGTTGGACTCGATGGCCCTTGTGGTCTATTCCAACTCTATGATTCTATGATTCTACCACTGTACATTGGATGTTCATGAGTTCTAGTATTATGAGAGATGGGGAAAGACTGTAAGAAAGAAGGAAGGTAGGTGCCCGGGTGGGGTGGGGGGAGTGGCTGAGGTTGACAAGGTAGTGAACCAGCCTCCATTGTTCAGAAGACTTGGAAGGGGATGGAAGTGAGAGCTCTCACAAGCCTAATGTAAGCCAAAATTGCCCAAACAAGTGCCCCAAAATGCCAACTCCCTCCAGTGTGCCAGTAAATGAAGGAGAAGTGTGTGGAGAGCTGCCAAGGCATCAGTTGCCAGCAGGCTTAATGTATGCCCATCCTCTTATTGTCAGCTGCACCCTGGCACTGCATTAAGAGACCAGCTCCAGGCCCTGCCAAAACCTTATTACTGCCACCAGCACTCTCTGGCCTGGCATTGGCTCCCGCAGTTCCATTTATGTCTTGGCTTTTCTTGACTTCCCCCCTCAAAGCCTAGGGTTATATTTCCGACGCCTGCAGCGCGGAGACGCAGCAAGAGAGCCCAGCTAAAAAGCCACAGACATTGGTCCTCCAGATACTTTTCTATTTCTGGTATGCACCAGTGTGCAAAAAATAAAACTGGGGAAGGCAGGTAGCTGGAGATCAGTTTCAAGCTCAGTAACACAGTCCGCGTAAGAAGGAAAGAGTTGGGGGTCGGGGCAGGGCGGGGGTAAGGATAGCAGATACCCTAGAGAAATATCAGGGAGGTTTCATTTACAGCGCGGTTTTAAAAAGTTACTTGCAGGCAGTTTCTAAACAGCAATGAGGAAGTTATGGGCTGGGGAGCCAGATTAGAATGTTTGCCATGGAACAAGAACAGCAATGCCTCCCTCGGGTTCTGAATCCAGTATCAAACATCTATGAGCAGTAGGTATTAAGGTGAGCATGGACTCTGCCCGAGTCTGTTGGCAATGCCAGGCCTCAGCTCAAGGCACATATGCATGATAATGCACATAAATGAGAAGAATGGCTCAAGGTAGTGTCCCTCCCTCTCCCCTGAGGAACAATACACTCTGCCTGCCTCTGAACATGGAAGTTCCACTTTGCCATCAGAGCCAATCCCTATTAGCAGACTTCCCTTGCACTATGAATTTGTCTAGTCCTCCTTTTCAAAACAAGCAACTATCACAACTGGGGGGTGACTGCAGCAGTTGGCATTGGCTTAGCCACTCTCCCCATGCAGCTGTTTCCTTACTGCAATTCTATCCCACCCTTTTCTCCTCATATAATCCCCACAACAATCCTGTGAGGTAGGTTAGACTGAGAAGCAGTGGATGGCTTGAGGTCATCCCATGAGCTTCATGGCCAGGTGAAGATTAGAACCCTGGCCCTAGTCCAACACTCTAACCCCTACGTCACACTGCTGGGAGCGCCAGAGGAAGGGCTCATTCATTTTTAAGCACCTGGAGTCTCACTAAATCAGATGCAGCGAACACCTCAAAGACCCCAAAAGACTCCCTGGGTCTGTCACACATGACCTAACTGAGCAGACCATTCTTAATTTCCGCACACATGCACTCCTTGCTTTTTAAAAAGCAAGACATCTGGCTTCCTCTTCCAACATTTCAAGAGGAACTCCGCTAACCCGTTGACTAGGAAACCAAGTGCAAATTGTTCAGTTCCGTCGTCAATCATGCTTGGCAAGCATCAACACGGCATACGGTACAGAGAAGAGCAACGAGGGTGGGGAACCTGGGATGTACCACGCAGAAAACCCCTTTAAAGCCTAGAGAGAATGTGTACAACTGAACACACAGAGAGGTGCACTTGAGCTTAACCCCATTAACTAGAACCGTGAGAGCTTCCATCCTCAAAAAAACCCATGTTCCCACACTATCTTTCTTAAACACATCTTGCTTGCTCAGACATTGTACCATGCTTGCAAAATGATTCAAGGAGAAAGGTTAGTCCACATGCACAGTGGTTCTCCTTTACAAAAAATATATGCTACGGTCCACAGCATAACAGAATGGAGATTTGTCTTAGGAGGCAGCTGCTTCACACATCCTGGGTGAGTGCTGCTGATTGCACAAGCTGGAGGTACCACACGCAGCTAGCTGCTTTATGGCTAGGAAGAGTAGTACAGGGCTAGCTAGGAAGGGATCTGGAAGCCCTAGCGATGCCACAAACATCTGTAAAGCTGGAATGTGTTAAGAGCTCCATAAAGCAAAGGACCACTCCAAGTTCAAAACTTGTTCCTTGTTTCAGAACCCTGATTCAAGTGGGTGGGCACACCAACGATGCTGGACGGAATTGGTCGATTTCTCCAGCATGCCCAGACACTGCTTTAAAGCGCAGTTTGCTGCAGCCTCCTCACTTAATTAGCATCCTCAAGTTGAAAGTTGGACAACCCCCCCAGGAGGGAAGCAGCAGGGACCACCTCAAAGTACAAAGGCAACATGGATGTAACTACAGCTCTCTGAATCCTGACTCAGTGTTTCAAACCACCACACCACCCACTTCCCTCAGGATTTAGTTTTTCTTACCAATTTGGGACAAACGTACAAGCTTCAGTTCTGAAATTTTAGGACTTATTTACCAGTCATTATTGTGGTTAGTGGGTTAGTTGCGCTCACAAGCATAACAGTCTTTCAGATTCACAGTGCTTTCTGTCAGCTCCCATGCGCGTAATCCTATTCTATGGACTGGGCCCCTGGGCCATAAAATGGCTTGGCCTGTCTGCAGTAGGGGCATGGTTTGAACCCACATTCAAATTTAAAAGTGCTCTCTACTTTTCAATTGGTGACAAGGAATTCTTTTGTGCAGAGGCTTATAGAATCATAGAACTATAGGGTTAGAAGGAATCCCAAGGGTCATCTAGTCCAACCCCCTGCAAGACAGGAATCACAGCTAAAGAATCCCTGGCAGATGGCTATCCAATCTCTGTTTAAAAACCTCCCATGAAGTAGAGTCTGTTCCACTGTCAAACAACTCTTACTGTCAGGAAGTTCTTCCTTATGCTCCTTACTGAATCTTGCAAAAGAAGTTCTAGGAACATGCTGAGAGCTCTCTGCAACTTACTGATACTCCTTATAGGGGCCGTCTTGAACTACACATTATGAGAATCAGCAAAGAACCCAAACTGTAGTGAGGCAAAATTCATTACCCGACTAGGCTTCCACCCAAGACTTTACAAAAAATAAAACAAACTTTAGCTTTCAACAGTGCTGCTACAGAAGAGCACCAGCAACAGAGCCAGACAGGCTTCTTTCAAGAGGGCATTCCACAACAGTGGCACCACAAGTGAACAGGTCACACCCGTGTTTCCACCAGAGTTATGCTCTGCCTCCACAGAGGCAGAAATGCTTCTGAATGTTGCTGGAAGCCACAGGAGGAGAGAGGGCTCTTATGCCCAGATTCTGCTTGAGAGTTTCTCACAAGGGCATCTGGTTGGCCACTGTGAGAACAGGATGCTGGACAAGATGGGCCAGTGGTAAGTTCTTCTTATGCACAGTACATTTTGCCCAGCCCAATACTCTGGCAGCCACATACTAGGCCAGTGGAGGTTTCCAAATGATAGCCACATGTGAAACACACTGCAGCAGAAGTCCCAACCCGGTTGTTACTGAAGCATGAGTGACCACAGTAGTTCTATCTTCTGAAAGACCAGCCTAAGGTGGTAAAAGGCATTCCTGACCACCCACTTTGACATGACCCATAAACACAAGGTTCCCAAAAGAATTTTGTAAGTTAAGATATATGTTGGCAGTGTAACACTGAAAATGCCTTTTTGAGGCATATTATGTGCTGGGCATGTGTTGTGGAGATATTGTTCATATTCACTTTGTCTTGGGAAATCCTTGATTTTCACCGATGCTTCTGTGGCATAGGAACTAACAAATAGCCAGCAAAGGTGGGTTCTGCAAGCCGTTATAGTGACCAAGGGACTTGTACTGTAAGGACAAATGTTCACCATCAGTCATCCAGCCATTTTAAAATCTCACTGTCCTTTCTAGGTCTGAACACATAGCTTATAACTATCAATTCCATTTAGATACCTATTTGGAATGCTCATATTAATGCAGTTTAATAATTAATATCAGATTTTTAAATTATCATTTGTTTTTACTTTTTCTGTTATAACTGCAGATGGAAATGTGGGAACTTAGGGTTCCCTCAAGCTGCTAATACCTTGTGTGCTGCTTTTAATATTATATTTTACATTGTTGACCCCACCCTGGCACCTGTGGCGAAGGGCAGGCTAATGAGTCTAACAACATCCACAACCCACATTCTGGGAATGAGTTCGCTATTAGCATATATGAATACTAGGTTTGGGGACAAAGAGCTGATGAGGGCTATTACCTCACTGAGCCCTCCTTGCAGCCTCTGATGGAAGCATTCGCCTGACTGCTATGGGAAATAGGATACCAAAGATGATGGACTTTTGCTCTGATCCATCAAGATTGCTCTTAAATCTGGAGGCCAACATTCTAAATAAGGGATAGTGAACCTAATGCCCTCCACAGATGTTGCTGAACTACAGCACCCATAATCCCTAGCTACTGGCAATGTTGGGCAGGGCTGATGGGAACTGGAGTTCCCAGCAACATCTGGAGGGCACCACCTTGGTTACCTAAGCCCTAAATCCAACACCAGCCAAGAATAGGAAAAGCCAAAGAAAAGACAGCAGGTGTTCTTAATACACCTTGGCTTGTGTGCCTATCTCTTGCTCAGTCCTTGTTGTGCAGTTTTGGGCTTTGTCCCCTTAAAAAAATTCCCCAGTGTTGGTTTTTTTAGTGTGTGTTTTTTTTTTGTACTTCTGCAAGCACACAATGTGTCCCCCACCAGAGGTACTATCCCTCCCCCAACACTCAATGGGAAACATTTCTGTGGAATTAAAAGCTGGCAAACAAAGGGAAGTGGTACACTTAAGGCAAAGACTCACACAGAGTTGCAGCAGCAGCCTTCTTTATAGGCAATGCTGTGAATGCTCAAATACAACTTTGAGGTACTTTGTTGTACTCCAGCACACACTTTGGAGAAGAACTGGTACAGACGAAGATGTTTTGTGCACTGAAAATTCACACGCACCAAGGCAACTGTGACAATCACTGCCAGCACATTCACAGGACAAAGTGCTTTTCGCCAGCTAGCACACCAACAGCAGCTCCCCCCTGGTCAGAGATGGTCTTGCCACTATTATCAGCCTGTGAACATCAAGACTTGACTACAGCTGCACATTACAGTGGAATGGAAGGTGGTGGATTCTCCTTCATTTGAAGTTTTTAAGCAGAAGTGGAATGGCCACCTGCTTTATTTAGAACACCTCAGATTGAATCCCTACTAGACCACAAAGCTCACTGACCTTGGGCCAGTCACTACCTCTCAGCCTAACCTACCCAACAGGGCTGTTGTGGGGATTATATAAGAAGAAGGAGAGCCATGTACCCTTCTTGGAGAAAAAGGTGGGATATAAATGCAATAAACAAATAATAATAGGTTTTTTTATTTAAAAAAAACCTGATGAAAGGCAGAATAATGAAGAAAATGAATATGCCACACTAGGGTAACTACACTCTTGGTCTAGACAGGAGCAGAGAACACCCATGGGACTTGGCGCCTCTTCCTTGGAACACTTCCTCACTCTCCATTTCTAGGGTGCCAAGTCAGCTGGGGAGGAGGAGACAAACAGAAGCAACGCCTGCTGACAGCCCCCATCTCCTCCAAAAGGAGCCATTCCTATGGGCAAGTACAGTATCAAGCACTCTAAAAATAGACAAGCGCCACATTATACTGTATGCTTAAGTTTTACTGCCTGGGCAATGAATGCCGTATTGCTTCTACTAGAAATGCATGCCAAAACCAGGTAACTGTCATGCTCAAGACTTAGCACACTCAGTTAAAAGAAAGAAAGAAAGAAAGAAAGAAAGAAAGAAAGAAAGAAAGAAAGAAAGAAAAGGTAGTGGTTAGGAGTGTGGAACAAGCTTACCAGAAACCACTATACAGTGCAATGAGAGAAATATTGCAATATGCCATTTGTAAGGGTGTTTGCCACCTACTAAACTTGGTCGCCCTGATGACCTCTATTAGGGAAGAGCAAGGGGGAGTGCAACCCTGTTGGTTCTCCTTGGCCCCTCGGCAGCTTTTGATTCCAATGACCATGGTGTTCTTCTGAAGCCACACAGAGAGCTGGGAGGTGGAAACACTATCTTGCAGTGGTTCAGCTCCTACCTTCAAGGTCGCTCCCAGAAAGTAGGACTAGGAGTTGGTTGCTCAGCAATATGGCTTTAGAGATCTATATGAAACAGCTGGGAAATACCATCCAGGGATTCAGAGTGAAGTGCGGCCAGTATGCTCACAACACACAGTTCTCTCTCTCCATTGGACAGAAGAGGCTGTGAAGGTGTTGGACTGTTATCTAGGGACAGTGAAGGGCTGAATGGAGACTAATAAACTGAGGCTAAATCCTGATAAGATGGAGTTACTGTGCATGGGTGGTTCCCATGTCTTGGTCATGGAATTAAGTTTATGACCTGTCCTACAGGGCTGCAGTCCCCCTGAAGGCACAGGTTCATATTCTTGGAATACTGAATTCCCATGTGTCACTGGAGTCTCAAGGGGCTCCTGTGGCTAGGAGTACTTACCACTAGGTTGGGCTGATTCACCAGCTGCAGCCATTCCTAGATTGGGACAGCCTGGTCTCAGTTGTCCATGCTAGGTGACCTATCATCTGGACTACAGTAATGCTTCCTATGTGGGCTGCTCTTGAAGATGGTCCAAAGGCCACAGCTAGGACAGAACATGATTGCTAGCTAATAACTGGGGCAGGTCAATGGACCATGTGTCCTGGAAGCACTGCACCAGCTGTCAGCAAGCTACTGGGCTCAATTGGTATTAGTCCTAGCATACAAATCCCTAAAAGGCTGGGGATGCAAGTAAAGATGCCTTCCCGATTCTCACCATTGCAAACCCTACAAACAGCAGATGAGGCCTTGTTGGTAACACCACCACAGGGGGTTTCCAAAGTTGGTGGTCAGCAAGGATATGGCCTTTTCAGTGTTGGTTTCCCATTTGTGGAATGCCCTCCCTAACAAGGAAAGTCTGTCTCCCTCATTATTGACTTTCATGACTATAAACGTTCCTGTTTACCCAGGCATTTGATTCTCACCAGCAATTCACACAAAAGGAAGCTTTACTTTTTTATTTTAAAAAGTGCATTAGGCAGACATACCTGCTCCTCAAAATGAAACGACACCCCCCTAAAATTTTGATGGTCTGTAAAATTTCAACATCTGCCTACGTTTGACTTAACTTGTAACCCTTCCTAACACGGCCAAGTGTTCCTGTGTACCCTGGATGTCTGTAAGTTTGCACAAACAGAACTCAGGTAAGTGAACAAATGTACACCTCTGTTATGTGTACCCAGCAGTCAGAAATTCTGTAAGCATAAGTGCACACACCTGGCTGATCCCGGAACAATCTGCCCGCCACCATCCCAAGGAAGATGCAAGTGTGTGAAAGGACAACTTCCCCATTAACTACCAACAGCCCCGGGTTCTGTGCAAAAGATCTGCCCTGCATCATGAAGTTAACGTCATGCCCCGAATGCCAACTGTTAGGTATGAAAATGCATCATTTCCAGACAATTCCAAGTGCTTGTGCTATCAGTAGGCATAACTATTTTATGCATGACTATATACTTCATGCCCCCACATCTGAGGGAGACAGAGTAAGTATGCCTCTGAAAACGTTTCTAAGAATCACATGTTGGGGGAGAGCGTTGTTGTACTCATGTCCATAGGCACCTGCCTGGCCACTGAGTGAAAAGGATGCTGGAATAGATGGGCATTTGGCCTGATCTAACAGAAGGGCATTTCTTATGTTTTAATGTGCACATACCCAGCTTTGAGGTTAGCAGGGTGGAATGAATGCATAGCATTTTTTACATTATATGGAAATACCCTAACAGGCTTGTTAGCCCCACAAGTTAGTCAGTGTGCCCAAGTATACTCATATAGGACAGGTGATAACAGAACTAGTGCAAAATTATATGAAACAGAAACAGGCTTGTTTCTTGAACTAAATCTGGCAGATATGAGACAGGAAAGGATGTTTTATCTTTCCACCTAACACAGACTTTCCAGACTACAGGTCTACTCACAACTCAGGCACTGACATGCTTCAATGTATATTTTTGCTGTTACACAGCTGTTTGTGTTGTGAGCTGTATTGGACACGTGAAAAAGCTACGTATAACTGAAAAAATGATAATGACAGCTGGTTACCTAACCATGAGCAGAACATAAGAACAGGAGAGAAGATGCCCTATGGATCAGATCAGTTGCCCAGCTAGTCCAGCCTCCTGTTCTCAGAGGGGGCAACTAGATGTTCCAACAGCAGGCCCACAAACATCCAGTTTCCAGCAACTGGAAGTTCTGGCTCCTTCCTCCCCAATCTATACCGCCAAACCTAATCCCCAAATTCAGGGAGGAAGATTTGCTTTGTACGCAGGTGTTATCAGGCTCAAGACCTGTCACCTGGCATCTCCAGTTAAAGGAGTTAATGGGCCTTCAGTTAAAGTCAGTCACTGGCAAGACTCTCAGCCTGAGATCTTGGAGAGCTGCTGCCAGTCAGAATAAATAATACTCCGCTAGATGGGTCTGGCTCTGTATAAGACCACTTCACATATAGCAGACTAGCAAGCAGCTTAATTAAAGAGCCCTTTTTTGCTCTCTGTAAGGGCAGCCATACAGTTAAGTTAATTGCGCAGAGCAAGCCATCACACAGAATGAATTAGTAACTTGAGAGAGATTTGCCACATGGATTGCCCAGTCATTCAAAGGGACCTGTGCACGAGCTGGCACACTTTTGTACCAATCTGCAATCTGTCCACACCATCACCACCTCAGGTTTCCAGGAGATCATGCACACTACAACAGCTCCCTTTGAAAGAGGAAAGCCATGACATTTGCTGAGTGCCATACGGTGTTTGCTAGCGCAAGGTCCTCCTACTGTCTTAGAGACCACAGTGACAGCTACCAAACCACAGCAGTCACTGCAGAAATGCCCCACCTTTATGACTCAATGAGACAAGCCGTGCCTGTGTTTCCCACCAAAACTCCTTTGACCGAGCCCAGCAGATACAACAGTCTTCGTCAACATCCCCCCACTCCACAACAAATGTTCTGGACTACAACTCCCATCAGCCCCAGCCAGCACAGCTAATGGAATCTGTAGTCCAAAACATCTGGGGGGGGGGTGCCAGGTTGACCAAGAAAGGGATATGAGATAGTGAAGAGACATTGTAGACAATTGGAACACACTGCCACTTTCTACAGGTAAGCTGTAGTTTCACCGACACCAGGCCAATGCTCTACCTGAAGCGATTTCCAAGATTTCCAAGCGATTTCCTGGTCAGGAAAACTCCAAGTGCAAGAAGAATTAGGATGCCTCTTTAAAACTACATTGGTAAGTCATTCCCATTTACAAGCAACTGCCTAACAGTCAGGTCTACAACCATGTTATCATGTAAAGGAGGCTATGGGTAATTTTCTTTTTTACTGTTATTTTTCACCCACTCATGGAAACCCCCAGTTGTCTCCTACTCAAGGTGTTCAAAATACCCTGGGAGCCAGGTGCATTTTGCTATTGGAGGTGGTCTAATTGTGACTATGTGGAGATTTCTGGGTGCCAGGTAGCGACTGAAATCTCCATTGAGCCAGTGTCATGTGCTTCTGTGTTGCCATGTGAATCATGGATCCCTTGCTGGGCATCTTAGTTCCCTATCACCAGTGCAGGGCTGAGTACAGATATATTTCACTGTGCTGCAGGCCACCCAAATGGAACTCATGCCTCTGCCTTAAAGGTAAAGGGACCCCTGACCGTTAGGTCTACTCGCAGATGACTCTGGGGTTGCGGCACACATCTCACTCTATAGGCCAAGAGAGCCGGCGTTTGTCCGCAGACAGCTTCCGGGTCATGTGGCCAGCATGACAAAGCCGCTTCTGGTGAACCAGAGCACCGCACGGGAACACCATTTACCTTCCCGCTGGAGCAGTACCTATTTATCTACTTGCACCTGACGTGCTTTCGAACTGCTAGGTTGGCAGGAGAGCCTCTGCCTTAGTCCATAGTTAATACCTTTTCCACTGTTGTGCGTTTCACCTTCTTGCATACTGGGACAAGTGAACTGTTCTAAGAGCAAACTACAGTCAAGCAATGTAGCTGAGATCATAGAATTGTAGAACTGTAATGTTGAAAGGGACCCCAAGTGTCATCTAGTTCAACATGCTAGCAAACAGACATTCTGTTGCGGCTACTGTAACCTAGATTTAAGGCACCATTTGGCACCTAGCTTATGTATCTGAGTTTCTAACATTGCCTACTCGGTGTATTCCCCAACAATCACTGCATCTCACACCAGCTCCACCCCCCAATCCCATCTCTCTTATACTATTCTTTCTCACCAGCTAATAAACCCACAGCCACAGCCATTGCCATCCTACTTGCCCTCTTGACCTCAACACCACCACTGCCTCCTGCATGGCCTTCCACCTTCACATGTAGCTTTGGCTACATGGTGTCACCACAAAAACAAGCTGCACCCTACAGTCCTCTATCTGTCCTTTTCTCTCTCTCCTCCACCCCCACCACTTCAGCATGCAGTGGGGCGGGGAGAAAAAGCAACACGGGGAGGAACTTCCCTTCCTGACAGATACACCCTCTTCCCATTTCCCCCGCCCAGGCCTTGCCTCTCCCCCAGAGCCACACCCAGCCCCTTTCCTCTCTTTACTCCAACCCGGACCCTGACAGGAAGCACAAATCACTCTCCTCAAGCCACCACGACCCGATTCATCTCCCCAAAAATACAAATGGCTCCTCCTACTCCCCCCTCCAGCGTATCTACAACGTCTCCCCACTTTTTACTCCAGCCCAGATTCTGACAGGAAGCACAGGTCACCGCCGAAAGTGACACCTGGAGTCTTCTTTCCTCCCCGGTCCCTTCTCCCCCCCCCCCCACAGTGGCCGCTCCCCCAGGAGGCCTCAGACCGGCCCTCCTCCCCACTTCCAGGACCCGACAGGGAGTGCGAATAACTTTTTCTCTCCCGCACCCAGCCCTGCTCCAGAACCAGATCGGGTCCTGGCTTTTATCCCCCGCCTCACCACCCCGATCCTGGCCAGAAGCACAAATAACCCCCTCGACACCACCACCCCGATTACCCTACCAGCAGCCACCGCACCTGGCTCCCCCGCCCCCGAGCTGTAACCCCTGCCTGTCCCCTTTTCACCCCAGACAGGGAGCACCAACAACTCCCCCCTGAGCCCTCCGAGTGACACCTGTATTCTCCGCCCCCCCCCTCAGCAGTGGCCCCTCCCCCAAGAGGACCCAGGCCGGCCTTTCCCTCACAGGAAGCGGCTCCCCACTTCCCCACAGGAGTCGCCGTCTTCTTACCATGATGCCTCCTCGGGACGGGGCCTCTCAGCAGTGGCGGGGGGGCGGGGGCGGCTACGACGGCGGCTCTTCAGTCCCTCCGTCCGGCCTCTCCGAATTCTGAGCCAGGCCGCAGCCCTCCTCCACCGCCTCCCTTCTTCTTCTTCTTTTTGCCACTTCCGCCGTTGCCTAGCAGTAGCGCATCCGGGTCAGCGGCGCGCGAGCGCGCGAGAATAGGAACCGCCGCCGCCGCCCCTCAGCTCGTCAGCCAATCAGAAGGCGGCTCGCCGGCCATCGCCAAGTATGGAGCTGGAGGCGGCGCGCGGCGCGGGAAGGAGTGGGAGAGACCATTTTGGGTATGAATGGAAAGGGGGAGCAGGCGTAGGTTGTGGGAGGGACCATTTGGTTTAAAGAGGGGAGGGGGATCTCAGGACAAGGGGACACGAAGGGTTTGGGCGGTAGAGTCCATTGGGAGGGCTAATGAGGGGGGAGAGTGAGCGCAAAGGCGTGGAAGAGACCATTATGCTGAAGAGGGGAAGGGGAAATCCAAAGCAAGAAAGGAAGGACTTGGGAGGGAGAGACCATTTGCTAGCTGGAGCGGGAGGAGGGTTTGGGAAGGGAGAGACCAACTGGTGGGTAATAGAGAGAGGGGAAAGCATGAAATTGTGCGGGGGGGGGGTTGACTCAAGGTGGGAAGAGCCTGTTTCCCCTTAATCTGCAACACTTACCCAGAGTTTAAAGGCAAAGGGTGCCTCCCTTCACTGCTTGATCCCAACAAGAGGTTCAGAGAGGGTAGACTGCTCCTGAGCTTGGAGGTTCTTTTCCTAAATGTCATGGCTGTCATATTCCTTGGGGAATTCAAAACAAAATAATAATATGAGCCTGCTGGGTCACCCTAAAGAGACAATCTAGGCCCTCCTTCAGTTTTCCTACATCCTAAACCTGTGGGTTTAAGCAGGAGTGGCACTATTACAACTGTGACTGTGAATCTTGAGAAGGAGGAGACTTGATGGAGGGGCATCAACTTTCCATGCAAAGTGTCCAAGATTGGATCCCCAGCATCTCCAGGTAGGGCTGGCAACATCCCTGCCTCAAACCCTGGAGAGCTGCTGTCACTCAACAATGCTGAGCTAGATGAACCAAATGTTTGACTCAGTATGTGGCCGCTTCCTGTGTTTATAATACAGTGGTACCTCGGGTTAAGTACTTAATTAATTCCGGAGGTCCGTTCTTAACCTGAAACTGTTCTTAACCTGAAGCACCACTTTAGCTAATGGGGCCTCCTGCTGCTGCTGCGCTGCCGGAGCACAATTTCTGTTCTCATCCTGAAGCAAAGTTCTTAACCTGAAGCAATATTTCTGGGTTAGCGGAGTCTGTAACCTGAAGCGTATGTAACCTGAAGCATATGTAACCCAAGGTACCACTGTAGTCCTAACAGGGTTGTTTAATAAGAAATTAGGGGTTGCACTCCTTCTGCAGGACCAGTTTCGTAGTTTTGGGGTGCTCCTAGATCCATCACTTGTCAGAGGCCCAGGTGACCTCAGCAGCTCAGAACACGTTTCCAACTTTGGTTGATGTGTGCACTATGCCTGTTCCTCAACAGAGAGAGGCTTGCCATAGCAGTCCATACATTAGTAATCTCACAATTAGACTACTGTAGTTGCAATATTCATGGTGCTTCACTGCCTGATTTCTGCAAATCAAGGCACGAGAGTGGGGCGGCCAGCCAGCCTCTGTCTTGCTCTATTGGCAACTCTATATACCACCCTACCCTGTCTTCCTATTACAGTGGTACCTCGGATTAAGTATTTAATTCGTTCCGGAGGTCCGTTCTTAACCTGAAACTGTTCTTAACCTGAAGCACCACTTTAGCTAATGGGGCCTCCTGCTGCTGCCACGCCGCTGTAGAATGATTTCTGTTCTTAACCTGAGATTCTATTTCTTGGTTAGCAGAGTCTGTAACCTGAAGCATATATAACCCGAGGTACCACTGTATGTGCTTTCCCCGTAACCAGGAAGTGAGACGAGCACTGTAGAAACTGTTGCACTTTCAGCAGAATTTAAATACATTTCCTGGACAGATAACAGAATCAGAGCTGGTGCAGTACAGTATTCGACGTGGATGGGACGGGGTACTCCGATATATTGGAGCTGTAACAGGAACCGCATGTCCCCGGGGGAGAACTGTTTCCGTTTTTCCACAGACATCACATCAAACACACAGGTTCTGCAGGCTGGAGAACTGCTTTGATCTCACTGTGAATTGTGTTACGGCAGGCTGCTTTGTGACTGGGAGCAAGAAAGGCTGCCTGCTCTCGCAGAATTGGTAAAATGCCCACTGCTATGGATGGAGGACAGCCTTTCTGTTCCTCTATTGTTCCATGGATTCACCCTGCCCCCTCTCTCGCTGCGCCTGCCTTCTGTTTTGACCTAGAGGTTTCCCTAAAATTAATCCCGGTACTGGTGCATGCTGACAGTTCTCGGTTCAAGTCTTTCCCCCTTTCTTCCGGATTACTGATGCGCACCAGCGCATAGGTGCATGGATTAAATCACAGCTTCAGAGGAAAATGTTGATCATAAGAAACAGCTTTGTGCCAAGTCAGGCCATGTAGCTCACTGTTGTCCACACCAAGGATAGCCAAGGTGGTGCCCTCCAGATATCTTCCAGGTTGCTGATGTGCAACGACACATTAAGGACATGGTTTAAATCGCAGCATCAAAGAAGAATGTTGTTCATAAGAAACAGCCTTGCACAGAGTCAGGTAGAGCCATAGCTACATGGGGGCTAGCTGGGTTTTTTGCCCCTGGTGACACCTCCAGCCTGTGTGTGTGAGTACGCAAATGCGTAGGGGTGGGTGTACTAAACTGGGTCTTTGACCCGGGTGAAATAAAGCCTAGTTTCACCCCTGGAGACCATTGATCCATCTAGCTCATTACTACCCACACCAAGGGTAGACAAATTAGTCCTCCCCCTGATGTTTGTTGCACTACAATCTATGCTTGTTCCCATCATCCTTGACCGCTGAATTACCTTCTCTTTTTCCTTACCTTCCACACACACATCTCAAGGTGACGTTCAAAATGCAATAAAGACAGCTTTAAAACCGCTGGAATGAACACAGATAACCTTAAAAGCAATACAGTGTAAAGAAGACACCCGTGGCAGAGACCCGTTTATCCAGCTGCGAAGGCCTGTTGGAACAGAAGTGCCTTCAGTTGTTTTTTTTAAAATGTAGATAAAGTGATCGCCTGTGGTTTCTTGGCAGGGTTGCTGTTCCACAGCAGAGGAGCAGCGACACTGAAGGCCCTGCTGTGTGTTACGGTGAAGTGGGCTCCTGAGATCTTTTTAGTTTAGAGAAAGGGCAAGCAGGGGGTGACATGATAGCATAAAATGATGCATGGCACGGGGAATGCAGATACAGAGAAACTTGTCTCCCTCTCTCATAACGCTAGAACTGGTGGACACCCAGTGAAGCTGAATATCAGAAGATACAAGACGGAGAAAAGGAAGCCCTCCTTCACACAGCACGTAGTTAAACAATGGAACTCACTCCCACAAGAGGCAGTGATGGTTTGTATGGTTGTAAAAGTGGATTAGACATATTCACAGGGCTGTCAGTGGATAATACCTATGTCCTCTGCCTCCACAGTTGCTGGAATACCAGTTGCTGTAAACCACAGAAGGGGAGAGCGCTCTTGTGCTCTAATCCTAACTGACCGTTTCCCAGAGGTTGGCCACTGTGAGAACAAAACATGGGTGTAGCAAATATTATTGAAAAGCATTGAAAGTATTCAATTATCTGAGGTTCTCCCTGCCCCCCAGCAGAAGCTTGCCCTCCACAACTTTGATTTCCTAAAAAAACAACTGAACAACTTTGGCTGCCCCCCTCCCAAGCCAAATCCTGGCTACGCCCATGGAACAAGATGTGGGAGAAGCGAATCAACTGGATAGCTCAGTTGGTTAGAGCATTGTGCTGATAACACCACGGTTGCAGTTTTGATCCCTGTAAGGAACAGCTGCAAAGGAGGTTGGACTACTAGATGATCCTCAGGGTCCCTCCAAACTCTTATGATTCTATGCCTAGACGAGCAATTGGCCTAATCCAGCAGGCTCCTCTTATGTTTAGGAGAGCTTATTATGTGCAAAAGAGCTTTCTGCGTTCCTGATCTTGATTACTTGGTACTCAGCGTCATCCAGCTGTCTGTGCTCATTTACCACCCTGTGAGCCTTAAGCTTTCATTCCCTCCATGCAGAGGTCTCCCCCACCCCACGTCCTACAACGCATCGCCCTAGGCGTTCACTCCATCCTCTTTCCCACCAAACAAATGTGCTCATTTCCAAACGGGCCCTGCCATAAACATCCACGTGCATGCAGCTGGTCCTCATTTCAGACCATGTTCTCTCGGAGGCTGGAGCGCGCAAACATTTTTTGGCCGGGGAACTTAAATGCAAATATTTGGGGCAAAAACGAAAAGCAGCTGTTTGATCCTTTTTATACCGCTTCTTAAGAGCAAATACAAACCCCCGCCTCCCACCACCACCACCCCGGTGCTTGTCTCTGAGCCATAAAGAGGAGGAAAACATCCTTGCCTTGAACTCTGGATGTGTACTAAATAATGATTAAGGAAATGATGCTACGTGGAATAACGAATCATTCAGGAATCTCTACAGCCTTTTGAACACACATGGAGTACCACCTTCCATGGGGTGGGGGGCAGACTGAATCGAGCCAAAAGAGAAAATCCTAAGAGATTTCCCACCCCGTACCCTTGGCTTATGATTTATTTATTTTTTAAGGTATTCTGTTATAAAGGAGAATGGAGGTCCAAGATGAATCCCAGGCAGTGTCTACAAGTTCTGTCATTATGAGAGAGGGACAAAAACTTGCATGCACCTTCTCCATGTCATGACTAATTTTGTAAACTTCTATCATGTCACCTTTTCTCTAAACTAAAAATTCCCAAATGCTGCAACCGTTCTTTGTAGGGGAGTTGCTCCATCCTCCTGATCATTTTGAGCTGCCTTTTCTGAATCTTTTCCAACTCTGCAATATCCTTTTTGAGGTGACCAGAACTGTACGCTGTACTCCAAATGCAGTCACATCAATGGCCTGGCTCCATATAAAGCATCTTATTAGATTCTGTATCTCCCAGTTACAAGCATACTAACAAACATAGTCAAAGAGGTTAGCTTGATAGCGCTTAACCTGTTCGCAAAGGCACCCCATATGCATTTAATAAGGGGTACTTTGGATCGCATGGGCAGTAACAATTCCCATACACACACTTCCTCTCTCTATGTTACAGGAAAGGTGGGGCGGGGGAGGGGGGGAGATGCTGTCTTTATGAGCATTGGAAAGCATTTCATCACAGTGAGCCAGGATTTCTTATTTAAAAGGGTTTTTTAAAGTCTGTGGGGTTTGCGGCAGATCTCGCAAAAATTCACTGCATGTGGAAAGAGGCCATAACCACCGGCCTTAACAAAGGAGAGCTCTCTTTAACTCAGTAACCCCCAAATGTTAAGCTACGGGACAGGTCAGATCCACGCATGACAAGGTTTCCCGTCCGTGCTTTAAGATCAATCTCCGAGGCCCCACTGGCGTTAGATCGTAGTGCGCTCTGGTAGCCTGTAGGTTAGATTACTGCACATAGGGCTACTCCCAAAGACTGTTTGGAAACTGCAGCTAGTGCAGAAGTTATCAGATGGATTACTGACTGGGACCAGAGTTCCTTGAAAGAGGGACCGGTGGTTAAACCACTCTGGGATTTGTTGCTCATTGAGGGAAACAAGAACCCTGCTAACAAATCTCAGCACTACAGTCCCCAGGATAATTTGGGGGAAGCTGTTCCTGTTAAAGTGGTACAAGAGTGCTTTAAATGCATGGTGCGGACGTGACAGAGTGGTTAACTTGTTATTTACTAATCACTGTGAATGTGGCTTCTTTAAAAGCTTACTCACTATCATGCTATGAACCTGGTTCCCCTCTGACTCCCCTCTTGCCCTTAAAAATTCCTCTCCTTTTTCCTTATTTATTTATCAGGCTCAGCATTATGAAAAGTGCTTGTAAAAGTCATGAGATGGCGGCAGGGAGGATTTGGAAACAGCGTCATCTGATAATAAATATCCACAATTGCATCGGATGGGTTTAATTGCTGGTGTGTGTCCATGGCAACTGAACGGAGGGGGGGGACCCTGACCTTTTGTATACATTCTTTGCTCTGCCATCAACTTTCTTTCCCAGGAGGTGGGAAATGGATTCAAGGCTGCTAATGGAAAACGTCTTCCAGACTGCTCTTTGATAGCCTGGCGACTCCCGGATTAAAAAGCAGCAGACGGAATTCACCAAAAAAAGGAAAGAAAGTCAGACTTAGGAAACAATTAGATGGGATGTTTTCCATACCTCTCAAATAGAATTTTGCACCCTGGGGAATCTAATGCATGATGACTGCCAGAGACCACGGGTGGGGGAAGAGAAGTTCTTTGGGATAATACGATCCATATTCAAGAATGAAATCATTCTCAGTGAGACTGAGAGATACATTTAAACTGGTATACTGTTGGTATATTACCACAGTTATGTCATCACACAAATCCATCTGAGAGTAGGCTGTGCTGGAAAGGGTGCAACCAGATTGGCACGAGGTTCCACATGGTGATGGTCCTGTCCTGTGGAGAGCCAGTGTGGTGTAGTGGTTAAGAGCGGTAGACTCGTAATCTGGTGAACTGGGTTCGCGTCTCCGCTCCTCCACATGCAGCTGCTGGGTGAGCTTGGGCTAGTCACACTTCTCTGAAGTCTCTCAGCCCCACTCACCTCACAGTGTTTGTTGTGGGAGAGGAAGGGAAAGGAGAATGTTAGCCGCTTTGAGACTCCTTTGGGTAGTGATAAAGCAGGATATCAAATCCAAACTCCTCTTCTTCTTCTTCTTCTTCCTGTGGTACAGGCAGTGTTGCCATGTCACATGGGGCAAGTCCCATGCCAGGTATGCATGCACCCTCATAGCCCTATCCTCCCCTTGAGCCCAGCCTGGTTTTTCTTCCTTTGTGCTTCCTCACATCACTAAGCCCTGGAGAGGGAGGTTAATTGGGAGTTGGGAGGGAGCAGAAGAGCGGAACCCCCCACCATTAGAGCCTATACCATAATTTGTAGGTGGCTCCAGCCAGGCTAAAGCTTGCAAGTTGTGTCCACAGTTATTATCATCATAATTTAAAGGCTCTCTCACCTACCTGGATATTCAAGACCCTCCCTTGCCACCTGCGGGAGCTGTGGAGGAGACAGGCAAACCTGGAGACTGCAGGTCAGTCCTGAAGGAGTGGCAACCCTAGGTACAGACTTGGTGGGTCAGTGTTTGTCTGATTGGTTACTACCATCAGCAGCCAGTGAGAATAGTGTAAGACCTTGAGAACGTCTTGATATTTACAAAATATTTTTTTTAAAATGGCATGTTATTACCCTCCAATAGCAGTAATAGTTCATTGTGCATTGTGAATGCACTGACCGAAATTGTATTTTGCGTGTTCATTTTTAATTATCATGCAGTTGCAGTTTCCTTTTAATTTTGTTATTGTAATATGTTACTGGAATATATACTTTTGATTGAATAAAGAATGAATATATATTATATCATACCATATCATATCATATATTATATCTACAAAACCAAGAGGCGGGAAGGGCAATAATAATAATAATAATGTATTATTTATACCCCGCCCATTCACGCACACTCCCCACCATTTCAGATACAGGTAAGGACATTCTTTGTGTATTTGTAACTTCCCTTTCATTAACACCAACAATTGCAGCTTAATTTGCACATCACTCTTCTCTGCCATCTGTATGTCAAACTGAAGCTAAGTGGAGTTTGCTTTTTTACAAGTAGGGATATTGTTTTTACTGTTTATTTAAAATATGAATATATATGCAACAGAAAAAAGTAGGAATATATAATTGAATGTATATCCTTTTATTTAACCCCCCAGCCCCAGCTAGCTCAGGGCAACATACAATCTCCCCAGTCACCCATACTGTACATTTGTTTAATCTTCACAACAACTCTGCGAGGTAGTGTAGGCTAAGTGGCTGGCCTTACCTCACCTAGTGAGCTCCATGGCTGTGCGGATTTGAACCCAGAACCACCCTATGCCCTTGCCCAACAAAGTAACCAAAGTAACATGGTGGGTTTGTTTTTGAGCTGCATTTACATTAATATCGTTGGAAAGGGAGTTTGTAAACACCACACAATAAAACTGACGGGCTGAAGGGCACGGGGGCCTTCTGGAGAGGAAGATGCCCGCAGATTACAATAAGCGAGGCCTGCAGCCTCGGATGCGTCCTTCATCCTAGCCTTTCTCTTTCGGGCCTAGCCGGTTTCCGCCCCAAGGTCAAGCCTCCGGCCCAGGTTGCTAAGGTTACCCCAGGTTACCCTTGGCAACGGGAGCCAGCTCTGCCGGGTGGGGCAGCGGAAGCTGAGGCCGCGGAAGCGGAAATCCTCTTTCGTCCCCTCCCTTCAACTCCTTTGGACACTCGCGAGAGCTGCCCGCTGTCAGCTACAGCAGCGGTACCTCTCGCGAGACTTACGCCTAAGGAGGCGGGCGGGAAGGCTGAGTGGCAGCTCGCGGAGGGAGCCGGAGGCGGTGGCCAAGATGGCGTCGGAGGGTGACTTGGGCAGGAAGTGGGACCGGTGCTTGGCTGACTCCGCCGTCAAGCTGGGTAAGGGGGCGAGGGTGGGAGCTGTGGAATAGGGAGCGGGAGGGGGCTCGCCCTGTGTTTACGGTGTGGTGCTGAGGGGGAAGGAAGACCTGGGTTAAGGAAGGGACAGCCCTTGCTCTAAGGCCCTACTCAGGTTATCCTCGCCTGGCGTGAGGCCTCGTGCATTTAGCAGCTATGTCCTTAGGATTCAAGGGTCGGTGCCTGGCTTGCCAATAAATCGTCGTGCTTCAGGGATAAGTTATTTATGCACGCACGCAGTTTTCAAAGGCATTTTTTAAAAGGAGTTGCAATGCATCCAAAACATTGCAACCCACTTAAAAAAACACACCAAATTCTTAAATACGGCAGCCTGCTTTTCAAAAGCAATCGCAGGGAGTATATATATATATATAAAATATCTTGCCCCCCTCATCGCAGACCTTTCTTCCTGAAAGGAGGGGAGGGAACTCTGTTGCAACAGAAAAATAAATATCTGCCTTGCTTTCCACCGGATCCTGCCTCCATTCATTCTTCTCTGACCGATCATGGACTTAGGGGACTCTGAGTCCCATGGGGAGTTGGGCAGCAAGTTTTTACATCAATTTCAAAAGTTTCCCCAAAAGCAATTTTGAAGCCCACCCAAACCCTGCAGTTGACTTCTCAGGAGCCAGTCTTCAGAAGGTGCAACCCCCTATATTGTGTTGTTTGCTGCTGCCTTGAGGAGATAACAGTGTTCAGAAATATTGTGAATAAAACTGCCAGTGTTTGTAGCTGCTTTATGGGGGGGTCCATGGTGCTGTGTCCCTATTTTTGTCTGGGAAATGTGGTATAGTATAGAGCTGACCCTGGCAGCTATGTTATCCACTTGGACCATACAGTGCTATCCTTCAAACGGCCTGTCACTGGAGACAGTCAAAGTTTGTGTGTAGGAACTGAATAGCTGTGGAGCCACCAATAATGTTTCATTGTGTTTTGTCTGCTGAATAGCTTTCGCTGCAGTTAAACTTCTAAAATGCAGGATTATCTTCTTCAGCAGTAACAAGAATCATGCTGTCTGGGTGTGTTTAAAGGTCTAGTGCAGGCATAGTTCATTGGTTGAGCGCCTGTTTTGCATGGCAGACATCACATGTTCAATTCCCAGCACATCCATATAAAAGGATTGTAGGTGAGCCAGTCTGGGAAAGACTTTGAGCTTCTGCCGCTTGCAAGAGTGGGCGGTAACGTTCAATTACAAAATAACAGCAATATATGTATCGCTTCTGTAATATTTAGCCGTTTGAACACACCATCACAGCAGTTGTTGTATCAGTCCTGTATGGTGGCGGTGCGGATAATGCTGTAAGAGTGATTTGCCTAAAGCCACCTGGTTTGCCCTTGGGCTTGGCAGAGGTGAAATCAAAACTAATAACTGTAGATCTGTGGTGTTATATTTTAGCCACCACTCCCAATTCCTAGTTGATGGGGCCATTGCAGGTTATTGATGGTAGGGGGTGGGTTCACTTCCAACCACATTGGTGCCCCGGCTTTCCTATATTTATTTTATTTGTTGCATTGCATTTATATCCCATCTTTTTCTCCAAGGAGCTCACATTGACATACATACCAGCCCCCATTTAATCCTCACAACAACCTTGTGTGAGGTAGGTTAGTCTGAGAGGCAGTGACTGGCCCAAGGTCACCCAGTGAGCTTCATGACTGAGTGGGGATTTGAACCCCTCTGACACTGAACAACCAGGCTGTCTTTGACAAAGGTTTTGCAGGGGATACACTGTATGACTAAAGTTGGAGGATTCTTTGTGATGTATGAGAGATAGACCCCCTGTCTCACAGTGACAAATCATTTTGCTACCTAGTAGTCACCATTCACAGAGCTTTCAGAATTTCACCTAACATTCTCTTGTTGTAATGCTTTACAACAAGCCTGTGAGGTAGTCCAGTGTTATCCCAATATTGCAGTTTTGGGGGTGAAAGGGGAGTTGCTTTTCTAAGGTCACCTAACAATAACAAGTTTACTGCAAGTGTGAAGTTTGATCTGGGGGACACACCTACCTACTGGGGAGAGGTTTTCCCCATGGAGTTTCTGCCTGACCCACACCTGTTAAACCTGCACATCTGTCAAACAAAAAGGTGACCACCTGAGGCACAGGAATGGGAAGACATCCAATGTGAATGGGTTGTATGTGAGTTCTACTAGAGTAAACCCATTGAAATTAATAACTGTGACTAACCAAGTTCACTTATTTCAGGGGGCCTACTCTGAGTAGAACTTAGTTTGCAGGAGACTGAGGTGTTGATGAGAATTTGGGAATTCTTCTGCTGTGTGATGTGAGGAGGAACCTGCCTAACTGAGATCCATGTTGGTGCAGTAGACGGTGTGTATGTTGGATTTCTGCTGGGAAGATCTGGGTTCAAATACCAACTCAGCTATGAAGTTCTGCCTTGGGCGGATCGCATTTAGCCTAACCCATCTCACAGTAGGTGATAGAGAAGGCAGTTGCTCTCGTATCCTGCTTATAGGCCTTTGGTAGGCCTCTGTGAGAACAGGATGCCGTACTAGTTGGGCCGTGGCCTGATCCAGCAGTCAGTTCTACTGATGGCTGTGAAATGGAGACCTGAAGGGGTGGGTCTTTGTTGAGACACAAGGAAGCAATAGTTGGGAATAGCTGAACTTAATTACTAGCTTAGTACAAGCAGAGAATGAGTTCAGACTAATGTGGAAAATTGATTCCCCACCAGCCCCTTCTTGCCTCTGGTTCCTATCACCTCCATCTTGTCAAAAGGTTTTCTTAGCTTGGCTGCCTCTTGGGATTTCTTTCCAGTCTTTGACCTGCCCTGCAAAGCTATTACTGTCTTTAGGACCTGTGTGATCGTATTAATCCCAGCCAAATTAAAATATTTCCCCTTCCTTGAGCACTTAGGAAGTTTGTGAACATTCTATGCCATCATGTCAGCTCAGCCAATCTGCATTGGAAGCCACAAATTCTATATAATAAGTGTCCTTCGCCCAATCTTTGGCGTGCTCATATCCAGGCTTGGTTATGCTTTGGGGGTCACTAAGTTGATTTGTTTTTGTTGTCACTGATGAGCATTAGTGAAAAGAGGTTGGGACTTTGCCCTCTTTCCCAAAGTTGGAGGGTGGCCGCCCCCCGATGTGTCTTGATTCTCCTGCACTCCTACACCGAAAACCTCGCATGAACCCCTTTGAAATGAGAGTTATGCAACATGTTCCCAGTAATATTGTGCCCAGAGTTGGCTGCGGTTTTGAGGTTTCTGTTTGCAGCCAACTCCCCCGTTCCCATACCGGGAGAAAGTGCTTTTAAGTTTTGTGTTATAAGACTTGTTTACATGCAAGTGGAGTGGGTAAGAAGAGCAAGAAGAAATAACAATGATCCAGTTTGAATTGCAAATGAGTTAATAATCGGATTTGTGCTTGCTGTTGCAATTTTCTTCTCCTCTGGCTTCTTCTGGGTAGGTATTAATTTGATTTTAAATGAGCAGGTGTCTCATGCTTCGTAAGAGGGATTGAGGATGTGATAAGAAGGTTTCTGGGTTGATAAACAACCTAAGTAGAATCTTGCTGGATCAGGCTAAAGAGAAACCATCTCTGGTCCAGCATCCTGTTCATAGCAGTGGCCCACTAGATGCCTCCAAAAAGCCCACAAGGAGAGTATGGAGGCATCGGCTATCCTTAGGAAGATAGAAAGCTGCCTTCTTCCAAAACAGAGCATTGGTCCATCTAGCACAGTATACTGACTGTCACATCAGGGTCTCAGACAGGACTCTTTTCCATTCCTCTTGGAGATTTGAACCCAGGACCTTCTGAATGCAAAGCGGGTACCCCACCACTGAACTATGGCCCTTCTTTTAGAACACATAGGAAGCTGCCTTTGACTGAGTCAACTGCTTTATCTAGGGTAGTGCTGTCCATGTTGACTGACAGCAGCTCTCCAAGATTTCAGACGGAACATTCCCAGCCTACCTGGAGATGATGGGAATTGAACCTGGGGCCTTCTGCGTACAGTACAGGTGCTCTTCCACTGAACTGTGGCCCATGTTTGTCCCTAGCACCTGACAGTCATAGGTAAATTGCATCGGAAGATGGAGGGACAGTTTAGTGGTTGATAAGACTTCCCCTTCATGAAGTTGTTGTAATCCTCTCATAAACCATCTACAAAGTATTGATGGATATTGTCAGAGCTTAGAGCAATTCCACATTCATTCTTCTTTAAAACAAAGCATAATCACACAACAAAGTGCCTGTGGGTCAGTGCCCAAAATCCCCTAAGTGCCAGGCTCATTTTGCAATTGGCACAGGCCCAATTGCGACCATTTGGAGATCTCTGGGTGCTTGGTGTCTGGCCCCTCCAGCTTTCTTAAGCAGGTAAGCAGAAGAGCTTATATATTGCATATATATTCGTACTTCTGCATCTTGAGAAGTGGGTTTGGTGAGCCTCTTTGTGCACAGCAAATTTCAAGGCTGCTGAGTTAGATGTGCATGTGTGTAAGCTATTGGGTTTCACAGAGTTCACAGTAAGGTGGAGCGATGAAGACTTCTGTGAAATGTGAGAGCTTGCATCAATGTGAAGCTGTCCCATTTAAAAAGTCAGCATTTGACTTGCCGGTATTTGTGGCTGGTACTGCAGCTGTTCCTCCTACTACAAGGCATTTGGTTTAACACCTTACTCCTCATCCCCACCAGTAACCAAGCTTAAGTACTGCATTTGCCTTTGTTTGCCCCTTGCTACCCACCCACCTCTTTTCTGTTTTTGCTGCAGACAGCTTGGGAAGAAGTAGCCTTTTGCAGATCTTCATAAAGAGACGTGCTATCTTGATGGTGTTTTATATCAAGGATGGGGAACCTTTGGCCTTCTAAATCAAGCTTCCTCAAAGTTGGCCCTCCAGATGTTTTCGGCCTACAACTCCCATGATCCCTAGCTAGCAGAACCAGTGGTCAGGGATGATGGGAATTGTAGTCTCAAAAACATCTGGAGGGCCGAGTTTGAGGAAGCCTGCTCTAGATGCTTCTTAACCACAACTCTCATTACATCCTTGCTGAGGCTGGGAGTTGTAGTTCAGTAACATCCGCAGGGCCAAAACTTGCCCACACCGGTTCAAGATGGATCAGTAGTCTCACCTGGTAGAGTATCTGATATAGTAACTAGCCATGATGGTTATGTTCTGCCTTCACAGTCAGAGACAGCAGTACTTCTGAATACTGGTTGATTAGTCCACAGCAGTGGCAAACAGTCGGATGATCTTGCCTCTGTGTGAGGCTGCAATAATGAGGGAACCATTGAGAGATGGGGCCTGTTGTGCCAATGAGGGAACCATTCAGCATCTGACGCTGTTGCCCTCGTCCTGCTTGAGGGTTTCCCACAGGCATTGGCTTGGCCGCTGTGAGAACAGGAGCCTGGACTAGATGCACCATTGGCCTGATCCTGCAGGCTCCTCTTATGTCCTATGCTCATAAGCAGGGGAAAGATCTTAGGTTTGTAGGCTGCCCTCACAATAAACTGCTGCAGAGGAGCATGTAGATCCCCTGTCGGTGTGCATGCCCCCAGCTCTTGCTTGAACTGAACACACGCCTTGTTCTGAGGATTGCGCAAGGCAATTGACTCAATTTTTCCCAACCAAAGCCCTGCCAGAGGTTTCCCAGCGGGAGTTTCTCACCGCCTGCTTGAACTGGGCCAGAGTCGTGTTTAGGCACAGGCACTTGGCCCAGAGCGTGAAAGGGAGCAGTGATGCTTATTTCACATGTATCAGGAATTAATGACATGTACGCACAGAGCCAGGGCCGCAGTTGCAGAGGTAAGCATAAATGAGCTTTGCCTAGTTGACAGTGGCATTCCAAACCCACCAGGGCCCGCATGATTCTCTGGGAACACTTTCTGATTTCCTTTTTTGCTGAATCCAAACATGCAGGCCTGATAAATCCTTAAGATGTAAAGCCATTTATAAATAAAAGTCCATATAGTTATTCAACAAATGTTATTAGTTTTGTTTTTTAAAGCAAAACATGACTTGCAAAAACTTCAGGAAAACAAACAACAAGGCAATGAAACAATTTTTTATGATTTCCCCAGAGTATCCTGAAAATACACTATGAAAATCTGTATTCCCATACATAGAACGGTATATATCTGTAAAACATGTTCTTATAAAGTGATCCACAAGAACATGCTTTACAGATGTATACCGTTCTATGTATGGGGATACATCTAAATTTCAGGCATCTAACTCTGAAAAAAGTGTTGTGTGTGCTTGATTTGCCGTATCGTTTGCTGCTCTTTCTGGTAAGCTGCTACTGGGGCAGGTGCAAAGGGCCTGCAGAGGGTTTTTTGTTTTTTTTTAAAGGAAAGGGTTATGTCCAGTCTTAGTCCTACGCACAGTAGACCCACTGGAATTGGTGGGCCTGAGTGCTTTAATTTCTATGAGTCTACTCTGACTCTTGAGTAGGGCTAACACTCCAAACCTTATTCGGCCTGAAAACTCTGGGTTGTATCTCATGTTAATGCTACTTAGAGTGGAGTGGACCCATTGAAATGAATGTGCCTTGGTAAGCTATGCCCATTAATTTCAATGAGTCTACTCTGTTGTTTGATACAACCCTCTTTGCCTCCAGTTCCTACCCAGGATAAGTTTCAGCTTATCAGGAGCCTTGGAGAAAAACTCTCCTGTTTTGCTGTTATAACTGGAGGTGGGAAGTGAACTTGATAGGTTCTGCTGATGAAGTGTGATGTGAAAGGCATCCCTGTTACGTATGCTGAACACATTCCTGTTCAGCAGCGGCAATGCCACTGCTGGGAGGCGGGCTGTTTTTCCGGGTGGGCACAATTCCACTCCACTTCCACAAAAGGAGTTGCGAGCTGAAGCAGCCCTTCCTCATCCTTCAAAAGCAGTGAAGTTGGCCTGTATTGAAGTTGTCATAGTGGTGGGTTTTGAAACAATTAAATGAAGGAAGTGATCTAAGGCGCTTTAATCCACTTGTCGCTGGGCAAGTGACTACGAGAAAGCTGCTCCTTTCCAGGAAGGCATATCTGATGGCTCCCTTCTGGGCACCCACTCCTTTGCAAGCCATGTTGTCATGTAGAGCCACGCCTGTACATGAACTGGCAACGGCCTGCAAGTTCATAAATTGCCCGCTCCTCTCCAGAAGACACTAATGTGCCTTTCGCCTCTAATCCTATGTTTGTTTTGACATCTTGGAATAAAACACTTCAAACTATTAAATATTCCTTTCATAATACAGCTTTTTAAATTATAAGGATTTTCTTTTGAGGGTGGGGAGGTGATCAACTTGACCTTCGATTGTAGTTTCCTGCAGTTTATAATTTAGGGGATTTTCTGCTTCTGTAGTCAGAGATAACCACTCAGATAGACATTGGGCAGGTTCATGGCGTAACGTCATAAGAGCTAAATGTAGGGTTGCCATACGTCTGGAATTATTCAGCCCCCTTAAGCAGTACTCAGACGGAAATGTCCGGGAAAACAACCTTGAGCAAAGGATTTTCACATTTTGAAATATGGCAACCCTAGCTAAATGGAGCTTCCAGGTTTGGATCGGCCACTGTGAGAACAGGATGCTGGACATCTGAAGGCAGCCCTGTTTAGGGAAGCTTTTAATGTTTGATGCATTACTGTATTTTAATATTTTGTTGAAAGCTGTCCAGAGTGGCTGGGGAAGCCCAGCCAGATGGGTGGGGTATAAATAAAAATAAATTATTATTATTATTATTATTATTATTATTATTATTGAGTCATTGGCCTGAGCCGGCAGGCTTTTCTTAGGTTCTTAAGAGACCAATCTGTTCTCTTCTTGTAGGTGGCTGGAAGGTAATTAGGAGAAGTCTTATTCAGCATCTGTTGAGCTAATAAGCGGTGGGATAAGTGGGGGACAATAAAGGGGGGTGTTGTCTGGCTTCCCAACAGCTGCGGCTGTGGGGGTCCGATGCCTGGGGAGAAGGAAAGCTTTGAGGATGGGTTCTGTGGGAGTGAAATAATACTGCGGGTTGCTTTGAAGTCTGAAGCTGGAGCAGAGAGTCTGGGAAATTGCCTGTGCCCCTGTATTCCTTCCATTCTCAAACCCAATTCCGACTAGCTGACATAAGTCTCCAAACTGGAAAATACATGGTGACTCTGAGGGATTAGGATTAGACTTCAAAATAGCCCTTCTGTCTCCAGAACTTGACTGATTTGGAAGACCAAATCAGTGTCAAGCTGATCAGAACTGTATGAAGAGCCAGTTTTGGTGGCAAATGCAGGGATGGGGGTAAGGAGAGAGAGAGAGAGAAAGGAGATATCTGCATGCTCAGGGGGGACCCCAAGATTTGCAGTGATTAGAGTGTTGGAGTAAGACCTGGGAGACCAGGGTTCAAATCTCCACCTGGCAAAGAAGCACACTGGGTGTGACCTTGGGGCCAGTCACTGCCTCTCAGCCTAAATTACATCACAGGGTTGTTGCAGGGATTAAATGAGAGGGAGAACCATGAATGCCATCAATTGCAAGACATATTTTATAAAGGAAACCCCAAGGGGCAACCTTCCTCCCAAATAGCCCAGTACAAAGCAGTAAACTTAGCAGCCAAGGGATGTTGAATTTCAGTTGTAAAGGAAAAATTATGGTGGGGGAAAGAGCAGAATGGAGTGTACTGGAAGAGGGCAAAACTGGTTTTCTAGAACACTGAGTAGCAGCAGCACCTTGGTGAAGGATAAAACTGCATGATTTTGTTGCAAATCTCACTTGTCTGCATTAAAATATGGCCAGGTGATAACGTCCATTTGGCCAGTGCTTATATCAAAAGAATGTAGAGTAATTGCCTCCGCAAACCTGACATTTGGCAGGATTGCAGCTATTGGAAAAGGGTCTTCTATCTTTTATTTTTTGAAGAGGTGGGAGGAAAGGGGTGAATTGACAAGAGGCCTTAAAAGAAAAACCCAATTTTTATGAAATTGGAATGACATCGTACTGTATATGGCAATGGCTAGTGTAGCACGTGCCTTTGGTTTGGGGAAAAACTTCGGATGTAATTCATCTTTCTGTGTCATTGCTCCATTTGCAATACTTACAGATGGTGCAACAGAGTAAAAATTGGGGGTTAAAGTAATCTGTGGCAGAGAAGATTGGCATTTGGCATGGGGTGGGTGGGGAACAAAAGCACAGTTCCTGCCTCCCCAAGGATTGAGGAAAGAAGTTACGGCCTGGCTGAACTGATTTCAAAATTCAATTTGAGGCTCTCCCAATGTGCTGGCTGGGAATTGTACTCCAAAACATCCGGAGGGCACCAAGTTGGTAAAGTTCAGCATGTTTCGTTCAGGAACATTCCTCGTGCATTGATGGGACCCACAAATGGTGTGTGAGGCCCTAACTCAGTGCCGAGTCAATTGGATGGGGTTGCCCGGAAGGCCCATTTCCTCCAGGCCAAGCGGCTGAAGACATCTCAAAGAATAAAACCACTTTCCTTGAGTCTTCCCCTCCTCTTTTGCCTTTCCTGGCTCTGAAGGGAGGGAGGGAGAAGCAGGAGGGGGGTCTGAGACTGCAAGATATTTGGCTTTTATCCCCTGTCCGTTTGTTTTCCTTGTAAGTGAGAGCTTTCATCTTTTATTGTTATGAAGTTAAAGGCTGGCTTGGAGGTGCCGGTCTTTAGTGGAAACAGCTGCCTGCTGCAGTCCCTCAATGTCCCCTCGGTCAGGTGGGAGGCCCTTCGGAGCAGCGCCTTGCCCTCTTAAAAGGAAATTGAGCATGCAGCTCCCCAAAACGGCAAAAGCCATCGGCTGGTGTGGCTTTTTGCCTCTTTGCTGGTCCCTTTGTACAGTACCGTCCATAATCAAACTGGCAACTTGGCCATTTCACCTCTAGGGACTTCACTTGGATGAGGCTCATTTGTTCCAGCAGCGTTTGTGTCTAGGAAAACCCCCAGTGGGATTGGACACACACGGCTTCGAAAGATTGACTCAAACTCCCCTTTGCTTTCTTGGCGACATTAAGGAGATTACCACAGAACCACAACAACCTCCTGGTTGGATGAAGAACTGTCCACAGCAACAGTTTCATAGATCTTAATTCCTGTTTGTGCTTTGAATTTGGTGTGTGTGTCTGTTGAACTGCAGGCCAGAATTGTCCTAGATAGAAATTATTTGAACTGAGCAGCTGGTTGGGCAGACAGGAGGGGGGAACATTTGCCGCATTTTCTTCTCAATAAAGACTGGCTGTGCCCTCCATTATAACCCTTGGCATGTGACATCAGTCTTTACGGCCCTCCAGGTTGCAGTGGAAAGCTGGATAAGACATTCTTGAAAATCTACCAAAGTTGCCTGACCCTCACAGCCTCTGCCCCAGAGCTGTGGGGCCATTCCCATAAGAAGCTGCCCCTTTATTGAATCCAGCACATCTTCCTCACCCGATCCAGCCTTCACCAACCCTGTGCCCTTGTAGATGTTGCTGGGCTACAGCTCTCATCAGCCCCACCCAACACCGCCCATGGTCAAGGATATTATTTAGATGATATCTTGCTCTGAATCTATTCGTGGAGGATAAGGTTATCGATGGCTACTAGCCATGATGTCTGTGTTCTGCAGGCTCTTATGTTCACTCCTCACTCATCTGGAGGGCACCAGTTTGATCTACTTAGAATGATCTAGTTGTCTCCTCCCCCAAGCTCTGTGGTTATCGTATTCTGGGCAATCATCGGACATTGGTTTTTCCCTAACAGGATGGAAAATGGTAACAGAAGCAACTGTTTAAAGGTCGGTGTTCGCGTGATGCACAGTTCATCTCCCATGTAAACCATTTCTCATTGATTAGCTAACTTGTTTAAGTTGGCAGAGGGGGAAAGAGAGAAACCATCCTTGAGCAGGAAGTCTAAGCCTGGACCGCAGCATGACTTGCTGAGCTGGACAGTTTGAGCAAACGCCCATCTCATCACCCCCCCCGCTCCCCCCATTTCTGCGTGTTGAAATAATTATTTTCTCTAAACAGCCTGATTTCCAGCAGTGGTACTCGAGAAAGAAAGGAAAGGCAGTGTGTAGCAAGGGAAGGAGTTTGTGTGAGCCTCGGGTCAAGGAGGCCAAACAGTTTGTGCTTTTGATGGATCTGTGCAGATGGTAATTTGGGTTTAATAGCATAAACACCCTCTCCATACATACTCCCCCCAACACCAGCTGTTCCATGGGGAAGCTGGAGTAGGGTGGGGAGACATCGGTTGTTGCTAACAGTCATTCGTGCCTTGATGCCTGCTTGACTACAAACTCTAGGTGCGCCCTGCCGCCCCCCCGGGCATCTTTTTAAAATTAAATTTATTTTCTAATTTTAAAATTACAAACCCACAAAAATCATGCTTCTAGCTGTGTGGTAACACTGGTTGCAGAATCCAATCACACCAGTCAAAATGTTCTGGAATGTGAGGAAGGCGATGACTATGCGCTCCCTCCATGGTTGGAAGGAGCAATGCTTCTGCTGGAAACTACAGGAGGGGAGAGTGCTCTGGTGCTCGAATCCAGCTTGCAGGTTTCCCTTTGAGGCAGCCTTTCTCAACCTGTGGGTCCCCAGATGTTGTTGAACTACAACTCCCATCACTCCTAGCTAGCAAGGCCAGAGCTCAGGGATGATGGGAGTTGTAGTCCAACAACTTCTGGGGACCCACAGGTTGAGAACCGGTGCTTTGGGGCATCTGGTGAAAATGTCATTCTGGACTGCCTGACCCAGCAGGGCTTTCCTTAATCATCTTTATGGTAGATAATATCCTGTCATCTCTTCTATCTTGCCAGGAATCAGCTTGCAGTATCTCACAATCCTGGGGCACGCCATCTAAATATGATTTCAGATCTTGTCTGCCCTGTGCCCCGCTGCCAAGATAAACAAATGAGTTCCCGTAACAGATTCAGCTTAACCTAAGCTGTGTAAGATATCATCTAAATAAAATCTCAGGAAGAACTTCCTGCAAAATCCACACACTGTATTGATCTGTGGTATCTTCTTCCAAATCCAAATCTATGGCTTACGTTGACATATAGATGGAGCTTGGGACTCTACTGCAGGAGGGGGTGCCAGTGCTTAGCCTCGGGACATGACAGTGTTCCAGAGCATGGGCAGAGTGTGTTTGCTTTACAGCTGCCATGAACAATAAACCAGCCATGTCGGTTTGGGGCCTTGCACGGTCAATTTCCTTTTAAGAGGGCAAGGCGCTGTTCCTAAGGGCCTCCCACCTGACCGAGGGGACATTGAGGGACTGCAGCAGGCAGCTGTTTCCACTAAAGACCAGCACCTCCAGGCCAGCCTTTAACTTCATAACAATAAAAGATGAAAGCTCTCACTTACAAGGAAAACAAGCAGACAGGGAATAAAAGCAGAGCAAAGGGCCCCCCCCCTTTGGTTCCCACCTTCCCAAGCCACGATGAGCACTAGAGGACGGGGAGACCGCAAAGGAAGCAATTTTCCTCCGAGACGGCTCCGGGCCACTTGACTTAGGAATAAACTGGCCTTCCAGGCGACCCCATCCTGTTGACGCAGGGCTGAGTTAGCGCCCCATAGACCATTTTAGGGGCCCATCAGTATCTGGAGAACATTTCTGAAAGCTGTCCGCTGCCTCCAGGTTTAAATCCAGAGCGAGACGTGCCGCGCTTGCCAGGGACCGTAGCTCAGGGCTGAAGGAGCACATGGTCTGTGTGTAGAAGGTCCCGTGGCTCAGTCTTGGGTAGAAGGCCTGGGGAACCCTTTGGCAAGCAGAGCAAGAACTGGGCTAGCTTGGCCAATGGCCCGATTTGGCATCGGGCACCCCTAGGAGGCCTGTAGCAAAACGGTAGGCACTCCTTCTTTGCATGTAAAAGGTCGCGGTTTCAGTCCCTGCCGTCTCTGCTAGTAGAAGCTAATAAGCCTTTTCCTTCTGTTGCTGTGCTTTTGTGCACTTTTTTTAAAAAAGAAAGAAAGGGAGAGGCAGTGATGGCCACCAACTTGGAGAATTGGGCAGATTCCGTAAGATTAAGGCTATTGATGGTTACTAGACATAATGGCTATGCTCTACCTACACAGCTGGAGGCATCAGTGGTTCTGCATACATACCAGTCACTGGAAACCATGGGAGGGGAGAGGGCTCTTGCATTTGGGTCTTGCTTGTGGGTTTCCCACTGGAGCATCTGATTGGCCACTGTGAGAACAGGATGCTGGACCAGATGGGCTATTGGCTCCATCCAGCAGCATCTTCTTATGCCCTGCAATGAATAGTATTGTTCCCTTGTGGGCATGTGGGGAGGCCTGGCAGGCTCCGTTAACTCTTTCCTTCCTCTTGCAGGTGCTGGCTTTGGGTTGGGCGTCGTCTTCTCGGTCATCTTCTTCAAAAGTAAGTGATGGGTAGCTCCCAGGTGCATACCCCGCTTCCGCTCCAGGTGCTTGTCTTCCTGACATCCATTCTGAGGGGACCTTGTGCCACCATCCCTCCCTTTATGCTTTTGGATATTGGCCGGCCAATGAAGATGGCAGGGCAGCAGGGACCCATAGCTTAGCGGCAGAGCACTTTGTTTGCATGTGAAAGGTCCCAGATTCAGTCCCCAGCACCTCCCATTATAAAGATCAGGTAGGCAGCTGACAGGGACGTGTGTGGCGCTGTGGGTTAAACCACAGAGCCTAGGACTTGCCGATCAGAAGGTCAGCGGTTCAAATCCCCGCGACGGGGTGAGCTCCTGTTGCTCGGTCCCTGCTCCTGCCCACCTAGCAGTTCAAAAGCACGTCAAAGTGCAAGTAGATAAATAGGTACCGCTGCGGCGGGAAGGTAAACGGTGTTTCCATGTGCTGCTCTGCTTCTCCAGAAGCGGCTTAGTCATGCTGGCCACATGACGCGGAAGCTGTACACCGACTCCCTCGGCCAATAAAGCGAGGTGAGCGCCGCAACCCCAGAGTCAGCCATGACTGGATGTAATGGTCAGGGGTACCTTTACCTTTACCTTTAGGCAGCTGATGACGAAGACACTTCTGTGCCTGAGATCCTGGAGCTCCACTGCTGACCAGAGTTGGAAATACTGGGCGAGTTCAACCATTTCCCCACCCTGGTGGCTCTCCAGTGGTTGCTGGAAGCCCCAACTCCTGTGAGCCCCCCCCAGCCAGCACAGCCACAGTGTTAGGGATGACCAGTGATGTGTTAGTAACTCTTATGTGTATTTTGCAGCCTAAGTTTCAAAGGCAGGTTTAGTAGCCCCTTCTAAATAAAGATCCTCCTCACAACGTACTGCGGTATTTGCTTTCTCTAAATAAAAGCTGCCTTGTTGACATCAGGATGGGATTTGAGCACACGGGAAGAGCCCTTTCCAACAGCCATTTGCAGCTTGATAAACATTTTTAATATATATTTATGCAATAACTTCCTTCTGTTTAAAAACAACAAGCACTGTGGAGCCCATCTGTGTGTTTCCCCCCACCCCCAAGCCCAGCACCGTGACCCATTTTTAAAACAGGTTTTACTCCACCATGCATTTTGTGGGATAGGGTGGGGTGCAGGTTTTTAGGATTTGCAAACAGAGATGAGCCACTTGAAAAGATCAACCTGGTAGCTGTGGAAAGAGGATTTCTTTATAACCAGGGTGAGGAACCTCCCCTTGCTTCGCCACCTTTGGAGGGGGCAATCTGTCAGGGGTCGGCTGCTGTCAGTGGGGGGGTGGGGCCCAAGCCAGAGGTGAGTGGAGCCACTTCCCTCCTCCTATTTCCTTACCAGGGGAGGGAGAGTGACTGGAAGTGGGGAGGAAGAGAAGGGTCCTCCTTTCCTTCCACTCTGCAGTTTTAATCTGAAATCTTAGGCTCAGCGCTGCACCCAGAGCTCAGAAACTGCTCGCGCTAATAAAATTCCCTGTTGCAAAATGCGCCTAAAACAATGGGAGTTTCAAACACTGGCTTTGGGGAGTAAAAAAATTGGGAGGGGGGCATGTATGCCACCTTGATCTCCTTGGAGAAAAAGGTGGGATATAAATACAATGCAATCAATGAAATAAACGAATAATAATTTTGTTATGGTGGTCTGCATGTGCCACCTAGTTACAATCCCTACAGCAGCCCTGCAAGGTGGGGGTGTGGAACCTTTTATCAGCCCAAGTGCCCCATTCCTTCACTGGCAGTCTTCGGGGGGGGGGGGCGGAAACCACATGTCAATAGTGGGCAGGACTAGGTGCAAATGTGGACAGAGCAATCGATGGCTTTCATCTCTTAACTAGTAGGCCAGCCTGAGGCTTCTGCAGCCTCTCTCCCCAAATGCCTCTCTATTCAGGCAAGCAAGAGTCCCATTTCAAGGACATATTCTAGCTAGGCAAAAGCACTGAAGAGTGGCAAGTGGGCCATTGATGGGGCACAGAACTGGGGAAAATTCCAGGGGCCACTTAGCAAGGCCTGGAGGGCCATTTCTGCTATAAGGCAAATCCCTTTCAGTAATATGCCCCTGTTTCAGAATTAAGCCCGAGAGTCGCTTGCCTAGGACCCACCAGTGGGCCGATAACAGTTTTGATCCGAGAACTTCCCCATTCAGAGTTCAGTCCATTAACCTCTCACTGTGCTGCTGTACCAGCTATCATTGATGCCCTTGCAGAATTTCTTGTTTCGTTGAAGCATTGCGAATTATCTGGACCTTGATTCGGGCCACATTTCATAGTGACATTCCCATTGTTCTTCCGTCTCTGTTCTTTCTCTCTTTCCCTCCCTCTCTTTCCTTCCACCTTCTTTTGTTCCAGGGAAGACGTGGCCCATCACTCTCGGGTCAGGAATGGGCTTAGGAATGGCTTATTCAAACTGCCAGCATGACTTCCGGTCTCCTTACCTTCTCCACGGGCGGTTTGTCAAGGTGAGTCTGCTTTTGAGAACTCCTCTTCGGTCGCATCCACATAATACATTAAAAGACAGTATTCTCTAAGCTACTAGCATGAGTTTGACCAAACTGCAGGAGGCAGTGGAAGACAGAAGTGCCTGGCATGCTCTGGTCCATGGGGTCACAAAGAGTTGGACACAACTAAACAACAACAAATACCACTTAAACTTCCCCAAAAGATCCTGGGGACTGTAGTTTGTTAACTGCTAACTACGCTTCCCAGAATTCTTTTGGGGAACCATGACAGTTTAGAGTCTCTTAAATGTGCTTAAAATGTGACCTTATAGGTATTTGCTTGGTCTGGGGTAGGGAGTAATTCCTAAAAGCATAGCAGGCACCTTCTGTGCCAACTTTTAAATGCCTGCTGAAAACCTTTCTATTCTGCCAGGCCTATTCGGGCAAACAAGAATACCCGTTTCCACAGTGGTTAATTGATGCCCTGTTTTTAACTTCTTTACGTTTTTATTGTATGGTTCTCTGTTTTTATTGCTTTAAACCACTTTGATGTTTTTTATGGCACAGCAGTATACAAATCATAGAATCATATAAATATTTTTATAATTAAATATTAAACTCAGGGGAAAGCGGGTAGCCTTCCAGATTCCCCCCCCCCCCTTTTAACTTAACAACCAGTGCAGTTGAGAGTATGAGGTTTGTGGGTCTAGCAGACGGCCGTCTTAAAAAAGGGCCATGGGACACTGTTGTTTTTGAAAACAAACGGATGTCTTGCAGCAAAGGTTTTCACATGCTGGAGTCGAATGCTCTGCACATTTGGCAGAAATGCACACGGCTCTTTGGGGTGGGGCGATTGTAACCAGTGGAACCAAATGGTCACAAAAATTAAGAGAGTAGAAGTCTGTGACAATTATACATAAAGTTTAAAAGAGTGCTAGGTGGTCAACGTGATCGTTTGCAACAGCAATAATTGGGGGATAAATTTCACGCCTGTAGTGGGTGAGAAACCCTGGTCTTTATTTAAGCCCTCAACTAGAACTATGAAAGTTGTGGATTGGGGAGTTGCATCTAGTGCTAGCCCTACTCAGAACAGACCCATTGAAGTTAATGGGCAGACCTGATTTAGGTTCATTCATTTCAGTGAGCCTGTTCTAACTTAGTTGGATACAACCCAGTTTCTGATTCAGCCATTTTCCCACGGTGCAGCAGGAAACCCTGGTCTCAGTTGAGCCCCAGCGCGTAAGATCTAGTTCAGCCACTTTTCTTTGGCAAGGGGGCTCTGAAGTGCTCTCTCTTCTGATATAAGTCTGGAAATGTAACCAGAGTACAGCTATGGGGCTTGGTTGCAAGAGCTTCCTGGCCTACTCAGCCAAGAGTGGGGTTACACCCCCCCCTTGTTGATTTACCAAACCCCCTTTCCCTTTGCTTCTCTCTTTCCTCATCCTCTCAGCCAAACCACCCTTGAGCCAACTTAGCCTTTCTTGCTTGCAGGTTTCCTGCCACCTAATTCTCCCTTGAATTTTTTTTGGCAATTGCTTCCCCCCCCCCTCCCTCCCTCCCTCTTGGAAATTGGCACGCTTCGTGCTTGCCTGCCTTTTTTTTTTGCTAGAACCCCAAGATTTACCAACCAGAGCCTGGTGCAAAAGTCTTATTGTTAGAATTGAAGAGCATTTTCATCTAGCATCCTTTTCTCTCAGTGACCAGTCAGATACCTCTGGGAAGCCTGCAGACACGACCCGAATGCAACAGCAACCCTCCCCACTTGTGTTTCCCATCAACTGAAATTCAGAAACCTTGCTGCCTTCGATTGCACATTTATCCAGAGATCTGCCAGTTGATTCTAAGCTACATTCTGCCCACCTCTCAGTCCAGCCCTCAATTGTCTGGCCTTGCACACCGTCAGTGCTAATTAGTTTGACGACTTAACTCCCAGCCAGTGTTGGTTGTGGCTTTCTTCCAGATGGGAGAAGAAGTTGCTAATTCCAATTTGATGACTGGTATAGGTGGAGTGGGGTGGGGGGAAGAGACCCATCTAGCAGCCTCACCATTCCCCCCCCCCCCGAAGAATTGAGGCCTCCAGACCACTCAGCTGTCCACATCAAAACTGCGTCATGCTTCCCGCAATGTTGCGAAACGGCCGTATAAAGTTTATAACAGACTCTATTCGTGGTTTCTCTTCCTCCCACAAACGCACAAAACCTCTCTTATGGAGGAGCAAATCGCAGAACAGCCTTGGGCATGAATAAACCCTCTAGTATGGCAAGTTGTAACTGTGCACTCAACTCTATGTCGCTTAATGTTGGGGCTTGGTGTACATAATACTTTTGGGGGGGATTGTTTTATGTAAAAAATAGAATTACAATTTGTTACTGCAGGCATAATCAATGCAAACAGAGAGCTAAACAATAGAAATGCATTATCCCCTCCATCACCCTCCCTCAAACGACCTAATACGAACTCTCTTGATCTTCAGATATTATATTCACTGTTTACAGCGTCTGTTACATTCCATAAAACCTATTGCTTTCTAAAAAAAACTAATTACTGTCTATATGGGAGCAGAAGGAAGGAGTTGATAAGGATCCCAGCTCTACAATTCTGTGTTTCTGTGTCACACACACACAAACATATATTAGCACTTCTTTTTCTTCAAATTGTGGAGGAGCAGGGAGAAAAAATGTATTCTTTTGCTCTTATCATAGAATTGTAGAGTTGGAAGGGACCATGAGGGTCATCTAGTCCAACCCCCTGCCCGACGTGAGGGTCGAACCCACAACTCCGAGGTTAAGAGTCTCATGCTCTACTGAAATGCCACCAGGCATTTGGCTCTGTAGGCTTTCGAGTGTGTCTTTGCAAAGGCAGCAGTAGCACAACAGCACCCTTCCTTAAAACTGAGACTTCCTGGACGCAGGGATCCATTTCCCCTTATGTGCTTGGAGACCAGGGAGTCCTCATGTCAGGGATCTAAGGAGAGGGGGATAGCTGTGGTCACAAGAGACCAGGGCCCTGCGGTACTTGACAACTTTCCGCAGGGCCTGCAAGACAGAGCTGTTCCGCCTGGCCTTTGGTTTGGACTCAGTCTGACCCTTATGTTTCCCTCCCCTTATGGTTTTGATCTATGGGCTACTATTAAAATGGGGCTGCATTTTAAATTGTATTTTTAACCTGTATTTTAAATTGGTCCGGTCCTCCCCATATGATGTTTTTATTGTACTTTTATTGGTGTTAGCCGCCCTGAGCCCGGCTCTGGCCGGGGAGGGCGTGGTATAAATAAAAATTTATTATTAATATTTATTATAGAGCGGGAGTTCCTCTCATATAAAGGTAACTCTTGGGTGGCTGTGAGAGAGGATTGGACAAATCCATGGGGAGGAGAGGGCTGACAATGGCTATTAGCCACAATGGCTATGCGCTGCCTCCACTATCGGAGGCAGCACGGCTTCCAAACAAAAGTTGCTGGAAACCTGAGATGGGGAGAGGGCTCTTGTGCTTGGGTTCTGCTTGTGGGTTTCCCACTGAAGTGTCTGGGTAGCCGCTGTGCCATTGGCCTGGTCCAGCAGGCTTTTAATGTTCCTCTGTTAAAGTTCTGCAGCAGGAACAGACCTGCAACCCTAAGGCCAAATGAGTAACCGCAAGCCCTTTTCCCCCCTTCCACCAGGAGCAATGACGCAGGCCCGACCCACGCCTCTCTTTTGCCAGAGGATCAGCGGCACCTTGGCAATTCTTCGGGAAGGTCGAAGCGTCCCGGCCTTGAGGCAACAGCCTTTGGAAGCGTTCGGCCCGTTGCTGTTTTTTCCCGCGACACCTGGAACCGAATATCGTTTTTTTTGTAATCCCTCTTTTGGAAACGAAAACGGGGAAGGTGCTGTTCTGGAAAGTGAAATAAAAACGAGAGTCCACCCCCTTGCCTCCTGCGCCGTCTGCTGTGTGTAGAAAGGGAATGTGTGGGACGGCTTATTTTTCCGTTTGAACTAGCAGCTGTGGCCACCTGGTTAAGTTCCTCTTTGAAAGGCACCCCCCCCCCCCCCGTGACAGCTGTCCTCTGTTCCTCTCCCACTTGCAATCAGCCCCCGCTGAAGTTTACAGTTTGCGTTTAAAGAAAAGCAGCCCCACCCCATAGATCACCCTCTTTATCTCTGCTGTAGTCTGGAGATGTCCTTTAGCAGCAGCGACTGTCTTTAAAGAAAAAAGACCAAAACTCATAAATGAGCAGGCAGATAGAAGAGGATCTGGGGGTGGGGTCTAGCCCTCTAGCTGGAGACATCGGCGTCCTGCACCGATGGGGAAGGAAGATGGGGGCCTGTAGCTCAGTGTCAGATAACAGCAGGACATGGGATCAGGGCAAACACACTTCTAATCCGGCATCCTGTTCTCATGGCGGCCAGCCACGTTCCCTGAAGGGGAGCCTGGGAAGCAGGAGCTGAGTTCAAGAGCAGGGCTCTTGTGACTTGTGATTGCAGCAACTGACACGTTCAGAGGCCGCTTCCAGTGGCTGGAAGTCGCAGGAGGGGAGCGCGCTCTTGTGTTCAAAGCCAGCAGGAGACCCTCAGGCAGGCACCATCCGGTTGGGCAGGATGCCAGACTAGATGAGCCATTGGCCTGGTTCCTGCAGAACTCTTCTGATGTTCTGACCCGCTCTGTATGCCAAAGGCACCCGATTTCAGTCTCCGCCATCCAGACAGGGCTGAGACGTAGTTCTGCCAAACTCCAGAGAGTCGCTGCTGCTGCTGCCGCCTGTCAGCATTGACTGTTCCAAGCTAGTTGGGTTGAGGGTCCGACTGCTATGAGGCAGCTGCCTATATTCTTGCTCCTTAAGGGGAGGGCTGTAGCTTAGTAGCAGAGCACCTGCTTGGCATGCAGAAGGTCCCAGGTTCAGTCCCAGCAGCATCTCCCAAGTAGGGCTGGGAATGTCCTCCATTTGAAACCTTTGAGAGCTGCTGCTGGTTAGGATAGACTAGATGAACCAAGGGCCTGGCTCACTGCAAGGCAGCTTCTTGTTTAAACTAGCCCTTTATTCAGAACCATGAGCACTGGAATATTACTTTGCCTTTAGGAGAATCATAGAATTTCAGAGTGGAAAGGAGTCCCATGGGTCATCTGGTCCAGCCCCCTACAATGCAGAAATCTCAGCTAAAGCATCCCTGACAGATGGCCATCCAAGCTCTGCTTAAAAACCTCCAAGGAAGAAGAGTCCACCACCGCCACTCCGCTGTCCAAACAGCTCTTACTGCCAGAAAGTTTTTCCTGATGTTTCATCGGAATCTCCTTTCTTGTAACTTGAAGCCGTGGGTTCGAGTCCTACCCTCCAGAGCAGGAGAAAACAAGCCTGCTCCATCTGTCCTGTGACGCCCTTGAGATATCGGCTGTCATATCTCCTCTCAGGCTGAACATACCCAACTCCTTCAACCGTTCCTCATAAGCCTGAGTTTCCAGACCCTTGATCATCTTGGTTGCCCTCCTTGGCACACTTTCCAGCTTGCCAATATCCTTAAATTCAGGTGCCCAGAACTGGGCACAGGACGCCAGGTGTGGTCTGACTGAGGCAGAATAGAAATAGTACAGATCAGCTGCAGAGAGCATCTGCTTTCTGGGAGGAGGTCCTTTGCGTCTACGAAAGCCGTTTTGGTGGATCCGTCTCGGGAAGGGCCAGTTCCCGTGCTGCTGAGTCGATCATGGCATGTTGAGAAGGATCATCAGAAGCTTTCCTTGTGCTGAGTCAGATCCTTGGTTCATCAATCTGTCTACACTGACTGGCAGTGGCTCCCCAGGGTTTGAGACGGCGGCAGGGGGTGGGGTGGCATTCCCAACCCTGCAGGGAGATGCCAGGGTTTGAACCCTGGGACCTTCTGCCTGCAGAGCTGGCGCTGAGCCACTGAGCCACGGCCTTTCCCCATTCCTTGCATTCCTTAGCAAGCTCCAGAATGCAACTCTGATTCCCTTCCAACGAAGTGCTTGCCCATCTCTTGTTTTCACCATCTGGTAAACGAAGGAAAGATGGGTGCACAACATCCTGCTTCTTCCCTTAGGCGCCCGGCTGGGAGCCTACCTCCAGTGAATCCCGCATGCAGGGCACATAGGCAACAGCTCCACCCTGGCGCCGCTCCCCTCTGTAATCAGCCATTATGATCCCAATTCAGATCTGGCAGGGGTTAGCAGCATTCGGGCAGTTTTGTAGCGCCAGTGAACCTGAGTCCCTAATGAGAGATGTCATTCCCTTTCCCCGAGGCTTGGAGGAAATGCTTAGATCTCCTCCTTTGCACCTAACCTAACCACACAGCTGCCCAGGGCCGTGAGGTTTGTCTCTGGATTACTACTATGGAGTAAGTTGAACATGGGCAGGCGAGCTGAATGATCTCATAGGCTTTGTGGAAAGCCCTGCATCTGGAAAAGCAGCCTGTCATAGAGGAAGGGGGTGCCATACTAGCTTTCTAGATGCAGGATTCTTCTCTATTCCCACTCCCCAACATGGAAGAACTCCACCATGTTCATTCCTCTGCCCTGTGTTTTGGATTGGGTCCAGGCCCGCAACAGCTAGATGTAAAAATGCTAGATCTGTAACCACTCTGTATGTGTGTGTGTGGTCGTCTTTGGCGATCACTAGTGGCCAAGTAAGATTGTCTTCCATGAACACAGTCTTAACGGTGTCTCCGTAAGTGACTGTGGAGGCTCAGTTTTGGATCCACACGTCCTTCCACAGTGGGGGGACGTAGGTTTCCTGGCGGGAGTTGGTCACGGTGAGGATTTGCCAAACATGTAAGAATAAGCTTGCCCCAAACTCAGGCATTATTTGTTCAGTTTGCTTAGGAGCACCTTGCCTGCGGTGAGCACAGTGCCAAAGGTCTGTTGCGTGGAGGGCTGTTTCTGTTGCCTTTCTTTATCGCCACTGCAGCGTTTTTCCGTCAGATGCTGCCGGCTTTGGAAAACATCCTTTTGGAACGCAAATGGGAGCCAGAGTATCTCCGCATCCCCCCTCCGTTCTCATCTCTGCATGCAACCAGGGCTGTGATGTCGGAACAAAAGCAATTAACGTGCATGGAAGGCGGAGCGGAGGGCAGCACTCTCTTTTTACGGGGCCCAAAGGAATGCCTAAAGTTTACTAAATAGCTTCATCTGCAAGCAATCAGATTCCTTCTTTCCCAGCAGCCCCCTTGCTTTTAAGCAGACTGATAGCACACACACACACCCGGCCTTTAAAGCAGAGCGCACAAATTTGACCTCGGAAGGTGTGCTTTAATTGACAGCAATCAAATTATTATTTTTTAAAAACAGTTTTGGGGTGGGGTGTGTGTCTAGTTTTAAATGCATTTTGGTCATGGATCAATGCAAAAGAAATAAGGGCTTGAGCTTTCATAGGACAATATATTCGTTGGTAGGCTTAATATGAGCCTGATGGGTCACAGAAAAAAGGCCCTTGTAGTTCAGCATCCTAGGGATGCGGGTGGCCCTGTGGGTTAAACCACAGAGCCTAGGACTTGCCAATCAGAATGTTGGTAGTTTGAATCCCCGCGACGGGGTGAGCTCCCATTGTTCGGTCCCTGCTCCTGCCAACCTAGCAGTTCGAAAGCACGTCAGAGTGCAAGTAGATAAATAGGTACTACTTCGGCAGGAAGGTAAACGGCGTTTCCGTGCGCTGCTCTGGTTCACCAGAAGCGGCTTAGTCGTGCTGGCCACATGACCCGGAAGCTGTACGCCGGCTCCCTTGGCCAATAAAGCGAGATGAACGCCACAACCCCAGAGTCGGCCATGACTGGACCTAATGGTCAGGAGTCTCTTTACCTTTACCTAGTTCAGCATCCTAATCTCACAGTGGCCAACCAGATGCCACAATAGGTCTGAATGCAACAGCGCACGGTCTACCTGAAGTGCTCTGGCACCCTGCAGTTCTCAGAAACGGGCATTCAGAGGCCTCTGACAGTGAAGGCAGAACATACGGTACATCATTTTCGCTAATAGCCGCTGATAACCTTAAATTGCCTAATCCTCTTTTAAAGCCACCCAACTGGTGGTCACCACTGTCTCCTGAGGGAGTGAGTTCCACAGTTTAATTATGTTCTGTGTGAAGGACTTCCCTTTATCTATCTGTCCACGGAGGCGCAGGTCAATTCTGTATCCAGGGCAGCTGTCTACCAGCTCCATCTGGTACGCAGGCTGAGACCCTACCTGCCCACAGACTGTCTTGCCAGAGTGGTGCATGCTCTGGTCATCTTCTGCTTGGACTACTGCAATGCGCTCTACCTGGGGCTACGTTTGAAGGGGACCCGGAAACTACAACTAATCCAGAATGCGGCAGCTAGACTGGTGACTGGGAGCGGCCGCCAAGACCACATAACACCGGTCTTGAAAGATCTACATTGGCTCCCAGTATGTTTCCAAGCACAATTCAAAGTGTTGGTGCTGACCTTGAAAGCCTTAAATGGCCTCGGTCCTGTATATCTGAAGGAGTGTCTCCATCCCCATCATTCTACCCAGACACTGAGGTCCAGTGCCGAGGGCCTTCTGGTGGTTCCCTCACTGTGAGAAGCAAAGCTACAGGGAACCAGGCAGAGGTAGTGGCACCCGCCCTGTGGAACGCCCTCCCATCGGATGTCAAAGAGATAAACAACTATCTGACTTTTAGAAGACATCTAAAGGCAGCCCTGTTTCAGGAAGTTTTTAATGTGTGACATTTTGATGTATTTTTAATCTTTGTTGGAAGCTGCCCAGAGTGGCTGGGGCAACCCAGCCAGATGGGCAGGGTACAAATAAATTATTATTATTATTATTATTATTATTATTATTATTATTATTATTATCTTGAATCCTTCCAGAATTCAGTTTCATTGGATGCCGGCAACTGAAAAGTGTTAAGACAGAGGGCCATGCATCATCTTACAAACCTTTCCATGTCGCCACTTGTGATATTTTTTTTCTAAGTTAAAAAGTCCCTTTCCTCACCGGGAAGTTGCTCTATCCCCTTGATCGTTTTGCTTGCTAATTTTCTGAACCCTTTTCAACTCCACAGTATCCTTTTTGAGGCAGCCAGACCTCATATGCAGAGCCAGGAGGGCAGTTGTTAACTGGTGACAGCAGAAGAGCCATAACTGATCGAGGCCGGGAAGGAAACATTCAAACCTTTCTCCGAGCCAGCGGCAGCGATGACGGATGCCTCGTCCGCATCCATGCCAGCCCCCGGCCTCCCCTGGCGCCTCGCCCTGTTCTCTTTGCCCTGGGCATGACTTGCCAAATGGCAGGGATTTAGCAAGACAGGGGGAAAATCAGGGGCGGGGAGCATCTCTCCGTCCAGAGGGCGGCCACGATGCCAACCTTGGCGCATGGAGCATGGAACGGGGCAGGCATGTGCCGCATTCCGATGCGCTGAGAGACAGACACAGGCAAGGGGGGGCCCTCTGCTGGGCCACCCACAGTGTGAACTCCCTGCAAAGTGAGTCAGATCAAAACTGTCCGGGTGGGAGGGGGCAGAAGAAGGGAGAGCAGGTTTTAACAGTTCATCTGTGGGCATCTCCCTATCAAAACAGCTCTTGTGCATGAAAAGCGATGCTCTCCTTTTAGGAACCATCTGATGCAGGCCTGACCGACACCTCTCTACAGGCGGCACGCAGCACAGGGTTGTTGTGTCCCTGGTCCTGAATGGGGTAACTGTGCCCCTGAAGGACCAGGAGCGCAGCCAGGCAGTCATTCTGGACTCCATGGAGGCACAGGTCAGTTCTGTGTCCAGGGCAGCTGTTTATCAGCTCCATCTGGTACGCAGGCTGAGACCCTACCTGCCCAGAGACTGTCTCGCCGGAGTGGTGCATGCTCTGGTTATCTCCCGCTTGGACTACTGCAATGCGCTCTACGTGGAGCTACCTTTGAAGGTGACCTGGAAACTACAAATAATCCAGAATGCGGCAGCTAGACTGGTGATAGGGAGCGGCCGCCGAGACCATATAACACCGGTCTTGAAAGACCTACACAGGCTCCCATTACATTTCTGAGCACAATTCAAAGTGTTGGTGATGACCTTTAAAGCCCTAAACGGCCTCGGTCCAGTATACCTGAAGGAGCGTCTCCACCTCCATCGTTCTGCCCGGACACTGAGGTCCAGCACTGAGGGTCTTCTGGCGGTTCCTTTCCTGCGAGAAGCCAAGTTACAGGGAACCAGGCAGAGGGCCTTCTTGGTGGTGGCTCCCACCCTGCGGAACGCCTCCCACGAGATGTCAAAGAGAAAAATAACTTCCAAACTTTTAGAAGACATCTGAAGCTTTTAATGTTTAATAGGCTATTGTATTTTAGTGTTCTGTTGGAAGCCGCCCAGAGTGGCTGGGGGAAAACAGCCAGATGTGCGGGGTATAAATAATAAATTATTATCTTTATTATTAAATGAAATAGGGAAGTGGGGAGGACAGCTGTGTACTCCAACTCAAGATTCTTGGAGGAAAGGTGGGGTATAAATGTAAAATTGATGGTAACGGCAGCCAGACAGGTTATAGCGCGTAATTGGAAAAATGCAGAGGAGCTGGGGTGAACCAGTGGGGGAAAAAACGGAATAATATTATAATTTTAGAATATCTAACTGAAGATACACAGAATGAAAGGGTTTAAGGTCAGTGAGAAAGAGGAGGATTGGTTGGAGAAGATACTGAATTATTTGGGTAGGTTTGAACAATTTGGGGCAATTAAAATGTTAAAAGTTAAATTAACCTTGTGCATGGAGGAGTGTTAACGTAGATAAAATTGTACATATGGTTGATTTGAATATGTTATTATTGATAATGAATACCCAATGTATCAGCCCCCTGGGGGGTTTCACTGTTTGTGTTTTGGTTGTTTGTAAAAAATAAAAAATTTAAACGTTAAAAAAAATTTAAATAATAGATAAAGAATAAATAAAATCCCCAACGGAATTAAAGCAGGAATCTAATTTTCAAAGAAAGGGCCGCACGCAAGCCTGGGATTTTATCTACAAGCCTGGTCTCCCCCCCCCCCAAAAAAAATATCTAAAATGGCAAAGGACAGGAGTGCAGCAAGGACACCTCTCTCTCTCTCCCTCTCTCTTTCTCTCCCCGGCACCCGAAAGAAAGGTTGACAGCGTTGGAGGAAGCAGCTGCCTCTGCTCTGACCTGTGGGAGGCTGCATTTGGCGGGCCTCAGGAAGAGCAGCTTTTGCACCCCGCTGCTGAGGCACATTCCACATCGTGCGCTGAGCCCAGATGTTTCCAAAACAGCTTTTCGGGGGGAGGTGGGGGGAGGCCTTTCTGCAGCCGCTGCCAAGGCTCCCTCGTGCCATGGAGGCGGGAGTGCGCATCCCGAGAATGGCAAAGCTGGGGAAAACATGATCCAGCCAAAGAACCTGCCCAGCAAAGCATCTTGATCCTAAGAGATTAGGCAGGCAGGGTGCGTTAATAGCATATGGAAAGGCCCATCTAGTCCAGTCTCCTGTTTTCACAGTACCCAACCAGACGCGGGTGGCGCTGTGGGTTAAACCACAAAGCCTAGGACTTGCTGATCAGAAGGTCGGGGGTTAGAATCCCTGCCACGGAGTGAGCTCCCGTTGCTCGGTCCCTGCTCCTGCCAACCTAGCAGTCCGAAAGCACGTCCAAGTGCAAGTAGATAAATAGGTACCGCTCCGGCGGGAAGGTAAATGGCGTTTCCGTGCGCTGCTCTGGTTCGCCAGAAGCGGCTTAGTCATGCTGGCCACATGACCCGGAAGCTGTATGCCGACTCCCTCGGCCGATAAAGTGAGATGAGCACTGCAACCCCAGAGTTGGCCACAACTGGACCTAATGGTCAGGGGTCCCTTTACCTTTAACCACATGCCCATTATGGGAAACCCTCCTGCAGAACCCGAAATCGAGTCTCCCCTCCCCTCCTGTGGCTTCCAGCATCATTTCCTGCTTCCAGCCATGGAGGCAAAGCATAGCCTTTGTGGCCAGCTGGCCGTTGGTAGTTCTCCCTGAATTTGCCCAACCCTCTTTCAAAGCCAACCAAGCTGGAGGCCATCGCTACCTCTTGAGGGAGGGAGTTCCGTAGTTTAACTGTGCACTGGGTGAAGAAGAAGAAGAGGAGGAGGAGTTTGGATTTGATATCCCGCTTTATCACTACCCTAAGGAGTCTCAAAGCAGCTAACCTTCTCCTTTCCCTTCCTCCCCCACAACAAACACTCTGTGAGGTGAGTGGGGCTGAGAGACTTCAGAAAAGTGTGACTGGCCCAAGGTCACCCAGCAGCTGCATGTGGAGGAGCGGAGACGCGAACCCAGTTCAGCAGATTACGAGTCCACTGTTCTTAACCACTACACCACACTGCCTCTTTTTAAACAAGAAGGCCTGTTTAAAATCTGCCTGGGGAATCTCTCGACCAGAAGAGGTTGGGTTGCTGCATTGTGCCAACAGCCCAGTATCCCACAGCAGTCGTGTCAAGTGGAAGCCCACAAGTGTGCTGTGAAGAATACGAATAAATACAGTGGTACCTCGGGTTACAAATGCCTCAGGTTACAGACGCTTCAGGTTACAGACTCCGCTAACCCAGAAATAGTACCTCGGGTTAAGAACTTTGCTTCAGGATGAGAACAGAAATCAGGCAGTGGCAGCGGGAGGCCCCATTTGCTAAAGTGGTACCTCAGATTAAGAACAGTTTCAGGTTAAGAACGGACCTCCAGAACAAATTAAGTTCTTAACCCGAGGTACCACTGTAATACAGTGATATCATGAGAATCACGGCTAAAGGATCCTTTGGAGGTGAACACACAAACTCTGCTTACAAACCTTCAGTGAGGGGGTGTCCGGGAGAGAAGAGGTGAAGCGGCCAGCCTGCTCATGCCCCCACCTGTTGAAACAGCCACCGCTCTCCCATGCTCAAACCACTCCCATCACAGCTGCCTCTTTCCCTGCACAGGTGTTCGTTCTGAGAACGAGGCGTGCAACTTCTATCCGTCAGGCCCTTCGGATCCCTGATCAAGTCCCAACAACAAGTTTATTTTCTTTCTCTTCTCCCTTTCATTCTCCCATGTACCAATCCTTCCAGCTCTCACGCCCACGCGGGTCCCTGCTGCGTCTTGACATGTTCAGAGAGCCCTGGCAGCGGCGCAGGGAGCCGGAGCCTCAGATAAAACCAATTGGCAAGCAGATGGCGCAAGATGAGGCTCTGACAGAACCCTTCGGTCCGTGTTCCCTCTGTCCAGGCTGGACAACTTGCACCCCTCCAGATGTTGATGGGACTCGCTGTCACCCCTGACTGTTGGCCATGCCGGCTGGACATGGAGTTGGTGTCTCCTGGGACATCAGGAGAGCTGCAGGCCGCTGAAAGAGACCGTCACTTGCCTTTACTGCCCCTAGCTGTTGTTGTTTAGTCGTTTAGTCGTGTCTGACTCTTCGTGACCCCCTGGACCAGAGCACGCCAGGCACCTCTGTCTTCCACTGCCTCCCACAGTTTGGTCAAACTCATGCTGGTAGCTTCGAGAACACTGTCCACCCATCTCATCCTCTGTCATCCCCATCTCCTTGTGCCCTCCATCTTTCCCAACATCAGGGTCTTTTCCAGGGAGTCTTCTCTTCTCATGAGGTGGCCGAAATATTGGAGCCTCAGCTTCACGATCTGTCCTTCCAGTGAGCACTCAGGGCTGATTTCCTTAAGAATGGATAGGTTTGATCTTCTTGCAGTCCATGGGACTCTCAAGAATCTCCTCCAGCACCATAATTCATGAGCATCAATTCTTCGGCGATCAGCCTTCTTTATGGTCCAGCTTTCACTGAAAGTGAAAGCCCCTAGCTAGCTGTTCCACAACTCTGCCATCGTTACAGGATGGGGAATTGGTGGCCCTCCAGATGTTGCTGGCCTGTTGGCTGGAGCTCAGGGGAGTCGGAGTTCAACCTCCCGAAGGCAGAAGGTTCTCCATGATTGAACTAGACCATCACTTGCCTTTAGTGCCCCTCACTTCCTGCATCACAACTCTGTCGTTATCAACCTGTTGCTGGACCATGGACCATGATTCTAGGAGCTTGTGGAAACTGGGAGTTCAGCAACATCAGAAGAGCTTCTGGTTTCCCATTCTTAAAGCAGACCATCACTTGCCTTTAGTGCCCCTCGCTTCCTCCATCACAACTCTGCCATCTTTTAATGACGGGATGGGGATCCTGTGGCTCTCCAGATGTTGCTAGACCATTGGCAATGATGGGCTAGAGCTCATGGAAATTGGAGTCTAGCAACATCAGAAAGGCTGCTAGTTCCCCATTCTTGATTTAGACCATCACTTGCCTTTAGTGCCCCTGGCTAGCTCTATCACAACTCTTACCATCTTTCAACGAAGGCGGCGGGAACCTGTGACCCTCAAGATGCTACTGGACTCCCAGCTCCCGTCATCACTGACCGCTGCCCATGCAAGCTGGGGCTGATGGGACTTGGGAGTCCAGGAACACCTGGAGACTTAAGAAGCTACCTTTTCTAGCACACTGTTTCTCACAGTGCTCGGCTAAGTGCCTCTGGAAGGCTCACCAGCGGGGAATGAAGGCAATATCCCTCCCTTGTTATTTGTCCCCAGCGCACCTGTCATTTGGAGTAGACGGCCTCTGCCCATGGAGGTTTTCCTTTACTCATTATTGGGGATAAGAAATGTAAGAAGAGCCCGACTGGGTTATTAGTATTAGTATTAATGCCACTATTCTGGTTTCCCCCCAAACTGGGGAATCAAGATGGCTTGCAAGACAGATAAAATACAAAAGACTAAAAACCTACAAAAGACAAACATTTTTTCAAAAATTGAATTGCATCAGAATTAAAAATAAAACGTAAACAACTACTGTAATGTCTTTAAAATACCACAGCATCCTGGATCCAAGGATCTAGTTATCTCTCGCTTGGACTACTGCAATGCGCCCTATGTGGGGCTACCTTTGAAGGGGACCTGGAAACTACAACTAATCCAGAATGCGGCAGCTAGACTGGTGACTGGGAGTGGCCGCCGAGACCACATGATACCGGTCTTGAAAGACCTACATTGGCTCCCAGTACGTTTCCGAGCACAATTCAAAGTGTTGGTGCTGACCTTGAAAGCCCTAAACGGCCTCGGTCCAGTATACCTGAAGGAGTGTCTCCACCCCACTGAGGTCCAGCACCGAGGGCCTTCTGGCAGTTCCCTTGCTGCGAGAAGCCAAGTTACAGGGAACCAGGCAGAGGGCCTTCTCGGTAGTGGCACCTGCCCTGTGGAATGCCCTCCCACCAGATGTCAAAGAGAACAACAACTACCAGACTTTTAGAAGACATCTGAAGGCAGCCCTAGTTAGGGAAGCTTTTAATGTTTGATGTATTACTGTATTTTAATATTTGGTTGGAAGTCGCCCACAGTGGCTGGGGAAGCCCAGCCAGATGGGCGGGGTATAAATAAATTATTATTATTATTATTATTATTATTATTATTATTATTATTATTACCAGAGCACCCTTCCTGCGGTTTCCAGCATCTGCTACTCAGAAGCATGTGCTGCCCCCACCCAGAGCACAGCCATCGTGGCTAATAGCCGTCCATCGCCCCCTTCTTGCCCATGAATCTGCCCAATCGTCTTTTAAAGTTGACCCCAAGTCACCGGCTGTTGTCACCTCCTCTGGGAGCCGAGTTCCGTAGTTCGGCAAGGCAGGTAGAGTGCCCACGCCCAGGGAGGCTCTACCAGCCTTGCCTCCCCCTGACCAAAGAACCCATCCTCAAAAGAAAAGAAAAAAAGACTAGGAAATTACACACACACATATTTCTCCCTCCCTCATTTCTTGTTTTCCTTGGAGTCCGGACCCCTTTGCCTTCCCAGCCACTTTTGCAGGAGTTTCTTGGCCCGTCTCCAGGGCGAGCTGCAACAGCAGGAAAGCCACCTTGCCCTTGAGAGAGAGAGAAAAAAGAAAAACAGGGTAAGGGCACGATCTCCCATCACCACCAGCCATCGCCACCCATTCCCCCCCTTGTCCTGGCTAGCTGGTTCTTGTCTGCTCACAATATAATCTTGCTCCACTGAAGAGGCAGCAGAGAGGATTTGCTTCTCACAACTACACCACCTTTTCTTTTTTTAAAACAGGGAGCAGTCAAAGGCTGGGGTTGGTTGATTTACCCGGAGAAAAAGGGAGGAGAGACGGGGGGGGGGTTGATTTACTAGGAGGAGAGCCCTGCTGTCTTTCCTTTTTTGAGCCTAGCCAGAAAGCACCGAGAAAGTTCAAATCTCCCCCACTTTCCCCCCTCCTCCTCTTCTTCTTCAGAGCTGGAAATTCTTGCATTTGTAGGAAGCTTGGATCTTTCACAGGAGCTGCGCCGCACTCTGCAAAACTCTACTTATTATAATTGGGTTTTTTCCGCCTCCCCCAAATAATTATTACGCCTGCATATTGTTTTGAAAGCAGCAGCAGCTTTTAAGAGTTCCTCCTCGCTCTTTTTCCTAGCCTTCTTTCTGCTCCGATCTCTGATTTACTTGGGGATTTTTTTCGAGGAGGGGGGGTGATAGTTCCACCCCCCACACTTTTAATTATTGACCAAGGGGGGAGGAAAAAAGTCACTCTGAATGGACTAGAGGGTTCCCGCCCCCCGGACTTTTTTGATCCTAGTGCCTGGTTTGGAAATAATTTATTTTTCCTCCGTTCCTGAGAAGGAGATAAAAGTTTTGCTGAAGTTCAGGCTGCAAGGAATTGTCTTCTTGTCCACCTCCCCGCAAAAATACCCGTCCGCGTTTCCCTTAAACGTTTGGGATGAACTGGAAATAAACCTTTGGAGGAAATTTGCTTACAGAATAATGCTTACTGGATTTTTGCTTACTGGATAATGAGGTGTTTTAATTTTTGAGTGCCCCCCCCCTTAAAAAAAGAAGAGACAAGAATATTATCCGAGGAAGTTTTGATGGAACACCTCTCCGACCAGTCCATTTAATGGTAAGTAACCATTTTTGGGTGCCTTCTCTGCTATGATTTTGTATCCCTTCTGGCTCCCTGTGGGTAGCTGAGATTTAGCTTACTTATGAAGTGTCTTGTGTGACCCGAACGTTTTGCCAATTCTGACATTGGCCAAGTTCAGTGACACGAGATTTTCGACCATTAATGCAGTGTGTGAAACTTGCCGTACAAATAAAGAAAAAAGATCGATATTAAAGCAACTGTTGTTTTTTAAATATAAAAATGTGGGGTTGTATCCAGCATGTCACACTCAGTAGTAAGACCCTATGGGTATTGACAAATGTAGGTCCATTAGTTTCAAAGGGTATACTCCTGAGTAGAACTTTGTTGGTGCTGTGCTTCTGAGGTTGATATGAAAAGGCATTTAAAAAAACCAGAACGCACATCTGATTTTAATAATGTAGGTTCTCTGTTTTCCAACCTATCGTAACAGCTTTTGAACATCTGTGGCATGATGCTTCTTTACGAACATGATTCATACATCTCAGATGGTGTTGTGTGAGTGGCTTAGTTGCCCCGTCAGGCTAGAACAGGGAGAGATATGAAAGGAAGTAGGTGGTGGTCATCATTTCAGGACCTTTCTACACATATAGTAAAAGTGGAACGCGGTCGCCACTTTTCCTCCACCCACCAGTGATGACCTGTACCGCATCTTCCTTTGCTTGGTGGCCGATGTGCCTATATCAAAGCATCCGCAGATTATATTTTCCAGTGGATTCTGTACTGCTTTTCAGCTGACACCCAACCATCCCCTAGTTTTTCCTTAGTAGGGAACAGGAGGATTCATTCTGCACTGAAAGGTGAAACTAGCAAATTTGTGCTTTCCGAGAAAATCTGGCGCAAAGCGAAACGTGTCCGTCCTTCGGAGTTTGCGCTTTGAATGCATTTATTTGATTTTATAAACAACACACAGAGTACAGTCACAGGGCGGCAGGAAAAATAGGTGCAGGATACAAGAATTAAACCCCTTGTGGAACGACAGGTGACAATTTCGTTGCTTTTTGAAATTTTGCGATGGGGTTCTCCAGCTGAGTGATGCATACGAGAAGAAAACACAGGCCAGGATAAAGTGTCTAGTAAAATCCCTCTATTAGCGAAAATCACATACAATTTTGCATTGTATTAGGGAACACTGCTTTGCAAAAATGCACGCATTAGACAAAACTAAATTGCAGACTAAAATGCTGGTGCAATTGCTTGAAGACTTCTCCCATCTGGCCCCCGCCAAAAGGCAAATTGATATGGGAAAAGGTGGCAGGCTGACCTCTGGGAACAGGATCCTGAACGAGATGAGCCACTGGTCTGATCCAGTGGCCTTTCTGAAAACGACAAACTGAAATGGACCGATCTACCAGTCCCTGCTCCCTTCATTAAGTGAGTTTATAATTCCTCCAGCCGGCTAATTCTGGTGAACTTTGTCACACACCTTGTCCTGTGTTGAATTGTGGCAAACACACAAACCGTCCCTCTGGTTGCCGCAGAGGGAAGCTATCTCTGGGAATCCACACAACTCTTTCAAGGCCCGTGACTCAGCCTACTCTTCTGGGGTGAGTAACTCTCACTCCTAGGCGACCAGCTAGAGAGAGAAAGAGGTACAGAGAGGGGGGGGGCTTGGTGAAAGGGAAAAGAATAGTGTTATATCTTTCTTTTTCATCCTGTCCATTTCAAGTGTGGAAGGCAGGCGTGCATGCAGGCTAGTGATCTCTGTGGACTTATTTGCAAGGCTACCTTCATGTCCCCCTTCCCAGCAGCAAAGGCAGAGGTGGCAGCCATCAGACACCCTTGCAAAGTCCCCCCCCTTCTCCTCCACCCTCCAGGGGGAGCCTGAAATGAAAGCAAACCTGTCTCTCTCTTTTTCTCCATTTATCAAGACCAGATTTTTACGCTTCTCTCCCCCCCCCATCCCGACTTTTCCTCCCCTTTTCCCTGCTGTGATTGATGGTTTGAAAGAGGAGAAATAGCTCACAAATAGAAATCAGTTACAGATGAAGCCGGGGTGGGGTGGGGGGGGCATAGCTTTCGAGTCATTAAAATATTTCCACCTCCCACCTTTTCCTCTCTCCTGCGAAGAAAGGAGCAAATCCGTGAAGAATCGCATTTTGGAAATTTCTTTTGTGTGTGCCCGTTCTCTGATCAAGTCTCTCTCCCCCAACTGTTTTTCTTCTTCTCTTTTTTCCTCAAAAGGGGGGGGGGGAAATAACTGAGCCAAGAAATCTGAAATTAATTCATTTGGGGTGGGGTGGGGGTTGGGGGCAAAGGGGAGGGAGAGGAGCTTGAACAAAGAGAAAACAAAAGATTTCCATTTTCAAAGAAAAGTTAAAAGGTTGCATATGTTCCAATCTGCATGCTTAGAAGTATTTGCTGTCTTGCTGCCATGAGATCTTTCAAAACCAGTTTAAAAAAACCCAGTGACATTTGCTTGCACCCCCGTAGAAAAACACATATCTGAAGGCATCGCAAATTGCTCAGTAATAGATTTTCTTAGTGGGTTTGACTGACAAAAGCAATCTAGGATGGCTTTGAAGGGCTCATTCTATCTCCTGACCTTTCTCGTAAAATATATAGTTTGTATTCACATCTTTTCACATCCTCTGACCTCCGGGGCAAATTTTTCCTTAATACATCCAGATTCCTTCCAGAGGACTTTGCTGGGGAAGTTCCTGTTTCCCCTTAAAAATCCCAGCGGGATGATGATGATGATGATTTTATCTTTCTAAATCTGTCCTCAGTTGTATCAACACCCACCCTTTGAATCAGAGCGAAAATGTTGTGAATTAAAAGTTCCCCCAAATTCCTGAGGGCTAGGGAAGTTTCAAAGTATTTCTCCATTTTAATACAAATTTTAATACCCCCCAAAATTTGGGTCCTATGATGGAGTTTCGGTGGGGAAACCCCATTGAAAAGCGATGAGGTTGTAGAACGTTGCGGTGGTGGTTTAGACATCACTCCCGAATTTTCAAAAACATTCCCTCGGTTCAGTCATCCCCCAGAGATAACCATTGAGCCTAATTTGGGCTTTCTAGCTTTTGTGAAAGGTGGTTTAGCATGCACAATGGCCGGTTCTTGGGGTTTCCATATATTTATTGTCGAACAAGATCCCCCTAGCACAGCCTAACCATTTTTAAACACACCCGGTCAACACAACCGGCTTTTGAGGATCTTAATTTTGTGAGGTCAGATTCTATAACTGTGCTATCTATCAAAAACTTCGTGAAAACTTAGCATTACTGGGTTCAGTTCATACCCCTGGCAAATTACGAGTATGAACAGGGTACCGGCAACTCTCCATCTTTGTAAGATAATGGGCTTGTACCGTGAGTGAAGATGAGAAAGAAAAGCGTTTCTTTGCTATAAACTCTGTGCAGTGAAGTAATATGAGTTCCTTCCTCTTAAGAACATAGAAAAAACCCCTGCTGGATCCAGGCCAGGGATCCATCTAGTGACTAGATCACTACCCCCCCCCCCGATCTAGACCCTCAACTTTCCCCCCATAGTGGCTTGTCAGATGCCTCCAGTATTTGACATTTGGAGATAGACTGCCTCCAGGTGTTGAGGCTCAATTAAATGGTCATGTATAATCCTTGCTGGTAGGCCTCTCTCTCCTCCATGAAGGCGCCTAGTCCCACTTTAGAGCCAGCTAAGTCTGTAAGCCACCTACGCATCTTGTGGCAGTGAGTTCCATCAGCTGATTTGGTGTCGCGCAAACAAGGATTTTCTCGCATCTGCCCTTAACCTCGCCGATTTGGCTTGGGCGGTAGCTTTGAGTTCTTGTATTATGAGAGAGGGCAAAAGCTCTCTTTATTCACGATAGCAGAAAATCTCCCTAATATCTATCCTTTCCTTTAGTCACCTTCCTGCTAAAAAAAATTTAAAGGCAAAAGTCAAATGCTTTCCTCTTTTTTCCTCGCAGGGAAGATTGTGCCCCCCCCCCCACATGATTTGTCCCTTTCTGCATCTTAGAAATGATTTTCAGTTTATTTTTAGGGCAGAGATGGGGGACCTGTATATAGTGGTACCTTGGATTAAGAACTTAATTCGTTCTGGAGGTCCGTTCTTAACCTGAAACTGTTCTTAACCTGAAGCACCACTTTAGCTAATGGGGCCTCCTGCTGCCACTGCGCCGCCAGAGCACAATTTCTGTTCTCATCCTGAAGCAAAGTTCTTAACCTGAGGTACTATTTCTGGGTTAGCGGAGTCTGTAACCTGAAGCGTATGTAACCTGAAGTGCCTGTAACCCGAGGTACCACTGTATATCCATATAACTGCATTTCGGATCCAATTGTTCTCAAGAGCAACATCTCACTGGAACAGCTCCTTCTTTTAATTACTGATGTTTTTCTTGCTGCTCTGCATCGCTTCCCAAAACCCCGTTCATCATATTCCTGGACTTCTGGGGGACAACCTGTCTGGTTCAGCCCAAATTGTATCCTCTTCTCTAGCACACACACAGACACACACTCACATTTGCTGGGTGGAGAAGAGACAGCCTCGGAATTTGGGGTGTCCTTGGGCAAGGCATCTTCATTGAGGGACCCTTTTATCCAGAAGGGGCCAGGACACGCAGTCTTCTCTGACCATCTTGGGGGAGGGGGGCTAAATTGTTGGGGCATTGGGCTTCAGCATTATATGACCCCAAGAAATCTCTCCTTTGATGCTGATCCCAAGAGAGTGGGACCGGTGGGTGGCCAGCGGGTCCATTGGCCCTAGATTTGCACACGTGGATTTGATTTGATTGATTGTATCTTTACGCCGCTTTTCATTCAAATGAATCTCAAAGCGGCTTACAACCAATAAACAACCGTAGCATAATAAAACATACCAGCACTTCGCGAATACAGCATACATTCTATAAAATAATCCACAAATTATCAATAAAGCAGTTGCAATCTGAGCAAAACAGCAACTAAAAAATAAACTAGACCTCACAATGACGGCAAGTCATGGGGTTAACAATTCAGTGCAGCATTTAGAATCTATAAAACAATATGAAAAGCATTAACAAAATAGCAATTAAAATATAAGCTAAGCGCTAAGTTCATTCACACCATCTCTGCACCCCCATGACTCAGGGGCTGAGTGGGGGATTTTTCAGCTTGAGAGCCACATCCGCTCTTGGCTGAATTTCTGGGGGCCACATCCAGAAGGTGGGTGGGACTAGAGGGAAAGGTGGGTGGAGCTATGGGTATGACTGTTCCCTTTGTTTACTGGGCTATATTTCAACCACACTTAAGAGCACAAGGGTCCTATATATATCCACATGCACATACGGGTCTCTCATAATAATAATAATAATAATAAATTTCTTAAACCCCATCCATCTGACTGGGTTGCCCCAGCTGCTCTGGGTGACAAAAATACAGCAAAAACATCATCATCATCATCTCAGACATGAGAAGCTTCCCAAAATAGGGCTGTCTTCAGATGTCTTTTAAAAGTCAGATTGTTGTTTATTTCCTTGACATCCGATGGGAGGGCGTTCCACAGGGAGGTGCCACTACTGAGAAGGCCCTCTGCCTGGTTCCCTGTAGCTTCACTTCTCCCTGTGAGGGAACCGCCGGAAGGCCCTCGGAGCTGGACCTCAGATGGGGGTGGAGATGGACCGAGGCCATTTCGGGCTTTTAAGCACCAACACTTTGAATTGTGCTCGGAAACGTACTGGGAGACAATGTAGGACTAGTGTTAAATGGTTCCAGTCGCCAGTCTAGCTGCCACATCCTGGATTAGTTGTGGTTTCTGTACATTGGCTCCCAGTAAGTTTCTGAGCACAATTTAAAGTGTTGGTGCTGACCTTTAAAGCCCTAAACGGCCTCGGTCCTGTATACCTGAAGGAGCGTCTCCACCCCCATCGTCCAGCCTGGATACTGAGGTCCAGCGCTGAGGGCCTTCTGGCGGTTCCCTCGCTGCAAGAAGCCAAGTTACAAGGAACCAGGCAGAAGGCCTTCTCGGTAGTGGCACCCGCCCTGTGGAACGCCCTCCCACCAGATGTCAAAGAGAACAACAACTACCAAACTTTTAGAAGACATCTGAACGCAGCCCTGTTTAGGGAAGCTTTTAATGTTTGATGTATTACTGTATTTTAATATTTGGTTGGAAGTCGCCCAGAGTGGCTGGGGAAGCCCAGCCAGATGGGCGGGGTATAAATAAATCATCATCATCATCATCATCACCTTCAAAGATAGTAGAGCACATGGCAGTTGTCCAAGCGGGAGATAACCAGGGCATGGACCACTCTGGCGAGACAGTGGTAGGGCAAGAGGCATTGCCACAGTTTAAGGACACACCCCAGCCAGGGAAAAGGCAGGTGGGGGGAGTGGGGAACGGGGTTGATAAGGGGTACGGCCCCAGGAGGGGCACGGCTTGGGGGAAGGCCGGACTGAGAGGGCCAAAGGTCCACGTTGGCCTCTCATCCTGCGATCCCTGCAGTAACCGCAGGATGGCATTGGGGCATTGTGTGGACAAGCCTATAAGCTTTCGCTGGTGCCTGATGGGTTGATTTTGAGAGAGCAGAGGACCATGAACCCAGCCACACCTCCAGGTATCACAGTCCAAGCAAGCAATCTCTGAGGGCTTTATCCCCAGGCATGGCTGGAGAACCAGTGCGGTCCTTCAGGTACTAAGTCAGCATGGCCAACAGTGAGGGGAGATGATGGGAGTTGTAGTCCGGGAATATGTGGGGAGCTGCAAGTTTGCATTGCAAGAGGAAAGAGCTGCTAAAGTGGTATCTCAGGTTAAGAGCAGTTTCAGAAACGGACCTCCAGAATGAATTAAGTTCTTAACCCGAGGTACCACTGTAAAGCTTAACTTGCTTCAGCAAAACTCTTTCCCAAGTTGGTATGCTTGAAGGATTACGAGGTAGGTTGATTTTTATTTTTTTAATGTGACAGAATAGCTGAATATAGGATTGCTTCATGGCAGAGGGTTGGACTAGATGACCCTTGCAGTCCCTTCTACAATTTGATGGTTCTATGCTTGTGTGTGTTTGCGTTTGCACGTACAACCTTTCATTGCCAGAACTGATTACAGGGGTTGCTGTTTACGCAAATGGCACACACTAATCCCTTCCACAGCGGTGATGAAGTCTATCCTAAACCTCTACAGCCCATAAAACTGTTTTTTCCTGAGCCAATTTGAGGTGATGGGAAAGTCTGCAAGGTTTGGAGTTTCACAGGTCTCTTTATTAAGTGGCACTGGGAAAAAACAACAACAGGAAAACCTCAAGCAAGAGAAGACGCAAGACTGGTTGTGGGTTATTTGCAAATTTCACTAACCCATCCAGAATTTGCAAGCGATTAGCCATCATTATAATGCCGCAGAGACCCCTGATTTTCAAAAAGTCTCTTGTGGTGTTGTGTGCTTTTCTCAATAGTGACTTATTTTTCATCTCCACCCACATCTTTTAAAAAGTGTTTCATAGCTTTGCTCCATAAGAGTGGAAATGGAATAATTCTGATAAGGAGCACATTTGTTGGGTGTTTGCATCGAATGCTAATCCTACATAGAACAGACCCATTGATGATGAACGGCTCTGGCTAACTGAGGTCTATGAACTTCAATGTGTCTACTCTGAGTAAAACTTAGTAAACCTCCACAGAGTATTTTGCATAGTATTTACTTCTAACTTCAATACATTGTATTTTATTTTATTGCTATGGCTAGTGGCTGATTCAAATAAAAATTCTTCCCATTCTGATTCTTAGTTGGAGGCAACTTTCAATTGTCTCTTGGCAATTGCCTATGTAAATTTAGGTTCTATCCATCTTCATCAATGCAGTTAAAACAAAAATAAAAGCAGAGGGCATGGATGGCCACCTATTTTTTGACATTTTTATTTTTAAAAAAGGTTTGTTTTCGTGCTGGGTTCATGCTGTGCAGGGCGACATTAACTGGGACTGATGTCAAGAATTTCTGTCCCGCAAGGACCCGGTTGAGGCATGGCATGGAGATTTATTTGCTGACTTGTGATGTTCGGCAAAATCAAGTATATGTAGACATATTAAAAGAAGTCTAATGTGACTTTTTTTTAATTGGGGCGGGGGGAATTAATGCTCGGCTTCTGTGGGGCTCATACCCTGTGTTAATTAATCTGGATTAATCTCTTGTTTTGAGATTCTGTTCCTGCAATTTATAAGGTCTGTTAGAAACCCAGCTTTGCCCCTTTTGTCACTCTTGTAGTGTGAGTCTTAGCAAGGTGTGGGAAAGGCTGTTTAGTCCAAAAGGCAAGTGATCTGGTATAATACACACACTGCTGGAAAAATGCAACCTGGGCTGTTGATAGAAGTAGTGTGACTCAAGCAACATGCTGGCGATTAATATACACAGAATAGTAAATTATACATTCTTTATCAACCTTCTGAGAAAAATACAAAACATTAAACAAAGCCACAGAGACTTGAGAACTACCCAGCCTAAGATGAACTTATAATGTCTGGTTTCAATAGATTTTTCAAATGCTTAAAGGTAAAGGTAAAGGTAAAGGGACCCCTGACCATTAGGTCCAGTCGTGACTGACTCTGGGGTTGCGGCACACATCTCGCTTTATTGGCCGAGGGAGCTGGCGTACAGTTTCCGGGTCATGTGGCCAGCATGACTAAGCCGCTTCTGGCGAACCAGAGCAGCGCACGGAAACGCCGTTTACCTTCCCGCCAGAGCGGTACCTATTTATCTACTTGCACTTTGACGTGCTTTCAAACTGCTAGGTTGGCAGGAGCAGGGACCAAGCAACGGGAGCTCACCCCGTCGCGGGGATTTGAACTGCCGACCTTCTGATCGGCAAGTCCTAGGCTCTGTGGTTTAACCCACAGCGCCACCCGCGTCCCCAATATGCACTCTAGCTGCCTCTTATTTACCAGCGTTAAGCTATCAGGTGCAGTCACTTACTAAATGCATTTGCTTGTCACCTCCTCAATATTAAATGCCATTGCATGTTGCCCCTTTGAATACTGCCAGATGCCGCTGCATGTCACCTGTCAAAGACTGCAGTGCGTTAAACACCATTGTGTTTTACCTGCCAAATCCTTTCAGGTCGTCGTGCAAATCCATGGCACTTACCAGCTGCAGCCCCAGTATTTGATCAATATTTGATGGCGCCGCCTTTAAAAGGTTGTTCGTGGGAAGTGCTGGAGAGATGCTTAGATTCTGGCTTTCTCCTGAAGCATCTCTAGAAGCAAAACGTCTCGCTGAGATTTTGCCTTTTGCACAGACACTTTTAAGACCATCTAGTTCTTGGGAGAAAACCAATGACAAACCTAGACATCATCTTAAAAAGCAGAGACATCACCTTGCCAACAAAGGTCCGTATAGTTAAAGCTATGGTTTTCCCAGTAGTGATGTATGGAAGTGAGAGCTAGACCACAAAGAAGGCTGATCGCCGAAGAATTGATTCTTTTGAATTATGGTGCTGGAGGAGACTCTTGAGAGTCCCATGGACTGCAAGAAGATCAAACCTATCCATTCTGAAGGAAATCAGCCCTGAGTGCTCACTGGAAGGACAGATCATGAAGATGAGGCTCCAATACTTTGGCCACCTCATGAGAAGAGAAGACTCCCTGGAAAAGACCCTGATGTTGGGAAAGATGGAGGGCACAAGGAGAAGGGGACGACAGAGGACGAGATGGCTGGACAGTGTTCTCGAAGCTACCAGCATGAGGCAATGGAAGACAGGAGTGCCTGGCGTGCTCTGGTCCATGGGGTCACGAAGAGTCGATCACGACTAAACGACTAAACAACAACAGTTCCGTCCAGCACATGTTTAACCTGAAGCACAAAAGAAGGCACTGTTGCGCATAAAATCTGCTCGTGCTGATTTGTAAATATCAATGTAGGTTTAGAAAGAAGATCTGTCCTTTAAATGGAAATGTAATACATCTCACCGCGACAGGGAGTATTTATGACCGGTATGCTGGTGGCTAACTGTTGATGAGCAACATCAAGGCATCTGTCAAGTTTTCATTATTTAGGACATAGAATCAGAGAATTGTAGGGTAGGAAGGGACCCAAAGGGCCCTCAAATGGAGGACTGCCCCCCAACAGCCATTATGGGTGTCAAATTGAAGGGAGAGGGACCTTGTCCTTTGCCCCAGGCAGCAAAACATCCTGAGGCAAAGGACAATGCATTTATAGTCCTGTTGTACCACTTTTAACAGTCGTGGAGAGTCCTGGGAACAACAACAACAACAACAACAACAATCATAATCATAATCATAATCATAATCATAATCATAATAATTTATTTGTACCCTGCCCATCTGGCTGGGTTTCCCCAGCCACTCTGGGCAGCTTCCAACAAAGATTAAAAATACATCAAAATGCCACACATTAAAAACTTCCCTGATGTCTTCTAAAAGTCAGGTAGTTGTTTATTTCCTTGACATCTGGTGGAGGGCGTTCCACAGGGCCGGTGCCACTACCGAAAAGGCCCTCTGCCTGGTTCCCTGTAGCTTTGCTTCTCACAGTGAGGGAACCACCAGAAGGCCCTCGGCGCTGGACCTCAACGTCCGGGCAGAACGATGGAGGTGGAGATGCTGCTTCAGGTATACTGGATCGAGGCCATTTAGGGCTTTCAAGGTCAGCACCAACACTTTTAACTGTGCTTGGAAACGTACTGGGAGCCAATGTAGGTCTTTCAAGACCGTGTTATGTGGTCTCGGCGGCCGCCCCCAGTCACCAGTCTGGCTGCCACATTCTGGATTAGTTGCAGTTTCCGGGTCACCTTCAAAGGGAGCCTCACGTAGAGCGCATTGCAGTAGTCCAAGAGGGAGATAACTAGTGCCTGCACAACTCCGGCGAGTAGTTTGGGTGCTGGGGTTTGTACCTTGGTGAGATCAGCACTGTTAAGAAATTGCCATTCGCAGGATTCTCCATGACAGTTAAAGTGGCATAATGGTGTTTTAAATGTACAACTCCATACTCCCTGCAGGATTAAACGCCCTCAGAATGAGGATATTTTAGCAGCTCTGGAATAGCAGCACAGGAAACCTTCACACCAAATCTGAGCCTAAGTACAGTGGTATCTCGGGTTAAGAAATTAATTCGTTCCTAACCTGAAACTGTTCTTAACCTGAGGAACCACTTTAGCTAATGGGGCCTCCCGCTGCCACCGCCCGATTTCTGTTCTCATCCTGAAGCAAAGTTCTTAACCCAAGGTACTATTTCTGGGTTAGCGGAGTCTGTAACCTGAAGCGTCTATAACCCGAAGCGTCTGTAACCCGAGGTACCACTGTATTATTGTCTATAGTTGCCCTGGCTTCCCGGGGTTTCTTTCCCAGCCCTCCCTAGCGATGCTGAGGATTTGAACCCGGGACCTTCTGCATGCAAAGCAGGTGTTCTGTCGCTGAGCCAGGGGCCCTTTGCAGCTCGCTATTCTGGACTGGCCTCCACTTGGGGTTAGGAAAGAAGGCCTTCTGGAGAAGCTCAAGGGCATGAGCAGAGTCTTCAACAGGATCAGGCCAGGGGCCCATCTAGCCCAGAATCCTGTTCTCATGGTGGCCAACCAGATGTCTCTGAGAAGCTCTCAAGCAGGAACTGAATACAAAAGCCCTCCACCCTCCCAGGGCTTCCAGAAACTGTCACTTAGAAGCATCACTGCTCTGTCCATCGAGACAGAGCAGAGCCAGTAGCCACTGATATAGGCCTTTCCTCCATGAATTCACCTCATCCTCTTTTAAAGCCATCCAAGTTGGTGGCCATCACCGTTTCCTGTTGCAGCGAGTTCCACAGTCCAACTACCCGCCGCCTGAAGAAGTCCTGTATTTTATCTGTCCCGAGACAAACTTTTGGTGCATCCCGGACAGCGTTCGAAACTCCCATTGTTCTGGGCGCATTTTGCGACCGGGAATTTCATTAGCGCGAGCAGTTTCTGAGCTCTGGGAGAGGTGCTGCGCCTAAGATTTCAGATTAATTGATTGTGATTTTATGTAAACTGTGTTATTTTTACTGTTGTTAGCCGCTCTGAGCCCGGCTTCGGCTGAGGAGGGCGGGATATAAATAAAATATTATTATTATTATTATTATTATTATTATTATTATTATTATTATTTATTACAGAGTGGAAGGAAAGGAGGGCCTTTTCCTGCCCCACCCCTCTTCCAGCTACTCTCTGAAGACTGGAGAAGAGATCCTCTTAAGAATATTAGGGGGGTGGGCAGGGGAAGTATAGCTTCCCCCCCCCAGTCTTCAGATGAGGACTAGACAATGTGAAAAATGAATATAAGATTTCAGCTGCAGTTCATTGTCAGCTTTGTATTCTTGATATTAAAAAAAAGCTTGCCTAGACAGTCCGTTGTTGCTCCTATAACCTAGGTTTAAGGTGCAATTTAGCTCCTAGCTTTTCTATCTCAGTTTCTAACATTGATCCTGAATCTAGGGACAGTCCCAGATTTGATCGGATCCTGGAATGTCCCGCTTTCACCCCTATTTTCATCAGAGAAATGTTGGAGGATGTGGAGTTATGCAACCCCCAAGTCAAGGAGATAAGTAACTAGACAACCTTTAGAAGACGTCTGAAGGCAGCCCTGTATAGGGAATTTAAAAAAAAATATTTAATGTTTTATTATGTTTTATATATACAGTGGTAAGGTAAAGGTAAAGGGACCCCTGACCATTAGGTCCAGTCGTGGCCGACTCTGGGGTTGCGGTGCTCATCTCGTTTTACTGGCCGACAGCTTCCGGGTCATGTGGCCAGCATGACTAAACCGCTTCTGGCGAACCAGAGCAGGGCATGGAAACGTTGTTTCCTTTCCCGCCGGAGCGGTACCTATTTATCTACTTGCATTTTGATGTGCTTTCAAACTGCTAGGTTGGCAGGAGCAGGGACCGAGCAACGGGAGCTCACCCCATTGCGGGGATTCGAACCGCTGACCTTCTGATCGGCAAGCCCTAGCTCTGTGGTTTAACCCACAGCGCCACCCACGTCCCATATACAGTGGTACCTCTGGTTAAGTACTTAATTCGTTCCGGAGGTCCGTACTTAACCTGAAACTGTTCTTAACCTGAAGCACCACTTTAGCTAATCAGGCCTCCTGCAGCCACTGCACTGCCAGAGCACAATTTCTGTTCTCATCTTGAAGCAAAGTTCTTAACCTGAGGTACTATTTCTGGGTTAGCGGAGTCTGTAACCTGAAGCGTATGTAACCTGAAGCGTATGTAACCCGAGGTACCACTGTATGTTGGAAGCCGCCCAGAGTGGCTGGGGCAACCCAATCAGATGGGCACAATATAAATACAACAACAATAGAATAGGATGTTGCTATTTTCATCAGAAAAAGGTTGGTGGGTATGCGCTTAGTGCAACATCCCAACGCCATTTCCAATGCCTGTATGGCGACATTTCCATCAGATCATCCTGGGTGTAGGAGTTGTTGCTTTCGATGTTGTCCTCTTTCCCCTGAAAGCTCCAGGCCTGCTTACATCATCTGTCCGTGCGGGTCTGAGCTCGCATGACGGAAGGGAGATCTGGGAAAGATTGGGAGGGTGGTGATTGAGGGCTGCTCATGGCTTTGCGCCTTGGCTGCCGTACAAGGGCGGTTGGGCAAGAGTCCGTGTCGATACATGTCTGTTTGGGTACCCAGTTGCATCTTGCCTATGTACCCGAGACCGGCTTTCTGCCCGTGCCAACGCGGAGTACGAAATCCTCTTGGGGCAAGTCTGTGCAGGGAACCCCAGCTTGACATCTCGACACAAAGACTTGCAAGTGGCTGGTTTGTTTTTTTTAAAGGGCACGAGCTTGTGAAGCCAAGAAAAAAATAATGAACGAGTCCTTTTAAAAACACGTCTTGTTAGCTGAGCAAACGTTGAAAATGGTGTGAGATGTTAACATGCAAAATCAAGAAGAGCCAGAGAGTTTACCAAGTCTACTATATCTTGTACAGTGGTACCTCGGGTTAAGTACTTAATTCATTCCGGAGGTCCATTCTTAACCTGAAACTGTTCTTAACCTGAAGCACCACTTTAGCTAATGGGGCCTCCTGCTGCCGCCGGAGCACAATTTCTGTTCTCATCCTGAAGCAAAGTTCTTAACCTGAAGCACTATTTCTGGGTTAGCAGAGTCTGTAACCTGAAGCGTATGTAACCCGAGGTACCACTGTAATATTATAAGACCACAAGAAGAACTTGCTGGATCGGTTTGTCTAATCCTCTTTTAAGGCCATCTCGGTTGGTGGACGTTTCCCACTTCCTGTGGAAGTGAGTTCCACAGGTGTTTTTAAAAAATCTATCCCAAATCCTCCAACATCCAGGTTCACAGAGTATACACAAATTCTGATGTTATGAGAGAGGGAGAAAAAACCCTTTCTCTATCCGTTTTCTCCATGCTGTCCATAATTTTATAAATTTCTATCATTTCGCCTCTTACCTTTTCTCTGAACCAAAACACTCCAGCTGCCCCAACCTTTCCTCATAAGGGAGTCGCTCCACACCCACCCACCCTTGTTAAAATTTTGGGTTTCCCTTTCTTCAGAACCTTTTCCAACTCTACAATATCCATTTTGTACACGATATTCATAGAATCTCAGAATTGGAGAGTTGGAAGGGCACTCCAAGACTCATCTAGTCTGACCCCATGCAATGCAGGAATCACGGCAAATGGGGATGTACCACAGATTTTGTATAACGGCATTGCAATATTGGCCGTTTCATTTTCAATTTCTTTCCCAGTGGTTATGGATTTCATAGTACTCCTGAGAACCAATGGCACGCATTCTTTATGTTAGAAAGTGACAGTTCCTTCCCAACGCTCCGGTCAGATCAAAATGCTTTTGATCACATAGTAGTAATGGAGGCAGTGAAGGCAAGTGAAGGTCTAAGTTTAGGGATGATTTTACAGCGTGCAAATCATGTGTTGAGGATGGCGTCTTCTTAATTGCTGCAACAGAGCTTGTCCAAAACTTTCTCTTTCCTTCTGTTGACCATAACATACCAGAACCAAAGGAGCTCACTAATTAATCAGCTAAAGCTCTGGTTAATTGATCTGCTGCTTTAAAGCTTGCCAACGATGTTTTGAGGACACTGTCTTTTTAACACTGGATTGTTTTATTTGATGTTTTAATGCAGGCATAGGCAAACTCGGCCCTCCAGATGTTTTGGGACTACAAGTCCCATCACCCCTGACCACTGGTCCTGTTAGCTAGGGATGATGGGAGTTGTAGTCCCAAAACAGCTGGAGGGCCGAGTTTGCCTATGCCTGTTTTAATGTGTTCTAAGCAGCTTTGAATTTTCCCCCTTAAAAATATAAAGTGGTGTGGATAATAATAATAATAATAATATACCACCTCATTCCTGGGAGAAAGGATGGAATACAAATAAAAATGGACTACAATAGTACCTTGGTTTACAACCATAACCCGTTCCGGAGGGACGTTTGTAAACCAAAACAGGTTGTAACCCAAGGCACGCTTTCGCCAATGAGGCCTCCAAAAAAAATTTGTTCGTAATCCCCCCAAAATGGTTTCGGGATACGCACTTCCGGGTTTAACATGTTTGTAATCCAAAACGTATGCAAAGCAAGGTACCACTGTATTTGGCAGCATGAAGAGACGTATTACCACTGTCTCAAACCACCTGAAAAATTATCAGCCCCACGTAATTTATTTTAAATTCATTTTATTTTTTGAGATGGTGATATTGCTTCCCTTCATGCTGGCGAAGAGCCAATTTCTTCACATTCTGCTGGTACCAAAGGCAGAAGAGCATCCCAGGAAGATTTTTCTGTGGTCAGTTGGCAACCAGGGATGCTAACGTGAATAAAATATTGAGGGGGGCGGGCAGGTAAACCCCACCCTGCATATAGGTCACATGATGTTCCTAAGGGATCTAAAGGGATGGAAGTGAAGAACAGAGGTAAAGGAGAATTAAATAACAGAAGAAGTGTGGTTTAGGTGGTGGAAGTCTTTTAAGATATTTTAATTAAGATTTGTATTTTATAATGTGTGTAAGTGTAATTCTGGAATTACTGTTTATGGAAAACAGCATTTTCTTTTTTCCTTTTTTCGTTTCTTCTTACTCTTTATCTTCTTTCACAGTTTATGTCTACCAAATATGTAAATAATTGTGTTTTTGCAGATAATGTCTGGAAGTTTGATTGTATTATTCAATAAAGTTATATTTTAATTTTTTTAAAAAAGGTCACAAGATGCATCACATGCACACTATTTGAATGGCAATGCTCATTAATTTTTAGTGGGGGGCGGCCCCCTCAAATATTTTATGGGGGGTGGGGTGGAGGGACCTCGACCCCTAAGAGTTGGCTCCTATGCTGGCCACCCTCTTCCCCCAAATACATTTTACGCCAGAACTTCCTAGTTTGTCTTGCCCTGGAGCTCCACCTACTGGCCACACTCTGAAATATCAGCTTTCTGTTAGAAACATGGAAAACTGCCCCATGTACACACTAACTGGCGGTGTTTCTCCAGGGTTTGGGGCAGGGGATCTCTGGAGATGCCAGAGACTGCACCTGGGACCTTCTGTATGCAAATCAGATGCTCTGCCCCTGAGCTACAGCCCTGTCCCGGCAGAACAGATGCTTCTGAACACCAGTTGCCAGCAGGGGAGAATTGCTTCTGTGTTCGAATCCTGCCCTCGGGTTTCCCAGAAGAGGCATCTGGTCGGGCCCTATGGGAACAGGATGCTAGACTAGATCAGCAGGACTCTTCTTCTATTCTTATGCCCCTAATCCACTCGCCAGCAAGCAATTCCCACTCGCCCATGGCGACTTCCGATCAAGTCCTTCATTGTTGTTGTTTAGTCGTTTAGTTGTGTCCGACTCTTCGTGACCCCATGGACCAGAGCACGCCAGGCACTCCTGTCTTCCACTGCCTCCTGCAGTTTGGTCAAACTCACGCTGGTAGCTTCGAGAACACTGTCCAGCCACCTCGTCCCTCTGTCGTCCCCTTCTCCTTGTGCCCTCCATCTTCCCCAACATCAGGGTCTTTTCCAGGGAGTCTTCTCTTCTCATGAGGTGGCCAAAGTACTGGAGCCTCAGCTTCAGGATCTGTCCTTCCAGTGAGCACTCAGGGCTGATTTCCTTCAGAATGGATAGGTTTGATCTTCTTGCAGTCCATGGGACTCTCAAGAGTCTCTTCCAGCACCATAATTCAAAAGCATCAATTCTTTGGCAATCAGCCTTCTTTATGGTCCAGCTCTCACTTCCATACATCACTACTGGGAAAACCATAGCTTTAACTAGACGGACCTTTGTTGGCAAGATGATGTCTCTACTTTTTAAGACGCTGTCTAGGTTTGTCATTGCTTTTCTCCCAAGAAGCAGGCGTCTTTTAATTTCGTGGCTGCTGTCACCATCCGCAGTCATCATGGAGCCCAAGAAAGTAGTGGTAATTCTGTATTGATTTGTTTTGGATGTTGTAGGTGATGCCAATAAAGGTTTTACGCTACGATACGAATATATAATGCAGATTTTTCTGGTGTTCTGACGCTTCTTATCCTTCTCGAACCCCTTTCCCCCAGTTCTAGGATTTTGTTGGAAAAGGCCAAGATGCTGAAGCTCCTGGTGACCACCCTCGTCCCGGCCTTGATCCTGGCGGCGCCTCCTCCCATTAGCAAGCTGGCCCTCTTTCCGGACAAGAGCGCCTGGTGCGAGGCGAAGAACATCACCCAGATCGTTGGGCACAGCGGGTGCGAGTCCAAATCCATCCAGAACAGGTATAGTACTGGGCCAATGGATCCAACATCTCCAGATCTCCCATAGCCATCTTCCCCAAGCTGTGTCGCACTCCCAACTTCCACTGTAGCCTTATTGGACTTTACCAATTGGTAGGGTGAGCGTTGCTCCCGGATGGGAGGAAGGAAGTCAAATGACACTGAGGGTTGGTTCAGAGAAAGAGTTCTTTATTTCTGCTCTCCGGAGCAGCAGAAAGGCACTTGCGTGGTCAGTCCACAGCAAGTCCAAAGAAATGAGAGATTTCATGCAGTATATATATCCTCCAGGCACCCTCTCCCCCCTTCCCCAGGAATCCAACCACGTCAGTCTGTACACGCAGGTAGACATCACTGATGTTCCTGCTCCGGTACTCTTAACCATAAAAGGGTTTTCCTTCCTGTACTTCTGACCATAAAAGTGTATTCCTGTTCCTATACTCTTATCTTGGAGCAAGAGGTCACCAACTCCAAGAACACACTCTGGCACTGTTCCCGAACTAGGTCTGTGAATCAAAGTGTGTTCAGAATGTAAGATAAGACCTAGATGTGCCATCCCTACTCCACTGGAACAGCCAAGGTCATCCTTTGCCGTCCTTTGACTGATAAAGGAGAGAGCTTTGTTTATTCAGCTGTGTTCTTGTTATGCATTTGCTCAACAGCTTGTTAATGCATTTTAGAAATCCTCTCTTGGAGAAAGAAGAAAAAGGGGAGTTTTGAGTCAGTTTCAAACTGACTGCACAGAAACCCATTTCTTCACCACCAGCTCTGGCCAGCACGACTCCAGAAATTAACTTCTGCCTCTTCCTGCTAACGTATCACAAGTAAAAGCATCGTGGCTGTAAACCGATTTGTGATTTTCTGCCGTGACGAAAAGTGGCACACATGGCACTGTTAATAGTTCCACATTTGTAAGAACTCAATTTTTTAACGTGGCAGCACCCAGCCTTTGGAACTCCCTGCCTATTGATATCAGACAGGCACCTGTAATAATTTTATTTTCTTTCATTTACTATACTGCTTTCAGTGGCTGCTAAAAAATTGTTGTTGTTGTTGTTTAGGCAAGCCTACACAGATATGTAGAATACCCACATGTATTCTAATGTTTTTTAGGTTATTTAATTTTTAAAAATGTTTTAAGTTGCTGTTTTTAACTGGTTTCACCGATAATTTTGTTTTATTCTTTTTGCAAATCGCTTTGAGGTGGGTGTTGTTGTTGTTACAATCAAGCACTATATAAATTTTATGACATCAAACAAACGCTCGAAATAAAAGAATAATAAGTAAAAAATGTTGAGAACCCAAGATAGCAGGGATGTAAAACAGGGATGTGGAATCTATGGCCCTTGAGCTGTTGTCAAAACCATCAGTCAAAACCAGCAGGCCTAATGGTGAGGGTAGATGGGAGTTGGAGACCAGAAACAACTGAAGTCAGAGATGTGATGGAGGTAGCTAGGGACAGTGAAGGCAAGTGATGGTCTAGTTTGGGGAAGGGGAACCTGGTGTTCTCCAGTTGTTGTAGGTCTCCATTTTGCTCTCTATCACCACCTGTTGGCCATGCTTGGGCCCGGCATGACCAATGGTCCCCTTCCCTGTATTAAAGGTAGCTAGGGACAGTGAAGGCATGTGATGGTCTAGTTTGGGGAAGGGGAACCTGGCGTTCTCCAGATGTTGTAGGATTCCATTTTGCTCTCTAGCACCACCTGTTGGCCATGCTTGGGCCCAGCATGGCCAATGGTCCCCTTCCCTGTATTAAAGGTAGCTAGGGGCAGTGAAGGCAAGTGATGGCCTAATTCTAGCTATTTTCAGACTTCAGTCCGCAATGGACGCAGCCAGCTTATTGCCAGTGGCCAGTGTTGTAGTTGAGAAACCTTTCGAGAGCTGCAGGTTCCCCCATCCTTGCATTAAAAGATGTCAGAGCTGGGATGGAGGTAGCTAGGGGCAGTGAAGGCAAGGGATGGTCTCTCTTTTTTAATATACATTTTTATTAATTTTCTAACATATCCGTTCCAACAGTCATACAACATAACTTCTCATCTTATACAATATTTTTAGACTTCCGTCAACACCTCTGATGATTTTCCGTTGTTGATGATCACTTATTATCCATTTCTTAATTTCATATTACCTTTAATTATCCTTGACTAATAATTCTCCTCATTATCTTTCTTGCAATATTTCACCTTACAAAACTTCTTGCAAACCTACTAGCGTAATCTGTTCATCACAATTTCTTTTCAAATAGTCCGTATATTTACTCCAGTCTTCTGAGAATCTCTGGTCCCGCAGGTTTCGAATCCTTCCTGTTAATTTATCTAGTTCTGCATAGTCCATCAGTTTCATCCTCCATTCTTCTTTCGTCGGTAGTTCTTCTTGCTTCCATTTTTGTGCCAATAATATTCTTGCTGCCGTCACTGCATATAGAAACAACTTACAGTCCTTTCTATTTATATCATCTCCTACAATACCCAGTAAAAATGCTTCTGCTTTCTTAATTAAGAGGCAAGGGATGGTCTCAGTTCACTCGGAAAGTTTGGTGCTCCTGAACACCGCCCTCCCCAATTCTGAACCCAACCCTCATCTCGCAGGCTTTTAGCATCTTCCTAATCTTCACCTATGGCGTTTCCATGTGCTGCTCTGGTTCACCAGAAGCGGCTTAGTGCTGCTGGCCACATGACCCAGAAGCTGTCTGCGGACAAACGCTGGCTCCCTCGGCCTATAGAGCGAGATGAGCGGGCAACCCCAGAGTCGGTCACGACTGGACCTAATAGTCAGGGGTCCCTTTACCTTTACCTTAATCTTCACGTGGGATGTGGGTGGCGCTGTGGGTTAAACCACAGAGCCCAGGACTTGCCGATCAGAAGGTCGGCGGTTCGAATCCCCGTGACGGGGTCTGCTCCCGTTGCTTGGTCCCAGCTCCTGCCAACCTAGCAGTTCGAAAGCGCATCAAAGTGCAAGTAGATAAATAGGTACCGCTCCAGTGGGAAGGTAAACGGCGTTTCAGTGCGCTGCTCTGGTTCATCAGAAGCGGCTTAGTCATGCTGGCCACATGACCCGGAAGCTGTACGCCAGCTCCCTCGGCCAGTAAAGCGAGATGAGCGCTGCAACCCCAGAGTCAGTCACGACTGGACCTAATGGTCAGGGGTCCCTTTACCTTTTTAATCTTCACCTCTCGTCCGCAGAGCCTGCTTGGGGCAGTGTTTCAGCTACAGCGTTCCCAACACCTTCCCACAGTCCACTGAATCCCTGGTGCACTGCGACTCCTGCATGCCAGCCCTCTCCATGTGGGAAGTGGTAAGTAATGCCGCTCAGGATGGAAAATTGCGTGTCGAGACCCCGCAGCCACCCCCTCGTTGGAAATAACTCACACAAGGACACAGATATTAGGTTTATGTTATTGGGCAAATTTTGGCCACAACTTTATTGAAATTACAGAATGTGAGCAGTATTGGCTTAGGCATTGATTGGACCTGACTATATCTGACTCCTGCCCATTGTGCAGGAAGTCCAGTAAGGTTAAGCCCTTACCAACTCAAGCTCCCCCTGGTGTTCCCGCTGGGGTCGTGTCAAGGCCTTAGCCCCCCAGCTGGGCTTCAGACTAGATCTACACCCCCGGATTCCTTTAACGGAATACCCTTAAGCATGGAGGGGCAGGTGATGGCCACACCTCCCCTCCCCCACACAAGGTCAAACAATGCCTAACCGCAACCCTAACATAGTTGTGACGATTGCTATGAGGTAGGCGAAAACCAAGTGGCCACTGCCAATTTGCCAAGTGGAAAAATTCCTACCAGGCCCCTCGGACAACCAAGGCGACCAACCGAAGTCCATAGCAAGGTCATTGCCTAACCTGCAAAATAGGGAGGGAGGGTGATTGAGGAAGTGAGCCAAAGAGGAAGTCCTCTGGCTCACTCCTCCGTTTAAACAGCTCTGGCCACACACACCCCGGCCAGCGTATTGGCTGGCCGGGCTCTGACGTGGCTGGGATCCCCCAGGCAATGGAAGACAAAGTCCCCCACCCCCAGTGGGGAGTGGGTGGCCACGCGGTCTACCACAACTCCTCCCCACTGGGAAGTGGAGCGGATTTGTGCGGCGATCGTCCAAGAAGGGCTGTTCGCTGAATACCCATTAGCATCCCCTCTTCAATAAATATATAGATGGAATATTTGTGTGGAGGGGGGATTCACTGTGGGGCAGCAAGTAGGGGGCTAGAGTGGGAATCACAAGTGGGAAGAACGTTGCTGTTGCATCTGGTTGGCCAATGTCAGTACAGGATGAGGGCTAAGTAGGCCACTGATCTGGTAGCCAGACTTAAGTTTCTTATTGGACCTCGCCCTTAGGTCCATACAAGACGTTGCGATGGGTACTACCTGCAATGGCTTTAGAAAGAGGATTAGATAAATTCACTAACTGTGATCACTATGCTCTGCTTGTATGGTTGGAGGCAGCAATTATTCTGAATACCAGTTGCTACAAAAGAGCAGGAAGGCGAGCGTGCTCTTATGGTCAGATCCTGTTTGCAGGTTTCCCATAAGCGGCATCTTGTTGGTCCCTGTTAGATCAGGAAGCTGGACTAGATGAAACTTTGACCTGACCCAACAGCAGAGCTCATGATGTTCTTAGATGATGATAATATATTATTATCATTTATACCCCACCCATCTGGCTGGGTTTCCCCAGCCACTCTGGGCGGCTTCCAACAAAATATTAAAAATTCAATAAAACATCAAACATTAAAGCTTTCCTAAACAGGGCTGCCTTCAGATGTCTTCTAAAAGTCAGATAGTTGTTTATTTCCTTGACATCTGATGGGAGGGCGTTCCACAGGGAGGCACCACCACCGAGAAGGCCCTCTGCCTGGTTCCCTGTAACCTCACTTCTCGCAGGGAGGGAACCACCAGAAGGCCCTTAGGGCTGGACCTCAATGCCCGGGCAGAACGATGGGATTGGAGACGCTCCTTCAGGTATTCTGGGCCGAGGCTGTTTAGGGCTTTAAAGGTCAACACCAACACTTTGAATTGTGCTTGGAAACGTCTTGGGAGCCAATGTAGGGCTTTCAGGACCAGTGTTATATGTTAGATGATTGTGGTGGCTCTCTGAAAAAAGAGGGTGAGCCAAATTTCGGGAGGAGGCAGCCACTGATGGCCGCTAGCCCTGAGAGCTACGTATGGCAAGAGGCAGCAGTGCTTCTGAATACCAGGAGAGGAGACGGGTCTTGAGTTCAGGTCCTGCTTGAGGGGTTCCTACAGGTTGACTGCTGTGATAACAGAAAGCTGGACTGGATGGGCCTGATCCATCAGCCAAGCTCTTCCTGCGTGTTCTGATGTCTTCTCCTTCCCCCAGGTGACACTGGACTGCCCCAGCAATGAAGACATCCCCAGGGTGGACAAACTGGTGGAGAAGATCCTCCATTGCAGCTGCCAGGCATGTGGAAAGGAGCAGAGCCAAGAGGGGGCGCTCCTCAACGTCTACGTCAACGGTGACGAGAACCTGCCGGCTGAGGGTCCTCACCCCCACCCCTACGGCCACCACCACCCAGGGGAAGAGGCCTCCAACCACCACCACCATGAAGACGAGGCCAAGGACTGACCTCCGAACTTCGGGGGGGGGGTGTGAACTGCCCCTTCAGCCCAGGCCTTGACGACTTACCCCCCCGCCTCTCAAATACCCATCATGCTTTGCTCTTGGCAACGTGGTCGTGGGGAAGCAGAGGCCAAGCTGAAGGCGGACCTTTCACCGGGGGCGGCCAATGGGACAAGCTGGCAACCGGCGAGAGAATTGGGGGAGGGGGTGGTTGGGGGGAGGGCGTCACTGACGAAATTGCACACTGCTCTAATATATTGGGGGGGGGAGGGAAGAGGGAGGGGCAAAATGAGAGAGGGGTCTCCTCTTGAAGGTCTGGCGGACACTCCAAACAAAGACATCCAAGGCGGCTTCTCGGTTTCTGGCTTTCCATCAGGACATTTCTCTGTGAAGACTACATATAGAATTGTAGACTTGGATGGGACCCCCTTGCAATGTAGGAACCACAGACGCCGTGGGTCCGGTTCTGCCACTGGGGAATCAAGGATCAATCTCGGAGGAGCCGGACTGGACCCCCCCCCCCCCAAAAACCCGTTTTGACAAAAGAGACTCTCCCCTTTGGTGCTTTTTTAGCAGCAGAAGCGAGACATTTCTTGCACGTTTGAGTTCTGCCCTCACTTGCCTTCACTGCCCCTGGCTACCTCCATCACAACTCTGCCTTCTTTCAATGCGGGGCTGGCGACCTCCTGGTCTCGCTGGACTCCAACTCCCATCATTCTTGAACAGTGTCCATGCTGGCTGTGACTGCTGGGAGCTGGAGTCTGGACGGCACCACTTTGCTTACCCCTGTTTGACTTCCTAGCAGCACTTTAATGAACGGAAGATAGAAGGGAGCAAAGGAAATTTTATTGGAAAGCGCTGGGCGAGGGGGAAGAAACAGGTGGGTCGGTTCTAGACCATTTTTAGCGAGTCAGATCTAGCTCAATATTGTCAACGCTGACCGGCAGCAGCTCAGTAGGGTTTCAGCCGTACCTGAGATGACAGGGATTGAACCAGGGACTTTCTGAATGCAAAGCAGACACTCTTGTCACTGGGCCCTGGTTTTCCTAAATATTCTAGTTCTCATGGTTATGGATAAAGGGCTGGATCAATGAGGAGGTGCACAGAAGGTAGTCTTATTCCAAGACAGACCACTGGTCCATCCAACCTAGGATTGCCAACACTGACCGGCAGCGGCTCTCCAGGAATTCAGGCAGAGGACATTCCCACACTTACTTGGAGGCGTTGGGGCTTGAACCTGGGATCTTCTCCCTACAACAGCAGATACTCTACCACCGAGCTACAGCCCTTTCCACGGGAATTTAACATAATCTGAATCTGACGTGAGTCAGATTATTGGATGAAGAGGCTGCCATCTTGCCCAACCTTTCCTTGAATTTTTAAATGTCTTAATCACTGAGTGTTTAGAGTGAGATTCGAACTCTTGCCTTTGTATACACCCAGCCTCTCTCCTTGTTCTGCTGACTACAACACTCTTCATGGCTTCTCTCTCTCTCTCTCTCTCTCTCTCTCTCTCTCTCTCACACACACACACACACGTCATATATATTTCCAGCTTTATCGTTGTGTTATTCATCCCTCTTAATTAAATAAATTAGATCCAACATCCACATACCGTGTCACTCCGGGTCTTTTGTCGAGCGAGACAATATAGTCCTTTCAGAATGCAAATCCAAGAGCAAATATTTATGTGGGGCTGCTTCCCTCTAAGTCCTACTCAGAGTAGACCCGCTGCGGGTAACAGACTTAAGTCGGTCATGTGCAACAACTTCCGTGAGTCTAAGATAGTGTCATACAAGGGGCAGAAGAATTGGACACATAAGAGAGAGGCGATGGTACAACAGCATTTTAGGTCTTCCTATGCTGAAATTGACCTGCCCCCACCATAGGAGGAATTAATGCATGACATCTTATCCTGGTACAAGCTTATTATTATTATTATCTGGGCGGCTTCCAACAAAATATTAAAAATACATTAAAACATCAGTCATTAGGAGGTCTCTCCAGCTGCACGTTTCCTGATCTGCAGCCTCCCTGGCTGCCCACACTTCCTGATCTGAAAATGTCCCAGGGGAGGTGCAGGCTCATAATGGGAGGAGTTACCGTATTTTTTGCTCTATAAGACTCACTTTTTCCCTCCTAAAAAGTAAGGGGAAATGTGTGTGCGTCTTATGGAGCGAATGCAGGCTGCGCAGCTATCACAGAAGCCAGAACAGCAAGAGGGATTGCTGCTTTCACTGCGCAGCGATCCCTCTTGCTGTTCTGGCTTCTGAGATTCAGAATATTTTTTTATTGTTTTCCTCCTCCAAAAACTAGGTGTGTCTTGTGGTCTGGTGCGTCTTATAGAGCGAAAAATATGGTAACTTGTGTTTCCCTGCCAAACTTTAATTGGCATACAGGCATCTGGGAGGTCTCCTCAGCTGCCCATGTTTCCTGATCTGCAGCCTCCCTGGCTGCCCGCACTTCCTGATCTGAAAATGCCCCAGGGGAGGTGTTATCTCATAAGGGGAGGAGTTAACTCATGATGTCTTCCCCTGAAATTTGATTGACATGCAGGCGCCTGGGAGGTCTCCCTGGCTGCCTATACCTCCTGATTTGCAGCCTCAAGGGCATCCTGATCAAATTTGCAGATGACACTAAACTGGGAGGGGTGGCTAACACCCCAGAGGACAGGATCACACTTCAAAACGACCTTGACAGATTAGAGAACTGGGCAAAAACAAACAAGATGAATTTTAACAGGGAGAAATGTAAAGTATTGCACTTGGGCAAAAAAAATGAGAGGCACAAATACAAGATGGGTGACACCTGGCTTGAGAGCAATACATGTGAAAAGGATCTAGGAGTCTTGGTTGACCACAAACTTGACATGAGCCAACAGTGTGACGCGGCAGCTAAAAAAGCCAATGCAATTCTGGGCTGCATAAATAGGAGTATAGCATCTAGATCAAGGGAAGTAATAGTGCCACTGTATTCTGCTCTGGTCAGACCTCACCTGGAGTACTGTGTCCAGTTCTGGGCACCACAGTTCAAGAAGGACACTGACAAACTGGAACGTGTCCAGAGGAGGGCAACCAAAATGGTCAAAGGCCTGGAAACGATGCCTTATGAGGAATGGCTAAGGGAGCTGGGCATGTTTAGCCTGGAGAAGAGGAGGTTAAGGGGTGATATGATAGCCATGTTCAAATATATAAAAGGATGTCACATAGAGGAGGGAGAAAGGTTGTTTTCTGCTGCTCCAGAGAAGCGGACACGGAGCAATGGATCCAAACTACAAGAAAGAAGATTCCACCTAAACATTAGGAAGAACTTCCTGACAGTAAGAGCTGTTCGACAGTGGAATTTGCTGCCAAGGAGTGTGGTGGAGTATCCTTCTTTGGAGGTCTTTAAGCAGAGGCTTGACAACCATATGTCAGGAGTGCTCTGATGGTGTTTCCTGCTTGGCAGGGGGTTGGACTCGATGGCCCTTGTGGTCTCTTCCAACTCTATGATTCTATGATTCCTGAAAATCCATCAGCATTTTTCTAAAGCACCCAGTTCTCCTAATCTAGACATTCTTGCAATCTTCCCCAACACAATACATTTAGGCCTGTTATTTTCACAGAGATGTGCATTTCTAGGTGCATGCTTCCCCTTGACACCTGCACTCCTTTGGTCGGGGGGGAAACTGTGTTGCAAAATTCAGGGAAGTGCAAAATTTGAGGACAGCTGCATTTCAGGTCCCAGATGGTTTTTGGGAGTGTAAGCTAGATAGGTGAACAGAACCAAATTTCTCCCCCGTCTCCAGAGGCAACGTTCGCAAACAGCAGAGGCGCCTCGCTGCAGGAACAGTTGGTTGAAGGGGGAGAAAGGAGGCGAGTCTTTCTCGGGAAATGTGGTTTTTGGGGGAGCAATTTGAAAGGCGGTGGTAGGAGAAAAGGGGAGTGGCCCTTCCTGGATCTTTATGACCTGGAAGAAGGAGCTGTAGCAAGAGTGAATAGGGTGAAAGCGTTATCAAGGGGAATAGGAACCCATCCTAGCTCCGCACTCATATGAGAAGCCACCCTATTAATCTATCCAGTTCAATATACTTTAACAGTTTATTTTGCCATTCCATTTTTGTTGGCACAATTTCTTTTTTCCAGTTTTTAGCAATTAGGATCCTTGCCGCTCCTGCGGCATAGAGGAATATTTTCTGATCTTCTCTTGCTATACCTGCGTCCGTTATCCCTAGTAGAAAAGCTTCTGTATTTTTTATAAAGTTATACTTAAACATTTTTTTAAGCTCGTCATATACTATGTTCCAGAAGCTTTTGATTTTTTCCACAGGTCCACCAAACATGTATAAGGGTCCCCTCTGTTTTACCACACCTCCAACACAGATTTGTTTTTGTCTTATACATTTTAGCTATTTTGGTAGGTGTAAAGTACCATCGATAAAAGATCTTGATTAGATTTTCCCTCAATACTTCACAGGCTGTAAATTTCCAGTTCTTTCTCCATAATTCTTCCCATGCTGTTAATGGTTTTCCCAATTAGAGATCATACCATACTAGACAAGAATTTCAAAAAGCATGGGGAAAATGCAGAGAATACTTCACAAAACAGTGCCCTAAAATTCATACCTGGACTTGTTTCAATTAATGTCTGCAGGAGACTTTGTGGATATTTAAGTTATAATTAGGAAAATCTTAATAATTATTCATAAAGGAAACAGCTTATAAGAAGTAAATAAGGAGGCCAGAAACAGGATAAAGGAAGTCTTTTATTTGATTGTTTGTATTGTTGTAAATTATGCTTGTGGTTTGTTATGTTTGTGTCTGAAGGGGGTGGATTTCTGTGGGGGGGGTTGTGTTATATTGTAAATAAAATTTCCAATAAAAATTTATTTTAAAAAAAGAAAGAAAAAAAGAGAAGCCACCCTAGCTCTGCAGTTCCCCGGGAAGCCGCCGCAGCGCTGCATTCAATTCTGGGGTTGCAACTGCCGAAAGGAGAGTAAAAATTTTTCCTGCTCAGAGATAGCAAAGCACCTCTGTGAGTTTAAAAGGTAAAGGGACCCCTGACCATTAGGTCCAGTCGTGGCCGACTCTGGGGTTGCGGCACTCATCTCGCTTTATTGGCTGAGGGAGCCGGTGTACAGCTTCTGGGTCATGTGGCCAGCATAACTAAGCCGCATCTGGCGAACCAGAGCAGCGCACGGAAACGCCGTTTACCTTCCCGCTGGAGCGGTACCTATTTATCTACTTGCACTTGGACGTGCTTTCGAACTGCTAGGTTGGCAGGAGCAGGGACCGAGCAACGGGAGCTCACCCCGTCGCGGGGATTTGAACCGCCAACCTTCTGATTGGCAAGTCCTAGGCTTTGTGGTTTAACCCACAGCGCCACCCGCGTCTGTGAGTTTGGCGGGAAGCAAATGGCATACCTTTCTCATAGCCTCTTTGCATGCAGGGCACTTATTGAAGGAACACAGGAGAATGCCTTCAGCTCCGCCAGAACATTGGTCCGGCTAGTTCAGTGCTGCTTGCACTGGCTCGCGGCAGGTTTTCAAAATCTCAGATAGCAGGTGTGTTTGTGTGTGTGTGTGTGTCTGTGTGTGTGTTTCCCAGCCCTACCTGAAGATGCCATTGGAATACGAACCTGAGACCTTCTGCATGCAAAGCAGATGTTCCACCCCTGAGCAACACGAGACTTTCAATTCCACTGCCCTTTATTTCTGGACACACATTGGATCCAAATGAACGTCAAGGAGCAAATGTTGGAGCCAAAGGAGAAATGGATTTCTGGGATGTGTGGGGGGCTAATCAAACCCATTCCCCCCCCCTCTATGGCCACCAGGTGGCACTCTGGGACTAGCAAAGCTCCGTGGGATGGGAAAGGGAGTATTTTGTTGATACTAATGTTGATGGAAGGAATCTCTTCCGATTAAGGTCAAGGTGTATCTCTTGCGAAACACCTGCGTGTAGCCAGGAGCTATCTCCAGGGGGCGCAAGAGAGCACAGAGTTACAGTGATTTCTCTGCCTTTCTCTCTCCCCCCCTGCCCCCCGGGCATCAAAACGACGACCCTGTAAAGAAGGTAAGGCTAAGAGCGACTGGACCAAGTTCATGGCTAAACACGTGAACTGAGGGCCTAAAAAATCATGAGGACTTAAATCTACAGCTTCATTAGCCTAATAGTTACTGCCCTTTCCAGGGTTTCAAGCAGAAGTCTTTCCCAGAGGTTGAACCCATTTACAAGTCCTCATCATAGTGTATCTTCTGTTTTTATATTGTGATTTTATTTTGTGAACTGCCCTGAGACCTGCGGGTATACGGCGGTATACAAATTTAATAATAATAATAATAATAATAATAATAATAATAATAATACTTCAGTTTCTCCCTGTGAGTTTGGACCAGTTCCAAGAGAGATGGTTATCAGCTATTTTTAATAGTTCTTTCTATGTATATATCTTTATTTGAGTAGAATTACTTTTTAAGGATTATGTTAGTTTTCCTGTTTTATCTGAAAGCCACCTTGACTCCCAGTCCTGGAAAAAAGGAGGCATATGCTATGGCTCTCAATGGTCACTGGATCCTGTATGGGGCACCAGCTGGAGGAGAGGATTCTGTACTTGGGGCCTGATCCTGCAGGGCTTTCTACACACAATTGGGACTCCTCTCCTCTGGAGCAGCCAAGAGGTTCCTCCTGCTCGGCTCCTACAAGTCCTCGTCATGAGCTCCCGGAGGCTGCAAGCAGCGAAACAGAACTGCTGTTGCCTGTAGTGAGGGGGAACAAAGGCAAGAAGAAGAAGAAGAAGAAGAAGGGGAGTTTGGATTTGATATCACACTTTATCACTACTCTAAGGCGCTGTGGGTTAAACCACAGAGCCTAGGACTTGCCGATCAGAAGGTTGGCAGTTTGAATCCCCGCGACAGGGTGAGCTCCCATTGCTCAGTCCCTGCTCCTGCCAAACCTAGCAGTTCGAAAGCATGTCAAAGTGCTAGTAGATAAATAGGTACCACTCCAGCGGGAAGGTAAACGGTGTTTCCGTGCGCTGCTCTGGTTCGCCAGAAGCGGCTTAGTCATGCTGGCCACATAACCCGGAAGCTGTAAACCGGCTCCCTCGGCCAATAAAGCGAGATGAGCGCCGCAACCCCAGAGTCGGTCACTCCTGTACCTAATGGTCAGGGGTCCCATTACCTTTACCTAAGGAGTCTCAAGTGATGGCCAGTGTTGTGGCAGAGGCAGCTGGGGCAATAAAGGCAAGCAACTGGTCTAGTTCGGGGAAGGGGAACCTTTGCCCTCAGGGCGTTGCTGGTCTCCAACTCCTCGCAGCTTCAGGCAGCAGATCCAATGAGAAGCAGGAATAGGATTTGGGAACACCAGGAAGGTCTCAGCTTCACCATCCCTAACGCAGAGGCAGTTCTGGGCTCACTGGGCCATTGAGCTTGAGGAGGTTGACAATGGGGAAGGCTGGCATCTCAGTGGCTGACCAGGCATCTGAAGCCAGGAAAGGCCCGATTCTAAATCAGGCAGATTTGTTTCTTAGTTACTGCAAGGAGGGAGAGATTTACAAGAGGCCACTGAGTCTGCTTCTCCAGGAAATGGGAGGCCAGAGCCTCGGGGCAGCCCTGGAGCGGTTTGAGCAGGATGCAAAAATCCGAGAAGAGGGCAAGTTAATGCAGGTTGAACGGAGGGCAAAAACATCCATAAAAATGGCAGAAGGGCCAAGGCTCGTTTCATAAGAGCATCGTTAATGGCCTTGCCGGTTCAGACCAGCCTGCATCCTGCCACGCCGGGATAGGGGAACCTGAGGCCTGACTGTTGGCTATTCCGGCTGAGTCTGGAGTGAGTTGGAGTCCCAACAATGCATGGAAGGCACAGGTCCCCATTTCTGAGCTGGGCCACCACTTGCCTTCGCTGCCCCTAGCTATTCCCCATCACAACTCTGCCTTCTTTTAATGAAGGAATGTGGAACTCCTCCAGATATTTTTTTGGGGGTGGGTAGGCAATGACAAACCTAGACAGCATCTTAAAAAGTAGAGACATCACCTTGCCAACAAAGGTCTGTATAGTAAAAGCTATAGTTTTCCCAGTAGTGATGTATGGAAGTGAGAGCTGGACCATAAAGAAGGCTGATCGCTGAAGAATTGATGCTTTTGAATTATGGTGCTGGAGGAGACTCTTGAGAGTCCCATGGACTGCAAGAAGATCAAACCTATCCATTCTGAAGGAAATAAGCCCTGAGTGCTCACTGGAAGGACAGATCGTGAAGCTGAGGCTCCAATACTTTGGCCACCTCATGAGAAGCGAAGACTCCCTGGAAAAGACCCTGATGTTGGGAAAGATGGAGGGCACAAGGAGAAGGAAACAACAGAGAATGAGATGGTTGGACAGTGTTCTCGAAGCTACCAGCATGAGTTTGACCAAACTGCGGGAGGCAGTGGAAGACAGGAGTGCCTGGCATGCTCTGGTCCATGGGGTCACAAAGAGTCGGACACGACTAAACGACTAAACAACAACAACAAAGGCAATGTTGGCTGGAGCTCCGGGGATTGGGAGCCCAGCAAATTCTGGAGGGCTGCACGTTCTCCATTCTTGAACCAGACCATCACTTGCCTTCGCTTCCGCCACCCCCGGTCACAACTCTGCCTTCTTTTAATGAAGGAATGGGGAATTCCTCCAGATTTTTTTTTGGGGGGGGGCGTGTAGGCAATGTTGGCTGGAGCTCTGGGGAGATGGGAATCCTTGGAGAACTTCAGATTTGGAAAGCCTGGTCTATCACACCTCCTCCTTGCAGTGCAGTCCTGTACATCAGGGTCGGGGAACTTGTGTGTCTCCAGACTCACGCAAGGCATAGTTAAGCTATGGAACTCACTGCCACAGGAGGCAGTGACAACCACCAACAGGGATGGCTTAGGAACATAGCTGTCAACTTTTCCCTTTTTGAAAGGGAAATTCCCTTATTCCGAATAGGATTCCTCGCAAGAAAAGGGAAAAGTTGACAGCTATGCTTAGGAAAAGAAAAGGGCTATCAGTGACCACTAGACAAATTGGCTAGGCTCTGCCTCCACAGTCAGAGGCAGGGATGCTTCTGAATATCCGTTGTGGGAAACTGCAGTGGGGAAGGATGAGCTTGTGCTCAGACCCAATGGGGCACCAATGGATTCAAACCGCAAGAAAGGAGAGTCCAACTAAACATTAGGAAGAACTTTCTGAGAGCAAGAGCTGTTTGACAGGGGGAAGCTGAGGGAAGGATGGGATAGCCTTCTGCTATGGATTCTTAATTTTTTAAAAAAATAATTTTTATTAAGTTTTCCATATTTATCATTATCACATTCTCTTACATAGCTCTGTAACCTGAAACCTTGCTCATACTGAGCAACGACCTCCTTCCCTCCCTCTTTCTGACTTCCAGGTATCTTTACTAGATTCTTAGCATTTCTATAACCACTTTTTAACCTTCTATCTTCTTTTTGTACTTCACCTCATTCTATGGAAATCAGTTTCTTATATTCACATTACAAAACATTCCAACTTAAACCTACAAACGTTTTCAGATGTTTACAATGCTCTTTCATATATAATACAAATGTGCTCCAGTCCTTTTGAAACAGTTCGTTGCGCTGATTCCGGGATCTTCCCCGTCAGCTTTGCTAACTCCACATATTCCACCATCTTACTCTGCCATTCTTCCAATGTTGGAATTTCCTGCTGCTTCCATTTCTGCGCCAGAAGTATCCTTGCAACTGTTGTGGCATACATAAACAAATTTACATCTTTTTTTGGAATATCTTCTCTATCTAAACCTAACAGAAATGCCTCTGGTATTTTGTTAAAATCTGCCAGGGATTCTTCAGCTGTGATTTCCGCATTGCAGGGGGTTGGACTAGATGACCCTTCGGGGGGGGCCCTTCCATTTCTGGTTGGCCACTTTGAGAACAGGATGTCAGACAAGGTAGGCCATTGGCCTGATCCAGCAGACTCCTGTTACGTTCCCTGCTTCTACAAATATTCCGAGGGAATGACTCCAGGATTCTGAAGAGCTTGGAAAATGTTAACAATTGTGTGTGTCGTTGTTTTTAAACAACAACAACAACAGCAACAACCCAATAACTGTTTCTACGCTGCACTGGGCGATTGGAGCCTTAGCTGCCCATGAAGGGAAATAAACTCTGCCACACACACAAGTTGGCATGTGGTTCTTGAAAACACCAGCTGCACACTCAGTGCTTCCTTCCTTCCCCACACCCAGCCGAATCTTCGGGGTGAGAAAATTCACATCCTTTGTAGCAACGGAGCAGAGCTTTTGCGAGAGAGAGAGCGAGAGATAAATGCAGGAACGGCGGAGAGGCATCGGCGGTGCTGCCAGCCAGCCGCATTCACGGCAGCGGGGAGAAGAGAGAGCGTGCCTCCTTTTCGTTTTCTTCCGCACGCCAGGAGAAGATCTGCAGGGAGCAAAAGTGGGGGTGGCAGAGAGCACTTGGAGGATTGTGGCTTCTGTTGCTCCCCCCCCACCGACTTTCCCGGTTCGCCTCTTGATGGCTCGGAGGCTGCCGACTGATTGATTGGGGTCTCCCTCCTTGCGGAGGAACGCTGTGCAGCTCTGGCTCCCGGCAAAGAGTGGGAGGAAGGAGAGAGGAGGAGGAGGAGGAGGAGGAGAGAAGCAAGGAAAGAGCGAAAAGGGCACCGAATCCGTTCGCATCCTCCGAACGGCAAGCTGTCGGTGATGATCACCTAGCGCCGGCGTTTGGCCGAGCCGCAACCCCCCCCTTCCGCCACGCTCTCCTGTCTTGTCAATGGAAGGGGAGCTGGGGGGCAGCAACGCCAGCGCGGCCGGTGGGGAATATTCCGCGCCGAGCGGCAGTGCTTGGACAGTTGCCTTCCTCGGCTTCATCGTCCTCTTGACCATGCTGGGCAACTTCTCCCTCATTCTGCTGATCTTCACCCAGCGGGCACTCCGCAACACCTCCAACTACTTCCTGGTGTCTCTCTTCATGTCCGACCTGATGGTGGGCTCGGTGGTGATGCCGCCGGCGCTGCTGAACCAGCACTACGGCCGCTGGGTGCTGGACGGTGCCTTCTGCTCCGTCTGGTTTGCCTTTGACGTGATGTGCACCAGCGCCTCCATCCTCAACCTGTGCGTCATCAGCCTCGACCGCTACCTGCTCATCATCTCCCCGCTCAGGTACAAGCTGAGGATGACGTCCTGCAGGGCTGTGCTGCTCATCCTGGCCACCTGGACCTTAGCCGCCCTGGTCTCCTTCCTGCCCATTGAGATGGGCTGGCACAAGATGGAGTTCGGCCTGCGTCCCTTCAACGCCACCCTCCAGGCCGAAGAAGAGGGGCAGTGCCGCGTGGCGGTCAGCCTGCCCTACGCCCTCATCGCCTCGGGTCTGACCTTCTTCCTCCCGTCCGTCGCCATCCTCTTCACCTACTGCCGCATCCTGCTCGCTGCTCGGAAGCAGGCGCTGCAGGTGGCCTCTCTTACCAACAACGTGTCCGTCGCAGCCGAGGAACCCACTCAACAGGTAGGGCCATGTTGCTCCATGTTTCTAACTGGTTTCTGACAGGCGTCAGGGCTCTGGGCCTGTTCTGAGGCCCAGCTGTTGTCTGTACAGTCATACCTCATGTTACGTCCGCTTCATGTTACATTCTTTCAGGTTACGTCCCGTGGCGACCCAGAAGTACCGGAAAGGGTTACTTCCGGGTTTCGCTGCTTGCGCATGCGCAGAAGCGCAAAATGACATCATGCGCAGAAGTGGCGAATCGCAACCTGCGTATGCGCAGACGCGCCGCTGCGGGTTGTGCTCTTTTCATGTTGCGAACGGGCCTCCGGAACGGATCCTGTTCGCAACCAGAGGTACCACTGTACTTCGGGGTGGGGGTGGGAATAAAACTCAAGAGAAGGTCACACAGCTGTGCTGTCAGAGGACTCCCCTCCCAGAGTCCTAAGAAGAGCTTGTTGGACCAAGCCAAGGGCCCATCAAGTTCAGCATCCTGCAAATAGGATTCAAACACAAGAGTATTATCTCCCTCTGTGGTTTCCAGAAACTAGAATCCAGAAGCGTTACTGCCTCTGACTGTGGATAGCCATCCACTGACAGCCATCTCCTCCATGAATTTGTCCAATTCTGTTTTAGGGCAATCCAAGTTGGTGGCCATCACTGCCTCCTGTAGCAGGGAGTTCCATAGGTCAACTCTGTGTCGTGTCAAGAAGTCCTTTCTTTTTATCACTCCTGAATCTGCCAACCTTCAGCTTCATTGGATATCCGCAACTTCTAGTGCAAATGAGAGAAGTAGGAAAACTTTTCTCTGCTCCTGCCATGAGTAGTTTTATAAACTTTTATCATGTCACCTGAAGCCACAGATGCTGGAAGTAAGCACCTACTATTGATAGGCAAACCTGCCCATTTCAGTCTTTCTCTGTTCCTTGACTTCCCAATCTTAAGTTCGCATTGTAGCAAAAAATAATAAAGTTCTTCTGAAAGTTCACAGCTTTTCAGGGCAATCTCTCCCGACAGACTCATGACTGTACGCACTTTCCCCTAACGGACACATTCTTTGCAGAGCGATCTTCCCTGGCAGAACACACTTTTCCTTATTATTTTCACAAATGGGTGCATGTTGTGTGCATGCTTTAACGTGATATATGCATTTTTTATATATATTAAACATTACTTGGGTGGTGAAACATGTTGCAAAATTCGGAGAAGTGTGAATTATTATGGATGGCTGAGTTCCATTTTGCAGATTTTAAAACCAAGTGTGAAATAGACAGATTCTCCTTTAAATGTCAACTGAATTTAATTTCCCCAGGCCATTTCCCTCTATTGCTGCAAGGCCTCCCCTGGTCCCCTGGTGTGGACCTGGGGGACACTCTCCCCCCCCCAGTAGTCTTCTTCACTGCCTCAGGCAATGCAATTTCTTAGGCCAGTCAGCCCAGAGCAAGACAGATTCATCCAATCCCCTTATTGTATTATCTGTGCTGAGAGTGATCAATCATCCTGCCATGGACCCGTCAAAATGAGCAGCTCATTGTCTGGGGTTTTTGTCACCTTCCAATCAGCCACTATCACACCATGACAACCAGCATAACTGGTTCGTTCAAGGGGGCTGGGCCTAAGAAGAGTCTGTCCGTTGCCTCCCTGTATGAGTTGCCCCTGCAAACCTGAAACCCCAGGAGCTGCTGCCAGTCAGTGTAGACAGTACTGAGCTAGATGGACCAAGGGTCTGGCTCAGTGGAAGGCCATTTCCTATGTTCCTCTGTCCTCCCAACATCTCACTGTAAGTGGTTTAAAAAGGTAAAGGGACTCCTGATCATTAGGTCCAGTCATGGCTGACTCTGGGGTTGCGGCGCTCATCTCGCTGTATTGACCGAGGGAGCCGGCGTACAGCTTCCGGGTCATGTGGCCAGCATGACTAAGCCACTTCAGCGAACCAGAGCAGCGCACGGAAAAGCCGTTTACCTTCCCGCCGGAGTGGTACCTATTTATCTACTTGCACTTCATGCTTTCGAGCTGCTAGGTTGGCAGGAGCAGGGACTGAGCAACGGGAGCTCACCCTGCCGCAGGGATTCGAACCACCGACCTTCTGATCAGCAAGTCCTAGTCTCTGTGGTTTAACCCACAGCGCCACCCGCGTGCCTCGTAAGTGGTTTACAATTGTTAATATTAATATTGTTGTAAACTGCCCTGGGACCTGAGGGTAAAAGCAGGGAATAAATTGTAGTCGTCACTCCCCAGTACAGTGGTGCCCCGCAATACGAATGCCTCGCAAGACGAAAAACTCGCTAGACGAAAGGGTTTTGCGTTTTTTGAGTCGTTCCGCAAGATGAATTTCCCTATGGGCTTGCTTCGCAAGACGAAACGTCTTGCGAGTTCTTGCGAGTTTGTTTCCTTTTTCTTAAAGCTGCTAAGCCGCTAAGCCGTTAATAGCCGCTAAGCCGTTAATAGCCGCTAAGCCGCTAATAGCCATGCTTCGCAAGACGAAAAAACCGCAAGACGAAGAGACTCGCGGAACGGATTAATTTCGTCTTGCGAGGCACCACTGTATTTGCCACCTGAGGCAGCCACCCCAAACCACTTAATGATAGGACCGGCTTGGTGCTTTGTGTGATATCTCCTGCAAGGAAACTATCTTCCTGCTCAGGAATCTGCCAATATATGCAGGAACCTGGAACCAGTTTAAGAGCAAGATTAACCAGAACTTTCTCTTTTTGGCGGCGGCCGTGTTTGGAATCAGCCGGGCTTCTTCTTCGGAAGTCCTGTCAGAAGACAGGTGATAACACCACAAATCTGGTGTGACTTGCTAGTTAACGGCTCAGTTTCCTGCTCGCAGTCGGGTGCTGTGTTTTCCCCAGATAAGGCCAATTCCTTTCATCTGCCTCCTCCTCCATTTCTCTCCCCGCCGCTGCTTTTGGGTGGCTTTTGTGGGGAAGAGACAATCTCATTATAGAGAGAATGAAGTGTTCTTCGACTAACTTTGGAACGGTTTTACAACAAAGCTTCTCTCAAAAATCAGGCTTTTGTGAGGGGTTTATTTGTCGCTGCTGGTGGTAGAGACACTTCCCCAAGCTTAGAATCCCACATCTGCTGCTAAGGAACTCAGAGGACACCTAGACCAACCCCTGGTTCAGTGTAGGATCTGCAGTTTAGATGCAATTCTTGAAGCATCCATTGGTTGTTGGTGCCCATTGGGGCTGGTGGGGAAGAAGGCAAGGAGCCCCACAGGAGGTGGAACCAGAACCAATGATTGGCTGAGGCAGAGCTAATGAACAGCAGAGCCAACTCATGACAGTTTTTTTAATAGTATTTTTTATTAATTTTAACATATAAATTATAAAATGTACCACAAAACCTATCACTTATACAATCTTTTTAGACTTCCATCAGCACCTCTGATGATCCACCGTTTTAACCACTTCTTATGCGTTTCTAAACTTTATATTGCCTTTACATCTCTTATCAAATCATCCTCCCCCTTGTCCATTTTTGCAATATTTCTAATAATACTCCTCACAAAACTTCTTGCAACCCTACAAACGTCGTCTGTTCTTCACAATTACTTTTCAAATAATCCGTAAATTAACTCCAGTCTTCCGTGAATTTCTGGTCTCGCCGGTTTCGAATCCTTCCTGTTAGTTTATCTAATTCTGCATAGTCCATTAACTTCATCCTCCATTCTTCAATCATCGGTAATTCTTCTTGCTTCCATTTTTGGGCCAGTAATATTCTTGCTGCTGTTATTGCATCTAAAGAGAGGTTACATTCCTTTCTATTTATATCACCCCCCACAATGCCCAGTAAAAATGCTTCTGGTTTCTTTATGAATGTATATTTCAACATTTTTTTCAACTCATTATATATCATCTCCCAGAAGCATTTCACCTTTTTACATTCCCACCACATGTGATAAAATGTTCCCTCTTTCTCTTTACAAACTCATGACAGTTTTTAATCCCATCTTCCTCCTCCCTGTTGAGGTCTACAAGGAGCAACACTGAGACCATGGAGGAGCAAGATTACAGGCGTGGCCTTTGAATGAGAACCTCCCCAGCTTATTATTTTCTTTTAATATTTTAAAATTGTCAACAGACTAGAGGGCCTTGGCAGAAAGGCAGTCTAGGAATGCATGCATGAATCAATCAATCAATCAATTGGTCAATCAATTACTCCACACTTCTTGAAATGGGCGCGCAAACGGAAACCCAGCTGAGAACCTTTGAACATCAGACACCTCCAAATTCGGCAGTGCCATTCTCCAATCAGAAATGTGTCTGCCAGCGGTAAAGTTGTGCATATTCTTCTGCAACTGACCTACCCTCATCCCGAAGTGTGATGTTAGGGGGAATTGTTTGCACACACAGAAAATGTCTAGATCAAGAGAAATGGACACCAGATGGAATTAAAAATGAAGAACTGAAGCGATGCAGTAATGAGGCCGAATTTCAGTGCAGAAAATTGAGGAACAGAAAGAAACTGCAAATGATTATGTTCACCAGTTCCTAGCAGTTGAGAATCTGCCCAATCCTCTTTTAAAGCCATCTAGGTTTGTGGCCATCACAGGGACGCGGGTGGCGCTGTGGGTTAAACCACAGAGCCTAGGACTTGCCGATCAGAAGGTCGGTGGTTCGAATCCCTGAGACGGGGTGAGCTCCCGTTGCTCGGTCCCTGCTCCTGCCCACCTAGCAGTTCGAAAGCACGTCAAAGTGCAAATAGATAATTAGGTACCGCTCTGGCGGGAAGGTAAACGGCGTTTCCGTGCGCTGCTCTGGTTCGCCAGAAGCGGCTTTGTCATGCTGGCCACATGACCCGGAAGCTGTACGCCGGCTCCCTCGGCCAGTAAAGCGAGATGAGCGCCACAACCCCAGAGTCGGCCACAACTGGACCTAATGGTCAGGGGTCCCTTTACCTTTACTAGGTTTGTGGCCATCACTGCCTCCTGTGGGAGAGAGTTCCACAGGCTAACACCGCGCTGGGTGAAAAAGGGCTTTTAAAAATCCTTCCTGAATCATCCAACATTCAGCTTCCACCAGTTTGCAGTGTTACAAGGCAGAAGAATTGTTCTCCACCCACTTTCTCCATGTCATGTGGAATTTTATAAAGGTCTACCATGCAGGCTCTCACTCGCCTTTCCTCTAAACTGAAAAGTCCCAAACACTGCAACTTTTTATAGAATCGTAGAATTGGAACGGACCCTGAGGATCATCTAGTCCAACCACCCCTGCAATGCCAGAATCTCAGCTAAAGCATCCACGACAGATGGCCAGCCAACCTCTACCTAAAAACCACCAAGGAAAGCGAGTCCACCACTTTCCGAGGGCGTGCGTTCCACTGTCTTCATAGGGGAGTCGCTTCACCCCCTGATCATTCTGCTTGCCCTTTACGTGACGCACAGTAATTCCTCCTAATATATTTATATAAGCAGATAGGAAACACAGGAAGTTGCTTTATTCTGAGTCAGGACACCTGGTCCACCTAGGTCAGCACTGCCTCCACTGACTGCCAGGATCTCTCCTGGGTTTCAGACAGGAGTCTGTTCAAGTCCTACCTGCAGATGCCAGGGATTCAACTTGGGATGCTCTGCAAGCGAATCGAGGAATGCACATTTCTGTTTTGTTTAATAATAATAATAATAATAATAATAATAATAATAATAATATATTTATATCCCACCCTCCCCAGCCGAAGCCGGGCTCAGGGCGGCTAACAACAATAAAATAATACAACATTCTAAAATCATTTCATTATAAAATTAATTCAAATCAAATTGATGGCAACCATTGGGCTAGAGTTCTGTGAAGATTGCCAAAGGAGGGAGTCAGGCTGTGCCCTGGCCAAAGGCTTTGTGGAACAGCTCTGTCTTTCAGGACCTGTGGAAAGATGTCAAGTCCCGCAGGGCCCTAGTCTCTTGTGATGGAGCGTTCCACCAGATTGGAGCCACAGCCAAAAAAGCCCTGGTTCTGGTTGAGGCCAACCTAACCTCTCTGTGGTCTGGGACCTCCAAGAGGTTTTAGTTTGAAGATCGTAAGTTCCTCTCTGGGACATACCAGGAGAGGCGGTCCCGTAGGTACGAGGGTCCTAGGCCGTATAGTGCTTTAAAGGTTAAAACCAGCACCTTAAACCTGATCCTGTACCCCACCGGGAGCCAGTGCAGCTGGTATAGCACAGGGTGAATGTGATCTCGCAGCGAGGACCCCGTAAAGAGTTTGGGGAGAGAAATCTCACCCTTTTCTCACGCTCTCTTTGTCTCTGACTCTTTTGTTCTCTCCTGAAGAAGATAGCTGAAGCCTCCGAAACGAAAACAGTGGAGGAGGAGGAAATCTGTCAGGCTCATTGTCGGAGAATATTGAGGAGCTGCTGCTCATCATGTAAAGTGGGGCGGGGAGCAGGGAGAAGCTACTCCGGTCCCCTCCGCAACCCGGTGCCATGTGTGAGTGGGCAGCAAGCAGCCGCTGCACAGGGAAGAAAGAGAGCAGGCAAGGGACATGGAGCAGTGACTCCAAAAGCTTGTTTCCTACGCTCCAACTGTCCCTTTTTACCAAGGGCAACGGCTGCGCACAGCACGTGCCTTTTATAAAATGGAGATGACACAAAAGGAGGAGGCAGGAATGAAGCCCAAAGGTTACTAGTCCTCATGATTTCTGAACGGAACCTCCAGGGTCAGAGGCAGCCCACCTCTCTGGGGCTCATCATTGGGGCATATTGTTGGCCTCTGTGGGGACAGGGTGCTGGATTAGATGGGCTTTTGACATGATCCATTATTTTATTTTATTAGAAAAAATATTTTTAAGTAATAATTGCTGTCCTTCTGCCAGCAGATGAAGATGGTTTTATTCCAAAAGGACTTTTAATAATGCTGTTCTGTCTTTATCACCTGTATTTTAAAATTCGCTTTTTACGTTGTTTTAGTTCGATTAGAATTCAATTACCGTATTTTTTGCCCCATAAGGCGCACCTAGGTTTTTTTTTGGGGGGGGGGTAAAGAAAAAAAAATTATTTCCCCCCCTGGCGCGGGGCTGGGGCGGGGGAAGCCCGAGCTTCCCCCGACCCCAGCTCCCAGAACAGGCTGCCATCCGCAAGCCTAGGGAGCCCGGCGGGAAGTCGCGCCGGTCTCCCAAGGATTGCGGAGAGCTGCCCGAAGCCTGGAGAGCGAGAGGGGTCGGTGCGCACCGACCCCTCTCGCTCTCCAAGCTTCAGCGAAAGCCTGCATCACCCCATAGGACGCACACACATTTCCCCTTCATTTTTGGAGGGGGAAAAGTGCGTCCTATAGGGCGAAAAATACGGTACTTTTTAACGATCGCTTTTTATTACGTTTCAGCTTTTTGCATTTTATTTGTGTCGGTTCGATTTGTGTGTAAGCTGCCTTCTGGGGGAAGAGGCGGAATATTAATATTAATATTAAGTATAGTTATGATACATTGCCTGCCTTTCATCTTAAGGTCCCAGGGTCAGTTGCGACAATTACAATCAAACAATTAAAATGCAACCTTAAAAAGATTTTAGAACAACTTTTCATTAGGGCGTACGATTGTCTGTCACGAGCGCAGGATGCTGGACTGATCCAACAGAACTCTGCTTTCGTTTATACTGCCCTTAAGTAGATTCAGCTGATGGGCAGGAAATAAATTCGAGGGACAACGAACAATGCAACATGCAGAGACACACCAAGCAATTCCAGACTTAATGGCTCACAGGTGAACATGGCAGCTGCTCCTATCAGAAAGCATCACATCTGCGGCGGAGTCTGAACCATTGAACGTGTTACTTATTTCTTTGTTGTATTTATACTTGCCCTTCCTCCCTAAGAAGCCCAGGCAGGCAGAATAAGATGCACAAACCAAAACATTTCAGAATAGATCAAAACCCTCTAAAAACCAACGATGGTTGAAAACATCCACAGGCAAGAGGTTGCCTCTTATGCTATGCTGAAAGAGACTTGGTGTTAGTTGGACAGCACTGAAGTGCACAGTCTGGTGATTTCTTTAACTGTGGCATGCTAAAGCTGCAATGGGACGCGGGTGGCGCTATGGGTTAAACCACAGAGCCTAGGACTTGCCGATCAGAAGGTCGGCGGTTCGAATCCCCGCGACGGGGTGAGCTCCCGTTGCTCGGTCCCTGCTCCTGCCCACCTAGCAGTTCGAGAGCACGTCAAAGTGCAAGTAGATAAATAGGTACCACTCTGGCGGGAAGGTAAACGGCGTTTCCGTGCACTGCTCTGGTTGGCCAGAAGCGGCTTAGTCATGCTGGCCACATGACCCAGAAGCCATACGCCGGCTCCCTCGGCCAATAAAGCGAGATGAGCGCCGCAACCCCAGAGTCGGCCACGACTGGACCTAATGGTCAGGGGTCCCTTTACCTTTACCTTTAAAGCTGCAATGCTCTGGTTGAAAAAAACCACAATGCCCATTTGGGAGGGAGCCCTGCATTTGAAAGGGGGCAGGGGAGAATGCCCAGATTAATCCGCACCTCTCTGGAAATTAATCTTCACAAGGATGTAAATAAGTAAAACTTGCTAGCCAGCTCAGCCCAGCCAGCTCCAGACCTCCAGTATCCTGCTCTGCTCATGCTTGCCATGTTGGGAAAATTTAATTAACCCCATTGCCAAGTTCAATAAGCACTCCAACTAGTGGGAAATCGGACATGTCAGCAGGGCATATTTTTTTTATGGGGAGGTGAAGATTGGCAAACCCTGCGATGAATAACATAATCTTTCTCCCGGCATTTGAGGAGGGTGGGGATCAGATGTATCAGTAAGATGAAAAGCAGCCTCCCAGGCGCCACACTTTTCTAATGCCACCCTCTGACAAATGACTAATGTTCTAGGCAAGCGAGATTTAATTTGCCAAGACCATTTAGTCACTAGCGTGCTTGTTAAGGGGAAATGGAGCTGTTCCCAGGGCTGTCTCTCTCTCTCTCACTCCCTCCTTCTCTGTGTGTGCTGCAGTTCAGCAGATGTGCAAGAGCCAGCTCTGGGAGCAAGGATCCAGCTTCCCAAGAATGCCGGCTTGAAATAATAAAACACATGTCAAGGTTCTGGTCCTTACAGGTGCAGAACCTAGCTTCTCAGCTTTCTTTTATCTTCCCCATTTTCCTTTAAGTTCCTTCTCCTCATAGCTTTCCTTCCCTCCCCTCAAAAATAAGAGGCAACAGGCTGCAGACAGCTTTCATTCTCCAGCAACCTCATCTATTGACCCCTTGTGCCCTACAGGAGAATGACAGGCCTAATTACCTTTAAATGTTTTGGAGGCGGAAACTTCAAAAACTCGCCATGTCAGGGCCAGACAGGTTCTCGGCTTAGAAATGCTTTTAAGAGAAAGAAGCAGGGGGATCTGGAATCTGGTGTTCCAATTTATCCATAGGGGATGAGGAGGGAACGACTTGAATTATTTCCCTTTTGGACAGTGGTCAATAATAGCCGGATACCTGCAGCTTTTACTGCATTGCCATAATTAGCGCAATTCCGCCCCCCTTCATTTAAGTAATTGACTCGGCACCTTTGGTAAACAACCTAATTGCTATGTTCCTCAATAAGTAGCTAATCTCAACTCCAACACCCCATAATTGCCCACCCCATTTATTGCAAACAAACACAAGCTAAAAGGGTCACAATGATGTTTTGCAACTTACAAAGCCGTCATCAAACTTACAAAGCCATCATCAACCCTTCCATTTGGAATAATTGAAAGAACCAGGAGAATTGTGCAGGAAAGGACAGCGAGTGTTGAAAACTACGATCGGAGTTGTTTTAATCCATCCTGTTAAATTGCCTCAATGCGACACTCTCTTGCTGGTGGTTAGCTCAAAGGGTCCAAGTCAACCTAATGTTGGATTCCAGCTTCCATCAGCCCCAGCCAGGGATGACCAATGGCCAGGGATGATGAGGACCGAAAACCCACAACACCTGGAGGCTCACAGGTTGCCCACACCTACATGAAGTCGAAGGCAGGTGGAGGTAGGTGGGAGCAGCAAAAGCAAATGATGGTTTAGTTCACCAATGGGCGACCATTGCTCTTCCAGATACTGTTATCGACTCCAGTTCCCATCAGCCCCAGACACCATGGGCAACAGTCATGGATGATGAGAACTGTAGTTCAGCAACATCTGGAGGAGCACCAATAGAGGAAGACAGCCCTAGTGCTGGAATGTGGACAGAAGAGAGTGACCAAGATGATCAAGAGCCTGGAAATAAGCCTGATGAGGAACAGTTGAGGGAGCTGAGTATGTTTGCCTGGAAAAGAGAAGACTGAGAGGTGATTGGAGGGTTGTCATGTGGAGGATGGAGCAATCTTGTTTCCCCTTGCTCTGGAGGGTAGGACCTGAACCAATGGATTCAAGTTACAAGTAAGGAGATTCTGACTAAACATCATGAAGATCTTTCTGAGGGTTGAAGCTGTACGAACGTGGAACAGACTCCCACAAGAGCTTTTTCCTTGGAGGTTTTTAAGCAGAGGTTGGATGACTATCTGTCATGGATGCTTTAGTTGATATCCCTGCACTGCAGCAGATTGGACTAGAAGACCTAACTCTACAATTCTACGATTCTCTGTTTGCGAATGCTGTTATAGGTCACTGGCAGCAATAGACAACATCTTTGCTGCAGGGATAAAAGAGGGACTTCACTTCCCCTCTGCTTCCCAGGACAGGGAAAGAGAAAAGGGAGATGGGTCCTTCACCTCTGCCTGCCATCATTCACTAGTCTAGTCCTCAAGACCACGAGGAAACTCTTGGTTGGTCTCTTCTTGATAGCAATGGAGGCATTTCAGCACCACGGACAGTGGCCACTGCACCATCAACAGGTTGACTGGCAAATCCTTTTAGCCTCAGCCTGTTACAGGGTTTTGAGATGGTTAATGATCTCCCTTTAACAAAGCTTTTAAAATACCCTGCATCTTACTCAAACCTCTAAGAGTCTAGTTCAGATGGTGAAGTCAGAGATCCCTATAATTTAAGCCACTGGAAGGCTACCACCCCATGGTGGAAGGAAACGATACCTTTAAGGTGACAGCAGCAAAAAAATAAACCCCCAACAGTTATAATCCTAAATGGTGCTGCTGCCCTTAGTTCTCAGTTTATAAACATGCTCTCACAGAGGAAAACTGAATGCCCACTAATCAAGCTTTCGTTGGTTTGTTTAGCAACTAAAGCTCATGCCTCTTCATAAGTAAACCTCTTCCCATATGCAGATTCTGCCCTGGGAAAATCGGAACCCAGCTCTTGGATCTCCTTCCAGAAATGAAAAAAAACCTTTGCACATCATTTGCAACACCCACCTAGTGTATGACTGGCTGCTTTGCGCCAGGCAGTGAATCACAATGCAGGTTTGAGATTCCTGGCCTGCCTTGTGATGTGGACTCAAGCTCAGAGCAGGAGACACTAAGGAACGTACATAACAGGACCATTATGCTATGTTCTAGAGCTAAGTCCACAGGAAATGCCAACATTCACTTACTGCCAGGAGTTTTCCAGATGCCATAGTCTATACTGACTAAGCAAGGGTCACTACAGCAAACCCCTGCAAGCCTCTACACACTGAGGATGGCAGAATCTCCGTTCAAACGGCCACACACTTTGTTGCTGGGCAACAGCTCTTGGTGACATGGAATGGACGGCCACCGTGCCAAGATTCTAGGAGAGACAGTGTGTCATAGTAGACTTGGACCTGGGAAAGCAGGGTTAAAAGCCCCACTCAGCCAGGAGACTCCCTGGATGACCTTGGGCTAGTCACTCACTTTCAGCCTAACTGGCCTCACCAGATTCTTGTGAGGAGAAGACAGGGAGGAGAAATATGGACCTTACCTTGAGAGAAAGACAGGATATACATGCCATAAACAGATCCATAAACCACCAGTTGTGAAAAGCTGACCCATACCAGCTGCACAGTATTTCTTCCACAGGATTTTGCACTTGATAGTCCCCTATGCTAGACTGAGAATATCTCTTCCAACTTGCCTGCATTTAGACACAGCCACAAGATTGAGAGTGAAGTCAATTTGGGTTCAAGCACGACCCGAGGCTTAATGGCTTTACTGAGGCCTCGGGAACAGACTGGGGAAACAGGGAAATGGTCTGATTTGTATAAACCTCAACCAGCCCCTGGCAACACCCACCTAGTGCAAGACTGGCTGCATTGTGATGTGGACTGAAGCTCAGAGGAGACACTAAGGAACAAGCAAGACCCAAGGCTTAATGGCTTTACTGAGGCCTCAGGAACAGACTGGGGAAACAGGGGAAAGGGTCTCCTCTGCAACAAATAATTTCGATTTCCTCTTACAAGCAGACTGCCAGAGTGCAATAGCAACAAGATAAAAGAAAGTACTTCTCCACACAAGCATGTAGTTAAGCTATGGAACTCACACCTGCAGGAGGCAGCGACGACCACTAACTTGGTTGCATTGAAAAGGGGAGTGAACAACTTCTTGGACTCTTGTCAATGACAGAGGGTGTGTGTGTGTGTGTTTTTTCATTACATTCTGTATTCACGAAGTAAAGTATGATTGTTCTGGACCATGGAGATGAAGAAACACATCCCTAAATTGTGCCTCTAGGCACACTAAAATAAAAACGTTAATTTGCAAAACAAAATAATATGGAGGAAACAAGTCCTTGGGGTGTTTTTGCATGCTGGATCTCTCCCCCCCCCCCAAATCAGGGTTTATTTAATTTAGAGATGATGCAGTGACAACAATTGACTGCTGGGAGAAAGAGAGAGCCTATGATTTGCCAACTGAAATATTCAAGGCTTGGAAAAAGAGAAAGAAATCTAATTAAGAAGCCTCTGTAATCAATAGCAAAAATCTTGTACCGTATGGCTGAGCTGAAAGGTATGATGGATTAATTAGATTTCATGAGCCTGGATTCCTTTCTATTGAGGGTAGAGGGAACAATGGAATTGTACAGTAGGAAGGGACCCAAAGAGTCATCTACTAGTCTATACCCCAACAATGCAGGAATCACTGCTCAAGAATCCTTGACAGATGACTATCAAATAGCACTGCTTAGTGGGAAGAGACTCCAATGAAAATCCTCGTTCTTACATATTTTTACATGACTGTTTATCTGTATATATTTTAAAATTTTATATATGGATGTTTTATGATGGCCTATATCTGTATTCATATATATGGATGTTTTATGATGGCCTATATCTGTAATAAGGGACACGGGTGGTGCTGTGGGTTAAACCACAGAGCCTAGTACTTGCCCATCAGAAGGTTGGTGGTTCGAATCCCCACGACGGAGTGAGCTCCCGTTGCTCGCTCCCCGCTCCTGCCAACCTAGCAGTTCGAAAGCACGTCAAAGTGCAAGTAGATAAATAGGTACCGCTCCGGCGGGAAGGTAAACGGCGTTTCCGTGCGCTGCTCTGGTTCGCTAGAAGCGGCTTAGTCAGGCTGGCCACATGACCCGGAAGCTGTATGCCGGCTCCCTCAGCCAATAATGCGAGATGAGTGCTGCAACCCCAGAGTCGTCCGCGACTGGACCTAATGGTCAGGGGTCCCTTTACTTTTATATCTGTAATGCCCGATAAAGGTTTGGCAAAGTAAGACCATCAAATCACCTCTCAGTCTCCTCTTCTCTTGACTAAACATACCCACTTCCCTCAACCATTCCTCACAAGGCATGGTTTCCAGACCCTTTATCATCTTGGCCACCCTCCTCGACACACATTCCAGCTTGTCAATACTGTATCCTTCTTAAATTGTGGTACAGTCAAACCTCGGTTGTTGAACATAATCCGTTCCGTTCAGCTGCTGAAACATTCGACAACCGAGGCGCGGCTTCCGATTGGTTACAGGAGCTTCCTGCACTCAAGCAGAAGCAGCGTCGGACGTTCGGCTTCCAAAAAACATTCGAAAACTGGAGCATTTACTTTCGGGTTTGGGGCATTCGGGAGCCGAAACGTTTCAAAACGGAGCCATTCGGGAACCAAGGTTTGACTGTACCCAGAACTGGTACCACTAGGCCAGTGTTTCCCAACCTTGGGCCTCCAGCTGTTTTTGGACTACAACTCCCATCATCCCTAGCTAGCAAGACCAGTGGTCAGGGATGATGGGAATTGTAGTTCAAAAACAGCTGGAGGTCCAAGGTTGGGAAACACTGCACTAGGCAACCAAGGATTGCATTAGCCTTTTTTGATGCTGCATCACACTGTCGACTCAAATATAGCTTTTGAGCAGTGGAGCCGTGCTTCTAATCTGATCAGGAACGAGGAGCACATTTGTGCATGTGTGCCTCTCTCTCCCTCATGCGCCACCTTGCCTTTTCCCTTCATAGGTCCACAGAGTTCACAGCCAATCGGCTGCCATGAGCGACACCCGAAGATTCGCCAACAAGCACAGCAAGAGAGCCCTGAAGGCCAGCCTAACTTTGGGCGTCCTTTTGGGGATGTTTTTCGTGGCCTGGCTCCCCTTTTTCGTCTGTAACGTGGCCCAGGTAAGTCCTGGGGTCCAGGAAATCGGCTCAGCTCTATAGAACCATGTCTGGTGGTGGAATCGCTTTCCATGGGCTTGTATTCAGCTCTATGATTCAGTGTGGTGTAGTGATTAGTGTGTTGGGCTAGGACAATCTACAAAAAAAGAAGTGGGTTTGACTCAGTATGGTCTCGATTTTTATCGTTTCGTTAACAATAGTACAGTTATCTCCCTTCTGTCTCAGCCACAGTGACCACAATGGAGAAATTCCCTTAGCGCTTTAGATTGACGTACACCCCGTGGGTGGGAGATGTATGCGGAATGCAAAAGGTTATCCAAAAAGGCTGTTTCGATGCCTTGCAGATGACTGCATGCAAGACTTAACACCTGCAAGGGAATTTGCTCTTGGGAGACTGCACTTTATGCCTGGCGATGTTTTGCAGGAAAAGAAAAGGAAGTTCCTGTAACATTAACCCTGCGTGTTCTTCCTTCCCTCCAGGCAGTCTGCAAGTGCGTGTCGGAGGACTTCTTTGACACCCTAACCTGGCTGGGCTATTGCAACAGCACCATGAACCCAATCATCTACCCGCTCTTCATGCGGGACTTCAAGAGGGCCATGGCAAAGTACCTGCCCTGCTGCCGGGGGGCTTGGGACCGCCGCCCCAGCCCCATCTCGCTCTCCATGAGGAACTCAAACAGCGGCCCCCGGCCCGGCACGTCCCTCAAGAACGTTCTGGCGCTCCCGGGGGACACGGACTCGGCCGACTCCGTCACCCAAGTCCATGACGACTGCGGTCAGCGTCTGGGGTCCCTCCCAGCCACAGGGGCCGATTCGGTGACGCTTTTCAACCTGGAGCAAGCCACGGAGCAGGAGCTCCGTATCCAGCATCTGAACACCCCCATGGACTGAGACGGCCTGTCCCAGCTGCCCTAGACATTCACAAAGGACCTTGTGTGGTTCAACTATGGAACTTGCTCCATAGGAGGGAGGTGTGGCCAATGACTTGGCTGGCTTTAAAAGAGGATTGAACCAATTTGTGAAGGAGGGTAAGGCAGCCGATGGCTATGAGCCACAGTGGCTGTTTTCCGCCTCCATGGTTGGAGGCAATGATGGTTCTGAAAAGCAGTTGCTGGAAGCCACCGGAGGGGAGAGTGTGCTCTTGTGCTCAGATCCAACTTGCTGGTTTCTCATGGCGGTTGGCTGCCATGAGAAGAGGAAGCTGGACTAGATGGTCCTCTGGCTTGATCCAGGAGGCTGTTGTTCTTCAGAGCTCTAGGAAGAAGAATCTGCTGCAGGCAGCCATGGTGTTGAGCCACAGTGGCAAACGGTCTGATGCTCTCGACTCTGTGTGAGGCACAACAGCTAAGCAGAAGCATGGCAGAATAATGAGGGAACCGTCGAGAGATGGAGCTTTTTCAGGGAGGAGGATATAAAGGCGGCAGGAACAGGAGATGCTTCTTTTTCAGCCGTATTTTCATGCAGACCTACCAGAGATGGGCTTCTCAAACAAACATGCAAACTGAAATGCAGTGCTCTTTCCAAACTTGCGTCTCTCCGGATTTTTGAAGCGTAGTTTCTCTCCAACCAAAGATCGGGCGCACGAGTGTGCAGGCATTAGCGTGAAGCGCATGCAAAAAACCGTGTATGTTTAGCTAAAGCATACAGGAATGGCATTCCGTTAGGGGAGGCTGCTTGCAAGGAAGCATCCATTAGGAAAAAACTGCATTCAAAACCTTTTCTATAGGTGACATGCAATTTTTATAGGAAAAATATGTACTAATCTTCATGCAGACTTAAAAAAAAACCCACCAACATATGCAGAAATGGAGCAAATCAAACGTCAGATTCGGAAACTGAGACAAAATGAAATTGACAATCCCTGTTCAAGGATTTATATCGTTGTGTATGTGAACTGGAAATCTTTCTTGGCAGAACAACATATATGCTCCTCTTTTGACACATAAGTTGATCCCAGGGTTCTTTATTCTTGATTTGAAAAATAACTAGACTTTATTATTTATTTATTTATTTATTTATTTATTTTTTAAAGCCAGGTGTGAGGGAGGCCAGTCTATGTCTGCACCCTCTTAAGAAACCAGTGTCAGTTCTTGTATAGGTGATATAGCTTGGGAGTTCCTTGCAGGGAATCTGAAATTGCTTGCTTGCTTGCTTCTCTCTCTCTCTCTCTCTCTCTCTCTCTCTCTCTCCTCCCTGCTTCCCCATGATGTGGTTTTGCTAACCTTATCTCCTTCAGTTTGCATATCTCTATCAATTTTCAGAAACAGCAGAGTGAGAGGTGTGTGTTCTGTGTTTTAAAAGAAGGAACGCCTAGATCCTGCTAAGAAAAGACCGCCTTAATTTCTATAAAAGGGCCTCCAAGGAGCTCTGTTTCTCCCCAAATTGATTTGCTTGGTCTTACTTGTCTTCTGGCACTTTCTATCGATTTGAGGAGTATGCTGTATAAAGGTTTAAGCCGTCTTTGTATGGAGCCACACAGATTCACCTACAGTTTGTGTATGTGGCAAATCTGGCTGCAGCGTGGAAAGACTCGAGAGATTGCTTCTGGCTGCACCGGTGAGTCTGATTTTACCTCCTCCTGCTCCCCAGGAGAGACTGCATCCCGATTTAGATTGCACCTGTGTACAAATTCTCGCCTTCTGCACATGTGAAACTGGCCATATAACCTGGGGGTCCGGTCCACTTAAGAATGCAGGAAGCAGATGCAGTCATTTTCTGTTGCCTGGTAGGCCACCTGTTTCTCGCGATTCACAAAGCAGAACAGGGACCATCCCTCCTTCTATCCTGGGCCGATGGGACCCAGAATCCCTTTCAACAACACCCAGTAAAGAGGTTTTAAAAACAGCAAGAGGCCTGTTTGGATGACAGCTTTCTCGTGAAATGAAACAAGGCCTAATGGCCAGGCTGGATCTTTCATGTGCAGGGAGAACTGGCTTTTGATTGACACTCTAGCTAGGGTGTGAGACCCCGTGACGCATGGGGATATACCGTATTTTTCACTCTATAACACGCACCAGACCATAACACGCACATAGTTTTTAGAGGAGGAAAACAAGAAAAAAAAATTCTAAACGAAACAGTGGATGTATGATTTTTGTGGTTCATGCTGTGGCCACAGTCATGATATGTGATTTGACGGTGAGTTTGGGGTAGCTCAATGCAAAAATCCTGAGAATCCATGTGGATCCATGCTTTGTAACCACGTTTTTGCACCACTGCGGCCCCAGGCAACAGTGGGTGCGTGATTTTTTTGGTGCAAGATGTAGCCATGGACGTGCTATGTGATCTGATGGTGAATTTGGGGTGACCCAGTGCAAAAATCCTGAGGATCCATGTGGATCCGTGCTTTGTAACCACATTTTAAGTGGGGAGGGAAGGAACAGCACTCAAGGGACAAGAAGCACGGGTGGGGTGTGTGGAGAAGGATGCTGCTAATAATGAAGAAGAGGGGTATAAGGGGAGAAGGCTCCTCTCCTCTCCCACTTTGCTCCTTTAAAGCAAGCAGGCTCTGCTTTTCTCCCTCCTCCCCGCTCATCCCCGGCTTAGCGAGCTGAAAAACTTTGCTGCTATTTAGCGAGCTGAGTGGGGAGGAGAGAGGGACAGAGAGCCTGCTTGCTTTAAAGGAGCCAACCGGACAGGAGCCACTTACACTCGTGTAAGCGGCTCCTCTCCTCTCCCGCTTTGCTCCTTTAAAGCAAGCAGGCTCTCTGTCCCTCTCTCCTCCCCACTCAGTGGCTCTTCTCCCGCTTTGCTGTTTCAAAGCGAGCCACGGAGGAGGGAAGGAAGGGGAACCATGGATCCTCTGCTCACCACTGCAGCAGATCCCCCCCGCCATCCGTATGCATTCGCTCCATAACACGCACAGACATTTCCCCTTACTTTCTAGGAGGAAAAAAGTGAGTGTTATGGTGCAAAAAATACGGTATTCTCAGGTTCATTCCACTGCAGCCTTTTCTTCCAAGAGTGTAAAATGATTCAAGATGTTAATTCGTCTAACTCAGAGCCACTGTTTAAAATTGTTATTTATTATACTGACACCTTCACCTTTCTTACATGCGGTGGCGGGGGAGCATTTCCCAGTAACATAATGCCACCCCTGTATCTCTCCGACCCCCAACCCGACCGAGACCTGCTTAGCTTCCTCTGCAAGCTGGCTAAATTCTGTGCCTTCAAACCGTGCCCCTCGGTGGGGGGGGGGGGGGTGTTGCTCATTCTTCCTGAGCAAGGATACCCACAGCTTGAAGGGTCGTGTGAAGCCTGACGGGATACGCAGGGCCAGCCCCTGCAAAAGGCCGGGTGAAGCAGCTGCCCTGGGCAGTGGAAGCCCCAAGGCAACACCTTGAAATGGCAGAGAAATGGTGCCAATTTCCAGCAAGATGACACGATCTCACTGGAACCCGCCATCGCCGCCTCTGCTGCTTCGTGCCGCCACCACGCAACCTAGGTAAGGGATGTTTCGGTGGCGGTGGCAAGGCGACACTTTCCATTTCGCCTCAAGCAGGGAAACGGGGCACATCACATCAGGAGTTTCCTTAGAGGACTTGCACAGAACTTACCGTATTTTTCGCTCTATAAGACGCACCAGACCATAAGATGCACCTAGTTTTTGGAGGAGGAAAACAAGAAAAAAAATATTCTGAATCTCAGAAGCCAGAACAGCAAGAGGGATTGCTGTGCAGCGAAAGCAACAATCCCTCTTGCTGTTCTGGCTTCTGGAATAGCTGCACAGCCTGCATTCGCTCCATAAGATGCACACACATTTCCCCTTACTTTTTAGGAGGGAAAAAGTGAGTCTTATAGAGCAAATAATACGGTACTTACGGGGAAAAAATGGATGTGGTTTGTGCGAGCGGATGTCCGGGGTGGGTTGGGGTGAAGAAATCACAACTTTTGTCCCTCTCCCCATCCAACCCCCTGTCCTTTCAACCTGTGCAGTTATAAATAAAAGAGGTATATTTATTTTCTTCTTTCCTATGAAGCTTGCTACGTCTCCAGTGTCCTAGATTGAACCTGGGACTTTCTTCAGGCACTTTGCCACTGAGCTACGGCTCTTTCTCTAAAAACAGTGCAAGGTTGTGAATAAAGGGGATGGTCTATGAACCTAGGGAGCTGCCTTATATCACTGCGTCCATCTAGTTCAGTATTATCAACACTGACCAGCAGTGGCTCTCCAGGGTTTTAGGCAGGGGACATTCCCACCACTAACCTGGAGATGTCATGGAATAGAGTTGGAAGGGACCCTAACTTCCTGCAATGCAGGAATCTCAACTGAAGCATCCATGAGACATGGTCGACCAAACTCTTGCTTTAAAATCTCCAATGAAGGAGAGTCCACAACCTCCGAAGGGAGTCGGTTCCACTGCCAAGCAGCTCTTAATGTCAGGCTCCTCAGTCACTGTGCAACGGCCCATCCCCTCAGGAGAGTTCTGGATTGGCAAAAGGGACAAGCTTCCTCATACAAATGCGGTTATGGAATGTGAGTTACTGTAAGGCACGGCGATGGGCACTGGAAGGATGAGCAGAAATTGAGAACTGTTTGCCATTGTCAAGTAAAGGTGGAAAGCTTCCATCCTCAGGGGGCAGGACAGCTCCTCACCCACCCATCCCAGTTACCAAACACCATGGAAAACAACAACCGTGGACGGATTACTTCCATCACGCTCTGCGGCTGGTGTTCTCAGGGCCGGACGACTGCTGCGGAACAGAGAATCCTAGCAGACTGATCTTTGGTCTGCTCCTGCAAAGGCAAGTCTTTAGTGTTCTTTGGAAACTTCAGCAAAGGGCTGATGGGAAGACTCAGTGCAAACACTACAATAACCAGCATGCTGCGGCGCCTCATATGTTATCTGAAAGTCAGAGGGGCGCTTGCGGAGCTGGAAAGTTCTTGGGAATGTGATGAGCTGGTGGGAAAAGGCTCTTCTAGCCCAGCTGCATCCTGGTCCCTTGCGGCACTAGAGATTTCACCCTGTCCAGAAACCGCCTCTGCTGGCGGCGGGAGGTCATTTGGGCCCGAACTGTGGCTGGAAACCGGCTCCCACACCCAGTGGTCATCACCGTTGACGTCGCCTTCATTGGTACCGCCGGGCCCTTCCTCTCCCACGATGCATTGCTCTTCCTGAGTGTCACATGGTACCGGCCCCGGGTCCTCCTGAAGCTCAGTGGAGAGAGTGGCGAGGCTACCCTCCTCTTCCAGGCGGCACTGCTTCGTTTTGACACCCACGGCTTTCAGGATCGTGTCCATCTGCTTCATGTAGTCCAGATGGCCGCTCACCTGGAAAGAAACGCAGAGTTTAGGGACACGGGAAGACGCCCAGGACTGAGTCTGACCTATTGGTTCCTCTAGCTGAGTGTAGTCCACAATGACCAGCAGAAAGGGCTCTCTGGGGTTTGAGGCAGATAACTCTTCCAGCTCTACCTAGACATGCCAGGGGGATTCAGAGAAACCTAGATCTGGAAGGGTCCCTCAAGGGTCATCTAGCCCAACCCCCTGCAATAATAATAATAATAATAATAATAATAATAATAATAAAATTTATTTATATCCTGCCCTCCCCAGCTGAAGCCGGGCTCAGAGCGGCTAACAACAGTAAAATGATAAAACATTCTAAAATCATTTCATTATAAAATTATTTCAAATCAAATTAATGGCAACCATTGGGCTAGAGTTCTATTACAGAAGGAGGGGGTCAGACTGTGCCTTGGCCAAAGGCCTGGTGGAACAGCTCTGTCCTGCAGGCCCTGCGGAAAGATGTCAAGTACCGCAGGGCCCTAGTGTCTTATGACAGAGCATTCCACCAGATCGGAGCCACAGCCGAAAAAGCCCTGGCTCTGGTTGAGGCCAGCCTAACCTCTCTGTGGCCTGGGACCTTCAGGATGTTTTTATTTGCAGACCGTAAGTTCCTCCGTGGGACATAGCAGGAGAGGCGGTCCCGTAGGTATGAGGGTCCTAGGCCGTATAGGGCTTTGAAGGTTAAAACCAGCTCCTTAAACCTGATCCTGTACTCCACCGGGAGCCAGTGCAGCTGGTATAGCACCAGGTGAATGTGATCTCGCAGCAAGGACCCCGTAAGGAATCTCGCCGCGGCATTCTGCACCCGCTAGAGTTTCTGGGTCAGTCTCAAGGGCAGCCCTATGTAGAGCGAGTTACAATAATCCAGCCTGGAGTTGACCGTTGCGTGGATCACGGTGGCTAGGTCAGGGCGAGAGAGGTAAGGTACCTTCTGCGTACCAAGCAGGTGCTGCGTCACTGAGCTACGGCCCTTTTCTTAAAAATGAAGCAAGGTCTCTAGTTCCCATGAGGTTGGCTTAAACACATGGAACTGCTTTATCCTGAGTCAGATCTGTTCGTGATCTAGCTCAGTACTGCCGGCACTAACTGGCAGCAGCTCTCGGGGGTTTCAGGAAAGGAGTCTTTCCCCAGCCCTACCTGGAGATGCTGCCGGTGGAGATTTTGAACCTGGGACCTTCTGCTTGTGAAGTAGGTGCTCTGCCACCGAGCCACAACCCTTCCCCAAACAACGCCACCAGTTAGGAACAAAGCTTTAGTGCAGAGGATCAGGTGCACAGGAGTAGAAAGGATGGAGGAGACTCCCATTGTCTCCATTATCAGCCCTGCCTACTATTTGAAGGTCTACTGTTCATGGAAATGGAGGCTACAGTGTCTAATAGCCTCTGACAACGGACCTATCTGCCTACGCCGCTGAGGTTTTGTCAGGAACACTTTGACATTTGAAGCCACTTAGAACTTGGCACGAACAGCCCGCTGTCGTATTTTTAATCCACATTTTTTACGAGGCAATCTGCAGCCATATGGCTCAACCGGTCTTTTTCTCTTCCCGGTTTTGGAGAGGTTAGAACTTTTAATTAAAAGGGGCTGTTGAGGGCTTAATGGAAGGAGACTCCAGATGTTGGTGGGGATTTTGAGAAGTGGAAGGTAGGAAGGGCGGCCCTGTTCTCCTCTTTAACCCCGTTTGGTTGCTAAGGAGACAGAAATTAAAAATCAGGCAGAGGGATCAAAGAGGAGAAGAATCTAAGGGTGAGAGGAGGGCAGCATTACTCTTGTGGTACTGGGGTGGCGGCTGTAAGACCTCTCTTTCTGTCTTTCTGCATTATGTAGGCCTGGAAGGAGGCAGGCCCAGAACAGCTAATCATGCAGAGTCACGGCTGCATCTCTGCACGAGTAAGCGGTCCAAAATATTCAGTCGTGGGTCACATCTACACATCCACTGAAAGCACATCACTTTTCCCAAAAGAATCCTGGGTACCACAGTCCACCCTTCATGGTGCTACAATAATAATAATAATAATAATAATAATAATAATAATAATAATAATGTATTATTTATACCCCGCCCATCTGGCTGGGTCCCCCCAGCCACTCTGGGCGGCTTCCAACAAAACACTAAAATACAACAACCTATAAAACATTAAAAGCTTCCCTAAACAGGGCTGCCTTCAGATGTCTTCTAAAAGTCTGGTAGTTGTTCTTTTCTCTGACATCTGGTGGGAGGGCGTCCCACAGGGCGGTGCCACTACCGAGAAGGCCCTCTTCCTAGTCCCCTGTAGCTTTGCTTCTCGCAGGGAGGGAACCGCCAGAAGGTCCTTGGCGCTGGACCTCAGTGTCCGGGCTGGACGATGGGGGTGGAGACGCTCCTTCAGGTATACTGGACCGAGGCTGTTTAGGGCTTTCAAGGTCAACACCACCACTTTGAATTGTGCTTGGAAACGTACTGGGAGCCAGTGTAGGTCTTTCAAGACCGGTGTTATATGGTCTTGGTGGCCGCTCCCAGTCACCAGCACTTTGAATCGTGCTCGGAAACATACTGGGAGCCAATGCAGATCTCTCAGGACTGGTGTTATGTGGTCCCGGCAGCCACTCCCAGTTACCAGTCTAGCTGCCGCATTCTGGATTAGTTGTAGTTTCCGAGTCACCTTCAAAGGTAGCCCCACATAGAGCGCATTGCAGTAGTCCAAGCGAGAGATAACTAGAGCATGCACCACTCTGGCGAGACAGTCCATGGGCAGGTAGGGTCTCAGCCTGCTTACCAGATGGAGCTGATAAAACGGCTGCCCTGGACACAGAATTGACCTGCACCTCCATGGAGAATTGTGAGTCCAAAATGACTCCCAGGCTGCGCACCTGGTGCTTCAGGGGCACAGTTACCCCATTCAGGACCAGGGAATCCCCCACACCCGCCCACCCCCTGTCCCCCAAAAACAGTACTTCTGTCTTGTCAGGATTCAATCTCAATCTGTTAGCTGCCATCCATCCTCCCAGCACCTTGAACAGAGTACGGTTCCTAGGATTCTTGGGGATGGGGGAGGGAAGCCATGTGATTTAAATGTGCTCGAAATGTATGGAGGGGCATAAAGCATCGCTACGTTTCAATCTGCAGATCGTTTCCGGAGGCGTGGATGAAGCAGGCTTGCCAAATCAATTTTCTCCCTTGCTCATACCCAGCTAGTAAGAGTCGCAACCCTCTCAAACACTGAGATTAGCAGAGAGGGGGGCCCCCAGCCCCTCTTGGCAGTTCCTCAGAACCTGGTAGCTGTGACGGCCCGGGAGAGAGCATTTTCTGTGGCAACCCCTGAGCTTATTATATTTTATTTGGAGCATCTGCGCCCAGCTCTTCGGCTCAGGTGGCTCCCAGTGTGGCTCATGTACAATCAGAAAGTGCAAGCCAGTAGGCTTACAAACTATAGGACACGACACAAAAGGAAAATGGGACAGGGAGGAGAAATCAAACAGGCCACCAACTCTTATTTGGTTGTTCTTCTAATGAGCAGCTGGCACAGTTCAGTGGGAGGTGATGCCTGTTGGGGGAGCCAGTCTGTCACAGCAGAGCTGATGCAGAGAGCCTTCTGCTTTCTGTCTTTCCCACGGAGCCAGTGGGACGGAACGGCTGCTCCCCAGTGACAGCTGAGGGAGAGGAGGGCTGAATCCCTGAGTCCGCAGAGATGCCTCTGGCAGCTTCACTATGCAGTTTTTGTCATATGCTCAAGATGCACCTCTTTATCCTGGCCTCTGACACAGAGGTATGTTTTCAGAACCCATCCTATTCTTGCAATTGTGTATTGTTTTGATCTGTTTTTAAAACTTGCATTTTAAATTGCTGGGACTCGCCCTGGGGTGCAGAGCAAGCGATCAAACAAAATATTGTTGCATACCACCCCAATCTCTGAGAGGTGCGAGATTCCAGCGGTTCCGACCACTTACTCAGGGTTCAGTTTCCTTTGGAATGAGGCACAGCGGAGACTGTTTAGGACACATGCTTTATTTACACATATACAGAACCTGAGCCTACAATGGAGGGGTTCGCAGCATTAACACCCCAAGAGGGCCTTGCTTCCCCCATAGTCGCAGCCGCAGATTCCAACAGAAATCAGGCATGGCTCTGTCTCCCAGCTGCCCAGCCTGCCAACTTCCAGCTTCAAGCTCACGCAACTCAACTCTCAACTTCTGGCCTTTGTCTTTCTATCTAGCGATGAGCTGAGGGAACACAGGGCTCCCATTTGCCATCAGGCACGGAGCCACTTCCTTTGTTACTTTACTGGCTAGTTCAGGAACTGAACCCTTGCTTATATTTTAACACTAGCTGGGTCCAGGAACCAGAAAGGTCTCAAAACACAGCCCTCTGGCTTGGGAGAATTCAGCAGCCGTCACTGACGTTTACTGCCTGCAGGTCTGGAAAGCGCTACTTACGATCGACGAGAGATCCACATTCACCATTCTCCTGTCGTCCAGGTTAACCGGCTGAAGTCCAGCGACGTTGAGTTGAACAGAGGATGTCCGGTAGACATATCTCAGCAGCCAGTCTCCCCTGGGAGGAGAAAAAGGAACCAATACTACTGAACAGCCATATCATTAAACCGACTGAAGCATATAACCGGGTGGGCCACCAAACCCAGGGATCGGGTTCCCATGACTCTCCAGGTACTGCAGCCCCATCATCCTGGAGCATTGCCCATGTTGGCTGGGGCTGATGGAAGTCCAGCTGCACCTAGAGCGCCACAGGTTCCCCATCCCTGAACTAGACCATCACTTGCCTTCACTGCCCCTTTGTTTAACCGTTTAGTCGTGTCCGACTCTTCGTGACCCCATGGACCAGAGCACGCCAGGCACTCCTGTCTTCCACTACCTCCCGCAGCTTGGTCAAACTCATGTTTGTAGCTTTGAGAACACTGTCCAACCATCCTGCCCTCTGTCATCCCCTTCTCCTTGTGCCCTCCATCTTTCCCAACATCAGGGTCTTTTCCAGGGAGTCTTCTCTTCTCATGAGGCGGCCAAAGTATTGGAGCCTCAGCTTCAGGATCTGTCCTTCCAGTGAGCGGCCCCTAGCTCCCGCCATCACAACTCTACCTTCTTTGAATGATGCTGGACCACAGCTCCCATCCCTCCTTGGCTGGCTGGACAGCTGAGAAAAGCCTTGCGGGCCAGCTCTGCAAGTGAAGGCAAGTGACGGTCTAATTCAGGGATGGGAAACCTGGGGAGCTGCAGATGTTGATGATTAACAACATCCATCTCTCCTTGGCCATTAGCCATGCCATCTGAATAGCTGATAGAAGCTTGGGTCCAGCAACAGCTAGAGGTTGCCAGGTATCACACCCCTGAACTAGACCGTCACTTGCCTTTACTGCCCCTAACTCCCACCATGACAACTCTGGCTTCAATTAATGCAGGGATGGCCCCTCTTCAGTGCCTAACTCTCCTTCCTTCCTTCACACACACAAACACACCTCGCCTCCCAGGAAGAATATCAAGGCAAAGACATCAGACCCAGCAATCTTTTTCAAGAGACCATCAAAACCACACACTAAATTTTCCAAATGCTTACAGAAAACTAGCCCGGCCACCCTATTTTTAGGGCCTACAGACCTGCAGTAGCCGTTGATGATCCTTCCCGAAACAACCTTGGCAATTTGCTTCCAGTATTTGGCTTCCCCTTCCACTGGTGCCCCTAGGAGGACCACGTCTTCGACGATGCCTCTGCAGTCTGAGAAGAGAGGGAGCCCACCCACCCCGAAAAGGATCAAGGATCAGTGAGACGGCCTTGGAGGACGATGCTCTAGAGCCGTGGCGGCGGCTTGGGAATGGCTGGTCGCCGCTTTCGAAATGCAGCTTGGGGAATCTGGCGCCACGAAACGCAACAGCGTGTGTTTACTCAGAAGAAAGCTGCACTTAATTCACAGGGACTCACTGCCACGTAACCATGCATAAGGATGCAGTCTCAAAGAGGGATCCAGATTCTATGCACGCCTAGTCTTATCCAGATTCTAGCAAGAGCCAGTGTGGCCTGTTGGTTAGAGTGTCGGACTAGGACCTGGGAGAGACCAGGGTTTGAATGCCCACTAGGCCGTGAAGCTCTCACTGGGTGATGTTAGGCCAGTCACGGCTTCCCATCTAACCTACCTTACAGGGTCATTTAAACCTTGTGGGGATTAAATGAGGAGGGGGAGAACCATGAGCACCAATTGGAGCTCCTTGGAGGAAGAGGGTGGGATATAAATGCAAGAAACGCACAAGCAAGATGGACACTGAAGGTTGTCTCCAATGAAGGGCACATTTACACCTTATATTTCAAGCTCTATTCTGCTGCTTTCAACAACCATGCCCAAAGATTCCTGGGAGCTATAGTTGGTTATGGGTGCTGGGAGTTGGTAGGAGACCGCCTCCCTTTACATTCCCATCCCAGAGCTACAGTTCCCAATGTTCCCTGGGAAGAGGGATGGACAGTTAGCCACTCTGGGAATTGTAGCTCTGGGAGGGGAATAAAGGTAAAGGGGCCCCTGACCATTAGGTCCAGTCGTGGCTGACTCTGGGGTTGCGGCGCTCATCTCGCTTTATTGACTGAGGGTGCCAGCGTACAGCTGTGGCCAGCATGACTAAGCCGCTTCTGGCGAACCAGAGCAGCGCACGGAAATGCCTTTTACCTTCCCGCCAGAGCGGTACCCATTTATCTACTTGCACTTTGACATGCTTTCAAACTGCTAGGTTGGCAGGAGCAGAGACTGAGCAACGGGAGCTCACCCCGTCGTGGGGATTTGAACCGCCGACCTTCTGATTGGCAAGTCCTAGGCTCTGTGGTTTAACCCACAGAGCCACCCGCATCCCTGGGAGGGGAATAGCAGTGCCCTAACAATTCTCAACAAATTACAGTTCCAGGCTAGGAACGTCCCCTACCTGAAACCCCAGGGAGCTGATGCTGCCAACCCGTGTTGACAATACTGAGCTGGACGGACCCATAGCCTGGCTTAATATAACACAGTTTCCTATGCTTCTATTTGAGGTTTGGCCTTCATTCAGAACCATGAGGACTAGATTCTTTTCCTCTCTTTTGAAGATAGACCTCAGCTCAGTGGGCAGAGCACCTGCTTTGAATGCAGGAGGCTCCAGGTTCAAATCCCTGGCATCTCCAGGTAGGGCTGGGAAAGATCCCCCTGCCTGAAACAAGGGAGAGCCGCTGCCAGTCAGTGCAGACAATACTGAGCTAGATAGGCCAAAGGCCTGATTCACCATCATCATCATCATCATCATCATCAACTTTATTGCACTAGCCAAAGGCCATGGCATCATTCACAACGGGAACAAAAAAAACAACAACAATAACCATAAAAACATCAGGCACCGCAGATACAATAAACCACGATCACATCTCCTAAAAATTATTTGTTGCATACGATATAATAGCAAGGGGTTCTCAGGTAGAAAGTGCTAGCTTAAATGTCCGAATCACCTTTGCAATTGACCGCTATTTTATCTAGTTCTTTTCTCCTGATCTTCTTAGCTGCCAACGCATATAGTGCTACTTTATAAGTTACAAAGTCATCACTATCACTCAGCAGCCATTTCACCCTTTCCACCCTGTTCGAGTGTGTTCCATTCGTGAGCAGGGGGTTTTATAAATCGGTCTCTTGGTTCTATATATAGCGGGCATTGCAATAAATAGTGGTACAATTCAGGATAAGGCAGCTTCTTACATTCCCAAGTGCGAGCGTCTGAGTGTCTCCTCGGGAGCAGGGGCCACTGAATTCAATGGGCTAAGCAACTTTAATTGTCTGTCCCTCCATGCATAGCAGGAGGTTGGACTAGATGACCGTTGGGGGCCCCCTTCCAACTCTACAATTCTATAATACATGCTTGTACCCAATGCTAGGCCTACTCAGAGGAGACCCATCAAAACCAATGGACATGACTAAGTTAGGTCCATTTCCTTCAATATGCTTACTCCCAGCAGGACTTACATAGATGGAACCTTTGAGATTTACTTATTTTTCCCCCAACACCCAGAGTACAACCAGTACTCAAGCAACGGGGAAGACAATTTTTTTTATATAAAAAAGATTGCAAATAAATATCAAAGCGGCTGCAGGCAGCTCTCAGGAGCAACTCAATTTACAATCTGTGTTCTGATTCTTGGATTTTTTCCTAGAAGGGTCTTTTTTTTTTTGTGGGAGGGTGGAAGGGGAGGGGGAGAGTAAAGAGGAAACAAAAAAGATAAGACACTTCCAATTTGTCATTCTGAATGATCCAATTTGGGGAGATTATGAGACTTATTCTAAGTGCACGCCAGAAGAAAAAGGAGTTGGCGGCAGCGGCGGGGGGGGAGCAATTTCTGCTGCCCAAAAGGAATTCATAACCCTGATTTGACTCATCTTAATTTGAACAGCAGCAGGGTTCTTTTGCAGAAGAAGTTCAGATGAGGGGAGGACGGATTCTGAGTGAGCATCATAGTCAGGTAATGTGATCATCGTTATTTGCAGCTTGGGGCTTCTGACCTTAAAACCACCCCCTGTTTAAGACTGGACAGTGGGTGGTAGTGGGGTTGGGGCTGGGGGGAGGAAAGCTCCAGGCTGAATGGGGTGCATTCTGCATGGAACTTCACCCACCCACCCACAACACACAGCCACTGCCTAGCACACTGAAGGAGCAACAGGAAATCAACAGTCGCCAGAGTTGCCTGGCAACATCCTCCTCCTCCCTCCTCCCCATCTCATCTTTCGGCCCCTGCACAGCCACCCAGTCTTAAGACTGCACGGTCGAAAAGAGCAGAAGGGAAAGAGGGCTGTGCACAGATGTGCCACTGGGCTAGACTACTGTGGCACAGTGCTTGTGGGGCTGCCTTTGGAGACGGCTTGGGAAAATCACAGCTAGCTCACAACCAGGGAACTCGTCACAGTGGTGCCTTGGCAAATGCACTGGTTCTTGGGTTTGCTGTTGGGCTGAATGCAATTGCTCTTTTTCCTTATTAAAGCTCTTGTGGTTTGGGTCTAGCCTGTCTGCACCCAAGGCTTTTTTAAGAACTTAAAAACGTAAGGAGAGCCTGTTGGATCACACTAAGTGCCCGTCCTGATCTTGCAGCGGCCGACAAGGTGCCCCAAAGGGACACCCGCAACAGGATCCGAGCACAAGAGCCCTCTCCCCTCCTGTGGCATTTGGAAGCAAAGCTGAAGGCCTTCTGGCGGTTCCCTCATTGCGAGAAGCAAAGCTACAGCGAACCAGGCCTTCTCGGTGCTGGCACCTGCCCTGTGGAACGCCCTCCCATCAGATGTCAAAGAGATAAACAAATACCTGACATTCAGAAGACATCTGAAGGCAGCCCTGTTCAGGGAAGTTTTTAATGTATGAAATTTTCGTGTATTTTTGGTCTTTGTTGGAAGCCGCCCAGAGTGGCTGGGGAAACCCAGCCAGATGGGCGGGGTATAAATAATAAATTATTATTATTATTATTATTATTATTATTATTATTATTATTATTACTATTATTACAAAGGCAGAGCAGAGTCATCATGGCTATTTGCCATCAATAGCCCTCTCTTCCATTAATTCATCCAATCCTTTTCTAAAGCCATCTATCTTGGTGGCCATCAATGAGTCCTTAGAGAATGTCCTTAAGAGGTGCTGAAAAGAGTGCAGTCAAGTCACCTTCCTGGTGCCAAGAGGCACAGAATCATAGAAGTGTAGAGTTGGGAGGGACCACCAAGGGCCATCTAGTCCAACCCCCTCCAAATGCAGGAATCTCAGCTAAAGCATCCAAGACAAATGGCCATCCAGCTTCTGCTTATAAACCTCCAAGGAAGGAGAGTCCACCACCTCTTGTGGGAGTCTGTTCCACTGTCAAAACAGCTCTTACTGTCAGAAAGTTCTTCCTGATGTTTAGTCAGAATTTCCTTTCTTGTGACTTGATGCCGACTTGGTTCCAGTCCTCCCCTCCAGAGCAAGAGAAAACAAGTTTGTTTCCTCTTCTAGGGAGTTCCAAAGTGAATGTGCTGCAAGGAGGGGAGAGAGCTCTTGTGCTCAGGCGCTGCTTGCAGATTTCCCCACTGGCATCTAGTCGGCCACTGTGAGAACAGGATGGACTAATGGGGACATTGGCCTGATCCTGATATGTCCTTGGGGCTGAGAGATGAGGCCGGGGGTGGCAGGAAGAAGCAAAGACAAGGAGCGGGCGTTGAGGGCTGTGTATTACCACGCAGCAATTTCAACGCAGCACCCGGGAATATGGGATAGGGTCCCTCCCTTTTCGGTGAGGATGCATCTCGTTATATTAATTGGTACAAATCGTCCAGCATAACCGTCTGTGGCAAGGAAGACGGGGAGGGGGGGGACACACACACGTCGGCGAGCGATCGTGACCATTCGATTCCTCATTGTCACCGAGCTATTAATACAGGAGGTCACGGCTCGTGTTAGCAGTTGGCAGATTGTCTTCCAAGTTAAATAGGAGAACTGTCGGGCGTGGGGGTGGGCAACGGCAGCCGAGAACGGCGACTTTTAAGGAAAAGGAGGAAGAAAACAGGATGGCGTGCGAGGATGTGGAGACGGCTCGGGCAGACTTTTAGTAACGGATGCTGTCGTGACGAAAGAGCCTCTGTGGGAGGCTTGGAGGCGATCCCAGGAATCCTGATGCCACGGCACTTCGAGGAGGACGGCGCTAGCTTTGTGTAAAACGTTGTCTGGTCTGTTATGTACCTGGCCAGTAAAGTGCACTGGGCAGGACAGGGCCTCCTGCAGATGCTTTCTTTATGATGTATAGGCCTTTAGGGACGCGGGTGGCACTGTGGGTTAAACCACAGAGCCTAGGACTTGCCGATCGGAAGGTCAGCGGTTCGAATCCCCGCGACGGGGTGAGCTCCCGTTGCTCGGTCCCTGCTCCTGGCCACCTAGCAGTTCAAAAGCACGTCAAAGTGCCAGTAGATAAATAGGTACCCCTCCGGTGGGAAGGTAAACGACTGGGAAGGCCAGTCATGCTGGCCACATGCTGGCCACAAGCTGTACGCCGGCTCCCTTGGCCAATAAAGCGAGATGAGCGCCACAACCCCAGAGTTGATCACGACTGGACCTAATGGTCAGGAGTCCCTTTACCTTTACCTAGGCCTTTAGGGTGTGGCCCCTGCCTTTTGCAACTCCCTCTCGTTGCATATCAGAACCAGAAGCTGCCTTATAATGAACCGTACTCTTGGGTTTGGATAGCTCAATACTGCCTGCACTGACTGGCAGCAATGCCGCATTCCTAGCCCAACAGGAGATGATGCTGGGATTGAGCCCAGGACTTTCTATATGCAAACAAGTGCCTTTTGTCTTTGACAGAGTTTGCCACCTGCCCAGGCCTGCAGCAAAACCAGGCTCTTTCAGGAGTGCATCTGTAACCTACATACACCTTTCGCCAGGTCCCTGAATTGACCCTGGCCAATTGAGATGTGCAGGGTCCCTTTATGGTAAGCCAGGCCCTCTTCTAAGATTATGTGATAATCTTATAATTAAAGGTAAGGGGACCCCTGACCATTAGGTCCAGTCGTGACAGACTCTGGGGTTGTGGCGCTCATCTCGCTTTATTGGCCGAGGGAGCCGGCGTACAGCTTCCGGGTCATGTGGCCAGCATGACTAAGCCACTTCTGGCGAACCAGAGCAACGCATGGAAATGCCGTTTACCTTCCCACTGGAGGGGTACCTATTTATCTACTTGCACTTTGACGTGCTTTCGAACTGCTAGGTTGGCAGGAGCAGGGACCGAGCAACAGGAGCTCACCCCGTAGCGGGGATTTGAACCTGCCGACCTTCTGATCGGCAAATTCCTAGGCTCTGTTTTACCCCACAGCACCACCAGCGTCTCATAATCTTATAATTACACAATAATAAAAATTAGGGTGCATTGCAACCCAAGATCTCCGCACGTCGCCTTTCACCTGGATCTATTTTCTACGCGTGTCAATTCCTTTGGAGTGAGCCAAGTTGTGTTTTCCCTGGAGGTCTCCTTGTACCTAGCAGAACTTGCGCCCCATTCTCTCGAAACAGAGTTGAAAGGGATCCCCCAAGGTCATCTGGCCCAACCCACTGCAATGCAGGAAGCTCCTTGTGCTTTCAGTGTGCCTAAGGTTCTGAAAATTATAATAATAATATAATAATTTATTATTTATACCCCGACCATCTGGCTGAGTTTCCCCAGCCACTCTGGGCGGCCCCCAATCGAGTGTTAAAAACAATACAGCATTAAATGTTAAAAATTTCCCTAAACGGGGCTGCCTTTAGATGTCTCTTAAAAATAGGATAGCTGCTTATTTCCTTGACATCTGATGGGAGGGCGTTCCACAGGGCGGGCGCCACTACCGAGAAGGCCCTCTGTCTGGCTCCCTGTAACCTCACTTCTCGCAATGAGGGAACCACCAGAAGGCCTTCGGTGCTAGATCTCAGTGTCCGGGCAGAACAATGGGGGTGGAGATGCTCCTTCAGGTATACAGGACTGAGGCCGTTTAGGGCTTTCAAGGTCAGCACCAACACTTTGAATTGTGCTCAGAAACGTACTGGGAGTCAATGCAGATCTCTCAGGACCGGTGTTATGTGGTCCCGGTGGCCACTCCCAGTCACCAGTCTAGCTGCCACATTCTGGATTAATTGCAGTTTCCGGGTCACCTTCAAAGGTAGCCCCACGTAGAGCGCATTGAAGTACAAGCGGCAGATAACGAGAGCATGCACCACACTGGTGAGACAGTCCACGGGCAGGTAGGGTCTCATCCTGTGTACCAGATGGAGCTGGTAGACAGCCGCCCTGGACACAGAATTAACCTGCGCCTCCATGGACAGCTGTGAGTCTAAAATGACTCCCAGGCTGCGCATCTGGTCCTTCAGGGGCACAAATTGGGTCTCTGGCTGTTGTTGGGGCTACAGCTCCCATCATCCCTAGCTAGCAGGACCAGTGGTCAAGGAAGATGGGAATTGTAGTGCAAAAACGGCTGGAGACCCAAGTTTGGCCTAAATGGCCGGTTTTGGAGCCGCCTCCTTCCATTCCGATTGGCCCCTGTTGGCACAAAGGGTGACTCAAAAGCTCCCCTTTCATGCTGATTGGTCGGCCCTGGGATGCTGGAAGTGGAGACCCTGCTACAAGGTGTCTTTGAGACACACACCCGCAACCACAGACCACTACACTGCTGATGAAGAACAAACACTGTCTCAGCTGTCTTACGGCCTGACTCCCCAACCCCCTCCAGCACGCACCTTCCTCCTTGGCCATTTCCTGGAGGCAGAAGTAGATGACCCTGGCGCCAAGACTGAAACCGATCAAGGTAACCGGCCGCTTGCCCTGGAAGGGGAAGGAACAGAATGACAGAACCCAAACAAGCTTAAAACCTCAAGCTCCCTGCCTCGAAAAAGCAGTAAAGATGATTACCACTTGACAGTGAAAAAGAAAGAAAGGTTTTGCCTAGCTGAATCATGTCCTAGAAATTTGGTGATGCTTGCCTACACGCAGGGGCCTTTGGCATGATCGACGCGACAGAGAGACTGTGTTTAAACTGTCTTTTTGTTTTAGTGATGTATTTGCCACCCTGAGCTCATCTGGGAAGAAATTCATTAGCAGCAACGATTTGCGGTGGGTTAGACCAGATGACTGTTGGGTGCCTTCCAACTTGACAATTCTACGATTCCGTAGTGGCTGAAATGTAGCCTACCATACAGATGTTAAGAGTCATAATTCCTCACTCAGCCATCACCTTAGGGTGGTCACTGCCCCTCTCAGAATAACCTACCTCACAAGGTTGTTGTGATGATTTATGGGTTGGTGGAGAACCGTGCATGCCGACTTGAGCTCGTTGGAGAGAAAAAAGGATGAGCTACAAATGCAGTAAATAAATTGAAATTGATGGGCCTAAGTTAGTCATGCCCATTAATTTCAGTGGGTCTATTCTGCGTAGGACTAACACTATCACCACGATAAATGTTTTCCCCATGATTCTTTCTACATGATCCTTTAAGTGGCGGATTGCTGTGGACTGGACCCGGGCCCTTATTTCTATTGTTGTTTTTTAGTCGTGTCCGACTCTTCGTGACCCCATGGACCAGAGCACACCAGGCACTCCTGTCTTCCACTGCCTCCCGCAGCTTGGTCAAACTCATGCTGGTAGCTTCGAGAACACTGTCCAACCATCTCGTCCTCTGTCGTCCCCTTCTCCTTGTGCCCTCCATCTTTCCCATCAGGGTCTTTTCCAGGGAGTCTTCTCTTCTCATGAGGTGGCTAAAGTATTAGAGCCTCAGCTCACGATCTGTCCTTTCAGTGAGCACTCAGGGCTGTTGTCCTTCAGAATGGATCGGTTTGATCTTCCTGCAGTCCATGGGACTCTCAAGAGTCTCCTCCAGCACCATAATTCAAAAGCATCAATTCTTCAGCGATGAGCCTTCTTTATGGTCCAGCTCTCACTTCCATACATCACTACTGGGAAAACCATAGCTTTAACTATACGGCCCTTTGTTGGCAAGGTGATCCTACGGATAAGCAAATTTACTTACAGTGGTACCTTGGGTTAAGAACTAAATTCATTCTGGAGGTCCGTTCTTAACCTGAAACTGTTCTTAACCTGAGGTACTACTTTAGCTAATGGGGCCTCCCGCTGCTGCCGTGCCGCCGCTGCACGATTTCTGTTCTCATCCTGAAGCAAAGTTCTTAACCCGAGGTACTAGTTCTGGGTTAGCGGAGTCTATAACCTGAAGAATCTGTAACCTGAAGTGTCTGTAACCCGAGGTACCACTGTATTTATTGTGTCCCTATTCCACCTCTCCTTCCAAGGAGCTCAAGGTGGCTTAAATGATTCTCTCCCCTTCTTCCATTCAGTCTCCACAACAACCCTGTGAGGTAGGTTAGGCTAGAAAAGTCACCCAGTGAGCTTCATGGGCGAGTGGGGATCTGAACCCTGGTCTCCCAGGTACTGGAAGTTCCAATGCTCTAACTGCTACACCTCACTGCTCTGCCAACTGAGCCAGGACCCCCTCTACTACAGAGATCCCACAAAGATTTTTCCCAGCTCAGACACACTTGCATGTGGGTTGTGACCGTCAAGCCACCTTCCTACCTGGTGCCGGCTGAGCAGGATTCGAGCCAGGTGTTTGCCGACCTCAGACGAGCGGTGCAGGCACACTCCCCAGGGGTTATCAATCACGCTGGCCACCGTGAGCAGGGAGGCGGGTAATGCGAGCGCCGTGACAATGCCTGGGGGGTGGGGCAGGGGAGAGGAAACAGGACAGCTGGAAATCAGAAAGCTACATACAAATCTAATAGGATTTTTGCCAGAGTCTGCTGTCCCTGGTGAGGGCAGCATCGGCACCGATTCTACTTCTAAACTGCATTGAGGTTTTATTACAACCAAGCGGCATATAAACCTTTTGAAAGGAAGAAAATAAAACAGATACAGTCCTGTGACTTTCTTCTTTTATATTTGTTGGGGATTATTGGGTTGTCTTTGTTTTTAATTTTATTACGTATTTTGTGGTGGGTTTTGATACTGTAATTTTATGTTGTGAACTGCCCTGAGATTAATAATTATAATAATAATAATAATAATAATAGTTTATTATTTATACCCCGCCCATCTGGCTGGGTTTCCCAGCCACTCTATACAGGTATGGGACAGTGTACAAATTTTAATAATAATAATAATAATAATGACTAGGAACTTGATTTCCTTTTTTAAAAAAAGAAACGTTAAGTATATCTGGCTAGCCAAGAGTCATGGGATAATCGAGCGAGAGGGCTTCAAACTGAAGTAACAGGCGGAAGGAGGAACATAGAATAGTCGTGGGAAAATAACCGCCCAGAGTGGATGACCACCAACCACTTGCCTGATAAGACAGTGAATTTCAACGCTTCCTGAGCCACGACGTTGACTAATCCATTCAGCAAAGTGTCAAGCGTGTTGCCCAGCTCCATCAGGTACTTGCTCTCCCAGGCTAAGCAATACTGTTCTTTGGACTGCAGCAGGCTGCTCCAGGGAGCCGTGAAACTCCCTAAAAGTAGGAAGAAAAAGTTGCAGACGCAAAGAATTAATAAGACACAGATGGGAAGGGGGAGGTGCAGAATCCATGCATAATATAAACTTCCTGAAGCAGTAAGCAGGTTGAAAAACGCCTTTCAAATGTCATGCTCTCCTGAATTTTGCAATGCAGCTCTTTAACAAATATTGTGTATACACAGAAAGAAGTGTTATTAGGGAAACATGCACACAGAAATAGGAATTGGGGGAGCATACATAATGCATTATATTATGGGGGGGGGACCGGCCTGCAAATATGAACATATTAGGCAGAAAGTGTGTCTTAAAGAAGACTGTTCCCCAAAATGTAGGCAGATTTTGGTGCTCTTTAATAAATGCAAACTGACACAGGAGTGGGATGTGCTGAAATCAAAGACCAGAAAGGTAAGAAACGGGGAGGAAGCAAAATTGGAAGATTCAGCCACCCTCCGATGCAAACAGGCTTTGCATTGTCATGGTCGTGGATAAAATTTTATCTATTTATTTATTTAGAGTTTCAGTGCCATGCTCTTCAGTCCCAAAAGCTCCCAGAGCAGCTTAGGTAAAGGTAAAGGTAAAGGGACCCCTGACCATTAGGTCCAGTCGTGGACGGCTCTGGGGTTGCGGCACTCTTCTTGCTTTATTGGCCGAGGGAGCCGGCGTACAGCTTCCGGGTCATGTGGCCAGCAGGACTAAGCCACTTCTGGTGAAACAGAGCAGCCAACGGAAACGCCGTTTACCTTCCCGCCGGAGTGGTACCTATTTATCTACTTGCACTTTGATGTGCTTTCAAACTGCTAGGTTGGCAGGAGCAGGGACCGAGCAACAGGAGCTCACCCCATTGCGGGGATTCGAACCGCTGACCTTCTGATCAGCAAGTCCTAGGCTCTGTGGTTCAACCCAGGGGTCCCTTTACCTTTACTGAACCAGGTCTTGAAAGATCATGCCTGCGCTGTGCATATTAGTGCTGGGAGCAGATTCCTTCAAGGCAAAGGGCTAGCAACACTGAGCTGTAAAGTGGTGCTGGGCTCCTCTGCTAAACTTCGAAACCTCTGCAAGAGCACGTTAACACCTTCACCCTTTCACCCAGCAGCTTCTCCCCAAGGCTCATGGGACGCCGCTTGTTATTCAGAAAATAAAGTGGTGTGAAAGGCAAATGGAAATAGACTGTAAAAAAAAAAAAAAGTCTTTGTTTTATAGAGCAAACAGGTTTAATGAGAACAGCGTCCTTGCGAGACTTAAATAGGAAAGATTCCACACAAGCAGCAGAGACAGGAACATTTGTTAAGACAAGAATCTACCCCAGGGGAGAGTGTGTAGGGATCAGAATGTAAGATTCGGGGGCCGCATGTGTTTCCAAATGAAAACAATCCCATCTGTGCACCCAGGAAAACTTAAAATCTGCCATTGCTACTGTGCCAATCTCACCCACAATTCTGCCCCCTGCCAGGCTTCTGCCCTGCTATTGGCCGTGCTGCTGTGATGCCATGGAATCTCCCCAAACGTTGCCGGTGGTGTTGGGGACACCCTCGATTTCTGAGATTCAGGCCGTTGCAGAATCTCCCAAGTGGTTGAGAGGGAGGCAGGCGCCAGAAGGTTTGGGTAGATCCCAGTGTTCACAAAAGTACAAATATTTTTAGGAGGGAAAAATGTGTATGTGTGGACCAGGGGGAGGCACCAAAGCAGCCTGACGGGGACTGAGCATGCTCAGTAAGCCGCAGAATGTTGATTTGTTACAGTGGTGGTGGTAACCAAGAAAGCCAATGGGGAAATGAATATGCTGAAAGAAGGCATGGCTGAATGCCAGGAATGCTGGACCAGGCGGCCCCACCGCATGCTGCAACCTTTTTGCTGCAGCGCTCCCCTTTTGCTTGCCTCTTCCTTACCGTATTTGCCAGTCGTGAGCCAGCCGGTGATAGCTATGGTGAGGTGGAGCTGCCTCCCTTCCGTTAAGGGCAGGAACTCAAACTCTTCTATGGCCCCCACGCGCTTTTTCATCTTGTAACCTGAACGGGGGGGGAAAACAAGAGCTCCCTTATAGCTTGCCCTTTGTCCGCAGGCCTCCAGGGCAGGTTACGTGACGGCCAAGTGGACATCAAATGGACATTGGGCTCAACCAATAAGATCCGTTGCCTGTCAAACCAACCGCTCCCATCTTTACATTGCTCAGCGAGCAATGATTTAAGAGGCTGAGCTGCGGGAATAGCCGAACACATCTGAAATAAATAACAGCGAGGAAAAACTTCATGGGGACCCAAAGACAGGGCTTGGGTCACAGATTCCGCGCTGCCTGTTCTATCTTTTATTTGCACAGCGACTGTGGACATAGGATTTCTCTATTGATTTTTAAGTGTGTAAGACAGGTAGTGCCCCTAGGGGTGGGGATCAGGGGCTGGCTTGACCTCCCCCCCCCCCTTTTTTTTTAAAGCAAGGAGCATGGCTTGCTAACTTCAATTTTGCATGACCTACTTCCTTTTTTAATGAGACACACAGGTTTTTATGTACTTTTCCTGTTTTTACATTGTAAACTGCCCTGTGGATCTCGGATGAAGGGCAGTATATTTTTTTTATTTTTATTGGCATGAGCTCAAATCTCCTAGGAACTTAGGAGTCTGGCTACTGGCCAAAGGGAGCTCACCCGCTCCAGCATCCTGTTTTCACAGTGGCCAACCTGGTAGACTGTCCCTGGGCATAGTCCAGCATTTTGTACTCACAGCAGCCAAACCAGATGCCCCAATGGGAAGCCCCGAATCAGGACTGGAGTGTAGCTAGCATTCAAAGGTCCCGCCCACTTTGCCCCCCCCCATTGCTCTGAAGATTGCCATGAAAGATTCCTTCACCCCTGGTTTACACTGCTTGGCAGCTGTACCAATATATGCTGGAAATGTAAAGAAAAAGAAGGTACCTTTTATCATATGTGGTGGAACTGCAATGTAGCTAAAAAAAATTCTGGGAAATGATATTTAATGAAATGAAAAAAATGTTTAAAATAACCTTTCTTTAAAGAAACCAGAAGCTTTTTTGTTAGGAATTATAGGTACTGAGATTCCAAAAGACCAGAGGAAACTATTTATGTATAATACAACGGCCGCTCGGATGCTGTTAGCCCAGAGATGGAACGAAGGGACAACCCCAACCAAAGAAGAATGGCAAATCAAGTTGATGGACTATGCCGAAATGGCAAAATTAACTGGGAAGCTCGGGAACCAAGAAGACAGAAATCTGGAAAAGAATGGTTAATGTTTCTCACATACAGTGGTGCCTCGCAAGACGAAATTAATCCGTTCCGCGAGTCTCTTCGTCTTGCGGTTTTTTCGTCTTGCGAAGCACGGCTATTAGCGGCTTAGCGGCTATTAGCGGCTTAGCGGCTATTAACGGCTTAGCGGCTTTAAGAAAAAGGAAACAAACTCGCAAGAACTCGCAAGACGTTTCGTCTTTTGAAGCAAGCCCATAGGGAAATTCGTCTTGCGGAATGACTCAAAAAACGGAAAACTCTTTCGTCTAGTGAGTTTTTCGTCTTGCGAGGCATTCGTCTTGCGGGGCACCACTGTATATACAAAATCATTGTAAACAGGTCAAAACATTAGCACGATTTTAAACACACTTGTAATGTAACAAAATGTAGATAACTTAGGAAGATGAAATGCTGTATTGTGTTGATATGCAGTTGAAAATAGAGTCAAAAGGACCAATGGAAGGAATGGGGGGAAGTCAGGAGATTCAGAGTAATCTTGATATGTGGAGTTTGTATGGTGTTTTGGATGTATGTTTATTTTCTTTTTTCTCTTTCCTTTCCTTATTTTTTAAAAATCAAATAAAAAGATTATAAAAATAAATAAATACACTGCTTGGCAGCAGCTCCCCAAAAATTCAGACAAGGTTCCCCCCAGCTCTGCCGGAGATTGAATCCGGCCCGTTCTGCATGCAACGCTCCCCACCTGAAATCCCGGAGAACTGCTGCCAGTCAGTGCAGACAACATTGAACCAGATAGTTGCAGTTTGCACAACCCACTAAGGGAGGTAATAGAATTCAATAAACAGTAACAGTCAATCAAATATTTGTTAAAAATCCAATTAAAACTTTTCAGTTTGATTATTCAAAATTGATCCAGTGACACCAGTTTTTGGAGCTCTGATAGTCATGGACACTCAATTGCCCCCTAGTGCCCCCTGCCAGATAATCCCACCACCCATACCCACTTTGGGAACCACTGGGTTAGGGTCCTAAGAGTACGTTTCCGAGCACAATTCAAAGTGTCGGTGCTGACCTTTAAAGTCCTAAACGGCCTCGGCCCAGTATACCTGAAGGAGCGTCTCCACCCCCATCGTCCAGCCCGGACACTGAGGTCCAGCACCAAGGACCTTCTGGCGGTTCCCTCCCTGCAAGAAGCAAAGCTACAGGGAACCAGGAAGAGGGCCTTCTCGGTAGTGGCACCCGCCCTGTGGGACGCCCTCCCACCAGATGTCAGAGAAAAGAACAACTACCAGACTTTTAGAAGACATTTGAAGGCAGCCCTGTTTAGGGAAGCTTTTAATGTTTAACAGACCATTATATTTTAATATTTTGTTGGAAGCTGCCCAGAGTGGCTGGGGAAACCCAACCCAGATGGGCGGGGTATAAATAATAAATAATAATAATAATAATAATTACTAAACAGATTGGACACACTGCCCCCTGCTTCCCCCTAGAGACCCAGCTGCACAGAAGAAGAAGAGTTTGTTTTGCACCCAAGGAGGTGGCTTACCTGTGAGTCCAGCTCCTGCAGCTCCAAAGAGCGACCCCATGACAGCCATCCCAGCCACCGAACCGAGGGCAGCGGCCCCAGCGCTGCCAATGATCGCCGTTGCTCCCGTTGCCACCAGGGGGGCAGCCAGGCCCCCTGTCAGACCTGAAAACAGAGGGATGCTGTTTCAACTCCTGGCAGAGGGTCGAGGGAAGGGAACCTCAGACCTGGGAGCAAAGTGCAGATCCCCAGGCTCGGTTGGCAGAGAGTGAGATTCTTTAGCCTCAGGGTCGAGGGTTTGAGCCCCACGTTGGGTAAAAGGGTCCTACACTGCAGGGGGGTTGGACCAGATGATCCTCCTGGTCCCTTCCAACTCCAAAATTTAGGATCCTATGATTCTCCGGCCCTTGGGAGTCTCTCATTCCCAGGCTGCACACCCTCTCTCCTAAACCTAAACCTAAGTCATTAATGCTGCAGACCAAAGCTCACAATTCGAAAAAAGAATTTCTACAAAACAAAAAGAAACTTTTGTCCAAACTTCTGTTATTAGACTGAGAAACAAAAGACAAACTTGTTAAAGCCTCAATGACACACTGGGCAACAGATATAGGACACAATATAGATTTTTAACCTCTGGGAAAACTCTGACTTGAAGTTTACAGCATGTTATTCTTTGAAGAAGAACCACTTGAAAATGATTTGCAGATGGTATTTAACTCCGAGTGGGCTTGCTAAGATGTATAAGACTGAATCAGATAAGTGCTGGAGATGCAAAGAGTTTGAGGGAACATTCTTCATATGTGGTGGACTTGTAAAAGGGGGAAAGAGTATTGGGAAATGATCCATAATTGAAAAAAGGTGTGATTTCATGTTGTAACCGCCCTGAAACCTGTGGGTATAGGCCAGGGCAATATACATATTTAATAAATAGTAACTCCATCGTAAAGGGACGTGGGTGGCACTGTGGGTTAAACCACAGAGCCTAGGACTCGCTGATCAGAAGGTCGGTGGTTTGAATCCCCGCGACGGGGTGAGCTCCCGTTGCTCAGTCTCTGCTCCTGCCAACCTAGCAGTTCGAAAGCACGTCAAAGTGCAAGTAGATAAATAGGTACCACTCCTGCAGGAAGGTAAACGGTGTTTCCGTGCTGCTCTGGTTCGCCAGAAGCGGCTTAGTCATGCTGGTCACATGACCCGGAAGCTGTACGCTGGCTCCCTCGGCCAATAAAGCGAGATGAGCGCCGCAACCCCAGAGTCGGCCACGACTGGACCTAATGGTCAGGGGTCCCTTTACCTTTACTAACTCCATCGTAACTCTGCCTTCTTTTAATGCAGGGACGGGGAACCTTTGGCCCAGGCATGCTGCTGAGCGATGGTTCCCATCATCCCTAACCATTAGCCATGCTGGCCAAAAGGGGACTGGTGGGAGCTGGAGTCCATCAATATCTGGAGGGCCACAGGTTAACTAGACTGGGTCTGGAGGAGCAAGTGGGTCACAAGAATTTAGAAGCCAGCTGCCCCTAGCTGGCACGGACAACAGATGGGGGCGCAGTGTCACTCACCTATTACTGTCCCCCCACCAACAGTCGCCAAGCCGATCAACAGGTACCTCTTCAACCTCCTGTTTTTCTCTTTCTTTTTCCGCGCAGCTGCTGCCGTCCTGGCAGTGGCAGAAGAGATGGGCGTGAGAGTCTCAACAGTACCTACACTTCGGAATTCCCTGCCTATTGCTATCAGGCAGGCCCCTTCATTGAACTCTTTTCGGCACCTTTACAAACTGGTTCCCACCTCCCTTCTTTTAAGAAAAGGGCTTTCATAGTGCTGCGCTGCTTTTGCCCTCTGTATTTTAACACACTTGGTTTGGTTATTTTAAATTGCTTCAATTCTATTAGAACTGGATTGCTTTTTAACTATTATCTATTATGTTGTTGTTTTTTCCCGGGATGCGGGTGGCGCTGTGGGTTAAACCACAGAGCCTAGGACTTGCCGATCGGAAGGTCGGCGGTTCGAATCCCCGCGACGGGTGAGCTCCCGTTGCTCGGTCCCTGCTCCTGCCAACCTAGCAGTTCGAAAGCACGTCAAAGTGCAAGTAGATAAATAGGTACCGCTCTGGCGGGAAGGTAAACGGAGTTTCCGTGCGCTGCTCTGGTTCGCCAGAAGCGGTTTAGTCATGCCGGCCACATGACCTGGAAGCTGTACTCCAGCTCCCTCGGCCAATAAAGCGAGATGAGCGCCGCAACCCCAGAGTCGGCCACGACTGGACCTAATGGTCAGGGGTCCCTTTACCTTTATTATGTATTTTTAGCAACCTGAGTTTAATCTGTGTGGCTTTAACTTGTGTAATCTGGGGGGAAAGATAGGGTAAGATGATAATAATAATAATAATAATAATAATAATAATAATGCTTACTTTTTATGACTGAAAACAGAACCAGAAATCATAATGGTGATAAAAGAACAGTACTGGCAACGCTTACCTTGAAAATCCTTCCTAGCGATTTGGCAGCTTGTGTAGTGAAAACAGCAGCTATTAAAATATGTACACAGGCAATTTCCCAGAAGACCAATAACAGCAGCTTAAAAGTATTTGTTTAAGGGAACAAGCCTGCACCTCTGGCTGGCAGCTGATTTTTCATAGAGACCAGACTTGCCATTGCGCAAGGTTTCAAGGACACCTGTGGCAAAGGGGTTCTTAAAACCCTTCCCAGCATCAGGACGTAAACGTTGTGGGTTGTTTGTTTTTTAATGGCTACTAGCCCCAGTGGCCAGGACGCGGGTGGCGCTGTGGGTTAAACCACAGAGCCTAGGACTTGCCAATCAGAAGGTTGGCGGTTCGAATCCCCGCGACGGGGTGAGCTCCCATTGCTCGGTCCCTGCTCCTGCCAACCTAGCAGTTCGAAAGCACGTCAAAGTGCAAGTAGATAAATAGGTACCACTCCGGCGGGAAGGTAAATGGCGTTTCCGTGCGCTGCTCTGGTTCGCCAGAAGCGGCTTAGTCATGCCGGCCACACGACCTGGAAGCTGTACACCGGCTCCCTCGGCCAATAAAGCGAGATGAGCGCCGCAACCCCAGAGTCGGTCACGACTGGACCTAATGGTCAGGGGTCCCTTTACCTTTACCTTTTAGCCACAGTGGCCACACTCTGCCTCTACACAGCTGGAGGCAGCAATGCTTCTGAATACTAGTTGCTGGAAGCCGCAGGCGGGGAGAGGGTTCTTGGGGCGTGATCCCTACTTGCGGGCTTTCCAACTGGGGCATTTGCTTGGCCACTGGTAGAAGAGGATCCTGGACTAGATAATCCACTGGCCTGATTCCCTGCAGGGCTCTTCTTACATTCTTACAAAAGAACTCTCCTTCTTTGGAGGTCTTTAAGGAGAGGTTGGATAAGGAGAGGAGATGTCATGGATGCTTCAGTTGAGATTCCTGCATTGCAGGGGGCAGTTGGACTCTAACCCATGGGGTCCCTTCCAGCGCTACGAATCTATGGTTCTATGAAAGCATCTAGAAGGGGAAGAAATGGAGGCAGTGAGAGATTTTACTTTCTTGGGCTCCATGATCACTGCAGATGGTGACAGAAGTTACGAAATTAAAAGACGCCTGCTTCTTTTAATGAAAGCATTTCTGGGGAAACAGCCTTACTCAGATTCCTCCTCCTCTTCCTCCTCTTTCAGGCACTCAAGCAGACGCTCCTCCGAAGCTTCCAGTTCTGCAGGGGGAATCCTCAGCAGCCAGGTGATGTGGGAGAGGAGCACCCTCGCTCGGGCGTCGTAGGTGCCTGGAAGGCAAGGAAAGAGCCAAAGGCCACCAAATGCGGCCAGTCAGTGTCTTTCCCCCCCTTAAATTTCATTTATGCTTTTCAGATTTTTCACTAATTTTACAATCATTACAACATTTCAAAACTTGACTTCCTTCCCCCTCTTTCTGCGGTTCCTTAGATTTGTTTTTAATATCTTCTGCATATCCAAATTAACATAATTTGCTCATTTATTCATCTTCTTTAAATATATACTCTTATAGAACTGCAGGTTATTACAATAAACCTGCCAAAGCTCTTATCTCTTTACAATTTATCTGTAAATATTCAATAAACCATTTCCATTCTTTTATTTTAAAAAAAATGTTATCATGATTTCTTGTTATTTCAGTAAGTTTCGCCATTTCTGCATATTCCATAAGTTTTTGTATCCATTCTTCCTTTGCTGCGACTTCTGCTTCTTCCCACTTTGGGGCAAGTAACATTCTTGCCACTGTAGTAGCATACATGAATACATTTCTATACAGTTTAGGTAGTTCTGTCCCTATAATTTCCAAAAGAAAAGGTTCTGGTCTTTTTTTAAATAAAAGTTATTTTGAACACCCTTTTCCATTAATTGTATATAACGTTTTATGTGTTTAATATGCCTATATGTTCTGGCCGTTGTAGTAGCATACATGCATAAGTTTCTATACAGTTTGGGTAGTTCTGTCCCTATAATTCCCATCACTCTCCGTTCGACAGGACGGCATGATGAAATTTCCCCAATGAACTGTTACCAGAATACCAAATCCCCCATACTTACACAGGTTTAGCCCACCCAGGCTTTTGTCTAAGGCAGTGGTAGGGAGCCTTTGGCCCCTGGGACAAACCAGGTCCTGTTTGTTCCTGGACATTTAAGCTAGGACCAAGAACCAGCAGAGAGCCAGTGATTTTTGGGCCACCACCCACTTGGTTCCATAAACTCATCCCGAGTGCCCCCTACTCCATGCTTTTTTTAAAAAAAGCATTATTCAGAATAGCAGTTTTCACAAGCCACTAAGGAAGAAATTCAAAACAATAACAATTCATTGCACATTGATTCAAATCCAATTGAAACTATTTAAGGCAGAGGGCCTACTCAGTAGCCACGCCCACCCTGTGGAACGCCCTCCCATCAGATGTCAAGAAAATAAACAACTGCCTGACTTTTAGAAGACATCTGAAGGCAGCCCTGTATAGGGAAGTTTTTAATGTTCAATGTCTTATTGTGTTTTAATTTGCTGGAAGCCACCCAGAATGGCTGGGGTAACCCAGCCAATTGGGCGGCATATTAATGCTAATAATAATAGATTAATTCAGCAAAACTGATTAAATTGATGCCAAATACCCAAGGTCTGATAAGTCATTTACACCTCCAGTGCCCGCTTGCAGCTCCCTTGCCTCTTATTGTCTGGCGAGGTAATCCTTATTGCCCTCTACTTAATCCCCACTGTGGGAGCCATTGGTTTAGACTAGAGTACGCATAGGCAAACTCGGCCCTCCAGATGTTTTGGGACTACAACTCCCATCATCCCTAGCTAACAGGACCAGTGGTCAGGGATGATGGGAATTGTAGTCCCAAAACATCTGGAGGGCCGAGTTTGCCTATGCCTGGTTTAGAGTGTCGGACTAGGGCCTGGGAGAGACCAGAGTTCAAATCCCTCCCACCTGGCTATGAAGCTCACTGGGTAACCTTGGGCCTGTCACTGCCTTTCAGCTTAACCTACCTCACAGGGTTGTTGTGAGGATTGAATGAGGAGGGGGGGAACCACGTACAGGGGTACCTCGGGTTACATACGCTTCAGGTTATAGACTCTGCTAACCCAGAAATAGTACCCCAGGTTAAGAACTTTGCTTCAGGATGAGAACAGACATCGTGCTCCGGCGGCACGGCGGCAGCGGGAGGCCCCATTAGCTAAAGTGGTGCTTCAGGTTAAGAACAGTTTCAGGTTAAGAACGGAACTCCGGAATGAATTACAGTGGTGCCTCGCAAGACGAAATGAATCCGTTCCGCGAGTGTCTTCGTCTAGCGGTTTTTTCGTCTTGTGAATCAACCCTATTAGCGGCTTAACGGATTAGCGCTATTAGCGGTTTAGCGGCTATTAAAGGCTTATCGGCTTAGCGAATTAGCTGCTAAAAGGCTATTAAAGGCTTAGCGGCTTAGATAAAAGGGGGGGGGAAGCGAAAAAAAAATCTCAAGACTCGCAAGACATTTTCGTCTTGGGAAGCAAGCCCATAGAGAAATTCGTCCTGCGAAGCAACTCAAAAACGGAAAACCCTTTCATCTAGCGGGTTTTCCGTCTTGCGAGGCATTCGTCTTGCGGGGCACCACTGTAAGTACTTAACCCAAGGTACCACCGTATTCCAGTCTGAGCTCCTTGGAGGAAAAGGTGGGATAGAAACGCAATAAACCACATGAAATCACACCACATTTCCATGAAATCATTTCCGTTTAACAGTTTTATATTTTTGATAACGACTCAGAGGAGAAAGAGGGCCCTCAAATCTCACTTACCGTCCTTGAGAGAGAAGGACACAAGATCCTAGAACAGAAGAGGGTGGTGGGGGGGGGAAGAATAATGAGAACATATTAAAAAGGGAATCCCTTTAAGTGCAGGCTTCTGAATATGCACAGAAGTCTCAATTTAAAATGTACTTGATCTTTGGCACTGAAGTGCCCCATAGTTAGCCATAACCCCTGCAACCAACAGCTAATCCCTTCTCTGAGAAAGTGGGGGTATGCAAAACAAAATGAAAAAAGAAGGTTGTGCGCAATTTTATTCTCGTTCAGGCTAGGCTAACTTAGGGTCGGCGGATGCTAAAGTCCTTCTTTGCAGAGTTAAAACTTGCTTCCATAGGAGGTGGTGATGGCCACCAATTTCCACGGTTTTAAAAGAGGACTGGAAGAGAAGGCCACTATCCACAATGGCAATATCCTGCCTCTGAATGCGAGTTGCTGAGAACCACATGTGCTATGTTCGGGTCCTGCTGTGGGGCTTCCTGTTGGGGCATCTGATTAGCCACTGTGAGAACAGGATGCTGGCCTGAACGGTTCATTGGCCTGATCCAACTTCCTTGGCATATTAGTGGATACCGAAAGGATCCATTGAAGGTGGAAAATCTGAAATCTGTGGTAGCTCAGGACAGAACAGCTGCTCAATGGTGCATGTGCTAGTTATTTCCAGCTTGGACCACTGCAATGCGCTCTACGTGGGGCTACCTTTGAAGGTGACTCAAAACTGCAATTAATCCAGAATGCGGCAGCTAGACTGGTGACTGGGAGCAGCCGCCAAGACCACATAACACCGGTCTTGAAAGACCTACATTGGCCCCCAGTACGTTTCCAAGGACAATTCAAAGTGTTGGTGCTGGCCTTTAAAGCCTCAGCCCAGTATACCTGAAGGTGTGTCTCCACCCCCATCGTGCAGCCTGGACACTGAGGTCCAGCTCCGAGGGCCTTCTGGCAGTTCCCTCCCTGAGAGAAGTGAGGTTACAGGGAACCAGGCAGAGGGCCTTCTCGGTAGTGGCACCTGCCCTGTGGAACACCCTCCCATCAGATGTCAAGGAAATAAGCAAATATCTTACTTTTAAAAGACACCTGATGGCAGCCCTGTTTAGGGAAGTTTTTAATGTTTAATGCTGTATTGTTTTTAATATTTGGTTGGTAGCCGCCCAGAGTAGCTGGGGAAACCCAGCCAGGTGGGCGGGGTATAAATAAATCACCATCATCATCATCATCATCATCATCAGAGGGGACCATTCAGAGTAGTTCAGAAACAAGCTAAGCAACCACTTGGCTTATGCATTGTTAGTCTTAAGTTATTTTGGGGAAAGGCCAGCTTTTTCAAACAAGAGGTCAGAAGCTACATTATTAAAAGTTCGCAGATGTCCATCTTGAATAAAATCAACTGTGTATAGCTGGAAAACTAAATATTTTTTCCTTCTCGCTTTCTCTCTCTTTAAAAAGCATAGCAACTTGTCTGCAGATTACTAAAGCGCAAGTAGGTGGAGGATCTGCACCAGAGATCCTTCTGGTTAAGTCTGGCTCAGCAGCAGCAAATTTTTGCCAAAGAATTATAACCTTTTCTTGACTTGTTCACAGTGGTGCTAAGCAGAGAATGTGGAGATGGAGATGGAGTCTAACCTGTTAGGATAGCGTTCCGTTCCACCTTAAGAGGAACAGGCATGACTGTTGTGTGTCACATGCCTGTTTACTTCCAGCACAGGCTTGCTGGGAACTTCCATTTGTATATTGCTTTTTCTTTATCTGCTGTTTGCTTGGACACGAAGGGAAGCAGACATGTTTTCCCTTTGTTCCTGAACTATGCTGAATAAACGCCTGTAAATAATGCTTATACATGTCTCTGTCCGCCACTTGCGTTGTGTGAAGATTTATTCACTCTGCTGATAGAGCGTGCCAAGTCTCTAAAGGTATCTGAGGATTGTGTCACTGTTTGATGCTGTTCCAAGGGAGACCGGAGTTCGCCTGGCTGCCGGCCGGTGGCTGGAGCCAGCTGGGGGCCTGCCTGATGCCCCCGTCTCCCCGGCAGTATCCCAACAGAACCTACCTGTGTGATGATGCTGGGGTCGTCTTTCATGAGCGGCTCCTTCAAGAGGATCTGCGCAAAAGTCTCCGTCCCTTCACCCCCCAGACCACCGACAAACGCCAACATAGCAGGCAGGACGGCGTCTGAAAGCTGCAGCCATTCCACCAGGCTCTCCACAAAACCCGTCCTGTATGGCCTTCAAAACATACACAACAAAAATGGTTAAGCAAGCAGGGCTCAAGCACAAAAGCAACTCTCCCCTCCTGCCCTTTCCAACAGCTGGTATTCAGAAGCAGCGCTGTCTCTGACTGCAGAGCAGAGCAAAAGCCATCCTGGCTAGTAACCATAGACATCTCGTCCTCCGTTAATCTTCTTTTAAGACTCCTGCTCTGTAGGGTAGGACTCGAACCAACGGCTTCAAGTTACAAGAGAGGAGATTCTGGCTAGCCATCAGGAAGGACTTTCCGACAGCAGGAGCTGTTGGTCAAGTGGAATGGACTCCCTCGGGAGATGGACTCTCCTTCCTTGGAGGTTTTTAAGCAGAGGTTGGATGGCCATCCGTCACAGATGCTTCAATCGAGGTTCCTGCACTGCAGGGACCCCTTCCAACTCTACAATCCTATGATTCTATGATTCATCTAAGCTGGTGGCCATCCCTGCCTCCTGTGGCAGGGAGTTCCACAGTTTAACTCTCTGCTGTGTGAGGAAGGGCTTTCTTTCATCTGTTCTGAATCTCCCAACACTAAGCTTCATAGGACACCCCCCATTTCTTGTCATACGAGAGAGGCAGAAAAGCTTCTCTCTATCCAGTGCTTCTGATATGCATATAATTTTACGAATATATATATAATCTAATCTCTTAGTATACATTTCTTACTTTCCCTATTACATTTAAAACTCATAACCAATATCTCTATTCTTTATCTACTTTGTAAAGCTTCATAAATTTCTCCTTACAAAACTTCTTGTAGTCCCACTAGCGTAATTTGTTGATTACAGTTGCTCTTCAAATAGTTCATATACTTCTTCCAATCTTCTGTAAATCTCTTGTCCCGAAGGTTTCGAATCCTTCCTGTCATTTTGTCCAATTCTGCATAGTCCATTAATTTCGTCTGCCATTCTTCTTTCATAATTTTACAAACTTCTATCATGTCGCCTTTTCCCCGCCTTTTCACTTAACTAGAAAGCCGCAAGAGACATTGAGGAAACAACCTTTCCTCAAAGGAGTCGCTCCATCTCCTCGATCATTTGAGTTATCCTTCTCCGAAGCTACTTCTCCCCTCATTATTTTCGCAAACCTGCGAAAAAGGTGAGGTGCGGAGATGACAACGGCCTCAAGTTCACCTTGGGGAGCTTCCTGGCGGAGTGGGGATTCTCCCCAGCCTATCGCATGGGCAGCCAATGCGGTGCCTTCCATTAAGTTGCAGAGTACAACTCCCATCAGGGACGTGGGTGGCGCTGTGGGTTAAACCACAGAGCCTAGGGCTTGCCAATCAGAAGGTTGGCGGTTCGAATCCTGGCGACGGGGTGAGCTCCCATTGCTCGGCCCTGCTCCTGCCAACCTAGCAGTTCAAAAGCAGGTCAAAGTGCAAGTAGATAAATAGGTACCGCTCCGGCGGGAAGGTAAACGGTGTTTCTGTGCGCTGCTCTGGTTCGCCAGAAGCGTCTTAGTCATGCTGGCCACATGACCTGGAAGCTGTACGCTGGCTCCCTCGGCCAATAAAGCAAGATGAACCCCAGAGTTGTCCGCGACTGGACCTAACAGTCAGAGGTCCCTTTACCCTTTACCTTACAACTCCCATCATCCCCCTCCATGCCGTCAGCAGGAATAAGCACAGAACAGAACAGAACCTGCATTCTCTCCTTCACTCGAGCGCCTACCTTTCCTCTTCCTCGGGAAACAATGATGCCAAAGAGACAGCGCAGAGGGCCGCGTAGGCAAACTTCCCCGGATCGCCCAGCTGCCGGCCCACGCATTCAGACACCTCCTCCTTCTCCGGCTGTGGCTGCGCCAATCTTCCCCAGGGCCTCCACCGCTGCTGGCGGTTGGCTGCCATTTTCACCAGCTGCTGCAAAAACCAGAGATATGCACAGGGAATAAACATGCAAGAGAATATATATATACATACACATACAAATATACAGTCGTACCTTGGTTCTCAAACGTAATCCGTTCCAGAAGTCCGTTTGACTTCCGAAAACGTTCAAAAACCAAGGCGTGGCTTCTGATTGGCTGCAGGAACTTCCTGCACTCAAGCAGAAGCCACAACAGATGTTTGGCTTCCAAAAAAACGTTCAAAAACCGGAACACTTACTTCTTGGTTTTTGGCGTTCAGGAGCCAAAATGTATGAGTACCAAGGTAGTTAAAGCTATAGTTTTCCCAGTAGTGATGTGTGGAAGTGAGAGCTGGACCACAAAGAAGGCTGATCACCAAAGAATTGATGCTTTTGAATTATGGTGCTGGAGGAGACTCTTGAGAGTCCCATGGACTGCAAGAAGATCAAACCTCTCCATTCTTAAGGAAATCAGCCCTGAGTGCTCACTGGAAGGACAGATCGTGAAGCTGAGGCTCCAATACTTTGGCCACCTCATGAGAAGAGAAGACTCCCTGGAAAAGACCCTGATGGGTTGGGAAAGATGGAGGGCACAAGGAGAAGGGGATGACAGAAGACAAGATGGTTGGACAGGGTTCGCGAAGCTACCAGCATGAGTTTGACCAAACTGTGGGAGGCAGTGGAAGACAGGAGTGCCTGGCGTGCTCTGGTCCATGGGGTCACGAAGAGTCGGACACGACTAAACAACAACACCACCAAGGTGTTCGAGAACCAAGGTACGACTGTATCTAAAACTTTTCTCTATCCATGCCACGGATAGAGTCCTGGAGGTGAGGCAACCCTAATACATCTACTCTACTGGGTCGATGCATTTGAGAAGCTGTGGGCCCCCTTTATGAATGCTAATATTACTGGGATAAAGGTGCTGTCCATCTGTACATGAGATTCATTTTTCAGGGTCTTGCTGGTGGAACTGGAATCTGCCTCAACATCAATCCAACGTGCTGTCCACGTTGGGCTGCAAAGGTCTCAAAAAGCGCACCTGTGCTCCAGAACAGCTATGGGATTACAGAGCCTGTTTTGTACTACGTTGATTGCTTTAAAGCTGTCAATAAACTTTCTTCCATATAGCTGCAATGGAGAAAACTACGCATTGCCTGACATTTTGATAAGGACATTCCTTTATTACACGTATAGTGGAACTGTCAATTCCAAGACAGTCATCGTCACAAGCCTGCCAAATCTGACCATCAAATCACACTAATATTCTTTCTTTATGTGAAGACGACTTTTAATCTCACTGTTTTTCCTTTCAAGACCTGGACTTTTTTACTTGATCCAGATGTAACTGTGCTCATTTTAGCTATTTGTTTTGTGTGTGTTCATTTCCATCTGTTGTCATAATTGTTCTGTTTTATATACATTATAAAATGAAATTTTAAAAACTCTTCACTACCTCCCCACAAAAAACCCCAATTTTCCTTTTTTAAAAAAGACTTGTTCTAGGACAGATCCTAGATCTCATAATTATAGTAGAGCAGATTTTGGTTGAATGTTGGCAGAGGCTTCTTGATGGCTCGAGTGTTTTGATGGAACCAGTGACTTTACAGTTTGTCTCACCCTTGGTGGTGTTGAATGGTTTCTTTAAATGTAAAGGTTCATCACTGTTCCACCCGATGTGTATGTCTTTAAGGGGCCAGAGCAAGGGCCAGAGCAAGATAACGAGACCCAGTCTTACAGCTGTGAAACATAGCAGGTGCTGCTGAGTTGTATTGATTAAGCTGTGTTGGCAATTGGGTGTAGTATATAAGGAGCAGCACCTAGCTCTCCCATTACCCTGGGGGATGGGTTGGTGGTTGGGTCTGGTTTGTTTGTTAATGTATTTAGTGTAAAAGGAGTTTTTGTTTTTCTTATTAAAACCTTGTTTAAGCTATTTTTGAGTCCCTTTTTAATGCATGGTCTCCCCAGCAAGCTCTCTGCAGCGCAACCATACTGCAAATAGCCAACAGGTGGCAGTCTCTGAGCAGAGCGGCCAGACAGATGTGGCACAGGTTCGTGATCCAATAAATGAAGACTGCAGTGATGTTGGCCCCCTCCCAACCTATGAATTCAAGACAAGATGCTCAGTGGGGTCTAGGCTGACAAGGCAGCATGCAAGCAAAACATTTTAAAACTGACAGCATGGAACCTACATAGCCCAGCTCAGTCTATCTTCTCCTCTTGTTGTTGTTATTAAGATTATCATTTCTTAGAAATTATACACCATATGGTTGCAAAAAAAAAAAGGCTTATAAAAATGATAAAACAATAACATTATCAGCAAGAAAAATCAAAAATAATTTAATACTTCCAAAAAGTTAAAGGTAAAAGGTAAAGGGACCCCTGACCATTAGATCCAGTCGTGACCAACTCTGGGGTTGCGGCGCTCATCTCGCTTTATTGGCCAAGGGAGCCGGTGTACAGCTTCCGGGTCATGTGGCCAGCATGACTAAGCCGCTTCTGGCGAACCAGAGCAACGCACAGAAACGCCGTTTACCTTCCCGCCGGAGCAGTACCTATTTATCTACTTGCACTTTGACGTGCTTTCGAACTGCTAGGTTGGCAGGAGCAGGGACCGAGCAACGGGAGCTCACCCCGTCGCGGGGATTCGAACCGCCGACCTTCTGATTGGCAAGTCCTAGGCTCTGTGGTTTAACCCACAGCGCCTCCCACGTCCCAAAAGTTAAAGTAACCGTAGGCTAAAAACAAGTTGAAACTAGCACCAATTTTTTAAACATCTAAAACTCTGGAGAGCCGCTGCCAGCCAGTGTAGGGAGTACTGAGCTAGATGGACCAAAAGTCTGCTCAGTATAAGACAGCATCCTATGTCTTAAGAGAAGGGGCACAGCTTAATGCAGAAGCTCCCAGGTTCCGTCTTCAGGTAAGGCTGGGAGAGACTCCTGCCTGCTACCAGTCAGTGGAGACAGTACTGTGCTATATGGACCGATGGTCTGAGTCTGCATAAGACAGCTTCCTAAGTCCACTTCCTCTGCCCAGGTATGCCTCCTTTTACAGACCAACCTTCCTGCTTCCTGGGGAGAGGCGACCTTGAGCATCCCGCAAGCTCCTATTTCGTTTATTTTCATTCTCCTCTTTTCTTTTTTAACGACCTCCCAGTTCTTGACATTAGCCTGAAGGACAGCTTTGCGTCCTGATAACGCAAACGTCGCCCACAGTAAAAATTAAAAGGTGTGCCGCAATCTCGCCTGTGTGTACACACACACACACACACACCCCTTTACGGCATCAAATCCAAACAGAGGGAGTATTGTGCAAGGACTTGAGGCTGACTTCAAGAGCCTGCAAAACTCTGTTCCTCCCCTGCTCTATATTTCCCTCCTTCTATCGAAATATTTCCAGCGGTATCTGAAACCCTGGGGAGCAGCTGCCAGCAGGTGCAGACAATTTTGAGCTAGATGGACCAATAGTCTAGCTCCTATGCAACTTGGGGGCCAGAGTTGCCCCACTGCCTTTCAACCAAGCAAATTATAAACCCTTCGGCCTGTTCATCACATCACCGAAGGGAAATATGTGCGATATTAAGGAGCTTCCTTGCAGCTGCATTACTGATTACTAGGGACTAGTCACACCATTTTGATTTTTAAATTTGGAGTTGCAGGAGAGGCAAACGCCAAGTGGTGGCTGGTGCCCATTGGGCAGGTGGCAGGGAGGCTGGAGTTGGCGCCAGAGCCAATGGCAGGTAGAGCAAAAAAATTCTAGTTCTGTCCCCTTCCTCCAGGCGAGCATTATAAGGGGAATACTGAGATTAAAGGCCCTTTTAACCCCCAGGGAGTGGGCAAATAAAAGTCCCCTGCCACTATTTAGCTGTCCCTAGCAATACAAAAAACCGGAAGCTGCCTTATACAGAGCTAGAACGCAATGGAAGCGAAGGCTCAGAAAAAGCTCAATATGGAGGCCAATTGGCCGAAATATTGGGAAATTTTGGAACAAGAGGGAGACAGATTAAAATTGCAGAGTTTTGAAAAACTAAAAAATAGAGTGCGAGATTGGCTCCATTATTACCAAATAATGGAGGTGTACAATTTGGATAAAAAAATTGGCTTCCAGGTGGAAAAATCAAAATTGGAAACAGAACTGTTAGACCCCAAAACTAAGAACTTGTCAAGAATGTATAACTTGCTGTTGACATGGAATACTCAGGATGAAACGGTGAAATCAACTATGATCAAATGGGCACAAGATATAGGACATAATATTATGATGGCTGACTGGGAAGTTATGGACCACAGGTATGAAGTTTACGGCATGTAATGCCCTAAGAGAGAATATAATGAAAATGATCTACAGGTGGTACATGACACCAGTCAAGCTTGCAAAAATATATCATTTGCCCAATAATAAATGTTGGAAATGTAAAGAGACTGAAGGCACATTTTTTCACCTTTGGTGGACATGCCCAAGGATTAAGACATTCTGGGAGATGATTTATAATGAAATGAAAAAGGTATTTAAATATACCTTTCTGAAGAAACCAGAAGCCTTTCTCCTGGGCATGGTCGGCCAATTGGTGCCAAAAAAGGATAGAACTTTTTTTATGTATGCCACAACAGCAGCAAGAATACTTATCGCGAAGTATTGGAAGACACAAGATCTACCCACCCGGGAAGAATGGCAGATTAAGGTGATGGACTACATGGAATTGGCGGAAATGACTGGCAGAATCTGAGACCAGGGAGAAGAGTTGGTGGAAGAAGATTGGAAGAAATTTAAAGTTTATTTACAGAAACATTGTAAAATTAAGGAATGTTAGAAGGATGTTGGAATGAAATAATGTGGTTTTAGCAGAAATGCTATAAAGGATTAAGGAAAAATAGATTGCTAAATGGTGAAGGAGGGAAAGTAAAGTTACATTATACTAAGATAGAATAGAGGACAAAAACTGGAAAAGATGGAAAGGATTTGCTGAAATAGCTAATTGAACTAGAATACAAAAAAAGGGAGGTGTGAGGAGGTCAAGGAAATAAGCAAATGAAAGATAAGTTATGGGAAGATTTATTGTATTTTTTCTTTTTTCTTTTTTTCTTTTTTTTCTTGTTTCTTCTTTTTTTGATATTATCGTGATGTGATGTTTTGTATTTCTTAAATATGCTGTTTTTTAACTCTTTCTTTTTGTAACCCTTTAAAATGCAATAAATATTAATTTAAATATATATATATATACAGAGCTAGAACGTTGGTCTATCTAGCTCAGTACTGCCTACACTGACTGGCAGCAGCTCGGCAGGGTTTTAAGTAGGCAACATTAACAGACTACTGGGAGATGCTGCCCTACCAACTAAGCTACAGCCTTTCCTAGTTTGTCTTGGAGGGAGTTTTTTGATCACCTGCTTTTGAAGCACGAGGATGGCTATGAGAACTTATTGTTGTTGTTGTTGTTGTTTAGGCTGCTCATGTGATTTTGAATTTCTTTAGTGGGGGCGGGATCAGGGCCAGGAGGAAGAGAAGTGAAAGAGGAATGTATACTGTAAAAGGAGGGGAGGAAATCATATAATCTCGTGAAATATGTCCCATGGCTGCTCGTGATTAGCTGTAATAAATCTGTTCCCATCCTTTAAGGCAGGGGTGCCCAAACTTTTTTCAAAGAGGGCCAGATTTGCTGAAGTGAACATGCGTGAGGGCCAACCAAAGTTGCTGAACTTTTTTTTGCGATTTTAAACTAAAACTTGCTGAGCTTTTTTTTAGGATTTTTACCCCAGGACATATACTGCCACCAGGGGCTGGATTAAATTGCATTAGGCCCCCGAAACAGACTTTGGAAATGCCTGCTTTAAGATTAGCCTCTGGAACTCACTCCCACAGGAGGCAGGGGTGGGCACCAACTTGGAGCGCTTTGAAGGGTACTGGACAATTTCATGAGCCAGAAGCCACCAGTGGCTATTAGCCGCAATGGCTATGCGCTGCCTCCACAGTCAGAGGCAGAAATGCTAATAATAATAATAATAAATTTTTATTTATACCCTGCCCTTCCCAGTTCAAAAACCGGGCTCAGGGCGGCTAACAACAAATTTAAAACACTTTAAAACACTTAATTATAAAAGCAGCATAAAATACAGTATAAAAACATGAATAACCATAAAATTAAAAAAAAATTAGATAATCCCCAGAGCTAGCTTGCTGAATTGGTCCTACTTGGGCCAGCGAGGAGGTCAGGGGAGAATTAGCTGTGGGGTCTCAGAGTGGGTGATCTTCATAAAAGGGGAGGGAAGGGAAGAGAAAGGAAATAAAAGATCAGGCTGAATTCAAATTAAAGGCCAGGCGGAATAGCTCTGTCTTACAGGCCCGACGGAGGGAGGTTAAATCCTGAAGGGCCTTAAATTCTGAACACCGATTGCTGGAAACCACAGGACGGGAGGGAGCTCTTGCCCTGCTTCTGGGTTTCCCATAAAGGGCATCTGGTTGGTCACTGTGAGAACAAGATGCTGGACCAGATGGGCCATTGGCCTGATCCAGCAGGATCTTCATATGTTCAGGCACAGCTGAAACTGACAACGCTTTCCTTTCACCTTCAAACGAAATGGAAAAGATACAGTGGGGTGAAGGTGCCTAGACATAAGAAGAAAAGGGGTTAAGCCGTGTCAGGATGGGATTGTGCCTGTGGCCCATGGCAAAGTGTGGACCAACATCTAGGGCAGACCCTCCAAGCGCCCCTATTTCCGGGGACGTCCCTAATTTAGAGAAGCCATCCCAGTTTCTGAATTGATCCTGGAATGTCCCACTTTTCCTTAGGATGTCCCTATTTTCACTGGAGAAATGTTGGATGGTATGGAGTTATCCGACCCCATAGCCATCTGAAGGTAATCCTGTATAGGGAAGTTGTTGTTTTTTAAATGTTTTTATATGTGTTGGAAGCTGCCCAGAGTGGCTGGGCCAACCCAGTAAGTTGTGTCAGTTATAAATAGTAAAATTATCATTATTTTCATCGAAGAAATGTTGGAGGGTATGCTAGGGCAGGAAGAGTGGCTGGGGTAACCCAGCCAGATAGGTGTGGTATAAATAATAAAATTATTATTGTTGTTGTTGTTATTAAGATTGTCTTCTCTGGGGTGCAGTGGTGACGTTCAGAGTAGAGTGGGAGAAACTTACAATTCCCCAAAGGGCAGAACACATCTTAGCTGAAGTTCTAATTACAGGGCTTTAAAATTGTATGTGGGATTTCAGTTCTATAGCAGGTAAAAAGGGGTTACGGGGTGGGGGCTTCTGAAGAATTTATTCTTCATGTGACAATAGCAGTGACTGAAAGCACGCTCCTATTTTCAGCGGTGAAAAGTGTGCCAATACCACCCCCACCCCATGAATCATCCTGTCCTATCCATGCCTTCGTTTTATTTTTAAAAAGATTTAAGACAGGCATTGTGACTGGAGCCATCCATCTGTCCATCATGTCCGCAGCAGAAAATGGAACGGTGGAAATTGAAGGCTCTTTCTTGCCGCAGACACCATATGGTGATCAATAGGGACTAGTCACATCATACTGCTTTTGTTTAATATATATATATATATATATAGGGGGGCGTGTTGGAAAGAAAAGCTCATGGATAGACCTGCTGACTTTTGGAGCCTCTTACTATTTATTTTTATTTATTTACTGAATGTATATACCGCCCTATACCCAGGGGGTCTCAGGGCGGTCCACAGAATAAAATCAAGATACAAAACCACGAAACACATAATAAAAAGAAAAACAACAACCCAATAGCCCTGTCAGTGGGAAAAGGAATGCCTTTGCATTTACACCAGAATGTCGTGAAATTGATGCAAAAAGAGGGGAGCAAAATTTTTTTATTTTTTGTTTTTTAAGCCCCACCAAATGCAATTGGTAAATACCATTTGAAACCCACCAGCACTGCCCTTCTTTATGCCAGCAAGTTTGGAAAACTCAGCAGTGGCCAGAGGATTGGATAAGATCAGTCTACATCCCAATCCCAAAGAAGGGCAGTGCCAATGAATGCTCCAACTACTGCACAATTGCACTCATTTCACACGCTAGCAAGGTTATGCTTAAAATTCTACAAGGAAGGCTCAAGCAGTATGTGGACCGAGAACTCCCAGAAGTGCAAGCTGGATTTAGAAGAGGCAGAGGAACCAGAGACCAATTTGCAAACATGCGCTGGATTATGGAGAAAGCTAGAGAGTTCCAGAAAGACATCTACTTCTGCTTCATTGACTATGCAAAAGCCTTTGACTGTGTCGACCACAGCAAACTATGGCAAGTTCTTAAAGAAATGGGAGTGCCTGATCACCTCATCTGTCTCCTGAGAAATCTCTATGTGGGACAAGAAGCTACAGTTAGAACTGGATATGGAACAACTGATTGGTTCAAAATTGGGAAAGGAGTACGACAAGGCTGTATATTGTCTCCCTGCTTATTTAACTTATAAGCAGAATTCATCATGCGAAAGGCTGGGCTGGATGAATCCCTAGCCGGAATTAAGATTGCCGGAAGAAATATCAACAACCTCAGAAATGCAGATGAGTCAACATTGATGGCAGAAAGTGAAGAGGAATTAAAGAACCTTTTAATGAGGGTGAAAGAGGAGAGCGCAAAATATGGTCTGAAGCTCAACATCAAAAAAATGAAGATCATGGCCACTGGGCCCATCACCTCCTGGCAAATAGAAGGGGAAGAAATGGAGGCAGTGAGAGATTTTACTTTCTTGGGCTCCATGATCACTGCAGATGGTGACAGCAGCCACGAAATTAAAAGACGCCTGCTTCTTGGGAGAAAAGCAATGACAAACCTAGACAGCTTCTTAAAAAGCAGAGACATCACCTTGCCAACAAAGGTCCGTATAGTAAAAGCTATGGCTTTCCCAGTAGTGATGTATGGAAGTGAGAGCTGGACCATCAAGAAGGCTGATCGCCGAAGAATTGATGCTTTTGAATTCTGGTGCTGGAGGAGACTCTTGAGAGTCCCATGGACTGCAAGAAGATCAAACCTCTCCATTCTGAAGGAAATCAGCCCTGAGTGCTCACTGGAAGGACAGATCCTGAAGCTGAGGCTCCAATACTTTGGGCACCTCATGAGAAGAGAAGACTCCCTGGAAAAGACCCTAATGTTGGAAAAGATGGAGGGCACAAGAAGAAGGGGATGGCAGAGGACGAGATGGTTGGACAGTGTTCTCGAAGCTACCAGCATGAGTTTGACCAAACTGCGGGAGGCAGTGGAAGACAGGAGTGCCTGGCGTGCTCTGGTCCATGGGGTCACGAAGAGTCGGACACGACTAAACAACAACAACAACAAAATATCGGGGGGAGGGAAAGTCTGCTACAGTCCAACTTTGGGGGGCGGCAGCAGAAAGCCACGCCCCCACCCCTTAAATAATTTTTAAAAGGAAGTTTCCCCCCACTCCACCCCGCGTTTTAATCCTCTCCCCTCTGCCTCGAAACCCCACCTGGTCGCCCTCGAGGTGGAAAACGGCCGCATCCGGACTCCCGACTCGTCCCCGCCTTCCCCGCGACGTCCGCCGGCCGAGCGATCACTCCAGTCCGAGGCTTGTAAAAGCCGGCTTAGGCCCCTCGTACGCCGACAGCTGCGCGAGAGCGCTACTCTGAGAGGGCAGTTCCGGCAGGAGGCTGGCGTAAGCGGCACGCGAGGGAGCGGGAGGCTGCGCAAACTTCGTAGAAGCGGACGGAAGGCGAAAGGCTCTCAAATCTGGACTCTAAACTTGGAAGCGCTGACTTTGCCTTCCGATAGTTTCATTTTTGGGTGGGCGGAGCATGCAAAAAAGGCAAAAACCTGCCTCTCATTTCGGAGAAGGGAATTCCAAGAGGGGGTTGCCCAAGATTGCAAGAGTTTGGAAAAGCTTTTTGAAAAATATATTTTAACTGGAGAAATAAAAATAAAAATATATTTTAATAAAAATGAATATATATTTTAAAAATAAATATATAAAAATAAAAATATAATAAAAAATATTTTTATTCATATGTATTTTAATCCGTTATCTGCAGATTAACACATTGCACAGTCCTTCTTATTGAATGTGTATTTAATGTAATAGCATGTTTTTCAAAAGTATAAGCTGCACTGTGAAAATATACTTTTACATCGATGCATCACTAAAGATTATTTAATAGTCCCTATACATGTTTAATGTGCTTGCGGAAATTGCCGTTACGTTTCCATAAATCAATAAATATAAATATTGCTGTGTAAGTGTTAAATCACAACCTAATCATGCTTCAGAGTAGGAAAGACTTTTATATTATTTTCCCTTTCTTTCTTCCTAATTTTTTAATTTAAGAAACAAATAATCTATCCTTTTCCTGGGATTTCTTTTTCAATTTATTGCGTTAACCGGATTCCAAGGAAAAGGTTAAATACTTAGACGACCTCCCCCACCCGATAATAACTGGAAAAACTGGGCTCCCTCTTTAAAAACAGCAGTGAGGAACCTTTTTCAATCTGAAAAAGGCCACATTCTCTTCATGGGAAGCTTCCAGGGGCCACATGTCAGCAGAGGGAGGGATGATAATAATAATAATAATAATAATAATAATAATAATAATAATGTATTATTTATACACCAACCATCTGGCAAAATCAGGCCCAGAAAGACAGGTTTGAGGGGCCTCCATTTGTTTTCTGGGCTTGAAGTTTGGCACATAATGGTGAGGTTAATCTGGGGGGGGGGGGGGGTTGTGATGTGCCCATATAATAACTATATGGAGAAATCTCAGGAATAACCCACACAGGTCTGTCCATCCTAGCCAGCATTGCTCTTCTCTGGCAGACAGATTTCTTTTTTAAAAAAATTCTCATCCTACCATGGTGTTCACCTGCAAATAAAGGAGCGTGTGGAACTTTCTGTGCAAATCTGCCGCCCCACCCCCATGATGCGATCCCTCATTTTCCCAATGCAGAAATAGTCACCTTGCCTATATACCGTATTTCTCTCTCCATAAGATGCACCTGACCATAAGACGCACCTAGTTTTTTTAGAGGAGGAAAACAAGAAAAAAAATATTCTGAATGAAACAATGGATGTATGATTTTTGTGGTTCATGCTGTGGCCAGACATGTGATCTGATGGTGAATTTGGGGTGACCCAATGCGAAAATCCTGAGGATCCATGTGGATCCGTGCTTTGTAACCACATTTTTGCACCATTGCAGCCCCACGCAACAGTGGATGCGTGATTTTTTTGGTGCAGGCTGTAGCCATGGACATGCTATGTGATCTGGTGGTGAATTTGGGTGACCCAATGTAAAAATCCTGAGGATCCATGGGCTTGTACCTCCCCCCTCCCAGGCAGCCTCCACTAGCGTCCCTTATCTCTCTTCCGATCCCACCGATCAGCTGTTTCATTTCAACACTCCCTTCCCTCTTGCTTGCCTTAGTGTCTTTTCCTTAGCTGGAGCAGTTTTTTGCTCCTCCTTTTCTTCTAATTTCTCTCCTTATTGCTTTAGTCTTCCTGTTTCCCCCCTTTGCAAATTTGCTGTCTTTACCTTCCCCCCTCCCAGGCAGCCTCCTTTATCTCTAGCGTCCCTTATCTCTCTCCCCGATCGGCAAATGATCAGCGGCTTTGTTTCAACACCCACTTCCCTCTTTAAAAAAACACAAAACCTTGATCTGCTTTTTGCCCCTGGGCAATTCGGCTCCAGGGACCACGCATTCGCTCCAGAAGACGCACAGACATTTCCCCTTACTTTTTAGGAAGAAAAAAGTGTGTCTTATGGAGCAAAAAATACGGTATGTGGCCCTTCACAGACTCTTCTGTCTATAAACCTCACCAAAATCCAAACCAGAAAGGTTTGGGGTTTTATTTTGCATGTAGAAGGTCTCAGGTTCAGTTCCTGGCATCGCCATCTGAAACCCTGGAGAGCTGTTGCCAGTCAGTTGCAGGGCGAACCTCATGCGTAGGTGCTGAATGTGGCCCTCTGCGCTTCTTCATTTGGCCCTCAGGGCTTTCCCAAGCCACACCCTCCACCCTCACAGGCCATGCCCCTTTCCAGCCCTGCTTTGCACCCTTCTTGAGCATTTATGCCTGGCTGAAAAGTATGTCCTTGAACTCTGACCGTGCCTCTCGCTTCCCTGGAGGATAAGAGAAGTGTGTGTCAAAACTAAGCTACTGTAAAAAGATAAAGGGACCCCTGACCATTAGGTCCAGTCGTGGCCGACTCTGGGGTTGCGTCGCTCATCTCGCTTTATTGGCCGAGGGACCCGGCGTACAGCTTCCGGGTCATGTGGCCAGCAGGACTAAGCCGCTTCTGGCGAACCAGAGCAGCGCACGGAAACACTGTTTACCTTCCCGCCGGAGCGGTACCTATTTATCTATTTGCACTTTGACGTGCTTCGAACTGCTAGGTTGGCAGGAGCGGAGACCGAGCAACGGGAGCTCACCCCATCGCAGGGACTCGAACCACCGACCTTCTGATTGGCAAGTCCTAGGCTCTGTGGTTTAACCCCCAGCGCCACCCACGTCCCTTTTAGCTACTATATAGAGGCCAAATTTGCATTTGTTGCTTCGTCTACTGCTGGCTATGGCCAGGGCCGTCTTTAGCAGATGTGGCACCGGGGTGCAAATATCTGCCCAGCGTCCCCAATTACCACGGATAGTGGGGATGGGGGCGAAGCTGCACACTGCCAGCCATGGAGGGGGGCGCAACTCTCCCCCATGCCGCTGCGGGAGAGCAATCCCTGCGGAGGCTTGGGAGGCAAGCTGCACGCCCGCCAGCCATATGATTGATAGGGCGCAGCTGGCGGGCATTCAAGTAAAGGGGAGGCCGCCGGCAAAGCCGCGCAGCTCCCCTACTCACTAGGTGCCCCTGAGAGGTTGCGCCCTGGCGCAACGCACCACTAAACCCTATGGGAAAGACAGCTCTGGCTGTGGCTTTGCCCATCACTGGCATGCGGCCTTCAGAAACTTAAGCCCGCTTTCTGAATCGCTCCTCGTTTTATGATTCTTTGTCCTAGGGAATCAGGTGCTTAACTGATGGTTAGCCCTGTCCCTTTTTTTTTGATGGAGGAACAGGTCCTTGCTCCTTTGAAGCCTGCAAAGCTCTGTGAAAATGGACGCCCTATTGTTCTTAAGATAAACCCATCCTCGCCCACCGGCTGCCAGTCTTCCCTGCCTCTTCAGAAGCTAAAGCTCTCTGCCGTCTTCCTATTATTATTATTTTTAGTAAGCTTTGCATTGTGACATATTCCAATTCTTTTTTCCGCAGGCATGTGGGAGGGAGGGATGGACTGGTCTGTCAATCCCAATTCTCTCTGTTTCTCATTTCCAGGGCCTTATATTCAGCTCCCCACATCTCTACAGCAATCCTCAATTTTTTTTAATAAATAAAAAAAGGAAAAACCTCATGGAAATTTGTCAGCACGAGTGCAATTTCCCCCCGATGCGATTTTGCTTAATCTACAGTAGCGGTTCCCAAACTTTTCCAGGTCTGTCTGACCCCTTGGTTCCATAAACTTATCCCCAGTCCTCCCTGCCTTACCCTATAAATAGCGTTATTTATAATAGCGGTTGACTAAGGAAGATAACGGCGCCATAAAATTCAAAACAGTAACAATTAATTGCACATTCATTCAAAATCCATAAAAATTATTTAGTTTAATCATTCAATAGAATGAGTGAACTTCATCCAAGGATACCAGCTTTTCAAAGTCTGGTGGCCATTCACACCTCCAGTGCCCTCCCCCCGCCATCTCCTTGCCTCTTAGCACCCTCCCCCCATGTAATTCCCCCACCCAGGAGACACTATTGCCTACTTTGGGAAGTATTGATCTACACCTTTTTGCTATGTGATTCCCCTTAATACAGTGCTTTGTGTGTGTGTTGTTTTCAGTTAAATATGCATTTTATGCCTGCTTTACCACAACACCTATGTTTTTGTACAAATTACTTGAGGGGAGAACTGCATTGCAAAAAAATCAGAGAAGTGCGAATTTCAAAGGGTGGTTATGTTTCATTTTGCATATTCTTTTGGAAGGTGCAGATTTGGTAGGTTCCCCTCTAAAAGCAAACTTAATCAATCCCTCCCTTCCCCAAATCCTTCTCCTGTTTTGGCCCATGCAAATTGCCAAAGAACAAATCTTCTGCCTTTGAAATCTTGCTCGTCCCGTTCTAGGAACACGGTTCTGGGCTCAGCTACATTGGCAAAGAAAAAGCACTTTATATGCATTGTACATGCATTATAACACCGTGACACTAGATGGCGCTGTGGGGTTCCGCTTTCGCCAACCTGATTTCTTGTACAAAGTTTACAACGCATTTAACTGAAACGTTTCTTTGGTGTGTCTAGAGCCAGCCTCTGTTTTTGTAAAAGCCCATGCTGCTCCTTCTAGAAAAAAGAGAAGTGGGGAAGTTCAGATTTTGTTCTATACAACCCACCCCCACCGAAGGCACACCAAGATGGGTTACTGCAATGCACTCAGCATGGGGCTGCCCTTGGAGAACAGGGAAATACAATTGGTTCAGGAAACAGAGGGCAGATTATTGGCCTGGGTCCCATTTAGAACTCACAAAACCTTGGCTTTGAAATAGCTGCGCCAGAGGCTGGTTTGTTTCTGAGGATGAGCATCTTGGCGCATTGTGCGCCGTGGACCAGATTTGTGACCTGCTGCTTCAAATGTATCATCTAAACAAGAGCACCCCCAAATCAAAGTACGGTAGGCTCTCTATCTTCTCTGTCCCCAACAGAGTGGGGTTGTAAGTGGTCTCAAGGCCAGATACAAGCACACCATTCATTGGAGGAGATACAAGGCCATATGAAAGTAAGATGAGTTTGCTGAATCAGACCAGTGGTTCATCTAGTCCAGCCTCCTGGGGGATACTAAATTCGCTGGAGGAAATGTATCCAAGCAGCGACTGGGAAGTTGGGTGTGTGTGGACACAGAATTTTTAACAAAACATGCCTTGTGGAAGTGGAATGAGAGGTCAGTCTAAGGCAGGTGTGAGAAACGTGTTCAGATGTTGTTGGGCTTCAGGCACCTCCAATTTTACGTGCATCTAGGGAAATTTCAGCCGGCACAATTGAAGTGGATTGAAGTACGCTGTCATTCTGGTGCAAGAAACCCATCTTTTATAAAATGAGCTGTCTGCTGTAAGGAAAGTGACCGAGAAATGCATTGGAAAGTGTGGGACGAGCGAAGGATTAATAGGAAGGCTTATAGCCTCCCCACAAGCAAAGGGAAACAAATGCAATCTAATCTCTGCATAACCTTTAGTGTAAGCAAATTAGGATGACTGTTGAATAAGCAGCTCACCTGGAGGAGCCTGACAGCGCCTGTCTTTGTCCCTGGGGCAGATGGGAGTTGTAGTCCAATATTTGGGGAGGGCGCAAGTAAAGGAAGCTGGGGATATTATTAGGTGGGTTGTGATAGCTAATGGGAATGCATTGCCCATTGCTGATAAGCAAGCTGGGAGCCCCCCACGCTACTGAGCCTTCACTCAGTGGCAGGGCAGTTTATATAAGGCCTCTGGCCAATCAGAAGTTCCCACGACTCAGCCAATCAGGTTTCTGGAAATTGTAACAAAGAGTTAGCTACAAATCCTGAACAGTAGGCAGTTGAGGACCACTGAACACAGTTTATTTATGTGCACCAGATCAGGCTGTTAAGTGTAATGGACTCAGCAGAGAAAAGGTGCCTTTGAACCTTGATGTAAGGTTGCCAACTGACCAGAAATAAAAGCTGCCCTGTAGTGCTCTTGCGCCTTTAAGAGAAGCTTTGCCTGCAAGAATCAGGTGGTAATGTTCATTGCAGTGTGGAAATTAAGCAATTGTGGGTTAGGTTGAGGATCATGCCGCAGTTAGAGCATGAGAGCAGTGATAAGCTGTTCCAACAAATATTGTATGCTCTGCCTCTTCTCCCTTCAACAATATCTGTGTCACAGCCAGGGATCAACACAGATAAAACGCTTTACTTCCATACAGAATGGGCCAGTTTGGTTTCTACTTACTAGTCACTGGGGAGTAACAGCATATTTTGTTGGTGATGGCAGGTACTTTGTCAGATTTGGAGCAGGGAGAAAGAAACAAAAGGACAGAGAGACAAACTCGCAAGACAAATTGTCTATTTATACATATGAAAACCTATTAAATATATACACTATTTTGTAAAAATGAAAACACAGTACATTTTGATAATACTGAGTGTTTCAACTGTCCTTATTTGCAGAGATACCCGAGTTGTGTTTGTGCTGTATTTGCCATCACAGATCTTTTGGTCATCGGCATCTTTGCAGAAATAACAGGCACACAGGAACAAGCCCTTTTGCATTAAATGATGCCCATAAAGATCCACCCTTACTTTGCATTAAATGATACCAGGAGGACTCAGGCTTTTCTGGCTACTTAATCCGTGGATGGGGAACTCCAGCTCCCTTCATCATCCCTGACCACTGGGGCTTGGTGGCTGCTGGAGCTGTACGGTTCCACCTCCCTGCTATAGTCAACCTCTCTCACATAGAAAGGTAGAGGAATCTCAATTTCATCTTGCTGGAAAAAACACTCTTTAAAAACAAACGCCCGACTGCAGGGACAATCAGGGGAATTAAACAGCAGGTAATCTGCATTAAGGGGATCCTAAGAGAAGCCCATCCAAGCCAGGGGTGGCTAACCCATGACCCCCCAGCTTTTGTTGGGCCCTGTCTCCCATCATCTGCAGTCAACATAGCCAATGGTCAGGGGGTGGTGTGAATTTGTGGTCCAGCAATATCCAGAAGACCACAGATGCTCCCCCAACCCTGATCTAGGCCCATCTAGTCCAGCATCCTGTGGTCACAGCGGCCTGTCAGATGCCTCTGGAGAAGCAGAACGTGAAAGCAGCAGCCTTTGCTATCGGCCTTTCAGCGTTCACAGGTAGACCGCATGTGCGCATGGAGGTTCTACGTAGTTGACATGCTTAACAGCCACTGACCACGCTCTACGGAGAGGTCCGACCCCGCTTTCTTCAAGCCAGAAGCTCAGTTGCCTTGCAGCGAAACAGAGCCAGACAATCTCTGGCAACAACAAATCATTCTTTGGGTGAAACCACCCAAAACTCAATAGGGAGCTGTGTTTGTGTCTCTCTGTAGGCTCCCGCTGTGGGGCATGTGGGGCTGTGCCCCAACGGGAACAGGCATCAGGGGTTGTGTTAGCAAACTCTCCACCCTCCTCACCCTCTGGTCCAGCGACAGGACGGGCCTCTGCCTGATCTGTACGATGACCCAAAGAAGGAAGGCCTCTGTGGGTTCTTCTCCCAGCAGATGCCCTGGCACAAGGTCCCCGAGTGAGAAACCTCAACCGCTACGACATTCCCCAAACGCACGGGATCCGTAGATGGGGCCCACGCAATGCTCCCGACCCGCGAAGAAGGAAACCACAGCATGGCGGTCTTCTCAAGCAACCGGCGCCGCCTGTCTCTCCTTCCACCTCCAGGGAGACCGCAAGAGATCTGGGCAGCTCCAGCTGGGGTTGCAGCAAAGCAGCACTGACATGATGAGCCCCAGGACCACCACAGAGCATAGCACCCACTTCAACATCCCCGTGTACATGAAGGGGAGGACCAAGACGATAAGGACAGCCACCAGCAGCAGGAGCAGCACCAGCCTCTTGGCCGCTGCCCGGCTTGGTCCCCTGATGGCATCATTCTCAGAGGCGGGGTTGCCCTCAGCCAGGCCAGTGCCAGGAGGGTCTGGCGGACAGGGGACCTCAGCGTCCAAGCCGGGGCTGCCCAGCCGGCCCACCACGTCCTCCTTGTCGTGAAGGCTGCAGATCAAGCCTCCGAAAACGACGGTGGCCTTCCGGCAGAGCGGGCAGCTGACGACCCAGGTGTGGTCTTCGTTCCGCAGGATGAGCTTCAAACAGACAGCACAGAAGACGTGCTGGCAGGCCAGGACTTTGGGCAGGCGGCAGGCGCTGTACCGGTTGAAGCAGATGAGGCAATCCATCTCGGCCAGCGAGACTTTGGAGGGGCGCGGATGGCACAGGTCGGCCACCGGCGGCACAGAAGTCTCCGTCAAAGCGGGCGGCTGCAAGGGTACTGAGGGCACCGATTCTGGAGTGCCTAACTGGGCAGCGTCTGGATCGGGGCCTTCCGCGGCAGGGGAACAGCAACCCTGGCCCTCTTCTGTAGGATCAGCCTCATCTAATGGACAAGCATCCTCTTGGTGTATTGGGCCTTTGGATGTCTCTGGCACGTCCATTTCCGCAGCGTCGCCTTCTGCCATCCCCAGCTGCCCTGTCTCCCTGCCTGGAGAGGCAGTTTCGCTCTCAGTATGTAAGTGATCCCCGGAGTCTTCCATAGGAGACAATGGCGGCCGCAGCGACAGTGCAGCAACCCCCTTCAGGCTGCATGTGTGCATTTGGAAGCTCCTTTTATAAAGGCGCTTTGTCCGGCCAACACAGAGCGAAGGCTTTGTTTGCTCTCTGAACATCCCGCTTGCTCCGGGAAAGGCAGTGACGTCGTGGTGGTTGTCATTTTTTTAAAAAAAAACAAAACCACAAGGCAGGGATAGGCGTTAATCAGTAACTCCAACGGTCACAGGGTTTTATGATGCCCGATAACATAAGCTGGGGAATTCTTGCCCTAAAGAGCAAAAGTTTTTTGTTTGTTTTTTAAACAGAGATCCAAAACATAAAGAGGACGCTTGAGGGTTGTTTTTTTTAGAGAAGGTGTAGCCAGCATTCAGAATCACACAAGAACAGAGTTGAAAGGTAGCGGGTGGAACTGTGGTCTAAAACACTGAGCCTCTTGGGCTTGCCGATCGGAAGGTTGGCAGTTTGAATCCCTGTGACGGGGTGAGCTCCCGTTGCTCAGTCCCAGCTCCTGTCAGCCTAGCAGTTCGAAAGCACATCAAAGTGCAAGTAGATTAATAGGTACTGCTGCGGCGGGAAGGTAAACAGCGTTTCCATGCACTCTGGTTTCCATCATGGAACCACCACCATGGAACCACCAGAAAGCTGTCTGTGGACAAACAATGGCTCCCTCGGCCTGAAAGCGAGATGAGCGCCGCAACCCCAAAGTCGTCTTTGACTGGACTTAACCACCCAGGGGTCCTGTACCTTTACATTTACCTAGTCCAACTCTAGGGACATGGGTGGCGCTGTGGGTTAAACCACAGAGCCTAGGACTTGCTGATCAGAAGGTCGGCGGTTCGAATCCCCGTGACGGGGTGAGCTCCCGTTGCTCGGTCCCTGCTCCTGCCAACCTAGCAGTTCGAAAGGACGTCAAAGTGCAAGTAGATAAATAGGTACCACTCCGGCAGGAAGGAAATCGGCATTTCCGGGCGCTGCTCTGGTTCACCAGAAGCGGCTTAGTCCTGCTGGCCACATGACCCGGAAGCTGTACGCCGGCTCCCTCGGCCAATAGAGCGAGATGAGGGCTGCAACCCCAGAGTCAGCCACGACTGGACCTAATGCTCAGGGGTCCCTTTACCTTTAGTCCAACTCTAAGCTACAATGCAGTGATTACAGATAAAGAATCCCTGGCCGACGGGCATCCAAACTCTGTTGGAAAGCACCCATTGAAGAGGGGGTCCACCACCTTCTGAAGGAGTCTGTTCCACTGTCAAACAGCTTGTACTGCCAGAAATGTATTCCTAATGTTTAGTCGGAATCTCCTTTCTTGTCATATGAATCCATTGTTCAAGTCCTAGCCTCTGGAGCAGCAGAAAACAAGCTTGCGCCATCTTCCATGTGACGGCCCTTTAGATATGTGAAGATGGCTATCATATCTCCTCTCAGTCTCCTCTTCTTTCTCCAGGATAAACATACCCAGCTCCCTCAACTGTTCCTCATAAGGCTTAGTTTCCAGACTCTTGATTCTCTTGGTTGCATATTCCAGCTTGTCGATATTCTTCTTAAATTGTGGCACCTACAACTGGACACAGTATTCTAGGTGTCGTCTGACAAAGGCAGAATATAGTGGTCCTCTTACTTCCCTAAATGTTGTTGTTGTTTAGTCGTTTAGTCGTGTCCGACTCTTTGTGACCCCATGGACCAGAGCACGCCAGGCACTCCTGTCTTCCACTGCCTCCCGCAGTTTGGTCAAACTCACGCTGGTAGCTTCGAGAACACTATCCAACCATCTCGTCATCCGTCATCCCCTTCTCCTTGTGCCCTCCATCTTTCCCAACATCAGGGTCTTTTCCAGGGAGTCTTCTCTTCTCACGAGGTGGCCAAAGTATTGGAGCCTCAGCTTCAGGATCTGTCCTTCCAGTGTGCACTCAAGGCTGATTTCCTTAAGAATGGAGAGGTTTGATCTTCTTCCAGTCCATGGGACTCTCAAGAGTCTCCTCCAGCACCATAATTCAAAAGCATCAATTTTTCGGCGATCAGCCTTCTTTATGGTCCAGCTCTCACTTCCATACATCACTACTGGGAAAACCATAGCTTTAACTATACGGACCTTTCCCTAAATGTATCCAGACACTAAACTTCTGTTGATGCAGCCTAGGATTTCATCACCTTTTTGTTGTTGCTGCATCACACTGTTGACTCCTGTTAAGCTTCTGGTCTACCTAGAAAATAAAATAACTCCAGGCAAACAAGAAGCAATTTCAGAGACTCGAGTGTGTTTTGAGGGACCCATCACAAACAAACACAAACAAGCAGAGCTGAAAATTCCACACAGACTCCAAATGTGACCTGAAATGACCAGCTCCCTCTGGATATTCCAAACATCTGCATATTTTAGTTGCGCATTCCAGCGTTTAGGGATGCTTTAAGGAAATCATCAAGTCTTGCCAATGACTTGAAGGCAATGTCTAAAAATAACCCAAAGTTCCACAGAAACACCTTTGTGTGGGCATGTTTTGTTTTCGATTAAAAAAAAGGCCTTGCAGCGTTCTAAATTGGGGGTGGTTGGGAAAACAAAAATCAAAGATACGAGGGTGGGGGAATATAGGGTGTGGAGGGGATTGTATTCAAATGCCAATACAGTGGTACCTCGGGTTACAGACGCTTCAGGTTACATACGCTTCAGGTTACAGACTTCGCTAACCTGGAAATATTACCTCGGGTTAAGAACTTTGCTTCAGGATGAGAACAGAAATTGTGCGGCGGCAGCGGGAGGCCCTATTAGCTAAAGTGATGCTTCAGGTTAAGAACAGTTTCAGGTTAAGAACGGACCTCCGGAACAAATTAAGTACATAACCAGAAGTACCACTGTAGAAGACAGCTTCGGGTTTCTTTGCAAACTACTTTAGGCTCAGAGAATCTGCGCGGGGAATTCCTGCAACGGCAAGAAAAGAAACCCTGCCTAATAAAGCTTCTCCAACCCGGTGCCCTCTAGATTTTGGGGGCTGCAATTCCCATCGTCACCCCTGAGCATCGGCCATGTTGACTGGGGTTGCTGGGAACAGGAGGCCAATGTCATCCCCAAAGCAGACCGTTGCTTGCCATTACAGCCCCCAGCTAACTCCATCATAACTCTGCCATCCTTCAATGCAGGGATCATAGAATGGAGAACCTGTGGCCCTCTAGATGTTGTGGGGCTCCCATCATCATCATCCCTAACCATTGGCCCTGCTGGCTGGGGCTGATGGGGGTCAAATTCTGGCATCATGCAGGGGACACTAGGATAGGGAAGGCTGACTTAAGGTATCAAAGAATCATAGAGTCTTAGAGTTAGAAAGGAGTCATCTAGTCCAGCCCCTGACAATGCAGGAATCTCAGCTAAAATATCATTGTCAGTGGACTCCCACAAAGAAAAGGCGGGTGCAAGGGTGATCAATTCATCTTCCGTTTCCAAATCTGGAGCAATGTCACCTGCAAATTCACCTACAACGGGACCACGCGAGACCAAGACTCAAATCGTTGTGCATTTGTATATTGGTTTTCGAACAGAATTTGTTCCGGAAGTCCGTTTGACTTCCGAAATGTTCGGAAATGAAGGTGCGGCTTCTGATTGGCTGCAGGAGCGTCCTGCAGCCAATCAGAAGCTGCGGAAGCCACACCGGACGTTCGGCTTCCGAGGCAAAGTTCGCAAACCCGGAACACCTACTTCCGGCTTTGCAACGTTCGAGTTCCGAGTTGTCCGTGATCCAAGCTGTTCGGAAACCAAGGTACAACTGTAGATCACTTCCTATGCTAAAAACACCATAGTCATGCTTGCCAGTTCAGTAAGAGTGGCTGGCGGAAACCCAGCCAGATGGGTAGGGCATAAATAATAAAATTATTATTTATTATTATAAGCGTGCACCCGTCATATTCTAGCTAGATGGCCAAAGTCTTTTCACAGGAATTGTGGAATTCCCACTCTTCCTCCACAGGAGTTGTGATGTCACTTCCTGGGTGGAATTCCGTTTCCTGTTCCGGATAGCGCATGGCCAGTTCCTTCCCCTCTACGTCCTCCTGGGTCTCGGAGCCGCCATCTTCCTCCTTGGCAAGGCACATCTTCCCGGAAGGCACTTCCGAAACGGACCCCACGATCACTGTGTCAGCTCTCATGATGTATATTTTTTCTAGGGTTTGGGGGGAGAGAAGCAGGAAACAGTGTTACTTTCCCCCTCCCTCAGTCACACATAAAGCATAGCTTCAGGTGGGGAAAACAGTTGGGGGCTCAAAACGTTCCTCACTTCATTTTTTAAAAAATGTTCTTTTTGCAAAAAATGGATATGCAGTGGTACCTTGGTTGTCGAACTTTTTAAAAAATAGTTTTTATTAAGAATTTCAACGCAACAAATTATCAAAACATATCACCTTCATTCCCCCCCATTTTCCCCTCCTCTCTAAGAAAAACCCTCCCTCCCCCCCCCAGACTTCCCTCAGCTCCTCTCTCTGATTTTTCAACACATGTTATTCTCTGCATATTGTAAAATTGTAAAAATCCTTAAATTATCTGACTATTATGTTAACAATCAATAAATTTGTGTATGTTTATTCAAAACCTGCCAAGGAGTCCAATTCATTTTGTTGTTTTTTTAAGTAGATTGTAAAAAGTTCCCATTCTTCTTTAAAGTCACAGTTGTCTAGTCTCGCAGTTTGTATGTCAATTTCACCAATACTTTGGTTGTCAAACTTAAAGCGTTCCGGGAGTCGACTCCCGGAACAGTTCGAAAACCAAGGTGCAGCTTCCGATTGGCTGCAGGAGCTTTCTGCACTCACTCAGAAGCTGTGGAAGCCACGTCGGCAGTTCGGCTCCTGTAATGGTTCTAGGGGTTGCTCGTGCGTAAGCCAGTGCTTATCTCCCCGGCTGGGTGCCAACACCTGGCTGGGTTGCCTGAGTGAACCTTTTCTGTCCGGACAGCCACTCACCCGTGGCTGACTCAATCGCTGGCAGAATCCGTCAGTGGGCGTTTCTTAAACTTCTTCCAGCAAAGAAGCTCTTTGACGCCTAGTCTCCTCCTACTCTCTCTGCACGAAAGCCTTCTGCGCAAGGAGGGCGTGGGCAACGGAGGACCCCTACTCTCCCCGCTGGTCCCAGGCAAGGAGTCATGGGACCGCCTCGCCGCTTGCCCCATCTGCCCCCCTTCTCCACTGCTGCTACGCTGATTCTCTTCCCCAGAAGATGGGCTGCTTCTCCGAATCCCTGGACGCTCTCTGGAATCCCTCTGGCTTTTGCTCTCTCCCTCCGGCACTGATGGCAGTTCCCTGACATTTGCAAACCAGAACGCTTCCGGGTTTGCGGTGTTCACGAACCAATTTGCTCAGGAGCCAAGCTGTGCGACAACCTAGGTACCACTGTGTTATACAACCGATAACGGAGCACTCACTCCCGCAGGAGACAGTGAGGGCCACCAAACTCAACAGCTGACTCACCGATGTGGTTACTCGTGTGGTTGTGCAGGGGGGACTCCACAAATGCCCCTCCGTCCATCTGAAGCAGCTCAGAACCTTCGGGATCAAGGACAGGAGTGTTTTCCATTTCCAAGACGGAGACGCCATCAGGGGCTTCTGCGAGGGGTTCAGGATTCAGCTGGTCCCCCTCTCCATGCTCTTCAGAGTCCAGCCCATCAATCCTCTCCTTGCAAAGACAGAAAAACAGGAGATCAATGAGTGAAGGGTCTATCCTGTGCAAGAAGGCAAGCCATCTATTCTCACTGCCCAGTTCTCCCTCTCTGGCTTTCCCCACCGTCAAGATTTAGGCTGCATAAAAGGTAAAGGGACCCCTGACCATTAGGTCCAGGCGTGGACGACTCTGGGGTTGCGGCGCTCATCTCGCTTTACTGGCCAAGGGAGCCGGCGTACAGCGTCCGGGTCATGTGGCCAGCATGACTAAGCCGCTTCTGGTGAACCAGAGCAGCGCACGGAAACGCCGTTTACCTTCCCGCCGGAGCGGTACCTATTTATCTACAGTGGTGTCTCGGGTTACAGACACTTCAGGTTACAGACGCTTCAGGTTACAGACTCCGCTAACTCAGAAATATTACCTCAGGTTAAGAACTTTGCTTCAGGATGAGAACAGAAATCGAGCTCCGGCGACACGGTGGCAGCGGGAAGTCCCATTAGCTAAATTGGTGCTTCAGGTTAAGAACAGTTTCAAGTTAAGAACAGACCTCCAGAACGAATTAAGTTCTTAAACCGAGGTACCACTGTACCGCTCATCACCTGTAACCAGTAAAGTTGTGGCCTTTTTTAGCCCATTAACCTTAATAATTGTGTCATGTGTCATTATTTCCACCTGGTGGCGCGGGAACTCGCCACGCAATATAAATCACAAGTAAAATGTAGTAAAATTTCACATTGCAGTGGACGCTCGGGTTGCGAACGTGATCCGTGCAGGAAGCACGTCTGCAACCCGCAGCGCCGTGTCTGCGCATGCGTGGGTTGCGATTCGGTGCTCCTGTGCATGCACAAAGCACGATTTAGAGCTTCTGCGCATGCGCAAGCGCCGAAACCTGTACGTAACTTGTTCCAGTACTTTGGGGTTCAGCGCGGTGTGCAACCCAAAATCGTGCAACCTGAAGCGTCTGTAACCTGAGGTATGACTGTACAAGTATCTTCACATTCCTGCCAGTGACTTTAAATTTTTACAGTGATCTTTTAAACAAAGTAAGAATTTATCCCAGTCCTTTTCAAATACTTGATCTTCTTGGTTTCGGATCTTTCCTGTCAATTTTGCCATCTCCACATAGTCCATCAGTTTCGCTTGACATTCCTCTTTCTACGGTATTTTTTCTTGCCCTCCCCTTCTTTTCTTAGCTCCAGCGGTTCCTGAACAGTATTTTTTAAAAAAGCAATTGCTGGAAACAGAAAGCTTTATTTAACCCCTCAATATGCTGAGTTGCAAGGCAAGGGATCATACTTACTTCGCAAATCTTCGCCGGGTTAGAGGCTGCAAAAGAGAGAAAATGAGAGGAGGGATTAAATCTCTCGCCATTCATGATTCTGCATTAATTTCTGGAGACGGCAATCCCAAAAGGTTTCCCTCTCCCTAAACAAACAAAGCGTGTCATTCTTTAATTAGGAAAGGTCTCTGCCAAAGAAGATAACTGATGGCCTCAGACTTTCAAAATCTTTTTAAAGAAGGAGAGATTGTTTTTTATTTATTTCATAAAAATTATATGCATTTATATTTCGTGAAATGTGTACATGATTGTAAAAAACAACAAAAAAGCAAAATCCCATCAGTGGTTTACAAAAAGAATAAAAGCATGAAATTATCAGTTAAAAGCAGCTTAAAAAAAACTATTCAAAATTAATTAAAATCAGTGGCAAGCAGATTAAAAAACCTGCCAGCATTCTACGTGATATAGGCTTTCACCAAAACAAAATGTTTTTAGCAGATGATGTTTTTAGTGACATCAAGTAGGATCCATCACTGTAATCTTTTTGGCACCGGCCAAAAACATTATGGTTTAGGCAAGCCTACCCAGACGCGGGTGGCGCTGTGGGTTAAACCACAGAGCCTAGGGCTTGCCAATCAGAAGGTCGGCGGTTCGAATCCCCGTACAGGGTGAGCTCCCGTTGCTCGGTCCTTGCTCCTGCCAACCTAGCAGTTTGAAAGCACGTCAAAGTGCAAGTAGATAAATAGGTACCGCTCCAGTGGGAAGGTAAATGGCGTTTCCGTGTGCTGCTCTGGTTCGCCAGAAGCGGCTTAGTCATGCTGGCCACATGACCCGGAAGCTGTACGCCGGCTCCCTCGGCCAATAAAGCGAGATGAGCACCGCAACCCCAGAATCGGCCACAACTGCACCTAATGGTCAGGGGTCCCTTTACCTTTACCCAGACAAGTAGAAGGCTGATGTGTCCTTTAATCTGTTTTTAATTTATTGCTGTTTTTTTTTAAAAAAAACACGTCTCAATTAGTAGTATAATTTTTATGAACTCTACAGATTAAAATATATGGATTAGGAAAACCCATAGAGAACGTCTGTCGACGGCTCTGAGCTTAAACAGAGCCTCCGGACTCAGCACCCCCAGGTAGGGCCGGCGATGGTCCTTGCCAGAAATCCTGGAGAGCAGCTGCCAGCCCGTGCAGGCAATACTGAGCTAGATGGACCTATGGCGTCCTATGTTCCTCCGATATTCACGCAAAGCAATGCATGATGGGCTACACTGAGCTCCTAGGACAGGGGGCACCTGAAAGCACTCAAAATATTATAAGTTGCATCCTGGTACCCAAAACAAAGGGAACTGTGCCACCTACTGTTGCAATGAAGTCATGACAAGAGCCCAACTTGACCAGAGCTCTTCTGTCATTTACTGAATTTGTGGGCAGGCAACATGAACTCTTGTCTCTCTAAAGAGCTTTTGACATGGACGTTAGCTTCCCCTGGGATTTCAAAAGCCCAGCAATGGAAAACCTCAATAAATCTGCTTTTGGCTGTGTCAGTCGGTCAGTTTTATTGCACATAGCCAAAGGCTGCCGCGATGTACACAGAATCATTCAACAATTGAAAGACAATATACTGGATTGATACAAAAAACTTAAAACATTTATATTATCAAGACATTACCTACTCTAAACAGAGCTATAAAAGTACCTTAATATGCAGGTTAAAGCATTAAACAATAAAATTTATAGGCTAAAATTATCACATGGCCACTAATATATTAAAAAATAAAGTTAATTAATACAATGTGCAATTATATTCGGAGTTTGGTGATAAAGATAGAATATAGCTTGATGTAGATTGGGTTAAATAAATTCATCTCCTTTACAGTTGGTGGCTACCTTGGCTATATAATTAGCTGTAATTTTCCTAGCGGCAGCTGCAAAGAGTGCTGCACGCCAGGTCACATACTTATCTGTGTCTGAGAGGAGATATAAAATCATGTCAGAGGGGTTCTGGCCAGGAGACTTTGTCATTATAGGTGCTACAAATTGTTCTCTTGCTTCATTATATAAGGGGCAGCGCAAGATATAATGCATAAGGTCCTCTACTTCAGGACATCCCCTAATGCAAACACGTTCATTTTTTGGTATGCCTCTGTGTCTCCCATCTCTATAAGCAGAGTTTATTGTATTTAATCTTTTAGCTGTGTGGTATAAGAACTAATGGACTTTGGCCATTGTGGCAAAAATTACACGCAAACTGCATGTTTCTGGGGGGGGGGAGCATGTTTGAAGGATCCAGAACACTTTTTTGACATCTGGTGGGATTTTATTTCCTATGTTTCTGACTTGGATGCTCTTCATGACTCAGTTATAAATTGGAATGTTTGGCGTTCTTTATTTCCTATTTACTGCGTGTTTGGTTTGTATATGGTATGACGTAATACCCTGTCAAGGGACGTGGGTGGCGCTGTGGGTTAAACCACAGAGCCTAGGACATGCCGATCAGAAGGTCGGCGGTTCGAATCCCCGCGACGGGGTAAGCTCCCGTTGCTCGGTCCCAGCTCCTGCCAACCTATCAGTTCGAAAGCACCTCAAAGTGCAAGTAGATAAATAGGTACCGCTCCAGCGGGAAGGTAAATGGTGTTTCCGTGCGCTGCTCTGGTTCGCCAGAAGTGGCTTAGTCATGCTGGCCACATGACCCGGAAGCTGTACGCTGGCTCCCTCGGCCACTAAAGCGAGATGAGCGCCGCAACCCCAGAGTCGACCACGACTGGCCCTAATGGTCAGGAGTCCCTTTACTTTTACCTTTTAATACCCTGTCACTGCACTTCTGGGTTGCTAACAATGTGATATGTTATTATATATATATCTCTCTCTTATAACAACCAGCACCTTGAAGATTGAGCATAGATTTCCTGCGGAAGAAGGTCAGCTCGTTCTTCGCTGCATGGGGGACAATCCACGCCTTGCAAAACCTCCTCCGCCAGAACATCACCAAGCCGGCAAACAGGACCAACACGGAAAGGAGGACAGCAACCAAGAGGGCGAAATCAGTCTCCCCTGAAAAGCCAAAGACACACAGAGGAATGGGCAAGGGATGAGAGGAAAGGGTGAGGAAGAAATATACAGTGGTACCTCGGGTTAAGAACTTAATTTGTAGCACCACTTTAGCTAATGGGGCCTCCCGTTGCTGCCGCGCCACCGGAGCACGATTTCTGTTCTCATCCTGAAGCAGAGTTCTTAACCTGAGGTACCGTAATATTTCTGGGTTAGCGGAGTCTGAAGCGTCTGTAACCCGAGGTACCACTGTATGTGGAAAGTGGTTTAAAGAAGCAACCACTGTAGAACTGAGTAACGTCTTGTGATCAGTTCATTTTGGAAAGCGCAGCAGAAGGAATTAATTTCTGCACCAATAATAATAATAATAATAATAATTTATTATTTATACCCCACCCATCTGGCTGGGCTTCCCCAGCCACTCTGGGCAGCTTCCAACAAAGTATTAAAATACAGCAGTCTGTTAAACATTAAAAGCTTCCCTAAAGAGAGCTGGCTTCAGATGTCTTCTAAAAGTCTGGCAGTTGTTCTTCTCTTTGATAACTCTATAGATATAGATTTGGGGGATTTTTAGCTGATGCAGTTGGCTGTTCCAGCCCCTTGGCTCCTCAAGGCTAGACTACTGTAATACATTGTGGTGTGGGGCTGCCCTGGGAGACAGTCATTAAAACTTTACTTGGTCCAGAACGCAGGCGCTAGGGTTTTCCCTGGGAACCAGGGGATCAGATCAGATCACACTGATCTTTCTTGCCAACTGTTTTTAAATACTGTGTCTTTGAAATCACTGTGACTCGCCCTGGTACTTCATGGGAAGGGTGACTGAGCAGTGCTTTTTTAAAAAAATAATAATATTTATTGCTTTTAAACCTTACAAAAAGAAGAAAGAAAAGAAAGAAAGAAAAAAAGAAAAGAAGAAGAGAAGCAAAAAAGAAAACAATACAATACAATATATAAACAATACAGAATGCAACATTAACATTAACACATTAAACAAAACAAGAGCAAAAACAATTCAAAAAACACACATCATACCATCTCAATATCCTCTCTTTCATTCCCTTGTTTCATCGACCTCCTCTCACCTCCCTTTTTGTATTCCATTTCTATTAATTGTTTCAGCAAATCCTTTCCATCTTTCTCTATTTTCTGTCATGTAATTATCTTAACATATTTTAACCTTATTTTCCATTAATACTATAATACTTATTTATACTTAATTCCTTAAAATATTTAGCAGTGCTTTTCTTGACCCAGCGACTGGATCTCCTCAGTGCAGAAGTTCAGCTTTTCGAAACACAAAAACACAGTTCTAAACAAAGTCACAGAAAAGAGAAAAGCAGCCGACATTTTTGCAGTTTGCTTTCGGGAAAGAGTGGACAGCGCTTTGAAGACGCAGACCCCATCGGCACATTAATTTTAAACCTGCATTGTACCACTTTAAACGGGATTTCCCAGGATTATTTGGGTGGAAGCCATGAAGAATAATAATAATAATAATAATAATAATAATAATAATAATAATTTATTATTTATACCCCACCCATCTGGCTGGGTTTTCCCCAGCCACTCTGGGCAGCTTCCAGCAGAATATTAAAATACAATGATTCATCAAATATTAAAAGCTTCCCTAAACAGGGCTGCTTTCAGATGTCTTCTAAAAGTCCAATACAGTGGTACCTCGGGTTAAGTACTCAATTCGTTCCGGAGGTCCGTTCTTAACCTGAAACTGTTCTTAACCTGAAGCACCACTTTAGCTAATGGCGCCTCCTGCTGCCGCTGCGCCACCGGAGCACAATTTCTGTTCTCATCCTGAAGCAAAGTTCTTAACCTGAAGCACTATTTCTGGTTTAGCGGAGTCTGTAACCTGAAGCGTATGTAACCTGAAGCGTATGTAACCCAAGGTACCACTGTAGTTGTTTATTTCTTTGACATCTGATGGGAGGGCGCCATGACTGCTTAAAGAGGTACGATACAGCTTTAAATGTACAGCGCAGATGAGGCCTAACTCTTGATTTGTCCCCGTACCTCCCTGCCAACCAACACCATTTGCAAACCTCTGTTTGGTTTCTTCACAGGCAAGATCTGGGTGAATTCATCTCTGCCTTCGCTGACCGTTGTGCTGAGGACGCTGGCCAGCGAGGGGTCCAGGTGAATGGCAGTTGTGGCCACTGTAGGCGTTGACTGCCCAGGCGAGTGGTCCAGGCAGCGTTCGTCCTGCGTGATTGCCCCTTGGCCCAGAGGGACCTTGTTTAACTTGGCACAGCTGGGGGTGGATGAGAAGGAGGGAGAGGGAAAAAAACCCTTTTATCACATGTGGTGGGCCTGTCCCAAGGTGAAGGACTTCTGGGAAATGATATATAATGAGATGAAAAACATGTTGAAATATACATTTATAAAGAAACCAGAAGCATTTTTACTGGGCATTGTAGGAAGTGATATAAACAGGAAAGATTGTAAGCTGTTTTGATCATAGCTGTCAACTTAGATTTGAAAATAAGGGATCAGAAGCCTCAAAAATAAGGGATCAGCAGCAAAAATAAGGGATTTTCCAAGCACAGGTATGTTCAACTTCTGAGCCCCTCCGAGCCAAAGGCAGAAAGCCCAGCCAGCAGCCAAACGAAGCCTCAAGCGATGGTTCCCACAGCACAGCAACCCGGCAAAGGGGATGCAGCAAGGAAAACCACTGTCACCTCTCCGCTGGGAAGCGCTGAGCAAAGGCGAGTCTACAGGCAACGTGGCCGATTTGATCAGCACAAGGCATGCAAGCTCCACCCCCCAGTCGTTCTTAGACTCCTTATTGGGTGAGCAACGCAGCCAAGCAACACAGTTGGAGCCTCCCCCCTCCCTGGCCGGCAGGGAGGGAGGGAGAAGAGCTGCTTCCTTTGAAACCCGGGAAATTTAAGGGACATCATCAATAAGTGACAGCAGCGGGACATGGTGCTGGGATAAGGGACTTTCCCGCCAAATAAGGGACGGTTGACAGCTATGGTTTTTATATGCAATGACGGCAGCAAGAATATTATTGGCACAAAAATGGAAGCAGGAAGAGTTACCGACGAAAGAAGAATGGAGGATGAAATTAATGGACTATGCAGAATTAGATAAACTAACAGGAAGGATTCGAAATCTGCGGGACCAGAAATTCACAGAAGACTGGTGTAAATTTACAGACTATTTGAAAAGTAACTGTGATAATCAGACTACTTTTGTAGGTTTGCAAGAAGTTTTGTGAGGTGAATTATTGGAACTATTGCAAAAATGGATAAAGGGGAGGATGGTTAGTTAAGATAATTAACGGCAATATGAATTTAAGAAATGAACGAGAAGTGGTCAAAACGGTGGATCATCAGAGGTGCTGATGGAAGTCCAAAAAAAAAAGAAAAAAAGATTGTATAAGTGGTGAAGTTTTGTGGTATGTATTATAATTTATATATTAAAATTAATAAAAATTATTATTTTAAAAAAAGGAATATTAGGTCTTGAATTGCCCAAAAAAGATGTAAAGGTATTATTGTATGCTACAACTGCTGCTCGAATTTTAACAGCCAAAAAGTGGAAAACACAAGAATTACCAACTGTGGAAGAATGGCAGATGAAGATGATGGACTTTATGGAGCTAGCTGACCTCACTGGAAGAATCCGCAACCAGAAAGAAGTGGAATATCAAGAAGATAGGAAGAAATTTAAAGACTATTTGAATAAATATTGTAACATTAAAAATTAGAAGTTACCTGAAAGTACTAAATAGGCCTAGGATTAAATTAGGGTTTAATTAAATAAATGAGACTTAGAATGTTAAGAAAAATTAAGAAATTTGACTATAATTGGAATATTGTTTTTGAATAATGATATTGGAAAACTGCTAGATTCAGTTACAAGGAAATTCAGATAGGAGGGACTAGAGGAAGTCAAGCAATACGTTTATGAGGTTGGAAGTTTAATTAATTAATTAATTTGTATTGTTTATGTGTTTGTTGTTATATCTTTTGTTGCTACTCGTTTTATTTGTTTTATTTCTTTTTTATTTTTGTTTCATTTGTTTTACAGTATGTGTTATATTTGTATGAAACTCAGTAAATATTATTGTTTAAAAAGAGAGAGAGAGAGAGAGAAACCAATAGAACAAGAGAAGTGTTACAAACGACCCTGTAAGGTAGTCCACTGGGTTTTAGTTTTTATCCGCAGGATAGGACCCTCTATAACAGGCACCCCCAAACTTCGCCCTCCAGCTGTTTTAGGACTACAACTCCCATCATCCCTGACCAGTGTTAGCTAGGGATGATGGGAGTTGTAGTCCCAAAACAGCTGGAGGGCTGAGTTTGGGGATGCCTGCTCTGTAAGTACATACTAGATACAGAACTGCAGAGGAAGTTATCACTCACTCGGTGCGAGGCTTGCAGATTTGGGTGCTGGAATCTTCATCAGAGAAAGTACCTGAAGGGCATTCTTCACAGATGGTATCTGTGTCAGGGGTGCCTGATGAAAATAATGATAAAAGACTACTGTAATTCAGGGATGCGGGTGGTGCTGTGGGTTAAACCACAGAGCCTAGGACTTGCCAATCAGAAGGTCAGCAGTTTGAATCCCCACGACGGGGTGAGCTCCTGTTGCTCAGTCCCTGCTCCTGCCAACCTAGCAGTTCCAAAGCACCTCAAAGTGCAAGTAGATAAATAGGTACCACTCCGGCGGGAAGGTAAACGGCGTTTCCATGCGCTGATCTGGTTTGCCAGAAGCGGCTTAGTCGTGCTGGCCACATGACCCGGAAGCTGTACGCCGGCTCCCTCGGCCAATAAAGCGAGATGAGCGCCGCAACCCCAGAGTCGGCCATGACTGGACCTAATGGCCAGGGGTCCTTTACCTTTACCCAGACATGTAGAAGGCTGGCGTGTCCTTTAATCTGTTTTTAATTTATTGCTGTTTTAAGTAGTAGTAGATGAGTACCGCAACCACTGCCACGACTGGACCTAATGGTCAGGGGTCCCTTTACCTTTTACTGTAATTTAAAACAGGCACCACCAGAGGTGCCATGGTTGGGGGTCCCAGGAGGCCAAAGACCTGTTCCTATTACTGCAGCGGGGCCTCTCTCTCCAGCTTCCTTAACCCGAGGTAACACTGTATGTTGGAAGCCGCCCAGAGTGGCTGGGGTAACCCAGTCAGATGAGCGGGGTATAAATTAGTACAGTGGTACCTCTGGTTATGTCCTTAATTCGTTCAGGTGGTCCGTTCTTAACCTGAAACTGTTCTTAACCTGAAGCACCACTTTAGCTAATGGAGCCTCCTGCTGCTGACGTGCTGCCGCCGCCACAAAATTCCCGTTATCATCCTGAAGCAAAGTTCTTAACCCGAGGTACTATTTCTGGGTTAGCGGAGTCTGTAACCTGAAGCGTATGTAACCTGAAGTGTATGTAACCCAAGGTACCACTGTAAAATTATTATGATGGAATAGGATGTCCCTATTCCCATGAGAGAAAAGGGCATGGAGTCATCCGACGGGAAGTCACCTTGGGGAATCGACCACAGTGGTACCTCAGGTTAAGTACTTAATTCGTTCCGGAGGTCCGTTCTTAACCTGAAACTGTACTTAACCTGAAGCACCACTTTAGCTAATGGGGCCTCCTGCTGCTGCCGTGCCGCTGAAGCACAATTTCTGTTCTCATCTTGAAGCAAAGTTCTTAACCTGAAGGACTATTTCTGGGTTAGCGGAGTCTGTAACCTGAAGCGTATGTAACCTGAAGTGTATGTAACCCAAGGTACCACTGTACTAAGGTCACTCTGAAGAAGGACACCAAGGAGCAGCTGTTGTTTAGGAACACTGGAACACACACATTGCAAGGAAATAGTGAGCAGGCTCTGTTACGTAACACTCATGGAAAGCACAAATTAGGTCACACTGAAAGCAGATATTGGAGCACCCCAAATCATTTACCCATAGAGGAGAGAACTATTGATGGCTACTAGCCACAAAGGCTATGCTCTGCCTCTGGTTTCCCTTTGTGCAACTTGCCTAGAAAATAGCAGATCTCGCTGAAAGGAGATCGGCACTGATTGTCGAAATGCGTCCCTAATTTTTATTATTGCATAATGAGGGTTATTGCCCCCATAACATGAGAATAAATATGGCAGGATCTCCCCTGCCGCCCAATGGCAGAACGTGTTTCCCCCCGAAAGCAAAATCCTGACAAGGTCTCAATTGCTTTACGATATGATAATCTTTATTGTCATTGTCCTATAGAGAACAACGAAATTGAAAAAATCTTCACCAGACATTCAAAAACCAACAAGCCTGCTATCCCAGCTATCCCAGCCTTGTTAACCCCCTAAAAACTCTGATACCCCATAATTAAATACTCCCACAGAGACTACCTTATATTGCATTTGAATAGAAACTGTTTCTCCGGCAGCTAGTCCTAGTCTTTATAACCCTGTACCTTCTTCCAGAAGGCAGAAGCTGAAAGAGATCATTTCTGGGGTGCGTATTATCCTGCACTATCTCTGCAGCTTTCTTATGACACCTGGAAGCATAGATTTGATCCAAGGTGGGAAGAGTGCACCCAATTATTCTCTCCACAGTCTTTACAACCCTGGACCGTGACCGTGCAGCTCCCAAACCACACACAGAGACCATAAGTTAATACACTCTCAACAGTACAATACACTCTCAACAGTACCTACCTTTGGTCTTGACCCCAGAGCCCGGCTTGCAAGTGGTCAGCGGGACGCAGGTAATACAGGTGCCCTTCGACGGCTCCTTACAGTACCATCCAGGCTGGCATTGGCACTCCCGGTTGGTATGGTTGGTGCAAGGACGTTTTTCTACTAGGTGACGGTCTGTTGGAGAAGACCCAAACAGATGCTGTTTTAGTCCACAACGCCCCTGCAAGGTAGGTTAGGCTGAGAGGTAGCGACTGAACGAGGCCTGCCCAGCGAACTTTGTGGCCGAATGACGATTTGGACCCAGATTCTAGATCAGGGCGGTCTAACCTCAGGAAAAACTTTCTAGGCATCAGAAAAAGCAACCTATCTGACAGTAAGAGCTGTTCGACTGTGGAACGGTCCCTCTCTGGAGGTTGTGGACTCTCCTTCCTTGGAGGTTTTTAAACAGAGGTTAGATGGTGCTGGAGGAGACTCTTGAGAATCCCATGGACTGCAGGAAGATCAAACCTCTCCATTCTTAAGGAAATCAGCCCTGAGTGCTCACTGGAAGGACAGATCCTGAAGCTGAGGCTCCAATACTTTGGCCACCTCATGAGAAGAGAAGACTCCCTGGAAAAGACCCTGATGTTGGGAAAGATGGAGGGCACAAGGAGAAGGGGACGACAGAGGACGAGATGGCTGGACAGTGTTCTCGAAGGTACCAGCATGAGTTTGACCAAACTGCGGGAGGCAGTGGAAGACAGGAGTGCCTGGCGTGCTCTGGCCCATGGGGTCATGAAGAGTCGGACACGACTAAACGACTAAACAACAACAACAAGATGGCCATCTGTCAGAGATACTTTAGTTGAGATTCCTCCATTGCAGAGGGGTTGGACTAGATGGTCCTTAGGGTGCCTTCCAACTCTACAGTCATTACAACTCTACAGTCACTACAATCTACAGCTTACGCTAAGAGCCCCGTGTTGGGGCAGCACCCTGTTGCAACAGTTGAATAAAGATCAGGCTTACTAGCTGCTTTGCTTCTCAATATTCTCTGGTTGGCCTCTTTTTTTCTCTCCTACCAATAGAGAACCTACTTAAGGACTTTATATGGGCTCTTAGGTACCCCATAAGGGAAAGGGAGCAGTATTTTTCTTATACCATGCTGAAGTCTTTACCACGGACTTTGACACTTGAGGAACTGGGCTGGTGCAGGAGGAGGCGAGCCCAGGCGCCAGTCGAAAAGGCAGTGTGCTGCAAAGGGCAACGGGTGCCCGGGGGCAAATACCTGGCAGGCACTGCTTACAAGCCTCGCAACGGGGCGTGACGTGCGCGTCGTTCAGGTAGTGGTCGGCTCGGCACAGGTTCTTTTTGCAGTCCGTGAGATTCGCAGGGCAAGTCACAGTCTGGGTGTATCCTAAAAATAAAATAAAACAGGAGAGGAGGCTGCTCTTAACCCAATCCCAGGACCTTGCAGATCCCACTGTTGTAAGATCATAGGGTTGGAGAGAACTCTTTAGTTTTCCCCAAACATGGCTTTTCTGCCCATTTAAAATTTGGTTTATTGTCTTGTGAGGATGATGTTGCGGTAAGACAGGCCAGCTGCCTGTTAAAGCCTCTGGTAAATACATCTCTGCTGGCACATATTTTTGATCAGAATACAGTGGTACCTCAGGTTACAAACTTAATTCGTTCCAGAGGTCCGTTCTTAACCTGAAACCGTTCTTAACCTGAGGTACCACTTTAGCTAATGGGGCCTCCCGCTGCCGGGGCGCGATTTCTGTTCTCATCCTGAGGTAAAGTTCTTAACCTGAGGTACTACTTCCGGGTTAGTGGAGTCTGTAACCCAAAGTGTTTGCAACCCAAGGTGCCACTGTAAAAGGAGAGGTTTTTAATTAAAAGTTTGCTTCCCATGCAGCAAGTTTCAAAATTGTAGATCCTGTGAGATGCAGGATCCTGAACTTTATTAACCCATGGAGGGGGGGCTCCTTTAAGAGTTGATGACACCCAGTTCTACCTGTCTTTTAAATCAGAACCAGTGAAGGTCCTGTGTGAGTGCCTGGAGGCGGTTGGAGGATGGATGACGGCCAACAGACTGAGGTTGAATCCTGACAAGACAGAAGTACTGTTTTGGGGGGACAGGGGGTGGGCGGGTGTGGAGGACTCCCTGGTCCTGAATGGGGTAACTGTGCCCCTGAAGGACCAGGTGCGCAGCCTGGGAGTCATTCTGGACTCACAACTGTCCATGGAGGCGCAGTTCAATTCTGTGTCCATGGCAGCTGTTTATCAGCTCCATCTGGTACGCAGGCTGAGACCCTACCTGCCCGCGGACTGTCTCGCCAGAGTGGTGCATGCTCTAGTTATCTCCTGCATGGACTGCTGCAATGCACTCTATGTGGGGCTACCTTTGAAGGTGACCTGGAAACTGAAATTAATCCAGAATGCGGCAGCTAGACTGGTGACTGGGAGCGGCCGCCGGGACCACATAACACCGGTCCTGAGAGATCTGCATTGGCTCCCAGTACGTTTCCGAGCACAATTCAAAGTGTTGGTGTTGACCTTTAAAGCCCTAAACCCCCTCAGTCCTGTATACCTGAAGGAGCGTCTCCACCCCCATCATTCTGCCCGGACACTGAGGTCCAGCGCCGAGGGCCTTCTGGCCGTTCCCTCATTGTGAGAAGTGAGGTTACAAGGAACCAGACAGAGGGCCTTCTCAGTAGTGGCGCCCGCCCTGTGGAACACCCTCCCTTCAGATGTGAAGGAAATAAGCAGCTATCTTATTTTTAAGCGACATCTGAAGGCAGCCCTGTTTAGGGAAGTTTTTAATATTTAATGCTGTACTGTTTTTAATACTTGATTGGGAGCCGCTCAGAGTGGCTGGGGAAACTCAGCCAGATGGGCAGGGTATAAATAATAAATTATTATTATTATTATTCCCTCCCTCCACCGACATGACTCAAGAATCTCCTTCCCCGCCTTATAGGGGGAGAGTTAGGTTCTGCAAAGCCTGTACCTGCTGCTTGCAGTAGAATAGCCCAGGCTGAAACTGACCAACTGCAGGAAAAACAAAGCCTTAAAAAGGGTCCTGAGCGGATTATACATCTCTATTTCAGTACCCAGGACTGGAAGGGGAACACCCTTCTATTTAACGCCAGCCCCTGACGGCGTGCCGTTCATACCCAACTGAAAAAAGAACCGTCAGAAGGAGAAAATGTCAGAAATTTCCTCTAGAAAGACAGTAAAAACACCCCCCACCCACAGAGTTCTCTTAAGTTCCTCGAGGGGAGTTTTGGGGCTTGGCTTCCAAGGCCGCAGAGTTTGCAAACTTTGGTGAGTCACCCAGCTCACCTCAGACAGCCCCCCAAAAGCACCATATTTCCGGAGGGAGGGAAGCTCCCCCTTCTGGCGTGACAGACCACATCTCTCTGGTTTTTATGAAGAAACCACAACTAAGACTGCTCACGTCGGTTTCTGAGAGTTCAATAACTAAAGCACAGCAAAATCTCCTTGCCCACATCTGCGCGCCCGACCACTTCGATCTGCGGATCTGGCCCTGTTACAACTGCTGTTTCTTCCACATTTGCAAGAACTTCATCTTTTAGTGTGGCAGAAGCCACACTTTGGAACTCCCTGCCACTTGATATCAGGCAGCCGTCTTCGCTGTGCTTTTCTCGGCACCTGCTAAAAACATCCTTGTTCAGACGAGCATGCCCAGATGTTTAGAACGCGTGTTTTTAATTCGTTGCTGGTTTTAATTCCGCCCTCCCAGCAATCTAATTGCTTCTGCTAATCATCTTACTGCTTTGCTCTTCTTGTCAACCACCTTGAGGTTCTCTACAACCAAGCGGTATGTAAGTTTTATGAAATAAAACTGAGAGAATAAATAAGGAGGAATAATGATATTTAAACTCATTTCCAATGTTGCACTTTTACAGTGTAAGGAGCTCACCTGGGAACAGGTGCTGGGAGGGGGATAGAAAGCCAGTCAGCAAAGGGTTAAGGACCTCGGGCCAGAGAGACATACGTGGCCCTCCAGGATTCTCTCCCTGGCCCTCAGAACTCTCCGCAGGCCACACCCTCTTCTATCCAAGCCACACCCTCTCATTGATCCTGCTTCCTGCCCCAATAGATTTTGCCAGACTGGAATGTGCCCTTTGCAGGTCCCCTTCATCTCTATGATTCTAGGATTCCAGTAAGGTTGTCCTTGCAGTGCACAGAGGTACTGACCTGAGGGGCATTGGTAGCAGCACCGTAGGGGTTCTTTGTTCGACCCGATGACCAGCCCCAAGCAAGGCAAATGACCCGATCCCTAGAAAGGCAGAAAGACAAAAGCCATAATTAAAAGCCGAGAGGCTGCATGTTTCTCCTGCGTTGAGCAGGGCGGAGTCTGTGTTTCTAAATACATCTGAACTAATGCGCAAGACATTGAAATATGGTGGAACTCTTCACATAAGCTCAGGATCAATGGCCAGGACTTGAGTGTTGTTTCTCAAAAGAAAGGGGAAATAGTTTCAGGTGCAGTTTCAGGAGGGGGAGATGACTGGTGGTTTTGTCGTGGTTTCTATTTTGATTCCATTTGAGGCCTTAAAAAGAATGAGGGGGGGGGCCCAAAACAACTGATGGAACTCCCTGCCACAAGATCTGGCAAAACCCACATGCTTTAGAAAGGGTTAGACAAATTCATTAGCCCCTAAGAAAAGCCTGGTTGCTGGATCAGGCCAGGCAGTGACCCCTCTAGTCCAGCATCCTGTTCCCCTCAGTGCTCATTCCTGACCATCAGCTTTGTTTGCTAGCGCTGATGGGATTTGCAGTTCAGCAACATCTTGCGGGCCAAAGGTTCCCCACTCTATCATGTCACTCGCCTTTTCTCTAAACTAAAAAGCCTCAGACTCTGCAAACTTTCCTTGCAGGGAACGAAAGGAACATTCTGGAACCAGCGTAAACAGAAAGGCGTACAAAGCCTTAGTCACAAACTCGTGCAGTGTGCAGCAGCTTTTACTCTCAGGGAAGCAAGTGTAGGATTTCAGCCACTGTGAAGCATCTATTTCTTTTTTAGTCCAAAATTATTTTATTAAACTTCAAGATATTCCGCATACAATTCCAATACATATTTTTTTAAAATTCCTTTTATATTATTGACTTCCCACCCCGTTTTCCAGGATGCTTTTCTTATCCCCTCTTTGCTGCGTCCCGTCTTCTCCCCTCATTTTACATCCTAACAACACAATAGTCTCTCATTCTTTCTGCTGCTCATAATTCAAATCCTGTTCGCCGATTCTTCAAACCATAACATTCCGCGAAGCATTTATTTCTGAGACATCTCGTCTCCTTCTGAGGCCCTCAGAGAGCCCCGATTCTGGTTCACGCGTAAGAGAAAAGGTAGGACGTTTCTCTAGATTCGTCTCTGAATTAAAGACGCTGAGTTTGATTTTTCTGGATGACTGGAGAAGTTCAGACTCGAGTCGAAACAAGACATACTATCAAGAGATGAAAGGGGTTGGTAGCAACAGACATGACATTTCAATCCCTCAAAAAAAAATTTTTGAGGTCAGTTTGGCAGAGATTGTAAAATAATGACACAATTGTAGACATATGTGTGCGTCTTGAAGACTTGGGCAAGTTTATCTGCTTCTCAGCTGTTCCTCAGAACCAAAGAAGAGTTTGGCTGCCAGATCAGACCGACAACAGCACTTCGGGTCAAGCAAAGGTCTGTATTCTGCTCTGGTCAGACCTCACCTGGAGTACTGTGTCCAGTTCTGGGCACCACAGTTCAAGACGGACACTGACAAACTGGAACGTGTCCAGAGGAGGGCAACCAAAATGGTCAAAGGCCTGGAAACGATGCCTTATGAGGAACGGCTAAGGGAGCTGGGCATGTTTAGCCTGGAGAAGAGGAGGTTAAGGGGTGATATGATAGCCATGTTCAAATATATAAAAGGATGTCACATAGAGGAGGGAGAAAGGTTGTTTTCTGCTGCTCCAGAGAAGCGGACATGGAGCAATGGATCCAAACTACAAGAAAGAAGATTCCACCTAAACATTAGGAAGAACTTCCTGACAGTAAGAGCTGTTCGACAGTGGAATTTGCTGCCAAGGAGTGTGGTGGAGTCTCCTTCTTTGGAGGTCTTTAAGCAGAGGCTTGACAACCATATGTCAGGAGTGCTCTGATGGTGTTTCCTGCTTGGCAGGGGGTTGGACTCGATGGCCCTTGTGGTCTCTTCCAACTCTATGATTCTATGATTCTATGAAAGGCGCCAACTAAATTGTCTGGCTGCCTCGCCTCAAAAGGGATATTGCTGAGTTGGAAAAGGATTGAAGTTATCGAGGAAGGATGGATCAATTCCCCTATGAAGAAAACTTGCAGCGCTCGGGCCTTTTTAGTTCAGAGCAGTTTGTTTCCTCAGCTTGGGTCTCCAGCTGTTTTTGGACTACAACTCCCATCGTCCCTAGCTAACAGAACCGGTGGTCAGGGAAGATGGGAATTGTAGTCCAAAAACAGTCGGAGACCCAAGTTTGGGAAACCCTGGTTTAGAGAAAGGACAAGAAAGAGGTGATATGATATGGAGGAGATCCCTGCCACCAATGTGGACTGTTATAAATTGTTGTTGTTGTTTAGTCGTTTAGTCGTGTCCGACTCTTCGTGACCCCATGGACCAGAGTACACCAGGCACTCCTGTCTTCCACGGCCTCCCGCAGTTTGGTCAAACTCATGTTGGTACCTTCGAGAACATTGTCCAACCATCTTGTCCTCTGTCGTCCCCTTCTCCTTGTGCCCTCCATCTTTCCCAACGTCAGGGTCTTTTCCAGGGAGTCTTCTCTTCTCATGAGGTGGCCAAAGTATTGGAGCCTCAGCTTCACGATCTGTCCTTCCAGTGAGCACTCAGGGCTGATTTCCTTAAGAATGGAGAGGTTTGATCTTCTTGCAGTCCATGGGACTCTGGACTGGATAGTGTCTTTGAAGCTACCAGCATGAGTTTGACCAAACTGCGGGAGGCAGTGGAAGACAGGAGTGCCTGGCGTGCTCTGGTCCATGGGGTCACGAAGAGTCGGACAGGACTAAACGACTAAACAACAACAAGACCTCAAAATTCCTATCACAGGAGGCAGCAATGCTTCTGAAGACCAGTTGCTGGAAACCATAGAAAAGGAGAATTGCTCTTGTGCTCAGATCCTGCTTGCGGGTTTTCCACAGGCATCTGGTTTGCCACTAGGAAAACAGCAAGCAGGACTTGAGGACCGTTGTGCTCTCCCGTTTGCAACTACCAACAGCTGGAATTCCAGGTCAGGGTGCTCGTCCACCCTGCGGAGATTTGGTTGTCAAATCCGACAGCTCTTCCTGCCATCAGGTGGTGTTTTCTGCATGGCTTTGATGTTTGAGAGAAACCCTCTTCTGCCCCAGGGCCATGTTCCCTCCAGAGAAGGCTCCCAGGGGCCGCATGACAACGGTGGCTGTGGCAAGACATTCGTCGTTTTATAATAATACCGTGGTACTTCGGGTTAAGTACTTAATTCATTCTGGAGGTCTGTTCTTAACTTGAAACGGTTCTTAACCTGAAGCACCACTTCAGCTAATGGGGCCTCCCGCTGCTGCCGCGCCGCCGGAGCACAATTTCTGTTCTCATCCGGAAGCAAAGTTATTAACCCGAGGTACTATTTCTGGGTTAGCGGAGTCTGTAACCTGAAGCGTCTGTAACCTGAGGTACCACTGTAATTTATTACTTATACCCCGTCCATCTGGCTTGGTTTTCCCAGCCACTCTGGGCGGCTCCCAACAGAATATTAAAAGCATGATAAAACATCAAACATTAAAAACTTCCCTAAACAGGATTGTCATCCGATGGCTTCTAAAAGTCAGGTAGTTGTTTATTTCCTTGACATCTGACGGGAGGGTTTATCACAGGGCGGGCGCCACCACCGAGAAGGCCCTCTGCCTGGTTCCCTGTAACCTCACTTCTCTCAGGAAGAGAACCGCCAGAAGGCCCTCAGAGCTGGACCTCAGTGTCCGGGCAGAACGATGGGGGTGGAGACGTTCCTTCAGGTATACTGGGCCGAGGCCTTTAGGGCTTTCCAGGTCAGCACCAACACTTTGAATTGTGTTCGGAAACGTACTGGGAGCCAATGCAGGTCTTTCAGGACGGGTGTCATATGGTCTTGGCAGCCACTCGCAGTCGCCAGTTTTCCCTCCTCCATCCATCCCTGCACATATCAAGGCTTGTAAAATCTCCAGGGCAAAGGTGCAGTGGGGCAGTTGGTGGCGGGCCAAATTTGGGCTCTTGGTCCTTCGGCAAAGATGCCAGGGATCAAACCGGGAAATCTTCCGCATGCCGAGCTCGTGGCCTCTCACCAAGCCACGGGTCTTCCCGTCTGCTGTGGCTCTGCGGGACTTTTCTGCGCTCTTTTTACCTCCTCATTTCAAGAGCTACGAATGAGGCTACCTCGGTTCAGTTTTGACCTGGTGTTTACAGTCAACAAGTGTTTTCATTAATTAGGCACGATCTACATTTGAACACACAGCTAGTTATTAGCTCTATTAATAGCCCTGCCTGTTAATCGGCTTGTGGCAAAAAAAATATTTGAGCAAAACCCACCCACTTGTTCCTTGATGTTTCCTGTTAAGGCAGAGGTGGGAAGTCCGAGGGGTTTCCATCTGGGCCGTTTTGGGGAAACCACTGCCTAAAATCAGATGCAGACTGTTTGAATGTACAAAATATAGAGTTGGAAGGGACCCTGAGGATCTTCTAGTCTGACCCCCTGCAATGCAGGACTATATAGCTGTTATTTTACCAGCTTTATAGACCCCAGTAAGATTTACTCCTTGCCTTTTTAATTAGAGATATGTGAGCCAAGCAAGAGAACTTGGAAGATCCATTACTGTTCCTAGATTGATCAGTGGGAGGAAGCAGCTGGGAAGAGGATTCTGGCTAAACACCAGACCATCCGGTAATTCCAAAGAATCAGGATGTCCACCCTGAAGCGTTTGATGCTAAGAACGGGGACTCGTGGAGAGTTGCAACAGGCAGCTCTCACTAAAGAGGGAGTTGCCTGTCGCAACTCTGTACAAGTCCCTGTTCTGGGCATCGATGGGAAGGATTTGCAGGTTTAGTCGGTGGACCAAAACGAAGAATGCATCTGTTATCGTAAGCTTGGAGGTGTGTGTGCTTTTCTGTAGTTCTCCCAGAAAGCGCTATTCTAGGTCAGGCAATAACAAGGGGGTGGGGAGGGGAGGGCTCACCTCTACATCCCATCCCACTTATGGACCCAATCCAGTCCAGTCTCCTCCCGAAATAGCCAGATTCCCTCATGCTGTCTGCTATCTGGAGTCGCCGCATGTGAGCAGGGCACTGCGGTTGGAGAAGAATGGGGCTGAATCAACGAGGGTCTCGACTTGCTGGCTGTTGCCTGCAACCTTGCCATTGTCACCACCACACTCTAGCCAGCTGAGCTATTCAACCTCTAGCGCTCCAGGGTTGCAGGCAGGGTTAGGTTGAACCTGGGGCCATCTGCGTGCAAGGCAAGTGTTCTGCCACCGCGCTGCGGCATTTCCTCAAAAGGACAAGCAAGATTCTAGTCCTCATGGTTGCAAATAAAGGGCTGGTACAATCGGAAGGAGGTGATCAGGCACTCCCATTTCTTTAAGAACTTGCCATAGTTTGCTGTGGTCGACACAGTCAAAGGCTTTTGCATAGTCAATGAAGCAGAAGTAGATGTCTTTCTGGAACTCTCTAGCTTTCTCCATAATCCAGCGCATGTTTGCAATTTGGTCTCTGGTTCCTCTGCCTCTTCTAAATCCAGCTTGCACTTCCGGGAGTTCTCGGTCCACATACTGCTTGAGCCTACCAAACTGCAGGAGGCAGCGGAAGATAGGAGTGCCTGGCGTGCTCTGGTCCATGGGGTCACAAAGAGTCGGACACGACTAAACGACTAAACAACAACAACAGCAAACAATCGGAATGCGAAGGGACGTGGGTAGCGCTGTGTGTTAAACCGCAGAGCCTAGGACTTGTCGATCAGAAGGTTGCGGTTCGAATCCTCGCAATGGGGTGAGTTCCCGTTGCTCGGTCCCTGCTCCTGCCAACCTAGCAGTTCGAAAGCACGTCAAAGTGCAAGTAGATAAATAGGTACCGCTCCGGCGGGAAGATAAACGGCGTTTCCGTGCACTGCTCTGGTTGGCTAGAAGTGGCTTAGTCATGCTGGCCACATGACCCGGAAGCTGTACGCCGGCTCCCTCGGCCAACAAAGTGAGATGAGCGCAGCAACCCCAGAGTCGGCCATGACTGGACCTAATGGTAAGGGGTCCCTTTACCTTTACAATCAGAATCCAGGAAGCTGCCTTATCCTGAGTCAGGTCATTGGCCTACACTGGCCGGCAGGAGTGTCGTTCCCAGCCTTACCTGGCGATGCTGCCATGGGGGGGGGGGTGAAACCTGGAGCCTTCTGCACACAATGTAGATGAGAGGTCAGCAAACTTTTTCAGCAGGGGGCTGGTCCACGGTCCCTCAGACCTTGCGGGGGGCCTGACTATATTTTTTTTTGGTTGGAAATGAACGAATTCCTATGCCCCACAAATAACCCAGAGATGCATTTTAAATAAAAGCACACATTCTACCCAAGTAAAAATACCAGGCAGGCCCCACAAATAACCCAGAGATGCATTTTAAATAAAAGGACACATTCGACTCATGTAAAAACACGCTGATTCCCGGACCATCTGCGGGCCGGATTTAAAAGGTGATTGGGCTGGATCCGGCCCCCGGGCCTTAGTTTGCCTACCCATGATGTAGATGCTCTCCCATTTGAACAGCAGCCTTTTCTCAGCTCTAAACTGCTGTGTCAAAGGTAGCTGGAGGGTTACTGCACAATTTCTCAGATGTGGTCGGGTGGTTTTTGCAAAGAGCGTGCATGGGGTGGGGACTGGGGAAAGCCGATTCAGAAAAGTGAGGGGTGCAGTTTTCTGCCTGCCGGCCAAGTCAATTCCCAAATGAGGACAGGAGTTGTTGTCACCCTGCCGGTTTCCTGGTCTCGCCACTCATCTCTTGCAAACTGAAATTTTCTGAATCAGACTTCGGGTTTCAGTGGCCTCAGAAAAATATTAGTGAATGAGTCATTTTCGGGCTGGCTTAGCCAGTAAGGGAGCCAAAGATGGCGGGTTTCCTGCCCCCAGGAGAAAGAGCTGCTGGGTTGCACAAGATCCACAGCAACAGCTGCACACGCGAGGTTTTGCTGTTATGCACACATGCCAGGAGGCGGACGGACACCTGCCTGTTCTCCGCCACATTAAAGCGCTTGCTTGCAGCTCTGTCCGCAGCAAAACCGCAAGAGGCAGTGTGGCATAGTGGTTAGGGTGCAAACGTGCTAGGACGTGGGAGAGACCCAGCTTCAAATCCGCCATTCAATCCTGAAGCTCATTGGGGTGACCTTGGGGCTGTGATAGGAATTTTGAGGTCTTAGTTCATAAGTGTACCAACCAAGCACGTACATAGATCAGCACAGGAAGACCAACCTGGAACCATTTTGATTCCCAAACTGACCAAATGTTTTCTCTGCAAGGTCAAAGGAAAATGGAAACGCCTCCCCATTGTCTTTTCCTTCACAAATCCTGTCTTAAGGGTATGTCTGTGTTTGAATAGGGTGTGAGCCTGTGACCTGGCCCAGGAACTAAGTATTTATCATTACAAAAGATTGGCCAGGCTCCCCAGGCAATCCAATCAAGTAATCTGCCAGACAGGAGATAAACAAGGACAGGAGAAAAACAACATTCAAATTTCTGTTTAGACCGCCTTTTCTGTGATGTAGGTGTGATGTATCTGAGGGGTGGTCTTAGGTTACACCCCTTCTGTGATGTATGTATAATGTTTCTGGGGGTGGTCTTGATCTACAGGATGGGAATTTCAAAAGTGTTTATAAGCCCTTGCACAGCATTTTTGTGGGTCCTCCTCCTTTCCTGCGTGTGAGGGGAGCACCCTTTTGCAACAGATCAATAAAGATCAAGCTTGCTAGCTGCTTTGCTTCTCAATATTCTCTGGTTGGCCTGTTATTTTCTCCTACCAATAGGGAACCTATGTAAGGACTCTATATGGGCTCTTGGATACCCCATAAGGGGGGAAAGGGCATATTTTTATTTACAACAGATGGCACCCTCCATGAATGCTCCCCCATGTCCTTGAATTGTGATTATGCCTCTTGCTTGCCCAAAGTTTACTTGGAGGGTTCAACAGGACAACATCTGCTGGAATACAGTGGTACCTCGCAAGACAAATGCCTCGCAAGACGAAAAATGCGCAAGACGAAAGAGTTCTTAGTTTTTTGAGTCGCTTCGCAAGACGAATTTCCCTATGGGCTTGCTTCGCAAGACGAAAAACGAAAACGTCTTGCAAGTTTGTTTCCTTTTTCTTAAAAGCGTTAATACCCTATGGGAAACCGTGCTTCGCAAGACGAAAAATTCGCAAGATGAAAAAACTCGCAGAACGAATTAATTTCGTCTTGCGAGGCACCACTGTAAATCCTTGAACTGTAACAACACCAACAACATTTATGTCCCGCCTTATTTATTTACTTATTCATTGTGCCCCACATTTTTCTCCAAAGGAGCTCAAGGCGGGGTCTGTGTTTCTTTCTCCCCTGCATCATTGAATCCCAACCACAACCCTGTGAGGTAGGCCCCTAAAGGTCACCCCAGCATGCTTCATGGCTGTGTGGGGATTCGAACCCAGGTCCCTCACAGGGCCTAGCCTGACACTCTAACCCAGGAGTCAGCAAAAGATGATAGTTGAAAAACCCCTACATCAGCAAACTTTTTCAGCATGGGGCCGGTCCACTGTCCCTCAGACCTTGTGGGGGGCCGGATTATTATTTGGAGGGGGGAATGAATGAATTCTTATGCCCCACAAATAACCCAAAGATGATTTTAAATAAAAGCACACATTTTACTCATGTAAAAACACCAGGCAGGTCCCACAAATAACCCAGAGATGCATTTTAAATAAAAGGACACATTCTACTCATGTAAAAACACGCTGATTCCCGGACCGTCCGTGGGCTGGATTTAGAAGGCGATTGGGCCGGATCTGGCCCCCGGGCCTTAGTTTGCCTGCCCATGCTCTAACCCCTATGCCACACGGCGGTTCTCCTCCTCGCTGATTGGATGGCGTGTGGACAGGTGTGCCTGACTTTTGTGTGTGGCTCTTTGTAAAAAGGTGTTGCTCCACCTGCTTTTGGCCCTGGCCTCACCTACCGGTGGCAAACAGCTCATAGACTCATAGAATTGTAGAGCTGGAAGGTACACCAAAGGTCATCTAGTCCAACCCCCTCCCCTGTGCAAGATTTGTCCACAAAGGACTACAGCCTTTGATCTGAAAACAGGTAGCCCTGTAATGGAGACCTCCACAGAAAGGGATCCTTTATGCCTTTCCTCTCCTTGATATATTGCATATCTGGGCTCTAGGAATCAGGCCTGGGAGTTGTCTTGCATGCGGAAGGTTCGATCCCCGATGGCATCTCTGGGTAGGCCTGGGAATGCCTCCCTCCTGAAACCCAGGAGCGCTGCTGCCAGTCAGAGTAGATGATACTGAGTTGGATGGACTCACTATTAGGCAACTTCCTCTGTTCCTTTTAAATCAGCCCTATATTCACAGCCATGAGGATTAGAATCTTACGTTATCTTTTAAAGAAGCACCATAGCATGGCGGCAAAAGGAGCTGCCTTCTATTTCTGTGCAATACCCAGACCTAACCCTAGATGTGGGACGCGGGTGGCGCTGTGGGTTAAACCACAGAGCCTAGGACTTGCCAATCAGAAGGTCGGCGATTTGAATCCCCATGACGGGGTGAGCTCCCGTTGCTCAGTCCCTGCTCCTGCCAACCTAGCAGTTCGAAAGCACCTCAAAGTGCAAGTAGATAAATAGGTACCTCTCCGGCGGGAAGGTAAACGGTGTTTCCGTGCGCTGCTCTGGTTCATCCAGAAGCGGCTTAGTCATGCTGGCCACATGACCCGGAAGCTGTACACCGGCTTCCTCGGCCAATAAAGCGAGATGAGCGCCGCAACCCCAGAGTCGGTCACAACTGGACCTAATGGTCAGGGGTCCCTTTACCTTTAACCCTAGATGTACTGTTGCTCACTGCTAAGCGGCACTCGGCACACGCTCCAGGGCACTCTCGCCTAGCTTAACATTTCACACCTCCGCAAGTGCTTCAAGTACAGTGGTACCTCGGGTTACAGATGCTTCAGGTTACAGACGCTTCAGGTTACAGACTCCGCTAACCCAGAAATATTACCTCGGGTTAAGAACTTTACCTCAGGATGAGAACAGAAATCACACACCGGAGGCGCAGCAGCAGCGGGAGGCCCCATTAGCTAAAGTGGTGCTTCAGGTTAAGAACAGTTTCAGGTTAAGAACGGACCTCCGGAACGAATTAAGTACTTAACCTAAGGGACCACTGTACAATCATGTTTGGAAGGGTTGCCATGTTCTCTCTCCTTCTAGGGCTCTTGCGCCTTTAACAAGCCAGGCCAGATATCTTCGATCAAGGGTGTCCAACCTGTACACCAGGCTTCCTCAAACTTGGCCCTCCAGATGTTTTGAGACTACAATTCCCATCATCCTTGACCACTGGTCCTGCTAGCTAGGGATCATGGGAGTTGTAGGCCAAAAACATCTGGAGGGCCAAGGTTGAGGAAGCCTGCTGTAGACCAGACATCAGAGAGCCTTGCTTCCCAGCAGCCATCTCAATGGTCAGCAATGTTTGGAGAGCCACAAATCTGCGCCACCCACTCCTGCTTAGACATTGAGGCTGGAAAGGCTGAGAATATTTTTAAAAACCACAATTCTGCTGTTAAGTGGATATCTTAGATTAGATTAACAGAGATGTACTGAGTGTGATTAATCTTGTGTTGCACCCCTTACATGATGACAAAGCTGTGTGCATGTCAGGGCTGTGTGCAAACCCTCCTGACCCTGGATTTCCTTGCCGACTGGTCAAAAGAGCTGAATATGCTTAGCTTGGGAGTCATTTTGGACTCACAGCTGTCCATGGAGGCGCAGCTCAGTTCTGTGTCCAGGGCAGCTGTCTACCAGCTCCACCTGGTACGCAGGCTGAGACCCTACCTGCCTGCAGACTGTCTCGCCAGAGTGGTGAATGCTCTGGTTATCTCCTGCTTGGACTACTGCAACACGCTCTATATGGGGCTACCTTTGAAAGTGACCCAAAAACTACAACTAATCCAGAATGCAGCAGCTATACTGGTGACTGGGAGCGGCCGCCGAGACCATATAACACCAGTCCTGAAAGACCTACATTGGCTCCCAGTACGTTTCTGAGCACAATTCAAAGTGTCGGTGCTGACCTTTGAAAGCCCTAAACGGCCTCAGCCCAGTATACCTGAAGGAGCGTCTCCACCCCCATCGTTCTGCCCGGACGCTGAGGTCCAGCGCTGTGGGCCTTCTGGTGAGATGTAAGGATACAGGGACCAGGCAGAGGGCTTTCTCGGTAGTGGCACCTGCCCTGTGGAACGCCCTCGTATCAGATGTCAAAGAAATAAACAACTATCTGACGTTTAGAAGACATCTGAAGGCAGCCCTGTTTAGGGAAGTTTTTAATGACTGACGTTTTAATGTATTTTTAATCTTTTGTTGGAAGCCGCCCAGAGTATCTGGGGAAACCCAGCCAGATGGGTGGGGTATGAATAAATTATGATGATGATTAAGCAAAAGAAATTAATTCGGAACTACGAGCCTCGGAAACAAAACGGCATGTTCAGAGTGCACCTCCCTGCCCAAGAAGGACCCTCTGTATTTAAGAAGGTTGTTCCACAATATAAGAGCAGCCCTTATTTTGTTTTACATTGGGGTGGGGGAAACAGGGCTCTTCGGATGCTGCCAAACCACAACTCCCATCAGACCTAGCAAGCACACTCAGCAGTGGGGGATGATGGCAGCTGTAGTTTGATAGGAGGGCAAAATGTTCCCCATACCCAACATGGAAAGCTGCCTTCAATGATGATGATGATGATGATGATGATGATGATGATGATGATGAAACCACAGCACTGGTCCTCTTTGCTCATTCCTATCCTGTTGTTGTTTAGTTGTTTAGTCGTGTCCGACTCTTCATGACGCCATGGACCAGAGCACGCCAGGCACTCCTGTCTTCCACAGCCTCCCACAGTTTGGTCAAACTCATGCTGGTAGCTTTGAGAACACTGTCCAACCATCTCGTCCTCTGTCTTCCCCTTCTCCTTGTGCCCTCCATCTTTCCCAGCATCAGGGTATTTTCCAGGGATTCTTCTCTTCTCATGAGGTGGCCAAAGTATTGGAGCCTCAGCTTCAGGATCTGTCCTTCCAGTGAGCACTCAGGGCTGATTTCCTTAAGAATGGATAGGTTTGATCTTCTTGCAGTCCATGGGACTCTCAAGAGTCTCCTCCAGCATCGTAATTCAAAAGCATCCATTCTTCGGCGATCAGCCTTCTTGATGGTCCAGCTCTCACTTCCATACATCACTACTGGGAAAACCATAACTTGAACTAGACGGACCTTTGTTGGCAAGGTGATGTCTCTGCTTTTTAAGATACTGTCTAAGTTTGTCAAGTTTCCTATCCTAGATCCGCAGAATTATAGTTGGTCATTGAATGGCAATGCATTTCCATCTCCAGTGGCTTTTAAGCACATCCAAAGCATGATCTTACCCTCAAAGGATTCTGGGCATTGTAGTTTAAACCCCCACTCCGCTCTTCAAAAAGTGACAGGTCCCAGCAAACCTTCCCAAACTACAATGCTCAGAATTCTTGGGGGGCGGGGGGAGGAAATGTGCTTTTAAGGTACAGGCATCTCACACCCACCTTTTCACCAGCAGCAGTTTTTGAGTTTTTCCAAACATCGCTCTCTTGCCACCCTACCTAGAGACACCAGGGATCAAAGCTGGGGCGTTCTGAATGCCAAACAGCTGCAGGCTCATTCCTCACCCTGATACAGTGGTACCTCGGGTTACATACGCTTCAGGTTACATGCGCTTCAGGTTACAGACTCCGCTAACCCAGAAATAGTGCTTCAGGTTAAGAACTTTGCTTCAGGATGAGAACAGAAATCGTGCTCTGGCGGCGCGGCAGCAGCGGGAGGCCCCATTAGCTAAAGTGGTGCTTCAGGTTAAGAACAGTTTCAGGTTAAGAACGGACCTCCGGAATGAATTAAGTACTTAACCCGAGGTACCACTGTACTGTATCGCGAAGCTGAGGCTCCAATACTTTGGCCACCTCACGAGAAGAGAAGACTCCCTGGAAAAGACCCTGATGTTGGGAAAGATGGAGGGCCCAAGGAGAAGGGGACGACAGGGGACAAGATGGTTGGACAGTGTTCTCGAAGCTACCAGCATAAGTTTGACCAAACTGCGGGAGGCAGTGGAAGACAGGAGTGCCTGGTGTGCTCTGGTCCATGGGGTCACGAAGAGTCGGACACGACTAAACGACTAAACAACAACAACCACTGTACTTTGTTGGCTTCCCAGAGGCACCAGCGCTGGACCGGCAGTCCCCTGATCTGACCCAAGAGGGTCTTTCTTACATTTTTGGATGCCTGCCGGCCAAGGGATTGCCCAGAGGACACCCATCTCTCAGTTCCCCACTGCCCAAAAAAACCTGGGCAAGATTTTTTGGAATAAAGTCAGGAGAAGGGGCGTAGGTTTTAGAGGGAGTTGGGCCACTGGCCATCTAGCCCATTGCTGCCAACACAGACTGGCAGCAGCTGTCCAGGATCTCAGGCAGGGGAGATTTCAAGCCCTAACTGGAGATGGAGCCTAGGACCTTCTGCATGCAAAGCAGGTGCTCTACCACTGAGCAAAGAACGTGAGGCAAGCCCGCTGCGTCAGGATCAGGCCAATGGCCCATCTTAGTCCAGCATCCTGTCCTCACAGCCATATGCCCCGAAGGGAAAGCAGGATTCAAGCACATGAGCCCTCCTGTGGACTCGATGGCCCTTGTGGTCTCTTCCAACTCTATGATTCTATGATTCTATGATTCTGTGGTTTCCAGCAACTGGTCTTCAGAAGCATCCGACTTTTAGAAGACATCTGAACGCAGCCCTGTTTAGGGAAGCTTTTAATGTTTAACAGACCACTGTACAGTGGTACTTTGGGTGACATACGCTTCAGGTTACATACGCTTCAGGTTACAGACTCCACTAACCCAGAAATAGCGCTTCAGGTTAAGAACTTTGCTTCAGGATGAGAACAGAAATCGTGCTCTAGTGGCACGGCGGCGGCAGGAAGCCCCATTAGCTAAAGTGGTGCTTCAGGTTAAGAACAGTTTCAGGTTAAGAACGGACCTCCGGAACGAATTGAGTACTTAACCCGAGGTACCACTGTATTTTAATACTTTGTTGGAGGCTGCCCTGGGTGGCTGGCGAGACACAACCAGATGGGTGGGCTATAAATAATAATCATAAATCATCATCATCATCACTGTTTCCGACCATGGAAGGAGAACATAGCCATCGAGCATAGCCACGAGCCATCGCTAGCCCCCCCTCCATGCATTTGTCACTGCCTCCTGCAGCAGCGAGTTCCGCAGTTTAACCACGCGCTGCGTGTCCTTCCCTTAAAAAGTGATGCAAGATCCCAGTCCTCATTGCTCAGAAAAGGGAGTCTCCCACCGAGTAGTGCTCTAACACAGTGCGATGGTTCTTCCCCTTCTTAGAAGCATAGAATTGTAGGGATCCCCAACGGTCATCTAGCCCAACTCCCCCGCCCAGCAGTGGCGTAGCGTGGGGGGTGCACGGGGGCCCGGCCGCACCGGGCACAACATCGGGGGGGGTGCGCTCGCACTCGCAGCTCTCTGCCCCAACCTGGCTCACTCACTCTCTCTCACTGCAGTGCTGGCTGTGTGAATCCGATCCGAGCCGCTGGGTCGCCGCTCACTGTGGAGGGGGTGGGTGCCGAGAGAGAGCGAGGGACTATCTGGGGGAGGGACAGTGCAGCGGCCGCCCAGCGCAGCGCTGAGCGCGGGAGAGAACCGCACCAGACCAGACCAGGCAGCAGCAAGAAGAAGCTGGCAGCGGCGGCAGGTTAGGGGTTAGGGGGCGCAAATTACTTGCCTTGCCCCGGGTGCTGACAACCCACGCTACGCCGCTGCCCCCCAGCAATGCAGGAATCTCAGCTAAAGCACCCATGACATGTGGCCATCCAACCTCTGCTCAAAAACCTCCAAGGAAGGAACTTAAACCCCCGATTGATTCCCCCCGCCACCGCCTGGAGCGCGGTGCCACCACGTGCGCCCGATCTAAAACCGCGTGGATGCCTCACCTGGGAAGGCGCAGCCGCCACCCTCTGCAGAACCAAGAGGAGGAACAGCAGCCACGTAGGGCGACTCCAAGCACCCATGGCGACTCCGGGTCTCTCTCCCCACTTCTTCAGAAAAGGGAGGTGGGCAGAGCGCAGTCCGCCCATCTGCCCGCCCGGCGAGGAGAGCGCAGGGCGCAGGGACCTCCCCAAAGCGCGCGGGATCTGCGCCGGGCGAAAGAAAAGAATAAAATCAACTACGGGGTTGGGGGTGGAGGGTTGGGGATGCGGTCAACCTCAGGACTCCGCCCCGAGGGGCCTACATACAATTAACTTTTTTAAAATTAAAAAAAAAACCCAAGGTCTGCGGCCATCCTTGCCTGAGAACGTGGTTTCCAAATCACACATCACAGGCGCTTACCGGTAGCTTATCTCCCGCCTTTCCCGTTATCTGCCTCAGTTTGCCTCCTGTGAAATGGGGACAAGCCTATCCAGGGTTGACCGGTCAGGTATTTTGGGGGGTTGTTTTTTTAAAAATAAAAAACGCCCTTTGTTTTTGCACGCTTTTAAACCTGCGCGATTGCGAGGGAGGGAATCTTTGGCCCTCGCAGATGCAGTTGGATTTCAACTCCCAGCAAGCCAGCATGAGCAATGGTTAGAGCCCGGAGTGTTTGTGATGGGAGGTGAGATCCAGCATCATTTAGGGAGGGTCATCAGTGTTTCCCCTGCCTCGGCTTAAAAGGCAGCTGAGGTCTGCCGGCTGCCTGATAGTCTCTCCGTCTTGCCGAGTTGTCACCTGCTATTATTTTTTCCAGATGAGGTTGCGCTTAAAGAAACAGAAAAGTGCTATTTTGAAGCCCTCTTTAGTAAGGGAAGGGCTGTGGCTCAGTGGTGGAGCACCCGCTCTGCATGCAGAATGTCCCAGTTTCACCCCCCCAGCACCTGCGGATTAACACCCTGGAGAGCTGCTGCCAGTCCGTGCAGACACCACTGGACTAGATGGGACCAAGGGTCTCATTCCGTGCGATGCAGCTGCTTTGTTCTCTCTCGTTCCCCCTCCTTTGCAGCAAGTAATCTCTTATGGCAGGCAGCGTGTGGCGAGGCTGGACTGATAACAGAACTATTTGGGTGTTATTTTCATTTCTTAAAGGGTTTTTTTTAGGGGGGGAGAAAGTCACGCCTTTTTTAAAAAATGCGTCGCTATTAAATGACTCTGCCTTTTGTAATGTGTAAGATCACACACCCCCTGAGAATATTTATGCTTAAGCGATACGCTTGTAATGAATAGCAAGGGTTAATGGCTGGTCTGGAGCAGTCTCATAGTTGGCTGTGGGTTCATTTACTTAGTAATGCAAGATTGGGGTGGGGGGCTTTCCCTGCTGGGTGAGACTGAAAGGGTCCAGCGTCTTGGTCACACAGTGGCCAACCACGACCCGAGCTTTAAGACCACTTACCTGCAGCCTTTCACCACCAAAACTGTCATTTGGGGGTAAACTGCCTCTAAATATGGAGGCTCCATCGATTTGGTTGTGGCTGACAGCTGGGAGAAAAGCAATGACAAACCTAGACACCATCTTATCACCTTGCCAACAAAGGTCCGTATAGTTAAAGCTATGGATTTCCCGGTAGTGATGTATGGAAGTGAGAGCTGGACCATAAAGAAGGCTGATCACTGAAGAATTGATGCTTTTGAATTATGGTGCTGGAGGAGACTCTTGAGAGTCCCGTGGACTGCAAGAAGATCAAACCTATCCATTCTTAAGGAAACCAGCCCTGAGTGCTCATTGGAAGGACAGATCCTGAAGCTGAGGCTCCAATACTTTGGCCACCTCATGAGAAGAGAAGACTCCCTGGAAAAGACCCTGATGTTGGGAAAGATGGAGGGCACAAGGAGAAGGGGACGGCAGAGGACGAGATGGTTGGACAGTGTTCTCGAAGCTACCAGCATGAGTTTGACCAAACTGTGGGAGGCAGTGGAAGACAGGAGTGCCTGGCGTGCTCTGGTCCACGGGGTCACGAAGAGTCGGACACGACTAAACAACTAAACAACAACAACTGCTGGGTCCTGCCTTAAGAACATAAAAGCCTGAGGTTAGAATCAAAGAATTATAGAGTTGGAACAGGATCTTTTGACCAACACGGGGTTTGAACCCACAACCCACAAGCAGGACATGAGTGCAGTGCTCTCCAGACATATGATTCCCAGCTGCTGGTATATCCAGATTTTGCCCTTGTTCCTCAGGAAATTTCAGGAATTATATCTCTGGGATGGGAGCAGGATAAGGGATCTGCTAATGGCACAGCAATAAAACTGCCAGCCCATTCGCCAAGCTAAGCAGGGTCTGGTTTGGTTTCAAAATGGGATGTTGAGATCCCTGCATTGCAAGGAGATTGGACTAGATGACTCCAACAGTCTTACGATTCTATTAACTCTCAGTACCCTTAGCAGTTCCCATGATTCTTTGAGGGAAGCCATGGCTGTTAACGAAGGGGTGTCATGGTGCCTTGAATGTGATTGATGCCTTACCTACGTCCTTCGTCAAAAAGCCCGTTGCGACCCATGCTTTGCAAAGGGAGGGAGAGGCACTGTGGCCTAATGGTTAGAGTGTTGTGCATGTGATCAAGGGAAATCTAAAAAATGTAGTACAGTGGTACCTCAGGTTAAACATGCTTCAGGTTACAGATGCTTCAGGTTACAGACTCCGCTAACCCAGAAATAGTACCTCAGGTTAAGAACTTTACTTCAGGATGAGAACAGAAATCGTGCTCTGGCGGCGCGGCAGCAGCAGGAGGCCCCATTAGCTAAAGTGGAGCTTCAGGTTAAGAACGGTTTCAGGTTAAGTACAGACCTCTGGAACGAAATAAGTACTTTACCCGAGGTATCACTGTATAAGCACCGACAACTGGGAAACACTGGCCTACGAGCGCTTCAGTTGGAGAACAGCCTTTACCAAAGGTGTCATGGGCTTTGAAGACACTTGAACTCAGGACGAAAGGGAGAAACATGCTAAGAGGAAGGCACATTTGGCAAACCCTCACCGTGATCAACTCCTGCCCGGAAACCTACGTCCCCACTGTGGAAGGATGTGCGGATCCGGAATTGACCTCCGCAGTCACTTACGGACTCGCTGTCAAAACCGTGTTTATGGAAGACAATTTTACTCGGCTATAAGTGATTGCGGAAGAAGTACAGTGGTACCTCGGGTTACAGATGCTTCAGGTTACAGACGCTTCAGGTTACAGACTCCGCTAACCCAGAAACAGTACCTCAGGTTAAGAACTTTGCTTCAGGGTGAGAACAGAAATCGTGCGGCGGCAGTGGGAGGCCCCATTAGCTAAAGTGGTACTTCAGGTTAAGAACAGTTTCAGGTTAAGAACAGACCACTGGAACGAATTAAGTTCTTAACCTGAGGTACCACTGTAGTTGTTTTGATAAGGAAAGCTGAAAGAGGGTGATACAAGAGCATAGGACCAAACTCCTCAGAGCCAAGGTCCCTTCAGGGCCCCCCCTAAAATATTTGAGGAAGCCACACACTCCCAGTTGATGGGCATTGCCATTCAAATGGCGTTTGTGCACCATGTCTTGTGATTGATTATGCGGAGTGGGGTTTACCAGCAGCCCCCCCCAATATTTTTTTCAAGTTGGCATCCCCTGACAAGAGTCTTGCTGCCCGATTAATCCAGCATCCTGTTTTCGCAGAGGCCAACCAGATCCCTGTGGAAAACCCATATGCAGGACCACAGCCCAACAGCAACTTTCCCCTCCTACAGTTTCCAGCAATTCAGAAGTATTATTGCCTTTGACAGTGGAGGCAGAGTATAGCTTTCACGGCTAGTAACTATCAATAGCCTTATTCTCCTCCGTGAATTTGCCCATCCCTCTTTCTTTCTTTCTTTCTTTCTTTTTTATAATAATTTTTATTGCATTTTCGATTTTATCATAGTTACAATTTCCCTACATAATTCAATAAACTCAAATATTGCTCTATCCGAGCATCGACCTCCTCCCGCCCCTCTTTCTGACTTCCATACATATTTACTTTATTCTTAGCGTTTCTATAACCATTTTTTTACCTTCTCTCATTTTTTAAAAAAAATTCCCCTCATTAAATGTAAATCAGTTCCTTATAATCACATGACAAAACATTTCAACTCAAAGCTACAAACGTTTTCAGGTGTTTACAATGTTCTTTCCTATATAATATAAATTTGCTCCAGTCCTTTTGAAACAGTTCGTCACGCTGATTAAGGATCTTCCCCCTCAGCTTTGCTAACTCCACATATTCCACCATCTTACTCCTCCATTCTTCCACTGTTGGAAGCTCCTGTGATTTCCATTTCTGAGCCAGAAGTATCCTTGCGGCCGTTGTGGCATACATAAACAAATTCACATCTTTTTTTGAAATTTCATCTCCAATTAAACCTAACAGAAACACCTCTGGTTTTTTTTATTGAAATTGTATTTAAAGATCTTTTTTTAATTCATTGTAAATTAGATCCCAATAGGCTTTCACCCTGGTACACGTCCACCACATATGATGGAAGTTCCCCTCCTTCTTACATGTCCAACAATTTTTATCCTGATTTCTATACATTTTTGTCCATCCCTCTTTCAAGGCCATCGAAGCTGCTGGCCTCCTGCAGCGGTGAGTTCCACAGCTGCCGAGTGCAGGACTTCCTTCCATCCGCCCTGAATCATCCATCGCTGAAGATTGCAATGAAAGGAAAGTTTGAAATTGCATCTGAAGGTTGCAAGCAAAGGAAGGGTAACAAAAAGAAGTCTAAGCATCTTTAGTGCCAAGTCATGAATTCATGGAGGACAAATTCTGATGAAGGGATGCAGGTGGCGCTGTGGGTTAAACCACAGAGCCTAGGACTTGCCAATCAGAAGGTCGGCGGTTCGAATCCCTGTGACGGGGTGAGCTCCCGTTGCTCTGTCCCTGCTCCTGCCAACCTAGCAGTTCGAAAGCACATCAAAGTGCAAGTAGATACATAGGTATCACTCCAGCGGGAAGGTAAACGGCATTTCCGCGCGCTGCTCTGGTTCGCCAGAAGCAGCTTAGTCATGCTGGCCACATGACCCAGAGACTGTAAGCTGGCTCCCTCGGCCAGTAAAGCGAGATGAGCGCCGCAACCCCAGAGTCAGTCACGACTGGACCTAATGGTCAGGGGTCCCTTTACCCTTTACCCTTTACCTTTACAATTCTGATGAAGAGTAAAATTAATCAGAGGTGTGGCCAGAGAGAACCAATCAGAGGTGCGGCTGGAGATTTGACGTGAGAATGGGGTTTCATGTTCAGGAAAACACAAAAAGAGCAAGAATTCAGGTGGGGGCTTCCTCTCTGTGTGATTTCCTGCAAGTTTTAGCTGATGTATATTTTTGTCTTTCCCCCAACAGCGGCTTCTACGAAGGCACGCTAGTTTAATGTTTTTGAGAGATTTCACATTTCCTTGTGTGGTTGATAATAGGCCGCACAGATACTAGATTTTCTGTGGGTCCGCCCCCCCCTTGCTTTTATCAATTTTGTAACAGAAAGTGCCTACAAATCATAAATGGCAAACAACAGGAGAGGAATCCCCAGAACAAGAATAAAGGTAAGTTAAAAACTAAACAAGATCTAAAGGAAAGGTCAACATTTAGTCCGATTATTTCTGTCTCTCTTCACGAGTTCCAGCATAGGAATGCCAAAATACCAGAACCTGGGACAGTGAATTTCAAATCTGGTAGTGTAAGTTTTTCCCAATTACTCATTCTTCCAGTCTTAAATTCAGTTCTCCACTAAGATAGGGCATATAAGATAAAGGGCACCATTCGTCAGTTAATTTTAAATAAATTTAAATTTTGCATAGCACTTTATTTTCTGTTTTTTCTGTTCTTTTTCCCTTCTGTAAGGTGGTTTGAGAGAAAGGAGTATGGTATAAATTTCTTAAACCAAAAAGTAAAATAAATAGATGAAAACCCACATGTCTAAAGGATACCATGTTCTGATTCAAAGTGAGAATGCGATGAAGTGGGAAGAGAAAAACTATCAAGAATTATTCAGTTGGCAACATTTGTTGAAATGCAGCCAGGAATTAACAGTAGAAAAACGAACTTTTTGTTTGACATCTCCTGACCTTTCTGTTTTCAATCATCCCTTTTCAAGGAACCCACAGGGCAGTGAGTTCAGACCTTATCCACAGTTCCTATCAAAAGAAAGACAGAAATCTCTGATTCATCCATTGCCAGGGTGATGCTTTTGTGGCATCATCAGTTACTAGTTCGGTCAGTGGCATCCCACACATTCCCTGTTCCTCAAAATGCTTCTCAAAGCTTTCCAATCAAAAAAGGAGTTGCTTCTACACTCCCACGCAGCTGTCCTGAACTCACATGGTTAAGACAGCATTCCCCACATCAATATAGACTGCTGTGTGCTGCCTTGAGACATTTATCGTTTAAGAATTTGTTCAATAAATCAATAAAAGCCTGTGGGCTGTTCGTGTTCAGTACAATTGCACCAGAGTGTAGAAGGAACAAATATTTCATTCAATATAAACTGGCACTTGGTATTTATCAATGGCCTCAGTTCTGCTTGTTAATTCCCATCTTTCACAGTCAGTGCCGAAACACAATCTGGTTGTTACATTTTAATTACTTTTGTGTGTGTGTGTGTGTGTGTGTGTGTGTGTGATCTATAAATATTCTTATAAATATTCAAACACTCCCCCCCCCAAAAAAAACCCCAAGCCCACCTACACAAGAGAGAGGGAGAAACAGCCTTGATGGTGTTTTCAGAAGGATATATATATATATATATATATATATATATATATATATATATGAAAAATCAGAGGCAGCATCTGAATCTGTGGCATTTGCTTTTTTTAAACTCATGGTTGCCCTCTGGCGGTTTAAATAAGTACATCTATTAAAAAGAAGTAAGATTTCTGTTTATTTTTGAAAAAAAGAGTTCCCTGCGAGATTGTGGATGGTTTTTAGTCAATTAAAAAAGACTTTTAATGGATGCATCTAACCCTGGGGTGGCAAATATCCCATTCAGAAGCCTGACCCAGCCTTCCAAAGGTTGTAGCTAGCTAAATCCCACTCGGGAGTAGACGCACCAAAATTGACAGACCTAGGTTAGACATAGGGACGGGGGTGGCGCTGTGGGTTAAACCACAGAGCCTAGGACTTGCCGATCAGAAGGTCGGCGGTTTGAATCCCTGTGACGGGGTGAGCTCCCATTGCTCGGTCCCTGCTCCTGCCCACCTAGCAGTTCGAAAGCACGTCAAAGTGCAAGTAGATAAATAGGTACCGCTCCGGCGGGAAGGTAAATGGCGTTTCCATGCGCTGCTCTGGTTCGCCAGAAGCGGCTTAGTCATGCTGGCCACATGACCCGGAAGCTGTACGCTGGCTCCCTCGGCCAATAAAGCGAGATGAGCGCCGCAACCCCAGAGTCGGCCACGACTGGACCTAATGGTCAGGGGTCCCTTTACCTTTACCTAGGTTAGACATGCACAGGAATTTCAATGGGTCTGCCCTGGATAATACCCTTTTCGACAGATAATTGGCATGGAAAAGTCAAGAAGGGCTATGGTGTGTGCGCACGTGAGAATATGGGGTGAGACCTTCCAGTGCTGCCCCAGTGACGCTCTGAGGATTGACCAAGGTGAATATGTGGCCCCTTGCCCCACCCCCAATGAACTGCTTGCAGCCCTAGGGTGGTTGTACCCAACTAAGTTTTACTCAAGAGTAGACCCTCTGAAATTAATGGAACTAAGTCATGTCCATTAACATCAACGGGTCTGTTCTGAGGAGGGCTGGCCTTGGACACAACGCCAAATTTCTAAGCGATCTGTGGTTTAGGAGGTGACTTACCCTGAGGACAAAGGTGGTTAGAACTGTAAACAAATACCGTACTTTTCCGTGTATAAGACTATGCTTTCCCCTTAAGAATCATGCTTTAAAAGTGGGGGTCATTTTATACATGGGTAGCGCATAGGGTGGACGTTTGATTGGTTGCTGCTGTGGCTGTCAGAGGCTATTGTGGTGTTGATTGGCTGACGTTCCGGCAGTTGGGCGGGCGATTGGCAGCTTCTGCTGGCGATGGGACACACAGGAGGTGGATTTTGCGATGCGTGCGGGTGATTTTTGGCAATTCCCCCTAAAAAAAGCTCAACAACCCTGGGTAATCCCCCCCCCCCCAAGAAGCTCAGCAACTTTGTGCCACCTCCCCCCATTTTGAGTCCCCCAAAATAGGGGGCATCTTATACATGGGGGCGTCTTATAGACAGAAAATTACGGTACAGTCATACCTCGGGTTACAGACGCTTCAGCTTGTGTTTTTTCGTGTTATGGACCACCGAAACCCGGAAGTACCGGAACGGGTTACTTCTAGGTTTTGGCAGTCGTGCATGTGCAGAAGTGCTTTTTTTAAAAAAAAATAATTTTTATTAATTTACAACAAAAACAAAAACACATGATAATTTCACATCCAATTTTTCCCAAAATATTTCTTTTCTGGACTTCCTTCAGCTTTTCCGTAAATCATCCATAGTCATTATTTAAGTTACGCATTTAAGTTTGTATTGTCATTATTTAAACCTTTCCTTTTCTATTCCCTTTTAACAATACTTCTCAAATTTCACAGTGCTTCTTTAAATCCCTCTAGCGTTATCTGTCCCTCACTTTTCAGATATTCCACAAATTTTCCCCAGTCCTCAATGAACTTTTGGTCCCTCAAATATCTAATCTTCCCAGTCAATTTATCCAACTCAGCATAGTCTAACAGCTTCATTCTCCATTCTTCCATTGTCGGTATTTCCTGTTCTTTCCATTTCTGAGCCAGCAGCACTCTTGCAGCTGTCACTGCATATTGAAAAAAATTACAGTCCTTTCTCTTTATCTCATTTCCTAGAATTCCTAACAGAAAGGCCTCTGGTTTCTTTATAAATGTGTATTTTAGTATCTTCTTCAATTCATTATATATCATTTCCCAGAAGCCTTTCACTTTCTTACATTCCCACCACATATGGTAAAAAGAGCCTTCTTTATCTTTACATTTCCAACACTTATTACATGTCTTATACATTTTCGCTAATTTTACTGGTGATATGTACCATCTATAAAACATTTTCATAACATTTTCTTTTAACGTCATACATGCTGTAAATTTTAGATTCTCCTTCCATAATCTTTCCCTGTCTTCAAATTGTATGTTGTAACCAAAGTCTCTGGCCCAATGTATCATTACTGATTTAACTTCCTCATCCTTCAAATTCCATTCTAACAACAACTTATACATTTTAGATAAAATTTTAGAGTCATTATTTATTATTTCTATCTGAAATTTTGAATCTTTGTCTGCATGACCACATTCTTTAATGTCTTTCCTAAACATTTCATTTATTTGAAAGTAATGCAACCAGTCATATACATGTTCTTTAACTTGTTCATATGGTTTCATTTTCCATTTTCCTCCTTCTTTGAATATCAATTGGCCATATGTGATCCAATTACCTCTCATATTGATTTTCCTTACACTCATAACTTCTAATGGAGATAACCAGTGTGGTACTCTGGGTTCTAATAGGTTTTTATACCTATCCCAAACTTCAATTAAAGGATCTCAGAAGATGTGGTTCTCAAAACCTTTATGGATTTTCTTCTTCTCACACCATAGGTACGCATGCCATCCAAATCTGTTATCGAACCCGTCTAGGTCTAACAATTCCTTATTTTCTAATTTTATCCATTCTTTCAACCAGCAAAGGCATGATGCCTCATAATATAATTTCAAGTCAGGCAGGGCAAAGCCTCCTCTTTCTCTCACATCTGTTAGTAACTTAAATTGAATTCTCGGCTTTTTGCACTGCCAGATATATCTTGAAATCGCTCTTTGCCACTCTTTGAAAATCCTGTTCCACTTAATTATGGGGATAGCCTGAAATAAAAATAACATCCTCGGAAGCACATTCATCTTAATTGTAGATATTCTGTCCCAAAAGGACAGTTTCATTCTTCCCCACACCTCCAAGTCCTAAATTGCGCTTTGTGCATGTGCAGAAGCGCTGAATCGCAACCCATGCGCCGCTGCGGGTTGTGGACACTGCGGGTTGCAGACGTGCATCCCGCACAGATCACGTTCGCAACCTGAGCGTCCACTGTAAGTACCGTATTTTTTGCTCTATAAGACTCACTTTTTCCCTCCTAAAAAGTAAAGGGAAATGTGTGTGTGTCTTATGGAGCGAATGCAGGCTGCGCAGCTATCCCAGAAGCCAGAACAGCAAGAGGGATTGCTGCTTTCGCTGCGCAGCGATCCCTCTTGTTCTGGCTTCTGAGATTCAGAATATTTTTTTTCTTGTATTCCTCCTCCCAAAACTAGGTGTGTCTTATGGTCCGGTGCATCTTATAGAGCGAAAAATACAGTATTTTTTTTTTTTTAAACCACACTACTTTGTTTCGGTCTGACTTTATTGACAACCAAAGACTCCAACAGAGCCCATGAGGGGCTGTAGCAATGGGCTCGCCTGGATCTCTGTCCAGGATCACCCTAGACGAGTTGGCTTCCGGGCGGCTCCTTGCCACAGTCCAGGATACAGACCTCTGCTGTGCTCCTCAAGCGAGCCCGACAACTCAATGGGAGTCCTAGGTGACGAGACGCCTTTGCTTAAAGTCAACATCTCCGGGTCTTACGACTGCCCGTTTTCTCCGGTGTCGTCGACGACGGGGAGGCTGTCGTAGGAAGGGAATTCCAAATGGACAGGGAGAGGAATTTCCACCTCGTGGGGCTTGGGGGAAGAGAGGCCCCGGAACTGCGGGACGAAGCCGGACCGCTCGCCACTGCCCGGACATTCGACCGCCGAGCACGTGACGCAGTCGTCCAGGTTGCAGGGCTTCTCTTGCCAAAACTCGGAGGCCTTGAGGTCCAGCGTGATGTTCATGGCCCACACGACAAAGTGCCGGATCCTGGCCTGCTTGTGTAAGTCACACATGCACACCCATGGCTGCCAGGGGTTCCAGTGGAAGTTGGCTGCCTCTGTGGACGGCAAGATGAGGACAACTGAGAACATAAGAAGATACAAAGGCAACCTAGATGGCTTTCATTCATTCATTCAGCCAGAAAAAATCCATCTCTAAAACATATAGGCATACAGCGGTACCTCAGGTTAAGTACTTAATTCGTTCCGGAGGTCCATTCTTAACCTGAAACTGTTCTTAACCTGAAGCACCACTTTAGCTAATGGGGCCTCCCGCTGCCACCGCACTGCCGGAGCACGATTTCTGTTCTCATCCTGAAGCAAAGTTCTTAACCTGAAGCACTATTTCTGGGTTAGCGGAGTGTGTAACCTGAAGCATATGTAACCTGAAATGTATGTAACCTGAGGTACCACTGTATTAAACACATAAAATGTTGTATACAATGAATGGAAAAGGATGTTCAAAATAACTTTTACAGTGGTACCTTGGGTTAAGAACTTAATTCATTCTGGAGGTCTGTTCTTAACCTGAAACTGTTCTTAACCTGAAGCACCACTTTAGCTAATGGGGCCTCCTGCTGCCACTGCGCTGCTGGAGCCCAATTTCTGATCTCATCCTGAAGCAAAGTTCTTAACCTGAGGTACTATTTCTGAGTTAGCGGAGTCTGTAACCTGAAGTGTATGTAACCTGAAGCATATCTAACCCAAGGTACCACTGTATTTTTAAAAAAACAACCCCAGAAGCTTTTCTTTTGGGAATTATAGGGACAGAACTACCTAAATTGTATAGAAATTTATTCATGCATGCTACTACAGCAGCAAGAATGTTACTTGCCCCGAAGTGGAAAGAAGCAGAAGTCCCAGCAAAGGAAGAATGGATACAAAAACTTATGGAATATACAGAAATGGCAAAACTTACCGGAAGAATAAGAAATCAAGACAACAAACTTTTTATAAAAGAATGGAAATGGTTTATTGAATATTTACGGATAAGAACATTGGCAGGATTATTGTAATAACCTGCAGTTTCATAAGAGTATATATTTAAAGGAGAAAATTAATTGAGCAAATTACAATGGTACCTCGGGTTACATACGCTTCAGGTTACAGACTCCGCTAACCCAGAAATAGTACCTCTGGTTAAGAACTTTGCTTCAGGATGAGAACAGAAATTGCATAAGCAGCGGCACGTCGGCAGCGGGAGGCCCCATTAGCTAAAGTGGTGCTTCAGGTTAAGAACAGTTTCAGGTTAAGAACGGACCTCTGGAACGAATTAAGTACGTAACCAGAAGTACCACTGTAAATGAATTTGGATATGCAGAAGATATTAAAAATATGTAAATTTAAGGAACCACAGAAAGAGGGGAGAAGGAAGTCAAGCTTTGAAATGTTAAAATGTTTGTAAAATTTATGAAATGTATGAGTCTGAAAAGTGTATTTTTTTTCTTTTTTTAACAAAAGATGTACTGAAACTAATCACAAGCTCTGCCCTTCCCTCTCTTGCCTCTCTCTGTGGATCCCTTCCCAAGCAGACGAAGACTGTGTCTGGACCTGACTGGCCAGTTGTTTAGCCATGTGAACGACTCTCCTCGATTGGGGGTTTCAGAGGGGGAGGCGAGCCAGCAGGACCGAGACTGCCCTGCTGCTGGGTAGCAAGGGAACCTCTGACTCCCCTCTGACTGAGTCTGCGCTCACACTGTGACTCTCAGCCTCAAACCCTGTCCTGGAAGGCCCACCTTCTCCTGACCCCCCACCAACCATGATCACTCAACCCACTCCCAGCTTCTAGCACCTCCCAGCTTGTCCCTTCTCCAGACTGCTCTTCCGTGTCCCATGTTGTAAACAAATAAATCTGCCCTTTCCCCCCTTATGGGGTATCCAAGAGCCCATACAGAGTAGTTACGTAGGTTCCTTATTGGCAGGAGAAAATAACAGAGGCCAACCAGAGAATATTGAGAAGCAAAGCAGCTAGAAAGCCTGATCTTTATTGATCTGTTGCAACAGGGTGCTCCCCTCACACGCAGGAAAGGAGGAGGGACCCAGAACCAAGGTGTGCCCATCCTTATATAGACATTTTAAATTGCCCGCCCTGGAGTCCAAGACCACCTCCAGACACATCATACCTACATCACAGAAAGGGTGGTCTACAGCAGAAATCTGAGTGCTTTGTTTACCTCCTGTCTGGCAGGTTACCTGTTTAATGGTCACTTGATTGGATTGCCTGGGGAGCCTGGCCAGTCTTTTGTAATGATAAGTACTTAGTTCCTGAGCCAGGCTACAGGCTCACGCCCTATTCATATCATAAATGTGCCCTTAAGACACATTTGTGAAGGAAAAGACAATAGGGAGGCTTTTCCATTTTCCTTTGACCTTGCAGAGAAAACATTTGGTCAGTTTGGGAATCAAAAATGGTTCCAGGTTGGTCTTCCTGTGCTGATCTATGTATGTGCTTGGTTGGTACACTTATGAACATTTAACATATATCTAAGATCTCAAAATTCCTATCACACCCACCACCAGGAACTGGGATCTAAGTTGCCGTCTTCTGTGCCCTCCTTGGGGGGCTCTTGGGGAGGGGGCTCCCACCACTCTTCCTCATCCAGCCAGTCCCTGACAACTGGACAGATTCATGGAGGACAAGACTACTGTCAGGGGGGTTTGGTCTGGGGGTTCATCAGTATGCAGATGACACCCAGCTCTACCTCTCTTTTAAATCAGAACCAGTGAAGGCGGTGAAGGTCCTGTGTGAATGCCTGGAGGCGGTTGGAGGATGGACGGTGGCTAACAGATTGAGGTTGAATCCTGACAAGACAGAAGTACTGTTTTGGGGGACAGGAGGTGGGCGGGTGTGGAGGACTCCCTGGTCCTGAATGGGGTAACTGTGCCCCTGAAGGACCAGGTGCGCAGCCTGGGAGTCATTTTGGACTCACAACTGTCCATGGAGGCGCAGTTCAATTCTGTGTCCATGGCAGCTGTTTATCAGCTCCATCTGGTACACAGGCTGAGACCCTACCTGCCCGCAGACTGTCTCGCCAGAGTGGTGCATGCTCTAGTTATCTCTCGCTTGGACTACGGCAATGCGCTCTATGTGGGGCTACCTTTGAAGGTGACCTGGAAACTACAACTAATCCAGAATGTGGCAGCTAGACTGGTAACTGGGAGCGGCCGCTGAGACCATATAACACTGGTATTGAAAGACGTACACTGGCTCCCAGTACGTTTCCGAGCACAATTCAAAGTGTTGGTGCTGACCTTTAAAGCCCTAAATGGCCTTGGCCCAGTATACCTGAAGGAGCGTCTCCACCCCCATCGTACTACCCGGACACTCAGGTCCAGCGCCGAGGGCCTTCTGGCGGTTCCCTCACTGAGAGAAGCCAAGTTACAGGGAACCAGGCAGAGGGCCTTCTCGGTAGTGGCACCCGCCCTCTGGAACGCCCTCCCACCAGATGTCAGAGAGAAAAACAACTACCAGATTTTTAGAAGACATCTGAAGGTAGCCCTGTTTAGGGACGCTTTTAATGTTTAATAGGTTATTGTATTTTAAGATTCCGTTGGGAGCCGCCCAGAATGGCTGGAGAAACCCAGCTAGTTGGGCGGTATAAATAATAAATTATTATTATTATTACTGATGGGTATGAACCATGATGGCTATGCTCTGCCTCAACGTGTTTCTAACTCCCCGAGTAGCCAGAAACTACAGTAAGGGATGGGGCTCTGGGGCTCGAATCTTGCTTATGGGTTTCCCATCAGGCACCTGGATGGTGACTGAGAGAGCAGGATACTAGACTAGATGGGCTATTGGCAGACTCTTCTTAATTTTCTTATGTCAGTGGTCCATCTATTCCTGCATCCTGTTCTCACAGTGGTAGGACTAAAACAGGCCTTTGGCCTGATGCCACAGGGATCTCCCAATATTCTTGAGAAGACCCAAAAGTTGGGACTGCAGGCTAAGAGATCTTTACCGCTTCCGAGCCGTAAACTTGCGCTACTGACGTATCCCAGAAGCCACAGCTCAGAACTCAGCAAAAGCAGCATCGCCAGCCTCTACTTCAGGACAGACCCAGCTCTGTAGCTGGGATGCTCGCTCCAAATTGGTTCATCTGCAGAGCATGTAGATGGGAGGTTGTGTACCTGCCGCCATGGCAACAGAGAAGGAGCCAATCAGCACACAAAGAATGCCCGTAGCATCCTTTGGAGTGTGTTCCTGTGCTCAGGGAGAGGGATAGCACCCACATTTTGGCTAGGTTCAAATTTCAGTTGCCCATACAGTGGTATCTCAGGTTAAGTACTTAATTCGTTCTGGAGGTCCGTTCTTAACCTGAAACCGTTCTTAACCTGAGGTACCACTTTAGCTAATGGGGCCTCCTGCTGCTGCCACACGATTTCTGTTCTCATCCTGAAGCAAAGTTCTTAACCAGAGGTACTATTTATGGGTTAGCAAAGTCAGTAACCTGAAGCATCTGTCTGTAACCCAAGATACCACTGTATTTATTTATTTCTTAAAATGTATACACTGCTCGACTGTAAAACAGAGTTTACGGAAAGGGATAGCTTATTCCAGAGACAGCCTCCATCTTCAGCAGAGACCCCATCCCATTCCAAAACAAACTTTCATGGCAGGGCTAGCTAATTTGGTTTACTTTGGATTCCCATCAGCTCCAGACAGCAAGGGATGATGGGAGCCTTAGGCCAGCAGGTTGTCCACCCCAGCAGTAGGGTTCCCAGAGTTCCTGGGCAGGTTTGCTGGTCCTCAGTCTCAGTTCACCACCTGTAAAATGGGCGTCATTCTTTCCACTGCTGCTCTATGGGAAAATTATTGGCATGGCTTCATTCTTGCCTTGTTTATACTGGGTGGTGCTCAACTAAGTTTTACTCTATTGATATAAACGAACACGACTAAAGTTAGGTCCATTAATTTCAAAAGGCGTACTCTGAGTAAAACCTAGTTGAATACCACTCACATTTTATAAACCAGCATTTCTGCATTTAACATATATTCAAGGCAGTCCCCCCTCCTCCTATAAGGATCTTAAATGTGGAGTTAAAAGTATGCTGTTAAGTTTTTGGCTCATCAGGTATTGCAATTTTTGAGTTTCATGGTTTGTTTGCATTTACGTACTTGTTAACCTTTTTACAAACTGCTTAGGGACAGTTTTAAGCAGTCTATAAACATACAAAATCAATTAATAAAAGCAGCCTGAAACTGTTTGACAACACAGTCTTCCGGAGGCAAGTGCTGTGTCTATTACCTGTCTTTTAGTAGATTTTTAAAAAATATTGTTTTAATTAATTCCATTAGGGTTACTTTCTAACAATTGCCTTTTATGTTTTTTTAGCTTTTTGCATTTTATCTATGTCCTTTTAAGTTCTATAAGTCACCTTGGGGGAAAGGCAGGATGATGGTGATGATGATGTTGATGATAATAATAATAAAAAGTCAAAACTATATTTATTTACTTTAAAAAAAAACAACAAGACAATTAAGACACACACACACAGAGACACATCTTTTCCTTCACCAAATTAGTGTTTCTCTAAATGTCCTAAACTTCTACCATCCTTGGTTTTTTTTTTTAAAACAACAACACACTTTTTAATCTTTTGATTTCAAACCATGCTTTTATCATTTCAGGAGTTGTGCAAGAGCATGCGGACCAGAGACAAAAAGGAAGGCAAACCCGTCCTGCAATTTCTCAAACGTGGCAAAGCCTTTGGGCGCCGTGCTGATGAAACAGGCTAGCAGGCAACCTCACAGAGGAGGAGGCCCTGATCCATAAACACACGCAGCTCCTCCTCATTCCCCATCAAGGACCAAAAGTGGGAAGTTCGAATCGGCGAGCTCTTTTAATTAGATGTGGCTTTGCGGCACGGCGGCTTATGACGCTTCCTCCGCCAGGAGAGGTTGCAGAGTTCAAATTCCGCCACGCGGGAGAGGCCCAGGAGTTCGTCGGTCCGGTTTCCTCCTGACACTCTGGAGGCAGAGATCTGGAAGCCAGATTTTGTGTGTGTAAGGGTTAAAAAAAGAAGGGGTGCAGCAAACCCGTATAGGCCTGCACTATCTTAAGAATCTTTGGTGGGTCTGCTGCCGAGTTGCGGTCTTCGAGGCTCCTAAAGTCAAGACTCTAGTCCTCAAGATTCCGAACGATCTAAACAGAAATATATAGAAAGTTGCCTTATACCGAGTCAGACATTGGGGCCCATCTAGCTCAGGATTGCCTGCACTGACTGGCAGATACGCTCTCCAGGGTTTCAGACAGGAAATCTCTCCCAAACCTACCTGGACCCTACATTAGTGATTGAATCCAGGATCTTCAACATGCCAAGCAGGTGCTCTGAGCTAAGGCCCTTCCCTGATCTTGCACAGAGAACCAGTTTTGATTTATTAGCGAAACAAGAAATCTTAAACCAGATCGGTGGTTCTGTTCCAACCAATTGCAGGAACACAGGGAGCCAAATTTTACTGACTTTTTCGATCCAGCTAGCTCAGCAGTTTTCTTTTTCGACAAACCTCCTAAGCAGAGATTTTTTAAAGCGCCAATTGGCATTTGTACTGGATTTGAAATTGTTTTCATCTTTGCAACGGGTTATGATTGGTGTGTGTGTGTGTTTTCTCAATATGTTGTAAAATTGTGTTGGGATGCTTTATAAAGGGACCCCTGACCATTAAGTCCAGTCGTGGCCGACTCTGGGGTTGCAGCGCTCATCTCGCTTTATTGGCCGAGGGAGCCGGCGTACAGCTTCCGGGTCATGTGGCCAGCATGACTAAGCCGCTTCTGGCGAACCAGAGCAGCGCACGGAAACGCTGTTTGCCTTCCCGCCAGAGCGGTACCTATCTATCTACTTGCACTTTGACGTGTTTTCGAACTGCTAGGTGGGCAGGAGCAGGGACCGAGCAACGGGAGCTCACTCCGTCACAGGGATTCGAACTGCCAACCTTCTGATTGGTAAGCCCTAGGCTCTGTGGTTTAACCCACAGCGCCACCCGTGTCCCTGATGATGGAATAGGACATCCCTATTTTCATTGGAGGAGTGTTGGAGGGTATGTCCCACACTGGTTCTCATTATTATCCTAAAAGAAAGGTAAAGGACCCCTGACAGTTAAGTCCAGTCGCAGACAACTCTGGGCTTGTGGTGCTCATCTCGCTTTATTGGCCGAGGGAGCCGGCGTACAGCTTCCGGGTCATGTGGCCAGCATGACTAAGCCGCTTCTTAGGAAGCGATTAAAAAACGAATAACATCTGTGCTGACTTGGAAATGGCTCTCTAGGGTTGTTTCCCCACCTGGAGAAGCCTGGAATTGAACCTGCGAGCTTTCGAATGCAAAACAGGGGCTTTACCACCAAGTCACAACCCTTTCCAGCAGACCAAATCTTCCTACGTTTGCATATGAAGAAAAAAACCCCAGTTGTTTTGAAGCAAAAAAACCATGCAGCTTTTTGAACATACATTCACCTTAAGTACAAGAGTCCCCTCCTACAAGATACTACTGTAGTTTTAAGAGTACTTAAAAAAACCCAACTTTATTGGCCCAAATAGAAGCCTCACCTGAATATAAACCGCACCTTTAAAATTCATGGGGGGGGGGGAGAAAAAAAGACAATATTCGAATATAAGCCACTCCCTTAAAATTCCGCAGGCACTCACACCCATTCCGTTTTACTGTATGTCTGTTTCAGATATCATAAAAGCCAATATTTGTAAGGTTGAGAATTTAAGCCGCACTTTAACTTTTCACGGTTGGAATTTGGAAAAAAAGTGTGGCTTATAATCGGTATTTTCTTTTTAATGGAATGTAATAGATAAATATAACCAATACCAGTAATAAAAGGGGCATCTAGGACCAGACAGAGCAGGATCAATTTCCCTACCAAAATAAAGAATAATAGATCAGAATTACAAGGTCCTAAGTAATACCACAGGGACGCAGGTGGCGCTGTGGGTTAAACCACAGAGCCTAGGACTTGCCGATCAGAAGGTCGGCGGTTCGAATCCCCGTGACGGGGTGAGCTCCCGTTGCTCAGTCCCTGCTCCTGCCAACCTAGCAGTTCGAAAGCACGTCAAAGTGCAAGTAGATAAATAGGTACCACTCTGGCAGGAAGGTAAACGGCGTTTCCGTGCGCTGCTCTGGTTCGCCAGAAGCGGCTTAGTCATGCTGGCCACATGACCCGGAAGCTGTACGCCGGCTCCCTCGGCCAATAAAGTGAGATGAGCGTCGCAACCCCAGAGTCGGTCACAACTGGACCTAATGGTCAGGGGTCCCTTTACCTTGGGCTCCCATTGTCTCTGTAGCTTATTGCTCTCGTACATTATATAGACATAGAGTAAGCTGTCCTGACAGGCTTAGCTATGTCCACTTCCCCTCACCTTGTGAGGAACTAGGCAATAAAGCCTGTTGTTCCTCCCCAGTCTACCTGAGAAGCTCAGTCTGTGAAGGGGCTTGAGCTGCCCCCCTTGCCAATAATCTAGAAACCTTTGCCACTTTGTTACTAAACCAAGTTTTACTGCCTATGCAACTTTCTGAAGCAGATGAATCTGACCTTCAGATAGTTTGGAAGTACAGTGGTACCTCGGGTTACATACGCTTCAGGTTACACACTCCACTAACCCAGAAATAGTACCTCAGGTTAAGAACTTTGCTTCAGGGTGAGAACAGAAATTGTGCTCCAGCGGTGCAGTAGCAGCAGGAGGCCCCATTAGCTAAAGTGGTGCTTCAGGTTAAGTCTCAGGTTAAGAACGGACCTCTGGAATGAATTAAGTACTTAACCCAAGGTACCACTGTAAACCATTTTTTAAACTCACTAGCATGTCGTCTTTTTCTATGCTGGGGAACGGGGAAACTTTGGAAAGAAACTTTTTACGAGGACATTTTAAAGCTCTAACAGCTTTAGTTTGTAACTTTAAATCTCTGCTATGGATCTCTCACCAAAGAGTACTCGCCCCAAACTTGGGTCTTTCTATCCAGGAATTCTCCTTTCTCTACAATATTTTTCTGAACCAACGTTTTCATTCAGACAAGCTGGCATGTAGAACGCTGATGTAAGTTTTAACCCGTTTCTTGTTTATTTCCGATTTTATTTCTTGGATTGTTTTTAAAGAGCTGCTTTTACCGATAATATTATTATTGTTCTATTCTCCGTGTAAACCGCTTTGAGTTTTCGTTTTGCTTTTAACAACCAAGTGATATGTAAATCTTATGAAATAAAATGAATAATCAAGAATCACAGTCATTCCAACTCAATGCAAAACAGCCTCAAAACTTATGCAAGATACATGGTACCCTCACTATGGAATACAGCTATAATGGACAAAATTATGCATAATTTGAGATTTTGACAAGGACTGGGGACCTCCCTACACAAGCCTGGCAATTCTGGAACTAGATAAACTGACAGCAGTGATAGCCTCTTACTGGAACCCTGTAATCTTAACTCAGATGCACTTCTGCTCATTTTACGTGCCTCTTTTTACAGTTTTGTTCTTCAACTTTTAACTTTCTAAGCGTTCTGTCTGTTTTATGCGCATTACAAAATTAAATTAAAAAACCCTTCAAGAAAAATATCAAGAATCAGGACGGGAAAAAGCTGGAACTCAGAACCAAGAAACTGAACTCGAGAATCCTGCAGTCCGTGTTTGTGGTAACACAGACTGAATTCTGCTGTAAGGTATGAAACCCTAAATATTCCTCTTGAGCATGGTCGGCCAATTGGTGCGAAGGGAAGACAGGAATTTCTTTATGTATGCGACAGCAGCGGCAAGAATACTTATTGGGAAATACTGGAAGACACAAGAATTGCCTACCCGAGAAGAATGGCAGAGAAAAGTGATAGACTATATGGAACTGGCTGAGATGACCGGCAGAATTCGAGATCAAGAAGAAGGGTCGATGGAAGAAGATTTGAAAAAATTTAAAATATATCTTCAGAAATACTGTAATATAAAAGAATGTTAGAAAAGGTGGGAGAAGAATATTAGACCGTATTGGCAGACAGAGTATAATGGAATAAGTAAATATGAAGTGTAAAATAAAGATAGAGGAGAATTAAATACTTTCGAATGTTAAAATAAGTAAATGAAAAGAAGGTTAGAAGGATTTGCTGGAGATACGACTTAAATTAGAATACAAAGCAGAGAAGTGAGAGGAAGTCACGGAAATAAGTAAATGGGAAAACGGTTCTAGGGGGGTAATTTGATTTTTTGTTACTTTTTTATTGTGATTTTTTGTCTTTTGTATTTTTCTTTGTACTGTGGGTTTTTTTTTTTTGTAGGATGTATGTGATTTGTTTTTCTTTTTTTACTTTTTTCTCTTTCTGTAATCTTAAAATTGGAATAAATATTCTTTAAAAAAATAAATATTTTAGCACAAAGCCATTTAGAGTCCTTACCCGATTCGAACGGCCAGGTGGCACATCCCCCAGGGATGAGTGAAGGTCGAGGCTGCTGAGAGTGGGGCTGAAAGCTTGAACAGGGTTCTCCCAACCGGCCAAACAGTGCTGTGATGGTCACAGAAGGGGAAAGTATCTCATGTTAGGTATTAACTGCAGCCCCAAAGGCTTGGGCTGTTTGAATGAATGAATGAATCTTTCTTTGCGTCAGCCATCGGCCATAGCAATAAAACAACAATATGATATGCAAAGAATAGAAATGAAAAGTCAATCACAGTGGTACCTCGGGTTACAGACGCTTCAGGTTACATACACTTCAGGTTACAGACTCCGCTAACCCAGAAATATTACCTTGGGTTAAGAACTTTGCTTCAGGATGAGAACAGAAATTGTACAGCGGCGGCACAGCGGCAGCAGGAGGCCCCATTAGCTAAAGTGGTGCTTCAGGTTAAGAACAGTTTCAGGTTAAGAACAGACCTCTGGAACGAATTAAATACTTAACCCGAGGTACCACTGTATATAAATGTGTGCAGGTGGCGCTGTGGGTTAAACCACAGAGCCTAGGGCTTGCCGATCAGAAGGTCGGCGGTTCGAATCCCCGCGACAGGGTGAGCTCCTGTTGCTCAGTCCCTGCTCCTGCCAACCTAGCAGTTCGAAAGCACGTCAAAGTGCAAGTAGATAAATAGGTACCGCTCTGGCAGGAAGGTAAACGGCGTTTCCGTGCGCTGCTCTGGTTCGCCAGAAGCGGCTTAGTCATGCTGGCCACATGATCCGGAAGCTGTACGCCAGCTCCCTCGGCCAATAAAGCGAGATGAGCGACGCAACCCCAGAGTCGGCCACGACTGGACCTAATGGTCAGGGGTCCCTTTACCTTTACCACTGTATATAAAATACATTTTGGGGTTTTGAATCAATAGTCAAATAGTGGATCTTATTCTGATTGCCCCAGCTAAAAACCTTGCAACCTTTGCTGTCACCTGCTCATCTTGATCTGCCAAGAGGCTGGATGACCCGGAATGGACAATAAAAGAGGGGTGATAATCTCATTCCTCAAGTCTTTATAAACAGCGCAAGCCAGAAGGGCATGTGCCACCGATTCAGGACATCAATTCTTTATAAAGATCGCAAGGCAGAAGGGCATGCGCCACAGGGACATACCGTATTTTTCGCTCCATAAGACACACTTTTCCCCTCCTAAAAAGTAAGGAGCGAATGCAGGCGGGAGGCTCTGCTCAGCGCTCCCTTTAAAGAGCTGCATGGAGCATGTGTGAGGCTCTTGGGGGCTTTTCCCCGAGGAGGGAGAAGGGCAGTCCCTCAGTCCCTTCTCCCACCTCCCGGAAAAGCCCCCAAGAGCTGCGCTCCCTTTAAAGAGCTGCGTGGAGCATGTGTGAGACACCAGTGATGGGAAAGTTGCCCCCCCCCCCCGCCGGTGCCCAGCCACACAGCAAGAACCGGGCTTCCCCAAACCAGAAACTCACCGAGGGCAACGCCAAGTTGTCTTCAGGCTCGTAGCTTTTCCTGCGGTGGATCTTGTGCTTGTAGGCAGGGAGCAAAGTGGATCTCGGGATGCTGACCCTGCGGGGGAAATAAGGATGTAGCAAGAGTGCTGCTGGGTCAGGCGAAAGGGGGCCCAATAGGACCGGATGCCTCAATGGAAAACCTGCAAGCCGAACCCGGGCACAAGAGCCTTCTTTCTTCCTGAAGTTTCCAGCAACTGGTATTCAGAAGCATGGCTTCCTCTGGCACTGGAGGTGGAACATAGAAGAAAGCATCCCAAACAGGACCAGAAGAGCCAAGAAGCTCTGTGAGAACGCACGCCAGCCCTGAGCAGAAAGGCCTCTGAGATCAGTTCGCCCTCAGCAAAGGTGAGGTAAGTCATTAACCCCCTCTCCTTTTGGAAAAAAAAACCTACAATGAAGTGAGACTCGAGCAGCCTTTCTCAACCTGTAGGTCCCCAGATGTTGTTGAACTACAACTCCCATCACCCCTAGCTAGCAAGGCCAGAGCTCAGGGATGATGGGAGTTGCGGTCCAACAACATCTGGGGACCCACTGCTCTATGAACAGGAGCACTGAGCAGTTCAGAACTGCGGAGGGGAACCCACAATCATGTGATCGCCTATGGCGACTAGAGAAATCGCCCCAGGCAGCCAGGTGGGGGGAAATGGGCGTAGGCCGAGGAAGAGCTGTTTCTTCCACTCCCCCCCCCCCCATTTCAGGTTCTCAAGTGACTATGCAGTGATTTGAATAAGGTACATACTAAAAGGCTGGTCCTATTTCGGACATTACAGTGGACCCTCCGGATACGAACTCAATTCGTCCTTAGGGTCCATACAGTGGTATCTCGGGTTACAGATGCTTCAGGTTACAGGCTCCGCTAACCCAGAAATAGTACCTCGGGTTAAGAACTTTGCTTCAGGATGAGAGCAGAAATTGTGCAGCCGCAGTGCGGTGGCAGCGGGAGGCCCCATTAGCTAAAGTGGTACCTCAGGTTAACAACAGTTTCAGGTTAAGAACGGACCTCCACAACGAATTAAGTTCTTAACCTGAGGTACCACTGTATTAAAAGGCTGGTCATATTTCTGACGTTACAGTGGATCCTCCGGATACAAACTCAATTCGTCTTGAGGGTCCATACTTACCCTGAAAAGTCTGTATCCAGAGGAGCCGCTTCTGCGCACATGCGTGGTGCAACAGAGGACTTCTGCACATGCGCAAAGTGCGCAGAGTGCTTCTGCGCATGTGTGTACGGCGAAACCAGGAAGTATACACTTCTGGGTTTGCCGCGTTCGTAACTTGAAATTACGTTACCCGAAGGTAACGTAACCTGAGGTACCACTGTATTTGTAAAGCAGCTATAAGTGATGTCCCCAGGATTCAATCCCTGCCATGTCCAGGCCAGGTTGGGAAAGATCTCCGTTTGAAACCCCGGAAAGTCGCCGCTGTTGGTCAGTGTAGACGTTACTGAGCTAGCTGGACCAAGGGTCTGAGCCAGCATAAGCACGCTTCCCAGGTAAGTCTTCGCCATCGCTTACAGACTCACCTGACGAAAGCAGGCTCCACCAGAGTCTCTGGAGGCCGGTGGGCTCTGGGGTTTTTGCAAATGGGGCAGGCAGACTCCACATCCAGAGGTGCCGCGAAAAGGCGTTTATTCAACCGGTAACAGAAGACACCTGCGGAGACAGAGCCGGGTAGAGGAAGGGATATGCGGACTTCAAGTTCTTCAACAGGGCCAGTGGGGATTCTGCGGTTCCCCCACCCCAGTAAGCGTTCCAAGTTCCTAGTCCTTAGGATTGCTGAGGTTTAAAGCCAGAATAATAATAATAATAATAATAATAATAATAAATTTTATTTATATCCCGCCCTCCCCAGCCAAAGCCGGGCTCAGGGCAGCTAACAACAATAAAATAATACAACATTCTAAAATCATTTCATTAAAATGAATTCAAATCAAATTGATGGCAACCATTGGGCTAGCGTTCTGTGCAGGTTGCCAAAGGAGGGAGTCAGGCTGTGCCCTCACCAAAGGCCTGGTGGAACAGCTCTGTCTTGCAGGCCCTGCGGAAAGATGTCAAGTCCCGCAGGGCCCTAGTCTCTTGTGACAGAGCGTTCCACCAGATCAGAGCCACAGCCGAAAAAGCCCTGGCTCTAGTTGAGGCCAGCCTAACCTCTCTGTGGCCTGGACCTTCAGGATGTTTTTGTTTGAAGACCATAAGTTCCTGTGTGGGACATAGCAGGAGAGGCGGTCCCATAGGTACGAGGGTCCTAGGCCGTATAGGGCTTTAAAGGTTAAAACCAGCACCTTAAACCTGATCCTGTACCCCACCGGGAGCCAGTGCAGCTGGTATAGCACCGGGTGAATGTCATCTTGCAGGGAGGACCCCATAAGGAGTCACCGTAAGAAGCCATGTGGCATGATGAAACCACATAGGCCAAGGAGATGCCGAGGAACCAAGCCGGATGAGGAATGGTTGAAGGATCTGGAGTATGTTTAGTGCGGAAAAGAGGAGGCTGAGAGGAGATAAAATAGCCGCCTTCAAATATCTAAAGGGCCGTCACAAGCAAGCTTGTTTTCTGTTACTTCAGAGGGCTGGATCCAAACCAATGGATTAAAACTGCAATAAAAGAGATTCTGGCTAAACACTGGGAATAACTTTCTGACAGTAAGAGCTGTTTGACAGTGAAATGGAATATCTCGGAGGGTAGTGGACTCTCCTTTGTTAGAGGTTCTTAAGCAGAGGTGAGCTGTGGTTCCTGCATGGCGGGGGGTTGGTATGGATGACCTTTGGGATCATTTTCCTGCTCTGCAATTCTATGATGGTTCTAGGGTTGGCTGGGCTGCTGAGATGGGAAGACGGAATCTGACCATACACTGATGGGAACCCGGGTCCATGTCTGATTCTCGATTGTGAGCAGAGGAACCCAGACCGTCTGATCTGCAGAGAGAGGAACATTAAGAGTCGTTTTCAGTTGTTCCCTGAAAGTCAGTGGCTGAGCTCTCATGCTGCATGTGCAAAACAACAACAACAAACCTCTGGTTACATGAAGCATATTCAATAAATATAATAATCATAATCATAATCATATATTTATACCCCGCCAATCTGGCTGGGTTTCCCCAGCCACTCTGGGTGGCTTCCAACAAAACACTAAAATACAATAACCTATTAAACATTAAAAGCTTCCCTAAACACACAAGACGTAACCGGCTATATGTTTGAAAAAATAATATATACTATTCATTGTATTGAATTGTAGATTTCAACAGAAGTAGCTCATAACCTTCTATTTGCCAGGAGGTGATGGGACCAGTGGCCATGATCTTCGTTTCTTTGATGTTGAGCTTCAAACCATATTTTGCGCTCTCCTCTTTTAATGACGGTGAAAGAGGAGAGCACAAAATATGGTTTGAAGCTCAACATCAAAAAAACGAAGATCATGGCCACTGGTCCCTCCTGGCAAATAGAAGGGGAAGAAATGGAGGCAGTGAGAGATTTTACTTTCTTGGGCTCCATGATCACTGCAGATGGTGATAGCAGCCACGAAATTAAAAGATGCCTGCATCTTGGGAGAAAAGCAATGACAAACCTAGACAGCATCTTAAAAAGTAGAGACATCACCTTGCCAACAAAGGTCCGTATAGTTAAAGCTATGGTTTTCCCAGTAGTGATGTATGGAAGTGAGAGCTGGACCATAAAGAAGGCTGATCGCCAAAGAATTGATGCTTTTGAATTATGGTGCTGGAGGAGACTCTTGAGAGTCCCATGGACTGCAAGAAGATCAAACCTCTCTATTCTGAGGAAAATCTGCCCTGAGTTCTCATTGGAAGGACAGATCGTGAAGCTGAGGCTCCAATACTTTGGCCACCTCATGAGAAGAGAAAACTCCCTGGAAAAGACCCTGATGTTGGGAAAGATGGAGGGCACAAGGAGAAGGGGATGACAGAGGACGAGATGGTTGGACAGTGTTCTTGAAGCTACCAGCATGAGTCTGACCAAACTGCGGGAGGCAGTGGAAGACAGGAGTGCCTGGCGTGCTCTGGTCCATGGGGTCACGAGGAGTCGGACACGACTAAACAACAATAATAATGATAATATCATCATCCACGCCCCCCTTACCGCAGCTCCCGGTCGTAGATGCAAGCCTCCCGGTTCACCTTCCGGAATTCCTGCAGCTCGGAGAAGTATTGATCGGGTTTCTCAGAGAGGGAGGAGTCCATGTCGAGCAGCCCTAGAGGAGGGAAGAGGAAAAGCCAAGACCCACCAGGTCAGACTCAAGGCACAAATGTCGCCCTTTCAGGCTACTCTCATTTGCTCCTCTGACCTCTCTGCAGGCCACACCCCTCTCTGGTCCTTCTCCACACATACCCCATATATTTTCGCGTGGCTGGAATATGTCCATGAACTCTCGTTTGCCTGGACAGAGAGGAGTGGGCGCGTGCTTAGAAACTGGCCTACTGTACAAAGGTAAAATTTACATGTGTTGCTCTGGCCACTTTTCCTTCTGGCTCTGACCACCACAGACAGGCATGTGGACCCCAGAAAGTTGCCTGGAAGGGAATGTAGCTCCTGGACTGGGGGGAAAAAACCCTTTCCCAACCCTCATAGATATAAAAATATAAATCTTTCTCTCTCTCCCTCTCTCCTGCCTTCCACAGAAATGATCTTCAAGGCACCCACAGCAATTTCATACAATAATACAGTGGTACCTCTGTGGGTTAAACCACAGAGCCTAGGACTTGCCGATCAGAAGGTTGGCGGTTCGAATCCCCACAACGGGGGGAGCTCCTGTTGCTCGGTCAACCTAGCAGTTTGAAAGCACGTCAAAGTGCAAGTAGATAAATAGGGTGGAGGGAAGGTAAATGGTGTTTCCGTGCGCTGCTCTGGTTCGCCAGAAGCGGCTTAGTCCTGCTGGCCATATGACCCGGAAGCTGTACGCCGGCTCCCTCGGCCAATAAAGCGAGATGAGCGTCGCAACCCCAGAGTCGGTCACGACTGGACCTAATGGTCAGGGGTCCCTTTACCTTTACCTCTGGTTATGTACTTAATTCGTTCCGGAGGTCCGTTCTTAACCTGAAACTGTTCTTAACCTGAAGCACCACTTTAGCTAATGGGGCCTCCTGTTGCTGCACCGTAGCAACCGCACAATTTCTGTTCTCATCCTGAAGCAAAGTTCTTAACCCGAGGTACTATTTCTGGGTTAGCGGAGTCTGTAACCTGAAGCATATGTAACCCGAGGTACCACTGTACGTGGGTATAAACAAAATAATATCCTGAAAATTGCAGGTAGACTGCCTCTGACCAGGAGGGCTCCATTTAGCTCTCACAAGCCGCTGTCTCAATTTCTGGAAACCACCCCAGGGGTACTCTTTTTCTTTTTTCACAAACCCAGTTAGGATGAATCAGGCAAGCTGCGCAATCTTTTGTTTTATTTATTTTGCTTGGCTCCAAAATAGATCGAGCCGTCGTACCTGCGATCCAGTCGTACCCCAGGAAAGGGCGGACCGACCAGTCATCTGCTGGGATGGCGTATTCCTCAGGGTCAGACATGAACGTCACGTGCCCAGATTCCTTCTGCAACAGGGTTAAAAATGCAGGGAAACGGTTCTTTTACTGAGCTGACTCAATGCGTTTTGCCATCGCGACTGCCACATGCACAAACCTTTCATTTGCCCACGTTTGGATAATAATAATAATAATAAATTTTATTTATACCCCGCCTTCCCCAGCCAAGACAGGCTCAGGGCGGCTAACACCTGATATAAAAACAAATTGATTGAAATACAACTTAAAAACAAGATTAAAATACAACATTTCAATGGAAACTCAAATCAAAACCTTTTGGGGGGATGAAAACGTCAAATCTTCACCAAGGCTAACTATCCAGACTGGTCCTACGTGGGCCAGAAAAATGCCAGGGAAGTCCCCAAATTGGAGTTCCATCACAGAAGGAGAAAGGAAAAGGAAAGAGGGAGAGGGGGAGGGGATCAAGTTGATTCCAAGCCAAAGGCTAGGCGGAACAACTCTGTCTTACAGGCCCTGTGGAAAGAAATCAGATCCCGCAGGGCCCCGGTCCATAGCTTTCAACTTTCAGATTTAAAAATAAGGGATCAGCAGCCTCACCTGTCCGGGGGACAGTTTACGGGATATCTAACAATCTGGGATAGCAGCGGGAAGCAGCGGGAAACGGCACCGGAATAAGGGAATTTCCCCCCAAAAAGGGAAGGTTGACAGCTATGCCCTGATCTCATGAGACAGAGCGTTCCACCAGGCCGGAGCCAGTGTTGAAAAGGCCCTGGCTCTGGTTGAGGCTAATCTGACTTCCTTAGTGACCGGGACCTCTAGGGAGTTGCTATTTATGGACCTTAAGGTCCTCCGTGGGGCATACCGGGAGAGGCGGTCCCGTAGGTACGCTACCATGCAGTTAATAAAATATTTACAGCAAACAAAGCAAGTTTCCCAGTAACACAAAATGTTATCTTAGGTTCCGGCTATTGGCCTATCAAGCCTGGTACTGTCTGCACTGAGCAGCAGTGGCTTTCAAGGGTTAAAGGCAGGATACAATTCCCAGCCATTAGGGATTGAACCCGGGATACGTAGCGCACAAAACAGTTGCAGTACAATTGAGACACCTGGGAAGGTGCCTTGCAGTGATTTAGACCATTTCTCTTCCATTTGTATACGCTACTGTTCAATATTTGGTTTCCACATATGGTAGGACTACAACTCCCATCATCCCCTGCTGGCAAAGATGATTGTGGATGATGGGACTTGTAGTCCAACGACATCGAGGAACACAAGGTTGAAGAATCCTGGCCTACACTGGCTGGCAGAGGCTCTCCAGAGCCGCAGACAGGATGTCCCTCCCAGCCCAACGTGGAGATGGACCCTGAGACATTCTGCATGCAAAGCAGGTGCTCTTCCACTGAGCAATAATCTGAGCAATAATCTGCACCCTTATCCTCCAATGTTCTTTCACCTTCTCGCACTCCCACCAGACATGGATAAAAGTACCTGAGCCAACTATTTGATGAGAAGGGGAAAAGGTTGTTATCTTGGAATGTAAGAGATATTGGATTTTGGAGATGCGCCAAGACTTTGGTAGAGCGCCATCTTTAGCTGTACAGACAAAGAAATGGAACTTGAAAACCTGCTAGAGCTCTGGTGGGTTTTCAGTTAACTTTTCCCCCAGGCTGAAGCATTTATCTGTATATGATAATCATAACTGGGACGCGGGGGCGCTGTGGGTTAAACCACAGAGCCTAGGACTTGCCGATCAGAAGGTCGGTGGTTCGAATCCCCGCAACGGAGTGAGCTCCCGTTGCTCAGTCCCTGCTACTGCCAACCTAGCAGTTCAAAAGCACGTCAAAGTGCAAGTAGATAAATAGGTACCGCTCCAGCGGGAAGGTAAACGGCGTTTCCGTGCACTGCTCTGGTTCACCAGAAGTGGCTTAGTCCTGGAAGCTGTACCCCGGCTCTCTTGGCCAATAAAGCAAGATGAACGCCGCAACCCCAGAGTCGGCCATGACTGGACCTAATGGTCAGGGGTCCCTTTACCTTTACCTTTAATAATCATAACTGAGAGGAGAGAGAATGACTGGACCAACTCAGAACTTTTTGGGAAGAAAAAATATGGATGAATAATTATTACACGCAGGATGAAGGGATACAGGTCTTCACTTATGGATTAATAAATTACTAAATATGTTAATTAAAATGGAAGTCACAGAAATTGCAGCTGTGGAACAAGGGACTATGATTAAGATTGGAATACAACTGGAACAAATAAGACTTGGGAAGCGGGGGGGAGGGGGGAATTACTGAACCTTTAATCCAGCAAGTGGGAGGTCACCCAAATTATATAATTGGCTATTTGGTTAATTGTTATTTGATCTGGTATAATGAGGTCTGTTTTGTATATTTTGTATGGGATGCGGGTGGCGCTGTGGGTTAAGCCACAGAGCCTAGGACTTGCTGATCAGAAGGTCGGCGGTTCGAATCCCTGTGGTGGGGTGAGTTCCCGTTGCTCGGTTCCTGCTCCTGCCAACCTAGCAGTTTGAAAGCACGTCAAGTGCAAGTAGATAAATAGGTACCGCTCTGGCGGGAAGGTAAACGGCGTTTCCGTGCGCTGCTCTGGTTCACCAGAAGCGGCTTAGTCATGCTGGCCACATGCTGTACGCCGACTCCCTCGGCCAATAAAGCAAGATGAGCGCCGCAACCCCAGAGTCGGCCACAACTGGACCTAATGGTCAGGGGTCCCTTTACCCTTTAATGAGGTCTGTTTTGGATATTTTGTAATTGAAAACTAATAAAAATTATTGGGAAAAAGGAAAAAAGGTACCTTCCTTCCAGCAACAACCATCCTTGCTAATCATCAGGGGTTCAAACCCCAGCACTGCAGCGATGCCATAACCGCCGGCTGCCAACTCTTTAAGTAAAGACTTGCCCATCTGTTGAACTCTAAACCAGTAACAGAGAATTCTTTTATCTATTTGGCTCTCTATGCTCAACATGCGAGTTTCCAACCTGACCATGGCAGATTGCACGTCTTTGGGTAAACCTAAAAGAACTCTTAAAAAATAATTCTGTGGGGGTACTTTTATAGCTTTGTTTAGAGTATGTAATGTTTTAATAATATAAATGTTTTAAGTCTTTTTTTACCAATTCAGTATATTTTCTTTTAATTGTCAAATAATTCTGTGTACATTGCGGCAGCCTTTGGCTATGTGCAATAAAACTGACTGAGACTTGCGACACACCCACCTTCGCTTTCTCTTTAGATTCCTTGGCTTGGGGCGTGAGCAGGATTGGTTTCGGGGCTGGCGACATCCGCACGGAAACTGTTGCCCTACCTCTCCCCTCTTTGGCTCGCCCTGGGCCCGCCTCCTCTCTGGCCTGCGGCCTGTCCGTCTCTGGCAAGCCGTGCAAACATGGAGGACGCCTTTTTGCCTCCGTGTGCCCCGCGGTTACTCTGGGCTTCCTCGGTCCTTTTGGCCGTCCGCCACTGGCAGTTTTGCGAGTCGATCTGGCGGATGCTGCGGCCGATGGAATGTGGATCACCTCAGTCTGGCGGGTGATGGGACACAAGCGCTCTGGGTGGCGGTCCTCTTGCTCGTCCTGGGGCACGGCCGGTTTTGAGGGGGAGGTGAAGTTGCGCCGTGCCAGCCGGGGACTCACTTCCACGGACACAATCACCGCAGAATCAGCTGTGTCTTTGGGAAAACGATCCCTGTTCTCTCTCTGGGAATATAATAATAATAATAATAATAATAATAATAATAATAATAATAATAAAAATAATTTATACCCTGCCCATCTGGCTGAGTTTCCCCAGCCACTCTGGGCGGCTTCCAACAAAACACTAAAATACAATAAGCTATTAAACATTAAAAGCTTCCCTAAACAGGGCTGCCTTCTTATATCTTCTAAAAGTTTGGTAGTTGTTCTTCTCTTTGACATCTGATGGGAGGGTGTTCCACAGGGCTGGTGCCACTATCAAGAAGGCCCTCTGCCTGGTTCACTGTAACTTGGCTATTAAAAACAGTACAGCATTAAATATTAAAAACTTCCCTAAACAGGGCTGCCTTCAGATGTCTCTTAAAAATAAGATAGCTGCTTATTTCCTTCACATCTGAAGGGAGGGTGTTCCACAGGGCGGGTGCCACTACCGAGAAGGCCCTCTGTCTGGTTCCTTGTAACCTCACTTCTCACAATGAGGGAACGGCCAGAAGGCCCTCGGCAATGGACCTCAGTGTCCGGGCAGAATGATGGGGGTGGAGACGCTCCTTCAGGTATACTGGACCGAGGCCATTTAGGGCTTTAAAAGTCAGCACCAACACTTTGAATTGTGCTCGGAAATGTACCGGGAGCCAATGTAGGTCTTTCAGGACCGGTGTTACATGGTCTCGGCAGCCGCTCCCAGTCACCAGTCTAGCTGTCACATTCTGGATTAGTTGTAGTTTCTGGGTCCCCTTCATAGGTAGCCCCACATAGAGAGCATTGCAGTAGTCCAAGCGGGAGATAACCAGAGCATGCACCACTCTGGCCAGACAGTCTGCGGGCAGGTAGGGTCTCAGCCTGCGTACCAGATGGAGCTGGTAAACAGCTGCCCTGGACACAGAATTAACCTGTGCCTCCATGGACAGCTGTGAGTCCAGAATGACTCCCAGGCTGCGCACCTGGTCCTTCAGGGGCACAGTTACCCCATTCAGGACCAGGGAGTCCCCCACACCCGCCCGCCCCCTGTCCCCACAAAACAGTACTTCTGTCTTGTCAGGATTCAACCTCAATCCGTTAGCCGCCATCCATCCTCCAACCGCCTCCAGGCACTCACACAGGACCTTCACCTCCTTCACTGGTTCTGATTTGAAAGAGAGGTAGAGCTGGGTATCAGCCGCATACTGATGAACACCCAGACCAAACCCCCGGATGATCTCTCCCAGCGGCTGCATGTAGATGTTGAAAAGCATGGGGGGGAGGACAGGACACAGGCATAGTTGATACCAATGCCATGCATGCACACACAACATTTTATAAGAACTAAAGAGCCTAGAAAGAGCACTTCTGGAACAGGCCAGAGGCCCATCTGCTGCAGCAACCTGCTCTCACAGATATCCTGCAAGCAGGATCCTAGCGCAAAGGAGGGGTTCTCCCCTCACAGGAGCAAACTGGTATAGGCTGAATTTTAGCAGCCATTTTGCACCCTGAACGGCAGCCAATTTTCACCTCCACATCTCTTTCCTCAGGACACTCCTGTCACATTTCTGGCCCTGAACAACTTTGGCGCAGGATACCTTAAGGACTGCTTTATGCCACGTATGGCCATGGTTGAATGAGTAAGATTGACCGGGCGAATCACTATTAGTGGTCTCTAGGGATGGGGCGTGGGACGTGGGTTAAACCACAGAGCCTAGGACTTGCTGATCAGAAGGTCGATGGTTCGAATCCCCGCAATGGGGTGAGCTCCCGTTGCTCGGTCCCTGCTCCTGTCAACCTAGCAGTTCGCAAGCATCTCAAAGTGCAAGCAGCGGGAAGGTAAACGGTGTTTCCGTGCGCTGCTCTGGTTCACCAGAAGCGGCTTAGTCCTGCTGGCCACATGACCCAGAAGCTGTACGCCGGCTCCCTCGGCCAATAAAGTGAGATGAGCACCGCAACCCCAGAGTCGGTCATGACTGGACCTGATGGTCAGGGGTCCCTTTACCTTTACTTAGGGATGGGGCAGAAATCTGATTCCTCCATAAGAGCATAAGGAATAATAATAATAATAATAATTTATAATTATACCCCGCCCATTTGGCCGGGCCTCCCCAGCCACTCTAGGTGGCTCCCAACAGAATGTTAAAAACAGAATAAAACATTAAAAACTTCCCTCAACAGGGCTGCCTTCAGATGTTTTCTAAAAGTCAGGTAGTTGTTTATTTCTTTGACATCTGACGGGAGGGCGTTCCACAGGGCGGGCACCACCACCAAGACGGCCCTCTGCCTGGTTCCCTGTAATCTCACTTTTCGCAGGGAGGGAACCGCCAGAAGGCCCCAGGCTGGACTATGGGGGTGGAGATGTTCCTTCAGGTATACTGGGCCGAGGCCGTTTAGGGCTTTAAAGGCCTGCACCAACTATCATGGCTGGTGGTAGCGATCAGTAACTTTCCCTTCCACAATTTTGTCTAATCCTCTTTTAAAGACATCCACATTGGTGGTAATCACGGCCTCCTATGGGATTATCTGTCCTGAATCTTCCAACGCTCTGATCTATTCATTCATTCATTTAATTTATATAATACTCTAACAGCAGCAAGAATACTACTGGCCCAAAAATGGAAGTAAGAAGAATTACCGACAATGGAAGAATGGAGGATGAAATTAATGGACTATGCGGAACTTGACAAACTAACGGGAAGGATCTGAAACCGGCGGGACCAGAAGTTTACCGAGGACTGGAGTAAATTTACGGATTATTTTAAAAGTATTTGTGACGACCAGATGACGTTTGTAGGTTTGCAAGAAGTTCTGTGAGGAACAATATTAGAAATATTGCAAAAATGGAGAAGGAGATGTGATATGTTAAGAATGTAAAGGCAATATTAAGTTAGGTAATGCGTAAGAACTGATTAAGACGGAGGATCAGAGGTGCTGATGGAAGTCCAATAAGAATGTATTTGTGATAAATTGTGTGGTATGTTTTATAATTTTGTACGTTAAAAACCAATAAAAATATTTTTTTAAAAAGAATTTATATAATACTCTTCATCCGAGGACATTCATCGGATGTCCACGAGTTCTCATGTTATGGGCTTGCAGACTCTCCAGATCCCAGCAGCCAGCTCTCAGCCCTACCCTTGGGGAGCTGTGATCCAGCAATGTTTGGAGGGATTGAGGAGCACCTACATGCCAGCACGAAACATAATCCAAGAGTCTCCCTACGCACCTCGCCCTTGCTGTCCGAGTCCCGCTCGTCTTGAGGAGTTGCTCTTTGCGATGGTGGCAACAGCTTGACTCGAACCCGCTCCCTGAACTCCTCTTGGTTCGTCCTCAGCCTCCGCAAGAGGTCCTGGTTCAAGTTTCGCAGCCTCTCCAGGTCCATCTTCTCACCTCCTTGCTTTAAAAAGAGAACAACATTGCAGCGGGTTGGGACTAGATCATGGGTAGGCAAACTAAGGCCCGGGGGCCGGATCCAGCCCAATCGCCTTCTAAATCCGACCCGCGGGCGGTCCGGGAATCAGCGTGTTTTTACATGAGTAGAATGTGTCCTTTTATTTAAAATGCATCTCTGGGTTATTTGTGGGGCATAGGAATTCGTTCATTCCCCCCCAAAAAAATATAGTCCGGCCCCCGACAAGGTCTGAGGGACAGTGAACCGGCCCCCTGCTGAAAAAGTTTGCTGGCCCCTGGGCTAGATGTCACTCTGGGTTTCAAATGGTTTTCAAACTATTAAGGGAATAAACGATCCTACATAATAATTCTAAAAAAGAAACTTCAACTGGACTATTTATTTATTTCACTGCATTTATTTATTCTTTGCAGTTACTCCGCCATGCGCAGAGTAAGACAAGGCACAAAAAGAATGAGAAACAAGAAATATGCCCATGTAGAAAACTGAACACAAAAATATTGCGCACATTACAATAATTCTTAAATTTTTTTTGTATTTTTTGTGGCTTTTATAAAGCTAATTACTCCTTTTTTGATAATTTTTATTAGTTTTCAATTACAATAATCCTATAATAGCCTCATTATAACAGTGCCAAATTATAATACAATTACTAATACCAATCATTCAGATGCCAAATTATATAATTTAGGTGGCTCCCCCACCTGCTAGAATTGATGGTTTCATGATTTACTTTATTTCTGCGTTCCAAAATCTTATTAATTTCAATTACTAACCATTACTTCTCAATATAGTTTTATTTACTTCTTCCAAGCCCCCACAGGGGAAAAAAACACATCTAGCCCTGTATATTTTCCCTTATTTCTTCCCAACCCCACTAAACCAGTGGGTGGTGAAGGTCCTGTGTTTGTGCCTGGAGGCGGTTGGAGGATGGATGGCGGCTAATGGATTGAAGTTGAATCCTGACAAGACAGAAGTACTGTTTTGGGGGGACAGGGGGTAGGCGGGTGTGGAGGACTCCCTGGTCCTGAATAGGGTAACTGTGCCCCTGAAGGACCAGGTGCGCAGCCTGGGAGTCATTCTGGACTCACAGCTGTCCATGGAGGCACAGGTTAATTCTGTGTCCAAGGCAACTATCTACCAACTCCACCTGGTACGCAGGCTGAGACCCTACCTGCCCGCGGACTGTCTCGCCAGAGTGGTGCATGTTCTAGTTATCTCCCGCTTGGACTACTGCAATGCGCTCTACGTGGGGCTACCTTTGAAGGTGACCCGGAAACTACAACTAATCCAGAATGCGGCAGCTAGACTGGTGACTGGGGCAGCCGCCGAGACCACATAACACCGGTCTTGAAAGACCTACATTGGCTCCCAGTACGTTTCCGAGCACAATTCAAAGTGCTGGTGTTGACCTTTAAAGCCCTAAACGGCCTCGGCCCAGTATACTTGAAGGAGCGTCTTCACCCCCATCGTTCTGCCCGGACGCTGAGGTCCAGCGCCGAGGGCCTTCTGATGGTTCCCTCATTGCGAGAAGCAAAGCTACAGGGAACCAGGCAGAGGGCCTTCTCGGTGATGGCGCCCGCACTGTGGAACGTCCTCCCGTCAGATGTCAAAGCGATAAACAACTACCTGACATTCAGAAGACATCTTAAGGCAGCCCTGTTCAGGGAAGTTTTTAATGTGTGATATTTTAGTGTTTTTTGGTTTCTATGGAAGCCGCCCAGAGTGGCTGGGGAAACCCAGCCAGATGGGTGGGGTACAAATAATAAATTATTATTATTATTATTAAACTGGGTAACCCCCACATATTGCGCTGCGCAGACTTAACACATAGAATAAGAGAACAAGAAGAACATACGTTTGGAGAAGATTGGAAAACGTTTATTGAATATATGGGGGAAATTGTGTACACTTGAAAACGCTGGCAGCATTAAGATAAATTCAACAATGTAATTAAGCTTGGATGGATGCAATAATGGAATACTGAATGGTTTAGTTTTTGTAAAATATGCAGGGATTTATAATATGCAAAATGAACCATGGAAAGAGAAAAAAGGAAGTAATTGATATTTTAAGGATGTTTAAACGTGTATTTAAAGTGTAAAACAGAAAATTTAATTTAAAAAATATTATTATTTTAAAATAAACAGGGTAACCCCCCACCTCGCCCCATAAACTCCCCACCCGCGTCCTAAAGCGCCATCGACTCCCCCCCTCTATTTCCAACCGCCCACCCGCAGATCAAAGGGACGCGCCGCTTCACTCACCCATTCAACTCTCCCGTCGGTTTCCTACTATGTAGCAAAAGCCAAGCTTCCGAACGCCTCCTGATTGGCCGGCTCCGCCTTCCCAACCCAGCATGCATTGCACCAACCGCCTGTTACTTTCACTCTTAAAGGGGCCGCTCTCATTCATTTCTTCCCGCCTCCAATGCCGGTACTGTATGACGGTCCGCCTCATTTTTTGTGTAAGAAATTAAATCATGCCATGTATGAAAGAAATGGCCATTTGAGCTCTGCCCTTTAGAGGCTTTTAAGCGAGGCGTTCAATAGGTTCGGTTAGGGCTGATGGAATATTTTTATTTTTTAATGCCAGCTGATGTTGTTTTGCAAACTTAAAAAAGTAAAATTCCCAGAGCACGGGATATTCCTAGAGGGCTGGTGGGTTCCTTGCACTGAGCAGGGGGGCTGGGGAGTCTTACAGCACCACCAACCTAGTGCCCCCCCTTTTAAAGGCAAGTTACTAGTCCTCAAGGTACTTTTTCTATGGTGTGGCACGATTTTTTTTTTCTTATGCAGCGAGTAAAATCTTCAACAAGCATCTTCTCAAACTTTGGATATTTGGAAACACACCATTCCTGTCTACGTGCTTCTTTACTTTCATGTTTTCTGATCCAGATGTTTTATAATGTGCATGCCAGGAAGGGAAGTCACTTAATCTTGGCTCATATGGCTTTTTCCCCTTCTCTTTTCCCTAATTTGCTCTTCCTCCATTGCTACAGTAAAGGACCCCTGGACATTTAAGTCTGGTCAAAGACAACTATGGGGTTGCAGCACTCATCTCGCTTTCCGGCCAAGGGAGCCAGCGTTTGTCCACAGACAGCTTTCCGGGTCTTGTGGCCAGCATGACTAAACCACTTCTGGTGCAACAGAACACTGTGACGGAAGCCAGAGCGCATGGAAACACCATTTACCTTTCCACCACAGCGGTACCTATTTATCTACTTGCACTGGCATGCTTTCGAACTACTAGGTTGGCAGTAGCAGGGACAGAGCAACGGGAGCTCACCCCATTGTGGGGATTCGAACCACCAACCTTCTGATCAGCAAGCCCAAGAGGCTCAGTGGTTTAGACCATAATGCCACTCGTGTCCCATGATGGCATATAGGAGCTGTTACATGGTGCCTCTACCCCAGGACAAAGCACTGTTGGCTGACTAATGTATTTTTAATCTTTGTTGGAAGCCGCCCAGAGTGGCTGGGGAAGTTTCCAGCTATACAGGTTAAAGTTAATGATAGACTAAGATTAAGATTAGGATTAAAGATGTTTAAAGAAATGGAAATTTGACAATTAAGAGGGAAAATTTTAAGATTATATTATACTAAGACTAAAGATCAGGTTTAAAGAAACTGAAGTTATATATTACAATATTATATTAAAGTTAAAGATTGGGATTAAAAAAGTTGAAAAGAAATTGCTGGACAAACAATTTGGAGTGGAATACAAAAGAGGGAGGTATGAGGAAGTCCAGAAAATAAGTAAACTAAAAAAAACGGAAATGGAAAAGAGATATTGCTTTTAATTGTTATGTATTTTGTTTTTTTATTGTTGAATTGTGTTCTTTTTGGTGTATTCTTGTTATCTTTTTTTCTTTTTTTTGAGATATGTATTGTGTATGTTTTTCTTTTCTTTCTTTGTTGTTTAAAATTTAAATAAAAATTATTTATTAAAAAAAAACAGAGTGGCTGGGGAAACCCAGACAGATGGGCGGGGTACAAATAATAAACTATTATTATTTTCATTATACGACCTTGTTGTCATTACATGCATGCAGTCATGTTTAAAAACAAGAAGTTACTAGTCCTCAAGCTTGCAGAGACAAATTTGAAAGTCTCTGCCTGCAGATTGGGTGGGGAGTGCCTGGCAGGAAAAAAATGTCAAGATGACAAAGGTTCAGGTTCTCAAAGACTTTTCTGAAGAGTTAGAAACTTTGCTTAAAAGTTATCAAGACTGTAACTCCCATCAGCCACAAGCAAGAGTGTCAATGATCAGGGAAGATGGGAATTTGTAGTCTAGCAACACCTGGAGGGAACATCTGCACTAGATCACCCACTAGTTCCCCTCCAATTTTTCAACATCCCCTGAAGCATCTAAACTTTAAATGGCTGGGGAGTAATTTTTAAGCGTCTGCAAGACAATAAACCCAAGTAGGAAAAGAGCCCCCAATCACTGCATTGGATTGAACTAGATGACCTTTGGCATGACCTCCAACTCCACAATGCTAAAAGAAAAAAGGCTGAAGCTTCAGACTGATTTTTTCCCTTCTTTTAATAGTTTGGTTTCGGGTATTAACAGCACTGATACAGCAAGAAAGGTAATTCATGCCCAAATAAAAAATATTACCATTGTAAATAACAGCAGATAGAAGAGACACACCGCAGGGAGAATTTTTGGAGAGCCCCAAATTCATCCAAAGACAGAAAAGGAAATATATATATATATGGAGTAATCAAAATTAGCAGCAATAGAACAATAAAAAATAAAGTGCATTTGGCTAAACATGTTGCTGTAATATTAGTTGTGGCGGATTGGCTACCAAAATCCAGAAATGGCACCCCTCATGTGTCATTATCAAGTTGGTTGACAGCGGACCTTGTCTTAAAGGAGCATCAAATATCTTAGTGAATGGGCTAAGCTGAGGATCTAGGGTTGTAGTCAATGCTAACCCTACTTAGAGTAGACCCACTGAAGTTCATGAGCATGACTAGCTTAGCCCATTCAGATTCCCTCCATCAATCCAAACTGGGGTGTTTTTTTAAAAAAGGGGAGGGGTGGGATGTCATTGGAACACATTACATGAAGTGTATAAAGGGATCAAAATCTCCACTGCGGTTGGGTCCCCTATCCACACTGTTCCAGAAGACTCCCGAGGAGGCCTGTAGTAGCCAAGGAGTTTATTTCAGCCAGGTAGGGAGGGGCGGGTTTCTCATCCTGCAATTCATAGCACGGCTACGTGCATAACTTCTTCGGCCTGGGAGGTGCACCCTCTAATGAATCTTGTCAGTGCTTGTGGTGCTCTATGAGGACTAGTGGCATGAGAGGCAGAAAAACAAATTCCCTCAAGTGGAAGGTAGTGGGGGAAGAGTCAAAATTCAAAAGAATCAAGAGGCACAGGGGATAAGGATGTTCACCTGTCCTGTTCAATATGTGTGAACCTCCTTGTTATAAAGCACGGGTAACAATAATAAAAAAGTTATTATTATTATGATGATGATTATATATTTGTACCATACCCAACTGACTGGGTAGGCAACGTGGTGCCCTTGGTAACTTCTAGCACAGCCTGGTGCCCTTGAGGACTCCAACTCCCATCAGCCCCAGCCAGAATGGCCAATGGGTAGGGATGATGGGGATTGTAGTAGGTACCACGTTTATCTTTAGAACAGGGGTGGGTACCCAAATGTTGAACAGGTCACACCTTACATACTTGGGAGCATAGAGGAAAGACACAGGATCTATCTAAGCCACATCTTTGCCCAACAACATTGCCCCGTGTTGCTTTAATTCTAGGCCGGGACATTTCTGCCAAGTTTGGAAGTTGTGTGAAATAGCTTCCTGCCCTGGCCAAGCCCAAAGGACAGACCCCACCCTCTTCCTAAAAGGGATGGGCAAGGTTTCGAGGGCAGCTCCGAGAGGCGGGCAGGCTGCCCTCACCTGCAAATCGCCTGGCACCAGGTGACGCAAGAGCTCAGGAAATCGGTGCCAGCAGGTCTCCGTGCGTGGCAGAAGGTAAGAGACGTGGTTTGTCCAAAATGACCTGGCGGGCCAAATTCAGTAGAGGCCAGAGGTTCCTTTGCCACTGTCTCAGAGATCATATAAACTCGTGCTTGGGCAAACAGTTGCCTCTCGGACGCCGTGGGTCTGACCCAGCTCCCACGCTCCCTCCGAGAGCCCAGCTTGGCATAAAGCCACCCCAGCGAGACAGATTGCTAGCCCTGCACAGAGTAAACCCATCAAAGTTAACCCTCTCGACTAGCTTAGGCACATCAATTTAAACGGGCTACTTCAGAGCAGGACACATTCACGAAACTGTGGTGCCTCTTTAAGCAATCATGGCTTTCCCCCAGAGAATCCTGGGAACTGCAGTTCGTTCAGGGTGTTGAGAGTTGTTAGGAGACCTCTATTCAGCTCCCAGAGTGGTTTAACAGTCAACCCCTCTTTCCTCAGGGAACTGTAGCTCTGAGAGGGGAATGGGGGTCTCTTCACAACTCTCAGCACCCTCTACAGTTCCCAGGATTCTCTGGAGGAAGCTAGGATTGTTAATGTGGTATCACAGCGCTTTAAATGTGGCCTTTGCAGATACAACGCTCTGGCTGGACTGCACCTCGAAGAATGCAATATTATTATTATTTTTTAAAGGAATAGATGGGCATTAATTCATCGAGACCTGGAATTGGAGAGAGAAGTTTCATCTAAACTTGCTGGGAAAAGGGGATCCAAACAGAATCTGCCCAAGTTGATCTTGACATTTCATTGTTGTTAAAAGACGAAGAAGAGGGGAACGCAGACCAGATTTATCATTCCTCCTCGTAAGTGTACAAACACAGGCATTTTCTCTCCTGCTAATTATTAGCTTATTAACACCATTGGAAGAAGGAGCGGGGAAGGAGGACTCTAAAATAAAGTCTATGCCAAACCGGGGTGGGGGTTAGAAATGGATAAACCATGCAGAGGCCGTGGCGGAAAAGGAGAGACGGGGCAGCGATTGTCTCCTCTGTGGGGGGATCCCCACCGCCTGGAACAGGTTCTGCAAGCGGGCACTCGAGTAGCGAGCAGAAATATCTGCCCTCCTCCTCCGCCTTTCCTCGCTTATCTGCTCTGCTGCAAGTACTGGTGTGTGAACATGTTCAGCTCGCTGTCCAACCAACCGGCTTTGTTCCTGCAGAGAGAAAATACGTCTATTATGGGGTGTCGTATCCAGGATGTAGGTAAAACTATGAACGCACATTGCTTTAGAAAGCACAAGTGTGAAATTTTGGACCTCCACCACCCCACCCCGAAGAAAGGGGAGCACACGGCTGCTAACAGTTTCAGTTCTGAGAACTTTAGCCTGCCAGACTCAGCAGGCGTTGCAACAGAGATGCTAATGGGCCTGCCCCCAATACTTGTGGTCGCATTCTGCTTTGTTGTTGCTTTTAAAGTTTTTACACAAGCTTTTTTTGTGTTACAAAACAAACAAGAAAGGAAAAGTACATGTAGCATCTCCACCATCAATTCGTAGTGTCTTTTTCACAGCTTGTTTACATTCATTATGAGACATTATTGTTGTAGACATTGTGCAGTTAGGGGAAAAGAGAGGGGAGAGAGGGAGGGAGATGGGGAGTGCTTTAAAGGGACCCCTGACCATTAGGTCCATTTGTGACCGACTCTGTGGATGTGGCGCTCATCTTGCTTTATTGGCCGAGGGAGCCAGCGTACAGCTTCTGGGTCATGTGACCAGCACGACTAAGCCGCTTCTGGCGAACCAGAGCAGCGCACGGAAACGCTGAGCGGTACCTATTTATCTTCTTGCATTTTGACGTGCTTTCGAACTGCTAGGTTGGCAGGAGCTGGGACCGAGCAACGGGAGTTCACCCCATTGCAGGGATTCGAACCGCCGACCTGATCGGCAAGTCCTAGGCTCTGTGGTTTAACCCACAGTGCCAACCACATCCCATTTTCTTGTGTTACAAAACAAACTAACAAGGAAAAGTCCATATAGCGTCTCCACCATCAATTCGTAGAGTCTTTTTCACAGCTCGTTTACATTCGTTATGAGACACAATTGTCGGAGACATTGTGCAGTTAGGGGAAAAGAGAGGGGAGACAGGGAGGGAGATGGGGAGTGCTTTAATTGTTTTTAATTCTGACTTTGAAATCATCATAGCCTGCCCTGGGACTTGCTGGTGAAGGGCAGGGAACACAATCCATCCATCCATCCATCCATCCATCCATCCATCCTCTCTTGCTCAAGTCCTGCTTATGGGCTTCCCAAGGTGGCATCTTGTTGGCCACCATGAGGACAGGACTAGATGGGCCCCCTCTGGCCTGATCTAGCAGGGATTTTCCTAGGTCCTTATGGAACCTCCAGATTCAGAGGTAGTCTATCTACTGTATTTTTCACTCCATAACACACACTTTTTTCCTCCTAGAAAGTAAGGGGAAATGTCTGTGTGTGTTATGGAGCGAATGCCTACGGATGGCGGGAGGATCTGCTGCAGTCGTGAGCAGAGGATCCATGGTTCCCCTTCCTTCCCTCCTCCGTGGCTCGCTTTGAAATAGCAAAGCGGGAGAGGTGTAAGCGGCTCCTGTCTGGTTGGCTGCTTTAAAGCAAGCAGGCTCTCTGTCCCTCCCTCCTCCCCACTCAGCTCGCTAAATAGCAGCAAAGCTTTTCAGCTCCCTGAGCCGGGGAGGAGGGAGAGAAGCAGAGCCTGCTTGCTTTAAAGGAGCAAAGCGGGAGGGGAGAGCAGCTGCTTACACGAGTGTTCGGTTACAAAGCATGGATCCTCAGGATTTTTGCACTGGGTCACCCCAAATTCACCATCAGATCACATAGCATGTCCATGGCTACAGCCTGCACCAAAAAACACACATGCACCCACTGTTTCATGGGGCCGCAATGGCGCAAAAACGTGGTTACAAATCATGGATCCACATGGATCCTCAGGATATTTGCATTGGGCTACCCCAAACTCACAGTCAGATCACATGTCTGTGGCCACAGCATGAACCACAAAAATCATACATCCACTGTTTCGTTTAGAATATTTTTTTTCTTGTTTTCCTCCTCTAAAAACTACGTGCGTGTTATGGTCAGGTGCGTGTTATAGAGCGAAAAATATGGTAGTTTCCTGGGTTCTTTGGGAGATTTGGCCCCTGGGAGATGCTGGACTAGATGGGCCTTTGGCCAGCAGGGGTTCCTCTTAAGTTCCCATGGTACCAGCATCACGCAGCTTCCGCAAACGAAGCCCTTCTGAGCATCCCACCCTCCCGAGTTCTGCACTCGCCACCCTGGAAGCGGCTCATTGTATTTCACTTTTATCAGAGCAGCCGGGGAAGGTGGAAACTGGGAGACAGCCCTGCTTCCCATATTCCATACCTGAGCAGCTTGGCTTTGCTCTGAAGGGAGTCCAAGATCTCAATCTTTTGATTCAGGGCCGTGATCTCCTTCTCGAGATCTTCTCTCGTCACGTCGACCTGCTGGCAGAGCTGGGCGAAGGTCCCGGCAAGCTCCCTTTTCCAAAAAAAGAGGGGGGAAATGGAGAAGAGGAAGAAGTCAATCAGAGGGAAAGGAATAAAATGGCAAGGTAGAGAACGAACACAGCAAGCTGCTTGGCTTTGTACCAAGTGTAGATCATTGGTCCATTTAGCTCAGGGTTTCCTGCGCTGATTAGCAGAGGCTCTCCAGGGCTGCAGACAGGAGTTTTTTTCCAGACCTACCTGGCGATGCTGGGAACTGAACTCAGGAACTTCTGCATGATGAGCTAAAATTCCTATAATGGCTACAAACCAGCCAGAATTTTTGTGAACATTCCATGACACCCAGGGCAGGAACTGAAGTCAGAAAGGCTACAGGATTCTTTGGTCCAATAAGGCAGCAGCGTTTTACGTGGGTCAAACCATTCAGCCCTAATTTAAAAGCTACGTTAAATTGCTGTAGTGTTTATACGACGCTTAGAATGTTTGTGAACATGCCATGACACTCAGGGCAGGCCTTGAGGTAAGAATGTCTACACAGGGTTATTCAGCCCATATAATAAAAAAATATTATAACATGATGAATTCGCGGGCAGGATTTGAACTACGAGCAACAAAAGGAATGAGAGATTACTGTATTGCTGTTTTGATATAAGAAGAGGGAAGGTAGGGTGCAGCAAGGCGGAGAAATTAAAAAAAACACCCTGGAAAATGGGATAGGAAGTCGCTAAAACAAAAGAAAAATCTACAGTGATACCTTGGTTCTCAAACGCCTTGGTGCTCAAACAACTTGGAACCCAAACACTGCAAACCTGGAAGCAAGTGTTCTGGTTCGTGAACATTTTTCAGAAGCCAAACGTGCTCCTTTTGAGTGTTACACTTCCATTTTTAGTGTTATAATAACAATAATAATAACAATAATAATATCTTTATTGTCATTGCCCCCTTCGGGGACAACGAAATTACTTGACTGCTCCATAAAAACACTAATCAATCAATACAGTATAATACAGCAAGGGAGATTAGATGACTTTCAAAGTCCGGGCTTCCCATTCAGGGCCGAGATCGCTCTGGAGAAGAAGCTGTTCTTAAGACGGCTCGTTCTTGTCTTCATCGTCCTGTATCTCCGTCCCGACGGCAAGAGCTCGAAGAGACAGTGACCAGGATGCGATGGATCTTTTACTATGTCCAGTGCCTTCCTATGGCACCTTGTGGCATAAATCTGCTCTAAGGTGGAGAGTGGGCAGCCAACAATGCTCTCTGCTGCCTTAACAACCCTGCACAACCCCATCCTGTCCTGGGTAGTACAGCTTCCGTACCACACACATAAGCCATAAGTGAGCACGCTCTCAATGGCACAGTGATAGAAGGCAAGCAGCAGTTTCTGCGGAAGATGGTTTTTCCTTAGTATTCTCAAAAAGTACTGCTGAGGTCTGCCTGTTTTTGCTATTTATTTTGTGTTTTTGTGGCTCTTTTTTGTGTGTGTGTGACTTCGTGGAACCCAGTACAGCTACTGGTCGATCTTTCCCGTGACTGTGTGACTGCAGTACATTGATTGTTGCTTTCATTTTATGGATCCATGGTCTTGTTAGATAGTAAAATTCATGTTAAATCGCTGTTTTAGGGGTTGTTTTTAAAAGGATTAATCCATTTTGCATTACTTTCTAGTGCACCTTGGTTTTGGAACGCTTTGGTTTTGGAACGGACTTCCGGAACGGATTGAGTTTGAGAACCAAGGTACCACTATATTATGTATTGGAACGTTCATGTGAAGTTTTTGGAAATGTATCTAAAAATAAATAAATAAAAGTTACGTTCAATTGCTCCAGAGGTTATACAATGGTTAGAATGTTTGCGAACATGCCACGACACGTGGGGCAGGAATCTGAGCACGCTGAGCTCTCTCTGCAAGGAGTCATTTGTGTGTTTGTAAGAACAGGAGCTCCTGAGAGCCACATCAAGGCTCAGAAGGCCACAATTGCGGATAATTTCCCCCCGTCTCCCGGAATGCGAGCGAAGCGAAAGACTCACTGCTGAACTTGATGGCTGCAGTTCGAACCCGTGTAGCTGACGATGAGCTGGAGTTTCTCGCCGGCGTAGTCCACAAACTGTCGCTTGAAAGCTCTCTCCTTCGCTCTTGTGGTCCAGGTGAGACGCTCGTAGACGTACAGCAGTCCGTAGAGGCCAAAAGAAAGAGCAATCAGCCTCCAGCCCACAGCCTTCCAGACCTGCGGGCAGGAGGAAACGTGATGGTCATTTTTTCTTTTTTTTAAAAAAACACACCCAACAGCTGACGAATCAAATCAAATCGTTATTGTTACGGTCAACGGCCAGCATTAAAGAGGCAAAATAAGAGGGCAAAACTGAACAAAAGTAGCACAGAGTAAAATAAAATGGGCCCCAACTTATTGGAAGTCGTCGCCATGTTATGATCTTCGAAGAGTAAAACTACCGCATTTTTCGCTCTATAAGACGCACTTTCCCCCTCCTAAAAAGTAAGGGGAAATGTGTGTGCATCTTATGTAGTGAATGCAGGCGGGAGGCTCTGTCAGTGCTCCCTTTAAAGAGCCGTGTGGAGCGTGTGTGCGGCTCTTGGGGGCTTTTCCCCGAGGAGGGAGAAGGGCTGCCCTTCTCCCTCCTCGGGAAAAGCCCCCAAGAGCCGCACACACACTCCATGCGCTCTTTAAAGGGAGCGTGGCTCTTGGGGGAGCTTTAGCCATGCACAGTCTCTCCCGGGCAGGGGGTGAAGGCTCCCCTTGCCCGGGAGAGGCTGCGCGCGGCTAAAGAAGAAGCCAGGACAGCGAGTGGGATCCCGCTGGCTGTTCTAGCTTCTGGCTTAGCCACAGGATGAAGTCTCCGCAGGGGAGCGGGGAGCCTTCGTGCAGCTATCCCTGGCTTTTGCGGGAGGTGGGGGAAGGGACAGAGTGCGCGGCTCTGTCCCTTCTGTAGGGATGATCGCGGAGTGGGGTCCGGAGGGAGCACACTCCCCACCTGCAGGCAGCCACAGTCTGCCTGCACGCGTGACCTTGGGGTGCAGGGCACGCCCCCTCACAGACAAAGCCACGGCTGTCTGAACATCGTTGCCTCTGTCTAACTGTTTGCGGTCTCAGTAGTCTGCGGTGTCCTGCCTGTAACCTTTGTCTCTGAGACCTTTTGTCTCCTTCGTCGTACACTGTGCAAGGGGAAAATGACGCAGTGGAAACAGGTGCCAAAATAACTTTGTACCACCCCACTATCTTAGGACCGAAAGATGTGTAAAGGTCACAGCCCAAAATGTATCTGCCTGATTTGCATATTGGTGTCAATAAAAGGAGGCTCCACAGGGCTGGCGAGCAGCTTGCATGCAGCCCACCTGTGCGCAGCTCACCTGCATTATCAACTTCTGCCTCATGTCCATCACTTCACCTTTCCCCACCTCCCAGAAAAGCCCCAAAGAGCCGCGATATGCCTTTAAAGAGTGTGCGGCTCTTGCGGGAGGAAAGCCAGTAGGCTTGCTTTCGCTGAAGCCAGGAGGGCAAGAGGGATCGGTGCGCACCGATCCTGCTTGCTCTCCTGGCTTCAGGGGTACCCCGCAAAGCCTTCTGAGTGAAGATGGAGGAGCGCTCCCTCTTAGCTCAGAATGCTTTGCGTTCCTTTCTTATTTCTTGTTTTCCTCCCCTAAAAACTAGGTGCATCCAATCGTCCGGTGCGTCTAATAGAGCGAAAAATACGGTACTCCTCAGAGTAAAAAGGTGGACTTATAAATGTGAAGAAGAAGAAGAAGAGTTTGGATTTGATATCCCTCTTTATCACTACCCAAAGGAGTCTCAAAGCGGCTAACATTCTCCTTTCCCTTCCTCCCCCACAACAAACACTCTGTGAGGTGAGTGGGGCTGAGAGACTTCAAAGAAGTGTGACTGGCCCAAGGTCACGCAGCAGCTGCATGTGGAGGAGCGGGGAAGCGAACCCGGTTCACCAGATTACAAGACTACCACTCTTAACCGCTACACCACACTGGCTTCCTGTTCTCTTATATACGAGGAACACTTGAATTACAGCTACATTGCAAGGGAGAGGTCTTTGGAAGCATCAATAGTGTGTGTGTGGGGGGGGGGGAATCATCCAACTCAGTATTGTCTACACTGGCTGGTAGCAGTTCTCCAGGGTTACGGACAGGTGTCTGTGCCAGTCCTATCTGGAGATACCAAAGACTGCACTTTCTGCATGCAGGGCTGATGCTCTGTCACTGAGCTACAGGAGGGCAGGGCGAGGGAATCAAAGCACCCTCAGATATCGGGGTTCTCCTCCAAACGTACCACTCCTCCAACCACGAGGATGCCCATAGAGGTTCTGGATGTGAGAGAGGCCAGCCCAGTGACCATCGAGACCATCAGCTCTTCCTGAGTCAAGGATCCTTGAGGTAAGGGAGGCAGGCTTGGGTTGGCTGGAGTCAAAGGCAGAGGACGCTGAACCTAAGTTTGAAAAAGGGGCAGGGAAGAGGAAGGTGCAGAGAGAAGAAAGAAAAAAATCAGAGAACGGTTTGACTTGTAAGCACTTCCAGTACAATGCAAAATGCTTAGTTCCTTCATTTGTTTGGATAAGCTGGGCTATTTTTCCCCCATTTTACAGGCTGGGTTATTGAGGCCAAGGCACAGTAAAAGGGCCCTTTCACAGAACTTTGCATATCACTGTCTCTCCCCAATGGCAGCAGAAGCAGGAATTGTGTGAGAGAAGGGTGTATGTGGAATGCAAATGCACTTCATTTCTGTTTTTAACTATTTATCTGTGCCTCTGTCTTGCGTTTTTGTCTTGTAAGCCACCCTGAGATCTTTTAATGAAGGGCGATAATATACTAAGGTTACCAATAAATAAATACTACGTTCGGGACGTTGATGCTGCAGTGATGTCAGTTGCGGAGAGGAGGCCGCCACCTTGACCTCAACCGCCATGTTTCCCCTTCCTCCAAAGCTTCTATCTCCTTTCTCCATGAGCCTGGGCAGCCCCTGAGCTGTTGGTTCTTCAGTGGTGGTGGTGGGGAAGCGGTGTGCGGTGGGTCAGGCGTGGAGGGCGGAGAAGGAGGGCCGAGAGGGCAGTGGCGGCGAGGCTCGGGCAGCGCGATGCCTCCCTTCCCATCGGAGCAGCCCCAATCCCATTCCTACTTGCGTGCAAGCAGGAGGGGACGGGGATCCCTCAGCTGGGAAGGGAGGCTTCCTGTTGCCTAACTGAGAGATCCCTGCCCTGCTCCTGCTTGCACGCAAGTAGGAGTTGGAAGGCTGCTCCGATAGGCAGCATGAAGCCTCCCTTCACAGCTTAGTTGCTGGGGTCAGCGAAGGTGGAGGCAGCCCGGAAGCTGCATCTTAGAGCCCCTGCACCATCATCATATGGGGACTTCCGGGCAGCTCCTGAAGCCAGCCAGAGCCAACTGCTCCGGGCTGCTGAGACTGCCGCTGCTGCGTTTCCTGGGGACATTAGATGAAATCCGGGATGGAATTTGTCCGGGGACCTATTCGCAAATCCGGGGACTGTCCCTGGGAAACGGGGACGTCTGGTAACCCTATAATATACATCTGATAAATAATCATCACCATAATTTTGGGTTCTTTAGAATGAAAGTGGCAGAATCTGCACGTTCCCCTGTGTGCTGGTTCCTTCTCATTGGGGCACACAATGAGGCACTGTAACTGGGAGGCACTGGGTGCCTCTGAGCATAGGAACCTGCCCTTGCAATGAGTCACGCCATTGGTCCACTTAACTTGGTGGTAGCCACCCTTGTGGTACCCATCATCCCTGGCCATTGGCCACGTTGGCTGGAAATGATGGGAACTCAAGTCTAACACAGTCTTGAGGACACCACTTGGCTACCCTCAATGGAAGAAAGACTGTCTGTGATTTCTTTTTTCCTCCTCCCTCCAAGTTCCCCTTTCCTTTCATGTCACAAGCCTTTTAGATGGTGAAACCTGAAGGAGTCCCATTGTTCAGTCTGGACACACTCAGATCCAGCTCCGAGGGTCTTCAGGCAGGTTTTCTCACTGCAAGAAGTAAAGCTGCAGGGAACCAGGCAGAGAGCCTTTTTGGGCAGTGGTGCCCTCCTTGTGGAACACTCTCCCATCAGATGTCAAGGAAAGAACTATACAACTTTTAGAAGACATCTGTTTCGGGAGGTTTTTTAATGTTTTGACATTTTCTTATGTTTTTAGATGTGCTGGAAGCCGCCCAGAGTGGCTGGGGAAACCCAGCCAGATGGGCAGGGTATAAATTATTATTATTATTATTTATTTATACTCTGCTCATCTGGCTGGGTTTCCCCAGCCACTCAGGGTAGCTTCCAACAGAGTATTAAAATACAATAGTCTATTAAACATTAAAAGCTTCCCTAAACAGGGCTGCCTTCAGATGTCTTCTAAAAGTCTGGTAGTTGTTGTTCTCTTTGACATCTCGTGGAAGGGCGTTCCACAGGGCGGGTACCACTACCAAGAAGGCCCTCTGCCTGGTTCCCTGTAACTTGGCTTCTCGCAGTGAGGGAACTGCCAGAAGGCCCTCGGCGCTGGACCTCAGTGTCCGGGTATATAAATAATAAAATTATTATTACTGAGCCACATTGGGAGCCCCCTGATAATACCAACTTTCTGGCTCTACCTGGGTATCGAACCCAAGACCTTCCGCGTACAAGGCAGATGTTCTATTTCTCTGCCACGACCCAAGAAGAGGAGAGGAAGCTGCTTGGGGAGGGGGGCTTTTCAGGAGCACCTACTGGGTGAAGCAGGGTGCTGGAGGGTAGCCAAAAGGCTCTTCTCACCTGGTCATTGTAGCCCATCAAGGCCCGGCGGGTGTTCTTGGGTCCCAGGAACCTGTTCACGAGCATCGTCCAGCCGAGAGAGAAGTGGAACTGGATATCCTCCTGGAAGTCGGCGCAGAGCTTGTCGCAGTTGAGGTCGTAGCTCATCGCGAAGCACTGCCGGGGAATGAGCTTGTCTATCTGGCTTCTCAGAGAGGCTGGCAGGAGGGGCTTTAAGCCGTCTTCACGGGGGAGCAAAGAGACAACAGAACCTGCTATTAGAACAAGCCCCAATTCATGGACCAACGTATCAGATGCACTGGGGATAGGAACCCTGTTGCTAGGCTGGTTTCTGCCAGCCCCTGCCAACCTGACTGATGGTCCCTGTCTCTGCACTGAAGGCAGCTAGGGGCAGTGAGAGCAAGTGACGGCCTAGTTCAGGGATGGGGAACCTGCGGTCCTCCAGATGTTGCTGGATTTCAACCGGCATAGCCCTTGGACCGTGGCCCTGCATTAAAAACGACGCTGGGGCAGTAAAGGCAAGTGATGGTCCAGGCAAGTGAAGGCACCCTCTGGATATTGCTGGACTCCAACTCCCATCAGCCCCAGCCACTTACAGCCAATGGCCTGGGGTGACCAAAGCTGTGGTCCAGTTGCAGGTTCCCTAACTCTGCTTTACAAGCGAGAAAACAGAAAAGGGAGTGTCTCTGAAGCAGTCAAGATCTCCAAACATCTGGCTCAGGTAAAGGGACCCCTGACCATTAGGTCCAGTCGTGGCCGACTCTAGGGTTGTGGCGCTCATCTTGCTTTATTGGCCGAGGGAGCCGGCATACATCTCCCGGGTCATGTGGCCAGCATGACTAAGCCGCTTCTGGCGAACCAGAGCAGTGCACGGAAACACCGTTTACCTTCCCGCTGGAGTGGTACCTATTTATCTACTTGCACTTTGAGGTGCTTCCGAAATGCTAGGCTGGCAGGAGCAGGGACCGAGCAACGGGAGCTCACCCCATCGCGGGGATTCGAACCGCCGACCTTCTGATTGGCAAGTCTTAGGCTCTGTGGTTTAACCCACAGTGCCACAAGTGAGAAAACAGAAAAGGGAGTGTCTCTGAAGCAGCCTAGATCTCCAAACATTTGGCTCAGATACAGGTACTTAATTCCCAAGCAGCACAGGAGACCTGCTCCCTTTTCACTAACCGATCATCTCCTGCTGCATTGTCTGAAGGGACGTCGTGATGGAGCTGGAGCAGCGGTCAGACATATTCCGGCCAAGACCCTCCTCAATGTGCCGGTGGAGTTCCTGGGGGGGGGGGGAGGGGAAGAGAGGTAGAGATCAAGGCTGCTTTTTGCATGGCACTGCAAGTACACCCCCCCGGTTTATTTTTTTGCATCGATATCCCGCCTTTTCCCTCTGAGTAGCTCACGTTGGAGCACATCGCTCTTCCTCACGACGACCCTGTGAGGTAGGTCTCCCAGGGAGATTCATGGCCGATTGGGGAAATGAACCCTGGTCTCCCAGGTCTAGTCCTGGGAACTGTAGTCCACCCCCTAGCAGAGCTACAACTCCCAAACTACAGTTCCCAGGATTCTTTGGGGGGGAATCTACCACTGAGCTACAAGCCATCCCCGTAACAACAAACTTCTGAGCTACTCCTTGTGCGCTTATAAGCTTATAAGCAACAGGTAAAAACAACAACAGATAATAATTGCTGCAACTCACATTCTTATAAACTTTAATGACTACGGGAGACGGGTGAAAATCTAGCTGGAAGTCGTCCACCAACACGGAGAGGCGTCTGATCTCTTCCGCCATCGCGTTGGAGACCTGGAAGGTACAATTGCGTTATGGCAGGTGACTAAGGCAAAGCGCAGAGGATCAGGGCCTCCCTCTGTGCCCGAAGCACATGAGTGTGTGTGTGTGTGTGTGTGTGTGCGCGTACCAAACCTCTGCCCTCCGCTGAAGGAAAAGCAGAATTCGTGGAAATCGAAGGAAGTGTGGTTTTGCACGAAGGAATCACTCTAATAACAAACGAAGGTTGGGGAGTTGGGCAACAGAAAATGGGAGTCAAAATCAGGGCCACTTGGAAAACAGGAGAGAGGAATCAGCCCTGCTGGGTAAACCCCCAAAGTATTTGTTGGGAAACTGTGTATGTGCAGCTACTCACACAGAGTCAATTAAGGTTTGGCAGCCAGCCAGAAGGCAATGTGAAGGAGTAAGTCTGCCTGGTGATAACGAAGGCATGGAGACAGCTCCCTGATTGGTCAAGCTCTCTCAAGGGAGTGATAATTAATGGTCTATTAACTGGAATGTGTTAGTTCAGAAGTTCAGTGGTTCAGTGTTCTGTGTGTCAGTGTAGGAGTTGTGAGTCGTGTCAGAGAGAGCTAGCAAAAGATCCGTGTTCTGTTCTGTAAATAGTCCACTGTATATAATAAACACCTAACTACAAGTTCCTGGTTCCTGCTTTGTCTATCCTGTCTGCAGCCAAGTTGCCAATTGCTTCCATGGATTCTGCGTTTACTCTGCTAGGTCTGGCTAAGGTCCTGCAACTAGTCAGAAAGTTGCGAAACACCAAATAGGTTTTACCAATAGTCTTCCAAATGCCCAATGAAGACTCAACATTCTTAGCGGCCACAGGATGTTGAAACCTGGGAAACTGGATTGCTTTGCATGGATCCTGACCTGGACCACTCCAATAAGAGGAGGATTTTGCCAAGTTTTCCTGCATCACAGGGCATTGGACTAGATGACCCTATGCATCCCTTGAAGCTCTAGGATTTTATGTTCTGCCTATGCAGGTCTATAACCTTCATTCTCAAAAAATTACATCTACAAAGAAGCGTATGTGGAACATGATCAGAGCAGCCTCTGGAGATTTTGAACTGTAACTCCCTGGGAGCACAGCCCTGTTTGCCATAATTCAGAGCAGAGGGGATTCCGAAGAGGCAGGGTGCCACAACCGAAAAGGCCCTGGCCCCTGGCTCTGCTGAGCGGCACCCTGGGCCTTTGCTCGAAGCCCAGCCCAGACAGCAGCGATGCTCTCACCTGCCGCTCCACCTCTTCTGTGATCTGCTTGATCTTCAGCTTGTAGTTTTGAGTGAGCAGATCCAGCTGCTTGTCGATGAAGCCCAGGCGCTCCTGGCGGTCCTCTCGCATCTCCAGGCAGTAAATCCTGGGAGATGGAACAAGGCGTGTGTTGGGTGGTGGGAAAGAAGAGAAACAAATAATGCATTTTCTTGTATTAAAGGGAAAGTAGGGAGATCGGCTGGCGGTTTCCGGGAGACTTCCTTTCCTAGCAGGAAGGAGAAGGAGGGCTGGCTAGCGCAGACAAGGTAGAGGAAATACGAGCACCTAATACTGAGCAGAGCTAGGCAACCAGGCCAGTGGGTTTTTCGCAGTTCTGTATGCACAAGGACATAGAGCAAAAGAGATTGCAAGTCTCCTCCTGATCAGCCGTTTTACATCAGCAGCTCCCCTGCCCCTGATCAGCCCCCTAGTGGTGGCAAGCCTCCCCCAATCAGGTCCTTAACAGTGGCAGGACTCCCCACCCTAATCAGCCCCTTAGGAGCAGCAGACCTCCCCACTCTGATCAACCCTTCAGCGGAAATGTTTTCCATTGGGACAAACCATTTCATTTCACTTAAGTGCGTGGGTGCAAGCATATTATTATATTATGTTACGTTACATTACGTTACGTTACGTTACGTTACGTTACGTTACATTACTTTATTTTACAGTGGTACCTCGGGTTACATACGCTTCAGGTTACAGACTCCGCTAACCCAGAAATAGTGCTTCAGGTTAACAACTTTGCTTCAGGATGAGAACAGAAATCGTGCTCTGGTGGCGTGGCGGCAGCAGGAGGCCCCATTAGCTAAAGTGGTGCTTCAGGTTAAGAACAGTTTCAGGTTAAGAATGGACCTCCAGAACGAATTAAGTACTTAACCTGAGGTACCACTTTTTACTTTACTTTACTTTACTTTACTTTACTTTACTTTACTTTACTTTACTTTACTTTACTTTACTTTACTTTAGAAGCATTCTGCATCCTGGGCTGGAAGTCTGAGCCAAAGAGTTGTTACTGCGTACAACCTCCCTTAACCTGTGACTTTGTATGTTCTCTAAAAGAGATTAAAAGCCTGCCTGGCTCACTTTGAATCACCTCTGTATCAAACTTCTTTGGACCAGAGAATCAGGCAAATTCATGGAGGAGGCTATCAATGCCTACAGCCAGCCAAGGTGACTACGTTTCTCGTCTACTTTCAGAAGAAAGCAACGCGTCTGACCATCTCCTGCTGTTCTGCAGCTGCTCACCTCTGTTCCTGGGCAGCCACATGCACCGAGTCCATGATGTGGCGGACCTCTTCCGCGATCTGCTTGGCTCTGACTGTGTGCTGCTCAAACTTGGTCTTCACCGCCGACTGAGAGATGCATTCCTGCATGAGCAAAGGGAACAGGAAGTTCAGCTCAGCAACCTGCATTTTACAGATTAAAAATCAAGCAGGTTTTACATACAGCAGGTTACCTGCTTCTGGCAATCTCAAGGGGGTTATGTAACCCTGGCACTTGTTGATCCACTTTCAGTCCTAAACTTTGCCAACTTGAGGACTAGCGACTTGATTTTCTCCTCAATCCCCCCTCCCCCAATACAACAATGTAAACAGTGAATATTTGTCCAGCAGTACATCGTCATTTCCAATGGTCTGCACACCAATCTCTCACAGGGCCTTCCCTTCCCAAACTTGTGATATTACTGTCAAACACTGCCTCCCCAGAGGCACGTCTGAGTGACAGGTAGGGGGAAATCGACCACTCTGCTTATTAATATAAGAAAGGAAAGGAAACCACGTCTCATCAAACTTGATTTTATTTTAAACGAAAATTGGGTTTCTTGGGATTTCTCTATAACCTAGTTCAAAAAAAATTTGCACTATTCACAAAACAAAGATTGTGGGTTATTTACTCAGACAAAAGGTAAAGGGACCCCTGACCATTAGGTCCAGTCGTGACCGACTCTGGGGTTGTAGCACTCATCTTGCTTTATTGGCCGAGGGAGCCGGCGTACAGCTTCTGGGTCATGTGGCCAGCATGACTAAGCCGCTTCTGGCGAACCAGAGCAGCGCACGGAAACGCCATTTACCTTCCCGCTGGAGCGGTACCTATTTATCTACTTGCACTTTGAGGTGCTTTCGAACTGCTAGGTTGGCAGGAGTAGGGACCCAGCAACGGGAGCTCACCCCATCGTGGGGATTCGAACCGCCGACCTTCTGATTGGCAAGTCCTAGGCTCTGTGGTTTAACCCACAGCGCCACCCGCGTCCCACAGCGCCAATGCAATAACTATCCTGGTGTCAAATTTCTGGGAGTGGGGAAGTTTCCATTATTTCTTAGCTCAAGGGAAGAGGGAAGAATAGGAAGAAAACAGCCTTTCCTCAACCAGGGGCCTTCCAGATGTTTTGGACTACAACTCCCATCATCCGCAGCCAGTGCTGGCTGTGGATGATGGGAGTTGTAGTCCCAAAAAATCCAGAGGGCCCCAGGTTGCAGGGAGGCTGGCATAGAGCGATTTGAGGGGAAACTATAAAAAGGGGGAGTAATTTGCTCAGGCAAGTAAGGGACAATTAAAATCCATTGCACAGAGTTTTGAGAAATGGAGGTTATTAATCCACACTGTCCATGGGCTTAAGGCTTTTGGCCCATCTACCCCAGTATTACTGGCTCTGGCAGGCAGCAGGAGCCTCAGAGAAACTGCTCCCATCATCTGCGCTCAGGTCTTACTATAAATGGAGAAGCTGAGCAGCAAAACTGGAAGTTCTTTCACTTGCAGAGCACAGATGAGCTGCCCTTGGGGTGCTGTTATACAGGATGAGCGCAGCAGACAAAATCAAGACTTGCCTCAAATCTCCTCTCAAAGTTCTGGAACTCAAACATCCTCACTTGGAACCCTTCTGCCAGCGCCCCGCCTAGGAGGGAAAAAGCATCAAAATCCACTTGAAATGGTCAGGATATTCCTATCCCCTCCCCCAAATTAAAATCAGCAAGGGAGTCCCTGCTTCTGATCCCGTCTCACACGTAAAGGTGGCCTCTCAACGAAAAAAGGGTCTTTTTGGTGGCACCTGTCTTCCCCAAGAACCTCAAAACGTCCTCACCAACTTTCCCCAAGCTGGTGAAGTTCATCTGACGACAACGAGAAATCGGGTCTTTAGTGTCGTCAGCCTAGTCCAGCGGAACTCTCTGCCACTGGAGATTCAGTGGGTGCCTTCTGTGCCGACTTTTAAATGCCTGCCGAAAACCTTCCTATTCCGCCAGGCCTATGCAGGCAATTAAGGATGCAGCCTCCTACAATGATTAATTGATGTCTGCTTTTAACTTTTCAATGGTTTTTTTGTTTTTATTGCTGCAAACCTCTTAAGATATTTATGATACAGCAGTATGCAAATGTTTTCAGGAATAAATAAAATGAAAAGATGACCCGTTGGGGCTGAAATCTTGTTGGCACTCAGCGCCTGAGTTTGTTATTAGAAGGAGTTACAGTATTTTATTCCTATCCCGCCTTTCCTCCAAGAAGCCCAATGTGGTATGTATGTATGTATGTATGTATGCATGCACAGTAGTACCTCAGTTTTCGAACGTAATCTGTTCCAGAAGGCCATTCAACTTCCGAAACGTTCGAAAACCGAGGCGTGTTTGAAAACAGAAGCATTTACTTCCAGGTTTTTGGAAACATTTGGCTTCCGAGGCGTTCGAAAACCAAGGTACCAACGTATTTTAGATTGATATATGGCCCTTCGTCAAAAAATCTCAGGGAGGTTCACAGAAAAAAATACAAGATAAAACGCAAGTAAATAATCAAACCAAAAAAGAAAAGAAAAACACCTCCCCTTCCGCTGACACATTTAAAAGGCTGCAGAATATTAATTGGCCAAAGGCCTGGTTGAAGAGGAAATTTTTTGCCTGGCGCCTATAAAAATATATAATGAAGGCACTAGGTGAACCTCCCTGGGGAGAGCATTCCACAAATAGGGAGCCACTACAGAAAAAGCCTGTTCTTAGGCCCATTCCCCAATCTAGCTACACAACAACCCTGGGAGGTAGACTAGGCCGAGAGATGGCGACTAGGCCAGTGGAGACTTCCCACTCTGGGAAGTGGGGTCCCACCCAGTTACCTCCTTCTGGCATCCCCTGCGCCTTCTGGATTCGGGCGCTCAGCACCTCTTTGGCGGAGACGAAGAAGATGCGGTCGCCGGCCTGGGCCCGATCCACCACGCCCAGCTCGTCCACCAGGAAGCTGGTGCAGCGTTCCATATGTTGGCGCCGGACCTGGAAGGGGGAAACGGGGCTCGCGTGAGGAACGCCGGAACCCCTTCCCTTCCCAAACACACCGCCCTTCGCGGCTTCCGCCGAAAAACCTCACCTCTTCCATGTACTCCGGTTCGGAGGCAGAGGCATCCCAGCGGTTGTTCAGGATGAAAATGTTGGGCCGCGACAACCGGGTGTTGACTTTGTGGAAGAACTGCTTCTCCTGGAAAAGGAGGGCCGAAGTCAGAGAATCGGGCGTGTGTGGCTGGGTGCCACTGGGCCCAGGCCTGCACCCCCTTGGCCTCCCCGCTCCAGAGCTGCCCTTCCACATCACTCAAAAACATCCTCTACAGTGGTAGCTCGGTTCTCGAACCCACCATATTTTTCGCTCCATAAGACGCACCTGACCATAAGGCACACCTAGTTTTTAGAGGGGGGATGCAAGAAAAAAAATATTCTTTAAAGGGAGCGCAGCGCAGAGCCTGTACGCATCCCAGGCTCTGCTCAGCGCTCCCTTTCACGAGCCCCGTGGAGCGTGTGTGCGGCGCTTGCAGGCTTTTCCCCAAGGAAAAGCCCCCTCCGTGCGGCTCTTTAAAGGGAGCGCGGCTCTTGGGGGAAGGGACAGAGGGGCTTAGCCAGAAGCTAGAACAGCAAGCGGGAACGCTGTGTAGCGATCCCTCTCGCTGTTCTGGCTTCTGGGATTGCCGCGCAGCCTGCATTCGCTCTGTAAGACGAACACACATTCCCCTTATTTTTTAGAAGGGAAAAAGTGCGTCTTATAGAGCGAAAAATACGGTAATCTGTTCCGGGAGTCTGTTCGACTCCTGAAACCGTTGAATGTTCAGCTTCTGAAAAACGTTCGCAGACCAGAACACTTACTTCCGGGTTTGCAGTGTTTGGGAGTCGATTTGTTTGGCAACTAGGCCGTTTGGGAACCAAGGTTCCACTGTACACACACACACACACACACACACACACACACACAGTTTGGCAACCAACATGCAGCAGAACCCACAGACTTGGGTGCATGCAAAGCAGTTTGGTCACTCCAGGAGCTGCTGCGACGGCTTCAGCTGCGATAATACTGCCCAGTGAAGCCGCTGTCACGGTCTGGCCCTCATACCAGTCCTGGGCAATGCACTGATACAAAATCCAGGCTTAATCTCCATACAAGGATTTGGAGAAGGAGAAGATAAGATTACAAATGGTGATTACATTTGGATATGGGGCCAGAAGAGGGGGGGAAAGGGTTTGGGATTTTGGCGCTGGACTTTCTTTAGCTTAAGCAGAAAGAAAGGACTCTGTTTAAAAATCTGGAGTGGACTCAAAGAACATTGCTCTTAAAGCTATGGTATTGCCTCTGGAAAAAGACTGGAAAAACGAAAGGGCTGAGAGCAGAATTTTCCAAAATGTGTGTCGGCTGCAGTGTGTAGGTGTGTTGCACAAATGCTCCTCCCGGGGCTGGAATGGGGTTAGTTTAACTTCCAGTTTGCTAGTAAAACTGAATTACTGTGTTGTGAAACAATGCACATCTGAAAAGTGTGTCGCCAACATGGAAAGTTTGGAAAGCTCTGGCCTAGATCAAGAGATCAGGATACAGTGGTACCTCAAGTTACATACGCTTCAGGTTAAATACGCTTCAGGTTACAGACTCCGCTAACCCAGAAATATTACCTCGGGTTAAGAACTTTGCTTTAGGATGAGAACAGAAATCGTGCTCTGGCAGCGCGGCAGCAGCAGGAGGCCCCATTAGCTAAAGTGGTCTTCAGGTTAAGAACAGTTTCAGGTTAAGAACGGACCTCCGGAACAAATTAAGTACTTAACCCGAGGTACCACTGTACTGTACTTAACCTGAGGTACCACTATACTATCATAAAAAACAAGAGGGATGCGTTACTGGGCAGATGTGTAACGAGAAATCAAAACGGGATAATACAACGGGAAGTGGGATACAATAAGAAATGGAACTAAATGTGTTTGTTTAGACTAGTTTGTTCTGTATTATGAAAAGTCTTTAATATTATTATTTTTTAAAGAAACTCGCAAGCAACACCCAAACGCAATGGTGACTCTCCCTGCTTGCGATGATTCCCAGCCAACAGATATTGAGAGGCGTGGCAAAGTCTCCTCCGAAAGCAAAGAGAAGGTAAATTAACCGAAGGATGAGGGTTACCGTCTGCATCAGGGTCGACTCAGAGTTTGCCACCAAGACAAAGACGTCAGCGTCCAAGCAGAACTTGTCAATCCAGCTGTCCAATTCAGTGGTTACGTCGATTCCGGGGCTAATAGGACAGGCAAGGGGTGGGGGGAGGAATGCCAGATGCAGAAGAAAGTGTTATTGACAGCTGTCAACGCAACAGCCCACCCTGAAATATGGAGAAAGCAGGGCTTTGATTCAAAGCTATTTATTTCCTAATATTTATAAACCACTTGATTGCAAAAAAAATACCCTCCTTCAAAGTGGTATACAAATATAGGGAATAAGGACTGACAAAACCCGGAACCAGGAGGAAGGGACGCTGGATGAAGATTGGATCTGTTTATACCTCTTTTTTTTACTATTAGAACTGTTTTATAAAATTGATGAATGATAGAAAAATGTTGGAATGAAATTACTTGGCTTTAGCAAAGATGTTTAAAGAATTATGAAAGAATATTATGATTATGAGAAGTTGGTAAGGATAAGATTTAAGATTTAAGTTTTATGTTTTTAGGTTTATTTTATTATAGAAAGATAAGGTCAAGGATTTGCTGGGATAATTAATAACTAGGATACAAAGAAAGGGAGGAGGAGGAGGTCTAAGAAAGAAGGTAATGACAGTTAAGGATTTGAAAATAATGAATTTCTTTTTAAATGCTTTTAAAGTTTTGTGATTTTTGCATTCTTCTTTTTTTCTTTTTTTTCTGTTATTTTTTCTCATTTGGAATTTTTTTCTTATATTTTTATTCTTTGTACTCTCTTCTGCTTCTATTTTATTTTTTTTTATTTTTTGTAACATTTTGAAGATCTCAATAAATATCTTTAAAAAAAAACAAAGTGGTATACAAATATATATACACACATCTGTAAAAAGCAGCGACAATCAGACCTTCAGAAAATCAACCATGGGCTAAAAACCAGATCAAAACACATGTTAGCATTCTACACACGTGTTGGCCTACAAATGATTTTAGCAGGCGCCAAAAAGAGTACAGTGAGGACGCCTGCCTGGCGTCAAGTGGCAGGGAGTTCCAAAGTGCAGGTTCCACCACACTAGAAGATTTACCTCTTACAGATGCGTAAGGAGTATAATTTGGCACCTGCAGCAGTGGCAGTTCTGCGGATCAGAGAGGTCAAGCTGGCCGATTTGGGGGTAAGGCAATATTGCCAGGAGACCTGACCCAAACTGTTAAGAGTTTTATATGCTATTAGTAAAAACTTGAACTCAGCCTGGTAGCAAATCAGACACCAATACAGATCTCCGAGCACAGGTGGCACACGCAAACAATAAGAAGGAAAAACATGGAAGAGCTAAACGCCGAACCAGTCCTGCTTCCTGTTTCTTGTGAAAGCTTCTGTGGGGACAGAAATAATTCCTGCAACAGACAGAACCTTACCCTGCCTCTTAATATGCATACAGTTCAATCGAGCCTCTATGGCCAGTCAGAGTCTACCTGTGAGCACCAGATACCGAGAATAGCATCCTGCTCTCTCATCTTAGCCAAACGGATGCTTTTGAGAAACCAGTGGCTAACAACTAACAGCCAGTTTTCAGGACTGGGAGAGAGGTGGTTTTTAAAATGGCGCAAACTGTTTTTAGAAAGAGAGGGGCAGATTTTAGAAGCAGGGAAGGAATTAAAGCCATTATCTCAAATCGCCTACGGAGAAAGGCTAAGCTCGCTGCAATTAGCTCAGCGGGAGAATATAGCATCAGTTTACAAATTAAATGCCTGCTAAGCCAGGAAGCTGGAACAAGGCCAGCGGCACAGGAGGAGTTTCTGGGAAAACACCTCCGTCGTTTTCCGTGCTTCTACATGCGTACAGCAACTTAGAAGCCAACTGGTTTGAGGATTGTGTCCCAGGGGCATGGGGGAAAGGGAGATCTCTCACCTGTCCATCAAAACGAGGTCATCTTTGAGAAGGGGACACTTGGAGTTTGGCCACATTACGCTGACCATTCCTCCGGCAGTCAGGAGTTCGTCTTGATGGAGTGCGTGAGCCAGTTGGTTGACCGTCTGGACGTAGAGGGTCGGCAGATAGAAAGAGAGAAATAATAATAATAGTATTTATTTTCTTTCTTTCTTTCTTTCTTTCTTTCTTTCTTTCTACCCTGCCCATCTGGCTGGGTTGCCCAGCCTCCTGGGGCATCTTCCAACCCGTATAAAAAAAAATAATGAAATGTCAAACATTAATAATAACGATCTGATCCAGTACAAAAAAAGTCACAATAACTTAAAAACAAATAACTTATATCAAACAAAGCAATATTCAACGATCCATTAGAATCTAGTGGTAAACAGGAAAATTAAATATCAGCAAATATTAACTAAACGGCTTACACTTATCAGTCACAATAGAGAATTACTAAACGATAATCAATAAAAACAAAGGCAAGTCACAATGCATAAAATACCACGGACATACGAAACCGTGTAAAAGGATCAGAGAAAATTATGGGTTTGAGTGGGAAGTGGTTTGGGGAGGCTTAGAAGCCTGCTCTACCATTAAGTGGTATAAAGTTAAGGTAAAGGTACTCCTGACGGTTAGGTCCAGTCGTGGACTACTCTGGGGTTGCGGCACTCATCTCGGTCTATAGGCCAAGGGAGCCGGCGTACAGGTTCCGGGTCATGTGGCCAGCATGACTAAGCCGCTTCTGGCGAACCAGAGCAGTGCACGGAAACGCCATTTACCTTCCCGCCGGACTGGTACCTATTTATCTACTTGCACTTTGAGGTGCTTTCGAACTGCTAGGTTGGCAGGAGCAGGGACCGAGCAACGGGAGCTCACCCCGTCATGCAGATTCGAACCGTGACCTTCCAATCGGCAAGCCCTAGGCTCAGTGGTTTACACCACAGCGCCACCCGCGTCCCTATTAAGTGGTCTAGAAACTATTTATTTCATAAAATTTACACAGTTCCTGACTGTAGGAAAAAAACTCCTCGAAGCACTTTTCAAAAGAAAAAGATAAAAGCTATTAAATCACCAGTAGGAAAAACCAGCAATAATAATGTAAAAGTTTCATGGAGTTAAAACAATAGTAGACTGAAAACATATGGAAAGAGCTCCTCGCCCTCCCTTCCAAAAACTGTCTCCCTCCGCTGACTGGAGATGTGCTCACCTTGACGCTTTTCTTCTCCTCAGACCCCTCAGTGAGCAGAAAGGCATCCTGGCCCTCTGTCCCCTCCACGCGCAAGAAGCAGTTTGTGGTGTGTCCGATGCCTGAGGGAAGGACTTTGTCCCACAGCATGGCATTGATCACTGTGCTCTTCCCATTGCTCGTCCTGAGAACACAAACGCATCTGTAAGGTCCTTGGGGCGGGGACCTGCCCTGCCTGGACAAAAGGGCTATGTAATAATAATAATAATAATAATAATAATAATAAATTTATTTATACCCTGCCCTCCCCAGCCTAGACCGAGCTCAGGGTGGCTAACACCCGTTATAAAAACAAATTGATTGAAATACAGTGGTACCTCGGGTTAAGAACTTAATTCGTTCCGGAGGTCCGTTCTTAACCTGAAACTGTTCTTAACCTCCTGCTGCCACTGCGCCACCGGAGCACGATTTCTGTTCTCATCCTGAAGCAAAGTTCTTAACTCAAGGTACTATTTCTGGGTTAGCGGAGTATGTAACCTGAAGCGTATGTAACCTGAAGCGTACTTAACCTGAGGTACCACTGTACAACTTAAAAACAAGATTAAAATACAGTGGTGCCCCGCAAGACGAAAAACTCGCTAGACGAAAGGGTTTTGCGTTTTTTGAGTCGTTCCGCAAGACGAATTTCCCTATGGGCTTGCTTTGCAAGACGAAACATCTTGCGAGTTCTTGCGAGTTTGTTTCCTTTTTCTTAAAGCCACTAAGCCGCTAATAGCCGTGCTTCGCAAGACGAAGAAACTGCAAGACGAAGAGACTCGCGGAACGGATTCATTTCGTCTTGCGAGGCACCACTGTACAACATTAAAACACAGCCTCATTTCAATGGAAACTCAAATCAAAAACTTTTTTGGGGATGAAAACGTCAAGTCTTCACCAAGGCTAACTGTCCAGACTGGTCCACACCAAGGAGTGGCGCGACGACATCTCCCTCCCTAGCGCCACCCTCTGTCCCCGACCAGAGATAAGAGATGTAAAATCAGGGGGGGCAGCTGACCGGGCATTGATCAATCCTCTGGGGGCTGCATGCCATAAGCGAGCACAGCCACAAACAACACACACATAGTTCTGCCCGCAACTCCTCAGCTGTGAAGGGGATTTTGTTTTGTTTTTAAAATCATTTTATTTATTTAAGCAGGAAAATCTGCTCCAGCGACACACAAGAAAAACAAAGAAAAACAACACAACTGAGTGAGATAAGGGAGATAAAAGAACTACACAACTCTTAGAAGACATCTGAAGGCAGCCCTGTATCAGGAAGTTTATATTGTTGGACGTTTTGTTATGTGCTGGAAGCCACACAGAGTGGCTAAGGAAATAAAAAGGCTGGCATATTTGCAAAGCTAAGCAGGGTCCGGGGTGGTTTCAAATTGGATGGGAGACCACATGTTGAGATGCCCGCATTGCAGAGGGGTTGGGCTCTACAATTCTATGAAAATTAAACACACACAAAGCATTGAATGTGGGTCATTTTGTTCACGTTCCCTGGAAAAAAATGCAGCTATTGCTGGTGCTTAACAAAAGTCGGAAATCCTGTAGCAAGAGTATTATTGGCACAGAAATGGAAGCATGAAGAATTATCGACAAAAGAGGAATGGCAGATGAAATTAATGGACTACGCAGAATTGGATAAGATGACAGGGAGAATTCGAAACCAGCAGGACAAGAAATTCTTGAAAGATTGGTGTAAATATGCGAGTTATTTGAAAGACAATTGTAATCAACTGTGACTACGCTGGTAGGACTACAAGTAGTTTCGTAAGGAGAACTATATGAAATATTACAGAAAAGATTTATGAGAATGGATTTTAAGTTACTATTAAAAGTAGTAGTTAGGATAATAAATGTGAGATTAAAAGAGGAGGTTTGAAAATCATTAGACGTGGTTGCTGGAAGTTTCAGGCTAAAATAGCCAAAATGATGTATAAGATGAGATGAGATGACATGACATGATTTGTTTGGAAAATATATGCAAAAATCAATAAAAGTAAGTGTGTGTGTGTGTGTACACACATTTACACACACACACACACACACACACACACACACATATATATATATATATATATATATATATATATATAGAGTAAAGGTAAAGGGACTCCTGACCATTAGGTCCAGTCGTGACCGACTCTGGGGTTGCAGCGCTCATCTCGCTTTACTGGCCGAGGGAGCCGGCGTACAGCTTCTGGGTCATGTGGCCAGCATGACTAAGGCGCTTCTGGCGAACCAGAGCAGCGCACAGAAACGCTGTTTACCTTCCCGCCAGAGCGGTACCTATTTATCTACTTGCACTATGACGTGCTTTCAAACTGCTAGGTGGGCAGGAGCAGGGACCGAGCAACAGGAGCTCATCCTGTCACGGGGATTCGAACCGCCGACCTTCATGATCAGCAAGTCCTAGGCTCTGTGGTTTAACCCACAGCGCCACCCATGTCCCATATATATACATATATACATATATATGTACATAAACACACACACACACACACACACACCTCTCTATATATATACACATTATACACACACAAATAAAAACAAGATCGAAAATCCAATTATTGCTCTATCCACTTTTTCCTCTGGCCCTGCAAAACACTGGCATGTGGCCCTCAGGAAGCTGTCCAGAAGGGAATTTGGCCCTTGGGGTGGGGGAAAAGGCTTCCCTACCACCTTTTTATGGCTGAGCAGGGGATCTGAGCTTCAGAATTGTTAACTTTTTCCATCCGAGAGCAAAACGAGGAGGTGACTCAATCAAGCTGGCATTTGCTGGCAGACAAGGGCACACTGGAGAGCTTCTGCCACTGCCGCAGGCTTCCCTCCACCCACAGCCAAATTCCTCACCGAGCACAAGATCGCTTGCCTGGTGCCCCACTCACCGTCCGAAAAAGGCCACCTTCATGTGACGCCGGGCCAACACCTGGCTGATGCCTCCCACCTTCGACAGGTAGCCTTTGACCTCCAGCACCTGCTCCTCTGTGGTGATGGGGTCCAGCTCCACATTCCTGTGCGTTTCTGAAACCAAAAGGGAGCCAAATCTACAAGGGCTGCCACGCTTTCCCTAAAGTAAGGTTCTAGTCCTCATTGGTTCTTAACCAAGTTCTAGTTTCAAGAGAAACGTAGGAATGATGACACCCAGCTCTACCTCTCTTTTAAATTGGAACCAGTGAAGGTCCTGTGTGAGTGTCTGGAGGCAGTTGGAGGATGGATGGCGGCTAACAGATTCAGGTTCACTCCTGACAAGACAGAAGTACTGTTTTGTGGGGACAGGGGGCGGGCGGGTGTGGGGGACTCCCTGGTCCTGAATGGGATGACTGTGCCCCTGAAGGACCAGGTCCGCAGCCTGGGAGTCATTCTGGACTCACAGCTGTCCATGGAGGCGCAGGTCAATTCTGTGTCCAGGGCAGCTGTTTACCAGGGCTGAGATCCTACCTGCCCGCAGACTGTCTAGCCAGAGTGCTGCATGCTCTGGTTATCTCCCGCTGGGACTACTGCAACGCGCTCTACGTGGGGCTACCTTTGAAGGTGACCCGGGAACTACAACTAATCCAGAATGCGGCAGCTAGACTGGTGATAGGGAGCGGCCGCCGAGACCATATAACACTGGTCTTGAAAGACCTACACTGGCTCCCAGTACATTTCCGAGCACAATTCAAAGTGTTGGTGCTGAGCTTTAAAGCCCTAAACAACCTCGGTCCAGTATACCTGAAGGAGCATCTCCACCCCCATTGTTCTGCCTGGACACCGAGGTCCAGCGCCGAGGGCCTTCTGGCGGTTCCCTCGCTACGAGAAGCCAAGTTACAGGGAACCAGGCAGAGGGCCTTCTCAGTAGTGGCACCCGCCCTGTGGAACACCCTCCCACCAGATGTCAAAGAGAAGAACAACTACCAGACTTTTAGAAGACATCTGAAGGTGGCCCTGTTTAGGGAAGCTTTTAATGTTTAATAGGTTATTGTATTTTAGTGTTTTGTTGGAAGCCGCCCAGAGTGGCTGGGGAAACCCAGCCAGATGGGCAGGATATAAATAATAAATTATTATTAGTATTAGGCACTTTGTTCCGAGTCTGGCAAATCCCTGGGCTTATCAATGGCTACCAGCCACAATGCTTTGAAGCAGCAACACTTCTGAATACCAGTTGCCCTTGGGTCAATCTAGCTCAGTAATGTCTACACGGACAGGCAGCAGCTCTCCAAAGTTTCAGGCCAGGGGAATCTTACAAGGTCATTATCCAGTTAAATGGAGAGCAGCAACTGAAGGAAGACTTTGGAGAACCGCAGACTGGGCAGGCTTCCTAGGTAAGGTAGACACCGTATAAGGCAGCTTCCTCGGTTTCTGTTTAAATTCAGAACCATGAGGACTAGACCCTTGTTTCATCTTTAGCACCGACTCCGTACACCCCAGCTTACGTTTCCAATTTAAACCGGCCGCCCCCATTTATTCTCCGCTCGCTCGCCTACACAAATTCCTCGTTGCCCGTGGCGAGCAGGCAAGTTGTTTTGAAAACACGGCACGCAGAAGAGGCCGCCTTACCCTCCAGGAATGCTGAGCTCTCCTGGATGTAGGCAGCCAGCTGTTCAAAGATGCCATTGATCTTCTTCTTGGCAGTGACGAAGTGCTTGAGCGGGGAGGCGTTGACTTCCGCCATGTGTCTCTTGTCCTTCTTGCCGGAGACAATGGACTTGGAGCAAGGGAAGAGCAGGGACATTGCGCTATAGGGGGGCGGGGGGGGGGGGCAGGGAAGAGAGAAGCAAACAGTCAGATAAATCTTGTGGTTTTTCATGCGGAGCAAAGTTAAACTATGGAACTCATTGTCACAGGAGGTGTTGATGGACATCAATCTAGATGGCTGTAAAAGAGGACTGGACCATTAATAATAACAATAACAACAAACAACAACAAAAACAATAATATGGTCGGATAATGCTGGACCATCCTGATCCAGCAAGACTTGTCTTAATGTTCTTTTTTCTGTATATAATTTTTTATTAAGTTTTCTGTTTCACAATTTAAAGTACTCATTTTTACATCCTTGAGATATCCATGACTTCCCTTCTTCTCTTTCCATGGTTCATTTTACATATCATAAACCCCTCCATATTTTACAAAAACTATACCATTCAGTATTCTATTATTGCATCCATCAAAACTTATTTACACTGTTTAATTTATCTTAACGCTGCCAGCGTTTTCCGCTGTACACAATTATTTCCCATATAGTCAATACAGTGGTACCTCAGGTTAAGTACTTAATTCGTTCCGAAGGTCCGTTCTTAACCTGAAACTGTTCTTAACCTGAAGCAACACTTTAGCTAATGGGGCCTCCTGCTGCCGCCGCGCCGTCGGAGCACGATTTCTGTTTTCATCCTGAAGCAAAGTTCTTAACCCGAGGTACTATTTCTGGGTTAGCGGAGTCTGTAACCTGAAGCATCCTGATCAAATTTGCAGATGACACCAAACTGGGAGGGGTGACTAACACCCCAGAGGACAGGTTCACGCTTCAAAACGACCTTGACAGATTAGAGAACTGGGCAAAAACAAACAAGATGAATTTTAACAGGGAGAAATGTAAAGTATTGCACTTGGGCTAAAAAAATGAGAGGCACAAATACAAGATGGGTGACACCTGGCTTGAGAGCAGTACATGTGAAAAGGATCTAGGAGTCTTGGTTGACCACAAACTTGACATGAGCCAACAGTGTGACGCGGCAGCTAAAAAAGCCAATGCAATTCTGGGCTGCATCAATAGGAGTATAGCATCTAGATCAAGGGAAGTAATAGTGCCACTGTATTCTGCTCTGGTCAGACCTCACCTGGAGTACTGTGTCCAGTTCTGGGCACCACAGTTCAAGAAGGACACTGACAAACTGGAACGTGTCCAGAGGAGGGCAACCAAAATGGTCAAAGGCCTGGAAACGATGCCTTATGAGGAACGGCTAAGGGAGCTGGGCATGTTTAGCCTGGAGAAGAGGAGGTTAAGGGGTGATACGATAGCCATGTTCAAATATATAAAAGGATGTCACATAGAGGAGGGAGAAAGGTTGTTTTCTGCTGCTCCAGAGAAGCGGACACAGAGCAATGGATCCAAACTACAAGAAAGAAGATTCCACCTAAACATTAGGAAGAACTTCCTGACAGTAAGAGCTGTTCGACAGTGGAATTTGCTGCCAATGAGTGTGGTGGAGTCTCCTTCTTTGGAGGTCTTTAAGCAGAGGCTTGACAACCATATGTCAGGAGTGCTCTGATGGTGTTTCCTGCTTGGCAGGGGTTTGGACTCGATGGCCCTTGTGGTCTCTTCCAACTCTATGATTCTGTGTAACCCGAAGTACCACTGTATGTTAAGTCTGCAAGCTGCACGTATTCTGTCAACTTAAGTTGCCGTTCTTCTTCGGTTGTCGTCTTAAAGTTCTTACTACATTCTGATGCTCAAATGCAACATGAGCCAGCTGCATCGAGAAGGGGATCCTCCAGGGATGCTAGAAGTTTTTATTTTCAACCACTCTCCCCTCCCACCTGCTCAAAGTCCTGCCATTTCAGAACAGAAAACAATAGGTAAAGGGACCCCTGACCATTAGGTCCAGTCGTGACCGACTCTGGGGTTGCGGCGCTCATCTCGCTTTACTGGCCGAGGGAGCCGGTGTACAGTTTCCGGGTCATGTGGCCAGCATGACTAAGCTTCTGGAGAACCAGAGCAGCGCACGGAAACGCCGTTTACCTTCCCCCCGGAGCAGTACCTATTTATCTACTTGCACTTTGACATGCTTTCAAACTGCTAGGTTGGCAGGAGCAGGGACCGAGCAACAGGAGCTCACCCCATCGAGGGGATTCGAACCGCCGACCTTCTGATCAGCAAATCCTAGGCTCTGTGGTTTAACCCACAGCGCCAACAATAGAGACAGCTTAAAGTGGGGAGTCAGAGCTCAGATTTGCTGCTCAGGGGGGGGGGGGATGCAAGAGCAACAGGCTCAGGCTGGCAGAGGGAGAGTAGCTCCCATTAATCGCTCCATCTTTAGCACAAGCCAGCTGAGCCAAGGTTGGAGGACAGAACTCAGCACCTTTCTTACGTAACCATAAGCTTAGGGAGAAAAGCAAGTGTGGGTCACACTGTTCAAGGGCCTGGAAAAAGCAGGATGCGTGCAAAAACCCCATTAAGAATGTGCGTAACGATCACACTGGTGCTGACGCTTAATGGCTTTTGAATATTCTGGTCTCCAGAATGTTGGTCCCCAAGGTATTTCTTAACACTCAGCTATAATAAGCCCATTTAATTTTGAAACTCTTCACCAGGAAAGGCGACAGCCGCTAGCTTAGGTGGTGTTGAAAAATGATCACAGAAAATGATTTTGTGAACCGCCCCTGGGATTCTGCGGCGAAGGGCAATATACAAATTCAATAAATAAAATTCACAGAGAGCTATTTGAGCAAAATAAACTTATCCCATACGGTGCAAGTATGCCTCCAAATATCAGGTGCTGTATAACAAAAACTACCAAGAAACTTCATCCCTCCCCTTCGCCCTTTCCTTTCATGCTGTGCTATTCAGAATGCAAACTGAGGGCAGGTACTGTCTTGTTTTAATTGACTGTACATCGTATTCTTGCTCTTATACAAGCTGCTCTGGGAGCCTTTTTCAGATGAGGAGTAGGGCAAGACAAATCCTTTTTTTGTTGTTCTTCCAATGGGCTTTTGGCACACCTGGCTGTTGCGCCAAGTTCTTCTGTAGGTTCGTGTTTTACTCTATGTGCGCGCTTTTAAGTGGTTTAAAGTTTTCTGCAGTGCTGTTTTTAATAGGGTTACTTATATATTGCGTGATTGTAGTGATTTGTCTTTTTAAATTGATGTTGTGAGCCAACTTGGATCCAGCACAGGGATAAAGGCTTGATATAAAGAGGGGGGATAGAAATAAATTTAATAATAAACAAAACAAATAAAAAACAGTGAACAAAGCCATCCATGAATTCGTCTAATCCTCTGTTAAACCCATCCAGGTCCATGGCCACTGCTGCACCTTGTGGCAGTGAGTTCCACGGTTTAACTAAGTGCTGCATGAAGCACTTTCTTTTCTCTTTCCTGAATCTCCCAACATTTAGCTTCATTGAATGTCCACAAGTTTTAGCATGGGGGGGTGGGGACCTCTCCGTATCTGCTTTCTCCATGCCTTACATAATCAAAATAAACCTGGTCTCATGAATTGGTTCCTACCTTGGTTCCACACCTTGGCTGTGAATCGCTGCAGTTGTTGCTGTTACCAATATTCATTTTTTCGTGTCTTTATTTTAGAACTTACTATGATTAATTGTGGTAATTGTTTGATTTGACTGTGCACTTTCTGAATGTGTTTTATCCATTGTTTACGACTATTTTTGCTGCAGTATGCAATTTTGTCCGTGTTGCAAGGCGCCTTGTTTTAACTACAGAAAGGTTTAATGTATTTTTAATCTTTGTTGGAAGCTGCCCAGAGTGGCTGGGGAAACCCAGCCAGATGGGCGGGGTATAAATAAGAAATTATTATTATGGCATACAAATAAAATTATGGATGCATGTATGTTTGAGGAATATCTCCCGCCCCACCCCAAATCACTGCCCAACTTACTTCTAAGGCACAGGCTGGGTTCTCAAAGGGCGAGCATGGTCTGCGTCTTGTTTCCTAAGCGGTTCAGAGAAAAGGTGAAGAAGCTGTCTCCCTTGCTCCAAATCCAATTTGCTCCCCCGTCACTGCAAAGAGAGAAAGTTGGACGGGATTAGAGAACACACGTGGCCCAGATGCACAGCTGCTGTTTGCATTTTTCCTGCCAATAGTGCAAATGTCCCCAAGCCCCAGCTGTGTATCCCTGGGGTTCCATCTGCACCATACATTTAAAGATCACTTTAAAGAGCCCTGGCTTACCCCAAAGCATCCTGGGAACTGTAGTTTAAGGGATGCTAAGGGGTGTCAGGAGACTCCAGTTTCCCGCACAGAGTGGCTTAACAATCAATGCCTCTTACCAAGGAATTCTGGGAATTGAAGCTCTGTAAGGAGCCAGAATTAAGACTGCCAGAAGAAATATCAACAACCTCAGACATGCAGATGACACAACCTTGATGTCAGAAAGTGAGGAGGAATTAAAGAAGCTTTTAATGAGGGTGAAAGCGGAGAGCGCAAAATATGGTGTGAAGCTCAACATCAAAAAAACGAAGATCATGGCCACTGGTCCCATCACCTCCTGGCAAATAGAAGGGGAAGAAATGGAGGCAGTGAGAGATTTTACTTTCTTGGGCTCCATGATCACTGCAGATGGTGACAGCAGCCACGAAATTAAAAGACAGCCTGCTTCTTGGGAGAAAAGCGATGGCAAACCTAGACAGCATCTTAAAAAGCAGAGACATCACCTTGCCAACAAAGGTCCGTATAGTAAAAGCTATGGTTTTCCCAGTAGTGATGTATGGAAGTGAGAGCTGGACCACAAAGAAGGCTGATCGCTGAAGAATTGATGCTTTTGAATTATGGTGCTGGAGGAGACTCTTGAGAGTCCCATGGACTGCAAGAAGATCAAACCTCTCCATTCTGAAGGAAATCAGCCCTGAGTGCTCACTGGAAGGACAGATCGTGAAGCTGAGGCTCCAATACTTTGGCCACCTCATGAGAAGATAAGACTCCCTGGAAAAGACCCTGATGTTGGGAAAGATGGAGGGCACAAGGAGAAGGGGACGACAGAGGACGAGATGGCT